GCAAGTAGCCTACTGTAGTGGTCCACACTTGAAGGGTTCTTGTTGTTGATATCAAGCAGGCATTTGCCCGAGCAGCACTGGCCGTTGGTAACGCAGTTTGTACCAGGCATTCGGCATTTTCCTCTCTCGATAAGGGCATTATCGTTCGATGCAGGAGCTGCAAGGGCAATAGCAAAGAGAAAGAAGAGAGCGCCGAGTTTGTAGAACAACATTGTGTCGTTGGATATGGGATAGCAGGTGATACGTGTCGGAGTCGTGAATGATTCAAGATTTGAAAGGCTTCGTTCGATTAGTTTGAGGTAGCAGCTTGATTGTTCGCTTTGTAGATGATATTTTCTGTGCCATAATGGTCTTGTTGACGTCTTTATATCCTTGACCTTAGAATGGTATCAGAAGATGTCCAGGTGAAGAACAAAGAAGGACTCGAGAGTCTTTATCTCAAGTGAACTCTGTCCGCTAATCAGCTTAGTCGAAGAATGTTATATTTCTTTGATGCTGTCGCTGTCGCTGTCACTGTCGATCTCTTCAAAGGGTATTTAAAAGATACCTATCATAGGTGGCAGGATAAGAAACAGCAGCAGCAGAGTTAAGTTGTACCAAAGACTAACTTCTCAGATATATGCTGGATGTGCGATCAAAAGTGGTACAGTAACCAGCTATATAGAAGGCGGTAACCCATAGAGTACTCTTTCTTAGGTTGCTGGCATGCAGTGCTATGCAGAATCTCGCAGAAGAAAGGTTTCAAACCGAACAGTCTTTGTCCTCTCTTCCGGCCTGAATATCGTCATTGCGGCACAGAGTATATCTCAGTGGTATATAAAACACCCGGTTTGTTGACTCTGGATGAGATATATCACTCTTGTCGATCAGCCTCACAAGCCAGCAAGCCAACAAGCCATTCATATCACTCGTTATTCCCACCTTTTTCCACAGAAACGAAAAAAAGAAACAAACCAAGATGTTGATATCCAGGTTTATTACCTTACTCTCCCTCTCTGTGGCCGTCCTCGCCGCGCCCGAAAGCCACTCCGCGGCCACCAACGCCCTCGTTGACTGCCCCGAAGGCTTCTGCCTGGACGATTCGACCTACTGCGACATAGAGACACACAAGTGCAGGAAGAAAGGCGGCCCTGGACCCTGCGGCTCAGGAGAATGTATCGAGAACAAGGACAATCCGGCCAAACGTCAGCTACCCAACGGCGACTGCATGTCGGACACCGACTGTAAATTCGGAGTTGAGGCGTGCATGTGGATACAGGCAGAAGGCCAACACAAGTGCGTGCCCCAGCTGACCAAGGTCCACACTACGACGAAGACGAGAGGCGGCGGCAGACGCAGGAGTATGGAGATGTCTGACGGCTCTGCTGCTTGTATAAAGAGAGGTGGACTGTGCCGTAAAGACGTGCACTGCTGTTCTTACAAATGCTCCCATTTAAGTCTTCATCTTTCCCTAGGCGTCGCCGGGACCTGCGAGTAATCCGGCATCATGATGTCTCTTGTCTCTCTCTCTCTTGTTTTTCCCCGATGATGTCTCTGTTTCTCTTTTGTTTCAGTATGGAAAAGAAAAAGAAAGACGCCCAGAAAAAGTGAGATCACGTGATCTTTCCCAGTTTTACTCTCGAGAAAAGTAACAACAAGATAAGAGTTAACGAAGTAGTTAAGTAATAGCGTAGATGATATGAACAGGCCAATGTTCATATCTTTATAGCCTGCGTCAACCCTTAAACTTGCAATTTTATATAAAAATATATAATAGATTATACATATAATAGTACGACGGCCCAACCTTAACCCTCGTCCCCCGTCTATCCATCTCCATCTCCATAACAATCCAAGCGATCTAGATCCTCCCTTTCTCAACCCCCAGACGAGCTCTAGAACCAGCCAGCCAGCCAGCCAGCCGCCCGTCCGCAAGTCTAGAACAGGTTCTTGTCGCCAGCCATTCAACGGTCGAGATGACATGCATTGGACAAGCAAGGAGGCACTAGCAAGGGCAGCTTCTCCTTGCTCGTCTTCTTTTCTTTTTTCTTTTATTTTGCGCGTCCTTTTACCACTATGGGTGTACGTGGTAAAAACTAGTTAAACCCGCAAGGTATATATGTAACTAACTGTTAACTAGCTAGTTACATACATAGTTGAACTGCTGCTCTGCTGAGCTGGTTTGCATGCAGCCGGCCTGATACGTCACAGAACCGGATGATCGCTGTTTGCTTGTTGAACATGGCGTCGGAGCCCTTATTTGATCCATGCTATTATATATGCACATAATATACATATAGCAAGAGGTATGTGTCAAGCTGCTGGCCTACCAAGGTAGATGACATGTCTGTATGCATGGACTTCATGCTCCCACTAGCTAGCTAGTTAGTTGACTGCTCGATGTGAGACAGCCATGGAGCTTATTCCGCCTGTTCCCAGAGGAGAGAGCTGTGTTTCGAACCGAACTGGCTGTACATATGGTTGCGTACATGGAGGCATATACGTACATACTATGTAGATGTACATAGATGTGCATATGTACTATGTATGTATGTTAGCAAGCTGCAGTGCATAAAAACTAACTATGCGAGTACGGGTTAGGTCCCAGCCTTGATTTTTTTTTTTTGATACATCCAAGCGGGAGAGAGTTTGATATGTCATGCCATGTCATATGAAGCAGTTGAAGCAGTAGAAGAGTTAGGAAGATAACCTCGTTTCCCTGTCCTTGTTGCTGTCTATTTGGGCTCGGGTATTGCTGGACAAAAAGCAGAATAAACAACCCCCAAAAAGAGAATAGCTAACTGATCAAAAAACACACCAAAAGACCGCCATCATGATTGGGACAGGGCAAGGCAGGGGAAGATCAGAGTAACAAGAAGACATCATACTGAATTCCCCAGAGTATGTATCTTATGCATGCCAAAAAAAAAAAAAAAAAAACAAGACCGGACAAGAAATATTTTTGTTTTCATGTACAAAACACTCAACAATGAACAGTGAAAGTAGAGCAAAGTAGAATGGACCAAATACCACCAACCCAACCATCCCAAACCTGGAGCCAAGTAAGAAAGTAAGGAAAAAAAGAAGAAGGAAAGCTGCTCTTTTTTATGGTTGCTGGAAGAAATCACAACTATCCACCCATCCACCATTGAAAACCATGGGTCCCTGGCCCATTTCAGGTTCAATTCAGTTCATCTGCTCATCTCGTCTCGTCTCGGCCGTTTTTTTTTTTGGTTCGTTCATCAGATCAGCAACGTGAGGATTGTTCAGTCTCGTTGTATATTTTTGTTGGTCATCGCGCCTGGCTCGTATGGGGAAGGAGAGGAAGGGGAAGAGAAAGTCCGATAGGATCGGAGAGAGAGAGATTTGGTAGGGTGAAGGTGGGATGTAACGAACGAACGGAGAAAAGGAGGTAAGTCGGATTAGATTATGCAAAAAAAAGGGGGGGTCGATGTAAAATGAAAAATGGCTGCTGTAGATGAGAAACGAGCTATCCGCCCACGCCAAAAAGGTAATAAGCCAACACCGTATATATGATTGGTAGAAAAAAAAAATCCAAATTCACAGTTAAAAGCGACTAATCCAAGCAACCTTGATGTCCAACACGTCAACATCAACTACGCCATGCGGCTGGTCTACATGGGATTAACGACTGCCGCGCCCGGGCCAGGTCCAGGTCCGGACCCTGGGCCAGGCCCGGAGCCAGAACCATGAAACATCCTCTGTCGTTTATTATAGGCATTGACGTCTAGTCCGGCCATGTCAGACGCCTGACGACGGTGCTTGACGTGGTTTTGAGTATTCTGGTTCTGGCTCTGGTTCTGAGGAGGGTACTGCATGCCGTTGGCGTCAAAGGCAGATTGGCCTGCCTGGCCGGGCGTGATGGGGGAGTTCTGCCAGTTTGTTTGACCCATCGTCGAAGGGGAGTGAGTGGGGGATGTTTCGTCCTTGACTGCCTGGGAAGTTGGAGGAAGGCCGGCGACAGCTACGGGGACGGAGTTGGAGAGTGTGCCGGGGGCTGCGGGGTTGCTGTTTGTTGATTGGGCGGATTGCTGTTGCTGCTGCTGCTGCTGCTGGGGCTGTGGTGGAGCATCCATCGGGTTTCCGGAAGCTGGGACATTCACATTGACGTTTTTGAGGGGCATAAGGTGTTTTTCTAGCATGTTAAGGAGGGATTGGCGGGTGAACGGTTTGGGAAGGACGTCGTTCATTCCTGTATAAGTTAGAGACCTTGGGCACAGATAAGGGGAGGGAGGAAAAAGTAATACCGTGCTGGAAGTAAAGGTCTATATCGCTGGATCGGATGTTGGATGTCATTGCGATTATTGGTGTGTTATCGAACCGACGAATAAGGCTGCAGGCCGAGACACCGTCAAGGTTCGGCATAATGATGTCCATCAAAATAAGGTCATATTTGGAGCCTTCCTGCATCTTATTCACTGCTTCAAGGCCATCGAGCTAGGAATATAGTTTAGTGCCATTGAAAAAAAAAAAAGGCAGTAAAATTGTAGGAGGTAAAAAAAAAATTGGAACCGGGGGGTGGGAAAGGGCCTTACAGCAGTATCAACAACACAAGAGAAGGAATACAGGAACTTGCCACCGATCTGTCGACAGGTCTGGTCGTCTTCGACAAGTAGGATGTGCGGGCTGCGCACCCATCCGGGGTCGGGATAGATGCTCTTCTTCCTCCCATCTCCGCCAACGGAGTACTGCCGCCGTACGTCGGACACCTCCATGTCCTTGTTGGGTGCAGCCGCCGTAGAGTTTGTAGGTAGAGAGTAAGGGATGTTATTGACATGTTCGCTGTACATGGGATCTATGCCATTGGTGGCTCCGACCGGGTAGACGACCTGTTCAAGCTCTCCGTTCATCTTCGGGTAGGACATCGATGCAGGCTGCGCGGCGGATGTAGGAGGGATACCGACGACGCCAACACCCCCGACGACACCACCAACGACATTCACTCCGTTGACGCCGTTGACGTTGACATTGTTGCGCTGAGTCTGGTCCAGGGGCGGCGTAGGCACGATACCTTCTAGGGCCGAAAAGTTGAACTGGTTCTCGGCCGTCATCTCGTTAAGCAGCTTCGTGGCGTGCTGTAGGGGCGACGCGGGATTCTCGTCCATGCCGGCCACCTGTGAAGGGCTGAGATCGGTCTGTGACTGAAAGGAGAGGGCGGCGGCGCGGGACTCTCGTCTGTGCCGGGCGTCGAGAGAGTGTAGGTAAGTGAGTATGCAGTGGACGACCTGGTCGTGGCCGAGGACGGACTTTTGCACCCGTCTGACCTCCTGGAGCATCATCTGGTGGTCGACGGTGAACTGGGTGAAGCGGTCTGCGAGGTGCTGGAGCTGCTGCTGCTGCGCGAGAAGCTGCTGGTTCATGAGATCGAGCTGCTGCGTGGGGATGGAGTCTTCGTTTGCGGGAGCCTGTTTCCGCGGTGCGGGCGCCTTTCGTCGTATGTTGTCGAGCGAATCTTTGTTGTCGGCCTTGAACTCGGGATGTTTGAACTCCCACGCCTGCCCGGTCTGTCAGCATAACCCTGTAGACAAGTGTAGACGTGAAAAAGGAGATAAAAACTCACGCTTGGCCCGTAAGGTGACTGTCCGGTCTCTTCATTATTCTGGCGCACTTTGTGAAAGTCATACTTGTTCAGCTGGCGCACAAAGCTGGCAAAGTTGCTGTGTTTGAAGTGTTTCGGCAGGATGGACTTTGTGAACTTCTCGCACTGCATGGAGGAGGGAGACGTTCAGCTTCATGCGTTTATCCCCAAGTGCAAACCATCAATCAGAACTGACCTCTAATACGACAAAGCTGTCTCTGTCGTCTCCCCATCTGACGATCTGCGCATACGAAGGGTCTTCGAGCATTCTGCAGGGTGTCAGTCAGTCAGTCAGTCTGTCTGTCTGTCGGGTGGCCCTTGTCGGGTGGTGTAAGCTCAAATCGATCTCGAGGCCGGGACTCACTTGTAAAGTTTCCTAACCTATGCGCGAGTCAGCCTGCATGTCTAGTCCTTAAACATACCATCACATAACACTTACAAAATCGCTCGAGTTACCGGCCGAGCCGCCGTTGGGAGGAGGGTTATCCATGGCGAGGGAGGTCGAGGTTCGAGGCCGTCTAAGGAGGCAAAAGAGAGGGAGGGAGAGGGAGAGAATGAAGGATCGAGAGAAAAGAGAGAAAAAGAGCAAAGAGAGAGAGAGAGATAGAGAGAGAGAGAGAGGAGAGCAAGAGATAGAGGAGGAGGAAGAAGCAAGACGGTCGGTCGGGGCAAGGATGTAAGCAGGAAGAAGCAAGCAAGCAGCGAAAAGAAAGATGTGAAGAGCGGAAAGGAATAAGCTGAGGAAGAAGAAGTACCTGACTGGGTACGGCTGGACGGGTACCTCTTCTTCTTCTTCTCCTTCTTCTCGTTCGGTGGACGGTGTCCCAGGTCAGTCCATCTACTGTTAGGATGGGTGGAGGATGTGGACAGTCGAAGTATCAAAAAAATAAAAGAGATGAAGACCCAAACCCGGCCAGCGTTGGTGTTTGTGAGTTGAACCTTTTTCTTTTTTTTTTATTCCTTGTCGGAGGGGGAGGAGGAAGAAGATGAAGCAGCAAGACGAAGAGGAAAAAGAAAGGAAGACGAGCAAGAAGTTATCTCGGGATAATAAAGAGTAGCAAAAAAGAAAAAAAAGGTGTTTACTCGACTTGAAATACGAGGATGTTCTTGTCACTCTCGATAACTCTTGATACTTGATACTCTTCTTCTTCTTATAAAGGACATCGACGTCCGCGTCTTGCTTTCTGGCGTTGCTTTTTATAACTTGCATATACACATAAAAAGCAGTTACATGGAAGTTATACAAACATACATTATAGACGGGATGGCGGGATGACAGTTTTCTTCTTCTCCTCCTACTCTTGCTCTCTGATATTCATCTCCATCTTCTTCTTCATGATCTCATGAAAATTCTTCTGGTCCAAAAGGCTGCTCCACAGGTTAGCTGTTAGTCCACCGCTCTTCTCGCCACCCACACTATCTATCTGTTTACTATGGAGTAGCACCATCCACATAGACATACATGCATACATGCATATACGGAGTATATATATATATATATAAAATACTTATAGAAGTTCATGGGACATGAGCGTGTCATGTGATAGTGCGTGACTAAGCAGATGAAGGAGTAAGAGACAAGAAGAGACAAGAAGAGACAAGAAGAGGAACAAGAGTATAGATCAAGAAGAGACAAGAAGAGGAACAAGAGTATAGATCAGGAAGAGATCAAGAGATCAAGAGTAACAACAAGATGGGATGACAAGTATAGGCTAGAATGGATGCATGCCGGCCTACACATGCCATCCGACATTAAACTAGTTACATCCGTACATCCAGGCTGTACATAGCTCAGTCCCTGCTTGGTACCTGCAAGCTCGTTGCATGTATATACAGACGGTCACCAGAGCAGGCGGCGGGCCTTGTCCTTAGCAGCCTCCATTAAGCACCCGACCAGGTCTCATCCTTTCCACCTATCTATCGCTATCATGTCTTAATGATATATCCCTGACCGGCGTCTCGCCAAGCTCTCTGTCCAGCAACTCGCAAAAAAGGACAAGCAGAAACATCCCTCGTAATCTCGAACATAAACCGACAAAGTAACCAGAGAAAAGAGTACCATCAGAATCAAGCAGCTGTTGACAAAGATGCTCGCCCGTCGACTCCCTCGCGCGTCAAGACTCCGCGTCTGCGCCTTTCACTCCTCGCGCCCTCTCAGAGTCCAGGAGGGAGACAGCCTGCCAGACCTCGACGTCCTGACCGAGAACTCCCCCGGTAACAAGGTCAATCTGGCCGCGGAGCTCGCTGCTGGTCGGGGTCTCATCGTCGGCACGCCCGGCGCTTTCAGTACGTCGTTTCTACCTTGATCACTACCCTTTTTTTTTTTTTTTAACTGGTTAAAAACTGATGGTATATATATAGCTCCTGGATGCTCCCTGTCCCATGTGCCGGGCTTCATCAACCACCCCAACCTGAAGGATGCAGGCAAGGTCTTTGTCGTCTCCGTCAACGATGCCTTCGTGTAGGTCGTCCCCTTCGCTTAAGTAAAACTCAAGTAATATTATTCCACTTCCTTCTGACACGGCATTGAATAAAAAAAAAAACAGGACTAAGGCGTGGTCTGATTCTCTTGACCCCCAGAAGAAGAGCGGTATTCGCTTCTTGGCCGATGCCTCGGGAGCCTTCAACAAGGCCCTTGACCTGCTCTTTAGCTCGTCGCCTGTCTTTGGTAACGATAGGAGCAAGAGGTATGCTCTCGTCGTGGAGGACGGGAAGGTCAAGAAGGCCTTTGTCGAGCCCGACAACACCAGCGTAGATGGTATGTTGGTCATTCTTCCTCCCGCATCCTACCTGTTAACCACCCTGCTGACTGTATGTTTAGTATCCCGCGCTGAAAAGGTACTTGGTTGATATTATGACTTAGTCTGGAAATACAACTGTAGGACCATATGCATATCATCGATAGAACGGATGGTTAGACCCGTCTCCCGTTCTTTTTTCTTCTTCTTGTTTTCTCTATTTTCTCGTTCCCTTCTTCTCAAGAGTATGTACTTCATCTAGTATACGTATTTACTCCGAGATACTAACAGATCATCGGTACATGAGATACATATACACATGCAGCCACCTCAACTTTACTTTTACCATGCATCGGCCAACAGTAGCGTCCATGGGATGTGACATGTTCCAGCCGTCCAGAATACACCGCATAGCACCGCACAACATCTGTGAAAAATATTCCTGAACTATACAGCCCAAAAAAAAAAAAAATTCATAAAAAGCGAGGACGCAGAAAACGGGTTACTCTGATCGTCGTGGAAGCCGTGTCCTCTTTTTTTTGGGGAGGGCTGGGGGCTTATGTTTTATTTTTATTTTTATTTTTTTCGCAAGAATCAAGTATGAGAAGAAAACGGAAGAAGCTATTGTTTTGCTTTCTCCCATTGCTCGGGCGTGTAGCACTTTGGCGTCCAGGCGTGGATAGCAGCAATCTCTGCCTTGAGGGCAGAGTTCACCAGCCGGTGTCGCGCGAGCATTGTCTTGCTCTCAAACTGAGGGGAGACAATTATTGCTTGAAAGGCTTGGCCGCATCCACCTGCATACATGTAGACTCGTGCGTTAGAATGACAAATTATACACGGGCTGGAAAGTATGCAGGGTAGGACCGCATGTATGCATTACCTGAGAGATCTTCCACTTCTACATGTTGTGCCTCTAGCTTGGTGGTGAGGATGTCTTTTATTGACTGTGATGTTACGGCGGGCGCCGAGGTGGAGGCTTGCGTCTGGTCAGAAACTGGTTGCGCCATTGTCGAGGGCGATGCTCTTATAGGGCTGTTGTGGTGGAAGAGTGCGGTGCGGGTGTAGTTCGGTCTGGTGGTTGGGCTGCGAAGGGCTGGTAACGGACGGAGAGAAAGCTGACGGGCAAACATATGTCTTTTTCCTTCTTAGGAGGTGGGTGGCAGCGGTAGAAGAAGAAGTGAAGAAGAAGAGGAGCGTGAAAGAGCAGGATATAAAGCGAGTGAAGAGGAAGATGATGATAATGATGATAAAGATGGGAAAGAAAAAAAAAAGATTGGGTTGAAGATGAATGTATTACTAATTGGCGCCGGCTAGTTTTCTTTGCCGCGATGTGGGGAAAAGCGGCCGCCCCACTGGTTATGTAAGTTCCATTCGAGTTAAACAAGAAACATCATCGCATCACATCGACATCGACATCGACATCGGCATATAAAACACTAACCCTGAGCTGACTCCCGCCAATGCTTGCTGCTGCTATAAGGCAGGCTTCCAGGATGGCTACCACTTGCTCCCCGTTCTCCTCAGCGGTCGTCAGATGCATGCAGAGAATGTAGGTGGCTTCCTTATCCGCCATGGGACAGGGCTAATGCTGCTACAGTTATCCAGAATGTCTTGCAGATAAGAGCTTTGACAATACTGGCTGTTAGTATCTTCTCTCCATACTTTGTGTTGTAATAACCACTAACGTTATAATAAGTGCTTCTAGAAGCCCCGTTGAACCGCCACCGTCGGCTCAGAAACTCAGTCCTCTTAACCGTCGATCTCACCAAGGCCGTGGCAGACGAGGCAATCAGTCGTGGATATTCTATCATCATTGCATACCGTATGTCTTTGATACCCGCTCAAACCTTTCCCGAATTGCTACAAATACTACAAATGGGATGCAGAAAGCTAACGAGCTCCGGCCTGGCAGATCCAATAATATTCCGAGGTCTCAAGTCCATAACCCTCGCCAATTCGCAACAACACTCTCTTCTTCGACTAGCTCAGGAGGGAATAAGCGTATACTCACCACATACTGCCGTTGATGCAACCCCGGGAGCCATGGCAGATTGGCTGTGCCAGTGCGCCGTGCCCCCAGCCATACCTCAACCGACCATTGACACCATATACCCCAATCCTTCCCCTCCACCGGAACCTAACTTCCAAGGCGCCGGGATGGGCCGAAAACTCACATTCGACCATCAGGTTCCCCTAAATGACATACTTCAGGCCATTGCGAAGCGAGCCTTCCCCAGCTCTCCACCACAGCTTGGCTTCTCAATCGCTATCCCACAGGGTAAATCCCGAGCTGATATCAATATTATCACGGTAGCCGCATGCCCTGGCTCGGGGTCTTCGATATTGATGAAAAACGGCAGTCCAGTGGCTGACCTTCTTCTCACCGGCGAACTAAGTCACCATGACGCCCTAGCTGCTATCGAGGCGGGCTCGGTTGTGGTTACTCTTTCCCATTCTAACTCTGAACGGGGATATTTGCAATCTCACATGCGACAGGCTCTTTCTCAACAGCTGGAAGCTGAATGGCGCAAGACACGGGATGAAGCAGCAGATCACATGCGAGTCCAGGGGGAGGAAGGTAAAATTCTCAAAGAAATACTGGGCGACGACAGCCTACAGGTTAATGTCAGTGAGCAGGACAGAGATCCCTATGACGTGGTGTTTTGGAAGGATGGAAAGGAGATATGATTTCCCAACCTCATTCGTCGCTCTAATCACTTTAACATGACATATCTTGAAACACAGTACTGTACCATAAAGGATAGATAATTGCATGGATGGCGGGTAAATACCAATCTAACATCCAATCAAGCGCTTTATTCGTCTAATCATCAACTAAATCATCACATATATACATGCATCAGCTCAAGAGAACTCTAATCTCACCCGTTGTCCGCGGAAATAATGCTCTCAAGCTCCATTCCTGTTCTTCCCCAGACTCACTGTCAACGCTAGATTCCCGTCTATCCTCTTGCTTCCCATTAGCCTCGTCAGCCCCTATGATCATGCTCTCGATAAACTCAAAGTCGTTCGAGAACGCCTCGACAGCTTCCTCTGTCACACTCTTCACTAAACTGGGGCTATTTACACGTTTAAGATTATCAGTTGCATCGACTAGTGCTGCTGGTAAAAAGTCATCTAGCTGCTGGCTGATAGTGGAGAGGGCATCTGGTTGGAATTCCGGTAGACTGGCGATGGTTGCTAGGTTTGAATTGTCTGACGTGATGCCTGGGGTGAAGGGGGCCAGGGCCTGAAGTAGGGTATGTAAGCCGGACTGTTCGAGCAGGAATTCATGCTGGAACTTGTGCAGTTCGGCTCGTAGGTTGGCGAGAGTTTTGGACAGTGAACCTGAATGGGTTACAGATGCAAATTCATGTGAAGATACCGCTGCTCGAGCAGCGAGGACACAGTTGGTTCGGAATATTACTCGCGAGATGGGATCGTTCAGCGAACGGGCAGATTTCTCAGTTAGCTCCAACATTGGATCTAAGGTTGCTTGAAGGATTGGGGTGAATTTGTTATCTTCCTGGAACGCCTTGTTGATCACCTCGTGGCCGAAGGAAGAGTCATATGCTTTCATGAGCAGCTCTAAGTTCTCAATGCATTCTGTCAGGTATTCAGGCGGACTCAGATCATCCGGTGGCAAGAGACCAGCGGCATCATTTGAAGCGGCCTTGACACGATCCTGCATTAGAGATTCAAAATGTTCCATTGTGAACCGCTGTAGGGATGAGAGCGTATCTACCAGCATCGACTCGGCCCCAACGAGCTTGCTGAAGGTGGTCTCATAGAAAGCTAGGAGATTAATCACTTTATATATCGTGACTGCATCGTCGTGTCCCTGAACCACCAGCTCGACCCTTTGTTGTAGTGAGCGCGCAACTCCGCTCAGGTCTCGGGTGATAAGCTCCTTCAGCGCTTTTTGGCCATCGAATACAGGTTCTCCTTCCTCTACACGAGTCCACGGCTCACTCTTTATGCCGGCTTCCATACCCTTTGCAAGATCATCTGCATCCGAGACAAAGAGTGCTTCCAAGGCTTCTCTCTCAGAGACGGTAGCAGAATGTACCCAGGCGAGCATGTCACCAACATATCGAAGCGGATCATGGGCGGAAAATTCAATGGGTTTTGTGTTCGCATCACCTCCTTCGCTAGACAGAGCTACTGTAAGAGCATGATGAAACGCATCGGAGAGGATATATTCTCGAGCTTCGGCGAAGGAGTCAAGACAGCTATGGAAGAGGCTCGGTCTCTCCGCGAGCACTCTGATGCCCTTTCTGATTGTGCCACTGACCTGCGGATCTTCTAGGTTCAATGACTTGAACTCTTTCTGTATCCAGTTATATAGCTTCAAGAACGCGGAGTTTAGATTCTTAGAGCTTTGCCCCATGATATCTAGCCCTAACTTTTGGTTTTCGCTGCCCAGCAGAACCTCGCAGTCCTTGTGTATCTGTTTCACCCTGCTTAGGATGTGGAAGAAACGTTCATCTACTGGTCCCGCCAGAGATGTCAAAGCTTGCACATCTTCTTCGGGAAGGATAAAGTGCGTATTGAAAGCATTGAGTAGGGCCTGCTTCGTCTCCGCATCCTCCTTTTGGGCCCTTAGGGTGGACGCTTCTTCTAGCACCGGTCCGGTCTCTTGGTGTGCTATCGCAAGGCGACTTCGCATATCCTGACATATTGTATTAAGATTGGCAATGACATCGCTGATTCGAGTGAGTTGCTACATCCAAAAAAGAGGTTCATCAGTTTAGCTTATTGTACAAGGATAACGTGGGCTATCTCACCTCTGCAACCCTGCCAAAATCCTGTATTATCTTGCCATTGGAGTCGATGACTTCTTTCTGGACATCAAGTCGAAGGGTTCGTCGAGTCTCTGCGGTGTTTTGAATCCCTCTACTATCTAGAGTCTCTAGGGCATCTCTGATCTCCGAATCCGCATAAGATGCTGACAGCGCGGAGTTCAGACGATTGGCCAGCGCCGTCTGTCGCGGAGGTACATTCGTACCAGGTACTGGTGGCGACATCATGCCATTTGGAGACAAGGTGGCAGCAGCAGCCCCATCGGAACGAAGAGCAGCCATCCTGGTAGCCAAAGCTATCTATATCTCAACCTCTCAACTCTGGCCGTCTCTTTGGCGGTTTTTCCAAATATTGCCCGGGACGTCATTTATCCGCATGTGGTTACCGGTTTACGTAATCAAACCCACTCAACCCAACTTCAACCTTGCGTTTGCTTTTGAAGCTCTTCACCACCAATCAACCTTCTCTGCTATACCCTGACATCATGACATATAGGTACTTTTTCTTAGTTTGATTTTATGCTGGGATTCTTCCAAGGCAGCAGTATGCTTTCTAACTTTAGCACATACGACGTACAACCAAAAAATCTCTACCTTTCGGATTAAAGTCATCCGCGATTGGATCACGCTAATGAACCTGAGATACCCCTCAATGTTGCGACGGCTGTTCCGTTATTAAGCCCTTAAGACGGGATGGGTGTATACTGTGTCTTGGTTAGGCTGGGAAACTATATGAGAGAATGATCAAGATGATGCCGGGCTTAATTGATATGCGGCTACTTGAGATCTCAACGTAAAATCAAGGCAGAAAACTAAATCTGCGAACTTCCTCTGGATGCATACCACATGAGATTTTCCGCCGGCCGCTACCTAGACCACGGAATAGAAAAAAAAGAGTTATAGGGTACAAGGGGTTATCCCAGTGGTGATTTCCTGTTTTCCGAGCTCCTCCTACCATAACAGCTCTTCTTGCAAGGCCCTTTGGACCCCGGAAACAGAATTTTGGAAGATGAACCTCTGTTCAATGCCTTTTGTCCCTTTTAAGGAGCCTGATGATGGTGAAATATATAGTAACTGTGCATTAAAGTATATTCATGAACTAATTGGTATTTCAACACTTATAGGCGATGAAAGGTATGTTCGTTCAACCTTCATATAACTATCCCAAAAAGAACAATCCGCGGACCGATGCGCCATATAGGGTTCATCCTCTTTACTCGCTCTTGCCCATCCCGAGGGCACCCTTGACCTTTTCGCCGCTGTGAATATGTGTCAGCATGGAGCCTGCGGCTTTCTCGAGGGCAATTGGCTGCTTACATGGTCTGGGCAGCACCACCGTTGTTGTTATCATGGGCACGCTGACCCTTGTCGAAAATTTGCTGGGCAGTGCCCTTTTGGTCATCAGGCTGAAGGCCACTGATGAATAAATTAGCCCAATGCACCACGGCTAAGGGTGGAATAATTTGATGGAACATACCGAGCGATGCGGTCCTTGGTGTCAGTGTAAGCCTCCCCGATCTTGTCCTGCTGGGACTTGGTGGAATCAGGAATCAATTCCTCCTTGGCCTCTGTAGACTAGCAGTTAGAAGAGGTCATGTGTGCTTTTATCAGAGGAAGACATACTGGTAAGGAAATCTTTGCGTCCAGCGTCAGACATTGTGAATGATGTTTTTTAAAAGAAGAAGCTTCTTTATATTTGAGTCGTTTGTGAAGATTGGAAGATTGGAAGATTGGCAGTAGATTGAATATCTGTGGTGATGAAGAAAAAACGATGCCATGTCAGGAACCTCGACGACCTTTATATAGACCTCACGATCGGGCCAGATTGAGTGAAATCTTAAAAATGACGTACACAGCACTCGCATCTTGAACTGAACACTGCCTTTCCCAAAGCCTGTATCCAAGGGTATGACAAGCATTAGATGGATGCCTGTCGGTGGAGAGCTCGCGTTTTCCCTTTCTTGACATCCTGGGCGGGACGAAAAAAAAAGTTCAGATGACGTCACATACGGTTACTTCTCACGTGTTATTGCCAAGATACTACCTATTAGTCATACTCTTGCATCATAGTTTCTCCGCAAACCGAACGCCGAGGTTCCATTTTGGGTCAAAGACAAAAAACGGTCCGTGAGCTCCACCGACAACGACATCATCAAGTTCTTTGCAGCGTCATTCTCTATTCCATCGTCAACACCACCAACAGGCCTCAGCGACATGGCGTCTACCCAGACCCGTTTATGACGAGTACTCTTGTCATTATTTTCTTTATTCGTGCAAAGTATTTTTTTCAACCCTAGTTTCTATTGTCCGGCCACCCTCTGGCACCCTGCTGCCTGCTTGTTACCTCCCCACCACCGCCAACATTTGCCGTCACATTTCCCGCTACGATAATTTTTTACATTGGCCCCCCCGCGACGGGCCGCGCACCTCTCCAATAACTCCTCTATAGTTCTGGCTGTTAATGTCTGTCCCTGACACCTCGCCGCCTTCCTGGGATCTGACCCCGGCTATCAGCCTGTTACACTCGTTTAACCTGGAAGGCAGTCGCCATGAACGCCCCTCTAGCCCGGACCAGATCGCAAGCGGCCCTATCAGTCATAGCACGTTGGCGTCCGCTGCTATAGATGCCGTAAAAAGTGATCCACACCCTCAGCTTGGAGACTTTGACGTCCTCTTTACATTCTTATCCCAGGCCTCGCCACCGAAGCTTGGCCTTGACACGGGTCACGAAAAGGCTTGCGATATCAGTGGCAAGAAGAATATGCTAGAAAATGTCACAGTGTTGAAGCATAAGAAAAAAGAGACTCAGGCTAAGAAGACAATACTCAAACGAGATGCCGCCAAGAACTTCCAACCTCAGCAGCCCAGCAATTCCCCGGGATTGCCACTATCAACTGATGCCAGTGGCACCGTTATACTGTCGCCTGAATGCATTCTTCGCAGGCCTACTCCTGCTCCTATACCTGAAGTTGCTCCTACCCCTAAGGGGAAGAGGACTGTTGGGTCTATGGTTCATGTCGAGCCTCTCTTGACTGGATCTACAACGCAAAGGCTACAGGGCCTTGTCTCGTTACTGCTTGAGAAACATACCAAAGTTAGAAATAACCTACACCATGGGAATCTACGTGAATACCTCTGCTACCCACTGAAGACGGCGCCTGCAGGTATTCACGTATTCGTAGATATGTCGAATGTAAGTTGTATTTTGACTCTTATCATTAAAGCTTATTCTGACCACTCTTGCAGATCATGGTGGGTTTTCACGATTGTATCAAGAAGGCAAGAGACATACCTCTGACGACCCGAGTTCGTCGACTTCCCCTATCTTTTCAGAACTTTTCCCTCGTGCTCGAACGAGCCCGCCCGGTGAGCAAAAGAGTCCTTGTTGGCTCTGATCGCTTTCCTGCCATCGACGAAGCAGAGACGCTTGGTTACGAGGCGAACATTTTAGAACGAGTCCACAAAGCGAAACCTTCATCGCCGCGAAAGACGAAACTCTCCAGCAGTGGTGGAGATAAGGCTGTCCGCCGCCCACTCCATGATCAGTCGAGCAGCTCTGAGACGAATGCCCGACTCCCAGTCGAGAGATGGGTGGAACAAGCCGTAGACGAGATTCTACATTTGAAGATCCTAGAGAGTATCGTGGATACCGATACTCCCTCGACTATCGTCCTGGCGACTGGCGACGCCGCCCAGGCAGAATATTCAGATGGATTTTTGAAGATGGTTGAACGTGCATTGAGCAAGGGATGGTTTGTCGAGCTGGTTAGTTTCAGCTCGATTACCAGCCGTGCTTACACGCGGAAAGCATTCCGGGACAAATGGGGTTCTAGATTTCGGATTTTCGAGCTTGACATCTATGCTGAATATCTGCTAGATCTATGATATTTACACACACCCGCGTTCTCCCCTTGTTCCTAGTTCTCAAACACGTTTTCATCCCTGCTGCATAAGCAAACTGGTGTTCCTGGTAAAACAGGAGGCCAGTCTGTTTCATCACGGGTTTAGCCGTGGTTGTAGGGCCACGTTGATGCAGGACTTTCGGACTTCTCCTTTATAGCAAGGGACTTTTCCATGGGTAGGGATATAATATCAGGTGAAGATTGGTTACCGCTAGGCTTACTCCGAATGGGGTAATTCTCCGCGTGTAATATTAGTTTTCCAACTACGGAACTGCTAATTAGTCCTTGACATTTGACTATTCTCTTTTCAACCGTGTACATGGATGGTCATTAATAAAGCCTTCCTAGTAGTAGCTCAGCAAATCCTACATAGTATACATATCGAATATCTGTTTCCTCTACATACAACTCCGTATTCATGAGCCTCCCCCTGTCGAGACCTCGCCTGTCATTATACATTATGCAAGCATTAGATATTCTCATGCATCTTCCTTGCCAACTGCCTGTAAATTAAATTAATACTCTGTATGAAGGGAATACGCCAACAAAGATCAACGAAGCCCCAAACCCAGGAATTGCTATTGTAGGCATACCGAAAACAAGCACGCTGGAGGTGCAGTAAAAATACCTTGCGCAAATTTCACATCTGTCTAGCATTAGACTGTTGCCTGCTGCCTGCTGCATGCTAGCTGTTATAGATTAGGATTACACCCCGTCCGACCAATACCTATCTTGCTTTCCCGTCCAATCGGCCGTCAGACGGTGACGGAACAGCTCCTGACCCTCAATAAACCGCGGTTTATGTGCGGTGTTAGAGCCACCAGCCCTGCGCTCTGGTCTCAAGAATGCTCGGTTGCGCATCTGCCTTGGGCTCTGCAAGAAGCCAATGTGAAAATAAGAGAATAACTTATGTATCCCTTTATTCCGCGGCCGCTCTGGACTCCACTTTCTATCCTCTATCAGGTGTAATGACCGAGATGAAGAGGCTGATGCGTGGAGTTTGGAGCATTTCCAATCTTTCTGACAAATATAAAGTAGTTTGATAGTTATGGAAAACCTTCTAAAAGACTTTTATATAAAGGCTTGTTCTCTACCTCTAATCTTCTCGTTTGCAGACTCCAGGCTGATCGAATCACCTTTTTGTCCTGTCTGTTAACCTGTCGAGCTCTTCTTTGGAGCTTTGTGTGTCTTTTGCTTCTTACTTTTTCAGAGATGGAGGAGGCTGGCAATGGATATGCCCTTACTGAGTTGTATGGCGGGGCGATGAAAGTCCTGATACCAAAGGGATTCACAAACATGGGGTAAGATATAATTCGTTTTATCATTCTTTTTATTCCCCTTCTTCTCTATATTGCTTTTATATATAATTTGATCACTGCTGTTGCATCTTGCGCCGCTGCATTCTCCCCGCGGCGGGGCTGCTACCATGGCCTCGAGTGGACATGATATATGTTCAAATATGAGCAACGACGGCATCAATCAACGCACACAAGAGACATCCTGCTAAGAACGACGGACTCAATCCATTAAAAGGTCCATCTATCCAATCCCAGATAACCAGGAAGTCTTCCGATCCACCTCAACAAAGACCAACATCATCATCGAGCTGGTTGAACGACTAGAACCAGACTCATGTACTCTACCAGAAGAGACGGCAGCTCAGTTGGAAACCTTAGATGCCAATAAAGATGACCTAAGTGCCGTCTTATATCATCTCCATGATATGTGCACCTCCAACGGGGACAGTTATGAGATTCTCGACTCGCCAAAGCCGTACCCTGTCCAATTGATACCGGCACCAGCATATACCTGCCAGGCACTGGTAACATCGAAAGGGAAATTTTCCGATAGCCAGCGTATGCCAAACATGCTATCACAAAATGCGGGACCAACGCCATCATCTGGTTTAACAGCTGCTGCGCCGGCGGCCGAACGTGAATCAACGTCTACTTGTCACTTCTTCCTTGTACGGCTCGCTCAGTACGGTACTGATATACTCGTTTATATCAACGTTCCTCACGACATGCTTGAGGAATCTGGGGTTCCCGGTGCGGTTGCCCAGGAGGAGATGCGCGCCCATGGAATCATGGCCAACATGATGCGGTCCCTGGGAGTGGTTGATTATAGTCTCTTCGGGAGTTAACTGTGCAACATATCCACATTATGAACACCACTTATTAGTCGTTTCAACTTTGGCAATAAGGAATACAGGGACGGAGACAGGAAAAGCGTATTATCACAAAGAATCAAAAGGAATCAACCAAATGTATATTAACGTAAGAAATCAACATCTTATGATTTATTCCCTTTCCCTTTTCATTTTACTCTCTCCCAGGGGTGTTCGGTACTTTACTTGAATTCTTGAAAAATATCTGGTACGACTACAACAAGACGTGGATAAGGAAATGGCTGGTTAAATTTGGTATATATTTGATTGAGAAAGGGCCTTATTCTACCAGATCACACAAAATACCTTAAAACAGAGGAATCCAACAACTCCAGTAAAATGCTCCAGTAGAGAACACTGCACGCCCGCCACCTCCAAGCCTTTTCAAAAACATTTCAGATTCTCGTTATCCCGTTCTCTACGCCTTTGCTTTGCCTCTTGGTTTTGGTTTAACCTGGGATAACTGCCCATCGTAACACTTCCCGCATCGAACTTTGGCTGGGTCAATGCTCTTCGAGTGCCGGCCATACTCTTGTCCACATGTCTCACAGCACCACATGTACTTGTAATTGATCAAGTATGAGTGTTTCGTGTTAACCTCCACTTTTCCGGAGTATTCTGGGTTAGAGTCCAGTGCTGTCTTGCACTTCTTAGCCCACTGTTTAAAACTTGCGCCATGTGGCTGGTTGAGAACACCTGATATCATGAAGTTGGCTAAGTGGCAGTACTCATGCGCCAGAGTGTTAAGCAGTCTGTCCTCTGAGTCGATTACCTTCTCAGCCAGTTCAATGGTTGCATTATGCCTGATTGAGCGAGTGGTTGAAGAACGCTTTGAAGATGGTGAGAGTTTTGGTTTAGCCAATGAGTTAATTGCCGATGGTGCGTGTGGTGAGGACGTATTTGGAGAACAGAGATTCGCCGAAGAAGAGCCAATGAGCTGTTGCTCGGTTGAATCTCTAGTCTTCGTGATCAGCTCCTTTTTCCAAGTTGCTCTGCCGGCTGTGGTTGCCAATTTATTATTCCAAACAATATTCACACCACCAGCCGATTTGGTGAGTTTCAAGATTTCACCTCCAGTCACCATGTTATCCAACTTGTTGAAGAAATCTGTAGCAAGTGCATGCTTCTGCTCATCGAATTCCCGCCTTTTAGCGGCCAATGCTTTTTTGGTCGATGCTGATGCTTTGGTTTGTTTCTTACTTGGGCTAGCATTATTTTTAATTGGGGAAGTATGTAGCGGTAGCTTGTCACCCAGGGAATCAGGATCAGGGGTGCCTAAATGTTTCGGAATAGAAACATCTGCAATCATACAGTCGTCATCCTGATTACCAAGGCTTTGGTCCTCCTCGTCGTCGTCTTCATCGGTGTCCGAGAAAATGTCGAAATGTCGTCTGTGAAACTTAGGAGTTTGCGTCTTTCGAGGAGAAAATTTGTCGTTCCACTGGTTGACAACCTCCTGGCTCCAAAACATATCAATGCTAGGCCTATGTGGGGATGGAGGAATACGATTCTTCTGTGACTTCGAAGGAGACTTAAGGCGAGGTTTTGAAGGGGATGTCGGAGGGGTAACGAAACCCATCTGGGAATTCCTTTCCTGAGGAGGCTCTGGAGAAGGCTGGGTTGTTCTATTTGCAGTGTTAGAATGAAGAATCTCAACTAAAAAAAGTTATTATCAAAGGCAAACGCCTTACCCTTGAGATGAATTTTTGGCTCTTTTGCCCATTTTCTTGGTAGGGGTCAAGTCCATAGGGGCTTTGTTTTGATTTTTGAAGTCTTCTGAAGCTGTAGAAGATATTGGAGGTGGGAGGAAGAGTTTGAAGTCCGATAGCAGATCTGTTGTGATGTCTGTATCTGGTCCTGTCTCCTCTTGACCTGCAGGACAAGTTGTGTTGTTCTCTATATTGGAAGACAACAATGGCTCTGCACTAGGACCTGGGGTATTTTCAGCTATGTCGCAAGTTCCATTACCTAGAGCATGCGGTGAGCTTGAGCAGGTTGGTTTTCTCCTGCCTCTAATCAGCCTCCTGCGTGGCCGACTTTGTGGCTCTGGCTCTGGTTCTGTGTCTGAATTTAGATGTGTCTGGCTAGGGGGATGAGTTTTAACATTCTCTTTCAGGTCCTCCTTATAATCATTACCATCCTCTTCTTCTTCGTCTTCAAATTCTGAATCTTCATAGAGGCCCAAAGATTCATTATCAGAAACGATAAAATCATCCAATGAATCAAATCCATCGGTATCATCTGCATCAGTGGGCCCAATGATACTTTCTTCTCCTTGGCCTTCACTGTCGCTAGATCTTCTTCCAGGAAGGCTAGATATATATTTAATCCCCCCCTTTTTGACATTCTGGACTCTGTCCTCAGCTTTGTCAGATATATTGTTCTCTGTTTCCTTTTCCTCATCTGAATGGCAAACCCCCTGGAGCCTTAGTTGAGTAAGCCTTCTAACCACATCTTCCTCATCACCGCGCTCTAGATTAACCCCTCCTGCTGGCTGCACCTTTTTGTTCCTTTTAGAAGTCAAGGATAGATCAGATAGCTGGGCTGTCAACTTCTCCTGGTCATCAATGTGTTCCTGAGACTTGGTGGTCCGTCTAGTGCTGTCCTCGCTCCCGCTCTGCTTTTTCCTCCCGCCTGTGTTCCTGGATGGCAACTCGTCTTCCGTCCCATCGTTCCCAGCTGCAACTGTATCTTTTACACTCTCCTTGGCTCTGCTTCTAACATTTGTCTTCCCAACTCTACTCTCATCGTTTGGTTTTGTATATAGTCTTGCCATAATGTCCAAGTTTGGGTATTTGACCGACTGATGGTATAAGGAGGCAATATGGAAGGGGATAGATCAAGTGCTCCAGGTTAGAATCTCATCAGGCATAAACAGGAGATTTCCGGATATCTAGAGTCGATTGGATCAGCTGGTCGATTCTTCAGCGTCACAAGTTTTTGGAAGATGGAGTTCTGTGAAGTAAGCTGTTGGCTGGGCAACGAAGCGCATTTAAGCTTCTTTCAACCACCGAAAAGAATTCATACGTTCTCGCCAGCTACGCGGGAGGTTTCCTTTAATTATTTAACCCTGGCAATTTAACGCGCCTAAAGCCTATATATATGTATTATAGAAAGTAAAATTGGTACAAGGAAAAACTGATCAATTTATCTGTCTGTTAGGACTTCCCGTAACGTATAAGAGGGAGTTTTTCATCATTATTACAAACTCATAGAGAAAGTGATGGGAATCAAGTACAAGCTACGGTACGTACAGGTGGTGTAGCGGGAGGGAAAAAGAACGACCCAGTGTGAGCATTAAGAAAGGGAAGGGAAAAAGGGAATCAATCAGTGCAAGGAAGAGCAAAGAGGGCAAAAGACAAAGAACAAGTCAGCAGTCTGATGGATATGGACAACGGTAAGGCTCATGTATTATTGATATCTATGGTTCGGAGAACAGGAGTGCTTTTTTACCACTGGTTTATATCAAGATCATTCCAGCGCCAGCAAGAACGGCACAGAAGAGGTAAGCACCGAGCTTGACAATGCCGAAGTTGATGGCTGGAGCGGGGATAGTGTTAGCAGCAGCACCAGAGGAGGTGGAGCCGCCACTCTGGGGGCTGGAGGTGACGCTTCCGGTACCGTCTGAGCCGGCCTGGTTAACGAGATTGGCACAGTCACCGGATGGCTTTTCGGACTTCTGGGTGGTGGCGGCACCGTCGAAGTCACAGGCGGTATCACCGTGGCCCTTGGCGGATTGGTGCTGATAGTACTGGTTGAAAGCGAAGGAGAGCTTCTCGATGGGGCTGCACATGCTGTAAGCGCCGTAGACACCGAGAGTGGCATCGGTGTCGATGCCCTTGCAGGCAGTCTTGTCGGCACCACAGACTTCTCCAAAGAGCTGGCCGATTTGCTTGTCGGTGATGGAGGGTTTGGCGATGCAGCTTAAGCTCTTGACCATGCAGGAGCAGAGGGCCTTGTTAGGGGTTGGTGGAAGATGGTCGCTGCTGGCCTTCCAGGCAGAGCTGTTGGGGCACTGGCTGGCAGCAGTGTTGGTAGGCTTGTAAGCGTTCATTTCCACGCCGGAAGGCTTAACCTTGCTGATTTGCTTCTTTAGGTTGTCGAAATCGGTAAGCTTCTTGGCCTTCCCGTTCTGAACCTGGACGAGACCTGTTTGGAGGAGTCAGTAAGAGATAATTGTAGCATGCCGCAAACCGGAAGGAACACGGCTTACCGTAGTCATTGGCTTCCTGGAAGTACATGTAGACAATAGCACCGCTGAGAACTGGGGTCATCTGGTCACCGTAGATGGCGGCGACCTCGGTGAACTTTCTAGGCTGGACCTTGTTGCAGCCATATTCAGCGAAGAAGACTGGAACGTTGAAGTTCTTGAAGTCCTTTACGACAACATCGTATCCGGAGGTGGTGTAAGAGGAATCTCCGCACCAGGAGTAGATGTTGTAGCCCCAGAAGTCAATGGACTCCTCTGGCTTTCCACAGTTGAAGTAGGCAGTCATGTCGTCACGGATCTCGGCGTCATCGTTGGTGGCATATCCAACACCCATGGGGCGGTACTTCTTCGACTTGATGTAGGCCTTCATATCACGGACGGCAGCCTTGACGAAAGCACTGGCATCGGTGTTGGTGCTGTTGTTAGAGACCTCGTTACCGGCGAAGAAACCGATGACGTTGGAGTAGGGTGCAAGGTTGTCGATGACGGAGGTGTAGCGCTCGTAGAGGACATCATCCCACTTGGGATCATCACGAATGATGGACTTGCTGGGTTCCGAGAGATCTGCCACGATGTAGATGCCGGCATCCTGGAGCATCTTCATACACTGGGTGTGGTCCTTCTTTGGGTCGATAGCATACACACGAATGGTGTTGGTTTGAAGTTCTTGCATGAGGGGGATATCGCGCTTGCAGGAATCTGCGTCTGCGAGGGGGTCTTGATAGCTTTGATTATCGCTGGTGCCGTCATTGCCGGTGTAGTCCTCTATACAGGCATGAGTTGGTTTGATGTTGGTGCAAATGATAATGTGACTTCTGGACGCTGTCTCCTACTTACGTTGATAGGCAACACCCTTCATGAAGCTATATATCCGTTGAATTAGCAAACTGATGCCAAGTTAAACGATGTAGGACAACATACAACTCGGTGCCATTTGACTTGTAGAAGAACTTGCTTCCCTATTGTTCGAGATATCAAAGTCAGTCCCCTGGACCTTCAAGTCAACGAAAAAAACGGCGACAAACCTTGATGACGATGGGATCAAGGTCAGCAGCAACAACAGAGCCGGCGACCAGGGCCGTAGCGGCCATGATAGAGGAAAACTTCATGATATCTAAAGCACGATCTTAAATGCGCATTTAACGAGGAAGATATAAAACAGAGAATAAAAAGCGAGAGTAGCAATGGGGGCAACAAAAAAAAAAAGAGCGTTACGAAAAAAAAAGTAGACGCCCCGGAGAATAACGCGAACGAGTGTAAGGAAGAAGATGGTTGAAGATGGGTGAATGTTTTGTTTCTGAAACGGGGAAAAAAGAGAGAAGAAGTTGAGTTGATGGTTGGAGATGGAGAAAAAAGTCACGTTGGCGGCTTTTCCAGGGGGTTGCGTGGACGGCTTCTTCGGCTTCCTCCTCGGAAAAGGGGGGGCGACTCCTGAAACAACCCAGAGCATGAGCGAGAGGAGGATGATTTACATGTAGGCGCATTCTACTGGTCTACAGACTACATAGTACTATGTGCCGTCTACGGGATGTTTGTTCTTTGGAAAGACGGCTTGACCTGAGAGACGCGTGGGAGATGTCTGACGAGACGCCTGACGAGAGACAGCCGGTCAAGACAACAGCGAGACAGGCAAGACACACGAGAGACACCAGAGGCAGTGAGACTAGTACTTATATATGCTGACGACGACGTCGACAGGTCGACCACTGCCCGCTCTGGACCCTCGAAAAAGAAGAACCCGACTACTGCAGGCACCGCCACACGCTGGAGACAGATGGAGACCATGAACCACGGTGGCAAAGAGCGGCCAGCCAGCAAGGAAGAGCGTACGACGCCCCTCCGAGCCTTGAAATGTCAAACACCCCACCTCATTCTGGGATTGTGAGACACTGGTGGAGGCCCCAGGACAGACGTGAGGGCGGTTCTGGAGGATGTAATACGGCTCGATTACAGCATAGATGTTTCCTTACGGGGAATATATTAAATATTACGGGTCCGTGGTCCAGCAAAGGTGTTTATTTCCCTTGACCAAACCCCGGGTCGAAGGATGGGAACAGAGAAAGACTGCGAAAAAGAGGAAAGAAAAGAGAGAGTGAGAGGAAAAAGCAAAAAAGGAGCAACACATCCACGACCCAGGCTGGCAAGATCTGGCGGTGGGCCGATGTATCGCAATCCCCAGTGATGGCCCTTCTCTGCACGAAGAAGTTGGATAATCCGGATGCAGGCTGAACTAAGGTGGCAAGTTAACCGAAATGGCCATCTTCGTGGCACAATGTGTACTCCATATACGTACATACACGGCTATCAGTCCACCAGGAGCCAAAAGCCCATTCACCCATAGATGTATGCCCTGTACATAGTACAGACTAGTCCAAGGCTATGCTGATAGCTTCCCGAAGCGCCCTGGCCCTTCTCCCTTGCATCCATCTCGGCCACTGCAGGCAGGGGACTCACCAGCCTCGAGCCCAGCGTGGCCTGCGCCATCCAAGGAAATCATCCAGGAGGAGTCGGTGGGCCAGGGGGAAACCATCATGGAAGGCTTGCCAGAGCTAAGGGGGCCGCCATCTTGGTTGGCTGGGGATCTCTCGCCCCTGTATCATTGCCCGTGTATTAGTATTTCACTGACAATACCGCGCTTTTGGCGGGGTATGTATGTATTATTACGTTTTATATAGATATCGTATTGTGGATACACAGTAATCAAGCATAAATACACGATTAGATCAAGGGAAAAAAGCGCCTGCTCGTAATTTTACCGCTTTTACTTTTTTTTCTTTTTCATCTTCTCAAAAAAAAGTTGACCAAGAGGAAGAATCGACGAAGAAACGCCCATGGAAGAACGACGGGAGGGCAAGAATTAAGAATCAAGTCCTCAGGAACGAAACAGAAGAAGAAGAAAATACACCAAAAAAAAAATAATAAAAAAAAAAATCTCCTGCAGGCTGATCGTCGACACGTCAAATCTCCTGCTTTTTTTTTTTTTCGCTCTCTTCCCGCCCTTTTTTCCTTCTCTCCCCTTCCTCTCCTCCTCGCCTCTTCCTTTCTTCCCTCGCACAAAGTCACTCGTTTTTGCACTTGAGCCTGTCTCCTCTGCAACGAGTTATCCTGACGCTCTTTTCTTTTCGATCTTCTCTCTGCTGGTTGGAAGAGTGAGAGTTTCGACTGCTCGTCAAAAGTGGTCGTACTTGCTCTCAGGAGAGCCGCAACGCCCAAAAAAACAACCTCCAACCTCGACAAGGCCAAAAAAAAAAAAAAAAAAAAAAAAAAACAACCAACATTCACGACAGGCGAAAAGACTGAAGGGAGAAGAAGAGACAGAGGAACAATACTAGCTGCATACAATCGCTTGTTTAAGACCTCGAAAATTCTCGTTTTTTAGCGAACTTGTTTTTTTACGACTCTTGTTCTTCACGTCGCGATATCTCGTCTCTGCGTACCACCCCGTTTAGTCAACTACTCCTTTGAATGAGCTATCAAGTCAACTGTATGGATACCTGTTAAGGTGAGTCGGCCTCTTTGTATCCGTCAGTTCCGAGAGAAGAAGAATAAATACTAAGTGATTTGTTCAGTTTGTGATTGTGAACTGAACCATCGATCTCACGATGTCTGGCCACCCGCACCCTCAGGGTGCCCAGCAGGACCACTATGACGATGGCTACGGCGGCCACGGCGGCCACGGACACGGCCAGGGCGATGCCTACTACCACGACCAGCAAGGAGGAGCATACTACGACCAATATGATTATCCCCAAGGCCAGCACCAACAGGGTGATGGCTACTATGACAGAGCGTAAGTGGATGATATCAATTCTTCCCCTCCGTCCATTTGAAACCCCGTAGTTTTGAATTAGTCGGGTCATTAATTGAAATGGCATTGCTCCAAGTGATCATTACAGTGGCGATCCTCAGCACTATCCTCAGGATGGCTACTACGACAACAACCAACAGTACTACCAGGACGACTACTACGACAACCAGTACTATGATCAAGGAGCGGGGGACCACAACCAGGGTCGTGGAAGACGTCGCCCACATGACTCGGAGGAAGACTCGGAGACGTTCAGTGACTTCACCATGAGGTCTGATGCCCGTGGTGGTGACGGCGAGTACTATGGCCGTGGTGATGAACGATACAACAGCTACAGCGAGAGCCAGATGGGAGGACGAGGCTACCGACCCCCGTCTTCTCAGATTTCCTACGGCAATCGATCGTCCGGAGCTGCTACCCCCATCTACGGAACTGATGCTCTCCCAATGGGCCAAAGATCCCGCGAGCCATACCCTGCCTGGACCTCTGACGCTCAGATCCCGCTCTCGAAGGAGGAGATCGAAGAGATCTTTTTGGACTTGGTCAATAAATTCGGTTTCCAGCGTGACAGCATGCGTAACATGTATGATCATTTCATGGTACAGCTCGACTCGAGAGCTTCCCGCATGACTCCCAACCAGGCCCTGCTCTCCCTCCACGCCGACTACATTGGTGGTGAAAATGCCAACTACCGTCGTTGGTACTTTGCCGCCCATCTTGACCTTGACGACGCTGTTGGATTTGCCAACATGAAACTTGGAAAGACCAACAGGCGTACTCGAAAAGCCAGAAAGGCCGCCAAGAAGAAAGGCGGAGATGAGCAGAAGGATGAGGCCGAGACGTTGGAATCTCTAGAAGGCGATAACAGTCTCGAGGCTGCGGAGTACCGATGGAAGACCAGGATGAACCGCATGTCTCAGCATGACAGAGCCCGCCAGATTGCTCTATACCTGCTCTGCTGGGGTGAAGCTAACCAAACCCGATTCATGCCCGAATGTCTCTGCTTCATCTTCAAGTGCGCCGATGACTATCTGCGCTCTCCCGAATGTCAGAATCGTGTTGAGCCTGTTCCGGAGTTCACCTACCTTAATGATATTATCACTCCATTGTACCAGTACTGCCGTGATCAGGGTTACGAAATTGTCGATGGCAAATATGTCCGCCGTGAACGTGATCATGCCCAGATTATTGGTTACGATGACTGCAACCAGCTGTTCTGGTACCCAGAAGGCATTGAGCGCATCGTCTTGGAGGACAAGACTCGCTTGGTTGACGTTCCACCAGCTGAACGATGGAACAAGCTCAAGGATGTCAACTGGAAAAAGGTGTTCTTCAAGACTTACAAGGAAACCCGCTCCTGGTTCCACATGGTGGTCAACTTCAACCGTATCTGGATCATTCACGTCACTGCTTTCTGGTTCTACACTGCCTACAACTCTCAGTCTCTCTACACCAAGGGCTATACACAGCAAGAAAATCAATCCCCACCAGCTGCTGCCATCTGGTCTGCTGTGGGTCTTGGTGGTGCCATTGCTGCTTTTATTAATGTCTGGGCTACACTCGCTGAATGGTGCTATGTTCCTCGCCAATGGGCCGGAGCACAGCATCTGTCAAAACGACTTCTTTTCCTGCTTGCTGTGTTCGCTGTCAATCTTGGACCCAGTGTTTACGTCTTCTTCATCAGTAAGGATGCAGGCAAAGATAAGATCGCGCTCGCTCTCGGAATTGCCCAATTTTTCATTGCCTTGATCACGTTCGTCTTCTTCTCAGTAATGCCACTTGGCGGCCTCTTTGGAAGTTATCTTAAGAGAAACTCTCGCCAATACGTTGCTAGTCAGACATTCACTGCAAGCTACCCTCGACTCAAGGGCAATGATAGATGGATGTCCTACGGACTATGGGTTTGCGTCTTCGGAGCCAAACTTGGCGAGTCTTATGTCTTCTTGACTCTTTCGCTGAAAGATCCAATCCGAATTCTGTCGAACACGAAGATCGGTATCTGCCATGGTGATGAGATATTGAAGGATCTTCTTTGCAAGTACCAGCCACAAATCCTCCTTGGACTCATGTTCTTCACTGATCTAGTCTTGTTCTTTTTGGATACCTATCTGTGGTACATTATCTTGAACGCAATCTTCTCCGTTGCGCGATCTTTCTACCTCGGTGTTTCGATTTGGACACCCTGGAGAAACATTTTCTCCCGTCTACCCAAGCGTATCTATTCCAAGGTCCTTGCCACCACGGATATGGAGATCAAGTATAAGCCCAAGGTTCTTATCTCGCAGGTGTGGAATGCCGTTGTCATTTCTATGTATAGGGAGCATCTCCTTGCCATCGACCACGTTCAAAAGCTACTCTACCACCAGGTCCCATCCGAGCAGGAAGGAAAGCGTACTCTCCGAGCACCAACTTTCTTCGTTTCACAGGAAGATCACTCCTTCAAGACCGAGTTCTTCCCACCTCTTAGCGAAGCTGAACGCCGTATTTCTTTCTTTGCTCAGTCTCTGTCTACTCCAATTCCTGAACCCGTCCCTGTCGATAACATGCCAACTTTCACTGTTTTGATTCCCCATTACGGTGAAAAGATTCTCTTGTCCCTCCGTGAGATTATTCGTGAAGATGAGCCATACTCTCGTGTTACCCTGTTGGAATATCTCAAGCAATTGCACCCACACGAATGGGACTGCTTCGTCAAGGACACCAAGATTCTAGCTGATGAGACCTCCCAGTTCAATGGAGATGACGAGAAGAATGCTAAGGATGCCCAGAAAAGCAAGATTAACGATCTTCCATTCTACTGCATTGGTTTCAAGTCTGCCGCTCCTGAGTATACCCTCCGAACACGTATTTGGGCTTCCCTCCGTTCTCAAACTCTTTACCGCACCATTTCTGGATTTATGAACTACAGCCGTGCTATCAAACTGTTATATCGTGTTGAGAATCCCGAAGTTGTCCAAATGTTTGGTGGTAACTCTGATAAACTAGAACGTGAACTTGAGCGCATGGCTCGCCGCAAATTCAAGATTTGTGTTTCCATGCAGCGTTTTGCCAAGTTTAACAAGGAGGAACGTGAAAATACCGAGTTCTTGCTTCGCGCCTACCCAGACCTTCAGATCGCTTATCTGGATGAAGAACCCCCGGTTAATGAAGGTGAAGAACCAAGACTGTTCTCTGCTCTTATCGACGGACACTCTGAGATCCTGGAAAATGGGCTTCGACGACCTAAGTTCAGAGTCCAGCTCTCTGGTAACCCGATTCTTGGTGATGGAAAGTCTGATAACCAGAATCACGCGATTATCTTCTACCGTGGTGAATACATTCAGCTTATCGATGCCAACCAGGACAATTATTTGGAAGAATGCCTGAAGATTAGAAGTGTGCTTGCTGAGTTTGAAGAAATGACCACTGAGAATATCTCCCCATATACCCCAGGCCTGCCACCAGTGAACTTTGACCCCGTTGCCATTCTCGGAGCTCGTGAATATATTTTCTCTGAAAACATTGGTATTCTCGGTGACGTTGCTGCTGGAAAGGAACAAACATTCGGTACTCTCTTCGCTCGTACTCTTGCTCAGATCGGTGGCAAGCTGCATTATGGACATCCTGATTTCCTGAACGCTATCTTCATGAATACCCGTGGTGGAGTTTCCAAGGCACAAAAAGGTCTGCATCTTAACGAGGATATTTACGCTGGTATGAACGCCTTACTCCGCGGTGGCCGCATTAAGCACTGCGAGTACTACCAGTGCGGTAAAGGTCGTGATCTTGGATTTGGCTCCATTCTTAACTTCACCACCAAGATCGGAACCGGTATGGGCGAACAGATGCTTTCGCGTGAATACTACTATTTGGGAACCCAGTTGCCCCTTGACAGATTCTTGTCCTTCTTCTATGCCCATCCTGGTTTCCACATCAACAACATCTTCATCATATTGTCCGTGCAGCTATTTATGATCTGTCTTATCAATCTGGGAGCCTTGAAGCATGAAACTATTCTATGTCAAGTCAAGAAGGGTGTTCCAATCACTGACGAACTGATGCCAACTGGATGCGCTGACCTCAATCCCATCAAAGATTGGGTGAACCGTTGTATTCTGTCTATTTGTATCGTTTTCTTGCTATCCTTCCTTCCGCTGGTTGTTCAAGAATTGACAGAGCGTGGATTCTGGAGAGCGGCAACCCGTTTGGCCAAGCATTTTGGATCCTTTTCTCCTCTTTTCGAAGTGTTCGTCTGTCAAATCTACGCCAATTCTTTGCACAACAACTTGTCGTTTGGTGGTGCTCGATATATCGGTACTGGTCGTGGTTTCGCTACTGCTCGTATTCCGTTCGGTATCCTTTACTCACGTTTCGCTGGCCCGTCCATCTACCTAGGCGCACGGTCACTGATGATGCTTCTATTCGCAACTGCTACGGTCTGGTTGCCTGGCCTACTGTACTTCTGGGTATCGCTTCTCGCACTCTGCATCTCACCATTCCTTTTCAATCCCCATCAGTTCTCCTGGAATGACTTCTTCATTGATTACCGTGATTATTTGAGATGGCTATCTCGTGGTAACTCACGCTCGCATGCCTCGTCCTGGATCGCATACTGCCGTCTCTCACGTACACGAATCACAGGTTACAAGCGCAAGGTCCTTGGTTCCCCATCAGAGAAACTGTCTGGTGATATTCCACGAGCCAAATTTACCAACATTTTCTTCAGTGAAATTATTGGTCCACTGGTTCTCGTCGCCGTGACCATCATCCCATACCTTTTCATCAACGCACAAACTGGAGTTAGAAAGGAGAACAACCCGAATGCAAAGATCGATCGAACCAACTCTCTCATTCGAGTCGGTCTTGTCGCTCTGGGCCCAATTGCGCTCAATGCAGGTGTCTGTCTAGTCATGTTCGCTATGGCCTGTTGTATGGGTCCTGTTCTCAGTATGTGCTGCAAGAAATTCGGTGCCGTCCTCGCTGCTATTGCCCACGGATTCGCCGTTGTTGGCCTCTTGATCTTCTTTGAAGTTATGTTCTTCCTTGAGGGCTTCTCATTCAGCCGAACTCTCGCTGGAATGATTGCCGTGACTGCTATTCAGCGATTTGTGTTCAAGCTCATCATCGGCCTTGCATTGACAAGAGAGTTCCGACAAGATGATGCTAATATTGCCTGGTGGACCGGTAAATGGTACGGTATGGGATGGCACTCTCTGTCTCAACCTGGCCGTGAATTCCTCTGCAAGATCACCGAACTCGGCATGTTTGCGGCAGATTTCATCCTTGGCCATGTCATCTTGATACTCATGCTTCCGGCCTTATGTATTCCATATGTTGATAAGGGTCATTCCGTAATTCTCTTCTGGCTAAGGCCAAGGTAAGTGAATTCCCAACTCTATTCTTGATATATTTTTTTTATATATACTTACAACTTCATAGTCGCCAAATTCGCCCTCCAATCTACTCTCTGAAGCAGTCGAAACTTCGCAAGCGCCGTGTCATCCGCTTTGCCATCCTCTACTTCACCATGTTCTTCGTCTTCGCGATTGTTATTGCTGGCCCACTAATCATGAAGAGTCTCAAGATCAATCTTCCATCGAACATTCCCTTGAAGTTGCTGCAACCTAGTGGTCTGAACAACAACGACACAAGTTCCAGCCACACCGGAAAGGCCGCAAGTGGTGGCGGTGCGGAAAGCACTGGCAACGCGAAGCTCTTCCGCTTCTAAAATCAGCACCCGATTCTTCATCTTTTGCATCTTTCGCCCTAAACCACCCTTCAACGTGCCATATAACGGTGAAGGTGTGCTAAAAAAAAAAAAGAATCATGTCATGAACTTTGCCCAGGCTGTAGGCGAAAATAAACACCTATTATGTACGGTATTTCCTTTTCCCTTCTATCTTGTGTTTCCTCGTTTTTCGCATTTTGCATTTCTCGCCACCTCTATAATGGAATGAAACGCTCCTCTTTGTGTTTTTTAGTTCTCTCTTTTCAATGTTGCGGAGTTGGATTGTGTCAGTTTCCTATTTTCCTATCCCCTATTGATCAATAAACACCCTCTGTCCGGGCTTCGGCCTTGTATTAGACTAATGTCCTACTTCTACTACGGTATCTGGGTGTCTTGCCTTTGTTCTAGTTTGAATAATACTTGTAATTCAAAAAAGACATGTCCAGTTTTATATATGGAACATAGTAATTGTACTCCAAGCCCTCGTCCTTCATATCAATGGCATCCCTGGCATCCCCTGGTCAATAAACCGTTAATAGTTTCGTGAAGCCCCTTAATATCACGTGACGATCTCATCCTTCCTGCTTTCAAAGTCAAGCTCGAAAAAAAAAAAGGAAAATACTTCTCATCCGTCACAGCTCAAGCGACCTCGAACTACCTAGATCACTCCCTACCTTATGCCCTAGCTGGTTGAAGTGCTTCCTCTTTAATTGGCACTTTTTACAGCCTCTCTTCGCTTGCCGGTGTTTCCGTTCTCGATACTCCCCGGATCCTAATCTCCCACCCAGTCGATAAGGGTATAAGAACAATACTGAGGAAGCAAAGGGGACAGTGTCAGGACATGATGGACCTCCAGGAGACTCAGAGACTTACTCTTGAATACCTCCATATCCTGGCCGACCAATTTCAGCGTGTCCCCGGCTCAGCTATCTTCCTCCGCTACATCAAGTCGAGCTATCAGAATGACCCAGTCCGTTCGGCCGTGGAGCTTTTTCTTTTCCTGTTCGCAGTGAGATATCTTCTTGCGCCAAAGTATTCTACAAAGCGTGATTTTGTTCCTCTTTCGGAGGAGGTATGCGTTCCCGTGTTCATCGTATTGTTACCTTTGGATAATTGCTTACAAGTGTGATGTGCTATAGGAAATTGATGACCTGGTAGATGACTGGACACCTGAGCCACTTGTATCAAGTTCAACAACGCAAGATGAAGAGGATATCGAGAAACGGGTGGTGCTTACTGGGTGAGCCGAGCAATTCCGTCATGCCTTGGGATGGAACCTGGTGCTTACTATTGTTTTAGTCCTACCGGCCCTAAATCCAAACTCGCCAACGGACGAACTGTCACAAATCTTGGATCCTATAACTTCTACAACTTCGTTGCGAATGACACCTTGAAAGAGAAAGCTATTCAGACGGTTCGCACTTACGGAGTTGGGCCCTGTGGTCCCCCCGGATTCTATGGAACACAAGACGTGCATATGCGGACTGAGGCGGATGTTGCTACCTTTCTCGGTACTCCGGCTTGTATCATCTATTCTCAGGCCTTCTCGACAATCTCCAGTGTGATTCCGGCATTTTCAAAGCGTGGTGATATTATAGTTGTTGACAAAGGAGTTAACCACGCTATCCGAAAAGGTATCCAGATCTCGAGAAGCACGGTCCGATGGTTCGAGCATAATGATATGAATGATCTTGAACGCGTCCTGAGCAAGATTACAAAGGAACAGGCAAAGAAGCCATTGACAAGGAGATTTATTATCACAGAAGGGTTGTTTCAGGATAGAGGCGACATGTGTGATTTACCCAAGATAGTACGTCGCACTTTATTCCCTTTGAGCCGATCTTGGTAAACAACGAAGTAGCTAACTTAAATTCTGCAGGTCGAATTGAAACTTCGATATAAGTTTAGACTCATTCTCGACGAGAGTGTCTCCTTTGGTGTGCTAGGTCGAACTGGCCGTGGTATCACTGAACACCAAAACGTCGATCCAGCGGAAGCCGATATGATCATCGGTTCGCTGGCTGGAGTATTTATCGGCGGCGGTGGTTTCTGCGCTGGCTCTAAAGAAATCGTCAACCATCAACGCATATCGGCCTCTGCTTACTGTTTCTCTGCTGCCCTAACGGCCCTGCTAGCCACGACAGCAAGTGAGACTATTTCCCTGCTGCACAATAGCCCCGAGCTCATCACTCAGCTCCGGGAGAATATCAAGGCTATGTGGGCTCAGCTTGATCCTCGAAGCGATTGGGTATACTGCACCAGTGCTCCAGAGAACCCCGTTATGATGCTCGTGCTGAAGCCTGAAGTTGTCTCGTCAAAACGTCTGTCCATCGAGGATCAGCACCACATCTTACAAGACATCATCGATGAGGCGCTAGCCAATGGAGTACTCATTACCCGACTTAAACCCGTCCCCGATGAGACCATCTCGAAACAGACATATGCCCCTGCCCCCCCTGCTCTCAAGGTCTGTCTTACCACCGGCCTGTCCAAGAAGGAGGTCGAGAAAGCCGGTATCATCATCCGTCATGCCATCACGAAGATTCTCCGACAGAGACGCTGAATCTAGCTCGAGCCAGACCTATTTCCCTTTTAACATCATTACTGTACACCTAGCTTCTATTCTTCTTCTCCCTGCCGGCTTCTTTTCCCCCTTCCCTAGGGCTCTAGGGCTCAATGTACTCTTTCCCTAGATAGTACATATATATTTTTAATCAACGAAATGGGCTAATGCGAATAACGGTGATTCATATACGAACTTCCTAATGCTATATAGATGTTATAGCTGGTGGTAATGACAAGTAATATTGTTTGGTATGTATACCCTGAAACTGGTTAATATCATGGGAAGCTTGAGATATAACATAGCTAATCATGCTTCTCGTCTAGTCAGAGACCCGAAGCTGAAGGCGACCTTGTACTCTGCTACGAATATACCCTATATGCCCTAAGTACCTACCACATATGATGCTTATCACTAGGGAGAACCAATATTGTATATCTAAATATTTCACTTCTCTCACTCTGCCCCTTTTCACGTTACTTGGACTTGTTTGTCTTCATTTGAACGTGTCTCTCTCACTGCTTATTTATCTTGAACTTCAACTTCTCTTCATCTTCCTTACACTCACCGTCCACACGTCGACATATCTTGACACCACAGCAACAGTCTTTACTTAACCCGCTGCTTCCCTTAAGCCACTGGCTGGTATGCCGCTTACCCCTATTTCTTTACTCTTTTCTATTGTGTAGGCTAGAGACGCGTTTTTGAAGCTGCTAACAAATATTTCGGATACTTATAGTTACTCTTTCTTCACTAGCATATCATCTAGATATGCTTTTAGCAAACAAGATGAAGACCAGCATCTTCATCTTTGCTGTCTTCTTATTTATGGGCAGTGTGGTTGCAAGACCTCATAGTGCGTTATAACTTGAACTTATTTTATTATCAGTAACTTACCATATATAAAACAGATCATGCTCATCGCGAGAGACGCGCTTTTGTGACTGATGTTACTACTGTTGAGGTTCCTGAGGTTATCAACTGGGTTGATAGCACTGGCAGCACTGTCACTATTGAGACCAAGGGACATGTCAATACCCATAAGCCAGCTCAGCGTACTTCGAACTATGATATCGGTACTACATTCAGCTCTCATGATACCCCTACCACTGTTGCTCCAACAGTCACCGACATACCCCCTTCTGCTTCTACCCTCGTCTCGGAGCCAAGCTCTACCGCTGAGCTAAAGACTACAGAGGTGAAGCCTAAGCCTACCGAAACCAAACCTACTGAAGTCAAGCCTACTGAAGTTACACCATCTGAGTCTAAGCCTGCTGGGAGTAAGACTACCGCTGTTGAGACTCTAGTTTCAACAAAGCCTCCAACTAAGACAACTCATCTGATACCAAATTCCACTTCCTTACCTTCTAGCGGTCCTGCCGAAAAATGGTTTTCTGGAACTGGGTTTGGAATTTGCTACGCTCCATATACTGCTGATGGAAAGTGCAAAACTCAAGACCAAGTCTACGCAGACTTTGCTAAACTACAAGACTATGGCATTGTTCGATCCTATGGTGTTGATTGCAACCAAATTTCAATGATGATTAATGCCGCAAAGAGATACAACAAGAAAGTAATGCTCGGACTATTCACCATTCAGAATGTTGACTCGGACCTTCACCTATTCATTGCTGCTGCCAAGGACAGCTGGTCATACATTTATGCCGTTGCTATTGGGAATGAAGTTGTCAATACCGGAAAATCTTCTGTCCATGATCTTACTAATGCTATCAACTTTTCTCGTACCACCCTTCGCTCCCAAGGATATAGTGGCCCGGTTGTAGCTGTTGACACTGTCAATGCCATGGTTGCCCACCCTGAAATCTGTGAAACATCCGATTTTTGCGCTGTTAACGTTCACCCTTTTTTCAACTCTCATACCTCTGCTGCTGAAGCCGGAAAGTTCGTAATAGACCAAGCCAAGGCCGTTTCTAATGCAGTACATGGTTCCAAGAGAGTCATTGTTACTGAGACTGGATGGCCTCATGGCGGTGACCACAATGGGGAAGCTATCCCTTCGCGAGAGGACCAGCATGTTGCAATTGAGAGCATGAAACAAGCCTTCAAGGGCACGAATGGAGAGTTATTCTTATTCTCTGCCTTTGATGATCCGTGGAAGAAGGACGGTCCTAACACGTTCGGTGCAGAGAAATTCTGGGGTATCCAGTAAAGGTTGACACAGTCACCTACTTTACTATTGCTCTTGTTACTACCAATAGGGAGGTCAAGCAGAAATCATGGAGTGAGAGGAATGCATAAAACCAAGAGGGAAACACTATGATGATACGCAACGTCAAATATAAAGAATGTGTAAAAAGGGGGAAAAAATCAAAAACATGGCTGTTTAATAAAGGGGCATATGTATTAGCTTATATTTTAACACATCAAATGAGAACCCCTTCTGTCAACAAAAGTATCACCTATTTTCATAGAGTCCGTATTATAAATAGACGAGGTAAGAGGTATATGCACATAACATATTTATATACTGCGTTTATATCGTAAAGGTATAATGAATTGAAAGGGATAAAAAATTATGTGTTTAGTCTGAAGCAAGTCGCTATGCAATAAGTACAAAGAAAAGTACACATTCAGTAAACAGCAGCAGACTCCTTAGTTAATATGCGTTTTCTCCATTTGTTTTGAAAGCCCGTTTTCAGCCATTTCGATCGTAATTTTGGGGGTGGAAGGAGACTCTGTCATTCCATTCGTCTGCAACGCTGGAGACTGAGGTGATGAAGGTACATTGGTGTTGGTTTCGGCGGTAGATGTGGTACATCCCTTGGTATTGGGGGTAGCATGGCCATTAGTATCTTGTTGCTTCAAATGGTGTTGGTGAGCACGCCAACGCCTAGTTCTTGGTGGTTCTGGCTTTTGCGGTGGGCGATTACCTAGGCAGTTATGCGGATTATGTGGAGGCGGAGGAGGAGGTCGTGTGGCAGAGTGTTGCTGCCGTGTATGATGATGGGGATGTTTATGGGATCTTGTATGAGGAGGTGGAGGTACCGAGTGCGAGGATCTGCGGGGAGGAGGGAGTGCTGGTGGAATGGAAGGGTGTAGGTTATGGGCTTTATGCGAATGAGGTGATGGGAAGTAACATGAAGAGGTAGATGCGATTGAATTAGGTGATTGAACCATAGTTGGGCTTGAGCAAGCGGTGTTGTCGTTAATTTCATGAATAGGAGACGGGGTTGATGTGTTTGCTGCATACTCCTGGTCCTTCGAATGCTTTAAAAGCCCTGATTCAGATGACCCTCGGCAAACTCTACGGGGACTTGCTCCCTCGTCTTTGTCCTTTGATTCTGCTCGACGACGTGCCCTTGAGCGACGTGCCACCGGAGGTTCTGGCTTTTGTTTCAGTACAGCTGGGCCTTTGGTCGGTAGTGTGATACCCGGCTGTTCTTTGTGTGAGGCCACCTCTACAATGCTGTGGGAGGAAGAGCGTGCGGATTCGACTTTAAGAGTAGTTGACACGGTAGACAGATGATGGACAGGGGAAGATGAGATGTTGCGTCCGTAGAGGTTTTCGTCTAAACTCGTTTGAGGAGAGGCTGGGGAACCAATATTGGGAATTTCAACGCTTCCCTGAGAATCCGTGCCGTTATGGCCTTTTGCGTTCGGGTTATCATTTGATATCGGTTCTGATAACTCCTTTGTGAACCAGCTAGTCCCTTCACATATCCAGTCAACCTGGCTACAGCGTAAGACGAGCCGTTTTGTGGTATCATCTACTTCGTTAAAGTGAAGTATTCTTTCGTTATCGTTGTCCTCTGCTATATCAGACCATTGCCCCCTAATTAGCGTTGTGAAAAGCTTTCTGAGCTCCTCTCGCTTATCGTGCGGGGGGTACTTTAGTTGAGTATGGGCAAGAAGTGGGTATAAGACTCTCAGATATGTGTGGCGGAGAGGGATTGCATCTTCAGGTAAATCATAAAGGTTGCGGATAAGAATATCGACAAGAACGCGGAGGTCATTAGTATAAAAATATTCATAAGTTGAGGGTGTGGTAAATAACAAGTATAAAAGTTTGAGAGTGAGCAGCTGAAGAGAAGTCTCGTCTGTTCACATGGGATTAGTATCAGAGGTATCTTAAGGGGTGAATGGGAAAGAATACCTTCGCGGTTGAGGAGAAGAATGATATTCTCCCCGAAAGTTTTGTAGAGACTACCATGTATTGATAAAACTTTCATAACTCTGTTCGTTAGTGGAGTGGCCAAAGGCCTGTCTCCGACTGGATCGTGGCTGGACACCATGAATTGTTCATTGAGAACGAGCTATATGGCAACCGTGTCAGAATATATAATTGTTTTGGCGGAATAGAAGTAATCTTACCAGGACGCGAATCACAGGATAATGATAGGGGTCATTTAATCCTTCAGGAGGTCCCTCAATTATCTGCAACAGATACTTTATAAACTCGTCATCCACCGTCACTATGAGGCTAAGGTGTAAGTAAATGCTAGATTGTTACCAGTTTTCTGGTGGGTAGCATTCAAGTCCGGTAGTTGCCCCACGCTGCTCCGACCAACAACTCACCTAAGTCTTCAATCCTAATTCTCTGAATCCTCGACATCTCATATAATAGATCCATTAATAATCGGTGCAGGCTAGCTTCGACCCCAATACCGGAATGGTCATCGTTCCTTAATGATTGTATTAACTCCAATAGTCGACAAAATGCCCCTTCCTCACACATCATCTCGAATGTAGCTTCATTCTCGCACCCATCGAAAAGGAGGAAGCACACAATTCCGAGTAGATTATCATGAGAATCCTCCTGTAAATCGAACACCAGCTATTAGCTGAATTCTCGCAATTTATTATACCGATATGGTCGAACAGGAATGAAGCCAAAATTTGTACCTGAAGCAAGCTATATATTATCTGGAGCCGTATGTAATCAGCGTTCTTCGTGAATAGTGACGATGACAGAACCAGCTCGGTACACCGGCTGATGTCATGGTCGATGTTGAAGAAGTCATCTGTGGGAGAGAAGTTTTGTTAGATATTCGTGTATACTGGCCGCTACTCCTACGGAGCGACTATTTGGGTACCTCTGCAACTCTCGAGCAGTGACAAATATGTGCGCAAAATATTATCGATCTCTTCGTGTGAATCGCATTGGCGTTTAAGAATGTCGTCCAGTTCTACTCTCAGTCGGGCTCAGTTAGCAAAACGTATCAAGAAGTAAGACGTAACCATGGGTTTCACAGCCTCAAGCACATTGCACCAAGGCTTGCACTGCAAATGGATATTCGCTCACCATCCCAAAATTGTTCCTCGTTTCTTAAACTGCTGGCTTCGAAGTCCATTCCTATGCGCAAGCATATCTGAATAACCGTTCACTGGCTTTCGTAGTTCTCTCGTAATATCGAAGAGACAGACACAGGAGACCGAGAGAAGCGATACGGGCTCTATAATAACAAGAAGAAACAGAGGCTGAGCTCTCAAAGCTGAAGAAATGCACAGCAAATATCAAATCTGCCTTGGATGCGAGCTTCGAGAAATTCTGGGGAAAGTCGACAAGGTCACTTGTATATATTACATAAGCATCCCATGACCAACAAAAGTGGTTTCATCATATTACATAGTATGTGATTTTCCACAGTTATGAATAAAAAAATCTTGGACAAGAGTTCGTTGCATATATTGATTACTTTTACTCCCTAGTAAAGGGAATTATATGCGCAAGATCCTCGAGGGTGGTATAAGACGGCGAAGAGCCAGTACACAAAGCTACCAATATCATCTATAACCTATCTATCCTATTTTTACCAAATATTTATGAGAGCCCTGGAACACAGAAACACCTACAAAATGGGTATAATATCACCGAAATACTCTATGTCGGCCTTCTTTCTACCTTTTTATTTTTATATCGACCTGGATAGTTGCATCATGAGCTGGCAATGTCCATCTCTTGGGCTATTTTGTGATATGTCAGTTGGTTGGCTGTGAAAAGAGCTAGGTCTGAGAGGAGACTTACTGTTCCAAAGCTCTGCATATACGCCGCCTAGTTCGAGGAGCTCGATATGGCTACCACTCTCCACAACATGACCATCCTTTAAAACGATAATTTGGTCACTGTCGTAGATTGTGCGAAGGCGATGGGCTACAAACACACTTGTCCTGGCCTTGTCCTTTAGAATACTGTTGATGTTTTGGAGTAAGGCTTGCTCAGTATATGTATCAAGAGCAGATGTCTGTTTTGGCAAGCATTAGTAAAAATAAATTTATATAGGCTGAAATACCGGAGAAGAGTTAACTTACTGCTTCATCGAAGAAGAGCAACGGCGGATCCTTTAATATCAACCGCGAGACTGCTAGCCTCTGTTTTTCACCGCCTGATATCATCATTCCTCGCTCTCCGACTGGCGTATCATACCCTGCAGGTAATCGCTCGATAAGTTCGTGGATATGGGCTCGTTGTGCAGCCATTTTAACTTCCTCCGTAGTGGCATCGATCTTGCCATATCGAATATTATGTTCAATAGTGTTATTGAATAGAGGGGTATCCTGCGGCACAACTCCAATTGCCTTCCTTAGACTGGCCACAGTCAGACCACGGATATCTTGGCCATCAATCAAAATACGGCCCTCATGCACGTCATAGAATCGGAAAAGGAGTCGAAGAATGGTGGACTTTCCGCATCCGCTTGGCCCAACGATAGCGATCTTTTTGCCAGCTGGAATTGTGAAGGATACGTTCTTCAGGATAGGTCTCTCTGGAAGATAACCAAACGTAACGTTCTCGAATCGGATTTCTCCACCCTGCCGAAGCTGTAATGGTTTAGCATCGGGAGCCTCCTTAACGTTAATATTGAATTTTTGGAGATTAAACAGAGTTTCCATATCCATCAATGACTGCCTCAGCTCTCGGTATACGGATCCTAGGAAATTTAGAGGCATGGATAGCTGAAATACCAGTTGGTTGACCATAACAAGATCACCAACTGTTAACTGCCCTGTAGCCACGCCGTCAGACGCCAGGTACATCATGGCAGCGAGTGCACTTGAGAAGATCATGTTTTGACCAGAGTTCAAAAACGCTAACGAAGTCGTGACCTTAATTGAGGCAGCCTCATATTTCCTTAATGCCTGGTCATATCGAGATACTTCAAACTGTTCATTATTGAAGTATTTCACAGTTTCGTAGTTAATTAAAGAATCAACTGCTATCGTTGCCCCTTGATTATCGGCCGCATTTGCCTGCTTTCGAAACTTGGTTCGCCAGGCTGTGGTAGTAATGGTGAAAGCGGTGTAAGCTAGCATTGTGGCAGCGGTGATTGCAGCAAATTTTGGGCCATATTGATAAGTCTGCGGAGAGTGTTAAAATATCTAGTTTTTAGTATGGGTCCGTAGGGTATGCCATACCAGAATTCCGCAGACCATTGAGATTTCTAATGCTGTCGGCAACACATGGAACACCATTGACGTTAACAGAAAGCTGATCCCCTTTGTGCCTCTGTCAATGGCGCGTGTGAGGCCTCCTGTCTGGCGGCTCAAGTGGAAGTTCAAGTCAAGTTTCAGGAGATGGTCAAAGACATTGCGTGCTACCTTTCGAATTGCTTTTTGGGCGACGCTGGCAAACACTGCGTTTCTTAATTCCTGAAATAATGTTGCCCCAATCCTCGTCGCACCATCTGCAGCCATGCTCTCCAGTTAGGCATTGGATATTAAAAAAAAAATCTACAGGAAAGTCTGTGCATACATGCTATTATCATAGCCCCTCCGACTGTCCAGGCAGTTCCGCCTATTGCTGCGAAATCAACATTCATAGAGTCAACTATACTTTTGAAGTAAAATGGGACTTGAACATTGAGGATCTGGCATGGATTAGTTGAAGTGTATCATAACATATAAAATCACACGATAACTAACCTTTCCGCCAACGAGAAGAGATAACGCTATCCCAACCCGAAGTTTCGTGTTCCAATCGTCCTGCTATCAGTTAGTCGATGAGCTTCAGGTGACCACATAATAATTGCTGCCCACCTTAGGCCAGAGATATTTTGCCATTTCTTTCATGATAGCCCAGTCCACTTTTCTTTGCTCCTTCAATGTGACGGTGGTCTCAGAGAGCAAGGTGCTCGGTTTTTTGCTGCCCGATTTTGATGCGCTTACCACATCCTTCGCCACGGCACTCCCTACTTTATCAGGGGAAGATGTCGTCCCTGCAATAGGTTGCCCGACTGTTCTCGACGGGCCATATTGATCTTTGGACAATCTCCCTCTCGTCGAGAATTCACAGTAGGGCAGTCCTCCATAGCGATGAGCTCCCGGGCGTAATGGGCTAGGAATAGGCACGCGAGACCTCGAGAAGTTTTGGTGCGCAATGCGGCAATGCAATTGGGCTGTTCGCAGAAGCATGTCGTCTCGGAGGAGTACGTACTGCAGCTAGTGCAGCATATATTTTCTAATAATCGACAATCCCGATCTACCGAATATTCATGATGTCATGATAGGGCGATGGTATGGCTTATCCACGAGCCTGTAAAAGAGGTCAGCAAATCCTCTTTGCAAGCTAAACATGTAATATACTTACCGGATGCTGCAGAACACCTTTTCTTATCTCCCCTGAACGGCGCACAAGTCCACGGGTTCACTGAAGAGAACGAAGATACGAAAGCTATCAAATATTGGTTTAAACCCGCTTTTTGGGTAATAAACCTTATTGAGCTTGTTTGTCTTGTTTGTTTTCACCATCGTCATTTTTCCAACATTTGGAGAAGCTCGCATCTGAAAGAAAAGATTTGACGACCCGCAGCGAAAGGGCAGGCTTCAAGTGGCTGCTCAGCTTGCGGAAATACACAGTCGCACCCATGAGGCGATTAATACCCGGCAGTGGCTTCAGGCCGTCAAATCGCCTTAGATGGAGTTCGAGATACGGCTTGCGGAGAAACATTCACATTCAAGCAATACCAAGCAGTCAGCTCAATTCAGTGACGAACGAAAGTTTTCACTCTGCTTCGACGACTACGAACTCTGCTATATCTCCTGGTTCGTATATTTGGTCTTGTTTTGAATTGGATGGTACGCTGACCCGTTGTTAAAGACGCAAAATTCGAAGTTGTCGGCTCGCCGTATTCCCTGCTTTCCGTATCACTTTCTGCGTCCCAGAATCTATATACAAGGCGTGGAACTCTCGTAGGACTAAGTGGGAAACCGGAAAATGTATGGTTATTGGTATATGGACAAACCGTTGGGATACTTGGCTGAATTATTATCGAAGGTCGTTTCCACTCTGCGAATCCTTGAGCCGTTTCGTCGAGCAGCACTCGGAATTCCATTTCTATACCAAAAAGTGAGAAGACTCCGCTTCTCCCAAGAACGTCAATTTCTAACCGCATCTGCCTTGTATAGATATCCTCCACCAGCCCCGTGTCTGCGTTAGTTTCCGTCAAGTCTCCAGTGACCTCGTTTGCCCTACTCCAACTCAATGGCACAGTGGATTGGATGTTGGCGCAGCGAAATGCCCTTCTTGCGTGGACAGGCCATTCGTTGACAATAAAGCCGAGATTCAATAAACAACTGGTATATATGACCGCTTCTCCTTCGAGCTGTTATCGCTAGGCGGGTAAGCTAACTTGTGAAGAGTATATCACATTGGGGAAACTCTGAAGTTACAGGGAGGGGCGTTATTGCATTAGTTGGGAAAGGTCAAATATACTCGATAACTCTGAAGGAAGGGGAACAATATATTGCCCATCCAAGGTATGTGAAACCAACACTGTTTTTTTTTTCTCCATATACTAATGTGTACTGTGGTAGCAATGTTGTTGCGTATACAATGATGCAGACTCCTCCGCAACCATACAGATTCAAGTCGACGACGATTAGATTCCCGGTTCCTAACCTGGGCGTTGGAAAACGCTTATTTAATACCAACTTTATGTCAAATCTATCAAAATCGGACACATGGATGGCAGTAATGAGGATCTTCCATACATTTAGAACATGGACGAGAAGGACAATATGGGGCGATAGGGTGAGTGTTTCACACAGCCCATAAATCAAAGATCCAGCTGCTCACTACCAGGAAATTAGCTCTTTTTACAATTCCAAGGACCGACGACTCTTCTCGTTCAATCTAGAGCTGCACGAGTTAACGATATCTTAGCCGACCACGAGGTCAACGAGATTGCCGATACCACACCAGGGGTCACTAGAGCAGCGGTGGAGGCCACTGAAGTATCTCCTCCAGAGGACGTCGCCCATCAGACTGCAACAAAAGAAAACCATCAACGACAAAGCATTGCGACCGTTCATCGGGATGGAAAGATTGACTTCAAATCAACCGAATAGACTCCTCCTGGGAAGTCATTGGGAAGGAGAAAAGATTTCGCCTCTTTAGACCGCCTTGTATTACTATTATTATTGCTATTATTGTCTTGTGTCGATTACGTAGATGCTATTTTATGCATAAACTCCTTCTTCCCTTTGACCAACATGTATCTTTCATGCCATAGAACTCTAAGATTTACTTTTGCTGTCTACAGCATACATCGAACACCAACGAGAAAATCTTGAAAGCCTTTGCTATCGACGGCAAAACCCTATCATATATGGGTGTGGTCGGATGATATACGTGGAGCAAGACTTGAAACACCTTCGAAACGCGTTACAAGTTCAACTATATCGGGGTTTTTAAAACATCTACATTTCCGTGCCAACACTATAGTAACATTAAGTACTTACCCTCATGTTATTTTATAACTCCTAGACCAGCGTCCGTCCCAAGTTGGTCCGAATACTTATATTTCTTGGAGTACAAACAATAAATGCTACGTATCTCAGTGCCTTCTTAAGGTCCCGGGAAGTTCTTTCGGGAAGGATCAACTATTATCCAATATAACGTAATGGCCCGTGACGGAGGTAAAAAAAAGAAGCCTCGGCATGGAATTTCCCCGATATCAAACTTGAACTTCTGCCAACTTCCGAGTACAACGCTGGAATTAAGAACACGGGATGCTTGACCCTTCGCTCCAAAGTAGCGGCTTGGTACTATGGATATCGGATATGGGGTGCAGACACAGCGATGAAGAGTTGACACTTGGACACATCATGAAACCGTCTAGGGGTCTGTCATCTCGACACGCGATCGCCCGGCCAAAGCCCCGCAATAGGAAATTGATAGGTCCGCAGAGGTTCTTCTGCCGTCATCATGGCAGTCGATCTGGGGTCTCAGCAGTGCCAGACGGGCATCATCTGGTTCCTCGCGCTGATCAGGATTGACATCGTCTTCTCTAGGTGAGAAGATAGCGTCTCGACGCTCATATATAAAGACACATCTTGTCTATCTCGAATGGCGCTTTGCCCTTGCGGCTAGAGCTTAGCACCTCCCAGCAGCTGCCAGGCGCGTTGCCCTTCTTGACACGGCCTTTACGAGGCGTCTATATTTTATAAAATGTCCTGCCGCTCCTTGCATCAAGCTCCACCACCCTTCTCGTAGCCGAGTCGCTTGGCAGATACCAGAGCAAAACAGCATGTCAGGGGGCATTCCTTTCACCCTGACGAAGGGAGAGACATCTGGCCATTCTGGAGAACTTATCTCAGCTATCTGTGCGGCTATGGCCGGTTCCTTGTATGATACCCCCTATCAGTGTTCAGAATACCATGACTGGAACCAACATCTGAGACGCTCAAGGCCGGATCAATCAATATATGTGGAAATGAATGGAGCTCGTTTTCTTACCCAGTGCATCTACTTTGTAGGGCCATTAGTGTTGCCGGGGACCAGGGGGGAGGGGACAGACACAGGATATAAAAGAATGGTGACCGGCTCAGCTATTCTCATTCTTTCTCTCCAGAAATCGTTCCTTAAAAGTAGTCTCAAAGCTTCTCTTCTGCCTACACCTCTCTCCAGCCTTCAAGATGCGTTTCTCCATCGTTCTCTCAAGCATTGCTGCTCTCAGCTCTGTTGCTGCCGCTGAGCGTGTCTGCGGAGCTATCCCCCACCGAACCTTTGCGAAGGAATCTAAGGCTGCAATTGAGGCTGCCACCGCCGCCGGCCTCACTACCAAGGCTAACATCACCGTTGAAACCTACTTCCATGTCATCACCGCTGGCTCGAAGGGCGAGATTAATGTATGACTCTTTGTCCAGAGACAGTTTGTGATTTCGAACGATTCTCCTAACAGCTCCTATAGGATGACACCTTGAAGCAGCAGCTTGCTGTTTTAAACCAGAACTACGGACCAGCTGGCATTGGCTTCAAGCTCATGGATGTTAGCCGAACCGACAACGCCAAATGGGCCTCTGGTGGTGACGAGACTGGCATGAAGAAGTCTCTCCGAAAGGGAGGCTACTCTGCTCTCAACGTCTACTTTGCCCCTAATCTCGAGGGTGGTCTGCTTGGCGTACGTATATCTTGTGTTCTCCATCGGTTGCATCGAAGCCAGGGAACTAACTTGACGTCACCATAGTTCTGCTACTTCCCCAAGGCCAACCCAAGCGCGAACGACAAGCTCGTCGATGGATGTGTCATCCTCTCTGGATCCGTCCCCGGCGGCGAGGCTGCCCCATACAACGAGGGAAAGACCACCACCCACGAAGTTGGCCACTACATGGGTAAGTCCTCAATTGCTTTATAACATGATTTTGCACGGTATCTAACTGTCTTCTTCGTCTTGTCGAATAGGTCTCTACCACGTCTTCAACGAGGAACAAGGAAACTGCCAGAAGGACGGTGACATGGTTGCCGATACCCCCGTCCAGGGTACCAAGACCAGCGGCTGCCCACAGGGCAAGGACTCCTGCCCAGGGCAGGGTGTCGACTCTATCCACAACTACATGGACTACAGCGATGAGTATGTTCTCCTTTCTCCGGTATATGATTCATGGCATCAGACTAACCATCGCCATTTCAGCCCATGCATGAACCAGTTCACTCCCGGCCAGATCAGCCGAATGCAGATGATGTGGCAGCAATTCCGTGCTGGAAAATAAATCAGTCCTGCATCATGATTTATGAGCCAACTTTTGTGACCTCTTGGGGACGATTCAAGCGTGGTGAAGCGGACCTTTCTTCGTACCATATTTTTGGTACTTGTACATAGTCTGAAGAAGGACCTGTATATATAGACTTGTAAGAAATTTATACCTGTTTGTCAGTTGTCTATGCTATAGTATTGCCTTACGTGTAGTGCACTTAACTGGCGCTGAGAACATCCCTCCAGCCCACATTCAAAGATATAGAGCTTGGGCCTGTCGGTTACTTATATATGAAGATCGTGGGGAACTTGGGGCGGGGCATTCTAAACACATCACGAAAACTAGTACGTCGAATAACCAAATATTAACCAAGTATCAAGCCGAGACGCGTCGTATACGATGGTTGCAAGCACGGCAAATATCTCTACTAGGGTGTCGTTGAGATGGCCGCCGGAGCCTGCGTTCGAGACGACAGACACGGCCGCGCTCTCGGTGGCCGGATGGTACGTTGATCTACGGATAGATCGTGAGTCTGGCAAGGTTGAATGGGCGATGGCTGGCCAGAGGGTCGTCGAAAGCACATCACCGTGTAAGATGAACTACAACATTATCATAAGTGTTTATAAAAAGGCTACTAATCGATGAATTGGCAGCTATCGTCGTCTTTACTCATGCCATCGACTCGCTCCAGCTCTTCGATACAGCGGACATGGGTACGTTTAAGAAGCTCCCTAACGGAGACGACCTCGAGACCGGCAAGATGGCTCGCTATGATCTACCAGGCGCTCCAGTTCGTGAATATGAGGAGATCTGGAGGAGCCTCGAGATTCCCCAAACGGCACCGAAAGGACGGGGTTATTCATGGATTCTCGAGTCGGAGGAGATGCTACCGAATATGACAGCACTCAAGCAAGAGGACAAGGATGTCAAAGTGGTCAAGACGTTTCTGGGCCGTGTCCCGGGCCATTATATTGCCTTGAGACAGACGCAGTGGTATGAGAGGAAGCAGGTCGATGGTAGATGCGTTGTGACCAAGGTGGGAGGTGAGGTTTCTGGGCGGAGGGAGATGTGGGATGCCGCCACTGGAAAGGACGCGGCTGTCACGTACACGGTCGGAGATGAAGGAGAGAACCTCCCATCCCTGGTGGCAGCTGGGGAGAGTCTGCAGTTATGCGGCGAGGGCGAAGGCGACTGGCGTTCTCCTGGTCGCACAGTTATGGTTAACGGTACGAGATATCTCGTTCGCGCATTCGAAGAGCTTCCACAGTAGGCCTCCCGATGGCGGTTGGCTCCAGATATTACTTGCGAAAAGAAAAACCGGGCCGATACATACGTATATTCCTCCAGTTTCCAATTTGATGGGCCTTTTGTCGATGTTACATACAAGCCAGGGGAGAAGAAGAATTGCGTCCAGCTCGTGGATTACAGATCAGCACAAACACATGGCCAAGGTCAGCCACAGTTTCACAGGCCTGACGGCTGGCGTTTGCATCTGCATTGACATGCTACTTTGTATCGGCGCAAGGATTGCGATACTGACACTGGCTTGTCCTTGCTGCTGGACGAGGCCGACGAATACGATAACGCCTTGGGGCTAAACGTGAACCCCTGCCAGGGCCTGTTGTCCAGAGCAAACTGCATTTGAAATGTGATTGACATGCATCTTGTGGAATCCCCTGACCACGCACACCGCCCCTATCGCTGTTATCTCGATAGCTACTGACGGAGTGCTTGTTGGGGTCCCAGCGTGGCCATCAAAGAAGTCGAAAACTCCACCTTTGAGGCTCTAGCAAGTAACTAAGCTTATTCTCTGGGTGGATTGGCCGGACGGGAGCAAGATTCATCTTCTCTTAACTTTCTCTAGAGATGACATTCACAGTCAGTTGTATACATTTTGACTACGTATCAACAGCGGTTCACGGCCTTCCCGCAGATAGATTCCGGATGCCTTTTTTTATACCAGTCAGCCGAACTCTACCCCCGAGCTCCGCCCAACTCGATGCCCACTTGGCGGCTCCACGTACCCTGCTCCGTCGCCTCTTGTTGGATGGCTTGCTTGTCGCGGACTCGCGGTTTAACCCTGGTTCATTTGGCTTCGGATGCTTAAAGCGGGTGTTTTTCGGATGTTCGGCCGTTGTTGAGACGAAAACACCGCTGAATTGCGGTAATCTTCAAGGTGTTTTTTTTTTTCCCTCCTTACCTTTACATTTCATGCATTCTCTTCTACTGACGAGGCTGTTTGTTTCTTTGCTTCTTTATTGTATATAACTTCATATTACATGTGGGGAGCCGTATTTTTTCTATCAAGTATATATATCGGGCATAGCCTTCTCGTCCCCTTTTTGCTCTCGTCCAGCCGAATGATGTGAATACAAGCGGAAGATAGGAAAAAGGAAAACTTCTAGTCCTACAGGAGAAGTCCAGTTCAAGCTGTTTTACACACGATAAGCCTGCGACTATGGAAGGCAGGACGGAGCCTCCTGGTAAAGACTTACGGTTGTATACACGCTCACAAACCATCAACTCATCCGTCTCGACCATAACGCAGCAGACCGCCGTCGCACGTATCAACGACAACAGTAACTGGGAAAAGCGGCAGGAAGACACTGCAGACTCAAATCCTCATGACGCTCATGGCATGGCTTCGGGGGACGATACGGACGTCGAGCAAGGCCCTGATATAGTGGTGACGCCAAAGGATGCCGCTATAGATCCAAGCAGCTATCCGGACGGAGGAATAGAGGCATGGACTGTTGTCTTTGGAGGATTCTGCGCCTTGTTCGTGAGCTTTGGATGGATCAACTGTGAGTCTCTGCCTGATATCTAGAAGGTTCAAGCTCATATTCAAGGGCTAATGAATGTATATATCCATAGGCGTTGGTATCTTCCAGGACTATTACCAGGCTCACGACCTGAAGTCCTACTCTCCAAGTTCAGTGGCCTGGATCCCTTCTCTGGAACTCTTCATGATGTACATTGTTGTATGTTCTTTCAACATAGAAAGACGAGAGTAGACAGGAAATGTTTTGATCCGGTAGCTAACACGCTTCCCAGGCACCGTTATCCGGCAAGGGATTCGATAATTTTGGCCCACGGTATCTCCTGATAGGTGGATCAGCATTCCATGTATTTGGCCTGATGATGACCTCGCTTTCGAGTGAATATTACCAGTTCCTCCTTGCACAGGGTGTCTGCAGCCCCCTCGGTGCCGGGTTTCTCTTCTATTCATCGATGAACAGCACCGTCACTTGGTTCTATAGGAAACGGGCTCTGGCCGTGGGTATCGTAGCCAGTGGTTCCAGTCTCGGAGGCATCATCATGCCCATCATGATCACCAAACTTATACCCATGCTCGGCTTCCCATGGGCTATGCGTGTCTGTGCCTTTTTGATCCTGGCACTGTGCACCGTCGCATGTAGCTGCATCAGGGCTAGAATTCCACCTCATCCCAGGCCGCTGGTGCTCAAGGAATTCTTCACACCCTTCCTGGAGATGCCTTTTGTTCTCCTTACCGCAGCGACCTTCCTCTACTGCTTCGGTATGTTCTTGCCATTCACCTTCCTGGTTCTACATGCAAGGAGGTTTGGCGTACCGGACAGTCTCGCGAGCTACTTGGTATCGATATTCAACGCAGCAAGGTATACAACACTTCCCCTTCGTGTCATGTATATGTATTATGGATGCTAACTTTGTCATAGCATCTTTGGGCGTACTATACCTGGCTACGCCGCCGACCGTATGGGACTATTCAACGTGGTAATCATCATGTCGTTTTTCAGTGTCATCGTCGTCTTTGCCATATGGATACCGTCCCACGGCACCGTACCAGACGTGGTATTTGCGATCCTCTTTGGTTTTGCATCTGGCTCCCTCGTCTCTCTGCCACCGAGCCTCGTCGCTTATATATCAGACGTGCGCCAAATCGGCGTAAGAAGCGGTGCCATGTTTGCAACCGTCTCGATAGCTGTGCTATTGGGCAACCCGATAGGCGGGTCTCTGGTTCCAGACGTCGTCCACGGTGATTACTGGAGAATGCAGGTATTTTCCGGGTCAATGCTGCTTGCTGGGAGCATGTTTTTCGTCTTCACCCGCGTGAGACTGGCTGGAACAGTCATCATGAAGAAGATATAACACTATATCCCTTTCCCCCCCTATTTCCAAACGGCTTTTTCTTTGCATTCAGCATCTTTGAGCGTCTGATAGATTTTTCTTTTTCATATGCAGCATTTTCGGCATCAGGGAAGACAGTGAAGCAGTTTATATTAACAGGCCTGGTAGGGAGGAACAAACCCCCCTTGCCTCTATATAGCAACATATACCTTAATGTTACATGTCAGCCTTCATATCAATCATATCAAAGCATTTACTATGTATTCGTACTATGTATGGAAGCAGCCAAAAACCCTCCAGGGGCTGCCTTGGTTGCCTGGACAACAACCCAACCGCACCCACAAATAACATGAACACACAGCAAAAAGGAACTTGCCCTTCTTCTTTTCTTTGAACACAGTCAAGACGCTCGAAGAAGAGCGACATTTACGCCCAGCAAAGCGGTTTTCCTTTCCCGTTTTTCTTTTGGTCCTTTCGTCTGTTCTTTTTGTTTGCGTCCTTTCGCCGTCCGCAGCGTGATAGACCTTGTATACATTCAATGCTTTATCTTTTGACGAAGAGCCTGCAGTTCAATATTTGAAGCTGGACTGGATGTCCTAAGCTCCATTATAATCTCCTGTCCTTTAATCTTTCTATGACTTGTGTTTCTCTAGTTAAGCTGTTGTCCTGCATTTCACCCCGTCTGCCGCTATATCGCCAGCACTCGCAAGTCCAGGCCAACCACGAATATATCCACGGACCGTCTAGTCATGAGCGTTCAGGTCATCGCTCGCATTAGGCCTCTCCTGAAAACGGAACGGGAGTGCGATGTTATTGTCCAGCCATGTCTGTCTAGTTCGTCCACATCGCATTCGTTGCGGAACGGAAACGAAGCTGTCTCCAAGACCAGAGAGAGCGAAAAGCCATTGAAAACAAAGAAAGCGAAGAGCGGGAAGGGAGACGACGCTGATCCGTCGACTGCGAAGGCAACGGTTATCAAGATACCGAATCCTAGGAACGAAGGAGAGGACTTCAGCTTCAAGTTCCATTCGGTGTACGATGGCACTGCAACCCAGCAGGAAATCTTTGATGCAGAAGGTCAGTTTTTTTTTTTTACTTTAGATACCTTAGATATTTACATAAAATTATCAAGAAAAGGGTGATTTGAAATTAACTGGTATGGAATTGTTGTCTATAGTGGCTCCTACTCTTAAACACCTATTCAATGGGTTTGATATTACTCTCTTCGCATACGGCGTTACGGGAACGGGGAAAACACATACAATGCGAGGCGGGAAGAGTTTGGCGGATCGCGGAGTAATCCCTAGACTGCTGAGTGGAATATATAGACGTTGTCGCAAGGTAGAACGGGATTCCCAGGGAAGAACGCAGGTCGGGGTCGCCATGAGCTATTATGAGATATACAACGACAAGATATTCGACCTCTTCGAGCCAGTGGAAAAGAGAACTCCATCTGGGTTGCCATTGAGGGATAACGGAGTAAAGACCGTTGTTGTCGGGCTGACCGAGCGGCCTTGCACCAGCTTGAAGGAATTTGAAGGAATTTATGATCAGGCGAATATGAACAGATCAACGTCTGCGACAAAGGTGAGAGATAATGACGGTGCCGTTGGTGTGAAAGTCTGGGTTTTAACGTTTTTTTTGGCAGCTCAACTCCCATTCCTCGAGATCGCATGCAGTGCTTTCTGTAAAGCTGACCGTGACAACTGGGGAGCAGGTACGGGTTAGCACTGCATCCTGTATTGATCTTGCAGGCTCTGAAGATAATCGCCGTACAGAAAATGGCAAGGAGAGGATGGTAGAATCGGCAAGTATCAACAGAAGCCTGTTTGTTCTGGCGCAGTGTGTCGAGGCCATCAATAAGAAGCAGGCAAGAGTCCCGTATCGGGAGTCTAAAATGACCAGGATCCTGGGATTGGGACAGAATAATGGCCTCACCATCATGATTCTAAATCTGGCACCGGTTCGATCATTTCATCTAGACACGCTGAGCTCGCTCAATTTCGCCAACCGGACGAAGAAGATTGAATCGCGAGAAATAGAAAACGAGCCCATGTTCAAGGGTCCGCCACGACCTGTTGCAGGCCGTGCAGCCGCCCCTGGAGTGAAGAGACAGCCCCTGAGACCGCTTACTGCATCTATAAATGCAAACATTGCAGCAGTGACATCTGAAGCTCGAAAAACATCCGACGGAAAGCCAGCTAAAGCCTTTGCGGTATACACTGACATGTCACATCCCAAGAGCACTGCCAAGTCTGGCATATCTGAGCCTCCCAAACGCAAGTCACCGTTGAAAAGGAGGTCAGGGAACGGCCTCCAACCAGCCTCTAGGCCATTCAAGGTTGCTCGGACGGATGAGATGCCACGACATGGGATGAGTAGCATGTCGGCTGCAAAGTTTGAAGAGCTCGTCGAGAAGAAGGTTAGGGAGGTGCTTTCAGCTCGCCAACCTGATGAATTTGAAGCGCAGTCCAAGGAGATAAATAAGCAAGTGCAACGCCGGCTTGAGCTCCTGGAGCAGCGGATTGATGAGACTGAGGATTCTAGAGCAGACGGGCTGTCATACCTTCTCATGGCCAAGCAGCATCAGGCTAGGGGTGAATATTCATCTGCCCTCAGGATGTATCAACTTGCGCTGCCATTCTTTCCAAACAACGGCAAACTGGCGCTAAAAATTGAGGCTCTTCGAAACAAGAAGGTGGCAGCAAAGCAGTCTACGTTAGATTCATCATCACATGGCAATGAACAATGCGGACACGATGTACATGAGGAAGATGCTGACGCAGAGCATACCGTCGAGGCTCCTTGCCAGATGCCCAAGCAAGTACACTCCAAGCCATCTCCGCATGGCCATACAGAGGGAAAAGGAGAGGGTGGCTTGTCGCCACGCTCTTCACATATCCTTTCCGTGATAAATACACGAGACATTGAGCAGATCAAGCTCCTTCGGGGAGTAGGCGTCAAAAAGGCAGAGGGGATCGTCGACTGTCTCTGTGACATGGACGATGGAAAAGGGGACAGCATCCAGCTTCACAGTCTGTCTGAGCTGGAAAAGATGAAGGGAGTAGGATTGAAGACTGTTGAAAACATGAGAAACGGTGTTGTGTTTGCTTGAAAGGTGCTCCTTTTTCATTCGATTTCATTTCAGTGGTTGCTTGCATTTAGCGACGGCGTTTTGGTGGTATTCAAGATATTTCTGTTGAATTGCATAGCCTTCTCTTACCTTTTACCTCATATTCACTTGGTATGTAAAAGACGGAGCCGGTTGTGAAAGCTGAAGTTGGTTCTCTTCTCCTGTTATGGTCTTGATATATGACCTTGGTCGAGCCTCAACTCTCAACCAAATGACACTTTATATCCTATCCTATACATCTTCCCTATGTCTGCTCTTCTTCTATATATTCGTCATCTTCTTCTGTATCATCTTCAATCATCGTCTTCATCCTTCGTTGTAGTAAATAGCGAGCCTGCGCTCTGATTGGCCAAAAGACCAAAGGCCACCGTAACCTCCAAGAAAAAAACATCCCAACGCTTGGTTGAATGAAAAAGGCCAAACAAGCACCTGAACTCGCCACGAACTTCAACCCCACAGAACAGCTTTGACAGTGCGAGGGAGTCTACGGCAGCTTGACCTTGGTGCTATCGTCTTGCCTACTCCTGGAATATCGTCCCTGATGTTCGCTCTGTGAGAAAGACAAACAAACACAGTAGGCTCGAAATCAAGCCCCTCTTCTCCTTAGTGTGATAACTTGGAAGTTCATGCTAACAAGTTGCTTTTCAGACCTCCTCGATCCCTCCCCAGCACCAGAAACAGTTATTACACATCTATCCGCGCGGTTAGAGGTTCGGGGGAGCTCGTTTATCAGTATAAATGGCAGCTCCGCAGGGAAATTACCCTCGTCCGGGTCAAGAGGGCTATGGTCAGCAAACCCCCCAGATACAGACAAGACACACACCCCTGGCAGCAGCAGCAAGACCCCAACTCACACAGTCCTAGGAGCTCCTGGTGTACCCAATGCGCCTCCGCAGGATAGTGCGCATGCTCCGGCACCCTCCCATGGCCGAAAGAAACGTGCATACGCCAACCAGGCATTCGATTTCGGTGTTGGTGCCAACGCTGCCCTAAATCAGGGAGGTGAAAGCTATGGGTATCCAGCTACTCAACAGCCACAGGGGTATTCTCAGGGAGTCCCTTATCCAGGCCAGCAGCCGGCCCAGGCACCAGCTGCAAACTATCCTGGCACAGATGCCGGTTATCAAGCACCCGCTCCCACGTACCCTCCTCCGCCAGGCCCAGGTATCGCACAGGTAACGCAGCAGATGGGACAGATGAGCATGGGAGACCAACACCAGCAGCCCGGAATGCAGCGACCAATGCAGCTTAATCAGCTCTACCCGACTGATCTGCTCACACAACCATTCAATGTTGCTGAACTCGAATACCCGCCGCCTCCAATTGTTCTTCCTCCAAATGTAAGTGAAAGAATCTACGCCTGTATAACAATGTAGATTACCGGTTTAATATGTCATGATACTAGACCAGCGTCACACCTTCGCCGAATGCCAATTGTCCCGCAAAATACGTTCGATCTACACTCAATGCTGTTCCAACGACTAATTCTCTCCTGAAGAAATCCCGTCTTCCGTTTGCGCTTGTCATCCAACCATACGCGTCTCTCCATGACTCCGAGGATGAAATCCCAGTTGTGTCGGACCAGGTTATTTCCCGGTGTCGACGCTGTCGTTCGTACATCAACCCATTCGTCACCTTCCTCGACCACGGCCACCGCTGGAGGTGTAACATGTGCAGCCTGACCAACGATGTACCACAGGCGTTCGATTGGGACGCTGCTGCACAAAAAGCGCTGGATAGATGGCAGAGACCAGACCTTAACCACGCAGTGGTGGAGTTTGTAGCCCCCCAGGAATACATGGTCCGACCACCGCAACCATTAGTCTACCTCTTCCTGATCGATGTCAGCTATGCGTCGGTTACTAGCGGACTGCTGGCAACCGCCGCACGGTGCATTCGAGAAAGTCTCGACCGGATACCAAATGCAGACCGTCGAACTAGGATCGGCTTTATAGCGGTAGACTCTAGTCTCCATTACTTCACCATTCCTCGTGATGGGTCAGAGAGCTCTGAGCCAAACATGCTTGTCGTTAGCGACTTGGATGAACCGTTCATGCCTATCCCCGGGGAGCTTTTGATAACTTTAGCCGAATCCCGAGAAAACGTTGAGACTTTCCTGGATAAACTGCAAGAGATGTTCCAAAACACCCAAAATCCTGGGTCTGCTATGGGATCCGCACTCCGAGCAGGCCATCAGCTTATTGGACCCGTTGGCGGTAAACTTACTGTTTTGACTGCCTCACTGCCGAATATGGGATATGGTAGCCTGGAGATGAGAGAAGATAAAAAGGTTCTCGGCACAAGTAAAGAAAGTAGCTTGCTACAGACCGCCAGCAGCTTCTACAAGAGCTTTGCTGTTGAATGCTCTAAACAGCAGATATCCGTCGACATGTTCTTGTTCTCTTCTCAATACCAGGATGTTGCCTCTCTGAGCAACCTACCTAGATACACTGGTGGCCAAACATACTTTTACCCAGGCTGGAATGCCGCCAGGAGCGAGGATGCCATTAAATTTGCCAAAGAATTCTCTGACTACCTGTCCGCCGAGATTGGGCTCGAAGCTGTCCTTCGTGTGCGCGCAACCACTGGTCTACGTATGAACACATTCTACGGAAACTTCTTCAACAGGAGTTCGGATCTTTGTGCTTTCCCTGCCTTCCCTCGCGACCAAGCATACGTCGTAGAGGTTGCCATTGATGAGACTGTTACCAGGCCTGTCGTTTGTCTGCAAACCGCTGTTTTGCATACGACGTGCAACGGCGAACGAAGAATTAGGGTTCTGACTTTAGCTCTACCCACTACTCAGAATCTGGCTGATGTGTATGCCTCTGCAGACCAGTGCGCTATCACAACCTACTTCAGCCATAAGGCTGTTGAGCGTACTCTCGGAGGTGGCCTAGACCAGGCTCGCGATGCCTTGCAGGCCAAAATTATAGAGCTACTCTCTACATACAGAAAAGAATTGGCGGGTGGCAGCGTTGGCGGTGGTGGTTTGCAGTTCCCTGCGAACTTGCGTGGATTGCCTATCTTATTTTTAGCAATGATGAAGAACGTAAGTAGATCTTTGACCCATGCCGTTAATTTGAAAGTTCTCTGGATATAACCTGTTGTACTAACGAACATGAAAGCTTGGTCTTCGAAAATCCGCACAAATACCTACAGATATGAGATCTGCTGCTCTCTGCCTTCTTTCTACTCTTCCTCTTCCTCTCCTTATCCAGTACATTTACCCCAAAATGTACTCTCTCCATGACATGCCTGATGATGCAGGTATCCCCCACGAGGAAACAGGAGAAATTGTGCTCCCACCCTTGACAAACCTTTCATCTGAACGACTTGCGCCGCATGGAATGTATCTGATCGATGATGGCCAGACTCAGTTCTTGTGGATTGGCCGTGATGCAGTCCCGCAACTTATTAATGATGTATTCGGGCTCAGTGACAAGTCTCTCCTAAGAGTTGGCAAACAGTTCTTGCCAGAAACTGAGAACGACTTCAATGAACGCGTCAGAGCAGTCATCAACAAGAGCCGAGACACCCTATCACGCGGGGTGGGAAGTATTATTGCACCACACCTATATGTTGTAAAAGAAGATGGTGAACCAGGCTTAAGGTTATGGGCACAATCAATGATGGTGGAAGACCGAGCAGATCAGAGTGTCAGTTTACAGCAGTGGATGGGTTTATTGAGAGAGAAAGTAAGCTTTCCCCTTTTCCCTATTCTTTCGGGTATATATCAGACCGCTTTTATGAATATAACTAACATGTCTCCTCTATAGGTTATCCAGTAAACGCATATTAGTACTAGACAGGTTGGTTTTCACTGTCCTTTTTGTCTGTTACTTCAATTGTTAATGCCAAATAATAATGTGCGAGGATTAGTTTCAAACGCTAAAATATAAGATCTTCTTTGGTGCATCCAGCCTCTAAATTTTTGATTAAGGTACTATGTTGGTTGTATTATGAACTGTGCTTACTGTGTATAAGGAAGGTCTACTTCTTTGGAGGCTTAACATTCTAGTAGAATGATGACAACAGATAGGTCTTTGGTTGGTACATTTATGCCTTTGATGCAGCGGACATAGTTTTCTCCCCAGCCTAACTACATTTTAACATCTAGCGGTCAAACACAATATTGGCGAATTTCAAAAGCCCCGGTGCGGCCAATACATTCTACCGGAAATGCTCCTCGATCCTCTACTTTATTTTGAGCGTGAAGATCAACTATCGCCTTACTCACCATGAAATCTGTTGTTCCGGGGGGGAAAATAATATCGTTCGCTCGAGCAAACCATTCTTGCTGCAAGAAGTCGACTTCCCACTCTCGTACACGGCGCCTCCAGTCAGACATCTCCTTTAATCTCTTTGCCTTGTTCATGGTGATCCAAGATAACTGCTCGTTTCGTAGCCTCTTTATTTCGCGGATGATCGCTTCTCTGGACGACCATTGTTCCTCAAGCTGGACGTGCTCCTTAGAAACAGGGATGCCCCTGCTGTCTCTGAAAAATAAACAATCTGCTTTCATCGAGACAGAGAAAGACGGCGTCGTTGGGGTACCAGATGTCGGTATAGTCTCCTGTCTTCTTGTTCTTCCTTGCGCATGGAAGGGCGCTATCGTTTGTAATGCTAACATAGGTCATGTAGTCTGGTTGCTCTTCTTGTTTTGGCTGAAGGGGTGGAATGCCGTTTTTGGAGACCACGGCTGGCATCAATGCGTACCTGGATTTGGGAGAAGCGTAGGAGGTGGCCAGGCTCAAAGTTGTCGTTGGTAGTAGGAGGCTGCTGAGAGCCAAACCGAAGAGGTGCTTCTTGCTGGGCCCTAGATAGGCCTGCATTCAGCATAGCACTTGCCCTCAGGTTCATGGTATCAGTATTTTCACGCGTTCTTAGCTGTCCAATTTCAAGGTACGCCTCATTAGGCTCGTTGTTGGGATCGGATGCTCCACCTTCACCTTCAGGTAGAGCTGGGTTTCTGCAGAAGTGTTGCTGAGGCAAAGGGCGCGGAAAGTCAGTCATTTCCATTCCACGGACAAATTGGTACCCCCTGGCTGCATTTTGAAAGGATATATTGGATTCAAGCAAGGGACGGGTATCATTGGGGCCACGCTTGTTAAATGCCGACGGTAGGTCGCGAATCTCCTGGGGAAGAGTTGGCAAGATGTCATCTAGTATCGCTGGTGGAAGACGATCCCAAACGTCGACAAGCTTCTCCTGCAAGCCGCTTGGGCGCGTAGGTCGGTCTTTCTGCTCCATCCGCTGTTTAGTAGTAGGCTGAGCGGGTGGGATATGTCACTAGATGCTGCGGTCTCGAGCGTGTAAAGAGATCGAAAGTGAGACATGGTCAGAGCAAAAGTTCTTTCAGACGCAAGGCGAAGCCTTTAAAGAGTAAAGTACTCTGTACATGGTCAATATGTAAACTGAGATACTTCATGGTCTTTGGCGCGGCCTCTTCATATCCGGGCTCAGGTAGCAGCAACCTCACCATCAATAATGATACGACCAGATATCTGCAGGCGCGAAGAAACCCCCAATGACGGGTATCCGGGATGAATAGCAGGCTGATATCATGCTATTACATGGATTATTATATGGAAGAACTAGAACCCATTGGCAGTGTCGGTTAGCAGGGCAGAGTCGACAAGTGTATATACAGTATAGCCGACCCTATAAATAAACCATCTCCGTCGAATGATATGGCTGAAGACGTCTTTGTCATTGCATGGCAGATGTATACATGCTGCAACCAGCTATTTATATGTAACCAACCCCCTTTTTCGACCGGGATGTTTTGGCGTTTGAGAAAGCGCCTGTTTAGCCGCCGGTTTCACGAGGGGCGCAGCTCGACGGCATATTCACGTTAGTTAATAGAGACGGCCTCTCCCTCTCTCCCGTCTCTTGTCTCTCCGTCTTCTTCTCATTCTCCATCTCAGTCAGCTTCTCTCTCTCTGGGTTCTTCGCTCGAGTCTTGCCTGCGCCTCCTTTTTTGCTTCTTCTCCTTGCTACTCCGGCCTTGTAAGCTTTACCCCTCAATCAATCACATTTCATCACATCTTGGGCGAAAAAAACCCCCCTGACCTTGTTGTCTTCCCCTTGTACATCTTAAGAGGCAGAGAGATATTACGCGGATAAGATACATCTGCTCTGCTCTCCGTCCCGCTTTGGTGTTCCCGTGGGCCGCTGTTGACTTTTTGCGGTCTCTGTTTGGGCTTGTTTAGTGCCGTCCGCGGAAGTTGTTATCAATATTGACATCCGCTCAGAGTCAAGCTGTTTACCAGCCACCCCCATCGAACGACCAAACCAGACAACAAACACCGTCGAAATAAAGAAACGGACCTATCTTGCCTCGTCTGTCCTGCTCCATCCGTTGGTTTTATTCGGTCTATCTGGAGGAGAGGGCTTCACAGATCGAAGATTATCACCCCGCGCTGAGATCAGACGGTACGTTAAACCGCCTATATTTCGATTCTACACTCGGCGGACGGTCAAGTTCTGCTTGCACTGGATAGGTGGAGACATACAAGGGTTACGGCCAGACTCTTCTGCCCAGATGTAAGTTATTAGTGATGTTTGGCCGTTTGGACTGGTGTTATTCGAGTTCCTGGTGCATTATTGAATAGCGCTCATCCCTTTATTCATGGAAGACTGACAATGGGCTATTATGTGCAGATTATCTTATTCCACCCTCTTTTTACCTTTCGTCTCTTCCAAACTACAGGCTTGAAGACATACTCTGCCTGTGGTATCTTCTACAAACCGTGTCTCTAATATCTGCTCTGTCTGGACAGCTTCTCTCGCCCTTACCACAGATACAACATCTAGCTGTTGAACCCGAATCTACAGTTCTTATACCTACCATTACAAGCAGAGATCCAGGGCATCCTGCTACTCCAGACCCAGAGACACCATGGTCCAACCACCAGCTCCCAACGGGGGTTCGAGAAAGATATCGTTCAACGTCTCCGACCAGTATGATATCCAGGATGTGATCGGTGAAGGAGCTTACGGAATTGTCTGGTATCTTGCTGCCTGTCACCATACATTCTCTTATGTCTGTGTCTAACTCAGCTGCGTGCGTAGCTCCGCTGTGCATAAGCCATCTGGTCAGAAAGTTGCCATCAAGAAGATCACCCCATTCGACCATTCCATGTTCTGTCTCCGTACCTTACGGGAGATGAAGCTACTACGGTACTTCAACCATGAGAATATTATCTCCATTCTTGATATTCAAAAACCCCGCAACTTCGAGAGTTTCACCGAAGTGTATCTCATCCAGGTACGGCTTGTTCACCCGAGAAGAGTTGTTGCATGTTTTAATTAACACTGCCACAGGAACTGATGGAAACTGATATGCACCGAGTTATCCGTACCCAAGACCTATCTGACGACCACTGCCAGTACTTTATTTACCAGACTCTACGAGCTCTAAAGGCCATGCATTCTGCCAATGTGCTTCACCGCGATCTCAAACCGTCTAACTTGTTACTCAATGCAAACTGTGACCTGAAAGTCTGTGACTTCGGCCTTGCTCGTTCTGCCGCATCAACAGACGATAACTCTGGGTTTATGACTGAATATGTTGCTACGCGCTGGTATCGCGCCCCAGAAATTATGCTGACATTTAAGGAATACACAAAAGCCATCGATGTTTGGAGTGTGGGTTGTATTCTTGCCGAAATGCTGAGCGGCAAGCCCCTCTTCCCTGGAAAGGATTGTATACATGCCCTTGTTCTCCCAAAAATCCATTATCCTCCCAAGGACAACTGCTAACAGTACATAGACCACCACCAGTTAACTCTTATCCTGGATGTTCTTGGAACTCCAACGATGGAAGATTACTACGGAATCAAATCTCGCCGTGCACGAGAATATATCCGCTCTCTACCTTTCAAGAAGAAGATTCCGCTCAAGGCGATGTTCCCCAAGACTTCTGATCTGGCATTGGATTTGTTGGAGAAGCTTCTTGCTTTTAACCCCGTTAAGCGAATCTCTGTTGAAGATGCACTACGCCACCCTTATTTGGAACCTTATCATGATCCAGAGGATGAACCGTCTGCGGACCCCATCCCCGAGGAGTTCTTCGACTTTGATAAGAATAAAGACACGCTGAGTAAGGAGCAGCTCAAAGGTATGTAATACACTCCCTATAGCAGATTAACCGTTCTTCTATTTATATCGTACAATTAGCTAACATGTGACGGCTATTCTCAGTGCTTATCTTCGAAGAAATTATGCGGTAGAATGTGTTTTCTCATCTCTTTTTTCCACCTTATTTTGCTATATTTAACAATCTCTACGCTTCTGTTTTCTAACCCCCTCTTTTTTGTTCAAATATTTAAAAAAAATGAGGGAGTGCACGCAGCATGCTATTCAAGGTATAAATGGCTGGGCCTAGGGAATCCCCCTATCTTTGACAGTAGCCTCTATTATTGCAGTTTTGAATCAAGGTTTAAATATTTGAAATTTGTCTGCCTGTTCTATAGACAGTAGAATGTTGTGTACCTTGTGAGATACCAACCGCTTAAACAGTAGCTTGAAGCCTGCTCCCGCCCACTTCTAGTAAATATATCTAGGTAGGCACTTATGCGTTTATTATTATACCCTATCCAATGAAAACATTTAGGTCATCCGTCTTGTATTTTAGACAGCCCTTTCCACTGATCTATAATAGGTTGAATTCCTTCTCCTAATCCCTCAGGTGAAGGCTTCTCAGCACACACATCCGGCTGGATGCCAAAGTTGCAAACCAGATGGTCTCTTGTTGTCGGGCCGATGGTTGCAATCCGATAATCAAAATTCATCCACGTTCTCGATGTCTTCCCTATCCTGGACGGTTGTACCGGCCCTTTACCTCCTTCTGGTTGTCGGTTATCTTCTTCTCTTCTGTCATTTCCCAGTAGCCCCAGGTGCCGTAGCATTACCTCACAGCCAGAGGGCGAAAACACCACAACCCATATTAAAGGCTTATGCAAGCACTTATCCTTAGCATCCATGTGAGCAATTGCCTGTTCTTCCTTTTCAAGAGCCATTACAAAATCTTGTCCAAAAGATTCCATAACGCCAGTCTCATACACAACCATTGTGTCAACTCCAATGCGTTCTTCCGGGTCGACAGACGGAGACATGAGTGTTCTCGGTATGATATCACGGTGTTGTTCACCAACTAGGAAGAGAAGCGGTAGCTTTTCTTTTTTATTATCCTCTGATATTTGTGTTCGTAGGCTGTTATAATGGGAGAGTATAAGGCTGGCAAGCTTCTCTCCGGTACCGGCATTTTCACCTATAACTTGGGAATGCGGGAAGTAGGCATCGCATAGCGACTTAAGTGATCTATGTGTCGCTGGACCAACAGAATAAAACACTAGAGAGTGGGAGAGGTTCACGGTACTATTTCCTACTGGTATTAAACGTGCTTTCATTAGTTACAATTTCAAACCCAGCAGCCTACTTGGGAACAAAGATGCCGTGACTTACTTCCTACCTCATCCTGTATCATCTTCGAGAACCCTTCAACGGCTCTCTGGCTTGTAAATATTATTCCACCATATGTTTCGACCATTTCTCCAGAGAGAATTAGGTCTCTAACTTTTTGTAGGTTATTGTGGTTGAACTTGTGTTCGAAGACTGGAATAAAGCAGGGCCTATAGCCTCTTGAGGGCGAGAAGTATTCTGCGTAGCCATCGTGAGGAATAGATTTAGTTTTCAGGAAATATATAGGAATCTCCCGGGTAAGTGACAGAGACATGGTTGAAAGGTGATATACTTGAAGTCAGGGCGATCCTATATTGTAGATGCTGTAGGCTCAATTAAATGTTAGCGGCGCTATCGCGCTTACATAGCTAGATATTGGATTATATACGCCACCTATCTATATACAGGCCTCTGATGATACCACGCGGCGGCACTTTTCGGTTGCCGCAGACAAAGGCAGACGATTAGCTATATAAGCCAGGGAGAAAGAATCCATGTCCGATTGCGCTAGTCTACTAGAAAGGTCGCTTCGACTATTGTAGAAGCGAATTGGAATATGCAAGTTACAAGATAAGGAAATAGAAGAACGTCAAGTCGACACTGTGTGTACATACATAAAAGATCTAAAAGAAAAGAAATGAATAGTATAATACTAGTTTATTGGGAGTCCAGAACATGGAGGTATTTCCTCTCCTCCTTAAGCTCGCGCTCGGTGGCCGGTGGTAGATCCGCATACTGGGAACTCCTGTACCCAAGCTATAATTGGAAGTTAGTACTTAGATACCTTAGGTGGCGTTAGGTGGGTTTCAGGGGGTGCATACCAAGTAATGGAATGTGAGAGTGCTGAGGTCAGTTGGTTCAATGCCCAGATCCTTGAAGGTTTTAGCTGTTGGGTCGATGTGCTGGTCAATGAATTCTCTTTCCACTTCGTCCGCAGAGGTAATTGGCCACCAAAGCAGCTTGTTCAGCCAGTAGGCAGCGGGCTTCATGATGGTCTTTGGAATATTGACGTGTCGGCGCTTCTTGATTATTTCACGGTCAACGAGCTCGGAAATTTCCTTGGTGGAGTAGTTCTTTGGGCCGTAGAGCTCAAAGGTTTGAGCAGTAGTCCATTCTTCCATTAGCATGAGCTCGAGGGCTCGGCCAACGTCAATGGCCTATGATACAATTAGAAGGAGCTCGCAGGGCTGGTTTAAGAAGGAAACTTACATGGACTGGCCAGTATCTTTCCTGCATGTGATTCGATGTAAAGATATTCGTTACTCCGGCAAGCCTATGCAGAAGTCTATCCTCAAACCCGAACATTGGGGCCGGCCTCACAATGGTAGTCTCTGGGAAAATGGATCTTGCAACATTTTCACCCTGGGCCTTAGTCCTGAAGAATTCAGAGGGAGAGTCGAGGCTCGCGTTATACGAGGAAACATGAACATATCGGTCAACGTCATATTTCGCGACCGATTCGACAATGCGTTCAGTACCTTCGACATGGATATCTTCATAAGAGAAGTTCCTACAACGATGTTAATATTTCGAGGCCCGCCGTCGGAATGAACATGGAATCTTACTTGGTGGGATAGTTTCGGCCGATCAAGTTGTAAACGATATCGGAATGGCGTACGCTCTCCTCGATCGATTGGGTGTTACGAAGGTCATATTCCTAAGATATCGTTCAGCAAACGGTATATCTCATGGCCTTTTGGGGGCTATACCATGAAAACAACTCTTCCCAGGTCACCGGTCACTTTCAGGTGACGTTTTGTCATCTCCTCTCGGTATGGTACGATAACAGTGCATCCCTGGCGAGCTATAAACCCCGAAATCAGCCAACACGGTCATTGCAGCGTGTACACAGCATTTATCCCATACCCAGCCTGTTCACAATGTAACGTCCCAAGAAGCCTGTTGCGCCAAAAACGGTAGCGGTGTGGCCTAGGAAAGTGAATAATCTTTAGAATCTACAGCCGGCCAATTGCATATAAGTGGACTGCAGAAATACCTCCGAGAGATGACCTGTTGGTAATGTCAACGTTAGCAATATGTCCGGCTTCCCACTTGCCATTGACGCCACGCCGGAGCCCACCAGTACATACCGTCCACCCTGCACCTTGATAATTGGAGATCCGGTTCGAGTAATGAAGACATCCTGTATGTTCCTGCGCTGGATATGAGGTTGAGCTCGAACCGGAGTCGATAGTGGGAGGGCGGCCTTGGAGCTCAAGGCGCTCTGCACGGCGCGGCACTTTTGCATGGTAACCCCAGTCAATGAACCATTTAACGCCCGTTGAGAGCAAATAGTTCACCACGGACTCGAGCAGGTCGAGAGAGCTGAGATATCAGGGAGGCCGGTTCGATCTTGATGGTTGTTCACTCAAAAGTTGATAAATTGGTTGTTTGATGGTGAGAGTCTTGAAGCCGGCGCGCTAAACTGGATGCGGCGAGATGCTCCCGCCGCTTTTAAGGTCGCTTTATCCAATCGGGAGACAAGAATTACATTCTTTTTTTCGTCTGCATCTACAGAGAACTTGCAGGATAGAACACCGCAACGCGAAGTCTACACCAGAAAGATAGAGAAGCATCAAAAACAAGGAGCATGCATCATCATCTGCAGAGAAGACAAGCATTATGGTTAGCTTGGTATATATATAACGGTATCGTACTCAAGCAGATCGGGGGTTTGTTACCGGTTCTTGATGATATCGGTACAGAGCAAGAGTCTTACGTGTCGCTAGATGAAAGATACTGATTTCTGGACATACAGGCTCTTACAACTGACCACTGTTTCAAAGCGGAGGAGATCTTTTCCGAGGTGTCGGAGGATGATTCCCATTGCAGTCAAATAAGATGGATGCAGTGGAACGTATCGCCAGAGCGCTGCTATTTCTGTCAGATGGCCTGCAGGCACCCCATATAGCATAATCACAATCAATGCTTAAATCGATGCACGGTTGAGAAAAGATAAACAAGAGGCTACCCTCTCTTGGTTTAAAGGTGAAAACTTTCATACCTTAAGATCAAATTTCCAGGATCCAATACCAGGGGCAGACAGCCATATTCCAGGAGTAATCTGCACGCGAAAAGTATTAGGTTAAGGTTCCTCTTCAGCCTAACCTCTCCGCTGGGTTCTATGCGTTTTGTGTAATCCCAGGCAGCTGGGAATTCATACCTGATTCTCATCGATCAGTCAATGCATAAACCCAACTTACTTTGGATCGAAGCCCGTTTCTACAGGTAGTGCTACCATCAGCCAATATCTGGTTATTTGGGTGGGGTGGGGGTCCGGATAGTCTGCCTGTAGCCTGGGGTGAAAGTTAACTAATTGGTGCGCTTCTGGCTTTTATAAAAGTTAAGGCTCTTATATGAACTATCAAATAGGCAAATGTGATATTCGCTGCAGCAGTAGTAAGGTGGCGAACAAAGACTTGAGACTGCAAGTAGGCAACTTTATGGATAAGTTATTAATACACGTTATATACATACATTGTACGTAGAACCGAACAAAATAGTAATGCTAGTAGATATTAAATAAATGCATCCAATATATCAACGCAGAATGACACCAAGCAAATTTCGCTTAATCACGATCAATATTTGTTAATAATGCCGACCGACCATTCGAAATATATCCAATAAAACCTATAATCACCATATATCCCTCCATCCAAGCTAGCATGCCGGCTAGACATAATAAAAATGAATAAACCCGCCCTTGGCCACCCAAAAAAAGAGAAAATGCAGACTCCAAAGTAAACCTGTGGTACTCCGTACACCGCTGAACCATAGCCAACGCCGTGCTTCCCAAGAGCTAAAACAAGAGTCCTTTTTGTTACAAAGGTGGTAGAGAATCATGGCCCATGCACATGGTTGACCTCCAAGGGTTTAGAAGGAGTAACATCATAAGTTGTGGTTACTTTTATGCCCCCATGCGCTGGGTCGTTGATCTCCAGGGACTGGTTCCCCGTAGAAGAAGTGGTCCCACGTCCGTTGCTAGAAACCTGGGTAGCAAATCCCATTTGTGCTTGGTTATAGGGAAGAGATAATTCTTCGCTACAGTGGTCATCAGCGGTCCTGAGAACGGACAACTGATCAAATCTACTCCTTGGCACTTTGCTGAGTTGATAGCTGCTCGTGGTATTGGAAGATTGATTCTCGCTATCTTTAGGTGAAGAGTCGTCGCTAGTGATAGTCCAAGCTCTAGGGCTGAATATTGGCTTTATGCACGGCGCATTTATAGCAAGAATGGCAACAAACTAGAGGTATATGAAAACCACAAGTAAGTTTTCAACCATTCGCGATAGTTGGGCCTGAACAAGGCATGGAAACGAGGATAGAACATACACTTTCTCGAATAGCCCAGATGGTGCTGATGTTGATACCATGGATGGACTGTATGGACAAGATACAACGAAGGAGAGTTGCAGCCATGATAAACACACCTCCGCAGAGTAGGAGCCCAATTATAAGTTTTCTATATATGCGAGTTAGTTTCAAGACCTTGGTTGTTGGAAGTATATCACAGCTTGCCTTGCCAGCGGTATCCTAACTCTGACTAGAAGAGGTAATGGGATCGAGAGGAGAAGCATGTCGGTACTAACAACAGAAGTTTAGTTTGCGTTTACCCCGAAAAGAGTCCTTGTCTTTCAGGGGACCAACAGTAAGTTTGTTGTAGCTACCGCAATATAGTTTGGGATACCCAAGGTACATATATCTACATTTCATCGCAGTTAGCCATCCTAGACCTCGTATATGAGCTTTTTGGGGAACGCATTTACCTCCAGGGTCTGGATTGACCTGCCAATTCTTCTCGATAGGGCGACAGTGTGAAAGAATGGTGATCATGCTTATTGCATATGTACATGCACATATTATGGCAGCAATCTTCACCATGCTCTCCTTGTATAGACCAATCCTGCAGGTGAGTTTCAGCTATCTGGCCATAATAGAGATCTCGGGGAAATGGGGGAACATGGAGGAGGCCAGCGTACGTCAACCGGGCATAAAAGAATAGCATGCATGCTTTAAGGGACCAGATGAGAGTCGTATACATCAGCCAGCCGGCAAGATTGCATTTTGTGCCAAATTCCAGCCTTGCGATATCGTCCGGTGAAAGAGCAGCTCGTTGGGCATCTGTTAAGCCGATGTTGGTTCCCGTTTGCCCTGTATGATGACTTAGTCCATGAAATATGAATAGTAGAGTAGGTTATCCTCATTCTTCATACCTATTAGCTCCAGCATGGCAAGCTCCCCCTAGCTTGACAAGTTAATACTTCCATCCTGATCCTGGGAGAAGAAGAATGCCTGGTCTTCCAAGAGTCAAAACTAACCGACCACAGCAGCAACACCAGAATGATAACGAAATCGTCTCCATGCCAGTTCCAACGCACGATTTTCAAACGAGCACCTATTCGTAGCAAGATGACAGCTACTCCGATCCCGTATTCCGTCCATGCCTCATTCTTAAACGGCGTTGACTTTGAATCCCACATTTTAATCTCTGGTTCAATATAACCTCGACAAACAGACTGTGACTTGATGGACCGGTAAGGCTCCTCCTTCTCATTGTCCAGGTGTCTGACTTTTTTCGAACAGTTAACCTGTCCGGCTCACGCATATGAAGGCCATGATCCGTTTGCACATAAGGTAAATAGGCGGCCGTGTCATGATTGTGGAGGCTGGCATATTTTATATATTAAACTGACCACAGCCGTGCTTTGACTGACTGGTACACGGGAAGAGCAGCTCAGCTGCTCTCGCACGGAGTATACTATGTACGTACAACGAATACTATGTACATGAGAGGCTTCTCCTGCCAGCAACCTTAACCTTGCCTGAACCCACAGCGGCAACCCGAGCTATTTAGTGGCGAGGGCCCAGAGCGTCCCCATAAGTTGAACGAGTGGAGGGCATTAACTGCTATGAGAGTGGGAGGCAAAACGACAAGAGATGGATATTTACCGTGTCAGATTAGACACAGACAGATCGCTGATCGATCGCTGAAGACAGGTGTCTTTCTCCTTTACCCCTTGGGGGCAAAAGGGGACAACATCGCAAACAACGCGAATGTCAGAGCCGGTTAAGATATTATTATATTGGGGCTCTTCCTGCAAGACGTGCAGCTACTGTGTGAAGATGAACAGCGAAAATATGATCAGTACAGAGTTGCCTCGGACTCAACCTGACTCGGGCTAGTCAGAGTAACAAAAAGCAAATGTTAGAGGAAGCTGAATGCTGGCCATTGGCCGGCAGCATAAGCGGAAGCAAAAAACATCTTGCTGATCCATTAAATGGAATGATACTTACATAGTAGTATCGATTGCTTGCAGGACTGCACACTAACCGATATTTGTTGTTTAGCGATTCAAATTGGCTAAAGAACGCCAACCGTCTGAAGCCACTCGCGAACACGTCTCCTCTCTATCATAGCACCACCACAGAATACGAGATACACAAAGTGGCACATTGGAGAAACGGGGTCGATCTCCCTCTGCTAGTTCCGATAGTCAGATGGGTACCATTTCTGGGGTACCACCACTACTCTCTTCACATGGTAGAGCCAACAGAGACCTAGCGGTGGGCCAATCAACAGACCCTCCGCTGGTGATTAAGAGATCTCAAGTGGGCTTGCTAGTGGGGTGAACGCTGAATCTTCAGAAATCGATCTAGCGAGGTTGAATCTCTTCATATGAAACCTGCGGAAGCAGAGGCCATTTGAGAATTATCCGACGTTTTTACGCTACAAAGTACCAATCATGAGTGCCACACAAGGGACCTTGTCTTACGACTATATCATATGCGGGTAGGCAAGGCTATTAACCAGAATATATCTGATGGAGTGCTGACAGTTCTTGTCTAGGGGAGGCACGTCAGGCTGCGTTGTCGCTGCACGGCTTGCAGAGGACCCCGATGTCAAGGTCTTGCTTCTGGAAGCGGGGCCAGATAGTGCAGATATAGAAAACGTCCATATGGTGGGAGGGTGTGTAGAGCCTGCCATGTGTTCCTTGTGCAATAGTGCCTGCATACTAACAAGACCCTTAGCTGGTCTAACAACTTTGACTCGGAGACGGACTGGAATATCATTACCAATCCGATGCCGGGCGTGGATGGTAGAGAAGTGAAACTAAGCAGAGGACGGTTCCTCGGTGGCTGCAGTGGATGCAATGGCACGCTGTGCATTCGTGGATGCAAACAAGACTATGATGATTGGGGACTTGAGGGTTGGAGCGGAGAGGAGTTCTTCAAGTGCATGTCAAAGGTGTGGCCTACCCAGACTCCGCCTCATTTCCTGGAAGGGTGAAAAAAAGGAGACAAAGAAGATAAAAAGAAAAAGAAAGAAAAAGAAAACTGACGCTGATCAATAATTATATGGGATAAGGCGGAAACATTTCATCCCAAGCCATGGCTGGAAAGCGTGGAGGGCGCTCATGGAACCTCTGGGCCTATCCACACCGAACCGCATGACCTTACCCCGATATCAAAGCGGATTATGGACTCATTTATATCCAAGGGCATGCCATACCATGGGGATATATTCTCAACCGGCGATGTGCCCCATGGCTGCGGCCACGTTGTGAGAACCGTGTATAAGGGGCTCAGATCGATGGCGGCGGACTACCTTACAAAAGATAACCGCAAGGATAACATAACCATTCTGTGCAATACATCCGTAGACAAGGTCATCATCGAACCCCACGAAGGCGGCTTTTTAGCAAAAGGGGTCGCAGCCATTTCAAATGTCGACCGAACCCGTCATACGTTCTACGCAACTAGGGAAGTTATTGTTAGTGGTGGTTCCTATTGCAGCCCTGCTATCCTTTTGCGATCTGGAATCGGACCACAAGAAGAGCTAGACAAACATGGCATTGGTTGCAAAATCAACCTCCCTGGGGTTGGCAAGAATCTAATGGACCATCTTGTAAGTAGCGCAACCGAACCTGGCGGAAAAAAAGAAAATATACACTGCTTATATATATGCCACATGTTGATCCTCAACTGCTTTCCAAGCCACCCGCTAAACATTTATTAGATTGTAGCCATTTTTTATGAAACTGAGGAAGGGCTAACAACTGACCATCTTGCCTATCACGAAGGTGCTTTTCAGAAATCATACACCGAGTGGAAAGAAAAAAAGTCTGGCTTCCTGTCGTCCTTTCCATTTGGATCCTTTGCTTTCGCCCGTATCGATGATCTCTTAGCGGATGTGCCGGCCTGGAAAAATGCGCCCCGTAAAGAAGGGAGAGACCCGATGGGGCTCACTCCACGTCAGCCAAATATCGAACTTTTCAACACAGAATGCTACGGTGGGCCGAAGCAATATAACTTATACCCAACGGATAAACATGCCTTTTCCCTTATTGCTGAGCTCTTTGGTCCTAGATCTCGTGGGTCCGTGACATTGAAGTCTGCAGACCCCCTTGACCCACCAGCCGTCGACTGCAACTACCTTGATGACCCGCTGGATATGCTTGTAATCACCGAGGCCTGTAGATTTGGTAATGAGATCATGACGGAAGGGCTCGGGACTAAGGATATTATAAAGGGTTCTTGGCCTCCAGAGCTTAAGCATCATACCTTCAAGACAAGAGAGGAATGGATACCCTATGTCAAGGAGCATGGAACAACTTGTAAGCCATATATATATATCTAACCCATCACCACCGCTGCAGATTAAAATAATGCTAACTCTGTGTTTGACACAGGCTACCATCCTGGCGGAACATGCGCCATGGGCAAGTCGGACAATCCAAATGCTGTACTTGATGAGAAACTGCGTGTACGAGGCGTAACCGGCTTGAGGGTTGCTGATTGCAGTGTCATGCCTCTCTTGCATGGCGGCCACAACCAGATGCCTGCCTACGGAATTGGCGAGAAATGCGCAGAGATCATTAAGAGTGGAAACTAGACTGAGGGGAATCACTCACCGCGCCATAGGTGATTGTTACCGAAATTTGGAGTGTCAATTTTATGGACGAGCAAAATAGTAAACAGAAGATTGGCTACAGAGTAGATATAAAATAAAATTGGGAGGATAATTTCACATTTGCAATTTCGTAGGTGTCGGACTAGGCGGCGCGCCTCCAAATAACTAGCTCTTTAGTATGTCAATCTTGGTCCGTTCCCCTCGAGCAATAAAATAACGCATCTCCTTGGGAGGCTTTCCGTGCATGACCCCTTTCTCTGGTAACAAATAATCAAACCCATTCCCTACTCCAGCCTCTTCAAATTTATGCCTTAGACCAGGGCCAAAGCCGGAAGCAGTGATTCCATCTTCAATTTTCAGTGTGTGCTCTGTGAAATCCAGTACAACCAAAATTCCACCTGCTGCAAGCCTTTTGACTAATCTCTTTAATGCGAGGTCTGGAGCCTCAAAGTGATGAAGAGCAAATCCAATGATGATGAGATCGAAGTTGAAGTATTCTGGCCTTGAGAATTCCTCAGAAGGGGTGTCTGATAATAGATTCCCCTTCTTGGCAAACATCTTATCTGCTGGAAAGCCCAAAGCAGCAATGTTTTTGTTGTATTCTGCCACCATGTTTTGAGATATATCTATTCCGATAACCTCCGAAACATGGGGTAGTAATGTCTATGTAAGAGCAATTAACAAGGTTTCTTCATTTATATAGATAGAGTGTCATACTCGCGTCATGAAGCCTGCACCACATGCATAGTCTAGCATTCGAAATTGTTTCATGTTGTTGTTGGAAGTATCACCCCATTGTGGGCAGATCCACTTGTAACGGTCTCCAACCTCTTTGCCAATAATTTGAAGAGCCTCTTTGAATTGACTTTCATATTTAGAAGCAGCAGCACTGATATGTCATTAGTACATATTTCCGATAGAGAACGTATCTCTATCAACTGTATAGGGCGCAACAGTTGCATGGGAATTCTTACTCAAAGTTCACCTCGTTTTTTGCAGCTATGTCCATCTCTGTTTATTGTTGCAAGCTTCACTAGAAAGCGTGATAGAGAAAGGTTCGAAGGTTCGGGGAAAGAATTTCATAAATATGATAACTTGAGATTTGAGCAAAGGAGTAAAATCCACAGCACCAAGCAGTTACTTATATAGATTCACCATATTCTAGGCTCTAGTATATATCCTGGCGTTCTTAGGCTTCATATCCAGTGAGTCATGCCCTTGTCGTGCCATGGAGATTGAACACGGCTTCGGACACATTCTCGGACACATATTTTGGTGATCTTCGGACACATTAGGACCAGTCGGCGACATGCTTGGGTGAAATCAGTATAGCCAAAGGGAGGATATGCATCTGCACGCTGATCCTGCTTCATCAGCGAAGGATGAAGCCTGACGTGTGCTGTTGTTGAAGATGTAGTTTCTGATATCCTGAAATGAAGTTAAGCGATGACTAATCAATAACCGCTTACTCAGCCAAGCTTTCCTGCTACGGTTGAGCGCAGGGACCACTCAAGCTCTGATGCTAAACTTCAAGTTCGACCTTCTTGTTGACGCCGGCGACAGAAACAAACCATCTCCGTCCAGCTGTTTCGATAGTAATTATCAGGGGTTAAGACAGCCTCCGAAAACAACTAAACCTTTGCTTATCGACCAGCCTTCTTTTTTTCCGCGACCGCTTTGCCCGTTAATAGTCCAATTTCGTTCCGCCAAACCCACCAACTGGTCACCATGCAGGTTGACAAGATCCCAGATTTTCTCGCGGAGAAACGAGGGGAAGCTCTTGACGAATCTCAATCACTGCTTTTACAGGTTGAAGATTTCTGGGAACGAAAACTATGGCACCAGCTCACAAACGCTCTGATAGAGTACTTTTGTCTACCAGAAAGTGCACCCCAGAGGCTGTCGTTCTTCAAGAACTTCATTCTTACCTTCGCGGACAAGATAAATCAGCTCAAGTTTGTAACTCTGGGACTTATGGCGTCAACACAATGCAGCGGTTTGTAGCCCGTTACTTGAAGCAAGGCTGGATTTGATCGCTAATAGATTTCGATGGCCAGATGACCAAGAACGACTCTCCTTTTTAGCTTCGTTAGCAAACAAAGTCGATAAACCAGAGTCAAAGGATGCGCATGTGTATGCTATCGCAGATGTTGCGAGCGTCAAGCTACGGCTGAAGGACTTTGAAGGGGCACGAAAGGATCTTGATGCTTCGCAGGCTGTATTGGACATGTTTGATTCGGTTGAGAACGTAGTGCACGCAGCGTTTTACAAAGTCAATGCAGACTATTACCATGTAAGCGATGGTAGGTTTCTATTTGAAAAGGTACATTGTTACTGACGTCCTATGTTTCAGGCTAAACTTGAATTTGCTTCATACTACAAAAATGCCCTCCTTTACCTAGCGTGCATCGACCTGCAATCTCTGGCACCAGAACACCGTGTTGCCAGGGCATACGATCTGAGCGTTGCAGCTCTGGTCTCTGATACTATTTACAACTTTGGTGAATTACTTCTTCACCCTGTCCTAGATGAGCTAAAGGACACACCCCATGCCTGGCTTCGTGAGCTACTTATGGCTTTTAACCGGGGCGATTTGAGCGCATATGATGTTCTGGCTGTCAACATGGATAAAAACCAATTACTCCAACGACATAAGGTATTTTTATACCAGAAGATATCCCTTGCAGCACTCACCGAAATGGTTTTCCGACGACCACCACACAACAGAAGCATGACGTTTGCTGCTATATCAGAGGAGACCAAAGTTCAACCTAATGAAATCGAACATCTAATAATGAAAGCGCTGAGCCTCGGCCTCCTAAAGGGTACGATTGACCAAGTTGCACAGATAGCACACATCCACTGGGTGCAGCCAAAGGTTCTGGACATGAGTCAGATCGAGGGAATGCGGACAAGGCTACGTGAATGGGATGCTGGGGTTAACCAACTCGGCCACTGGATTGAAAGTGTAGGAAAGGACGTCTGGGCTGCATAGATCCTCATCGCTTGTCATGTACCTTTAACTACATCTTAGCTGGGTAATAGACCGAAGAATTCAACGATCCCCACTACCGTTAGATCTGCCATTGGATGTTTGCTATTGTCTTTCTCATGCTATTTCTCTCAGCAATTCACGGAAGTGTTATATAAAGAATCCAATGATTAGAGGCCTAGGGGACACCCCTAATTCTAGCGTTGGTGTATTATGAATTAACCCTCACAAAGACAATTCTCTACTTTAACAATTAAGACTTCATTGTAGTTTCACAGGTTAGAACCACATCTACCAGCCAACTATGTATGGAAATTGAACAACTACGCTAGCTCTCCCACTATAACTGGGGATTTAACCCAGACAATGGTATAATATCAAGGTATACGCATTAGCAACCATTACTATAGCTCCGTTCTAGTAGTTATAGAATTGATGAAAAATTTAACACATAGCCTGTGAGCCATGCCGGCCACCATATGCACCAAATCGCAACTTGAGTCCACATTCCCCAGACGTTCCATCCAAATGCTGCTTCAGATAGAACAAGTTCGACGGAGATGCCATTGGCTAAGCATATGCCAAGGAGTAACGCCATGGGGGAAAGAAGATTGAGAAGCAAAATCCCAAATGCAGTTTTTATTACAAGGACGGACCTTGCAGTAATTTCCGCCTCTGTCTGTACACGCTTAACTTTAGAATCTTGCGTTGGCTTAGATACCGGATGGGAAGGCTCTATGTAGCCGATAAAAGTGAGCGGAGTGCAGATGAGACCTAGGAGCAGGGACAGAGAGAAGTTAAGTGTTGCAAGGGCGGAGAGGAATAATCCTAGGAGTACAAGAGAGAAGGACTTGGCGAGAATGAACTGTTGGGTCGTTGGTCGTAGGAAGCGAACCACGAGCACAGCTATAACGAGGGGGATCGCGATGTTTGACACAGCGAAAATGTATGCTGCATAGGATAGAAACTAAAATAGGTTAGCTCAGCGCGAGATTATTACCGTTTTACGGTGTAGCATGCACATACCTGGCGAGGAAGACTATTGAAAGCGTATAACGGAATCGCCCCAAGGAAATGTAGCCCTAACACTAGAGCCAGTGGGAGTGATAGGTGCCTCTCTACAGCACCGTTGCTTCCGTCAACAGCAATGGTAGTAGAGCCTCGTTTTTCTTTATTCAATTTGGAATTGTCGGTAAGGGAAGCTGAGAGTAAGTCCGAGGTTGTATTTATAGTCCGGCGTCCACTCTTAAGCCATAGACCGATTGCCATAATCGTAAAGTTGCCTGCAATTAGCATTGCGCTAGGAAGATAAGTTCCAATGCTGACGAAGCGTTTCGAATGCATAAGCAGATAGAAGAAGAAGCTTTGATGGAAATGCTCAAGGAGGTTATTGATACTGCGAACAAGGCCCTCTATCGATCTTCCGAGCGCCATTTCATCTTCCCATCCCTGGCCAATAGTCTGAAACGTGATTGCGTCGATATGGTACGGAATAAAGCTGCTATGGACTCCAGCAGCATGACCAAGTCCCTGACGAACCATACCTTTAAGCATAGTCTGGAGGCGTTTCCGGTACTTATTATCATGGTTCCACACATGCTGCAAGTCAACAGGAATACCCATCTGGCCTCGGGCTATAGCAATGGCAGTGTTGAATAAATCCAGATTTGGTAGTTGTCCATTAACACCATCGTAGAGGATATGTAACGATTCAAATCTGTGATTCTGAGGGTGCTCGAATGCAATGGCGCCTTGTATGGCGCCGCTCTTGAGTGGTAGTGACTGAACTGATGGTGGATGCATGTCATGGTAAGCATCAACCCAAGCCTGGGCTCCCGACTTGCTATCCGGGGTGATTAAGAAAATGATATCCTTCGACCATAAAGACCATCCTGATTAAGCCAGTTTGGGTTAGCCAGACATTACTCAAAAGAATTATATAATACTAATTAGGGAACTGACTCTTAAAGTATCGTGCTAGTGTCAATGCTAATGCAACACCATGGAGGTTAAGCTCCCCATCAACTGTCTTCCAAGCTGCTACAAGAACAATTGCTTCAGTTCCATCTCCACGAGGGGCATGGATGACACTGTACACATTTTGCCCAGTATGTATGTTCCCGGAAGATTGATATTCGTAGTTTTGCGTAGCAACTTTTAATCCCGATTCTCGAAATACCGACTGGAGCTTCTCTGACACGCTATATTGTTAAATTAGCTCATTATTTTCTTCAACCGAGAAGAGCTCCACAAGAGTCTCGATAGTCACGGCGTAACATACAAGGTATAGTCAAGGTCTTTCACGGTGTCAAGCTCCTGTCGGTATGCGCGAAATATATTCTGCTCACTGCCAGCAAAGTATGTGTGCACCTGACCAGGGAGAAGAGCGTTTTCCGAGATGTATGTTTCTCGCGAGTATTCATTCAGGGGAAGGAGGAGAAGCCATATCACCCCGACAAGAACGAGAAGCACTGAGATATAGGGTGGAAGCTTGTACAGAGGCCGCGGGTCATGGCGGAGCTTCGCGACCAAAGTTGCTGTTGGTTGTAATAATTTGGTTAACTTGTGAAACTCATAATGAGCCAATGCCAACTTCTACTCACATATTAATGCCATGAGGGACTAGCCTTTCATGGGTTGCCTCCAATGAGTTCCATAAGTATAGCTCGTATGTGATCGAGGAGAAAGTGGTGTTTTTTCTTTCTCCTGTGTCCACCAACATCTAATACTTATCTATTCTCTTGATCGATGGAGTTGATAAATAGTTGTTCACGTGACCAATGCCAAGATATAATTTTGTGTTCCCCTTTTTTTCTCTCTTCTCCAACGTCAGCTTTTTCATCTTCTCATCTCCGCCGCACACCGTGGAATTATGGAAGGGTGAGGCGGTTTTTCGAAGACTTGCATGTAGTTCTCCTATCCAAAGCTACAAATTTAGCCTATAAGGCTTGCTCGGGCGAGTGAGAATAAATACAACCGGCAATTTGCGTAACATGAGGACCCCTTATAGCACATGCTATAATGGATGCAGCGAATTTATTATTATTTCTGTCCGCCATACTGGGTACAGTGGAATATATACCCTATTTTGATGCGCGATAGTACTGGCTCCCCAGTTGCAAGTTGTATGAGTACTCGCTTGTCAAATGCAAAACAAGAATTAAAGGGAATGGTTATCGTTTGTACCTCAATCGCCGGAACCTACTGATATATGGATATGGACAATCGATAACGTGTAACTTCCTCAGCATACTGTGTGAAATTGATTGCAGTGGTGTACTAACCCCACTGACATCTGCTGTCTGTTTTTTGCTCTGTGCAGTGGCTATTACAAAGGAATTGACTATTTGCTATTTACCATATGGCAACTAACGCCGGATTTGTGGATCTCAAAAGCCGTCGCGATAATACGGCCCTATGCAGGGCTCATTTATATGCGCCTGGTAAATTGAATCTTCGTCCTAGAGAAATGAGAAAGTGAGAATATGACCAAATATGAAGGAACATACGGTTCACTGCGCTTTACAGGACATAAGGAGCTAGATGAGGGAAGATGCAAGACTTGATTCTGAGGATCGATTATAAAAGGGCATCTCCAACCTACCAAAGCCTTCGATTCTGGTTTATTGCAATTTAAGACCCGAAGCTAATCCCCAACAATCTTAACCTTCCACCGCAGAAAATATGGAGTTCATGAAGGTTTTTTTCGTCGCCTTTCTTTTCTCTGCAGGCCTCCTGGTAGGTAAATATAGCCAAGACACTGGCCTGCTTAATAATAAAATGGGAACTGACATCTATTATAGGCTATGGCGAACCCAATTGAGGGGACTATTGCCACAAGTTCGATGATATACACTGGCCCAATTGCACCAGGGGGAAAGAATATGACACTTGAAGGCACAGCGGAACAGATTTATTATCAGATTCTCAAACTAAACCCTACTTACCGCCCAGAAGACTTTTTGACCCCTGCTACGAACACTAGATTTAAGTTAGAGGGACGGGGAAGGGTAAGCGCTAATACCCCTATAGATAAGAAGAAAATTTATATTGCTCTAATATGATGTCGAATGGGTTTCTAATACGAGATACAAAGTCACAAATAATTTGTGACCCTAGCGGCACATCAAGGGCATGGCGCGGCAAAATTCAAGAGGGCATCTCCTACCTAAGACGTGTCCCCCAATCCGGACACTGCAGGGTTCAAGGAAATCGATCTTGTAATAGAATTAGCTGATCCTGGGATAGCGCTATCTTTCTTTGCAATGATGTGAGTATCAGCTTGGGCTTCTTCACAAAAATAATAGACTAATATATCAGTAGAATCCGTATTGGATTGAACGGCCCTGTCCTCTTTTTGGTGATTACGCTGAGGGGATTTTACGCCAATGCCAAAGCTCTATCCCTAAGGTTGCAGGCCAGCAATTCGATACCGAAAACTTCAATATTCTGGTAAAATTTGATAAATGCTAGCTGGTGACGTAACTAGAGTAGGGGCTGTTTTGAAAAGCTTTCGTGACGTGGAGTTGCATTATTGTGCAGGTAAATAGCGAAAGGGTAAATCATTCTATCCTAGTATGCTCTGCGAGATTCCACAATAGCATGTTGCTGGGCTACGATAATCGGTTGAAGTTAGAATAATGATATCACTCTTTATTGCAAAATTGAGGCTGAAGAATGGCTCGCGTACGTAATTGGCGAATGGAGGATTCGGGCTTAGACCAATATCGCTATGTTTGCGAATGATAAATAGGGCTGTTAGAGGTCTTATTGAATCCTTCGGGCCGATAACAAAAATAGAGGCAAAAATAATGTTGCAGCCTTTTATACGAACTCCCGCAGGCATGCATGGGTTTTGGTTTTATCTTCTTCACATCACCTTTCCTCTGCATTCGGCAGGCTACCCATAACGAGGCCACGAATGAGTATACGTTGGCTGCCAAATTTAACTACCCTGGGAATTCGGCGCAAAAGAGCACCTACTTCTCATTCGGCTATGCTGGATTAACCTGGATTCATAACGCTACTGCTGAATCAGCCCCTGGTGATGCAGGGGCTTGTACAGGCGGGTGTCGACATCCAATGCATTGCCTCGATTGTCCCTGTCTGTCCTGCTAGAATCCTTCCCGGTATTGGCTACGGAGGATAGGAGGGTTTGTTTCAGGAGTCTTGTCAGTAGGTATATAAATCTCAAGTAGAGCAGCAGTAATGGATAACAAACAGAGCGGTTCTCCTTCACATTACCTTCGCACGATAACTCCGTTACAGAATCGATTGGACATTTATTTCGAATTCTATCTATAATTCCTCTACTCCAGCATGTCTGGTATCCTTTCAATGGCAATTGCAGCCATCGCAGGCCGTGATGAAATGTTCGATAGGGAGCTTTGTACCTTTGACATATGTGACATCTCCATATCCTGGTATAAATACCGACCATCTCTGCCAGCGAATGCGGCATTTGCTGCTCTGTTCTTTATATCTGCCGTCATCTTCCTTATACAGGGAGTGGTAACGAGACGGTTCATTGGCTTCACCATCGCCATGGTGTTAGGGACCATAGGCGAAACGATTGGATATGTCGGCAGAATATTGATGTGGAATAATCCATGGAAACAGGTATGCCATCTCCATTTCTCTATCCCAATGAAAATATTTGCTCAGAAAAGAATGGAAGGGTGGATAACTGACCTAAATGTAAAAGATTCCATTTATGATCCAAATATGCTGCCTTACACTCGCACCCGCATTCCTAGCAGCGGGTATATACCTTACCTTGTCCCGAATCGTGACGGTTTTTGGCGCAGAGAACTCCCGTATACGTCCACTATGGTATCCCCGAATCTTTATCCCTTGCGACATCATGGCACTGGCACTCCAAGGTGCTGGTGGCGGGATTTCCAGCACGGCCGGAGATGATGACCGGTCACAAGCTGACCTGGGCAAAAATATCATGATCGCCGGTCTGATCATCCAGGTCGTCACTTTGACTATCTTCATGGCTCTTGCTGCTGACTTTGCCTTTCGTACCCAAAGCCGCATTCGTGCTTTGGGCAACGCCGCACTTGATTCAAGCTATTCTCATCTTCGCGCGTCGTCACAGTTCAAGCTTTTCCTTTTGGCCCTATCTGCGTCAACAGTTTGCATATATGTGCGAAGTATCTATCGCATTGCAGAGCTGTCTGAAGGATGGGACGGGCCACTGCTATCTAACGAAGGCCTCTTCATCGGGATGGAGAGCGTTTTTGTTGTGGTTTCTGTGTTGATATTGAATGCATTCCACCCTAGCAGGTGCTTCAAAGCTGGGTATGATGGCAAAACGGAGAAGGCTATCGATAGCCAGTGAAGGCGAAGCGTCTGGCCCAAGTTAACTCATAGTTCACTATCATTCGTCGTTGTTTAAAGATATAGAGTGTTTCTTTTAAGCGAGTATATGGATGCTATTTAGTTAGAATTAATTTTCTGTTTCACATCGTATACTCTGAAAAATTTTCAGGAACCAATTCCAGTTGTTGATATCAGAAACTAACGATCAGCCTCACATACAAGGTTGGGCATGAAGGCTGGATTATATAATAGGAATTATCTAATAACGGAATAATTATATTCCGTGAGACAGCCGTTTAGGTAAACCTAAAACATAACTCTAAAACTCTAAAACTTCACCCAAAAATGTTGAAACAAAGAATCGAGAAGATACGTCAAGTCTCTGCTATTCCTTATCACTGTCTAGGCAATATATTTACATGAATTTAAAAACTGCCAAAATTCTGCAAGTACAGGGCGGCTTATATCAATTCCCCTGCTGTCTCTTATGGCGCCTGTTATGTTCCAGGTCATGTCTGACCTCCACCTTGAAACTCATCCGTCATACAACTACAGCTTTAAACAGACAGCCCCATATCTTGCTCTTCTTGGTGACATCGGCCAGGTCGGGGATCATCGACTGTTTCAGTTTCTGGAAAAGCAAGTAAAACGATACTGGGCAGTATTTTTCCTACTTGGGAATCACGAGCCAACATATCTTCGTTTCGATGCGGCAAAAGCTAGAGTCCGAGAATTTGAAAGGAAGATGACGAGCCTCCGAGCACATTCTACTATCGGTCGCTTTATATTCCTGGATCAAACTCGATATGACGTTTCGAACACCCTCACTATACTAGGCTGTACGTTGTTCTCACATGTCCTGCCTCTCCAAGAGCATGCCGTTGCAGGTCGACTGGTAGATTTCCGAGACATCATTCAGTGGAATGTGGAAGATCATAATGTTGCGCATAAATCAGATCTTGACTGGCTAAACCGCCAAGTTGAGGAGATTGCCGATAATGAGCCGCAACGACAGATTGTGATATTTACTCATCACAGTCCGTGCTTGGATAATAGAGCCATAGATCCAGAACACAAGGACAGTGATGTGATGTCAGGCTTTGCAACAGATCTGAGGACAGAGAATTGCTGGATGAATCGGGCAGTTAAAGCGTGGGCTTTTGGACATACGCACTTCAACACGTTCTTTACAAACGAGAATGGCGCGAGTATAATATCCAACCAAAAGGGCTATTATACGATTCCTAAACCCACATTTCGACCGGAGCGTATATATAGCCTAGGCGAGTAATATCTTAATGCTGAAATTTGTTTATTAACGTGATGCAATTCAATGGCCACTTAAAAGTCAGTTTTATAACCACAATATAAACTCATATTTTATTATGAACAAAAGAAAACAACAAGAAAAAGAAGACAGAGAAAGTGAATGACAAGACGTTTAGCGGGGGAATATTAAATAGCAAACTGAAATCCGCTGCTTAAGTATTCCATTTACGACTTTAATGCCTATGTGGTAATTAGTACATTTGTAGGTAAAGGGTGAGTTGAATGACAGACTTACGACTTTAGCGATGGTTTTTCAAGTATTGCGTTAAAAATTTAATATCAGATTTATCATTTTCAATAGAAGACACACGGCTTCGATCTCGACGCGAAAGGGAGTATCTTTTATACTGTAGCAGCAAATTAGGGTCCAGGACTCTGACGCCGTTTGAGATGACAACTTCTCGCCCGGTAAATTGTTGGCCGATTTGCTGCGGCTCAATGACATCCAGGTTGTAGCGTCTCCTATTCATATTCACCCAGCTGCCACCTTCGGCTACTCCGAAATTTGTAGAGTCCCTGGCCAAAATAGATAATGCCTGGCGTCTTGCACCTTGAGGAACAATGATATCGAGATCATGCGTGGTGCGCTGAGAACCAAGAAGAGAACAAGCAACTCCCCCGATGAAGGCATAGCCTAGGCCACGTAGATGGAAATCAATTGAGCGAGCAAAGGCGGGGACATCGTTGGGAGGTATGTTTCCTGGTGTCATCATGGGCCTCATTGGGCGAAGGGCAATGGGTGCAGTTACCGCACCTGTATCTCCATGGCGGCGTTGCGGTTGGGTGTCCTGAGGATGTGTCTGTCGTGGCCGTGGAGGAGTCTGACTGTTGTCATCATCACTAGATCCGAAGCACATCGTTGATAGTAAACAGAGGTATGAAGGTTTCCAAGGTGTGATTTGTGTAAGTAGCAGACGGAATGAGAAGTGAGTGAGTGGAAAAGTGCTGCTGTGGATGGGTATTTTGAAGCAGAACTTGTTATTTCAGTAGACAAGTGATCATATATTTATACAGCTATCCCACCCGAAACTCTGGATAAAAACAGAACTACTCCATTAGAGCGCTAAAAACAGGCTATATTTATATTCAATGCACCTCCATACATGGGAGTGGCGCATAACCAGTTCTTATTGAACGCTCAGTTTCTTTAAAGCATTTTATTATGCGTATAGCAATCGCATATTTGAATTCTGCCCTGGCGGCTACGTGCATTATTTGAAAAATAGATACCGATTAGAAAGACATGGCGAGTGGAGGGAAGGGAGAATATGAAACTGTAAGTGAACCATGGGTATCTTTATTGGTTCAAAGCTGTTAGTTGGTGGTGGGTGGCCAAGGATATTAATTGTTGGATTATAATTAAATCCTTGTCGCCTACAAGCGCTGGAATATTTATGTGAAATCTCAGAGCTGTTTGGCGTGTTTCGAACATTTGGGAGATATTGGAAAAGTTTTTGCAACAAGGGGTTATCATTTGAGCTTGCAGTAATCGATAAAATCAGCGAAAACCATTGAGTTCCGCCTCAGAAATTTCGAGGACTACCCTTGTTCCAAATTCCTGATGAGCTGGTTTTTCAAAGTTGAAAGACGTAACACTCGGGGGCTCAAGGGAACCGTCGATTATTTTAGTACAAATATCACGTTGACGGATCCAACATCCTTCATCCGATAGTTCAACTCGATATTGTGCTGTTCTAGTGTAAGTGGCGAGCAAATCAAAGAGAAGCTGACGATGCTCTCTGCGAACTTGGCCAGCAAACTCTTGTGTCCACACCTCGTCAATATAATCGGGGATATAGGCAATATGCACAGAGAGGTAGTCGCCGAATGGGCAGTCAATCTCAGCAAGGTCCATCCACCTTGACACTATGTGATCGAAGTATTCTGAAATATCGGGAACTAAAAACTTTAGATCGTCTATTTTTGACGGAAGGTAATAATTCCAGTCGCTTGCCGGTAAAAGGACGACACCAACGGTCTCTTTCTCTTCTTGTGGACTTTCGGAGTGAGTTTTGCCTGGGATATTTTGTCCTGGAGGCAGAACTAGACGTAAGTGGTCACTTAATTGAGGTATGCTGATAAAACGAGGATTTGCTTGAGCTTCTATGTATCCCGCCTTAGTTAACGCCTGAGCGGCATCTCGAGGATTGGCAACAAGAAGGAAGAGGTCCCAAAAGACAACCGGGACGCCATAACAGGCTAAGACGTCCTCACACCACACTCGACTAGTGATGTTTGCTTGTGCGAGAAGCTGACAAGGCTCGTAGCGAGGATCCTGCTGACCCGAGGGTTCTTGTGGCGTATTTTTACTGCGAGTTCTTGACGTGAAGAAACTGACGAAATTTGGTAACCAAGACGGCATTGCTGATGCGGTGACGATGTCAAGCGGTGTTTTTGATGTTTTCGCGGTTGAAAAGAATGAAAGGATAACTAGCAGCGCATTTAACCGCTAGTTAACTTACGTAACTAACTACATAGTGAGTACCGAAGCTGAAGAAGGCCGGCCACCCTACAATGAAGGTAGGTAACTCCATGAGATAAGAGGATGTAAAAAAAAGTTGAAGGGAGATCAAATGGCTCCTGTAGTGTGTAAAAAGGCCCTAATCAATGGTGTTCGTTTTTAGTTTAATAGATTGGCAAATGCTTTGCTTTCGGTGTATACTTGAAGGCTGTATTGAACTAGTCCCTACTGCTATTTTGTCGAAATGTGTTACCAATAGATACAGCGGATATTAAGCCATTGCTATCCCTGTCGGTAGGACAACGGAATAGTCAGCGCATGATCATGCGGCTTATCTTCATGCGAAGCACAACATTGAAAGCGGTGCATCCCGGTCAGGCGTGGGTGTTTTGTCGTTTCTGCCTTTGGTGGAGCATATACGACAAGGAAAAAGCACTAGAACTTCGAGATATACGAACAAGGAAGGTCATGTACCAGTACTTGAATATACACTGTGGGCAGTGAGGCTGCCTGAACCAGGAGCGGTTATTTTAAGTACTGCTCACTGATATTGACATAAATCTGGTGGCTATCTGGATTCATGCACCAGTGGAGGAGAGGGCAGAGCTGGCAGAAAAACCTGTGTGAATTCCCTGCATCCGGGCTCTAACTATCTCGTTGGCATGGTGGAGATGCAAATAATATATGGCTTCATCAACTGAATCGGAGTACAGAGAAATGGACGGATCCACTTCTTTTGAAGCGATGGCTGCCGGATGGTATACATAGTATGAGTCAAGAAAGGCTATAGGCTGTCGAGTCACGGCCGAAGAGTCGATAAAATGTGCGCTGGAGTTTATGCATCATGAGGTCGTGCGTTTGGCATTTGGGCTGCTGCGTATAAAAAATTAAATGGGCGGATGTGCCGGCTAGATAAGCGGGAACAAAAGACTAAACAACAAGTAGCTCCAAGGTCACTTTTGCATGCTGACGCCACGGGAAGATACTTTATAGCTACCTCCCTTGCTTTGAAATCCCAAAATCCCTCGGAATTTCGGTGATTTTGGTCCGACCCAACTCACATAGTTTGTGCGAGGTTTTGGAAACCATCCGCCGGTCACCCGGAGAGTCCACCTTCACCATTAATTGTACTCACCTTCTCCCTCGCCCACTCCATCCACGAAAGGGCTGCTTGGGTGATATAAATACCCTGGAGAGACTGCATATTGACACAGTCAAAAGGATCTCTTGGCCCATCGCTTATAGTATTCCAGCTGGCGGAAATAAGGCTTCTGTTGCAACAAAGGAACAAGGGAGAGGGTGACCTTTGCTTTTTCTTCCCACTTCCATGTTATTCCCCACCCCGTTCTGTGGAGAAATGAACAACCACGGTACTCTGTACGTACTATCCAGCTGAAGCCATGCATATGCACTTTTGTTCGAACCACTGTGCCCATTCTTGGGAGCGAAATATAATACGTATAGGGAGCACGAAGGACAACATGTCTGTGCGTAGTCCGCAATATATGTATTCGTCAGGAAATTTGCATTGGGGTCAACAACAGCTTGGGCAAGGGTCTTTCGTATACGGAGGCTATGGCCTGGCCAATCCGTCATGCACATCAACCCTAAGTAAGGTTCTCTAACCACCTTTCGTCATAACTGTGAAAGGTCCGTTTTGTTTTTGTCCATACACATGCACTAACTCCGAGCTGGGATCGTCTTCTGGGATCCTCTGCTTCCGGCACCGAACGTTTTATGAGTTTGTAAGCTCTGATCTTCCTGAAGAACGAATAGAAGCAAGGCAGGCGTCAGATTTAAATAAAAAACACACACCGGCCCGCCGCCAGCGTTCTTGCTCCTCCTTCGTGCTTTCATGTCCTTTCGTTTCTTCGCATTATCTGGCTTCCCCAAATAGACAGCTGCGATATTCGCTCCTGCAATTTCAAGAGAGAGAGTGTATATATATATATATATATTAAGCTGTCAAGGCAAGAGCCCTTCTCAAAGTCCTGCCTCCCGGATTAGGTGAACGTATTTGATCTCTATAATTATTTTCCGGATGTTGCCACAACTCCATTTGCCTCATATTCATCCCGCTGCCTTGCTGCTGTTTTCTGCGACGGTAGTAAGTGCATTACCACATGGCGATGGACATGAGTCAATGGATATGGTCGGATTGAAGGAAACAGCATCAGCTGTAGCAACGGCGCCAACGTCGGCAGCGACTATGTCTGCAGGTGACACAACACATCTGACGAGCTATTTCCGGTGCCAGAAATATTCGGGAACAATCCTAGCTCATATTATTTTGATGGCCATAGCTTGGGTTATCATTCTCCCTGTTGGTATGATATTCCCGGTTATTGCGACTGTTCAAATCTGACTTGGCCTGGCGCTAACCACATTGAAATTGCCCTTCGATACAAAGGTGTTGTATTTAGTGTTGCCAAATCCCGATTTGCATTGCCAACCCAGTTTGGTTTCTTGGTTATCAATGCTGTTGCCTTGCTGTGCGGTTTCATATACAGCAATCAAACCCCAGATCTGTATGAAAATAATGCGCATACCAAGATCGGCTGGATTGCCACATGGGCCATGGTTGCAAAGATGGTTATGGGGTTGATCCTCAGCTATTCAGGGAGCAGGAATGCTACAGATAATAAGGCCTATGAAAGAGTTGCGTTCCTTTCTGTCGACACCGGTTCAAGTCGAGTCAGGTCCTATCCCCAGGCTGCTAGTCGTCAGCATCGCTGGTCTGGGGACAGCGGTCAAGGCAGTGAAGAGCACACTTATTCTCCCCGCAGTCGATGCAGCTCTTTTGAACATGACAGGCTGGAGGGTGAGGAGCTGGAGGTACCTATTATTGAATCCAGAGATAAACCTGCTCGCTGGCTGTCTCCAATTGGATCCATTAATAGATATTTGTCATCTCGTGTGCCGCAACTGGCTTCTCAACGCGTCGTTGGTGCATTGACTGTGAGCCATACTATCATTGAAAGGACAATTCTCATCCTCGGATTCTTCGCCCTTACTTCTGGCGCGGTTGTTTATACTGGAATTTTCGTGAGTTTTTACACTCTATCTGGTGATGTTGAAAGGGGTTAGCTAATGAACGTCCAATGTAGCGTGGGCGCCAAATCTTCAACGGGCTTGCGCACTTCATTAAAGGTGGCATTTTCATGTGGTATGGATTCTTGACTCTTGGTCGATGGCTTGGTTGTTTCTCGGACTTCGGATGGGCATGGAATGTGAAGCCATCTCGTGCCATCGTAGGGGGTTGGAAGTCGAGAGTCCCAACAGCAGAATTTACGGAGTCTTTTGTTATATTCCTGTACGGAGCAAGTAATATGTTCCTGGAGCATCTCGGTGGATGGGGAGGCCCATGGACTGCCCACGACCTCGAGCATGTCTCGATAACTATCATGTTCTTCGGGGGAGGCTTGGTAGGTATTCTTCTTGGATCGCAACTCGGTGTATAAAGATTTAGGCTAATCATCATTACGCAGTGTGGAATGCTGGCTGAGTCCCGTCGAGTGCGTGACTGGGTGAATCTGACGGCTTTGGGCCCACCTCCAATCTCTCTTGACAAGGAATACACGTCGGGCTCTGATGAATGGAGACCACCGAGGTCTCAAGGAGTTTCCTTGAATCCTATGCCCGCCACGATAATCTTGCTTTTAGGACTAATGATGAGCTCCCACCACCAGCATAGCATGGTGTCCACCATGGTTCACAAACAATGGGGTATGCTTTTGGTCGGATTCTCATTGGCACGAGCCGTCACATATATTCTGCTCTACATCAACCCACCAAGCTCAATTCTTCCTTCTCGGCCACCGTCAGAGCTTGTCGCCTCATTCTGCCTTATTTCAGGCGGACTTGTCTTTATGCTAAGTGTATGCATATTCTAGCCTCCTTCTCTTGATGTCGACATTTGAAAATTAAAAGTTGGTGGCGACTCGCTAATATGGATATACAGACTGCAGATGTTGTAGCAGCAATGGAGTACCACGACCTCAACGCAATGATTGTCTTTACCGTCGGAATGGGGGTCACGGCCCTCGCTATGGCCTGGGAGATCGTAGTCATATCTCTGAAGGCATGGGCAACGAAAAATTCGGCTTCCCCATCCCCAATTCACCGGGAATTTCAGTTTCCAGAATAAAAAAGGTAGGGAAACCTGTATTTCCGAGCTTGGACTATGACTCTAGCAAAAGATGTTAATTTGCTTTTGCGAAATATGGACAAATGTGGTTTTCTCGATGCATTTTCGTTCGTTTGTTTTTGCCCCTCGTCGTTATTAGCCTTATACCCTATTTATACCCCGTTTATATTTCCTCCTGTCATCTCGTTGAGTTCAGTTTATAATGACCTCGCCACTCAACTTATAATGTAATTAAAATGCAAACGGAGCCGATGTAGTATTTATTGATGACCTTTGATCGTTGAACGATGTTTTTTAGTCTCGTTTTAACCTTCAAGATGGATCTTTAAAGTTTGATCTTATCAGATCTTCACATGGATCGCGTCACGTGATAATGCTTATCTAATCAATAATTTCGACTTTTCTGGCGTGAAATTCGATCTTTCTTTCCCAAGAACTCCGAGGAGGCGTTTTGTTTCTGCGCCCCAGCTACTTTACGTCGGTGATGGCACAGCTGGTAAGTTATTCCTTGCTCAATTTAAGGATATATCTGAAAGGTACTAGAAGTACTTGCCCAAGGATCCCACAAGGCTGACATTGCTTAAAGGGCATTAAACGATTCACGACTTCTATTGCTCATTTGACCTGAAAAGTGACGAATATTACAAGCGATTAAACGACGGAGTGCTGAATTACATATACTTGTTTATATAGCCGATATAGATTTTAGGTGTCCTCTCCGACCATTATCGGATCACCATTACCGACTCATCCGTGTTCTCTAAAGCACTCTTGGTATTTGGAAGGGAGATAGGAAGGATACAACGCGGAGGACGCAAGCCTGTGCTGATACAGGACATTATATACGCTCCTTTTTTGAAGTCATTTATCGCATGGGACTTCTGGGCCTAAAATTTGACGGATACAACCAACTTTGATCTACACCACTCTCGCCATGTTTTCTACTACTTTTTCATCACTATCATTCAACCCTGCCCGTTTGCGGTCATACGTACTGCGACTTCCACTTTTCACTCGACTTGCTATTCTATGCATTATGGTATTTTGGGTGTTGAGTTTACAAACAGTTTGGGACGTGCCGAGATGGGGGGCACTAGTGCCTAGTGATATCGGCCCTGCGGGAAGTATGTGTCCAGTCCTCAATTACTAGGCAACTGGTTGTTGTAGACTGCTAATTTGTGTGCTGCTGCGTACTCTGGCTAACGGCAATATCTATATAGTGTATCGAATCAACACCTATCCCATCGTCCACGCTGGATTTATACATGCCTTTATAAACGTGTTGGGAGTAACGCCTCTACTTGAAAGGTTTGAGGCTGAACATGGCACACTTACTTCTCTGGCTATGTTTGTTGGCCGTAAGTCTATGAAATTTATACCATCCACGTGTGGTTTGGGGGCTTAATGTTCTGGTTTTCAGCACTCTCAACCTTACCGGCGGGCATCTACGTTCTACTCGCAAAATTCGTTCTTCGAACTAATACTGGTGTTCTCGGTTCAAGGTATATCATTGATGCTGGGCCGATTAGTGATAAATTTGCTAACCATTCACCCCTTTAGTTCGTGGTTTTATGTTCTCCTCAGTTCCGAAGCTATAAAAAGATTTCAAACACATCCTCATATTAGGTGTGTTTAGACTATGTCTCTCCTTACACATTACTTGCTTTCTGACGCTATATAATAGCTTGGGGAAATATCAAATCCCAACCTGGACATTTCCGCTTATTCTCAATGCCGTGGCGTCGATTTTACTTCCCAACAAAGCGTTTATTGGTCACACGTGCTGCATCGCTGTTGGATATATCCGTAAGTGGCATTCACTATGCATTATCGTTCTTTAATCTAATATTTTCTATTTAGTTGGACTTGGATACTTGAAGTTCTTATTTCCCCCAGAAAAGGTACTTCGGTGGCTTGAGACGAAATTGAATTTACTGGGAAGACTACCTCATTACGTTTCTGTGGATCAGAAAACCTACGGTCGATACGGTATCCTACCAACTAATGGTGTTGGAGACAGGAGCATAAAATTGAACTACGTAGGGTCATCTCAAAGGTTAGGTCCCTGAATCAAAACCTCGACTCTAATTGCACAATCTTAATCGCTTTTCGTGGCAATAATTATTAATCAACTCCCGTTTTTTTTATGCACATACGAAATATAATAATAGAATGAATGCTTAATTTTGAATCGATATTGTTAATTCATTTTCTTGGTGATAAATTTGTCGTTGCATACCCACCAGCCAAAAATCAGGTCAATTGCGACTCGCACAGCGATCGCCATGGCCAACTCCGATATCAGCGCGTTATCCCTGAGTGTGTGTCCTCCTGGACCAGTTGGGAAACCCTGTTCTCTCCCTCCTCACTCCAGAATTTCCTTTCTGAACGTTTCGGAGACATGAAGCTTATCTCTAGAATCCAGCTCGCCCACCATGAAGTCCCAAAGTTTCTTTCAAGATGTGGCATCTCGAGTGTAGGGGCTTGGATCGTCCATCCATATGCGGTTGAAGTACCCTGCACCGCCCCTGAATTCATCCGTGCCAGCTGCTTGTAATCCAAACTCAGGCATAGTGGCCGCATTGACTAGGGCCAAACTGCCTTGGTAAGAATCGATAGCAAAACAGATGAATAGTGTACTTAAGGCCCAGAAAACTGGGTCAATATTGCCCTGTGTAGTGTTAGACTTGTCAACAGGCTTGGAAATACTACTCTTAACATAGCCTGGATGAACACCATGCACAACAATATGATCATAATCAGGATGACGAAGCAGGCGTAGCTGCAGATCACTGAGCCAAATCTGAAAATATAGCTTGTTGTCCGAATATGCTCTAGTTCCAGCATTGACGTTCGATAGGTCGTATATACCCAGGTAGTGGAAGCAGGATGTAGTGCATATGATACGCGGGCTAGGGGCCTTCGCGATAAAAGGTAGTAATCTCAAAGTCAACAATGTGTTGGAAAGGAAGTTGACTTGATGACAGAGCTCGAATCCATCTTTAGTCAAGACAACCTTGCCCGATCTCTGTGACATACCGGCATTGTTTACCAGCACATCCAACGGTCTGCCACTCTCAATCCATCTCTTTGCAAGAGCCTCAACAGATGAAAGGTCCGCCATGTCGCATTCCCACCATTCGACTATTTGATATTGGCCGTACGCTTCCCCGGCCGCCTTGCACTCCTCGATAACCTGTCCAGGGTGCGTCTCGTATGATGGAGGTTGTTGGCACGCTAAGATCAAGTTTGCATCTCGTTTGACGAATTGGACCGCAGCTTCACGCCCAATGCCGTTATTCGAGCCAGTGATCAGAATCTATTTTCCTAGAACGTCCACTTCTGGCACTGTAACTGTCGCACTATATGTGCCTTTTAGTGTCTTCCAAGCACTCCATATGATAGAGGGCGCGATGAATTTGGTTGGTTTGGTCATGTTGAACACATGTTGATATATTTATATGAGTAGTCATGTTTGAGCATGAAGATTCCTTTTATCTTTTATAGATTGTATACTCCGTACCGCTCCCCCCACTACGGAACGCAGCCACAATTATTAACTAGTCAGTCGTTTATTGAACTAGTTATTTAAATATAGATCCGAGCGGCCTGATGTATGTTACTACAAGACTGACCTTGAACATTAGTGCATACCTAACTGGGGGAATAGAGGTGAGAGTATACTCCGTGCGTAGGTGCACGAAGTATACTATGTAAAGGATTCATGGTTATTAAACGCCTATTGGTTATTGTTAGGCCTATTGGTTTCTCACTTGGTAAAATATGCTTGTTCTGAAGGGGCCAGTTCTCCAACTAGGAAGTAGAGATACTTACGAGAAACAGGAACTTCTTGGCTTTGTTAAGGACTAATTAATCGAATCTGATAAGGCCAGGGTTATCTGTAGAATATTACATTCATAACTCTGTGTTAGTAGCGCACAGGAGATGACTCTGGCTCTATAGTTGGAATCATAGTTGCTGGCCATAACCCTAGGTTGAAACAAGGGTGAACACAAGGATAAATAGAAAGATCATTCTGGGGGAGGGGAATGACGTATCTCAACCCAGTATGGCCGCCGGAAATCGATATCCTTATGACGAACAACTTTGCCGTCCTGGATCCATTTAAATCGTTCTGGGAGCTCATGTTCATGATACAGTTTGATAGCAGTCTGGAGGTTTATCTTCTGAGCTTCACTGGTGGCAGGGTCGTCGATCATGGCCTGCAGCTCTGCAATACGTCCTGGAACTGACGAGTACCTGCCAATTCACGGCTGATTCGAGTGTAGAGCTCAAATTTGACGGCGCCTTCGTGCCTAGCACCAGGCCGCACTAGACATTTACTGAGCCGATTGCGCCGCTCGATCAGTTCGTTAATATGAGGTTGCTGGTTCACTGACGATGACTGTTTTGTGGTAAGCTCCTGTGGTCGGCAAGGATTGACGATGTGTTTCTGCGAGTTCAGACCTTGAACAATCGCGCGAATGTCTCCGTCCGCCTTCTATACTGTGATATTCCTCTTGCTGGTCACATTAGAATCGATATCGCTGTTCATTATCATGTTCAAAATATTATTATCACTACCGTCAACGTGGAAAAAATTGAGGCTTGGGTGCGTGGAGGTAATAACGGGAGGCCAAACAGAGAGGAAAAAGGGCCAAAATTAGCCATCAATTCACTGTCTTAATGTTTAAATAATTATTGTATGTCCTCACCATTACGATATAATTGTTGAATAGAAAAATTGTTGATGAATAGACGAAAACAATGAAATATAATTTGAAGTCGCAAATAAAATAATTAAATAAAGTTTAGGTTCAGCTAGTTCCCGACTTAAAGCTTAGATCTGATTATGTAACCGATATATTACATAATCATGTCCTGACATCTCCCGATTGAGCGACGGTTCTTCCTTTTCTCTTCCGCTTTATATTTCGAACATTCATCTCTTTACTTCCTCTCCTGCTCTCCCTTCCATCTCGATACAAGAAATTGCCAGCTCATCCTGATAAAAATTGATACCCGAATCTCAAATTACCGAATTCCGGTCGTACCGTCGACTCTTCCAGCCTGGTGTTAAGATATCACTTTTGCTGATTACTGGAACTTATTACTTTTCCATTTTTATCAGAGATATCAAAGTGGCTGTTCTGATTTGCTTTGTCTGATACAGCTTACTCATCTTCTATAAAACCCGTCGGTTTTAGTGCTGCACCTAGGAACGGGTAATTCCTTATCAGGTGCTGGACACCCGATATCTTTCTAAGTAGCTATTGAGCTCCCTTGTACAGTCAGGGGTTCTGGGATACTAACCTATTTACAATGACTACTGTGTCTACCCCCCTATATGAGCCTGCCTATGGTTGTGGTAAGCCTATATTACTCTGAACGAATCGAAGTGTGGTTTCTAACCCTACTTCAACAGAGCACCTGCAGGATATCTTTGAGAATGATACAGATGCCGCCACTAGGCTCGCCGAAAATTACGCTAAACTGAATGGCAAAGGGCCGTGGAATCCGTCACAAGTTCGACTTGATGCCTCGAAAAGGAGTACCTCTGGACCAAAATTTTCCCTAAAACCGCAGTACCAGTGCCTCCAATGCCCAGCAGTAGGAGTAAAGGCTGCACGTTGTGAACACAGTTCACAAACGGGGCACATATTTTGTATGTTACTCTGTATTACTGGGGAAAAAAAAAGTCGTTACTAACCTGCCCCTTAAAATTAGTTGCGGACTATAGAAGCAAGAATGTTTTCTGTCAAGGATGTGACGATCTCATATATGATGTTGACTTGGAAAGCATTTTAAAGAATAATATCGAACCTATTGGTAAGCATTGGGCAATGGGTTTCAGAAGATTTTATGCAACATGCTAACTCCTTCCTCCTAGTCTCGAGGAAACGGAAGGTTGACAATATGGAAGACGACGAATATGCAAGTTACATAGCATTGAACACAAACAAGAAAATTTGTGGCAAAGAAGGTGTCAGGGGCTTGTTCAACCTTGGCCAGACATGTTACATGAATGTTATCCTCCAAACCCTGTTCCACGAACCCGTCTTGACAGCTTACTTTCTTGGAAACGGACACAGCACTAGCGATTGCCAGAAAGTGAACTGTTTTGGCTGTGCTCTTGCAGATGCTTTTGCAGAGTTTAGCAACGAAGAGAAAGATGAAGGGTTTGGAGCTCTCAATCTCCTGCTTGCCTCGTGGCAGAAATCGTCGGACCTTGCTGGTTACCATCAGCAAGACGCTCATGAATTTTATCAATTCTTAGTAAACCAACTTCATGAGAGTACCTCCGGCAACCTTGACTGTGACCCAACCTGTCGCTGTTTCTTCCACACAGCATTCTTCGGCAAACTTCGAAGCACTATTACCTGCGGAAACTGTGGCAAAGTATCTCGCACCGAAGATCCAGTAATGGATGTCAGTTTGGACCTTCAAGTTCAAAAGAGAAAGCGTGCACTTGGCGGTGGAGAGCAGAGTTCCGACGTCTCGCCAACCCTACAGGGATGCTTGGAAGGGTATATATCTCCTGAAAAGTTAGCAGCCAGCGAATATGGCTGCACCCAGTGCAACTCTAACAAAGGAGTCACCAAACAACTTAGGTTAAGAAAGCTACCAGTCATACTGTGCATGCAACTGAAACGATTCGAGCGGAACCGCTCTGTCTCGGAGAAGGTGGAAACCAAAGTCTCATATCCTGCCTCGATCAATATGATGCCATACACCACTCGCCCCAGGTCCCATAACAGGTCGCAGTTCCAGTACGATCTGTTGAGTGTCGTCGTTCATATTGGTGACATTGATTCCGGCCACTACCTTGCCTACTGCCGACACGGTGAACAGTGGTTCAAATTTAATGATGATCGCGTAACGGTCGTAGCTGAGGCGGAGGTGTTAGGGGCTGATGCTTACCTGTTGTTCTATACCTTGCAGGCGTACGCTTCTTGCAAGTAGCTTGGCGCCCTACGCCTAGTTGTTGGCTCCTAGGGGTCTGGCCATGGAAGGATATGGATGGGCTTGTATTACAGTAGCAGTGGGTTTTAATTAGACTAATCTAAAGCTAGTCCTTTTCTAAACACATGTATGCCCTTAACTTGTGCCTTAAGTTGGGTTGCGGGAGATTTTTCTTTGCTCAAGGGTAGCGGCATGAGGGTAACTTAAACTGTGATATAGCTAGCAGACAGTATAAAAGAGGTAGATATCACTGTCCTACGCTGTGATAAATCATTTTTAGAACTGTACAATTTAGGAGAGAGGCAGGGCCTGTCAAAATTATCTATTCTGGCCCTAGTTTTATTCACATTTTGTACCCAAAGCACTGGTTCATAATGCTAGTCAGCGGTTACTAACACCAGCCTCTTCTTGCAATATTAGGGTAAATGGCCTTTCCACCCGAAGGATGATTGATTCGAGAAGGGGTGTGCTCATTGATCAAAACGTCTAGTAATGAAAAGATGCACGCTTCTATATTACTTTTCGAGACGTCCTGGCCATAAAATATCCCATCAAAGTCATGGGTATTCCGGTATTTCACTTGACAGTAGAAGCGAGCATAATGGTCCACAGCCTTCCACTTGGAATGATTAGGGTAAGGAAATGAATAAGTCGGGAGCCCGTCTCCTTCCTTTTGGGATATGCGACTTCGAACGTCCTTCATGCTAGGCCTCGGCGAGCTAGATATGTTGCTGATTTTTGCGGCGACTTGTTGAGGGTAGATCCAGTTACATAGAGCTCTTCCCACCAAGGCCTTACCATGTCACTTCTCGGAAAGTTCAGAAACTCATAGGAATCGACTTGAAGATATTGCATTAGCTGCTGCATAGTGAGAATAGCTGTAATGGTTATATGTCAGCCAGGCGCCTGTAATATAAGAGAAAGCACATACGTTCTCCCTCAACAGCTTCCATGTCGTCGTCACCATCATCATTTTCATCGTCTTCTTCCTCGGAATCTTCCTCGTCATCCGTTTCCATTGTCCCAAGTGTTTTATAGTACCCATTATTTGTATAACGTTTGGACCTGAGTCTGGTAGAAAACCTAGTACCGCATGTGGTGTCCATGATCCATGTACGAGTGAATTAATTTTTCTCTAACGATTTGTATATTGATTGTCCTCGGTGAAGCCTGTGGAAGGTATGCAGAAGTATGGCCCTTCGTTCCGGAGAACACCATGCAACTAAAAAGCAAGCATATATTTGATAATGCTGGATATTTGCGAATAGAAAACGCAGCCCTCACATTGAACGTTATTCGCGCAAGTTTAGTCAAGCTAGGAAGTAGGGCTGAGTGTTGCCCGACGTTTGGGCTGGTATAAAGTGAGGTTAGTTATAGAGGTAGTGAATCAAAGGCCGGAATTTGACACGAAAAGGTTGAGCCACAGGTTCTCCTTTCATTATATATGTTGCGGTATTATAGGACGATTCGGTATCCGCTGGTGTGCGTGTTGCAGTCTCAGCGTATACTCCTGCCCCTCGGGCGTGCAAGTTTGCTTCCCCTTTGCCGACCAGTTGATGAGGCTCCTCTGGTTGAATAACGACTAGAACTGAAACCGCGTGTGGAGCTCGTTGTAGGTGCCCTTTTCGAGGCTGCAGCGGGCGTCGTGTATCTCACGGAAGATTTAGTAGTGTTTGGCGGATTATCAACAAACGAAGTATCGGTAGTCCTACATAGTGAAAGGGTTAATATGGAGCAACCTTGACATGGTCCAGCATAGGGCAGCTTGCATGAAAGTTGTTTCGGCGTCATGTACGGCAGACTGGTATGGTTGTTCGGAGGCAGATTGCAATTCTAACTCATGGTCAATAAGGCTTGCAAAGTGTGTACAGTCGTAGTAAAATTAGTTGGGTGTGTACCGGCTTCTTTCTCTCTTGCTTTCTCCCTCTGCTTAAAACGGGTAAAAGACTCTGGAATGGGGGTCTAATGGGCTACCAGTTAGATATACAATGACAGGGAAAAGCCCATATGTATGTATAGTCCCAACACACCTCTGGAAAATCCACGCAGAATGCGTTCATATTCAGTCCGTATAAAAAGCTCGCAAAGCTCTCATTGAACCTTGACAGACTCTCATGCATCAGCTGGAGATGGGCAAAATTCTCCTCCAGGTCAGCCATTGAATCAGCAAGTTCAGCAAACTGAGGCTCTAAGCTGTTTATTCCTGGCCTTGATCCACCGCTGCTGGCCCCGTGTGCATCGCGTATGGAGGCTCTGGAGCTCGATCGCAGCGGGGTGGTAGGACGTGACACTGGACGTGGGCGGGAGGTGGACCTCTGTCTTCTTACTTCCATCGTAAACCAGGCCTTCTTTGTGTTCTGTATGCTACTTAGACCAAATGTCAAATGTTTGATGTTAGAAGTTCTTAAATCTTTCGGTGGAGAACATGTGATTTCCACATGGAGATCACGTGAATCCCCTCTTTCTTCGATCTCCAAGCAAGATCGGAATCTTTGCTTTTTCTGGCAGAAGAAGAAGAAACACTTTGGAGGACGAAACGATGAAGCCAGGAAGAAAAAACTACTCGCCCCTTGACCGTCAGGCTTTCTCCTCTTTTGCCTTTTCCCCGGATTAGTGGAAGATCGTATTCTCCCGTTTCTTCTTTTCTCTCCTTTTCTCCCCGCCTTTTCTTTCTCTAGGTCTCCTTAGTAGGGCCCTTTACCCATCCCGTCCCGAAGTACATATGCCCAATCGACTTCCCTGCCATTCTTTCAATATACTGCATCAATCGCCGTTCGTGCTGATTAGGCCTGTGACTCTCAGTCGTTGGACTCGATATCACCTGCACTCGCTCAGCCTGCGGAGAAATACCCCGTCTCCAAGAGCTCCTTTTCCCTCCCGCGCGCTTCCGAGGCCCCGTCATAGACAGGAGCAGGTCATAGGAGCGTCCTCCTTGTGGACTCTCTCTCTTTCCGTTCTCGTCCTATGTGGTGGGCTTGCGCTTGGTGCTTTATATATACGAGACCCCGAACATCAACATCCACCACTGCCAGCTATCCCATTGCCGAAGGGTATCGACGCTCCACAAGCTCATCGCATCATGGCTGAACAAAAGCCCACCGGACATGTCGGGAACTTGACAAAAGAAGAGGAGGAGAAGCTCCAGGAGTTCTGGGCTGCGCTCTTCAAGCTTTGGGGGTTCGTTGCCAGTGAGCGGCCGGAGAAGGAGCAGCAGAATGGAGGAAGCGTGACGCCCTCTGATGCCGGGACTCCCGATGCGAAGAAACCCAAAAGGAGACTGGGCCTCTTCAGCAGGAAGAGCGACACTGCTAATGAATCTCCATCGGATAGCTTGTCGAGTTCGGCCTCAGGCTTGAAGTTATCCGACGTGGAAGACAAGTACGGTGAGACCAAGGAGTTCCTCGAGGCTCTGAAGGATACCTCGCCAGAAGACCTAAGGCTTGCCTTCTGGGGCATGGTTAAGCATGACCACCCCGATGCGCTCTTGTTGCGATTCCTTCGTGCGCGCAAATATGATGTCAATCGTGCACTGGTGATGCTGGTGTCTGCGTTCAGATGGCGCTCACAGGCCATGCATCTTGACGACAACATCATGGTTAAGGGTGACTGTTTTATGGAAGAAGAGAGCAAAAGCGATGACCCAGCCAAGCAGCAAGAAGCAACTGATTTTTCAAAGCTTCTTCACCTCGGCGAGAGTTTCATTCATGGCACCGACAAGTCCGGACGGCCGATATGCTATATCCGAGTGCGCCTGCACCGAATCGGGGCTCATTGTGAATCTAGCCTTGAACGATACACTGTCTACCTTATTGAGACGTCAAGAATGCTTCTTCAGAGTCCAATAGAAACCGCTGTAAGCTCAGCCTGTCATTTTCTCTTTCTCATTTAGAACAATATAGCTAACCTACTGCTCAGGCTCTTATATTTGATATGACTGATTTTTCGCTGGCAAATATGGTATGGGCTAAACCCTCGACTTTCCAAATTTAGATAACGTCGATGTACTAATGGGCGAAACAGGATTATGCCCCCATTAAATTCATGATTAAGTGCTTCGAAGCCAACTACCCTGAAAGCCTGGGCGTGATTCTAGTCCACAAAGCACCCTGGATCTTCTCTGGCATCTGGTCCGTTATCAAAGGCTGGCTTGACCCGGTGGTTGCTGCCAAAGTACATTTCACCAGGACGACCGAGGACCTGGAAGCACTCGTTCCCCGCAGCAACCTCCTCAAATCACTCGGCGGCGATGATGAGTATGAATATAAGTATATTGAACCCACCGAAGGCGAAAACGATAAGCAAAAGGATACAGCTAGCCGTGATGAATTATTAAAGACACGGATGGAGATAGCCACCGCTTTCCAGGATGCAACTCTGTCCTGGGCCGGGCTCAAATCGAACTCAACTGCCAACGGAGAAAGTGATATAAAGAGAACCAGGAATGAGCTGGCTGATAAGCTCCGCGAGAATTACTGGCAGTTAGACCCGTATATTCGTGCAAGATCCATGTATGACCGTTTGGGCCTCATTCCGCCGTCAAAGGAAACCACAGAACTGCCATCTTCCGCACAGCTGTCGGAAAAGACGAATGGAGAGACCGTGCCGGCAGTAGCCCAGGCAGTCGAACAGCCTGCTCCAGTGGCCTGATCTGCCACACACTTTCTTACCTTTGAGCTCTGATATACCCAAGTGGAGCTATTTCTGTGCATGCCTGGCTGTCCTCATGGTTTCTGACTCACCAGATATAGAGGATGGAGTACATTTTAATGATGGAACATAGTATATTATGCCTGTGTGGGTTAAATGGCCTTTCTTTTTCTTTCTGTTTCCTCGTCTGGGTTGCAATTCCGAGGCAGACGAGGGGACAAACGTGGGGTTGTACTTTAGACGTCGCCTTGGTTCCGGCTTCTTGACTTTGCATGTGCATTTGAGTGAAGAGATGTGTCAAATCTACAAGAAGATAGTATTTATAACGAGATACCCCTTCAGATCTAACATAGACGTTAATGTTTTTACATCTTGGACTTGAGCTCCTCCCAGAGCGTCTTGAGGTCATCCTTGTCTGCCTCCTTTGCGGGCCAGCGAATGCCGAGACCCTCGGGTTCGTTGGGCTTCGGGATCTAGACGAAGAAAGTTAGTAGCTTGAGAGGCTGTAGGAAGCAGGAAGCAGGAGAGCAGCTTACCATGTGAACATGGACCTATTAGACTAGTAGTTAGCCATCGTACGCCCTTAGGCACTGAAGGTGGTATAAAATACTTACATGGGGGACGACCTGATGGGCTATCGTGCCATTGTTCTGAAGGATATTGAAATCATCAGCACCAGCAGCAACGGCGATCTTCTTCGCAACCGGCTTTAGAATAGTTAGCATTGACATCTTTGGAAGCACAAGGACTCGGACGCACCAAGAGCTCGCGGAGGTCTGCATCCGGAATGTCTGTGAGCTTAGCGCCGTGGTACTTGGGGATCACAAGCTATGTATCGAGCCAGAGTCAGTCAGTGTATCGGTTACGGTATTGACTGTCTATCAGGCTAGGCTGACCGCATGGCCTCTGCTGAGAGGCTGGATGTCCAGGAATGCGAGGACGCGCTCACTCTCGAAGAGCTTCATGCAAGGGATTTCACCTGTCCGATGATGAGTATCACCTTGTTGGTGGCGGTTAGATAGACGTGGGCGTACCCTTGATGATATTGCAGAAGGTACAAGCAGCAGAAGCCATTGTGACTGTGACTATCCTGTTCGCCTGGTCAAGCCGGTATCTAAGGCGTCTACTGTCGTGTTATGGTCGAAGTCGGAGGAGGGGCGTCTTTTATATTACTACATCAGAGAAAATGAAAAAAAAACCGGCGAGGGCTCGAACTTGGGCTTCCGGCCATCCCTTATAAGCAAGTCACGGGAGAAACTGCGAGGAGTGGGACAAACTAGCTCAGAATCCATTTCTTGCCTTTTACCAGAGATGGCCGTGGTTTTGCCCATAATACTCCGCTCTTCAATCTTTGAACCCCTGGATATCGACAACAGTCGGTCGATAGTTTTATTTTTTTGCGCAGGAAGTTTTGACTTTATGATCCTTGCTTGACTGGCGAAAAGAAACGAGGAAAAAGGGAGGTTTGGACGTTGTAGCAGCGGGAGTTGGGTGCGTGGCAGTACCGGCGTGTGTGCTTTTTTACATAGTAAAGGGATATCTAGATAGAGACTAATAGCGTAGAATGTATATGCTAACATATGCGAATAGACGCCTCGATGTCCATGTCCAAGGCAGATAAGAAGAGGAGAAACGCCCTACGAGGACAGCGTCGGCTTCGGGCTTCTCCCCGGCGTTTCTCCGCACCCCGCTCGGCTCTTTCTAGCCATGGACGACTGTATATATAGGAAGAAGCGTGGGATGTGCCAGCTCGGTTAGACAAGCTGATGAGATATAACGAGAAGGCTTGATACGACATGTTGACCACCGAACTGTCAGAAGCTGATGTCTCTGGCCTGAGAGCCAACAAGGAGAGACTGCAGGAATGGATACATCATAGCTGCCAGTGGGGATCTGGCATTAGATGGGGAGAGTAAGTCGCCTGGGCTGCTATGAGATACACAGCTGGCTAACAGGTGAGCAGCCATCCTACAGAGACCGGCATGGCCCGTCTCGCATTGTCACAGGAGGACAAGCAGGTTCGGGACTGGTTCGTGGAGACGACCAAGTCACTCGGATGCAAAGTCACAGTCGATAGCATGGGGAACATTTTTGCCGTCAGGCCTGGCAGGAGGGCAGATGTGCCGGCGACGTTTGTTGGCAGCCACCTGGATACCCAGCCTACTGGCGGCAGATATGATGGCATCCTCGGTGTCTGCGCCGGCATCGAGATGCTGAAGGTTCTCGAGGAGAAGGGCATTGAGACGGAAGGCGGTGTTGGTGTAGTGAACTGGACAAAGTAGGTGACCGACTATACAGGTGTGCGTCTCCCTATAGAGTACAAGCTAATACTGACAAAAAAACAAAACAGCGAAGAGGGAGCCCGGTTCCCCAAGAGTATGATATCCGCAGGCGTCTGGGCTGAGAGCATACCCCTGGAGATCGCGCACTCTCTCCTTGAAGTGCCAACAGTCGCCTCACTCCCTTCCGCTGCATCAGCCCCTGAGTCCATGAAGTCAGCTCTGGAGAAGATCAACTACCTGGGCTCTGTTCCCTGCTCGTACAAATCGTCACCCATGGCAGCCCATTTTGAACTTCACATCGAACAGGGACCTCACCTCGTCACTGCCGGTCAGCATGTCGGTGTCGTCACCGGCGTACAGGCTTACCGCTGGTACCGCATCAACGTAACGGGCCGAGATTGCCATACGGGTAGCACCGCCTTCCACCACCGTGCGGACGCCATGTACGCCTCTGCCAGGATGATGGTACGTGCTCGTGAAATAGCTCATAAGCACGGCTGTCTTGCCAGCGTCGGCATCGTCGACGTCAAGCCTGGCAGCGTCAACACCGTCCCCGGCTTCGTCAGCTTTAGCTTTGACCTCCGTGGCCCTGAAATAGAGGATGTAGAGGTCGCGGATGCTGCGTTGAGGAAGGAATTCGACGCCATTGCTGCCGAGGAAGGGAAGGGGATAGGCAAGCCATGCCGTGTAGAGTGGCAGTTGGACTTTGAGACTCCGGCTACCAAGTTCGATCCCGGTTGTATCGAATGTGTCACCGAGTCCGCCAGGGCGGTTGTTGCTGATAAGCCGAACCCAGAGTCTCTGTATAGAACTATTCGCAGCGGAGCTGGGCATGACAGCGTCTTCACCAACAAGAGGGTTCCCACCAGTATGGTGTTCGTCCCGTGCAAGGACGGAGTCAGTCACCATCCTGAAGAATTCTCCTCAGCCGAGGATTGCGTGAATGGTGCCTCCGTCATTTTACAGGCAGTTGTCAGGTATGATCGAAAGCGGTTCCAGTAGACCTATATTAGGACTGCCCTGCTTTTTAAAAGATGCTAGTTGAGAAACATTGAAATACCCATTGGGCCTCTTTGTGACGAATGAAATGCCATTGATATATATCTAGCTATCGTCAAAGTTGTAAAAGCTTTTTTTTTCCTCCTTCACATTCCATCATCCAATATCATTCCCATCGTACAGACAGAACGTCCATTCGTGTATTCGTCCTGGTCAAGTTGATAGGTTGATTTAAGAAGATGGGGCTGGGGCACCACCGCGACCACGGCCGAATCCACCACGGAAAGATGGGTTGAATTCACCGGGAGCACCGCCCTCCTTGCCCTCACCACCTTCACGTCGTCGGTAGCCACCGTCGCGGTCTCCGCGTTCTCCGCGTTCTCCGCGAGGGCCGCCACGGCCACCGGGGCGTCTCTCACGCTCCTCTCCGCCCATCATACCGCGTGGGGGAGCGTGAGAGCGCTGCTGCTTGATGTGAGTAGCAGGCACAATCTCAGCAGGCAAGTGGAGCCATTCGCGGAGGTAGTCAAGACCCTCGGGGGTGAGGGTGTAGTAGTAGTACTGCCACGAGAAACGGGTCTTGAGGTAGCCGCGAGAAGTCAAAGACTGGCAGGCTTTGATGACCTGTATCAATAACGATGAGTATTTGTACATTAGATCATCCTGGCCTCTCAACACGTACATAGAGGTTCTTGGTGTCAATGTCGGTGTGCTTTGGCAAGTTATAGTCCTTCTTAGCCACGAGAACACCCTCTGAAGACAATAATTAGTTTCGGGAATCGCTTTCAATATGGCTCTTAGGGGCAGTCGCATACCGCGGAAGAGGTACTCGTGGATGAGCTTGCGGTCAGCCTTTGGAATAAGCCTACAACAATTTAGTATATGCGTATCCGGAATTATACAGTCTTTTCACTTACATTGTCGCGAGTTCCTGGCGCTTTTCGGGGAATCGCTTTTGACAATGCGATCTGTAGTTCTTGGTGAAGGTGGTTTGACTGAGAGCAAACTCACGATAGGCTGGATAATAAAGTGTGAAAAGGGAAATTTTTAGGGTTCGCGAACCACTTGCCCTAATATATTATGTAATTATACGTTCATTCACGTGATATAGAATTTCTATCACGTGATAGTAACTTTGATGGCGATGTTGAGATTGATAACTTCAACAGTCAACAGCGATACTCATACTCAATTTCATTCGAACGCTGGCTACGGTCTGATTTGAATAAGATAAACGAGTACACGCAAAACCATCAGCTTAGCCTTTTCTCCGGTCAACATGGCGCCATCTACGATTAACGTCCTTCTATCGTCATTCCCTGGTCTATCACTTCCTCCAACCTTAGCCATACCTCTACCGTCGACTTCTTCCATCACAGACCTCACAGATAGAATATGCGCCTATCTTCCATTCCCGCTAACCGCCCAGTCGTCACCCCTTATTCTAACAACCACGAGCAACAAGCAAGTTTGCCTCTCCTCGCCTGCAAAACTTGCCAGTCTAATCCCAGACATTGAAAATGGCAACTCAAATACCACCTCTACTTTCCTACCACTCCGCCTTAGTGTCCGCGTATGCGGTGGTAAGGGTGGCTTTGGCTCTCAACTTCGAGCAGCAGGAGGCCGGATGTCCAGTCGACGAAAGGGGAATCAGGATACGAACACTGGCTCTAATCGAAACCTTGATGGCCGCCGTCTACGAACTGTGAAGGAGGCAAAGGCTCTAGCTGAATACCTTGCCTTGAAGCCGGAGATGGACAGGAAAGAGAAGGAAGCACGAAAGAGGAGATGGGAGGCTGCTGTTGCGGCCGCGGAGAAGAAAGAACAGGAGATCCGAAACGGCGAGGGGAAAGGAAAGGTGGATGGTGCCTGGATGGAAGATAAAGAGGAGATGAGCGAAAAGGCACGTGAAGCTGTGCTACAGGCGATGGCGGGAGGTGCCTGGAAGGACAATCTTGCGGGTGGCTTCTTGAACAGCTCTTCCCCCAGTGCGAGTGGAAGTAGCGGTTGCGGAGGGTCCGCCAATGCAAGCGAAGATAGCGATATGGAAGATGTCGATGAGGAGGCTGTCCCTGATGAACCGACCGCGAGTGTGAAGAAACCAGCTAGACGGTACTTTGGATTCGACGACGAGGAAGATGATGATGAACTGATGTCAGACGAAGACGATAGAGCTAACAGTGAGGACGAAGCCGATATCAAAGGCAAAGGAAAGGCAAAGGCTTAGATGCTATGACTTTCCTCCATTTTCGTCTCTTACTTTGGCGCAACTGGAACACAGAATTCTAGCAGACTGGCATGGCCACAGAGGAGCTTTTGACCTGGTGTATAGTATTAATACCTACTTTACTGGAGAAAATCTCTCAACTATGTATATTCTAGATCCATACAAGTCTTGCCTTAGTACCAGCTCTTTATAGCGGACAAATGATAATCCGCGGTTAAGATTTATCGCCGGTTCCAATGTCAGGGATGCAATAAAATCATCCCAACTTTGCAAGCTTCTAAATATCAACATCGCTGGAAGAGAGGAATGAGTGCGCAATGATAATTCCTATTTTCCGGTGTCAATCTCGAAGTATCGTACGTCGCATTCCGTCTATCCGCCGAATACACACGCCCATTCGACCTTTGCCAGAATGGCGAACTCTTCACCCATATAATAAAACATCCATTACACTACCAACACCCTCCCTTCTTCCGAGACAGCAACGGATATACAACTCTACAGCAGGCGCAACAAGTGCTGGACAGAATCTGGAAACATGGGCTCTTCCTGAGACCTGTCATGGTTGCGGCGCATTAACACAATGGGTTTATCCCAAGGAGCCTGGTTATTATACCGTCACTCGAAAACCAGTGAAGCAATATATTCGACAGGTCATCAGAGACAACGAATCAAATGAAACCGCTTTGGTTGACTCAGAGGTGGGAAACAAAGCAGCACCGGAGTCTAAAGAAGTAGGGATTCCACTCTGTGACCGATGCCACAATTTAATCAACCATGGGGAAGGCGATCCGATACCATATCCCACGTTATCATATATACGTGATCTAATTGAGGAATCCCCTTTCCATAATAATTATGTTTACCATGTTGTTGATGCTGCCGATTTTCCACTCTCCGTGATCTCGAACCTTGACAGGCATGTCCCGCTACAACCGCAACGCAGCCAAAACCGAAGGTCACATACGAAGAAGCATGGATCAAGTCGCCATCTTGCAGAGCTGAATTTCATTATCACTCGAGCCGACCTGCTGTCGAATGTAAAACCGCAAGCGGATTCGCTGATGAAGGACATGGTGGAGATATTACGACAAAACCTGGATCGCAAAGAGCACGGCATAAGGCTGGGGAATGTCCATATGGTTAGCTCGTATAGAGGCTGGTGGACGAAGCAGATAAAGGAGGATATATGGAATCGAGGCGGTGGTGTGTGGATGGTCGGCAAAGTGAACGTTGGCAAAAGCAAGCTGATCACATCCGTCTTCCCCAAGTCTGCTCCTACCTACAAGGCAAAGAAGCTGCAGAATGCCAGGGGAGTGACGGTAGTAGGGCGCTCCTCCGCAGGAGAAGCAACAGCTCCTCAATTTGAGGAGCTGGAAGATGATGACGCCGGGGCTCCCGTCTTACTACCACCACTCCAAAAGGAGGTCCCATTCCCCAATCTCCCCATTGACTCTATCCGCCCTGGCACCACGGCTTCTCCTATCAGGATACCATTCGACAAGCATCGAGGCGAGGTCATTGACCTACCTGGCCTCTTCCGCTCTGGACTCGATGAGTTTGTACAGGACAAGCATAAGCCTGACCTGGTGATGACAAGTCGCCCGCGGCCAACCCAGCTATCTATCAAACCCACGCAGTCCCTCCTGCTCGGCGGCCTGATCGGAATCAAACCACTTGAGGAGAAGGAGGTCGTATTGGCGTCTCCCTTTGTTTCTCTGGAGGCACACGTTACCCACAAGGACAAGGCGGTCGAGATGCTGGCGCAACAGCGAGAATGCCCCAACGGGAACATTGCGAAAGAAGGCATAGGAGAGCAGATTACTTCTGCCGGGATAGTCGAGTTGAAGTATGACGTGACGTCAAGATACGCCAAACCGCCAGCCTCAGGAGGACTACCACAATTATACCGGATTATGGGAATCGACATCCTTATCGAGGGCTGTGGATGGGTAGAGCTCACGTGTGAAGTCAGGACGAGAACGAGAGCCCCGGATGACTTCCCCAAGGTCGAGCTGTTCAGCCCTCAGGGGAAGTTCGTTGGCAGCCGGATGCCATTGAGCACTTATGCCTTCAGCCTGAAGCACCGGGCACAGGAAGAAAATAAGCGCATAACGAGGTCAAGACGCCCTTCACTGAAGATGCACCGCCCAAAGTATTAAAGGCATTTCATCTCATTCTGCTTGGAGTTGGACAGATATTGATTGCATAGAGCGGAGTTTTGCATGCTTCCCCCTTTTTTTACCCCCTTGTACAACAGAACGATGACGGATACCTGTACTATACTTATATAGATATGAAGACAAACGAGAATACTGATATTAGACAGCCCAAGATGATGTTCAACCATGTACACTGTGTATGGACAAGGGGGCCCAAAGATCCCCACTGAATACGACAAGATATCGTCCAGGGCCAGAAATATATTATTCCTTGCTTCTTCTGCCACGAGGCAAAACGTCATGCTGCAGGGCTTCTATGCCTCAGCCGAAGCTCGCATATCAAGCCGGCCAATGTTGCCATCTCCCTTGCTGAGGGCTTCGACGTGCTATCAACCATCGGATGGGCTTTGATGGCTGACTAAGTCCCCGGATGTGGCGCGAGTTAAAAGGATGGGAAAGTTGAAATACTTTGTGCAAGTTCTAAGAAGTCCAAGTATCGAAGACCGGAACAACCACGACTTATCACAGACGCAGCCTGATACTCGGGTAGATATCGAATCTTCCAGGCTGTCTGACGGCCTGTTCTTCGATTTCACTGCTTCGTCTCCTATAGTTCTCACTGACTCGCCGCTGTGGGCCGGCAGACGGCAGGGCCGGAGGTTGTCCCATTCCACGGAGTGCTCCCAGCACATATTATTTTTCCATCTCATCCTGTCCGTTTCGACATTTTTATGACCGTCTGTACCGATTCCTCTGGGTTGTCCTTCCGGCTGCTTGATGAGCTTTGAGTACGCTGCGTGAAAGCCCATGGGGTGAGGGGGATCCTTGGTACATCTGCCCACCACCGCAATGATGCGTCCTAAGGCTTCGTCTTCCATGCAGAAGACATACGATGACTGCCATCTGATGTGCTCGACGGCCGTTTATTTTGAGAGCCAGGTACTTATATTGAACTTCCTGTTCCCCTCTAGCCGCCGTAGTAGTCCTACGATGCCCCACGCCAACGCTGGGCTGATCGACTCGGCATTATTGCCTACCTTTTGTCACTTATGCAATGAAGGTAGAACTACACTTGACAGAATTTTCCTACTAAGCTCTTTTCTTTCTGCTCTAGAATAACGAGTCGGAAGCGTTACGGGCCTGGAAATCTGCCCTTGACGCAATCTATTATCACAATGCGCATAGAGTGCCGTCTACCTATGTTCCCAAGAACGACACGGAGCGAAGTTACCAAGATTCGCTGCGCGAGCTGGAACTCCAGTGTAAAGAAAGGGTGAGCCTCTTAGAAACCCTAAGAGAAAGTCGCAAAGAGGCTGGTATGGACCTTGACACGAAGACGACGCCAATCTCCAAAGGAAAGCTGGAAAAGTCAAGGCCACAGATGAATGGGCCTCAGAGATCAAGTAGTGGCACGGCAGGATGGATTGGCGATAGAACTATCCCACCCATAGGTTATCCGGAATTGTCACGGCCGTCGACACTGCCGTCGCGCTCTGCGATGCATAGCCAATCGAGCTTGAACTCGATAACGCCAACTCCCCAAAGTTCTAGTGATGTGCGCGGCTTAGGGTTGGACTCGCTACCGTCGCCTCCCATACTGCCAGCACCATCTTTAAGTAGGGAAACGAATCGGTTACCACCTCCGGAGAAGAAAAAGACCCTGCTCACGACTCTTCGCGGCAAGGACCCGAAAACACCCCCGAGTTCTAGTACCCCGCCGCGCAAACATTCAAGACCTGTTGCTTCCAAAGCCGCGGGTTTGGCTTGGAGTTTTGTTACACACTCGAGCTCATCGAAACGTGGCCAGGTTTCGCCGGTAAATGAGTCTACCCCATCGGCTCCGCGCAAGAGTACTTCGAGTGACTCCGGCTCGCGGAAAGACGCTCCACCAACGCGCCACTCCCTCGAGGAACTTTCAACACCGAGCCGATCAGCTTATCGCTCAGACTACTTCTCAAGCCCTCCCATCACACGAAGGATATCGGGAGACCATTCTGCTGCAAGCCTAGCTGCCGGTGCTGCGGCAGCAGCTGCGGCCGCCCAAAGGCCGGCGGAAATAGAACCTTGTAACGGTTTTCCAGATTCCTCCCCGGATCTTAAAGGGGGCTCATTCGATAAGTTGAAGCAGCCGGATACGAAGCAAGATACTGGGTGTAACTCATCTCATCATAGGCCTCCACTTTCTGCAAAACCCTCGACCGTGGATCCTCCACGGTCCACGCCACCATCTTCTGGCACTTCTCAAATTCGCTCCAACAAGATTCCGCCAGAAGACGCTTGCCAGAGGAAGGTTGTCAAAACGAACTCTGCACCTTCCAAGCCAAGACTGAATGTGAAAGATTCTATCAGGGATATCGAAGCTCGCAATGATGGCTCTCCTCCTAATGGCAGAGTTAGACAGGCGAGTGCCCAGGCTTCAGCCCCGGCACAGCGCCCAATAGTTGGGCGGCAGAGGACGGGATCGAGGTCTAGCAAATCATCAGCAGAGCTCCCTGCCCACGGAGAGAGCAATGACGCTGATGAAGATAAGAACCCATCGGAACACGAACCTGATTACGATCTAGTTTTAAAGAAAGCATTGAGTAATTTACCTAAAGGAGCCGATAAAGAGGCGGCTGAGCAAATCTTCACAGAAATTGTGGTCCATGGAGATGAAGTTCACTGGGATGACGTTGCTGGCCTGGAACCTGCAAAGAACGCCCTGAAAGAAGCCGTCGTATATCCTTTTCTTCGTCCGGATCTATTCATGGGTCTCCGCGAGCCAGCTAGGGGTATGCTACTCTTCGGACCCCCTGGTACTGGCAAAACTATGCTCGCCAGAGCTGTTGCTACGGAATCTAAATCGACTTTCTTCTCCGTTTCTGCCTCCAGCTTAGCTTCTAAATGGCATGGAGAAAGCGAGAAACTTGTTCGGGCTCTCTTTGGGCTGGCAAAAGCACTAGCTCCGTCTATCATTTTTGTCGATGAGATCGATGCACTGCTTTCCTCTCGATCTAGGTCTAGCGAGGCAGAAGTTTCACGACGAATCAAAACCGAATTTCTTATACAGTGGTCTGATCTACAACGGGCTGCTGCAGGAAGAGAACAAAACGCCAAAGAAAAGAGGCTCGGTGACCCTTTACGCGTTCTAGTCCTTGCTGCAACAAATATGCCCTGGGATATAGACGACGCAGCTCGACGTCGGTTTGTTCGCAGACAGTATATACCTCTCCCAGAGTTCGAAGTGCGAAAATTACAGTTACAAAAACTGCTCAGCCATCAAAAGCACGAGCTTTCGGATGCTGATATTGATAGATTGTCTAGTATTACTGAAGGTAGGCAAAATAAACTACACCGTCCGTATCATCTTGTCCATATAATATCTGACACCTGTGCTAGGTTTTCTGGGTCTGACATTACCGCTCTTGCAAAAGATGCGGCTATGGGGCCCCTCCGAAATCTAGGTGAAGACCTCCTTCACATACCTATGGAGAAAATCCCCCCTATTTCCTTCAAAGATTTCGAGGCCTCCCTTCTTTCGATCCGGCCCAGCGTAAGTCAAACCGGACTAAATCGCTACGATGAATGGGCGAAGCACTTTGGAGAAAGAGGAGGGTAAGCCTGCCTTCTTCACGCCAGTTATATACTACGAATATGCTTGTCTTCTCTGCATTTGTTTGCTGGAAAGTATTCTTAAGGTGTTGTTTTCTGGGGTTTATACGAACATTCTCGGAGTTGCATTGCCTAAAGTTTATACGGCGTTTTGTTCGTGAAGTATTCCTCGGGCCTTGTAAAGGGGAAGAAAAGGGCTTGTGATTGGCATCCTGGTTTCATGTTATCTGGAGTTGCTTGTTTATCTGGGATTTGGCACGGTGACCCGGGCGGGCGGCTACCAAGTTTATTATTATTATACATTGCCAAAATATGATAAAAAAGTCTGGGATTTACTTATGCCCTTATACCACTCTATTTGAATTGACCCCATCTTATCAGAGAAGACATAAAGTTGGCATAGTGAATTCCCGAAAAGGATCGCAATTATGTCAAGTGTGGCGGATCAGGACTTCAGATTTTAATATACAACGTTTAGCTACTAATACAGTGAAATCGCCAAAACAACCTTCTAAAAAACAGGGAGTATAAAAGCCAGATAACATGACCACCGCTTATACATTTAGCTGTTTCTGCCTCTCCCTTTCAGCCTCCAGCCGCTTCATAACACGCTGCTTGAGCTTCCCCATTCTCAGCTCTCCAGTTACCTCGACATCAGCGGGTTGACCGTCCGTACTTCTTCCAAGTTTCCTGAGCCTTCTGTTCTTCCGAGCATTCAGCTGTGCCTCCACTCTTTCCGCATACGTCATAACTGGGGGACGGTCCTCAATTGCAGTTCCAAATGGCACTATAATCCTTTCCACGACATGTCTGACATGCTCACTCACACGCCGTCCGCTCCAGAATTCAATCTTGTCGCCTTCTCGTAGCGAATCGCGAGGGTCAGAGACCATGTATATTTTCTTCTCAATAAAGCGTTTCTGAAGATGGTTGTCGAATTTAGTGCTTGTTTGTTCCACGCGAACTGTGTGCTGCATGCGGCCAGCGGAAATAACGGTGCCAAAGTTACGACTCATGCCCGGAGGGAGACAGGTGGAAGAAGTGGGCGTTGTTGTAGAGGTTGAGTCTGAGGCAGGTGCTTGGGATTGAGCGGGAGAAGATGTGGAAAAAAGAGATCGTTGTAGAGAGGGTAAGACATTCTGTCTGGGAATAGTCGTCTTCGCCGCTAGAGGTTGAGCATTTCGGAGAAGGGATGGCGCTGAGGGGCCAACAGATCTAGTAGCCGACTGAGAGAAGGGTATTCCGCATATGCGAAGAAGCTGGCTGCGTGTCGAGGAGTTCATGATACCGTTCACTCATGGGCACAGCGTGCACCAAATGTGTCTGTTCGAGGTAGAGGTGAAAAATAAGCAGCTCCGGAAAGCCAATGTTACTCGAATAGACACAAAAGCCCACAGATCGAAGAGCTCCAGGTACGTTGGTAGTGGGCAAGGAGGCACCGTTGCCGTCTAGCTCTCTTATTTTCAATGTCAAGAAGCGTCGAAAATTCCATCTCTGGCGATGATTATATCACGTGGCTGATTCTTCAGATACACAGGAATATATATATTCCGAAGTCCGCAGTTTTTGTGAGAGTGTCACGTGAGCCACCAATCTTATATATACATAGTCGCTGGCGGGTTGTTGAAAGGAATTATCACAATGTCAAACCTCACAAAGAGCTAGGAGAGAACATCACCATAGCGTGGATGCGGAGACTAAGGGCAAGGTTCAGTATCACACACGTTACCATCATGCGGCTGCAAGGTAGATAATTATATATAGACAGTACTTGATGCGCCATCACTTAGGCAAAGGATTAGTTGGTAAGGGATACGTTGATATACGTAACTAATTGGGGGCGATGTAGGAAACCTACTTAGGGAACCCATTTTCGATCCTCCCTAGCCTATCATTTTCTCTACTTTGAGCAGGGATTTAACTCCCTGCTTCTAAGCGCCGTAACTATCTATAGACAAGCAATCACTGTGGGACTGGGCGGAATTGAACATCCTCTCTTCCTGCCGCCCAGCATAATTGCCATTAGGAGCAGTACTGTGTACATAAAAGAAAGAGAACCACTATATAAGAGAGTGGTGTGAACTATGCCTCTTCCTTTCTAATTTATCTCATTCATCTCAAAATCTCCCCAAAGAACACAATTGCCCATTCTTTAATTTAGCCTTACGAAAACCGCCTTGTTAATCCCTACCGGCCCCAACTGTTGCTATGTCTAAAGCCCTAAAAACTTTTGGGATTGCCTTTATCGAAGGTTTCCAAAAGCTTTTTAAAGAACATACACCAGGAGGGCGCATTCTTCCGCCTAAGACCGACAAGAATGATAGAAACGCCCAACTCCGTGTCGACGCTGGGGAGGTAATTAATGGCCGCAGACATATCTATCTTCAGGTTAATACCCAAGCAACAAATGAAGCGCTTAAGAAGTGGATTAAGAAGAATGGTACCCATGCAAACCTTGCAACTGCTTCCTTCGATATCAATACCAAGGAGGAAGATAAAGAGGGGGTTTGTAAAGATGTTTGGACTTCACTAGCGAAGCAGGCAAAGGATAATTTGGGTTAGCGTATGTAATAGCTTGAATAAATTTATGAGATGTGTTGTCTAACATCTGAGGGAGATATAGATTTTGCCTCGTTACCGATTGCTGAGCCGGAATAGGGAAGCTATATAAGGCAGAACGACATCACTGGTAACCAAAATTGGTATCATGGTTTACACAAAATTGTTGTTATGGTTGCAGCGGGCACTCCCTATGTGTTGACTGCGAAGGGCCACATTTGCTTGACTTCCTCCATGGATTTATTTCCGGCTAGCGCCCTGCTTGCATACAACTGGTATAGCTCCTTGTTTTGTCTTTTCTTTTCTTCATAGTTAAATACGGGGGATATCCAACCTTCTGAATCAGTGTCCAATGCCCTCTTTACCATTTCTTGAAGATCATTCCATTCTTCATATGCCGCAAGCTCTTCGTGATAGCACGAAAGCTCATCCTCTGTAAAGTGTATAGGACAAGGCTCTGTAAATCTCAGATTTGACCAGTACTTATATAGTTCAGCTAAGCAGGAACGAAGGGGGAAAATCCCATCAACTGATGTCTCCCCGCAGCGAATATAGATCTCCTTGAGTGCTGGTGGTACTTGTAATGCAGTATATAAACTAACATTAAAGGCACCTGTGCCCATTTCATAAGCCTTGGCGAGATAGTTTTGCTTATAAGTAAGCATAGCAATAGCCTTTTCTTCAGTATCCATATCTTCAAGTCCCGAAGGTGGCTCGGGTACTACCGGTCCAATATTATAACCATCCAAGGGTTCGAGGAATACGGGCCATCGCGCCTGCAAAAATTTTGGTGCAATTGTAATAGAATGCCAATCAATAATACCAGTAATATTTATGGTCTCTCCCTCTGTTACAAAGATATTTCCCATATGTAGATCTGTGTGTAGTAGCACTGGCGTAGAGGTCGTTACCAAATTTGGATGATTCGAAATTAATGGTAGAATCTTCATCGCAGATTCAAGCACTAACTTATGGGAAGACGGAGTACCATAATATGGAGGCTGGTATCTCGAGGGTGGTATATCAGAGGAAAACCCTTTATATAAGCTGCGGTTGGTGAGAGCTTCTCCCAAGGCTTGTAAACTGGGCCCTAAGAAGAAGTTAACATAAGTGATTGAAGGTGCAGAATATAACAAAACGTACATGGTCCAGTATTGTATTTTGGGCCTTTGTGTCCACCGCTAGCCTGGTCATATAACCATGGAGTACTAGCTGCGGGCCCAACACAATATCGACCAGATGGATCAACGTCTTTATCCAGAGGTATTTGCGGCAAGTTAGGGATAGAACGGCGAAAGTATAAATTTCCATAAGCTGGAAACTGGAGAGATAATAGCTGTTTCTCCACTAGGACAAGGCTTTTTATGATTTCTAGGCGACTAGTATCAGGTAGACCCTCCCAGACTCTAGTTAGCTGAACTCCTTTGGCCTTTTCCATTATAATGTACTCTGCCCCAATTGGATTTTTAGGATCGGAGCTCCAAGCTAGAACTCTAGGAACCGGGATTTTTGTATGAGTTCGGACTATAATACTTAGAAAATGTATCTAACAAGATAGGGAGTCCTGCTTACCAAACTCTAGGACAGCAGCCTCCGACGCGGTTGAAAGAGTCGGTAGACCGGCATGTGGGCAGGGAATTTTGGCAACTACCTCAGTCCCATTGTTGAGAGTCATTAGAAGAGCTTTGTGGAATCCTCCCTCCATTTTCGCAACTTTAGTGACCGAAGCGCCGTTGCCAACAATTGACGAGACAAGGTCGCATAGTTTATTAATGTTGAACCGAATATAGCGTCTTGCATACTGATACTCCTCATCAACAAGGAATCGCCCATTATTGTACTGAAAAACTTCTTCATAACTGATAGGCTTGCCTAACATAAGGTCAAGGTCAGCATAGATAGATAGTCACTGTCAGATAGCATTAACACACCACGACAAGTAATAGGGACACGCCTCTGAATAAGAGAGGAGAGCGATCTCCCCGACGCCCTTGGGAAGAGCTTTGATATTATCATGATATAAGTATCAGATACAACCACTAATGGTCACGATGTATGTGAAAGAAAGACCTTTTTGCAACCTTTCATTGAGCTTACCTTCATTCCTGACTAATCATCGGCCCTACATCGGTCCGTCGTTCAGAAATTGATTACTTAAGCAGACCGACTTCTTACTTTAGGATTATAGTTGATCCGCGTGTATGGGACGGGCCGGCCGGACGGGTGTCGGGTTCCACGGATGACTAACTTGCCCCTCAGGTATCAAATTTTGACCCAGACCAGCTCACTCATATCATATATTCCTCGACAACTATGGACCCGTTCTCAATCTCGCTCGGCGTCCTAAGCCTTGTAACTTTTGTTGGATCTACGATCAAGGTTACTAAAAGCTATTTGTCCAGCGTGAAGAACAGGACGAACTCTATCGCCACACTGCTCACCGAACTCGAAGCGTTGAAATCGAACCTATTGGGTCTAGACGAGTTTCTTCGGGGTAAAGATAGCAAGGGCCTAGTATTCGAACGAACTTCAGCACTTCAGTCATGTATATCATCCTGTGAAGTTAAGCTAAAGTCTCTTTGTAATAAATTAGGCCAAGAGGGCGCAGGCAGACGAAGCCGGTACATATGGCCACTTAGTGAGAAGGAGTATCAAAACGCGATTCAAGACCTCAGAACTTTTGCTCAGTGGATACAGTTTGCACTTTCGATTGACGGACTATCACTCTTGTCTCGCACTTCCGATGACGTACTGAAGGTCCTAGAACGACAGACAGAAAGCTTCAGAGTGTTAAAAACCTTAGAGAAAAAGACTCTACAGCTACAGGAAGCCGTCGAGGACCAATCACGTCTACTTCAAGATGACCGCAAGAATAGAAAACGAAAGGCGATCCTCAACTGGATTTCGAGTCTTAACCATGCTCAAAAACATCATAACCTGCGCTCAGCTCGCGTTGATGGCACAGGGGGCTGGTTTTTGGAAAACCCTGAATATATACAATGGCGAGATGGCATCTCCTGTTCCAATGTTCTTTGGTGCCATGGTGTTCAAGGGTCTGGGAAAACCGTCCTGACGTAAGGACCATCCATGTCTTTTTTGCCTAACATAAGCTGACAACCCAAAGCACAATGGTTATTGATGAGATTAGGAACTCAATTTCGGGTCATGATGTAATGGCATTCCATTACTTTGACTACCAAGACCAAGATCTTCAAACGCATAGCGGCGTACTATCCAGTATTTTGAGACAAATAATCGCTATGATGCCAGATATACCCCAATGTGTGATGGGTGCATATACAAAGTCAGGGGGGTCATCCTCATTACCAGCGCACGAGCTCGAAAAATTGATACTTAGTATTACTCAAGGCGTCCAGCGCACCTACATTATCATTGATGCTCTTGATGAGTGCATAGAAGCAACTAACCGGAAACCATTACTCTCGTTTCTAAATCAGATATCGAAACAAAATCCTGCCGTCCGTCTTTTTGTGACTAGTCGTCCGTATCCTCGCGATATTCATACTGCATTCCAAGCACATCGGCAAATAGTCATCCAAGCCCATGAATCTGACCTTAGGCGATACCTATATCGAGAAATTGACCTTGCCGATGTTCAGGACGTTGTAGACCATGAATTTGCCACCAAGGTAGTTGATACTCTTGTTAAAAAGGCAGAGGGCATGTGAGTTAAACCCAAATTATGGCAAAGATCAAATGAGTTAGTATTTTAGGCACTAATGTTTAGGTATACAGGTTTCTTCTTCCTGTGCTCCAAATTCAGACTATTCTGGCTCAGCCTACTGCCGGCGATATGGAAGACGCGCTCTACTCTCTATCCAAAACTCTTCCGGGGGCCTTTGAAGAGACGATCGCTCGCATTAAAAGGCTTCCGGAAAGTCAGATGCGACTTGGTATGGACATCCTCATGTGGATCTGCCATGCAAAGCGGGAAATGACTGTGCATGAATTGAGTGATGCCTTATCTGTTAGAGCTGGCCAAAAGGCGACGAATCCGATGTACCGCCCTTCATCCAGGGTAATGGAAACATGCTGCCAAGGCCTTGTGGTTGTCGACCTAGAGACTATGGCCATTCGCCTTGTTCATTATTCAATTCAAGAGTACTTGACAGGATGTAGTTCTCAACTCTTCCTTCATGCGGAAGCAAGTTTAGCATCGGGCTGTCTTACATATCTACTCTTTGACACATTCAGGCAAGGTCCGTTGCCCGATGAAAGTGGAATTATTTCTCGCATGGAGTCTCACGCTTTCCTTTCATACGCCTCAAGGTACTGGGGTATGCATGCACGACGGTCTGAAGACTCTTCAGCAGTGCAGCGCTTAATATTCGAGTTCTTCTCCTCCAGAGATGCGGTGGCAAGTGCTAATCAGATAATGCAATATGCCCAATTGTACCGTCGGATGTACTGGGAACCTGCAGAGTGTTATAGCACCACTGCCCTGCATCTTGTCAGCCACTTCGGCCTTGAAAAGACACTTCATAATATGCTCGATCAAGGAGATATATTTATTGACGAACCAACCAAAATGGGTACGACGCCGCTTATTAAAGCATCATCCAGGGGCCATGTATCAGTAGTCAGAGCGCTATTGGCAAAGGGTGCTAATCCTTACTTGAAAAACTGGTATGGAAACGCACTTCATTGCGCTGCAGAGTCTGGAAAGTGGCGTATTATAGAAGAGCTTATTCACCATGGCATGAGTGCAAATTGTGACCAACAAGATAGTCACACTCCGATTCGCTGCACACTCCACCATGATCATGCTGCAGCTTTTGAAACACTCGTTAGCTATGGGGCTGACATTCATCCCAACAACGATGATGAAGGTAGCCTATCTATTTTTCATATGGCAATCTTGCACGACAGCGTCAATATCGTCTACTTGATTTTAGACCGACAATGGGTGGACCCTAATAGCATGTCCAAAGCCGGCCACACTGCGATGCACTACGCTGTAGATATGCGTAACACCACGATTATACGGAAGCTTATTGAAGTTGGAGCAGATATTAATGCTCGAGATGCTACGGGAAAACGACCCTTAGACTACGCAAGCGATAACGGGGACAATAATATTATGAGCCTACTATCGAAGCACGGGGCTAAAGGTTCATCGACAACCTAGGTGTGGCATACCCTGACCCAAACATTCATATAGCGATGAGAGGGCTGCAATAAGCACCAAGCACCCAGTAATTCGGGAAGACATTTAACGAGCATAGTTCTAAGGGCTGAATATCTAGCAAATATGAGTCCAATCAGGCGTCACATCCCTGTGTTGTGACCGCATGCCAGATATCCAGATATACTCAAACTATGAAATGGTGGTGGAACTTTGAGATAATGTTGAAGCGATGTCAGGGTGAGTTCTCAAGTAGAAACGAGCTTAGTCGCATGGGCGGTGTTGAACAGGCCCTTTGCAAAAGAAGCCTACGATTTCCGCAGAATGAAATATTTATATGCGTCTGCGACCGTATCGGCACGATCACGAAGCTCTCTGTCAGCAGTATCACGCATCCACAGTGAGATTTCCATCGCAACGAGAGCAAAGGGGCCAACTTGACCGGAGCCTGACTGGTGCCATGTCTTCGGTCGGTCAAAATCCTTGAGGTTTTCTGATAGCGCAGCACACAGCTCTGGAGCCCCGCCGGCACATATTATCTGTTGCTGGCGTGCTTTTTTGGAATTCCTTATACGCCGCCTCGTTCAAGGCTCCTTTGTCATATTTCCCATCGGTGGGTGCTCCTCCATACAACGCCGACATGTACGTGTTGAATTTTGCTTTCACAGTGTCGTTTGTATTTTCCACGCTGCATTTCTATTCACTTCCCGGTTTAAAAACTAAGGGCTTACCAAAGAGGAATGCTGGCCGTATGAAATACCAGTGACAACATGGGATCCCTGGCCTGGAAAAAGTCCTTGTATGCCGCAATAGTCTCTTTATCCGGCGAAAAGGATGAACTTCAATCGTTCTCTTTATCTTCCGCTCATTGGCAAAGTCAATGTAATTCGACATATTCAGTTCCACATATGGTTCAGTAATGCTGAACAGGCCATAGCTGAATCCTTCTTTGAATTGCGTTTCGGCCATCGACTTGTTGGGAAGATAAAGATGTCTGACCTTATCGTTGGAGTTTAGATACTCTCTAGCGGCATTTCCACCTGTGAAAATCTTATATATGCTTCCTTCTGGAATGTTAACACCCTGGAAGAATATGGCGGCTCTCGAAGGTTCTCACCAAGGCAAGATTGGTCGTTTGTTCGGGTATTTCTCGGCAGAGACCACTCCTCACCACCGACCGAGACCTTCCTTGTCTCTGATTCATCTAGCTCGACCATACCTTCTCCCCTTCTTGCCTTGTCGGCCTAAGATCGCGAAGATGTCGGACGAGCAAAAAGAAAGTGGAGACGAGCTGCGTATCGTTCTTATAGTTCATGGCTCACCTCCTGTCGAATCTAATCCTCTGCCTAGTCATTCCTGCGCTGGGAAGTTGTCCATAATAGAAATATGGCTTTCTACTTGCGGAGATGCTTTGGTAGTTGAGGATGGTACTGTCAATGGAGAGAACGTTTTACCATAGGAGGAAATGGCTGCTGTGTCTCTGTTTATATAACTATGGGCAGTAGCACTACCCCTCACTAAAGATTGCACATAATTAGAAGTCTAGATAAAAAAGTTTGATGTATTGTGGAGTTATTATCATAAATCCACTGTACAAGTGGTTTGATCTACATGAAGCGCAATCTATCGGTGGCAAGATGCATATATAAACCTCACGTGTAGTTACTATATGATTGGCTAATTCATAACTAACTAGAGGGATGGGAGGCAGGGGTATCTATCAGATCGATAATGCATATACGACATTAAATTATCCATAATATCTCCACGCCCTGCTATGTATGGCTCAGCAATATACATAGTAGTATACCGAGGCAATAAAAGGGCAAAATTTATCCAATTTTTTTTTAGTTGGATGGACGTCATACTGGATGAAGTAAATCCTAAGTGGATTCAGGCGGCTTTAGATTAATCAATCTCGTATGTGGAATTCGATGGACGCCTTGGTGAAGTAGACACCATCTTACAACAGCCACCTAGAATCTTGATCTGAGAGTGGCCAACTCCGCTTCTAGCTTGTAAGGAGACACGAAGGGTGCTAAGGGTGGCAGTGTAAAGAGCGAGAAGTAGCAATCTTGCATGCATCATGGAGATGTACTTGTGAATAATAGCGTTAGGCGGTTGCTGCAGTTGGAATATGCTTAATATATGTATTCATATATCATATACGTCGACCTACGATACCTTACCATTTACATATATCTCTGTTCCCGCGATGTTGAAAGGGGGCGCCTTCGCAATCACTAGGCTCTGTGAGACTGGGGTTAGAGCAACCCTCGACCTGGCACGGGCGTGGCTGGTGATAGTCAGGTTGCCGCTGTCAAGCATGCGGAGACACAGTACGGGCGGTTCGATGGTAAGGCATGTCCTTACTCCTAGACTGATCTGTATAGGCTACTATTACAGCGCTAGTCAATAATGGGTTCTCCTCAGGAGGAACCGCCATCGCCAAGATAGATCCGTCGTCCTTTGTGGGTATTGTTCATTTTCCAGAAAATAGGCCATGAAGAAGCCACTTCTCTAAACAGACATTAAAAATACAAAAAGATATTATCTAAATATGTGAGTTGAAGCCCTCAGAAGCCTAGTATACACCTCCATAAGTAGTTGCACAAGAAAACGCGCTCCAGGGAGTAGACAAGAAGTTATTCAACTTGTTATAGAGTGTCGCTAAGTCTTAGTCATCTATATGGTCACGTGGACTATGCTCTTAGTAGAGAACTACGGTAGTAGGCAAGTGGAAGCGGGCCAATCATCGACGGAGCAAGTCCAACCGGCGCATATATATCACCTTGTAGTAGATACATGCTTGCATCCTTATGCCCATACAGCATGATTTAACCAGAATACAAACATAGAAATAATAACCATGGACTTGACTCCTGATACCAAGACTCATGGTGAAGAAAAGCAAAGTGAACCCACCGATTGGGAAATAGAAGAAGGCATACCCCAATTCGAAGACCGGTTTATCCAAAAATATTTGCATGGGAGAAATGCCTTGATCCAAGAGGAAAAGAAGCAGAGGCACGGTGAGTCTGGTACCTGATATATTGTTAATTCGATCACTCTAAGGGTGGGAAACCGGCTTTCTCGGACAAAGTGATAGCATGGTAGATGCTGCTATGTTTTCATTATTCGGATTTGTTCGGTACTGATACCTATCTTATAGATGCCCCGTTTTTAAAATGCATGTCGGCCTCTGCAAAAGAGGCATGCCGGATTGTCTCCCACATTCGGGACAGGGAATTAAAATCTGTATGGAATAGGGATGCGGAAGATCACCTAGCAAAGACAGAGGATACGGTTCTTTACCCAGGGATGATGTTTCGACTAGCTAGAGATAGGATGGAAGAGACTGATCTGTGGAAGATTGTTAAGAAAATGCCTAAAGGTGAGTATACTGATACACCGGCGTGAGAACTATTCACGGGGGGGGGTAAAAACTAGTAGGATGAAGATTGTGAACTAATTACTCGGTCAAAAGGAGCCTTATTACATGGCCATTTGGAGGCTATGGTTGACTTGGATTTGCTAGTTGATCAAGTAATATCCCTACCTGGGATGCACATTGCTTCAGGTCGGCCATTGACAGGAGCAAACCTCCATTCTGCTCCCCTACATTTTCAATATTTTTCTCAACCACAAAACCTAGGGAAATGTGAGGGGCTCGGATCCGGTACTATGAGCATCTGGAGCCCGGCATATAAATCACAGTCATACATTCCGGTGAAAGAAGCCGCTGCGGAGTTCCCAGACGGCGGTACTACAAAATTCCGCGACTGGCTTAAGGGAAGGTGCACCATCGAGAAAGATGTATCTCTCAGCCATCACCATGGGTGTGCGGCGATCTGGGAAATTCTAGAGCAGAAGTTCCAGGTTGTAGATGCAATACTCTATTACGAACCGATATTTCGTGCCTGCCTCAAGCGTATGTTGGCGGAGCTGAATGAAGATGGGATTCGATATGTTGAATTCCGACTGGCCTTTGGATTTGTATATCGCCGTGACAGGCGCGAGGAGCCCGAGCCCAACTTTGAGTCCATGTTTGAAGCCTTTGGAGAAGAGATCGAAAGCTTCAAAGCATCTGAGGCCGGGCAAGGATTCCATGGTGCCCGGATGATATGGGCGACCATGCGAAGCCATACAAACCGTGACATAGTGGAGAGCATGAAGGAGTGTATAATCACTAAGCTGCAGTTTCCCGAGCTCATCTGTGGCTTCGACCTGCTTGGACGTGAAGATGACGGAAGGCCGCTTGTGGACATGATTCCCGTCTTGTTCTGGTTCAAAAAGCAGTGCGCCGTGGAAGGTGTCGAGATCCCGTTCATGTTCCACGCCGGAGAGTGTCTAGGGGACGGGGACGAGACCGACTCGAACCTCTACGATGCTATTCTCCTAGGCACACGCAGAATCGGCCACGCCTTCTCTCTCTACAAACACCCCCTCCTGATAGACCTGGTCAAGGAAAAGAAGATCATGATCGAATGCTGTCCGATCTCGAACGAGGTTCTGCGGTTTACGAGCTCTATCCTGTCTCATCCGCTTCCGGCCCTCCTGTCCAGAGGTGTCGCGGTGTCCCTCTGCAACGACGACCCGGCGGTGCTAGGCCATGGCAGAAACGGGCTTACTCACGACTTCTGCCAGGTCTTGAACGCCCTGGAGAATGTTGGTCTTTCGGGTCTTGCAACCATGGCCGAGAACTCGCTGCGGTGGAGCTGCTTTGAGGACCAGAACAACGCCGCCTGGCTCACAGGCGTCAAGCAAGGGATAGCCGGAACCGGACGGAAGACAGAATACATTCGCAACTGGCACATCGAGTTTGAAAAGTTCTGTCAGTGGGTGATTCTCGAGTTTGGTTCCGAGGCTCCGGAGAGTGACGGCATTTAGATCTTCCCTGGCAAGCGGAGAAATGTGCGTGATGTGCCGTATTTACATAATAAACTAGGTAAGATGTGCTATTTACCAGCTGTCCAGCCGAAGAGATGTACATAGCGTATAAACGATCGCCTGAGACGGTCATGAAGTTCTTCTACGGCAGTTTGCGCTGTTTGGCTGCCTTGATCACGCCTCAAAAGTCTTTTCTTTTTGGTGGTTGAGGGAGCAACAACGTCTCTTTGCGCTTAGTTAAAAGGAACGACCAAACTTCTTCTGCGTCATGGAATCGCTAGTCGCAAACCACGGCATCGCTCCATGGCAAACCAATGCCTGTAGCCTCACAGCAAGCAAGTTCCAAGGAGCGGTCGACGTGGCAGCGTTTCTCTCCCGTTGTTCCCGCCCTTATTAAAAAGACAGTGTCCAGAGAGATGTCTTTTTGACCGATCAACGACGGTTCTTTTGTCTCCATATCTTATATCTTTCCCGTCAAGTGCCCTCCTTCATCATAATAGCACTGGAGCCTGTCTATGTGGCTGTTCCTTAGCTTCTTCCTTGTTCTGCTTGATAGTGTTCTGTATGTTTAACCTGAGCCTCATCTCGCTGCTGCTTGAATATCTACAATCTACCATCTACTTCATACGACCCGCATAGATCTATCCTCCCTTCCAACCCGTTTATTCACAGAGCTACGGTTGGGATACACGGCCTCTTCTCACCTCAGGCGACCTCTGACTGCTTTGCCTCCTTGCCGGAACTTATATCTCCTCCCTCCCCGCCGCCCTCTTCGTGTCTGTCCGGCAACCATGCAGGCGACCTTCTAGTCAAGTCCTGCATCAGCCGTCCGTATAAAAAAAAAGGCCTGGCTAGTCGTCGGTAGAGTACCGAACTATGTCGTACTTCCTTCCCTCATTCTTTCAGAAACGCCTCCTCAGATATGCCCTATCTCGACTGGAGATCGTCGATACAGATGCGTTGGACCTGGACAGTCTAGGTATAACATGGGGTCAGCGAAGTACTTTTGAGCTGAGGGATGTTGGGCTACGGCTGGAGGTATGTGGAGTGCTACCCTCGGCCCATATAACTGGCAATGTGGTTGTTCCATAAAGTGTATGCGTGACTTACCAGCTGTGGCATCTCTAGAAACTCGCTTCGACACTGCAGCTCCCGTCAGAGTTCGAGATAACGAAAGCCTCCGTTTCGGTTGCGCGTGTGACGATACCTGCGGATATATATGCTAGCAGTATCATCATCGAGGGTGAAGGAATCCAGCTCGATCTAAAGCACATTCCAAATACAGCCGGAAGTAAAAAGAAAGTTAGGAAAGGAGATAGCGGAGTCAAGGAGCCTAGTCAGGACGGCGACCATACAGAGGACCACCATGACAAGCTCCTACCGTCAACCACCGACCTTGCACAGTCGTTCCTGGAATCTGAACCGGTTGAAGAAACCGCGGAACTTGAGGCAGCCCTGACATCGCAGTCCTCTCAATATATCCAGCAGTCGGATATTCTCAGCGATGATGGGTCCGAAGAATCTGCTCTTGGATTGCATGATGGTGTCACTTTGCCGGGCTTCGTTGCCGGGTTTATAAAGGGAGTAGTAGACCGACTACAGCTAAAGATCAAAGATGTCTCCGTTAGAGTGGTCATGGAAGTACCGCAAGATACTTTCCAGAAACCCTCGTCTTCTGTAAAGATGAAGCCAATAACTGCCTTATTAAGACTCGGTGAGGTTTCTATTGATGGTGTTGCACCTCCAGAATCACAAGATTCAACACTGAAGGCAGGAAAGCGTCTGATAACCTTTTCTCAGCTCCATGCTTTGTTGGTTTCTGACGAGTCTCTATTCTCAAATTACTCGCACTTTGCTCCTCCAGGCATGACGTCTCCTATGTCCAGAGCAAGTCTGACAAAACAGGAATCTGTGAGAAGCCAGTCGTCGCGGGCATCAAGTTTGGGATATGCCAACCCTCTGGCGCAGTCTACCATTATGGAGAGATCTTCTATCGTTGACCAGCGGCTCGAGCAATCAGAACATCTACAGGAATCGCAAATTCTACAAAAATCCGTCTTATCTTCATCTTCAAATGATGGAAGATTTGACGATGCTGATACAGATGAGGAATACGAGCCTGAGTATAGAAGTGAGCTGCAAACGCAGACTACAAGATCTCACGAAATGCAATTCAATGAAAATGAGATGGGCTCCTCACTAAATGAGGCTCTCGAGTCAAGCCTCTCGAGTGATCTCATAGAGTCAACTTCTCAACTTCCTAGACTCACGATCAACATGACAGACTCTATAGCTGAACTTTCTGAACCCCAAATCATACCCGACATTGGAACATACGATGAACACTACCATGTGTCTGGTCGTAACTCTCCTGCCCTGTCTCTGTCAGTATCAACGCAATCATTCCACTCATTTCAGGATGATGAAGAGGAAGAGGAAGAACCCTCAACTCCGATTGCCTCTGGAAACCCCAGTCTTCTGACCGAGCCTAACCTGGAGGATAATCACCTACAGAAAGAGTCGAGTCCAACTTCCTCGGCTCACCATTCCCCAGCATCTAGCGTCGTTCTCTCAGAATCATCGCACCCCGATGAACTCTCAGAGTCTAAGATATTTTCACCTGAGGAGGCTCGCAGCATGTACCTGAGTTCTACGAGCGACGGTGTAGACTCTAGGTTGATGGGTAACATGCCAGGAGCCTGGAGTGATCACGGCTCCGAAAGCGTCATCGAGGAAACGAAGGCTAATGTTACAATAAATGTAACAGAAAGTTATCGTGAACATGCTTCGCAGGATAGCGAGGACCAGTCTGGTATTACGCCCACCGGAAGCACTATCCTTGGATCTGCCGCTGTCAGGGATGCTGGGAGAAATGAAGACACCGATAAATCCTACGATGAACGAGCTCGGCCCCTCTTAATTGATCCGACGTGCGACGTTGTCAAAAATATACTCGAAATTGATATGATCATGGTCTGGTTACCACCTTTGGGCAAGGATTCATCAGAGGAGTTATCACCCGAGGCGCGAATTGATCCTATTCAACGTATGAAGGAATCAACCTTAGCTTCAGGCCAGTCTTCAGTAGGTGCGAATTCTCCAAGGATACGTTTTGCGGACAGAACTCTCCGAGACTCTGTTTCCTCTACTTCAACTGCATCTGGCCATCATTCTAGCAATGTTAATATTGAAGATGACGATGACACCTTGAAGAACATGAAAAAAGAATGTGCTGTCGAGATCAATGTATCTTCCATCCAAGTTAATTTTGACCTTGCATGTGGTTGGCTCTTAGTAAAGCTTGGCCAGAATATTGCGCAGTCCTTTGGTTCTAATTTTACGGCTGAGGAAGATCTAAAACCCAGCATTGATGAAGGCCAACAAGTGCCAGTCATCGTCGATGTCTCTAGTTGCTCTTTGAAATTGCTAGAGCACCTCCCGGGCTGTTCCTATTTGCCTTGGATGGTAACTTCGACATCCGAGCCTTTAGCCGGTTCTGAAGACGCTTTGCTACATATGGCTATCACTGATATTTCTTTCCAGTTACTAACCGTAGAGCGGACAACGAAAACGCGCATTACTGTTGGTAAATTCAAGGTCAGCCACTTATCCGAAGAACTTCTATCCTTTGACGAGGGACTGAAGATGAGAGAATCGACGAGGGATATTCGGTCAAGCTCAAATGATATATCAATCAGTGCCGTTAAAAATTCCCAAGCTCCGCGACTCACTATCAATACTCTTCCTGTCCACTTGGCGCTCAACCTCCAGCGGCTGGATGAGACACTTACTTGGCTCGGTGGGCTAAGTACCATTATTGAACTTGGCAGTTCCATTGCCTCTGGCACAACAGTTAGAGATGACTTGCAAGACCCCAGCCGCAAACCTCGGGCGGTCCATTTTGTACAAACCCCTAATACCCCTAAAGACTCATCGCCAAACGCGGATCCAACTGCCTGGAAGGTGGATTCACGGCTCGGAGGGGTCGTCATTCAAGTACTTGGAGAACAGTGCAGCGCGAGACTAGAAACGTCTGCAGTAAAATTAGTTAAGAGATCGGAAGGCATTGCAGTTCAAGTTGACAAGGCTAGGGCAACAGGGCCTCACCTTTACTTCCATAACCCTGAAATTCGAACAAGTCCACCCGCTCTTGTTGCTCTTGATAACGTCCGCTTCGAGTTTCTGTTTACTCCCAAGGAAACTGACCTGGATCGTCTATTGACTCTTCTAACCCCTTCAAGGAATAAATATGATGAAGAAGACGACATCATGATTGACACGCTGCTCCGGCAGAGACGTCAAGGTTCTGTTCTTCGATTCACAGTTGGGGGTTTGACTGGAAATGTTTATTCTCTTTCAGCCTTACAGCCATTATCCAACCTTGCCGAGGAGGCATCAAAGCTTGCGAAAGTTGCTAAATACCTCCCTGAGGATGACAGGCCTGGGATGCTTGCCTTAGCCTTGGTTAGAGAATTTGAAGTCAATGTTGATGTTGGTAGGAAAGTTGGGAAACTTCGGCTTCAGTCCAGTAATACTGAAGTTGGATATGTTAGCTTCCCATCACTGGTCGCTTCCCGGGTTTCAACTATTTCGATATCCCGGAATGAAACAGAAGAGCTTCTTGGCCCAGCGGTTCTTCGTAAACCGGGTGAGAAGGAATCCAAGAGTGAATTGCCTATGATTATGGTAAGGTATATAGCAGAGGAGTTGGAGCCTACTATCAAACTGAAGCTTTTCAACACTCGTGTTGAATATACGGTTGAATCTATTGTTGCATTCATGGACCTCCAAGAGGGACAGGTGTCCACTGAGGGCATGGCGGCAAATATGGCACAGTCAGTCCTCAATTTTGCCGAGATGTCTGCACACCCTGTAGCAGAACTTGATTCCTCAACGCAGGGTCTGGTTACTGCAGAACCTTCTTGCGGAATCGCTTCTCCACTACGACTGTCCGCTACTCTGAAGGACTGCCTAATAGGCTTAACTCCTCGCAACTCTCCTGCCAAAGGCTACTTAGTATTGACAAACGTTGAGTTCTCCGGAACCATGCAATATGAACTTCGTTCTGAAGCCAATTTGAAGGTAGCCAAGGCATCAATGATGGTCGTGGATAAAGCGAATATAGAGGAGCCACTGAGAACAACTAGCCGACGTAAACGCTCTGCCAGCTCAAGCCCTCAAGTCCAACGACTTGAAGAATTAGGCTATGTTTCCGTTTGTGAAACATCATCCGCCCAAGTTTCCGTTAAAATAATGCAACTGAAGATTGACGGCCAAAAATCCCTTGATGTGGAGCTGAGAGATGACTTGTTGATCCTTGAGACATGCGCAGACTCCACGCAGACCCTGATTGCAATCCTCAGCGGGCTATCTCCACCTACACCTCCCAGCGAGGCTGTAAAATATCGCACTGAAGTCATGCCAATTCAGGATATGCTTCAATCCTTTGCTGGAGATACATTTGACCCCGGTAAGAATAAAGCTGGTGATATTGACAGCCTAGAGGATTATAATGAACTCTCAGCGGCTGAACTTGGGTATATTAGCGATTTTTTCCCCTTCCACGCCAGCGTCAAAGCAGGTGGATCGGGTGAGGATGCTGTCGGTGGCGAATACGAGCTACTGGCAAATAGTACTCACTCAGAGGCACATGTTTCTCCAGGTCATTCCGCTCTCAACTTTGATGAGGACCATTTCTCAAAGAAATCTGCCGTTGGGGGTACAGCTCATAGGTGGGATGCGTCACGGAACACATATAATCTCACAAACGAAATCCATTTGCAAAACAGCCCTTTGAGAGTAAGAATCCGAGATGTCCATGTCATATGGAACTTATATGATGGATACGATTGGTGGAGAACTAGAGACACAATATCCAAATCAGTCAAGAATTTGCAATCTCGAGCTGCGGAGAGAAAGGTTAAAGCCGCAAATAGACGATTATCGCGAGAGATTGAGGAAGAAATGGAGCCTACCATCGACGACTTCTTGTTCAATTCCGTATACATTGAGATACCCTCCAATAAGGATCCTCGTGAGCTTACTAGCGACATCAATCGGAATATTGATGGGTTAAGTGAGACAGGAAGCTATGCAACCACATCAACATTAACTGGGACATCAACACAGGATGGATCCGGTAGGCGAGAGAGATTACGTTTGGCTCGCAGCCAACACCATAAAATGACAATCGAACTAAAGGGTGTTGCGGCGGACATAGTTGTTTTCCCAGCTAATTCCGGAGAGACCCAAAGCTCCATAGATGTTCGGATCCATGATCTTGAAATATTCGACCATATGCCGACCTCTACGTGGAGAAAGTTTGCCACATATATGTATGATATGGGCGAGAGAGAAATTGGTACAAGCATGGTCCACGTTGAAATGTTGAATGTGAAGCCTGTGGCCGATCTTGCTGCATCTGAGATCATTTTAAAAGTAAGTTTGCATTCCACCTGTCATTCCATAGATTTTAAGTGCTGTACAAGTATTAACCCGATACCAGGCCACCGTTCTACCCCTACGCCTTCACGTCGACCACGATGCTCTCGACTTTATGACCAGATTTTTTGAGTTTAAGGATGAATCTGCCAGCAATGTTGAACCAGCGCCGGGAGATGTGCCATTCCTACAACGAGTGGAAATCAATCCTATACCAATACGACTTGATTTTAAACCTAAAAGACTTGACTATGCTGCTCTTAGGTCTGGCAGAACCACTGAGTTGATGAATATCTTTGTACTGGATGAAGCGGACATGGTCCTTCGCCATGTCATAATATACGGTGTTCCCGGGTTTGAAAGGCTAGGGAAAACGTTGAACAATATCTGGACACCTGACGTACGGGACAACCAACTTGGAGGTGTCCTCTCAGGGCTAGCACCCGTTAAGTCTCTGGTAACTCTTGGGAGTGGTGTCAGAGATCTTGTTGTCATTCCTATACGAGAGTACAAGAAAGATGGCCGGATTGTCCGGGGCCTGCAAAAAGGTGCTGCAGCCTTCGCCAAAACCACCACAAGTGAGCTCATAAAAATTGGCGCCAAATTAGCGATTGGAACCCAGAATGTGCTTCAAGGAGCAGAAGGCTATCTCAATGGCCCGCCAGCCAGGCCTGTGAATCGAGCAGCCCAATCGACCGCAGAGGGACCCGATGACGACGAGCCGATTGATATAGGAGCAAGGCAACAAATTTCTCTTTATGCTGATCAACCTGTCGGCGTTGTTCAAGGATTACGCGGAGCGTATGCAGGGCTTGAGCGTGACCTCAGCGTTGCGCGAGATGCAATCATAGCTGTCCCTGGAGAAATCATGGAGACTGAAAACATGACTGAGGCAGCTAAGGCAGCACTAAGAAGCGCACCGACAATTATCCTCGGTCCTGCTATCAGCGCTGCAGGCGCAGTTGGGAAGACCCTTTTAGGTGCCAGGAATACATTAGACCCTGAGAACAAGAGACGAGCAGATGAGGTATGCCATTTTCCATTCCTTTGCAATTGCTGGCCATGGCTAACATACTATACCTATAGAAATATCGATCTCTTTGATCCACCTTCGGGTTTCCTTTATTTTTCGTTTTATATAGTGCTTTGGGTATTAGCTGGCGCGACGAGAGGTATTGTTTCACCTTTTGACGATATGTGAATGAATACTACGACAGAGTATTGATTTCTCCCCTTTCTCTTATATCTTTTTTTCTTCTCCTTTTCCACCTCATGTTTTTCTTTTCCAGAATGAATCATGCATGACGACTGAGTATATGAGATTGGCGTGGGCCCCGGAGTTTTGAACCACAATTTGTTTTGCGCATTTAGCGTATCGATTATTAACAGAGATTGTTTTCCTTATTTTGCGTTATCTAACTAATATTCCATCTACGTTGTTGCTATCTGACCATGTCTATTTCTAAAGTATGAAGGCATTACACCATTTTCTGTTGCTGCTGATCTGAGTATATAACTAGGTGGAGGGAATTACCGTTACTATCAATGCTCAAATCTTGATATGTAAATAGAAGCAAGCATTATACTCTGGTTGATCGTTAATTAATCGGGTTTATCCGACGAGATTAAACTACCTAGACGAGCCCCTTTTCTACACGTAACATATTAACTACTACACTACCATCTTATTGTTGTCCCCCTTTTCACATGCCAACTGCTGTCATGCAGCTTGACTTATCCAACAAACAAGCATTTGTAGCTGTAGGGCATGCGGTAAATGGGTTCCTGGGAGGAGCGGTTCGCATGCTTATCCGCAGCAATGCTGTGGGCTACATGGTTTCAGGTTTCAAAATAGGTTCGGATATGTCCGTTGAACCGTAGGCAGTTGACTGTAAAAAGAGTCGGTTAGATGTGCCTCATGCAATTGCTCAGCTCTTGTCTCGATGAAGGGGATCGATATAAGAAAGCCGCATGATCAGCCACATGAAGCAACCGTGGAAGTGGATAAAAGCGGCTTGACCAAGGGCTATGCTTTCGAGCAACATGTACTTCACCATATAACAAGGGCGTGAGAGTGACATATCAACTACATATGCCCAAGCTTTAGCGTTTCTCTTCACATGTTTTCAGCCGTGGCTAAGCCTCCCCCACGATGCAGGTTGGACTTCCAGATTTCCTTATCCGAGAGTCCGTGACACCAACGGCCCTGCATATTGGAGGCTTAACTCGAAGCTCAGCCATTCAACCACCACGATTGTCTGGGATCCTCTACTGGTTGGTAGATTGTTGAGCAGAAGGAGCCTTCTTGGAAAAGCCCAAGTTCGAGCCTGGAACTATACCGCCTGATAAACATGGCACGAACGGCCAGAAAGAGAATATTGGCATCGTTTATTACCATTGATGTCTCATATAGTGGCATGCAGAGAGCTGTGGAAGGTAAATCAGTTAATCATGATGCATCAAATTCAAGCCCGAGAACCGATCAGAAATGGAGGTGTGGATTGATAGACGCATGGAGGGAGACGAAGCTTGCGGGCCGTCTAATCTCGGACTTGTGCGAAGACATGCACCTGAGCCAGGCGTATATGACACTTGTTAGTGTGTACAGGGCGAAGATGGTGTGTAGAAGGCCGTCTTTCCTGGGAATGTGGTGATCATGCTGATGGTAGACATGGATATTGATCAGGGGCAGGCCATGACAACTGTCGCCATGTTGAACTTGTGTACAACCGAACATGTAGCTATCCTGGGTTTCTGGTTCATTTCGCATTCAATGGTCGCTTCTCTTGGTATTACTTTTGTGAATCTCTGCCGTCTCTTTGCTTCTTCTTCTCGAGATGTTGAGAATAAAAGACGACCAAACCTGGCCAAGTCATGTGACCAAGATGCAACATCAAAAAAAGAAAAAAAATGAGACGAAAAGAAAAGAAAAAGAAAGGAAGAAGAACAAGCAGAAGAAGAACAGGACAACATCCTTTCTCACACACAAGCCCGGTTAAGGCCAGCCGGCGGACATGGTCATAAGACACCCTTCGATCGTAACCTTGAATCCCCGTCTCAGCCTCTCGCCTTTTGCGTTTCTTGCTGGCTTTTCTCCCTTGTCCAGCCAGAGAACGAAAACGCTGTTCTGGGTTGTAAGTGGCTGAGATGCGCTACGAGGGTTTCTCTTGGTAGATCGATACTTGTGTCCATGATTGGCTAACAGTCGAGCAGGTTGTTCCCACTCGTTGCTTTTTACTGCGTTTCTGGCTCTCCACTCGCGTCGAGCAAGATACCATCTGGGCAGGCGAATTCATACCCAACTTCCGCGCTCAATCCAGCGACTCACAGCTAACAGATGATGGCTGTTGTGTTCCCTGAGGCAAAACGAATAAAAATACCAAGAACAAATCCCAGAAGTTTGGCTGGTAACCCTAACCAGGTGGATGCAAAATAGGGTGGTGTGGTACCTCTCAGGTACGACACGTACAAAATAAGAAAATGACGATGCTACGTTAAAGGATGTAGGGAATCCCGTCCTATGCCCTTTTTTTTTCGCTCTCTTCATACCTACTTTGTTTTTCTTTGCTCCCTTTTTTCCGCATGAGGGTGTGAAGAATCCTGGGTCCGCAGTTTAGTGCGCAGGGTCATGCTGATGCGGGATTCGCTAGAAACTTTGATGGCTAGCATCTTGCACTTCTCCTGCTGCATACTTACCCTCTGCTTAAATGTATTCTTTCTTATATTCCTTTCTCCCTTTCATGTGAATGCATCCTTACAGCCACCTTCGTTTGAACCACCATAAACAGTCAGTAGGGTCTTTTATATCAATCGTTACGTTCCCCATTTGGACCTGGATATTGGATCATTACTATTGCAGCTATTCTTATAGAAGGAATTGAGCAGTGGCTGGCCATCTCTCTCCCTCTCTTCTTTATTCAATCAATAATTCTTCTATTTCTTCTATACTTGACCTATTGGAACATACGAACGATACGAACTTCTCTTTTGCAAAACAACATATGCTTACAATTTAATATTCCTGAGCGAGATATCCCAGCTAGATGCTTATCAACAGCCGTGTCTTCAAACAAGTTTGATCTCAATTGGGGTGCACACGGTTACGCATTTAGCAAGACCTACCTATATGCATTGATATTCACTGCTTCCCTACTATTGTTGGGACTTTGCGGGCTGGTTCCCTCCGCTTCAATCTCACAGCAAGCTGCGAATATTCCAAAATTATGACCGATGTCAGCATGGAGCTTAGTCAAATAACCTGGGAGTCGCTACTATTGATGGATGGGCACAGAGATGGTGCAGACACTCAGCCTGCGCTGCGGCGATCTCTACTACCAGCACCTCTCCGTATAGGGTCTGTTTCAACACCTCCATCCCAATATGGGTCTTATCGGTCCCCGTCCCCTCCGATTAGCCCTGCTCCGACTCTCCTTGTTTCGGTTCAGACTCCTCAGCATACCCGTTCTATGTCAGGCCAGCTTTCTTTGCATGAATATCGCAGGAAACTATCACATCCAGATGTTCAGGGCGGAACAACTGCAGCTCCGAGGAGAATGCTGAAAAGGAAACCAAAGACTATAAATCTAAATAACAGACAAGGGAACCCCACCCCCCTTTCACCACCGGCAACCCCTCCAGCACCAGATGCCTTAGCCCCAAGCCCTCCGTTGTCCCCTGACCTGATATCAGAACATCTTACCTTTAGTCCCGGATACAGCAACGCGTCAAATCCTGCCAGAAGCTGTGAAGTATCGCCTATAGATGGGTCTTTTCTGGATTTTCTGCGCACAACCCCTTACAGTCCCCTGACAGACAATCATCCATATGATGCATTAATAGAAAACAAAACTCCACACTGGACCTTGGTGAGTAAGTCTTGTCCTATCTAATATTAAATGTATTCTCTTATCTTAGCTTTTTTTTTTTTTTTTTTTTTTTTTGATATTTTCAAAGATCTTTTTGCTAACAGAGACGCGTTAGACAACTCTACGCGACTCTATTCGACAAATCCCTATTAGGTTCACGACACACACAAAGTCAGCCTCTGAATCAGCACTGCCTAGGACTCTTCGCCACAGAGGTGTCTCGTTTGAGATATTAACCCCTAGGAGATATACAAGCTCCCCTATGGCCCAAACTCCGGATAGGACAGCCAGGCCTATGAATAGGTACATGCTGACCCCTACAGACATGGAAATTCATCAGCTTCCAAAGCTTCGTCGCCGCTCGGCCTCTTTGGGTGCTGAAAGGCGTTGTACGCCTTCTCGGGCCCTGTTTGAGGATTTGCCTACTGCCTATTCGTCAATCACCTCCGGGACATCCAACAAGACCAAACTGTTCCATAACTCTGTTTCTAGTGATGAGAATTTACCGCTGTCTCCGTCTGGAACCACAGCTTATGATGACCAAGCCATGATCTTGGGTGCTCAGCAGGCTGATGACTCCGTTTGTTCAGAAGCCTCAGACCTTCCAACCGGACAGGCAGTGTTGGAAGAGATATCTACGGCTCCAGAGGGCATAGATGATGGTATTCATCCATGCAACGCTGAAAGTGAACCGAACAAGCTCGTAAAGCGTTCCCCTGGTTGTCCTCGTATACGACCGATAATTTCAATGTTTTTGAATCAACATCAACCAAATTTGCATGGTGCACGAGGCCGCATTGAAAAGCCAAAAACTATCAGCAACATAATCAATAGGAGGCCCAATTCGAGGCCAGGGTCTGCCCATGGTGATATAGAACAACAAATTGAAGAGAGATCAGCTCCGCAGCCAGAATCTGTGCAGCACGAGCCTGATAACTTGCGTCGAACTCTCCATGAAATCAGTACTCCTCACCACCACGAAGCTAGTGATGTAGACAACATAACTGCTCCCCAGGATATTCGTGGTGAATCACCAGCTCGCCAGCCATCGGCATTTTCCTTCCAGGAGAGCAACCATCTTGAAGAATGGAAGTCTTTTATCCTCACAGGTACAACTGACCAGGTTTCATCAGAGGACCTTCCCAAAAGTATGAGGCGTACCAGTATATTTGGGCCTAATTTCTCTCGACCAATGTCATCTCGCTCTCGACATCGTAAAGCAAGCCGCCGAACGGAGCGTCGACCTCAAACGTCTGATGTTACCTTTCCTCAAGAGGCTCATCCTAATCTTCCGAGGCTATCCACCCCATCTCTGCGTTGCTCTGAGGATCGCCAAGGGGAGCAAAGAGAGATGGCTTGCTACTCTATGCCACTGCCCCAGCCGTTTTCCCCTATTGAAGATATGACAATCACCAGGGCAGGATCACAGCTTGACATGGGCCCGGGAAGCAGCCAAAGCTCTTCCACCAATAGACTCAGCCAGCACACTGTATCTTCAATGGCACTTGGTTCTCCTCAATACCCAAAATCCATGCTGCCTTTCGAACAGAAGGAAAAGAAAAGTCATCCCTTTTTCCATGCACACCTTGGCAGCCCACGAGCCAAGAAGAAAGGGGGGGGAAACTTAACGGTTATGGCAAGTCATAAGGGAAAACAAAGCATTAGTTCTGTATTAGATGGTGACAGTGATATTGAGGTGGATGAAGGAGGCTCTGAAAAAGACTGGGAAACAGTTACAGAGAGCCAAATGTTCAGACCCCGATGCAGGATCCCAATATCAAATCTTGAATCAGGAAGTAGCTTGGCTAATTATTCCAGTGCCGGGACTTTGGCAAATAGAAGCTTGATGGATATACCCTTACGGCCACTCCAAGGGAGTAATGATCTGAGATCCCCCCTAAATAATAGGTCTCATAGGTTCCGTCGGCCGAGCTGGATGCATACATCTCGCCAACGTCGATTTCCCGAAATCAGCGCTCCGAGCTTCCCACGACACCTTTACTCGATGTCTGAGTTTCCTAGAGACCCTGAAGCACTGTTCAACACCGTACCGCCCCTGATGGCCTCGACCGCGCAGCTGCCTGCACTCCGAGCATCTTCATCTTCCTATTATCACCACCCGACCCCTCTGAGAGAACCTCATGCGAACCCCTTCCAATCCACACCCCCTTCCCTGAACGAGCAGCCGAGCGAGAGTTATGGAAAGGCTGGACGAGAAAGATCCGGCTTTGTGTCTGCAATTCGCAGCAGTAAGTTGAACCTTCAAGATAATGAAAGCAACAACCTATTCAGTTCAGGCCATAGTGCTGGTCCCATTAGAAGCCTGCGCCCTCTACCAGGCCATGGCTCAATGGAATCATCTGCATGGTGGACAAGACCATCTTTAAACACCATGACGTCCCAGCAGCCCTTTCACTCCACCCCTTTTTCATCAAATATTAGAGGCGTGCAAGACAGAACGTCCCTTCACAGCCATCATCTCACAGCCCATCATCCAACTAGCACAACACAGAATATTCCAGCAACTGACATTATCAGCAGTAAAAATACCCTGCCTGTGACATCTCACACTGCCCAAACACCCTCACTTGCACTTCGAACGCCTGACGCGACATATCAAGATATCGAGCTTGGTACCCTTACACGTACTCGCCATAGATCGATTCCAGCTCGTTCTCGCGTCAGCTCCTTGACCAGCCTTGTATCTGGCACCTCGAACTCCAGGAACCCGCCTGGATCTCTCTACCTCTCAATCAGGGCAGCACGCGACAGGGCTCGAAACCACCGCCATAACCGCACGCTGACGAACAATTCAACTTCAACAACGAACGAGCATCTACTCTCGACAAGGCCAGACACGCGAGCTTCCTCTAGAGGTGAAACTCGACGCGATTCCACCATGGACAGCTATGAAGCTGGAGCGGAACGGGTATCTAGTCCTCGATCTTTCTTTGCCATGTCACCATCTATGTATAGCCGACCACCAACACGCAGCCAGAGTGTCAGCACGTCCAGGAAGATTCGAAGCCCCAAACCAGACGATATTCTCCGCGAACGCCTGGACCGTATTGAAACGGCGTCCATCGTGCTATCAAACCATTCGCCATCACTGCACGAGGGATGTGTCCGCTCACCCTGGACAACCTGCCAGCCAGCAAAGCAGTTCACCATCACCCACGGAGCATCGTCACTTTTCGCTACTATCGACGAAGAAGTAGCTGTCTTGCCAGATGCGTACTGTTCAACCTACGGACGTCATGTCTTCCCGGAGCCACCCCGTTTGACCCCCCAGCCATACCGTGGCCAACGACGACACCAACAAGGAGGCTCTCCTGGTTCGGCTGGAGGAACGGAAGTATCTGCGGGCAACGGCAGTCTGAGTGCTCAGCGGAAGCTGGGAAGACAGCTGATCATCTTATTTTCACTTGTCATCCCCTTTGGGTGGTTTGTGGTAGCCTACATTGGGTTTGAGGGCAAGATGGCCGATTCCTTGATCCGCTGGAGGTCTAATGGAGCCATCAGCGAGTTTCATGTCAAGGAGAAGTATTGGGCCAGCCAGTTGGCCATTTCATACGGAATGCTTACTTTTATTGCGCTGCTCGTGGTGCTTACCATTTGTCTAACCGCCTTGTGATGCCCGTTCGGAATGTTATGTCGTTAATGAAGCCGTGGAGCATTACTCTATCTCTCTTTTTCCTCCCACTCCATTTTCTTTCTACATGAATTACTTTCTTTGCTAATGTTAGATTTCTGTTCTCTCCTTTTTTTTTAATACCTAATAGCAATTCAAAACTGGTTCTTCGTGTCGGTTACAAAAAAAAAACTTTTCTGCAGGCTTCACAGAGTTTGTTGATATAGATCAGGTCTTGGGGGTATCTCTGTTTGTTATATAGTAAGGGTGTAATAATAAATAGATATAAATGAAGAAAGAGATTTTGGTGGGTTCTTTCAATCCTTCATCTGGTTTGCCTCAGCCACCTCCTGCTCGAGTACCGCTGTCACGGCGGCAAGGAGTAGACTCTTCCGGCGAAGGCCATACTGCGACTTGCCGAATTTTCTATTTGGATTGGGAGTCGATGTGCCGGTGCTGTTGTGGCTGTGGTTGTGATGATGATGAGGATGAGGATGCGACTTTTCAACTTTCCCTTTGCTCCCAGCGCCTGTGAAACGGCTCGATGTCACGCAGCCGCTGGTTGGAGTGTGACTGTGGAGTTTCGGCTTCAATAGCCTTTTTCTCGAAGGAGTTCGAGACAGTGGGAGGGAGCTAGGATGCTGATCATCGCTTAGATAGCCTGTATCGCAGGGCTCGCGGCTGGGGCTGGCATATGAAGACTGGTCTCGCGGGGAATCGACGTCTCCATCTAACAAGATGGCGAGACGGACGGTGTCCGCGATGGAAGAGGAGGCACATTGTAGCATGGAGAATTTCTCACGCTGATACCGGAGGTTGCCGGAGAGTCCTTCATCCTCGGGGCTGGCGGCGGGATCGGTATCGCCTGTGATGATGGTATTGACGATGCTGGATCGGCTGTGGGGCGTGGAGTAGAATACCTCGGGAGGTGATTTATCTCGGCGAGGTAGATTTAATCTCCTGTGGTTGACTGGGAGGGAGAACCTGCGAGTATGGGGTTCGATGGGACTCGGTGGAGGGGAGGCAGAGTTGAGGGGAGAGTAATACGGCGAGGAACTGAGCATATCCGGCGACTGAGGCAGCTGTGACGGCATTTGCTGCTGGTGCTCCGGTGAGTCGAGGACGGCGGGACTCTGATATTGAGCATCGGTCGAACATCTCGGAGGGGTGATGGGATGCCACCGTCCATCTTCGCTGTCGCTGCTGGCGTCATGGCCGCTGCCGGTCTCGAGTGAATGAGCATGGAGCTGTTTGGTCAGGGAGCCGATAGAGAACCGCTGCCTGCGTTCGGACGAGTAGTCTGCAGGAATGGAAGTTGGAGCAGGCCCGAGATGGTAGTGATGGTGGTGGTGGTGGTGATAATGGTGCCCGGATATATGATACTGTCTCGAACGACGGTTAAGACGGGGGTAATCCCGCGAATTCAGGGGCGAGGGCAGTCGGGGAGAAGGACACCGCGAGGACAGAGGAGAAACCAAGTTGCTGTCACACTGGAACTGGAGCCCATCGATCTCACCTGGCTCTATGAGCGGCAGCGGTGCTGGAAACGAGAACCCTTCGAACATGCTGTCTATGTACGGAGTATCTTTTGGATGATTTAGTTTTTGGGCTTCCTCTTTTTTTCCCCCAGGAACCACAGTATCAACGATGTATCCTCTGTGTGCCAGATATGTCCGAGGTAAGTGAGATGTGTGTGTATATATATATATGTCCACGCCGCTCAAATCTCCGGCGCCATCAGATAAAAAAAAGCCGGCGATGCAAACCAAGCGAGGAAAAAAGAAAGAAGGGGGAAGAAAGGGAAAGACTCCGCAGAGTTCTAAGCCGAGACCACCGGCGTCAAGGGCGCATTCCAAGGGCCATGAAAAAGGACGAGTAGAAAAGATCCTTTGCCTGGATCCTAGCAGCGGCAAATGGGAAGAAGTGGACTCCTTTTTCCTTTCCGGTGGAGAATAGGCAGCGCGGCCCTCGGGTTTTCTTCTCTGTCTCTTATCTCTTCGTCTTGTCCATTCGTCTTGTCCGTCTTATATCGCTGTGAGTCCTTTGTTAGTCTTTTGGACGGGCGGAAAGGCAGGGGACGGGAGTTACATGGAGCCCATCTCAGGGGGGGGAAGGGGGACGGCGCAGGCAGCGGCGCAGTCATCCGTCCAGGCAGCAGGCAGAGATGAGAAGCCAGGCTAGCCGGTGACCGGGATCCTCTCTTTCGCCAGTCTTCGCCATCTGCAGGCTGTGGCCGTGGATTATTGGTGTGTTGCGATGCGGTTTGTCGTTGGTTTGTTGGCGTTCGACGTTCAGCCTTAAACGTAACGACGGGCAGGGAAGGGCCAGAAGCGGCAAGTCTTGACTTCACCCCGTAAAAAGCACCAAACGTTCGAAGGACAACATCATCACAGCATTATGAGGACGTCAAGACGGTTACATCTGACAGTTACATGCCATGGAGGAGAGGCCATGGAGGAGGCCTTGACAGACACCATGACATCTCCGGTTCTCCATCGCAGGCAACAGCTCGCATCTGCGGCTCTTTATTCTCTCGTATTCCGCTGGTGTTTTGCTCTGAACGAACGAATGAAATTGCTAGTCTATAAGTCTAATTCTAAATATTATGGAAACACAAACGAGGGCATCAGGTAGGCATCCTTGCCGGGCAGGCTGAGGGCGTTCTTCTTGATACTCCATACACATGAGGGAGAGAGATATGGACCGGCGATGAGCCAGCATCATGCCGGAATCCAGGAAACAGAAGGACAAGAAACAGGCAGAAGATTAAAACATTAGCCGTCGACAAAGGAAATACTTTTTTTCTTTTTTTTCTCGTTTGCTTTTTTTTTTTTTTTTTTTTTCGGTTTTCATGGACATGCAACTCCCCAACTCCTCGCTAAGCGAATCCGCGTCTTTTTGTTAATATCCTCAACTCGAAAGGAATGATGCAGTGGTTGTTTGCTTGGGCTGTTGGTTCTCTGGCTCTCGTATCTCGGTCTAGGCTTTGGGAGACCTGGCCATCTTCTCCTTCTCGTACACGGCCTTGAGGACGTCGACCCCGATGCTGAAGCATGGCTCGACTCCCAGGTCCTTGAGTATCGCCTTGGTCTTTCGCTGGTCAAGTGCAAACATGTTGTGGCCGACCTCAAAGTAGCTCTTGAGCACCGTCCACCGAATCTCCGCGCCGGGCTCGTTGTCGATACGCTGCATCCCGTCGAGCCAGTCGTCCTTGCTCAGGATCTCTGCCTTCACACCGGGCTCAGACTTGATTTCTGCCATCATATCCACCAGCAAGGGCGTCTTGACCGGGTCCGGGTTCGTGATGTGGTGGATCGTAGCGACGTTCTCTTGACGGCTCAGTCCGTCAGACAGCGAGAGCGCACGCACACACCTGGTCATGTAGTCGATGGGGATGAAGTCAATCACGAACTCGAGGCCGCGTTGGCCGATCTTGGGGATCCCGTTGGACTCGACGATGCCCAGAACCATGCGTCGGGCGAAGCTGTCGTCGGGTTCGATTCCTCCAGTCTCGGTGCTAGCAGTGATGGCAGAGGCACGGTAGATGGTGCAGGGAATGCCTCGAGAAGCAGCTTTCTCGATCAGCATTTCGGACGCCCAGCGCGATTTAAAGTAGCCGAAGCGGCTGGTTCCCTCGGGCATGAAGTGGCTGGCGCTAGTCTCCTGGGTAACTGGGCGACCCCTTCGCTTGCGGATTGTTGTCTGCCATGATTGGATGTGCACTACCGACCAGGTCGAGAGGTGGTGTATGTGAGTCTTGACGCGGCCAAGTGTGGCAAGTTCGATGATTTCACGGATGGGCTCGACGTTGAAGCCGCGAAGGTCATCGTAGGACTGAAGAAGAGAAACATGAGAGGCAAAGTTGTAGATGGCCTGGATTGTTTGACCCAGCTCCTTGAAATCGGGTGTTGATAGACCGAGGCACGGGTTGGCCATGGCACCAGGGACACATCGGATGCGGGAAGTAACTGCATCCCGGTCAGGGAAAAACTGCAACAAATCCCACTGGTCCATGACCTTGAAGACATCATCAGAGGTCATTGGCTCTTCGAGGCCAAGAACATGGATCGTCAGCTGTGGGCTTTCTCTCAGTAAAGTGGCCAGCATGTGGATGCCGTGGAAGGATTCGACACCGGTAAGAAGAACATCGGTGATTTGTGATGGAGCGATATCAGGCAGGCTTTGGTCCAAGGTATACTGAGGGGTGTCCACCAACTCAGTTTCCTTCTCCCAGTCAATTTCTCCGTCAGAGCCATCCTTGGACTTGCTCCAGATGGCATGAGCGATGCCCATCGGAGTCGGCTTTTCAAACATCATTGCCAGGGTTGGAGTGACTTTGAGTGAGCGCTTTAGTTTGGCCTGCAGCCTGAGCATGAGGATGCTCTGACCGCCAATTTCAAAGAAACTGTCATTGAGTCCGATCTCTTGACCCTCGGGAAGCTTCAGGACTTCCTGAAACCCTTGCAAGACAGCCCGGATAATTTTTTCGTCGGGTCTATCGTTGGAAGTGGATGCCTGAGGTTCAATAGTTTCAGACGCTGCTGTAGGGAAGGTGAGGGAAAGATCGCAGTTGAGAAGACGTTGACGATCAACCTTTCCACCAATAGTGACAGGGAGAGATTCCAGGAATTGATAACCATTTGGAAGCATGTAGTTGTTGAGGTGACGCCCTGCCTTGTTGTTCAGGTCAAAGGCGAACGCTTGTTTGCTCTTTTGGTCGGCGAACGGTTTCTTGGTAACAACAAATGCAACAAGTTGGCGATTGTCGGTGATATCTTGAGGGTCAGCCGCGGTGGGCGAGCGAGCAACGACTGAAATATCGACAATCTGTGGTTCTCCAGTTTCATCCTTGGACTCCACAAATAGTCTCTGCTCGACTTCACCAAGATCGATACGGAAGCCTCGAAGCTTAATTTGCTTGTCGCCTGCAATACGGCCGTGGAACTCCAAGCTTCCGTCTGGGCGGAATCGGCCTTTATCACCACTTCGGAACATTCTTGTCCAGCCAATTTGACGGTCTTCTTCAGAGCAGAAAGGGTCGGCCACGAATGAGTCCCTGTTTGCCTCTGGTCGGTTAAGGTAACCGAGGCCAACTTGAGCACCTCCAACAACAATCTCACCAATGAATCCTGCAGGGAGTGGTTGGCAGTTCTTGTCAAGGATGTAGTGCCTGGTATTTGCCATGGGGAATCCGATTGGAATGCTGACTTCATCTTCGCTAGGATATTCAACATGTTGGATTGTAGTTTGTACCACAAGCTCGCTAGGGCTCCAGGTGTTCAGGACAACGGCTGGGGTTCCAAGGTCGTAAAATGCCCTTGCCACACGGACTGGCAATCTTTCGCCGGCGAAGTAAGCAATTCGATACTTGCGAATATTCTGAAGATTTGGCTTTGCGTTTTCAATAAGAAGGGCGAACTGGGTTGGTGTGAAATAAGTAACGGTAACCTGGGAGGACTCCATATATTTGGCGAGAGCAACAGGGTCCTTTCGAGTTGCGGCAGTGGCAACGCAGACGCGGGCGCCGCAGGTAAGTGCAGAAAATATTTGAACAATAGATAAATCAAAACAAATGGAAGAATGATGAAGGAAACGGTCTTTGGCGGTAAATTTATAGTCGTGATGCAGAGTGCTGAGCATCTGTTGGGTGTTTGACTGACTCAAGACTACACCTTTTGGGGTGCCTGTGCTTCCCTTTGAACACAATTAAAATCAAATTTCACTCTGAGGTTTTCGTCATTGCAAACGAACGATCTTCATATATAGACACAAGGGAACCCAGAGAGAAACTTACCGAGGTATAGATCATGTAGAAGGGGTCGTTGTTCGCAGTCTTGTGTGGCCCTTGAATAGGCTGCGATGGTTCCGAGATGGTTTCAATAACAACAGACTCCAAAGGAGTAGCAGCTTTACCGGTTATCTCCTTAGCTCTGGCCTCAAGCTCCTTTTCAGCGAGAAGGAGCTTCATTCCGGAGTCGTTGGCCATGAAAGAGAGACGCTCTGTGGCAAAGCTGGGGTCAAGCGCAACATAACCGCAGCGGGCAAAGAGAGCCCCAACCATTGCAGAAATTGCATTCACACCGGGATTAGAGAAGATTCCGATTTTAGATCCGGCATCGACCCCCTTGGATTCAATGGCGGCAGCAATCTTCTGTGCCTTTTCAACAAGGGTCTTGTAGCTAACGCTGCTCCCATTGGAGGTCTCGATGGCCACATCATTGGGAGATTGGCGGGCAATGTCGAGGATACGGCCGGCAACAGACTGATTCTCCCAAGTGTTTTCAGTCAAAGCCATAGCGAAGAAGTTGTTCTTTAAGTGAGTAAGCTCCTTTGGGCCAACCATGGATATTTCAGTAATTGGCTGGCGGTGGTCGCGAATGGCACTGTTCATAAAGGCGATAAAATTGTCCAAGAAACGTTCCATTTCAGGGTTTCCGTACAGGGTGCTAGAGAACTCCAGAGAAAGCTTGAGTCCTTCCTCAGGGTCTTCAGTTGCCTCGAGCTGCATTTCACTAGCAGTAGGAACATCCTTTCCTCGGATATCGATCATGTTGAAATCATCAGTAGCGTATGTTGGGATCTTTCCATGCATCTGGTAGTTCACAACGACCTGACCAAGCGGGAAGTATGCAGGGTTTCTTGGAACACCAACAGCATCAACAATCAAATCGAATGGAACATTGGAGTGAGATAGAGACTCGAGAATCAGGCCGCTCATTTCACGAAGGAAGCTTTCAAAGTCAGTATCGTTATTAGTGGAGCATCTGACTGGGATAACGTTGACGAAGAATCCGACAGTTTCGCTGACAGATGGGTGAGGTCTGTTCCCGTCAATCATATGGATAGTCAAGTCATCCTGTTCAGTGTAGCGGTAAATGAATGCCCTGAATGCGGCCATGAGGAACTGTGCAGGTGTGATTCCGAGGCGTGCACAGATTCTCTTCATTCTCTGGTGAGCCCCCTTCTTCAACAGGCCTTGGTGTATACTTCTCTTGTAATCATTGGATTCTGGTCGTTCTGCCTTGGCGAATGGGAGCAGTTTGGTAGGGCCTGGGAGGTCGTGGTACTTGGCCTTCCAGAAATCGACATCCTTTTGTTGCTCCTCGGACTGTAGGCGTTCATTGTGCCACATAGTGAACTCAGAGTAAGAGGCGACAGGTTGTTTGACGCCATCAAGATCATCCCCATTGCGTAGGCAGTTGTAAAGGCTGCAGACCTGGTCGAGAAGAGACTCACTGCTACCACGATCGAAGGAAATATGATGGGCAATAGTGACAACCGTGAATTCCTCTTCCCCAGTTTGGATGAGAGTGAATCGAATATTCTCTCCGTTCTCAATGTCCAATGGCTCGTGAGTTTGTTCCTCGATGAAATCCTCAATGTCAGCTTCAACGTCATGGGCATCAGTGAAATCGAGGAAGTTGAGCTCCACTGAGCAATCATCAGTGACCATCTGCTGGGCAAAAGATTCTCCTTCAAAGTACGCGGTGCGGAGAACGTCATTTCGACGCTTGAGCTCCTCAAGGGCCATCCGGAAGACTTCAATGTCAGGCTTGCCTTTGATAGTGGCGCAGAGGGGTAAGTTCAAGAAAGACTTGTCTTCAATCAGGTTATGGATAAACCACAATCTTCTCTGGAAAGTCGACATGGGAACTTCATCTCCGGGTGAGACCTTGAACGATCTTTCACCAAGTGGATTATCTCCAGCATCTCTAGTGCTGGAAGATCGAGCAGCTCGTGATGAGGTTTGCTGCTTGCTGGTATCCTCAGCCTCAGCTTCTTCCAAAACCACAGCCTCGGAAACCTTTTCAACCAAGCCGCGGATGCTTGAGCTTCCAAGAACATCGAATAGAGCTAGTTCAACACCAACAGTCTTAAAGAACCATTTGCGTATCTCAATGGCTACAATACTGTCGAGGCCATAATCAGCAAGACTGCGGCTAGGCTGCACATTTTCAATATCAATAGATAGAATCTGAGCAATCTTTTCGATGAATGCCTCAATTAGAATGTTAAGTCTGTCATCAGCGGTATCAGCTGCACGGAGCAGGGCCATCACACTCTTTTGAGCCTTGCCAAGGTTTCCTGAGGAAGTAAAGTCGTGGTTCTGGTAGATATTCTTCATACGAGGGCCGGAGGTCCAGTAGTAATCAGGGCGCCTCATATTAAGACCAGTAATTGTTTGGTGGGCATCAAAGCCATTACCATCCAGGGTCTTGTACTGGTCCCAAGAAACGGATGTTTCAATTTGATGGAACAGTTCCTCTTCGTTCACTGGGTCGTATCCCACTCGCTCCATAACAGCCTGAAGCTGAGCATCTTCAGACACAGCACCAATACCAACAACCATACCGATATCCATAGTGGTAGCAGGAAGACCGCGCTCTCGTCGGTATCGGCAAATAGAATCGATGTAAGAGTTGGCAGCGGCATAGTTTCCTTGCCCCTTGGTTCCAACTGCTCCAGAAAGGGAGGAGAAACAGACAAAGAAGTCTAGAGGGATGTCAATGGTAGCTTTGTGAAGGTTATAAGTTCCTAACACTTTAGGAGTGGTGCAAATTCTCCACTGGTCGAAAGACATCTTGTCGAAGGGTGAATCTTGAAGGACCATAGCAGCTTGGAAGACACCAGCAAGGTTGTCTTTGATGTTTTGGACACAGTTGTTGACTCCATCAAAGTTCGATACATCAGCTTTGAATACCTGTACATTGACATGTCGGTCCTCAAGCCACTGGACAACAGCCTTAGCCTCGGACTTATCAGCACCAGATCGTGACAGGAAGGCCAGGTTGCGGGCTCCTCGACGGTAAAGCCATTCTGCGAGTTTCTGTCCCAGACCACCAAGACCACCGACGAGGAGGTAAGTTCTGTCTGCCTTGAGAACTGCCTTGCTTTCGTTGGTGTTTGGTTGGACGAGGACCTGATTGTCATCTCCAGGGACGAGAACCACTTTACCAGCAACGTTTCCGAGCTGTAGCATACGGAACGCCTTTTCAGACTCGGCATACTCTAGTTCAACAGTTGGAATGGACTTAATCTTTCCTTGCTGGAATAGTTCACAGCACTCCTTGAACAATTTGGTAGCAATTGATCTGTTTGCAAGGTTAAACATAGTAACCAAGTCAACACTGGCAAAAGTGGCATTCTTTCTGAATGGGTCCATCTCAATTCTGCTGTTCTGGTGGATATCACGTTTGCCTATCTCAATGAATCGACCGAATGGAGCGAGACAAGTCCATGTGGCATGGAGGAGCTTTCCAGCGAGGGAATTAAGCACAACATCTACACCCCAGCCATTTGTAAGGCGATGGACACCCTCAACAAATGAATCATCACGGGAGTTAAAGATTTGCTCATCCGTGAGGCCATAGGTGTTCTTCAAAAGGTCCCTCTTGGATTGAGAACCGACAGTGGCGATGATTTTGGCTCCAACCAACTGAGCAACTTGAATAGCCATCTGTCCAACACCTCCGGCGGCAGCATGAATGAGAACAGTTTCTCCTTCCTTGAGTCTGGCGGCTTCCATAAGGGAAAAGTAGGCAGTGGAAAGAACCAGAGGGAAGGCAGCAGCTTGGGCAAAGGTCAAAGAGCCAATCTTAGCGCAATAACACGCAGGATTACGAGCTATGGTTCGATGGGCACCTTCACCAGGGCGTAATGCAACAACACGATCACCGATCTGGAATTCTTCGTCAGAAACCTTGGAGCCCTTGCGTATCACAACACCGGCACACTCGTCTCCCAGCTTGTAATCTTCAATGATACCCATACTGAGAGCGATATCACGGAAGTTAATAGCAGAAGCCTTAACTGCAATTTCGAGCTCATCATCTTTAAGAGGCTCATCAGTAATCTCGATATCATCAGCGAATGAAAGGGTCTCCAAGAGGCCAGGTCGTCCAATGACGAGCTTGAGTGGCCTGTTCTTCTGGTGCAATGGTTGCATAGTAGCCTGGTGGTTATAGCCTCCGGCAATCTTTGAGTTCAGCTCATCATTAGCATGCAAACGGGAGACGTGGATTTGACCATTTCGAAGAGCAATTTCTTCTTCATGGAGGCTTGGGTTAAGAATTCGGAAAACAAGGCTAGCGGAAAGATCAGCCTTAGCCGACTTGGTGATGTCGAGAATTGCTATCCTTAGGTCCTCAGTCTCGTGGCGAACAGAGCGTGCAAGGCCTGGGAACATGGCTTGCTCTGGGCAGGGGCAATCCATGAAAGTACCCTGACTGAGCCAGACAATGTTACGGTTTGCGTCACTGGTGAGGGACTGGACCGCCTTGAACTCATTCAAAGCCTTGGATGGCTCATCATAGAAAATGTTCACGTCAAGGGCGTAGAGGGAAATAACATTGTCATCCATCCTTGTACCATTTCTAAGGGAGAGGAACTCCTTTCTCGTGACCTTGGCGGAGGTGGATGATTCAATTCTTTGGGCAAGAGCTTCAGTCTCGGCAGATGGGCTGGATGGCATAAGAATTGTCAAAGTCTCGGGGGTGAATGAAGACTCTTCGCCATTCTTCAAGACCGTGACGTCTGAAGTAGACCACAGCTGACGGAGGCTGTCGGAGGTTGGGGTCTTAGTTGGATGAGAAATAACGAGGCCGTTCTCATTGAGTTTCTCGATTGCAACCGTTTCAGCTGAAGAGGACACAATGATAACGTCGAATTTGTCCTCGTCAACGATGGCATCTAGAGATACAAGCCCAGTCCAGCGCTCAACAAGTGGCGAAAAGCCTGTCTCTTCAGCCGAGCCAACTGGAACCACAGTCAGCTTTCCGAACTTGCGCCTCTCGCCGTTGGAGCCACCTAGCTTGTTTAGTATATCCAAAGTAGAGGTGTGAGAATCGGAGTAATGAAGGAACTGTAAGTTGGGGTTCTGGTGAACATAGAGGTCGACGATCTCAGGAATGCTAAGGCTTTGGGCTTGAGCTGGTGTCAAGAACTCGAAAGCCGGCTTCCATTGAATGCCAAAGAAGAGAGTTCGCTTTTGCTGGTCATCAGCATCACTTCCAAGACTGGTGAGTTCTAGGCCTTCGATATCAGCGAGGAGCTGACCATCCTTGGTCTCAATGCCAATGTTGCTAATAGCGACACGGGGACCATGCATCCAGCTGTCGACTGCAACATTGGCTTTGAATCCATCGCATTTGTACTCCTTGCGGTTAAGAAGACCGGAGACCTTTAGGGAGCGCATAAAGGTAGGAATAAATGATTCTGTGATACTGTGACCCATGAGGCCCTCGACTGCAGCAAAGATTGGGTGCAGGGAGGAATCCAGGAAGGTAGGATGGAGGACACTGGCACTAGAATCATCTGTGGTTGAAACTCTCTTAGGCTCCCAGGTAATTTCACCAGTTGCAAATCCTTTACCACACTCCACATTTCCACTAAGGCATTGGAAAGCTGGGCCATAGTGCAGACCAATGGTGGCAAGTCGTTGGTAATATTTGCTATGGGCCAAGGTTCTGTTGCTGTTGGCTCGAAGCTCTGCAGCAGGAGCGCGCTGCTTAATGCGATGGACAGGTTTTTCTTCGCCCATCTCAACTTGAATCAGACCGGTACAATGTTCTCGGAGCGAATCTCCATCAAAGGAGAAGATAGCGAATTCCTTCCAGGTTGAGTAAACAGTCTTTGCCGATTCAGTTGCTGGGCGGAGTTCTAGCAAAACTTCAGTACCCAAGTCACTGTTGCTAACCATAAGAGCAGATTTGATGGCAATATCGCGAAGGTGGATTTCTTTAATTGGGTCTTCCGGGTTACCAAGGCGGATGGCAGCTTCAATAGCCATAGTAATATATCCAGCACCAGGGAAAACAACTTTGCCTGAAACTGCGTGATCCACGAGCCACGGCATCTCTGCCAGGCGAAGATAGTTGCGCCATCTTGGGCGATCTTCAAGACATCCAGGCATTTGAGCGCCGAGGATTTGGTGTCTGAATTTGCGAAGGCGATGGCTCTTGATAACACGGGTTTCAGACCAGTATCTTTGGTGATCCCAGGCATAGCTAGGGAAATCGAGGAGTTTAACACCACTATCAACGGCAACAAGGTTATTGTTCGCATCAAGGTATTTGTCCTGGTTAACAGCGGAAATATCGACGGGGTAACCCATGGCGAACAATTGACCGGCAGCGCTAAGGATGCTGTCATATGCGGCAACCTTTCGATCGAGAACACCAATATATGGAAGTTTGATGTTGAGAGAGTTGAGAGTCTGGTTTGAAGGTCCCTTGAGAGCAGGGTGAGGGCCAACTTCAACCAAGACATCAATATTTTGTTCATCATCCTCATTGAGCACAATTCCAGTTAGAGCATCAGAAAATTTAACTTGACCCGTCATGTTAGCCGCATAGTAAGCTGGTCCCATGCTCTGGTAATCAGCAACTCGAGCAGTAACACTAGAGAACATGCGGGCAGTTGGTGGTTGTGGAGCAAAGCCAGGGTGGTTCTTCAATGCACGCTCGTATCCGGGAGCAAGAGGAAGCATATGATGGCTGTGGAAAGCTTGGCCAACTTGGAGACGACGAGCAAAGACTTTACGCTCAGAAAGCTTAGCTTGAAGTTCCACGATGGCGTCTTCGTCTCCAGAGACAGTGAAGCTGGTAGGGCTGTTCATGGCAGCAACTGCAATGCGGCCAGCATATGGCTTGAGTTCGTTGGTAACCTCAACTTCGGTCAAACCAACGGCCATCATAGCACCAGGAACACTGTCCGCACTAGCCGCGGCGTTACCCATGTAAAGACCGCGGTAATAAGCAGCAATCATGGCATTCGCAAATGACAAAATGCCGGCAGCGTATGTAGCAGCCAACTCACCACTGCTATGGCCAACAACAGCAGATGGGCGTATTCCCCAAGAAGCAAGGAGGTTGATTAAAGCAAGTTGGAGAGCTGTGCAAATCGGCTGGGAAAAGCGAGTTTCACTCAAACGAGAATCTTCCTGGGATCGAAGAAGCTCGCCAACGACAGTCCAGTCTGGCTTGTCAGGAAGGGCCTGGAGAATCTCATCACACTTTTCCAAAGACTGGCGGAAAAGGGGGCTCATTTCGATGAGCTGACGGCCCATTCCCCACCATTGAGCACCTTGACCGGTGAAAACAAAGCCAAGTCGCGGGGTGGAGGTCATCTTACTAGCCCAAGCAGCGACTGGGAGAGGTTCCTTCAGGCTGCTGACAACGGCCTCGTTAGTTGCTCCATAAGCAAAAGAACGGAAGTCATGCATGCTTCGTTCGATGCTGAGAGTAGTAGCGAAATCAGCAATTCTAACGTTGGGGTTGGCCTCCAGATAAGCAGCAAGTTTATCAGCCATCAATTTGCCGGCCTTATCGGAATGTGAAGTAATCGGGGCGAGATATGGACGTCCTTCAACCATCTGTACATAATTATCCGGAAGAGTAAGCTTGTTGTGAGCTGGGCGATTGTATTCTTCCAGAATGATATGGGCGTTTGTGCCTCCATATCCAAAGCTGTTAATGGAGACTCGTCTAGCTACGCCTTCATTAACGGTCCACTCAACAGGGTCGGTTGGGATGCGGAGTTTCCATCCCTTGAAGTCGACTTCAGCATTAGGAGAATTGAAGTGCATGTTTGGTGGGATCTGGTGCATCTCCAAAGCCATCGTAGCTTTCATAATACCAGCCAATCCAGAGGCTCCCTCAAGATGGCCAATATTGGTCTTAACTGAGCCAATCCACAAAGGCTCTTCACGAGTGGCGGCAAAAACAGAGCTAAGGGCACGGAGTTCTCGAGGGTCACCAGCAGCGGTACCAGTACCGTGGCATTCGACATACTGAGTATCAGCAGGGCTGAGGCCAGCCTCTTTGTAGGTTCTTTCAATCAAGGCCGCCTGGGCCTGAGCCGATGGGAGGGTAATTCCCTGCTTCTTTCCGTCATGGTTTGCACCAGATGCTCTGATGATGGAGCGGATTCGGTTTCCTTCAACCTCAGCACGGGATTGTCTCTTCAAGACAACGGCGGTGATACCCTCGCCACGAACATAACCGCTACCATCCTTGTCTCCATGACGGCAACGACCATCAACGGAAAGCATACCAAGATCAGTCATTGTGACAAAGATGTTCGAGTCGAAATGGAGAGCAGATCCGACAATAATCGACAAATCAGATTCACCACTGCGGAGAGATTGGTTTCCAAGATGCAGAGCAACAAGGGAGGAAGAACAAGCAGTGTCAATAGTCACACTGCATGAATTGGGTCAGTTCGTTATCCATATAATTAGGAAGAAAAAAGAAATATAAGGAAGAATATTACCTAGGGCCGTGCAAATCATAAAAGTAAGAGATGCGGTTAGAGAGAATGGCATCACCAGTTCCAGTGACGGTGTACTTGGGATAGTACTCCAAGTCCTTAGTAATCATAGAGTTGTAGTCGTTGGTGAAACAGCCGCAGTAAACAGAGGTCTGGGTTCCACGGATTTCGTCGAGCGTAATGCCAGCTAGAACTTGTTAGTTTATAACATTTACCAGAAATTGAAGGAGCAGTCAATGGAAATATTATTACCATTTTCCAGCGCTTCATACACAACTTCAAGCAAAAGACGCTGCTGAGGGTCCATGGCCTCAGCCTCCTTGCCGGAGATGTGGAAAAATCCAGCATCGAACATTCCCAGGTCCTGGTCAAGGAAATAACCGTACTTGGCATTGGTCTACTTGTCATTAGAACATGTCGTTTGGTATTGCTTGGAAAAATGGTAAATATGAACATACGGTTCCCTTGTTGGTTCCATCCGGGTGGTAGTAAGCGTCGACATTAAAGCGATCAGAGGGCATCTTCTTCTGCACATCACGCTTGGTCATGATGTTTTCCCAGAGCTTGGAGGGAGAAGATGCGCCCGGGACTCGGCAGGCCATGCCGATGACCGCACTAAAGTCATCGCGAGGGGTTGGCGCAGTGGTGGCGCTCGAGACAGTTTCGTTATCAGAAACGTAAGGGGTATTCACACCAGAAGTGGTAGTCATGGTGTCCATTGCTAGCTGTTTTTCTTGCAAAAGAGTTAGTGTAAAAATGAGAATGGAGTCTTAACCTGAGATATTTTGTCTATGTTCAGACGCTATTTGGTGGTTTCGATGTCTGAGGACGAGCGGCTGCTGCGTATTAGTTACTAAGAAGTATATATTTTGAATATACAATTTCCAGATATATCGATATCGAACCGCTGGAAGGTTGGTTGAGCACTGAAACTGAAATAAAGGAACAAGGTCTATAAGGTATCGTCAATAGGAATATTGAGATGAGTGGAAGTGAAAGCAAAGATCCCAAAGCTATATGCTTAAAGGGAGCAGGTGTAAGTATCAAGAAGAACACAGAGAGAGAACCAATCAGCCCGGCAATGATTTAATTCTGGAGGGAAATCGCAAAACAAGCCCGGGGCCAGAAAGGGTATTTGACTTGTTCTTGACATCTCAGCTATCCCATACCAACTGGAAGTCTGACTAAGCCTTGCAGGATAGGAACAGTCGAAGTCGCCGTGCAGAAAAGGATGACGGGTAGTTTCCAGATCCCCATGGAAGAGGCTTATTGGTTAGGCGAGGTTGGTGCCGATAGAAGGCACATTGAGCACTCGAGGCCAAAGCTTCTCTACCAGGCAGTTCGGGGAGGGTGACCGCCAGAATACCAGGGCTGATGTATTCAGCCCCTTACGCCTTCATGTTCGAACAGATTAAATGCCATTAGTTCGAGAGAAGAGAGCCCCATAGACCAGGGACCTGAAGCTAAGCTGACATTCGTTTTCTCCACATAGGAAGAGGATAATAATCATAGAGCTCCAGTCTCGCGTGGCTTCTCCCCCTGCAAAGGATGGGGGACTCCATATGGAAGGGCTTGCAGCGTTGACACATGGCATAACTGTGTAAAGGCTGAAACTGCTTGAGGCAAGGCTGGAGGAACAATGGACCCTCAGTCGTAAATCCTCCGCGTGGGCTCGGGGTCGAATCCCGAGACCTGCCCCATCTGTATCGCAACTACAGCCCGTAGCAGCTAAATATGGGTGCCACGCGAAGAAGAACCCTTGTACGTGTCCAGTAGCTGCATGGATTAGTGAATTATTCCACGATTCTTCTATGAGCCACAAGCGGGAAACTCCAAGATCGGCCGAGGAGGGAGGATGAGGAAACTCAGAAGCCTTTAGCCACCTACAATAGATCCAACCTTGCTATTCGAGAGATCGACCCGCAGGGGTGAAGTCATGCAGGCGACGACGGAGTCCATCGCCAGAAAGGCTGATGTTGATGTTGATGTTGATGTCGATTGTTGATGTTTGATGTTGGCGTCGGTAGTTAACTAATGACTAAGCACTTCGAGACATCAAGATCAAAAACTTCAACGCCAACAATGTTTGCTGTCTTCCTTTTGCCAGCAATGTGATAACTCTCTAACCTGCATTCTCAGCTTGTGCTTGAGCCGACACGAGATTGCTTAATGCTGGAAATCTAGATGGCCTCTCGTATCTCCTTTCTCTCCGGAACCACATGGGGTCCTCACAGTCAGGTCTCCGCGTATTCAAGGCGAGGGTGCGGGAAACATTTCCATCTCTATGTCTATTAAGATGCATGTCGTATACGCTATCACCGGTTTTCTCCCTCGCGCTAGTTCAATTAGACGCGATATGATGGACGCAGCTAGCTATCATGAGTGACTTAGGGTCTGCTAAGCTTCGAACAACTTCTTAATTCCGTCAACTGCACAATACCATGTTCATGTCCTATATATACGCACTCCTTTGCTATACCCAGTACATACGAACATAGGAAGTGGAAAACAGAGCTTCCCGTCCGCTCAGCTGTACTTAAGCCACTTGCCGGTCGGTTAGTAGTTGGGTGGGTGACCACCAGCGAATCCCGACTTTCGTATGTTTATATTATTTTTTTTAATTCATTCCACTGCTTCAAAGCAATGAATATTTGTTATACTAACTTTAGTAACGCTTATTGCTTCCTTTTTTATTTAAAAAAGATTATTCCTTTTTACTACGTGTAAAAGTACCGACTTTATAACATGCAAACTCTATGAACTTTTCCAGACCCAGCTCCACCGTTCAATTCTCATTTCTGCTATAACTACGGGTTTGTGATATTGAAGAAATGCTGTATAAACTGCATATACTAACTTATTCTCCGCTCGTTCAACCCATATTGTACATGCAGGTCGCGAACTGTATATGACACCAGATCGCTAATAATGATCCGTTAGGCGTCGGGCTCCCGAGAGCGCTATGTACCAGGGGAAAAAGAACCAGACCACGTTCGAAGCAGAGTGTTCGTTACTTTCATGCTGACGGAGCTTTTTTAATTTTTTTGAATTAATCCTCCCGTTGATATGGCGGTTGTGGCCTTATCTTAACGAATTCTGCTTTTTATTTAATAATGGCAGTGTTTGTCCGTTATCTGTCTATGCATGGAATCTGGTCAATTCCTACAGTAGTGTTATTCATTCTTTCCAACGTCTCTGTGTGATAACCTCTCTTCGATACCCTTATAACGGTTATCTTTAATTCTTAGGCTTTTGTTTATTTCGACTGTTATAGTATCAACCGCCATCATGTTCGTTGACTACTTACGGACGGCCCTGACACAGCCAATCAATATCATACCAGCTTTCATCATTCTGGTTGTTGTCTTCAAGATCCGAGCATGGTACAATGACAACGGCATTCCGTCTGTCAAATCAAATATTCCAATCGTCGGAAACCTCCTGGACTATGCTAAGGATATGGAGAAATACGTCCGAGAGTCCGGCAAAAAGTACGGACAGGTTTTTCAGATCAATCTTCTTCTCACAAATACCATCTGGCTTAACAGTCCTGCCCTGAACAAGGAATATCTGTTCGCCCGTGAGGTATGTGAATGTGTACTTCCGATAAAAAGGGTCTCTCCCATTACTAACTATCCAGTAGGATGTTTGGTCGTTCGGAGATGGTATGGGGGTGTTCCTCAACAAGGTCGTCGTTCCAAACTTTTTCGACCAGCTCCGTGTCCTTGTTGGATCCCTCAGCAGAGGAATCTCCAATAATGCTGCCATGTCACATTACACCGATCTAGCTGGCATTGAGACTGAGAAGGCAATTGCAAGCTGGGCTAACCGCAAGGAGCCTCTGGCCCTTTTCAAGGACACCTCTTACATCGTGCACAAGACCATTGTCCAATGTATGATGGGTCCCGACTTTTACGATGCTGCTGATGAGCTTTTTGACCTGCTTCACGTCATGGAGGCGAATCTTGGTAGCATTTGGAACTTCATCCTTCCCGAATGGCTCCCTCACCCAGCTGCTAAGAAGCTGTGGGATGCCCGTGACCGCACCAAGGAGATTTTCAATGTCCGCCTTGCTGCTCGTGAGAAGGAACCAGAAAAGTGGAAGAAGGAGCTGGACTACATTTCATACACCCTCCGAGACCCTGTCACAGCTCATCTGAAGGATAAATACAGTGCCCTACATACGGTGCTAATGTTTGCTGCCCACACAAGTACTGTTGCCGGTGTTGCCTGGACCATCATCGAGCTTCTCAGGAACCCCCACTACCTCGAGCGCCTTCGCAAGGAACTAGAGGCCAACCCAAACCCAGACGAATCTGAGTTCCTAGGAGCTCTCATGAAAGAAACCGTCCGCCACTACGTAGCATTCAATGACCTTCGCTTTACTCGTCAACCCAAAACACTTACTAACGCAGACTCCAAGAAGGCTATCACCATCCCCGCAGGCACCATGGTATCCATCTCCCCCTATATCACCCATCATGACCCTAGCATCTGGGAGAACCCTAACGAATACCTGCCTGAGCGATGGATCAACGATCCCAATTTGCAGAAGAAGATGAACGAAGGCAATAATATCCGCTACTTGCCCTTTGGTGCTGGAAGCCATCGCTGCCCTGGAGAGAAGATGGCTTTGATGATGATGAGAACCATTGTTGCTAAGATTGTTATGACTTGTGATATGGACTGGCCCGCTGGCGGGGCTAACCAGAATACCACCGACTTGGATTTTGCCAAAATTGGAAGCCCATGGCTCAAGGGTGATATCCGTGTTAAGATTCAGCCCAAGAAGAAATAGATTTCTCTGCAGTTACTTGCAATGAAATGACGAGCGGTGGAATTGAATAGATATATCTGTATTTAATATATACTGATGGATTATTGTTCTCATTTGTTAGTTACTTATGAAAATGTTATCTTCTTTCTGTTGATATTTTCCATATATGATACTCTGATATCTACGTTTGCCTTTTTCGTACAAGTGAAAAATACTTCCTCGCATCTTACGGGTATAAAAAGAAATCACAAGAATCCGCCCCAAGTAGTTGACTATTTCATTAACTAGCTTTGACTACTGAGCCTGCTACAGGTTTTTCCAAAGCTTTAAAAATAACTTCCTATAGTGAGCCCCTAGGGTTAACGTATCAGGTCTATTTGGGATATATCGTGTTTCCTCTCATACCATGGATTGCCTACCGCTAAGACTTTCCTTTTACCTGAAGGGGTAGTAAGATGAACTCTCCTTCATCGGCCGGAATATCTAGTTCAGTGAAATTGATGGGCCAATTCGTATAATAACGAGTGATGAAAAAGTGAGGATTATTTATTTATCCAATGGTAGAAGCAATATCCAACATGTCCTGCTTACAACTTGCAACTTTGCAATGGAAGTACATTGATATAATATCTCTCCAATCATTATACGAAATTAAGACAGAACAGAACCCTGAACACAAGCCATGTGTTATCAACCAGATGCGGTGACGGTAATTTTTACCCCTGCATGAAGTTCGCAGCGGCAAAAGTTCTAGACTGTAGTTCTTAGGTCAGGTAACTCTATTTCTGGAAGAGTCAAAGTATAGATTGATTTGTTGGTTTCTATCGACAAGTGTAATTATATAGCTATGTTCAGGTATCAATGCTATACGGTACATAATAAAAGGGGCACAGAATGGTGATCCAAGGGCCAACATGCCGGCGACGAAAAAAACATTAATCTAGTTATACGAGGGTAGGTGTGAAGCCACACGTAAGAAATTATAATAGGAAATAGATATCTAGTCACGTAAATCAGCCAGACCAACTCTTTTCTTCTCGAAGTCGAAGAGGATGACCTTGTCCTTGGCAAAGTTTTCACCAAGGTTTCCAATGATAAGGTTCTCTCCTTCACCAATGACACGGGCGTTGAGTACACAGACATCCTTGCCATCAGTAGTCTTAGCCTTGGAGATATAGTGTCTGGCCTCAATGCTCCAGACTCGGCGCCATTTGCCAAATTGGTACTTGACAGCTGGGAATGTATCAACTAGCCCACAGTCGACAGAGTAGAACTTTTGCTTGCCGTTGTTGGGGAGAGTAGCCATGGTAAGGTTGACAGGCTGGGCATTGGTAATGGAAACGAGGCGCCTATAACTAGCAACGGATAAGGCGGCCCCGCGGCCATAGCTTGCATGGTCGAAGACTGCTGCAGAGCCTGTGGTGGTATTGAGAGCCTGCTCTTCGTTACCAATAAAGTGCTTGGTGATAGGGATAGACCAGTAGTTATAGAAAGCCGGGTTATAGATGAAGTCGATGTCGTTCACAATGGGGAAGACAATAGTGTCGATCCACTCGATTCCTCGCCATCCGATGTCTCGATGGTGGTATCCCCCAAGAGTTTGAACGCCATCGTTTCCATTGCATCGTTCCTTTGGAGGCGACTTATAGCCCGGCTCATCACTATAACAGTAGATGAACGAGGTGAGGCCGGAGTGGAACTTCTTCTGTTCCAGCATCTGGTGGAATGGAGCCTGGATGGACATATTGTCCGACTTGAAGACCGGCGACATGCCAAAGATTCCGCTGAATGGATAAGGGAATGGGGCTTTCCAGTTTAACTGGGAGAGCTGGAGCGTGATCCGGGCTTCTCGACTACCAACGCGATATATGTCGGAAGCAAATACCGCCGTGAGATCCTTGTCCATGAAAAAGTGGTTGGGGTTCCATGTTCGAGTTGGGTACAAATTGGTCTGGTTGACGAGGGAGGTTGACTGCGTCTCATTGAAAAACTTCTGACCAGGAGCAAGGCAGCCAAAAGCATTGTTGGTGTGGTTGCACTTGGTTGAGACGATATATGGACCTATCCAGGTCCAATCAACGAAGAGCCTGGTCGACTGAGCTGGCGTTCCGATAGTGACCAGGTCTGTGTTGAACCCGTTCTGGTATAGCTTCAAGGGCAAATCAATCATGCTCGTCTCTCTGTCATTTGGAGCGGCGCTTGCTTGGGGGATAGCCGCAGCCCCAAGGGCGACAAGGGTAAGGATGCCACGCATGATGTCAGGGATAGATGCTGCTGGATGATAGAAAAAGGAGGGTGAAACAGTGAAAGCAGGACGGTCTCGCAGGCCAGCACGAAACTCGGTGAGAATTGGCGACTGAGACAGATTATCGCTTCTTAAGTACTCAGTTGTGGTGGTATCATAAACTGATGAAGATCGAAGGATGCTTCATCGTAGTTATATTGTTTCTGCGCCCGTTCAACACCAAGCAGCTACCGTTAACGCGAAAGCCATTCATAGAACGGTCTCCAATAGAAGACTCCGTCCGGAGAGAAGCCATATCTCGAGTGCTTGCGACACGGATGCTAAGCAAGAAATGTCCGCTGTCTGTCGGCCTTGAGATCGGTCGTCTAGTGCGTGGTTGTTGCTTTTGATGCCTTGAAAAGTCGCGATACTTTTACTTCCACATATTTCTACACGCAAAGTCAGGTGCCTATACATTACTAAGCCCACGTGATCTCGCCAAGTTTCCCCCTTTTTTTATCTTTCGACTTCTCAACATCAACTTTGACCAAACTTCTGCGTCTTTCTGCATAACAACTTGACCCTCAGACGTGCCCCTGCAGTGAGACAAGGATGAGGGACACGCCAGCCATCGAGGCCTATCCCTGTGTTGCCGTCTTCCAGAATACCATAGACAGCAGCATCGCGTGGGCTGCCGGGAAAATTTACCCATAGATTATCCCTTCGTTTCAAGCCTCATCCTTCGCTCTCCATGATCTCCACGTGTAGAAGCTGTACCGGACGGCCCCTTGCTAGTCACATACATTATGTGCCTTTTGTGTCTTAGTTCTGGCCACTGGCCGTACTTTCTACCTATCGCCTACTCTTCCTTGCCAGCAATGGTCGATTTGGAAGGGATATCGCTATGGCAAAGCTTCTAACACAGCTGTCCCACTGCATCCAGAGCTGATAAATGTACAGCTTTTTTGTCCAAAACAACCGACGTCTTTCTCTCCTAACGCAAGCATGACTCTGAGAAGGATTTACGTAGGAAATAGACCGAATGTATTGAGGAGAGAAGCAGCATTCAAGTCTTATATTAATTTAAGCACCCGCCCGCATTTCCAAGGACCGGACCGGCTCTAAATTAAATGCCAATATACATTCATTTCATCCCAGATCACAGCGCAAGATTGAATCGTTGCGTCCATTTTTGTTGTCTACATTTGTTCGAAGCCAAGCAAAAGCAATCTATCCTCTTCACTAGACTTCCTTCGATTTGGCCCCCATACTCCTAAAGCACTATGGATACCATCACTCTCCTTCAGGGCGACCCTGACTCTAACCTCACTCCTCTGATACTTGTTCACGCCATTTCTGGACTCGCCTTGCCATACTTTGCCCTCGGCCCTCTCTCCGAGATCGAGGAGGATCGTCCTGTTTATGGCATCTCATCACCGATGTATACGTCCACATTGGCAAATCCATTGAATGGCACTTTGCCACAGGTGGCAGAAGAATACGTTGCAACCGTCCGCCGTGAGATCCAGCCTTTTGGTCCATATCTCCTAGGCGGATGGTCAATGGGTGGTATGATCGCAATGGAGATGGCAGCAGTACTCCAAGCCCAGGGCGATGAAGTACCACATGTTATACTGATCGATTCGGTAAACCCAAGATATTTCCCAACGTTCCAAGACAAGAAGCAGCACGACATACAAGCTGCAATCACATACAATGCTATTGCTACACGAATGAACGCCCCGGCTATCCCGCTATACCAATGCGGCCTGTTTGAAGATAACTACTACAGCAGCAGTGGTGAAGAGAGCAATAATGATAGTGATAGTGAAGAATTTGCGGAAGAGCTGTCTGTACCCGAGATGCTAGGGAGGATGAGGAAACATATCCACCAGGGACTTGGTGTGTTGGCCTCTCAGAACAGCAGAGTGGACGAATTTGATTTCAGTGAAACAGAAGTCACATTGATCAGATGCACAGTTCGCGAAAGCACGGACTCTCTAGTCAATGAACGACGCAAAATGCTAGCCCAGAAGCGCTCACAGGATAACACACTGCTATGGCCTGCCGAAGCCTTCAAGTCGTTTAAAACCCTTACTATCGATGCTACACACGACGGGTGCTTTGATGCTGAGCACGCCGACGAACTGACATATCTTGTCAAAGATGTGTTGGACAATCTTGACTACTAAGATCAAGCAATTGACACACGTCGCACTTCTTTACACACCTACACTCGCTTGGTTCATACCTTTTCATGCTACCTGGAGCAGACTCAGGAGTCTACGCTATCATTTCTATTCTTTACAACTGCGTCTTTCGAAGGTTCTATGCACACCACAGCCAAAAGTGCATACTGGAAACGTTCTTATCTCGACTGGCAGGAAACCAAAGGAGGGTCCCATGCAAGATGGGTTGATTTACCTCCTGTTGAACGTTCTTTTTGCAATCGTATTTACTGGCTAGATAAATTCTCTCTTTTTTACTCTCTCACTCTTGGATGGTAATTGATGTTAGATTAGATGGAACAGATAATATAACTATATCTCTGCACATTCCTGTCGTCCCGTCCTCCGACCGCATTATCGTGTATCAGCCTTTTCCTATTTTCAGTAAAAGCTGAGCAGGTTAAAAAGGTAAACGTTCTCAGCTGTAGGTTGCTCTAGCCCAGCAGGCTCGTGTATGCCCCAACTTACCTATGTATGCACGCGCGGAGTTAAGCCATTAGTTGATTTCAGCATCCCGTGTTTCTAGCGACATCTTCCAGCAAATCCCACGGCTATGTTTCCACACGCCACAGATGCAGCAAACTAGCTGCGCAGGGGTGGTTAAAATAAGAGTAAAAATAACGGGGATATATTTTGCGACCAAAGCATTCCATAGATTTGAGCCATCTGCCCTGCAGCTCGACTCGAGTCTAGATCAACGCAGAAGAAGGTATGTATATGCGGAGCAACTGCTATGTGGCATCGCACCCCTTTTCCCACGTTGCAGACCGGGACCAGGGGGTTTTATCCAACGAGATTTTCGGCTCTTTAGGCCTCTAGCGGATGAACATGATGAAGTGAAAAGGCGTAACTAAGCGACTAGATGTGTTCTGCGTCCCTCATGCCACGTTGTTATATGGATCATAATCCCTCTTTTAACCCCCTGTTCCCAGTGAGCCCCAGGTGTAAAAGACCAACACGAATGATCCAGGGCTTGCTAACCAATTGATCGAAATTTTACAGTCAAGCTGTCACCTCTGTCTGATACTTTACTTTCCTTGAAAATAAAAAAGGGAAAATACAAGGAAAATACAAATGTCTTGCTATCAAGATTATATCATACGTAGCTTCGTTGTAAAGACTACAAGAGAGACTCCAGCATCATGTATTCTCCAACCCACCAACCCAGTAACTTGGGCAACATACATGGTATAATCGCTGGCTATCGCTAGGCTCCGAAAGTATGTGTACCATTCCCTCGTTCCTCCGGTGAATAACGGGGTGATCTTGGATAAGTGCCTAAACATGGAGATATTCTATGTGTTTCAGCTTAGATCACCTTTGAATAGGGCCGGAGAATCAGCTTCTGTGACGGAATATTATTCCTTTCATATCATACTTGAGAACTCTTATGAGGACGAGGGTGTTTTTATATCTTATCGGCTTCCGCCAACTCTTGTCCTCCCCCGCTTATTTCCTTCATCATCAGCCTCATATGCTCATTTCTCAATTTCTTGCCTGGGAGTAATAGAGACAGACATCAGGGTCTAGTGCCTTACATTCATCGCTATCAGTTTTTACCAGCTATTCCCTCGAGTAAAGCGCCGTTGTCTTCTTGAAAAAGAGCGTCCCAATTTGCTAAAAGTTTCTAGTAATTCAACTACCAAAAAAATGGCCCAAACGAAGTCGCATACTCCGGAGCGTGTCCGAGTCGCAATCTGTGGAGGTGGCATCGGTGGTCTTACCATGGCTGCTATTCTTCGTCGACTCGACATTTCATATGTTGTTCTTGAGCGATATGCACAGATTACCCCCCAAGGAGCCGGGATATCACTAGCACCCAACTGCCTTCGCGCTTTAGATCAGCTCGGCATTTTCGAGAAGCTGGCAAAGCATTCACAGCCATTGCGTGAAGTCCACATTTACAAGAACAACGAGTTTTGGGGCTCTCAGAAGTTTGGAATGACCAACGAAGCATTTGGATATTACGTGCACAAAATTGAGAGACATCAATTTCACCACTTGCTCCTTGATGCGGCAGGTGGTAACGATGTTGTACGGTTAGGCTTTAACGTCAACGACATTGTCGACGACGCAGAGGCACCATACGCCATTGTCAAAGCTGAGGATGGCCGAGAGGTTCATGCCGATATCATAGTTGGTGCCGATGGGATTCGTAGCTATACTCGTCGAGTTGTGAGTCCCCCCAGGTCGATAAACCTCTGAAGTTATAGCGCTAACAATACCATACGGAAATAATCAGTTGGCTGAGAAGAGTGGAATGAAGGCAACAAATACTATTCGCTTCACCGGCAGAGTCCACATGTCCGGATACACGAAGCCTTTGACCCATTTGACCTCCAAGGATGAGGGAGTTGCGCACTGGATGTTGTATGATGATGCAATTCTTACCACTTGGCCCTGCAAGGACAACAGGCAGTGGTTCATTGGTGTTGCGGTTAGTTTCACTCACTATTCAAATTGCGTAAGGCACAAAATTAATAGCAAATACAGGGAGCGAAACTAAAGCCAGGCGAGCAGCCTGACCGATCCGTGTGGAAGGACGCGACTAAGGACACAATTAACGAGGTTTATGGTGAAAGATTCCATCCATTCGGTGAGGGATCTAAGATGAAGTCTGGTTAGTATATATTTACACTCATACAAGAGTACACTAGTTCCACTTACTAATGTGTTATACAGTTGTCGATGCTTCTGAGCGTGTTATCGCTAGCAATGTCTTCCAGGAATTAGAAGTTCCGCATATGGTCAAAGGGAGAATTATGCTTGTCGGTGATGGTTGGTATTCCTTAGCCTATTTTAAATTAAGGTGATGACTAATATTCTTGGTAGCGGCTCATTCCATGACCTCATTTTTTGGCCAGGTATTTAAGCTTAATTTCTTAAAGTCTCCAGTTTCAACTCAAGAATTTAGTTAACACTTGAATCTAGGGCGGATGTCAAGCCATAGAAGATGCAGTGGAACTCGGTAATGCCCTATACGAGCACTTCCACCTTAACGACCCCACCGCATTCGACAGATATTCTGAGGTCCGCCAGAAGAGAGCAAGCGACCTAGTTCAGTTCTCTGATAACTTTGCAAAAGTGCATACTGCAAGACTTCCATATGGACTTGGGCCCTTAGTGCGAAAAATACTTTACAAGTACGTCCCTACCAGTATCTGGGTATGGTATTTCAACTGGCTGTTCAACTACCAGCCAACCATCAAGTACCCATTGCTGGACGTTCCTGCTGGTCAGGCAACTTCAGCCGTATGAAAGGTTTGATAAGGCCTCTTTAATCAAAGGTGAATTACTCCACACCGTTTTTAACCGCCTTTCTTTATTCTTTCTGGAATCAATTTACAACATCTCAACTATATGGAATATTTTTTTGTGTTATGTGTCATATGTTAGATAGGCTTATTTACTTTTATTTATTTCAATCCCCTTCTTTAGGCATTATTCAATGAGAAAAAAGTTATATAGAAGACTATAATTCCCGAAGTATAATAGCATCTATGTCGTATATTTTTATGCTAGCGAGTTGTGCAGGATGTGCCCATTCTTATACTTTTTCACAAATAATATCTACCCTTATACTACGATGACGTACGGTTTGATTTTGCTAAGCATTCAAAATCGTTGAGTTATCTTTCACATCTTGTATATTTGTTTATCTGCCATTAAGTAAATGACCACCGCTCACCTTCAGCTAAACCATATACTACTCTTACACCATAATATACCTCACCTCAGGGAATTAAACTGTGATCGTTTTCAATTTTCTAAGGCTTAAATTTTGGTAGTGGCGAGCCTGGTTTAACTAATGCTACACTCGAAAATGACGGATGCTTTTAGGAATTAAGAGCCCATGAATATAGATACAAAAAAGTGTTGTAAATAAATTGTTCGTTATCTCAATACTTATTAAAGATATTCGTTCAAAATATATAATTCAACAACTTTGATTAGCAACATTAATTTAATACTATTCTACCCTTTTTTATACCATAAATATAGTTGAACCAAAATACTTGTCTAATTATATTGTGTTTATGCCGCTTACTTACCATGATTCTATAAGGAACCCCCTTCGTTTAGATAGTATTTAAGAAGAACCAGACATAGAAAACTTTCGTAGTAGGATTTTTGAAATCATAAACGTTTCTCGTCCATACATCATTGTGTCATCAATACGGGGAGATGATATCTCAAAACTAGGCATAAAACTCTTCTAACAAGATGAGTTTATAGATGTAAATAGCTAGATCACTTCATCAAAGGGGGAAATACAAATAAGATTACTTGACTAAAAATAAATAAGTAAAATATAAATATAGCTTGTCTTCGTAGATATAATCAAGTCCGACAATTAAATAAAATTTAATACACATACTGTCATCATATTAAATTATTCATACACATGTCGAATAAATTAGTGCTGCGCAACCATCCTGTAAGGCAGCCCATCTCTAGGCACCATACTTGATACCCAGTTGTATACTTTCGGCTTGAGATTGTAGTAGAACACTTCATGTTTACATAAACCACTTGCAGAGTTGAACTTTAAACATAAGCCTGGCTGGTTGTCCTTACTACCATATATGACAGCAGCATCACAAGAATGAGGTATCGCCTTGTGTATTTCACTGAAATGTACTGCACTTTATTCAATATTCGAAAAAATTTCTCGATACTAATAATAAGATACAAACTTTGGGTTCAGCTGCCAAGGTGAGATTTAAGACTTTAGTTATATTGAAGTGCGTAGTGCTCAAAACTTCAAGGTCCAACCTATGTCTTGGAAAAGGAAGGCAATGATGCAATAAATAAATAGGAGCCAAAACTGGCCGTTTAACGAAGGCTGTTGCCTGGGCAATGAGATCCTCTATATCCGATACACATTACGCCCGTATACTTTACCTTTACGAATAGTATGGTTGAGCCTGACGGAATAGTATGTGAGTTCTCTTGCTTACCCTTTCGCCATGTTTCATGTTTCCTGGTCGCGTGTCCATGAATAGAAAGTAAACCGTCATTTACTATCAGCTTATTTCTCGAGAGCTGACACACTACGGGCAGTTCAGCACACAATCCAAGCAGATCACAGCCAACATCCAGCAAAAGATTAACTCCTAGCTAGTGCAAAACTAATCCTTAAAATACAACCGACTCAAAGCATGAAACAGATGCGGGATCGAGAGTAAAATAAAAAAATGATCTACCATCAGGATAACGGATTTAAGATATACCATAGTCGCTCCCAACAACGCATCTGGAGGCTTATATCATGGCTTTAAAGTTTTCTCGCGTGTCCAAGGGTTCGGTGAAGGGACCCACTTACCTTGGCGTCTTCCCACGCGGCGGGCCGAACTCCGAGCAGGCTCAAGCGCTGGACCAATGAAAAACCTACGCTGAGGCCAAAACCGGAAAGGTGGGTTTTAGCCGTAACGTTAAATATATTAAAGTAGGTTATCTAAGCCACTGCAATTGGAACTCCTTCATGCGGAGCAGCGAGCCACTTCCTCCCTCCTTCAGCGCTAAAGCGGTAGCGAAGCCATGATGCTAGCAATGCAAAGGAAAAGCCAAACTCCAAATCCGGCCGAGATATACAACAGACGAACTCCACTAGCCTTATTTGCTAGTGATCGATCCGCGGATCTGTCACACAGTGGGAGGTAGATTGCATTGAATCAACCTCCAGAATAACTGGGGTCATCTCGAAGCCAGAGACAAAACCTTCGCACACGTGGAGTTAATAAATATCAAACGTCCTATTGAAATTCCCCGTGAAGATCAGATAAAAGCTGTTCAACATTCCGGAATTTCTTTCTCTCTAGTTTCAGACATGTTGGCTGTAAGGCACATGGCTTCTCCCTAATTCCCTTTTCATTAGTATACCATGACGTATATGCAAATATGTACGGTATTCTACAGCCCATTCTATTTTAGATTGATCCATACATCGATATGATCACGGGACATGTATTTGAGTGAATACTGAAAATACGACTGGTATACTCTGGAAGTTGCGCTGTATCCCAGCACTAGTTAATGAGCTGGTAAATTAACTACGTCTAAACTCCGTGTAAGGAGGGAAAAAACACGGGACGTGCTTTTTCGATATAAGGCGATGCATATCTGGAAAAGATTACAATCGCATAAAGTAATCTAGTCTCCACCATAGGTCAGTCGCCCTGCATTCCACCGGGTGCTCACTAATCACAATTTACCTTCCTTTCCCTCGTGGTATAATCAGCAAATGCCAGGATCCGAAGCTGATAAAACATGGTAACAGGGGACAGGTAAACCCATGCACGGGAAGGGTGCCATCCCTGCATTCCCCTAAATGCACAAGGATGTTATGATGAAGTTATGCTGAGCATGCCGATTTGGTAATAACTCCACTCGATATGGACCAGGCTTTGGCACTGGGCAAGGAAGGATGCGTTTACTCCGCCGCTGAATAGAAAACGTGGCAGCAAAACACGGTGGATTTTATTTTTCCCTCTCTCTCTCTTAGTTGCCTCGTCCCACTGGTGAACAGTGTGAAAGGTTAAAGTTCGCCCTAAGAATAAAAATGCGAGACAGCGGCAGGTTAGGCTGGCTGTATTTCTCTCTCTACTCTTGAGTAACATGGAGAAGACAAAATGATAGGGCTCACGAACAAAAGTTCTCGGTAGCGAATTGAATCCGACAACTATGCCCATGAGCAGGTAACATGCATAACTGTGTGCCACGGCTTTTTCCCACATGGCAGCTGGATGAAACGTTGAGTACGCTCTAGGCATAACTTCAGCTTCCTTTCTTTTTTTTTCCCCCTTCTTCTCTTTTCATTTTCGTGCCTTCTCCTCTCCTCTTACCGAAAGCATAAAGTCATGGAGCAGAAAAGGAAAGAAAGTACAGAAAAGGGTGAGAAGTATCGGAGGATTAGGCCACCAGCTGATGCCGTGAGTAGTATGAGCTGAGTATCCCGAGTTCGGCTCATCCCTAGGAACGACAGAGGGGGAGTTTGATGCAGGTAGCTATGTATGAGGTAAATGAAAAATGAGAAAGGAGACTAGTCTAGTAGCCACTCAGCCCCTACATAGGACATCGACACCAGAGCGTTCTTGGCCCCTGATCTACATATGCTGTAACAAGACCAGCAGCCTTGCGAGCGCTGCGTGGTCGCTAGTCAGTCTGTTTTGCATGCTTTGAAGGCGTGCAGCTCCGTACAGTGATTCCGAAGGAATTACTGGCACGGCACGATGCTGCTGGGACTTGATCAGTCTCTAGGAGAATATTAACTAGTTAACTCCATACTCTAGCGTCGCTACATTCTTCCTCATTTTTTTTGGGATGGAAGCCACTGTAAGCCTTTCTTTTCTCTGCTCTTCATCGTATGCGCCCAGCCGCACAGATAGTTGGCTCTCTATATGCAGGGATTGTCCGGCCCCTGTCTGCTCTGTCTGCTCTGTCTGCTGTGCTCTCGTCGTACCATTTGTTGCTTTTGCCTCCTCCTTTTTCTTTGCTTTTGCCCCGATTTGTCACAACGCATAGGGATTTTCTTCTTCTTTTTTTCGTTTCTTTTTTTCTTCTTTTCACTTTTTTCCCGTCTTCCTTTTTTTTTTCAAACCCAAACAACCTTACATCGCGTGGGCAAAGCTGGGGGTGGATGCAGCATCGGACCGGGGTGGGAGAAGAAGAAAAAGAAGAGAAGACGAGAGATGCTCTTATAAAAGGTTTACCTGGTTAAACAAAAGAAAAAAAAAAGCCCCTTGCGGATCCTCTCGTCACAGTCGAGGGAAAGGATTCGTGACAAAGTTGCAGCAAGGGATTTGGCGACTTCGAGATACAAGACAAACCAATCTATATATTTACCCTGCCCATTCCTGCATAAAGGAGTTCTCCCCAGAAAAGAGCCACCAGTATAATAACTACTTATTTATCCTGCATCGCGCCACTTATTTCGTCTCCTTCTGTTCTCCTTACATCTTCTCAACTACCTTCTCTCTGGTATATACATCTCGCCGCCAAAACACACACATCCACCTCCCAGGGATAGCCATTGACTGGCATCTGGGATCAGACATCACTATTGACAAATAATAACCATAATCCTAATACATAATTGCCGCCGGATACCCTCGCCTCTGGAAGGACTGAGATTGTTGGCTGTCTAACCTCATACTGATTGTTCGAGACAAAGAGAAATCTCAGAATGAGTTCATCATCACACAGTGAGTACCCATGCCCTGGAGGCACCGCTGACGTTCTCATCGCCGTGCTCCCAAATAAGTTGAACAGCTGACTGACATCAGGCGTCCTTGGAGGAGCTCCTGTGCTGAGAAAGAGCTGTCACTTCTGTCGAAGCAGAAAGATTAGATGCTCCGGCCAGAGTATCTGTGAAGCTTGCCAGGAGCGAAACATCGACTGTGTCTACGACCTCGAGGCAGCAAAAGGTCGACCAAAACGAAAACATACCGAGTCAAGGGACCCAAAGCTGGGCTTGGGCTCTGACCGCAATGCAGGCAAAGGAGGACAAGGCTCCCACGACGGGATCGGGAAAACCCCCAGAGACTGGGATCCCAGCCTCCAGGGGCCTCTGATGGGCGATGACTTGAATGCAATGTTCCATGAATGCTTTATCAGCAAGGTTGGTATGCGTGCAACTATCTTCCAGGGCGCCATTGCGGCTGGCCATGAGCGCCTCAAGCAGACTGAGGGCGGTTCTTCGTCTTCTGAGGTACCACAGAGGATAAGTTATGACGGTCTGATGAATTCTATGACCCGAGAAATTGTCGAAATGATATCTCTTCGATTTGGAGATCTAAACTGTGAGGTGGAAGATAAATTCCCTCGACGATACTGCATCACTAGCCTCGCTCGGGATACGACTCAGGAGATGTTTGACAACACAATTCCGAGGAAAAACCCACTCAAGTCGTACTCCTCGCATCGTATCCTTCAGCTTATCGACCTGTGGTTCTCTGTCCATCCATTGTCTTCGCTGATCTCGAAGACCCTCCTGCTCAGCTCTCTCAAGAACAGCACCTACGACGAGGCGCTTCTCGCTACCATCCTCTCTGACGCCTGTCTCGTCCACGAAAATGGCCAAAACTACGATACTGAGGGACAACTGCTGTTCGAATTTGCAACGTATCAAATCCAGAACCGAAGTGTCTTGAATCGAGATATCGCTTCGTCTCAAGCGTTGATACTCATGGCCTGGAGAGAGATCTGCATGGGCAATGCTCGTCGAGGCTCATGCTTGACCGCATATGCTTGCCGAATTGTCTCGGAACTGCATAGGGGCCTCAACCAAGGCGTCTCCGCAAACGGAACCAAGCTTAATGGCATTGACGTTCGGTATGTGGATGGGGAACTGATCCGGAATATCTACTGGGTGTGCTGGTCCACTACAGTATGGTCCTTGATGCAGATCGACCAGCCATACAACCTTCTTCTACCTGAACAAACCCCTTCACAATTCCCCTTTGTTGATGAATCGACGTCAATGACAATCAGCCTAGACCTGGCTTCGGACAATGTTTCTACCCTAAGGGCACAATCGAGGGCCCTTCAAGAGCTATGGCCCCTCAGCCAGGTAGCCAGCACAGCTGCTCACATATACGCCCTCTGCCCAAACCCAGACTTAAAGGATACTCTAGAAACAGTGGAGTGGCAAGCAAGGCACATTCATCAACTTCGTCGCCTTCTCAGCTTCCAGCTAGAACTTCCCACTCTCTGTGGGAAAATCCGACACATCTTACTCGAAGCCATTCGACAGGTTGAGCTTGAGATTACACCTGGATCTACCCAAGCTGTGGTTCTCATTGCATATCATACAATGATCGTACACATGTTATTCCCGCAACGACAGACCTCAGACAGCGTGATTATTATGACGCCAGAGCGCATTAATGAGTTTTGCCAATCTGCCAATGCACTGGTCGCTATCTCGCACTCTGTCATTTCACCACAAACCACCTCCCTCCTCCCTGGCCCGGGTCTCAAAACTAAGAGCGTTTCCGACGTCTTTGCCCTCGGCCTTGATGCATGCAGCCGAGCACTTGCGTACATTCACAGTCGTGCAAACTGCGGGCGTGATGAATACCAGGCAATCATGGCCAAGAACAGACAACTTCTTTACCTTGCACAGCAACTACATGATATTAGCCGAGGAGAACTATCTCGGGCATCAGCAACCATGCGTACAATTAAGAAACGGCTAAAGTTTGCAAAGGTCGTCTTCTCATCTATTAATGAGTCTACACCTCCTCTGACACATAGTGATCTCTCTCCTATTGCACAATTCCGTTCGAGGATCCAGAACCTTTCTCAGAGCAGCAGTACAAGCGTTTCAGGTGGTCTGTCCCAGCCAGGATCCCCTATCCCCGATGACCCATCGTACCTCTCCTCGATTCCCAACCAACTATCTCTCGACATGTTTCTCGGGTCAGATACCTCTCCGGTATCAAGTCAGGATGGATTTGACACACTTCATATGCACACTGCTGGTTCTTCAATTACACCATTAGACCACAGTGGAATGACATCGCCTTTCACCCCATCCGGTATGTCACCGCTACAGCCACCCAGAAAGATACGGCGGACTGTTAGTCCACCGTCTTTCGACAGTCATGGGAAAGCTAACATGTTTGAGCTTTCAGAGCCGATCATGTCATCCAAACCAGAGCATATCCCACGAAGTTGTGGGTCACCCTCTCTCAACAACAGCTCTATTTTCCGTAATGGAGGAGGAATTGGATTAATGGGCTTTGACATGACACCAAATGACGGCGGCAAAAAGCTCCTTGGGGATCCGGTTAATTTTGCCCAGCCGTTGTTCATGTCTTCTGAAAACGACCCAGACTTTGGGGCCGGACCTCTTCTCTTTGGGAGCCCACTTGATACCAATGGCCATGGAGATTTTAATGGCATGCCTGATTTAACCGGCATGGAGGGGGAAAATGGTTACATGCCCTTAGACCTGGGCTACCTTGGTTAGAGGTGAATAACACTTACGACGATCACGGCATATCGGCTTATATAAAAAAAACGAATAGACTATTAGCCCTGCAATAGGGGAAACTGGACTATACCGGCGTTCGCATTGCATTGGATTTGATTTCATTCATTCACTTTTTGGCTTAGTGTTGAGGGTGTCGGCGTTTTGTTTTATTGTCCTCGCTCCATTTTCCTTTTCAATCTAGACTTTTGTTTCCTGAGCTACGTTCAAGTTCCTTGTTGTACTCAAAAAGAAAATTTTATTTAGTTGCTACCAATACACATGGTATATTGTACCTAGAGAGTGAATCATACAGTCGTACTCAATTATCAAAGACCCGGTTGGCAACGAGATCAGTGTAAATCTTGGTTAATCGGTTGAACTGTCTTTGGAACAGACACTCCGTCAAAATCAGGAGATATGGATATACTAACGTTGATAAACTGTGCAATATTATACGACGCGCCGTTAGCGGTACCTGAGGGATTCCGCTTTTAGACGAAAACACAGGCAGATTTGGGGAATGAGGATATCAGAAAATAACCAGGGACCATAAGCTTAGTTAGGCAACGAAGCAAATTAGATGCCTAGAACAGATGCACCTGCCATTGGGCTGACAGCGCAAGGCAGAATGACTAGGGGAGCGGGCATTATTATGCAAGGTTGAGAAGGGCCAGAGAGGCCAGGCAACGGTTTCGTATGTCTGGTATACGTGAATCATAATAAGTGTGGGCGCTGAGCGCCGGGTAGATCTGAGCATCTCCGGACGGCGTCTATAAACTGACATCTCAATCTCATATCTGTTACATCTCTTTGTATGGTATGATATTGCTTGTTCTATTCACAGAATCCTTCGAAAAAAACAACCCAACTCATGTAATATTTGCGGAGTGAAACGTTACCTCGAAGAGGTTAACAACGAGAATACTAGAAAACAAACTTGGTCTGTAGATATCTTTAAAGTTATCTCCGTAGGAGCACCACAGGCGTGAAAAAAGAAATTCCTGATAAGAACTTGCAAATAGATGCTTAATATCAGCTAGAATATAAACGTTGATGAGATTGCCTGTCATTATGAACGGTTCCCGTATCGCGAGCACTGACTTGGCAGGCTATTTCTAAATAGTCTTTCAGGAAACAAAGAAAAATCAGAAGAAAATACATAGTAGGATTGAATCTTCAGGGGGGTTCACGAGAGAGTGATTCTAGAAAATGTGGCCAAGGAGCAAGGAAGCTGAAAACGAAGGCATTCAGGATTGTGAATCAGTTCTCAGAGCGCATCCTTGCCCTGATCCCCCAAAATTGAAAAAAAAAAAAAAAACAACAACACTAGGATGCATTAAGATGCATAACGGATCCATACAAGGGTTCGCCTGGTCCTTCTAGGGCAGACTATTAGTTTAAGCCTGCAGTCAACTAATAGGAGACAAGATTTCTCACCCGGGAAAATTTGTACGTTTGCAATTATCACGTAACCCAGGTCGCTTAGCACAAGCCTTTGGACAAGAGGAAAAAAGAAAAGAATAAACGTGGGAATGAAAGACAATCTCGGCATCAGCCTGAACAAACTCCAAGAGCGAGCTGAAAGGATCTTTTGTATGTATCATTTCTGATACTTGAACTCTGTACAATGGATCGTATTTGAAGCATAAAAATATAGAGGTATTTATAAGCTGATATGTATTCATCCTGCGAGCATGAAATTTTTCAGACAGCCCTAAGACAAGGATAGAAGAAATACTGGGCTGAAATAACGCCTGGCCTGTGCTGATTTGTGTCATATTCGCGTGGCCATCCAATTTTGGTTTCTTGGAAACCTAGACCATAATTTGGGAAAGACGGGAAGTATCGAGGATTTTGGTAATGAGAGGATGCGGAATGAATTTACCCAGAATGGTCATGTGTCTCCGCTTCCGCTAGGATAAAAAAAGGCCAGAGATGGTATTTTCATCCAGGCTTAATGTCCAGAAGCCATTCCCCAAGGTGAAGAGAGTGCTGTAGAACAGACACACCATTTAGAACTGTTACTCCAGATCTCTCGTGATAGGCGCATATGTAGATCCGCGGTGCACTGATAGCATACAAGAGAGCACAAAGGCACTGCTAAGAGCTGCCGGGCTGGCCACCATTGAGAATCAATGCATGTACTCCCACAGAATGGCAAGACCATCTTTGCTTGCCGTAGCTGATATATTAAAGTTCTGTCGAATACGATTTGGTCGCTAGGTAATATTCTCCATAAGTCGACCGCATAGAAAAATCCTGCCCACATATATCATGATGATGATTAGGATGACGCGAGCAGAACTATACCACCGAGTTTCACGGTGTATATATAGGGGATGGAAGACGGGTGTCAACTCATTAACCTCAAACATCAAAAATCGTGTATCAGCTCGTCTATGTAGTCGTCGGTGCCATAGTGGCACACCCAACATAAACAGTATGGGGCAATGCCTCTAGCCGAGACTTAGTCCACTAATCTTGATCATAATCGATGATATCAATCTTGGCTTCTAGGCAATACCCAAGGCTGAAGGCTCAAGTTGAAATTTTCCGTTCTCCGCAGAAGGGCTCGTGTTGACCGGTTATTCGGAAAAATGAAATGCAACCAACCCCATCGTGAGAGTTTGTTTATGCAACCGTGATTTATTCTTGGTAAACTGAGGCATCGTCGTTGTTCTCGTTCTCCAAGATACTTGCTGGTGGTTGATATTGGTTTCTGCCAAGCTTTTTTCCATAGAGTGCACGTGACGTGGCAGCATCCCGGGAGGATCAACTATAATCCGAGGCTTAAGTCTCCCCCGCGCCCTTTGGATGCCAAACTCCAAGCAAGTATCTGGGAGACGAGAACTGGTACTGCGAGTGAAAGTAATTAAAACCATTCCACGCTGTAATACCATGGCCGCTCTTCTCAAGAAGCCATTGAAAATTGCCCTGGTGCAGCTGGCTTCAGGTGAGTGTTGGGAGCAGCAGTCCCAGAAAAGGAACAATGGCTACCAAGTCATCAGCAGAGGCTGATTGTTAGTTCTCTTTAGGGGCCGATAAGACTGTTAACCTTGCTCATGCGCGGACAAAAGTATTGGAGGCTGCGCGCGCTGGAGCTTCGCTGGTAGTCTTGCCGGAATGCTTCAATTCACCATATGGCACCCAATACTTCTCCAAATACGCTGAAACGCTTCTTCCGTCTCCTCCATCTAAGGAACAGTCTCCTTCTTTCCATGCGTTGTCGTCTATTGCCCAAGAGGCCAAAGCATATCTAGTTGGTGGGAGCATTCCAGAGTTCGCCCCAGAGAGCAAGAAATATTATAATACCTCTCTTGTATTTTCGCCCACTGGTGCCTTAATTGCTTCCCACCGGAAGACCCATCTGTTTGATATTGATATACCCGGAAAGATCAAGTTTAAGGAGAGCGAAGTTCTTTCCGCTGGTAATAAGGTTACTATTGTCGATTTACCGGAGTATGGCAGAATAGGGCTTGCAATTTGTTACGACATCCGTTTTCCAGAATCCGCTATGATTGCCGCTCGTAATGGCTGTTTCGCGCTTGTCTACCCAGGTGCATTCAACCTGACTACAGGGCCTCTGCACTGGTCATTGCTAGGCCGTGCTCGTGCCATGGACAACGAAGTCTATGTTGCACTTTGCAGTCCCGCTAGAGACATGAATGCAACATACCACGCTTGGGGCCACAGCTTGGTTGCTAATCCCAAGGCGGAGATCATAGCAGAGGCTGCCGAGAATGAAGAAATTGTATATGCTGATATTGATTCCCAAGCCATCGAGGAGACCCGAAAATCGATCCCTATATATGAGCAACGGCGATTCGATGTATATCCAGATATAAGTAAGGGCAAGATCAGGTTCGAGGAATGAAGGTGACATAATGGACTTCTACAGCCTAGTTATCTAGAGCACCTACAGAGTATTTAACAGTTATATCGATATTTACACATTATTCTCAAGATTATATAATAATGCCAAGATTGTACCTCAACTTTAATATCACGTGAAAATGATCATATTATGTAATAAGCGAACACACCAAACATTTTTCAAAATCAAAAATAGCAAGCGAACTTTGTGAATTGTTCGACTTCGACAACAGCAAAGATACCCTTCGTCACAGAGATTCCACAGCTGTCTCTGCAACTCACAGTAAGTAATATCAAGTTGTTGTCATAGACAATAGTGTTACTAACGCGATGTATGTTGTAGAATCACAATGTCGAGCGCACAAGCCGGAAAGAAGGGAGGCCGTTCGGCCATCTCTGATGTTGTCTCGCGAGAGTACACCATCCACCTACACAAGAGAGTACGTTGAACCACACTAGATGCGCCATTGACAATTCATTTGTACACGCATATCCCCCAAAATTCAGAGAAACAGCGGGAAAGCAAGACGGGCTTCATCCAAGCGACGACGAGGTAGTCGCAGATTTTAAATTAAGACTTACTATTGGAGTCGCAAACTCGACATCACACCGGTATCCCTCGTCAGTCTGCACGAGGCTTCATACTGCCTGATGCAATGACTGCAGTTGACGAGGTTTTACCACGACGTCAATTCAAGAGCAAGAGGGAGAAAAGAAAAAAGAATTAGTTTTATGAAGTCCACCGCTATGGCCCCAGAAAAAAGAAGAAGAAGAAGAAGCAATGCTGCTTTCCTGCTGAACATCGAGATATGGGCATTTTGGACGGAAGACTGATTTGTAATTTCTTGCGTGGGTATAGGTTCATGGCGTGTCTTTCAAGAAGAGAGCTCCACGAGCTATCAAGGAGATCCGTGCTTTCGCCGAACAGGCTATGGTGAGTCCTATGTTCTCTTTTCCTGCACTTATCTAGCCGAGAACGCCGTTGGCTGACAGCGCTCTCTTCAACGCATAGGGCACCAAGGATGTCCGCCTCGACCCCCAATTGAACAAGAAGGTCTGGGAATCCGGTATCAAGGGTGTCCCATTCAGAATCCGTGTCCGCATCAGCCGTAAGCGTAACGACGAGGAGGGTGCCAAGGAGAAACTTTACTCTTTCGTCCAGGCCGTCAATGTCAAGGACCCTAAGGGTCTCCAGACAGCTGTGATTGAGGATGCTTAGATGATTGGTCAACATCTCGGGGCCGAGGATTTTGTTGGAAGGTGGAGATACCAAACAACAGATTAAAAAGAGGAAAATAATACGACCGAACGTGCTGATATAAAATTCTTTTATTCCGTATTACTGATGAAATATGAACCGCGACGTCAGCATCGAAGGGGTCATTTTATGTACTGGGTTGGCAGGTTGGCGTTACGAGTGTTAACTCTTCCTGTACTTCTCAATATATTACCATTTTTTCAAATCCATAAAAATTGGAAAATAAGTACAGGTCCATCCGTTCCCACATAGGAAATACTATCATATCGTAGGAGAGCCTATTTGGTTACACTTGAGGGAATACAAATATTGCATGATACCGATTTATGTGATTGAATTATGTATATTATCGAAGCTGTAACCAACACATGCAATTAACAGATCCGGGCGCAGAAAAAGATACAAAGCACAGGGCAGAAAATCTCTGGTGTCTGTCTATCATTTAGTAGGAGTTTTTTTTTTATTCTTTTTCTTATTAAAACGGAGTAATTTTCGAAAATGCAAGGTAGAAGAGAGTAAAGGGGAACGCTATGCTTGTAATATCAATATTCAGGGACCAAAGGTGTAAACTAGTTGTATGGAAATGAAGAGGGAAGCGGAGAGATAGCTGGAGAGGCAAATAAAGGTGAAAGGAGGAGAGTATGGGAATGTCGAGGAATAACTTGGGCAAGCTAGAAGCTGAAGAGCTTTCGTTAAGAAGAAACCACCCTAGTAAAGAAAGTAAAGGGTGAACCGATAAGGGGAAATAGAGGAAACATGGATAAAAAAACGCAGGCCCGTCACATCGTATGTATTCCGTGCGTTAAATTAGACTGCAAAAGGCAAATATGGGTCAAACGTAGAATAAGGGGAAACCGGCAAGGGATAACGAGTTCAATCAGTGTCGTTCAGGTCAGATAGTACATTCAAAATACAAAGATGAGGTTAGAGGCATAGCATCCGTAGAGGGGATTGCGTAGAAGAACGGAACCAAATAAACATGGTTAGCATAAACTAGAGAGGACTGGCGTAAAAGCTGATGGCTAGAATGTTAGGTTCAATCCTTCTTTTTGTGCTGTTCCATCGAGTCTCTAAGCTCGCCAGCGCTATCTTGGGTTTTCACACGAAGCATCCACTGCTGGAAACCGGATTCGCAAGGAACCACAAACTGAACATTATTTGCATTCTGCTTGTACTCAATTTCGGGCATCAAGCGGGCATTGAGGACAACTGAGCCACTTGGGTCTGCGCGGAGAAGGATCCTGGATTTATTGTTGGTGCGATGCTTGAGTATACGCAGGATTCCGACACCCTGGACCTGCCAACTTCCCTCGATAAGCTGGTAGGCGCGTGAGCGGCATTCTAAGACTGCATCCTCATCTTCTTCACCAGGCCCGCCGCGCGTGAAGTCGACCTGTGCGTGTTTCTCCATTTCATCACTTGGGTCATTTGTGTTGTCTGTGTCTGACTGAGCTGGGCTAGGGTCGACAGAGGTAGCTGCGGACAATGGGAGTGGTGACAAGCCGGTGCTGCTGCCTGGCTGGGCAGCGGTAGGTTTCAGGCCACCGAATATGTTGGATGTCGGAGGAGCGAGAGAGCTGGATGATACTGGTGCAGAGGTGGATGGGGGTGCTCCAAAAATATTAGATGGAGGAGGAGTTGAAGTAGGGGATGGGGCTGCGAAGATACTGGAAGTTGCTGGAGCAGAGCTGCTTGGGCTCGATGCAGAAGAAAGTGGTGCACCAAACAGGTTGGATGTCGGAGCAGGCTTAGAACCACCGCTAGTTGATGCAGAGGTGAAAGAAGTGTTGGCGCCGAATATATTGGATCCACCGGGGTTAAGATTGGCGAAGATGGAGGGCGTAGATGCCTTTGCCTTTATTATATCTACAGGTGAAGGGGAACGGGTGCTGTCCATTCCGTTTGTTGAACCAGTAAGAGGAGTCGAAGATCCAAGAGGATTGAACGGAGAGCCAGTTCTTGAGCCTCCAAGGACTGAAGAGGCAAGCTCGTTCGCTTCATTAGCTAGAGATTTGGCCTCCTCTTCCAACTCCTCGGGCTGGATCTGGCGCACAGGCTGGCCATTCTGGTCACGTTCAATCCTGTCGAAAAGGCTACGGCCACCACCATTGGAGGATGAAGGTGGAGAAACAGAAGGAGTGGTTGTCTTGTCTCCTGGTTGGTCCGCATCGTCCGTAGTCTCCTCTTCGCCGGAGTCCTCATCCTCATCAGAGCTGGGAGCTTCGTTAGATTCAGCAGGTGAGCTACGGGACTTTTGAGCAACAAATGAGCTGGCAAATAGAGAAAGGGTCTTCGATGGGGTAGGCTCGCTAGCCTCATCAGTCTCCTCGATGCTGTCTTTGACTTCATCTTCAGTGACCTTGGTTCGCTTTCCCGCCTTGTCGAGGAAGTCACTTGTTTCTTCTCCTACATCGGATGCCTTTCTCTTGTGTGAAATGCTGGAAGGCCCAGAGGCAGCGGGCTCACCGTTTGGCATGGATCCCTTGTTGTTACCCTGAACACTCTTCCTCTTCTCCTCTTCATCATATTCGGAGAAAGGAGGCTGTGGCTTCCACGGGAGCTTGTTGCCAGGGGGAACTGGGGTATAAACAGTCACCAGAGGATGTGGATGACCGATCAGCTTCCGAAGCATGACATAATGGCCGATAATGGGGTCGAGATCTTGACTCCAGCAATTAACAGTAGCAATTTCCTCTTGGAAACTAGCATTGAGGGCAGAGAGGCGCCAGGCACGAAGGAATTGTTCGCGCACTTCTTCAGTTGCGTTTGGGGGATATTCCTCTTCTGCGGGACGGAAGTTCTCCATTGTAACTGCTGCCTCGAAAATTGTTTCAGTGGAAGCATCTGTATACTGTGGTTTTGGTGGAGCTGGAACCTCAGCTTGTTTTTCAGGGGCAGCTGGAGCAGGAGCCGGTGCAGCAGCTGAAGGGGCTCCAAAAGTTGAAGAAAATGCTTGGGCAGCATTAGAGTTGGTTGAGTTCATGGAGTTGCCGAATAATGGTTTGGGTTGGGCAGCCGGAGGATTGGTAGGAGCAGGTAAAGAAGTCGGCTCTCCGGAGGGCTTGTTCTCAGCCTGGGCGATGACAGGCTGCTGAGCCTGTTCTTCCATTGCTGGCTCATTGGCACGCTGGAAGAGTGAGGCACTGGCTGCAGGCGTGGAGAAGATTGAGGGAGTCTGGCCTCCAGAAGTAGCCGTGGCAGGCTTTGGGCTTTCGCTTGGTTTGGAAGTCTGCCCGAAGAGAGTAAAGGACGGCTGGGGAGCCAGAGCCGTAGTTGCTGGGGGGTTGAAGAGAGGAGGTTTGGAGGTAGCGGTGGAAGAGAACAGAGAAGCGGACTCTTTAGCGGGAGAAGAAGCGTCAGTCTTTGACTGGGCGAGATGCCCAAAGAGTGAAGGGGTTTCTTTTTTAGGAGACGGAGCAGCATCGGACTTTGGCTGAGCCAAATGGCCAAATAGCGAAGTTGGCTTTGCGGCAGAAGCGGGAGCCGCTGTATCCTTTGGCTGCGCTAGATGACTGAAAAGCGAGCCGCCGGTGGGAGTGGCAGAGAAGGACGAGTTTGCTCCAAAAATTCCAGCTGGCTTTGGAGCCGAAGTGGTGGTGGTGGTGGTGGTGGCGGTGGTGGTGGTAGTAGTGCCTGGAGTAGGTGTAGGCTTTGCCATCTGCCCGAACAACGGGGTAGAAGAAGTAGGAACACCGAATAAGGTGGAAGTCCCAGCGCCGGCGCCGGTTGTGGCTGGTGTAACAGCGGCCTTTGGCTCCTCGGGCTTGGAAGCGCCGAATAATATGGAGCCCGAAGTTGAAGCTGGAGCTGGGGCGCTAGCAGTTGGATTGAAGGACCATGCTGGAGTCGGAGCAGAGGTGGCAGTGGTGGATGTTCCCAAGTTGAATCCACTGGATGGAGTGGCAAATGTAGGTTTGAAGATGGGAGGAGGGGGAGCCGAGACGTTGTTGAAGATTCCCTGGCCGGAAGACTTGGGGCCATCTGGAGACATCTGCATTGCCTCTGAGCTACCTTTCGTGGGGCTGGTGATTGGGGCTGAACCAAAAATATTGGTAGGAGGGTTGTTGTTCTGTCCGAACATGTTTGGTCCAGCAGACTGGCTAAAAAGGGGTGCGGACGTGGTTGGGGTTGCCCCAAACAATGGGGTGCTGGTCGACGTAGAGCCCTGTCCGAAGAATCCTCCCGTTCCGTTTGGTTGATTTTCTGGTTTCTTGTTCTCAGCCTGGGAGGCTCCAGGGATGTTGAACATGTTTCCCTTGAAGCCTTGGAAGCCCGTGTTCTGGTTCGAGTTCATGTTGCTGAATGGATTGCTTACTTGCTGGGTGTTGGATGATGAAAAGTCGAATGAAGGAGGAGCTGAGGTAGTCTGGCTGCCAAAGAGCTTGAAAGGCCCTGATGAGCTGCTCTGGTCACTGCCAAAGCTAGACGATACAGATGGATCCTTGTTTGAGGTTCCCGTGGCTGCTGGTGGCTGTGAGAAGCTCTGGGACTGCCCGAAAGTGAACCCGTTTGTTGGGCCGGCTGAGAATGAAGGTGTAGCAGTTACGTTTGAATTGATTGAGCCGAAAGGATTGGCAGATGGTTGTGAGAGACCGACGCTTGGAGAGCCGACTCTGGTCGTCCTTCGTTCTCTTGCAGCTTTGATTCTAGAGAATATTGTTAGTTCTGACTGACGGAACAAAATGATCAAAAGCCAGAGCTTGAACGGTTGAAATTGACAGGCTGTACTGGGGGAGACTTGGTCGAGGGTTCATCTGAGATCAAGAACAAGAAGCTAGTAGAAGGATATATAGACAGCCAGCAACACTGACAAAGGACCCGCCAGAGATTTTTATTTCTATTTCATCAATGAGGCTGGGAGGACACTCCACTCAAAGAGGAGAAGTAATAAGGGCTAAGATGGCTCTATATTGTTGCCGTTGCTCGTGTTGCTGATATTGCAGCCAGTGTGTTATTCATATAAAGACAGAAAAAGTCTTCACCCCAGCCACACCGGCGCAAGAAGTGGAGCCAGTGATTAAAATAAGAAGAGCAGTAGAATAGAGACGAGATAAAAAAGAGAGGAAGCATATTCTACTTACTTTCTGTTAGCCAGCTGAGCGGCCGTCGCCCGCTTGGGCGCATCGTTGGAAGACATCTCTGGATCGAAGCCCGTTTCCTTCCGCCCTTGCGTCTCTGCGACTCGTTTCATTGACAATACTCAGGGAGCAAGCTGTGCAGGGTCTCCTGCGATGGGCGAAAAGGTCAAGTTCGCGCTCTGATATAGCATCAACATGTATTGCCTGCTTTACCAGCGGAACCGCCGTGAACACGAAAGGGTATGTTATATCAACGTCTTCCGACTTGTCCCCGCAGGAAATTACTTGATATCACTTTGGTCAACGAGCGAGAAGGACGAACAGGTCAACGATAACGGACGAGGGCGACTATTTCAGGGCGTGAGTAGGGGATTTTTTTTCCTTCTGCTTCGAACTGGACGAACCGCGACGGGACGACATCGACGCATCGAAGGCGACACGAACGAGGGGGAAACAGAAGGGCGTACAGTATAAGAGTATTATTTGTTCTAATGGAAAAAAAGGCGATCGAGGACTCAACGACCGCGAAATATCGATTCTGTCTGGCAGCGCGCAAAGGAGTTAAGGGAAATAAGATCTAGTAGTTACAAGTTGATGCCTTGCGAGGTCGATAAGGAGGCTTAAGCAGCAAAAGAGAGAAGAAGAAGAAGATGGAGAAGACAATGAAATCCAGCAAGTCTTCCGGCTCGCGAGACTTTGCGTGTTTGTCTTCTTCGGCTCGCGATGCGATGGAAATTCTTGATGCTTTTCGACGTTTTTCCTTCGACTTTTCGATGTTTTTTTTTTTTTTTTGGTCGATTTCGATGCCAAGAAGTCACGTGGGTGGAAGTTGAAGCTGAAGATATAAAAAAGATGATGAAGATGAGAAGATGCTTTAGCGGACTACGACGTTTCTTGTCTAGATGGACAAGTGTGGACAGCTGTAGAAGTCTAAGATGGTTTCATAATGATAATGTACAGAAAGCAGGCAGAGGAGCTCCCCGACCGAAGGGGAAATACCACATATATACAGCCATGTATCTGCCCATATCACATTGCAGTCTATCACGATTACATGCATACATCTTCCGTAAAAGCTCCAGTCTGGGTCCTCGACCTGGGTGTTATGTGTGGGTATATCGTCCTCGTCCTCCCTGTTGGTGGCGTTGTAGGGGTATGATGGCAATTGTCGTCGTTCTTTGGAACATTTACAACTTGGCCTTGACACCGGTGTTGGCCTTGGCCTTGCTGAGGATAGGTTCGATCTTCATGGCCTTCATGGCGTTACCGCGGATCTTGAGCTTGCCGCCCATGAAGAGACGCTGGGCGTTGGCGGTGCCGGCAACGAGACCGCCAAAGTCCTTCTCGGACAGGACGAGAGTGACTGTGGCTTGTTAGTACTGTTATAAACTAGGCGGGAGACAGGTAAGATAGACGTACCATCCGCCTTGCCGTTCGCTGGAGCAGCGCCCTTGCCGACGATGCCCTTATCCTTGAAGTCGAGGTACCAGCTCTCGGTGGCGCCAGCCTCGTTGGTGAGAGTGAAGGCGAAGACACCCTTGGCCGCCTTGATGGCATCATCGCGCTCCTTGGGGTTGGCAGAGAGCGTCTCGTTGATCAGGTCAAAGGCAGCGGAGGAAGGGAAGGCATCTGGTCAAGCTCCGTCAGTATTCAGCGTTCAGTCTCCAGAGCGAGCTAGGGCTCACCGTTCTTGAGAGACATGGTTGCGGTAGTGAGAGTGACTTGGACGGGGTCAAGAGCGCCTATTTGTTTATTATCAGGAGAGCAAGAGAGAGAGAGAGAGGCTGTGGAGGATGTTCGACGGGGCGAAGGAAGAAAGACGGAGAAAGCATCTTCTTATATGTTCCTAAGCCTCTTATTTTTCAACCCCGTAAAAAGACACCGAGGAAGATCGCATGTGAAAATTGGCTTCTGGCCGACTTCGTCGCGTTTCATACTCTTTCTCTTCTCTCCCGCCGAGGGACAAAGATACACATGAGAGATGAAGTTCAAGCTCGAGAGGAACTCGCAAGGACCGGTTGATCGATCTTCGTTGGCCGAATCAGCTACGAATTGACTGGTTAACCGGCAAGCATATAATACTACACCATATAACACACATGGTAGAATAGCTTCATAATAAGTATAGGAGAATAATATAATCACAGTAAAGATAATAATAACCACTCCGTCCAGTCCATCGTTCGCTTTTACTCCATGTTTTCCCCGTTTGTCCTTCCACCACCAAAAAGAAAAAAAAAAAACAGCCGAGGTTCCCCAGATGTCCTCAAGCCACAGCCAAAAAACCAACCGCCAGGGTGTGTACATAGGAAATATCGTAAAGACCGTTATAAGACATGAAAAAGAAGAAGAAGAGAGTGAAAAAGGAGAAGAGCTTAAAACGCCCTGACACGCAGGACAGAGGCCCTCAGCAGCGTTCTCATATGTTCTGGTCCACACCACAACAGCTCACGAGTCCGCTCCGTCACCTTTTGCAGCTGAACCTGGCCATACCCGATCTTGGGTTTGGCTGTCGGCCCTCCCACTGTCGATACGGCCTTGCCCCTACTACCCCACAGCCGTATGCTCGATTTGCTCCTTGCGCCCCTTCTCCGTCGCCCGGCTTCCTCAAGCACCAGTCTCTGCAGCTGCTTGATCTCCATGCCCACTGCGCTGAGGACGAGCGGCACATCCATCACTTCTACCTCCCTTGCTACCGTCTTTTGCGCCAGTGGTGATGGTTTTGCTTCTTTTGACGATGGAGCGAGCGGCGCCAGAGCATCGTCCCAGGTTCCCGACCGTAGTGTCGTGGCGTCAAAGTTAATCTCGCGTAGAGCATGGCGGTGGTCCCGTATGAAGGACGAGACCTGCGATGCGTCGACGTGAACGTTCTCAATCTCCAGCGTGTGCAGGGAAGGAAACGTTAGTGGCTTAGGGCGCCTGGGACGGGCAGACGAGAATTGGTCCTTTTTATTTTTTAAGCACGGCTCTGTTGATAGAGAGAAAGGTGACGGCCCTCTGGCACCGAGCCAGCGGAACTTGAGCTGCTTTAGACGCGGAAAGCACTGGATGTACGAATCTAGAAACCTCAGGTGGTCTGTTGCTTCGCCTTCGGCATATGGGAAAGCATCCATCTCGATATGCAGGTTGATGATCCGTCTCCAGCGCCTGCAGGAGGCAGGGGATGCTCCTATCCCCAAAGGTGTCGGACGCAAGTAGAGCAACGCGCCTGGGTGCATGGGGGACAGAGACAAGGAGGTCAAGGATGGCAGTGGGCAATGCTCTACCGCGCATCGTACAGAGATGAGTGCATAGTCTACCACGCTACGACGATAGCGGTGGGGGGCAGACTGGTTGGGGCATGAGAGAGTAAGCTTGGTGAGAGCATGCAAGGCCTTAAAGGCACGCATAAAAGAGGCAATATTGGTGGCCGCATGGAAGAGTGGAGGATACTGTTTCGTCAGCAGGTCAGTCATTTCCCATGTTCCGTACTTGGGTGCGCTGAGTCGCGACGATGACGGATAGACCCGTGGCGTATAGACAAACGTCTGCTCCTCGCCGGTAGTCGGGTCAAGGAGCGGCGGCAGGAAAGTAGACGGTGAGTGTGATATGGTCAGAGAAAGCGATTTAACATGTCTGCCAATGCGCTCAAGGGCTGCCATGCGCGCAGGCCGGGTAAAAGTGCTGCTTCGAAAGGTGACTTTCAGCTCAGAGAAGAGTAATGGCTCAACATGGGCGCTGAAGTCATGACAGACCAGCCGCATACCGGCAAGGTCCTCCTTGGACATATGCGACAGAAACGCATCTCGAGTCAGGTCCGTTGACCAGAAGCGAATAAAGGATGCGCTCGGCAGCATTTTCGCCCTCTTTGTACTTTTTATATTAATGCAATTACCGTTGATTATAATTCGCCCTTGAACACGTCAGTGGATTGAAAGGATCAGGTGCAAAGCACAATACCACTTGGGTGTGCAGGTATCAGGATGGAGTAAATATATATAGATAGTTCCGTTCCACCTCTGAGTGTGTTAATCGTGGATTCCCAGAGATTTTATCCCAGGTCATAAGTCTCATTAAATTCAAATATATCATCAAGAGTATGCCACATACTCGGCGATGGTAGATAAAGGATATAGTATGAGATATCAAGAGGGGGAAATGGAAAATGTTTCGAACATGCGACGAAACGTCTTTCTTGCGGGGGACAGAAGCAACCGGACGGGCCCATCCGTCTGCACTGGCCCTGCACTGGTCCGCATTCTCTGCTCTTGGCCTGGTCCGTTGCCATAGTTGGTTGAGCGATCAGCACGAAAGCTACACTGGTTGCCAGGGTGAAGTCTCGAAGGTGCAGCAGAAGCGCGAGAACACCGCGAGCACGGAACGACGGTGAAGCGTCTCTTGGTGCTTATTGGTTGTGCTGTTATACGAGGCGCGTTTGCTTGAGTTTGAAGCTGGGATATTGATATGTTTTGGTGTTGATGCGAGGGCAAAATAGACGCGAGATGCGCGTTAAGTGGTTTTCGCAGGCAAACACGAATCAACCGTCGCGCTGTGAGGAGCGGGAGGCGTATATATATCTGCTTCATCTTACGCCATGTCGAAGCTGTTGTCTCCTTGCATGGGACGTAGATCGTAGTTCCAAGGTAAATTGACGGTGCAACGACAGCCATACGTAGTATGTCTCGTTGCTGCCCGCGCAATAGGTATCAAGCAGACCCCCTTGAGTGACTCCCAGTACTCCGTACAGCCCATCCAGCCCTCTTATCAAGTCTTATCCACTGGTCTCATTCCACCCACAGAGCGAAAAATAACACAAAATGACAACAAACGAAAAATATTTCTTCTTCTTCCTCTTTTGGAAAACGCGATAAAGATATATCACGTGACTTTGCGCCGCTACAAAATTACTAATAAATGACTCAGCATGAAATTTACCCCTGAAACTTGAGCTTTTGTCACATCTTGAGCCGACGGCGAGTTAGAAGACTTGAGCCTCGTCGAGGTTGACATGCCGATAATGTGGAAGTTATTGTAGTGTGGTCTGGACCGGTGCTCCCCTCCAAGACTTGAAGTAGCCATATGGAAGGGAGAAGTAGAGTTCTAGGGATTTCCTTTTGATATTGGCCACCTGTTTGATAATGGAATCTTCATCCTTCGTTTCCTCATGATTCTCCAGGTAATAAGGAGCCTACTTTAATCCATTAAACCTCTTTTCTATTCTTGTTATTAACACATAAAAGCCATAAAAAGCTGCTGTAAAGTGACCCCTTACTATGTAAACCTCCAGCTTAGTCATCTTACAACGTCCTTCAAAGCTTTTTGAAGCCAAAAAAAAAGTCGACCAAAAAAAAAAAGAAACAAGAAAAGAAAAAGAAAAGAAGAAAAGTGACAAAAATTAATTAAACAAAAGAATCTATCATCGACTTATCGACTTGTGGACTTTTTGTCTGCACCAGAACCGGCGATGGCTTGAGGCAGAGAGCAAGGGTAGTAGGCTGGGGCCAGTGAGTTCCCTACCTCCGTTCAAATGTTTCTGAAACTCGCTGGACAAACCCCCTATAACTATCGCAACAGAACTTCTCTAACCATTCGTTGTACAGGACTCAAGCTAAATGGTTGGCCCGCCGAGTTGTTGTGCGCCCTGGGTCTCTTGATAAAAATTGATAGCCAAACGCCCAAATTTAAGCCGCATCATACCTTACCGTGGTTGCTGTGGAAGCGCCAGACAAGAATAGGCGCATAAAGGAGGCCAGGGTCTTTTGGACTGCTTGCGGCTGAGATAAGATCTCTCGTCACCGTCGGGCATGGAGCCAGACGAAGTCGAGGATAACTTGCTTCTTCAGACGGTCTTATCGGCGGGCTCGGAGGACGAGGGCGCCTTCAGCCATAGCAACACACCCGGCAGTCATCGCGCGTTGTCCCCGCTGTCTGCCAGTATAAATACTCCTACTAAAAACTGGACGAGACCACCATTCGATCAGGCCTCTTCTTCATCTTCTTCCACTTCATCTCGTCCGCCCGCCCTCACCATGGAAGCCGGCGCCTCGCGAAAACGCTCACGGGCAATCTCTTCACCCACATCCTCCTCCGCCGTCCTCCACGATCCAAAATCCCGTCGACATGCCTCTCCTGTACGCGGTACTGAGCCTACCAAACAACCCGGCTCGACTACTACTGCGGATCCTGACTTGCTTGGGTATTTTGGGCTCGAAAAAGATGATGACCTTATCGCACTTGAGGAGGAACAGCGTCAAGCCGAAGCCTGGCTTCGGGAGCGGCGAGAGCAAGAGCGCAGGGACGAAGAGTTTGCTCGTGCTCTGCAGGAGACTTGGGATGAAACTGTACCCCTCTCATCAAGAACTGATGAACTCGACGATCTTTTATTTCGAAGTCAACCTCAGGTTCAGCGACAGAATCCCGCCCCAGTCCAAGAACGAGTCCAGCCGCGGCTTCCACCGCAACCACAGCTGCAAAGACAGGTGCCAACTCTTAACGCCTTCAGCGGACAGATAAGGGCGATACCGCCGCCTGCCGGACTAGCCTCCGTATCTACATCACAGTCCGGCTGGCCCTCGCCCACCGGGGCCAGTGTCATCCGTAAGAGCGTCAGCGGCAATCCCTCTAGCTCATGGCAGAAGGCGAGTTCCGGCAGTCAGCCGCCAACATCCTGGCATAATACCGTTTCTAATACTGAAAATTCCTGGCGCAACGCCCCAAAAAATTACATTGAGCTGGGCAGCGATAGTGAAGTTGAAGAAATTCTTCCTTTGCGCTCTTACAAGCCACATGGCCCTGGAGCGTCTGGTGATGGCTCCAAGGCCATGTATATATCCCCAACTTATAGGCTTAATTCTCATACAAACCCCTATGTCGCAGGATCGAGCGAGAAGCTTCCAGGCATTCACAGTCTTGGACAGAGGTACCATCCGAATTTTACTGACCTTGGATTAGGCGGGAGCTTGCCTGCCCCGATCATTCCACAGTACTTGTCGAGCCCCCGGTGCCCTCCAGGATGTCTTTGTGGGGGAAAAGCACTGCATTCTGACGCCTCCATAAGCTCTCAGATCGATAATTTAAGGTCAGTTTTAAAAGAACATTTATAACACTCGAGCATATTACAGTTGCTAACGGCAATAGAAACATGTATGCCATGGATGGGCTAACACCCGATGAGATGAAAAAAGATCTAAAATGTCTCCTTGAAAACATCCGTCCGGATCAAGAACTTGATCTCAACCGCGAGGGGACTCCTGAAGCTCTTAAATTCCCGCTCATGGAGCACCAGAAACTTGGCCTAGCCTGGATGAAATCAATGGAAGAAGGCTCTAACAAGGGCGGTATACTCGCTGATGACATGGGGCTCGGAAAGACGATCCAGGCATTGGCCTTAATGATCTCACGTCAGAGTACGGACCCCGTCCGTAAGACAAACCTCATAATCGCCCCCGTTGCTCTTATTCAACAGTGGAAGCGGGAAATAAACCGTATGCTCAAGCCCGGGGCTGAATACCAACTCACTGTCTTCATTCTTCATGGAGAGCGTCGCTCCATTACATTCGCTGATCTACGCCGCTACGATGTCGTCTTGACTACCTTTGGCACTTTGGCATCTGAATTAAAGCGAAAGGAACGCTGGATGAAATTCAAAAAAGAAAATCCAAATGCCTATCAGAATCTACATGCACCTGCCGAGGAGATGCCACTACTAGGCGAGAATAGCAAATGGTACAGAATCATCATCGATGAAGCGCAGTGCATTAAGAACCGCAACACAAAGGGTGCCCAGGCATGTTATGACCTCCAATCGATCTACAGATGGTGCATGAGCGGCACTCCAATGATGAATAATGTGCAAGAACTCCATTCCTTAATATGTTTCCTGCGGATTAAACCGTACAATGTACTTGAACGGTTTAATAGCACATTTACCCGGCCCCTGAAAAATTACGAAAAAGCGGTCCAGAGTACAGCGATGAAAAAACTCCAGGCTTTGCTCAAGGCAATTCTCCTCCGCCGCACCAAATCATCGAAGATAGACGGCAAACCAATCCTCCAACTTCCTCCCCGCGTAACGGAAAAAGTCCATAGCATCTTCAGCGAAGATGAGAAAAGTTTCTACCAAGCCCTTGAAACTCAGTCGAAACTTCAGTTTAACAGATATCTTAGCGCTGGCACCGTTGGGAGAAATTACTCAAACGTTCTTGTTCTGCTCCTTCGGCTGCGTCAGGCATGCTGTCATCCTCATCTGATTAATGATTTTGCAATCAATGTTGGCTCTGGGTCTGATGACCTTGACCTCATTGCCAACGCGAAGTTGCTCGATACCACAGTCGTTGAACGACTCAAGTCACAGGAAGCCTCAGAATGCCCAGTGTGCATAGATGTGGCCGAGAATGCGGTGATCTTCTTCCCCTGTGGCCACAGTACCTGTGCAGAATGCTTTGCGAGAATTTCTGACCCTGCCAGGGGTCTTGTGCAAGGCAACGATGGGATGTTCGAGATTAAATGCCCTTCCTGTCGAGCCAAAATCGACCCTAAGAAGGTTACGGATAATGCATCTTTTCAAAAAGTCCATGTCTTAGGTGAAGTTGCTGAAGCTGAAGCCGAAGCTGGCAAGTCGGCTGGGAAGGGGGATGATACCGAGGACAGCAATAGCGATAGCGATAGCGAAGATGATGGCAAAGGCACGCTCAATGGCTTCATCGTCCGTGACAAAGATGGTGAGAAACGGAAAAAGGGGAAAGAGAAAGCCAAACCTAAGAAGTCTCTTGCCGAGCTCAAAAAGGAAGCCCAGCGTAATGTCAAGGCCAAACGAAAATACCTTCGCACGCTCGATAAACGATGGGAACCTAGTGCCAAAGTTGATAAGACGATCGAAATTCTGGAATCACTACACAATTCAGGCGACGAGAAGACCATCATATTTAGCCAGTTCACCTCCCTCCTAGACCTCATTGAAGTTCCTATCAATCGTCGAGGCTGGAACTACCGCCGTTATGACGGTAGTATGAAACCAGCAGACCGCAATGACTCTGTCCTCGATTTCACCGATAACCCAGACTGTCGCATCATGCTCGTCTCACTCAAAGCAGGTAATGCAGGACTAAACCTTGTCGCTGCATCACAAGTCATTATCCTCGATCCCTTCTGGAACCCGTATATTGAGGATCAGGCAATTGATCGTGCTCATCGTATTGGACAGATGAGGCCCGTTATGGTCCACAGACTTTTGGTCGAGAATACAGTTGAAGACCGAATTATAGCCCTTCAGGATAAGAAGAGAGAGCTTATCGAGGGTGCTCTAGATGAGAAAGCTAGTGTGAAAGTCGGGAGACTGGGAGTCCAGGAGCTAGCGTTCTTATTCGTACGTATATCCACTCTTCATTTCTCAAGCCGGTATATCTTGTGTTCCTACTAACTTTCCTGCTACTTTCCAGAACGGCGCTTAATAATTTGACGCTAAATATGATAATCATTCTTCTGTGTTTGATGCCGAGTTGATCTCCTGCATTACAGATTAGAAGAAGAGTCATTATCAGACCATAGACAAAAAGAAATAGACTTGGCTGTGATATCCTTGCTCTCAGATTCTCTAAACACAGCATACCCTTGTGTTAAGACTTCACTTTTCTTTCTCGTACTCAGTTTCTTTCTCCTGCTCAGTTTTTTCCCCCTTCCTCTCGCTTTCTCCTTGGACATTTTCTTGACCTTGAGATCTTCGCAGCATCTTGTACATGGTTTCGGTTGGCGGTACAGTTGTCTCTTTTTTTCAGTAGCTGCTTGTTTGATATCCTCTTAATATTTTCGGTCAAGGATGGCTATTCGGTACCGGCCATAGTTATGATTCTCTTTTCTCGAAAAATAATAACCCTGAAGCATGGGCACATATCCTGGGTAGAATCTTTGCATTGTTTTTATGATATCTACTTCTTGTTTTTGTTATATCCCCCCCCTTTTTTTAACTCCTTCCCTCTGTTCTATGTTATACCACCTTTATGCAGTTATAAAAGACGTTCGCTGTTTAGAGAAAATGTCTGTAGAATATAATAATACTATCATGGCCCCCATCGCACATCCTTCCAATTCTCAGCTGGATATCAGTAAAATCCTTTTGGCGTACAACTGAACAGATCTTCGATATATACACCTAGGGAGGCTCATAGATGTACGATATCTCGTTCAAAGGTAACTATGATAGAATATCAACACCAGATAAGTGGGCAACTTCTATGCATAGTCAAAGCTACAAAGTGATTACTTTATTACTTCTGAGAATTGAGATATTACTAAAGGGGTATTTTATTTCGTAAGTGTTGCCTCATAACCCTGATGTTGAAGTTAACTTTCACCATCATTCTAAAATGCCACCTATGCAGGAATTGATATTTTATGCTTGTTGCCGCTGGTTTGTGTTGTATGCGGGGCGGAAGTTGATTTCTTTGTTGCATATAAGTTTTGTGACGCTTTTCTTATTCTTCTTCTCCTAATCGTTTTCTTCGTCAAGTAATTGTTTCTGTATTACATCCCATTCCAAACCAAATCGTATCCACCTATCCACAAAACTGACCTAATCAGGGTTGGAAAGGCAAGTAAGTAAACAGCCTTTCGGTTGTTTCTGAATAATCAGTTTAGATATCGTTGTCGTCCTCGTCAGGCAGAGGCAAGTTAGCCGCCACCTTCATCTCCTGTTCATGTTTCTGGAGCTCAGCAAGGTCGACAGTAACTTCTGGAGGAGCAAGGGCAAGGCCGGCGGCGAATTCCTAATCGAATGTTAGCTGATGGTGAGAGGGGTAAAAGAGAACCAATTGAGAAACACTAACCAAACCCTGGTTTCCGACAAGCTTCCTAGCCAACCACAAAAATGGCTTCTCGAAGTTGTAGTTGGATTTGGCGGAGATATCGTAGTACTGGAGGTTCTTCTTGCGGTGGAAAGTGATGGTCTTAGCCTTCACCTTGCGCTCCTTGACATCGACCTTGTTTCCACAGAGAACAATCGGGACGTTTTCACAAACACGGACAAGGTCACCTGTATGTATTGACGATGATTAGACAGGTTAAATGTTCATACATTTGCACACAGGGACAGTCACTTACGGTGCCAGGAGGGAACGTTCTTGTAAGTGATACGGGAAGTGACATCGAACATGATGATACCGCACTGCCCGTTGATATAATATCCATCTCGGAGACCACCAAACTTCTCCTGACCGGCGGTATCCCAGACGTCGAATTTGATGGTACCCAAGTTCTGATCATCGTATGGTTAGTATGCGGCGAAGGAAGTTTTCCGCTATTTCTTTTCAAGGTGCATAGCTAGTTTAGAAGGCATCCGAACGTACGGTTTGGAACTTGAGAGGGTGAACCTCGACACCGAGGGTGGCAATGTATTTCTTCTCAAATTCACCAGTAAGATGGCGCTTGACGAAGGTGGTCTACTCATGGTGATGGTTAATATATAATAGGTATCTCAAGAGCTGTGATAATGGTCTGCCTCCTCCCATAGGTGAAGGGAGACTCAAGGCAACCACCCATCACTTGCGCGAAGATGAAGACTCACCTTTCCGGTACCACCGTCTCCGACAAGGACGAGCTTGAAGGTGGGTATATTCTCATCAGCCATTTTTGTATGCGAGGAGGGGTCGTTGGCTAAATGTGAGGGGCAAGGACAGCGTTGGATAAAAGTTTTCGAGGAAATGAACGCGAGCGGGAGGCTTATCTGCGCTTGAAGATGAGGACAGATAGGCGATTCTGATACTTGTTGCTGGGTATCGAGGAGTAGCAGAGAAATTAACGGCTGCGATATCAGCGTCGAAAAAAAAAACAAAGCCCAAAAGAGAACAAAAAGGATTGGGTTGAAATTTATCGAGGCACGTGACCTACCCTTTGCCACACGGAGGGGGCTGACTAATTACAGTGATAAACGTTTTTTCCGTTTGGATGTAAATCCTGCGTAATTATATGGAATCCTACACACCCTGATATATTAAAGGAATTAATCGCCTATTCGTCTATTTGTCAGAAGGTGGAGTACAGAGACATACTATGTATATTTCTACCGGTTATAGGTGGAGTCTTTATGTTGGTAGTTAAAAAAAGCAGCTACACCATGAGTTCAAGTAGCAAAGAATATTTAGATCAAACGGATAATCGTGCCTTATTACTTGTTTTAATTAAAAAACCGCTAGATTCACAAATTAAGCGGTACGTTCGTATGTAGCTCTTGATGGTCTCTAGTAAACAGAGAGACTCCTCAATGCGCGCATATGAATCAGCATTACATAGCCCAATGCTCACCCCAAAAGGGCAAGTAAAATCCATACCTGCAGCCGTATCGTCGATATAGATTTATAGCCAGCCTCTAGTGATATAGAGGGATCTATAATCCATCATATATCGTTATGAAGTATAGGCCTGGTATGCCCTATAACGGCACTAGATGGCAACCAAGCAGGCCCCTGCCACCCCAGTCATTGCTGGGAGTGAGCCGCAGAGTGAGCTGTGTACTTTCTCTATCCGAGTTTGATCTTGTTACCTTGACCAGGATAGGGAGCTAGCAAAACAAAAAATGTCAGCAAGACTGAAGTTGTACTTTGGGTTCGTGGGAGACAGACCTCTATGTTATTCGTAACCACCGCCGCAATTTTTGTCAAATTCTCATGATTAGCCCAAGTTATGTTACCAAAGTTGCAGACCTTATCTCCAGCTTTGAGACCAGCTTTGGCTGCAGGGCTTCCCTCTGTCACACTGTTGACTTTTGCAAATGGCATCTCAATCGTCTCAACTTGGGTTCCCGATGCTCCCTCTACATCTCGGTTTGCTGAGGGCCGGATAGATAGAGGTGCAGATGTATTTCCTTCTGTATCTTTTACACTAGCAAAGTACGCAGCTATGCCTTCTTCAACTTTTAGCATGACCGCCTTGTAATCATTCCGTAGGCGTATTATCCGTGTTCTTGTGGTTCGTACTATTTGGGGCATGCAGGTTAGTGAGCAAGTACGTGGAAGAGAATGATAGGATACACAACTATACTTTGTGCAATGTCTAAATCCGCTCTCGGAAACCCATCCTCAGTAAGTAGACTCGTGTTCATATCAACTCCATGCTAATAATTCATTAGACCATTTAGCTACTCATGAAAAAGGGTTAGATAAGCTAGGAACCAACGTACTGATCCAAGAACATCGCTGAGCGTTTTAAGCTCTGCTTCCAGCTTTTCCTTGTCGTCGAAGAGCTGTGTCAACCCAGTCTTTGAAAGATTCACGCTGGCGGAGCTTTTGCCAGAGACGGGCCCAGCAGGCACCGTGGGAGTGTGGATGTCGTCCATCGGAATGCCCATGATAATATTACATCTGATCAGGAGTCCATGGTTCCCGCCGTGTATCCCCCTTGTGTTGAAGCAGGAATATGTCGCCGTCGTCGAGGGGTTTTCCCTCCATTCCATCTTATCATCATGCAAACAATTCAAAATGGCCAAGCCAAAGACAACGGCAACTTAGTCAGCACATCTATGCTCTTCTGAAATGTAAAGATTGAAATATTGAACATTTTGAATAATTTACATCATAAACTATGCATCTTTCGATAAATTTTGGCCCATTATAATCTTCTCCCATTAACCGAGACACCATAAAGCGATCTGACTAAATAATAAACATGATACCATAACATCGTTTAATATTGATAACATTCCAAACCATCATAGTTATTGTTGCTTGATGGCTATGAGAATGGCATAAATGAGATAGTCTATTACTATCTATATCAAACATTATTATCCGTATAAATGCCAGAATATCTAGATATTCATTTCTGCCCTATCGTTTTCTTGAAACTTCTGGGAGTTTATATTATTAACTGTGCAAGGGATGATAGGTTTATTATATACCATGCATATTAATATACCCAGTAATGAACTATTAACTGCTAATGGTCTCTATATCTCAAATGTTCCCTCTAGCCCTGATGGCTTGCTTAGTCGTAGTGCGGCTTTGGATGCTTAGTCTTCTGTTGCCCCTTCCCCAATATGGAAGACGCTCAAAAAGAACTTCTCCCAGTTTATCTCTCTTCTTCTGTTTATCACTCTGATTTCATTCCTTAGACTTTCATTTGTATGCCATTCTCTCGTTTTGTTTTACTGGTAATGCATGTTATGCCTATGTCTTTCATTTTTACACGTTGATATTATGTGAAAAGTCATGGAAACTGTGGATTTCCATGAACCTGTGGTGGACTTTCCACTAGGAGCTGAAGTTACAGTGCCTGATATTGTTCAAAATGACCCTCAAGGCGAACCTCAGGCCGAGGGAGACGGCAGACGACCTTCAACGGAATCTGGTGATTCAGTGGCTCCGGTTAGCCAGGATGGCTATAGCTTCAAACGATGGATGAGAAGCATTCGTGCCAATCGAGCTACTGTGGCCAGTCCTCGAAACTATGTCTTGGGATGGCCGGAGGATGAGAGAATGGATGAGAGCTATGGTAGGCCCACTGACAAGGATAGCCTACCAGATACATCTTCCGTTTCCTCCTCGGCCCTACTACAGACCATGGAAACGGCAAGTGTCAGCCAGGCAACGACAAGCATAGCCAATAGGCCCCGTACAAATACCGTGACAAGCACAAAGCAGAGTGCCAGTCTGTTCTCTTCTTCCGAAACAGCCAGAATATCGATTGATAGCAATAGGATGACTACCTCGATTTCTCTGGATGAGGCTGCTTGGAACCGTGCCGTCCAAAGACGCCAAATTATCCAGGAATTGGTAGGAACTGAAACCGTGTACGTATCTGGGCTAAAGGCCTTGGGTGATGTAAGTTTTCTTCCCCCAATAATATCTGACTCTGCACTCTAACCAAGATTTTCTGTTGGTAAGGTCTTTTCGACGACAGTCATCAGCCAGACTGGAATTGGTCGCAGTGTTGGAACCCTGTTGCGGCTACACACTACATTCCTTGACGCACTTCGAGCAGCTCTCCCTCGTGCTAGCCCCATCACCCCACTGTCATCGTCTATGAAGTGGATGACGGCAAAGAAAGTGGCCAAAAAATCTAGCATTGACTTCCATCGCAAATCAGTAACCACTCGAAGGCTACGCGAGCCGATTGAACACCGTATTAAATCATCGAGATCTGTCGCTGCTGAGCCAAGTGAAGCGGAAAAGGTAGCTGAAATCTTGATGTCAAAAGTATGTCATTTGGGTGCTAAACCTGGATTGCTAAGCAAAGCTGAAGCTAAACTATTCATAGCTCCCAAAGTTCAAGATATATGAAGAATATGGCATCAAATATCATCTGGTGTCCCAAGAAATCGAGGAACTGCGGAAAACTGTTGATTTTCAGGTCTGGGACCATGGTACAGAAGCACTGTCGCGATCAGTGGCACCCATAGAATGCCAGGAGCTGAGCCCCAATCAAGCACTCACTATTAATGATTTGCTTGCTAAGGTATGGAACCCTAGACGTGAAAGCTAGCAAGAACCGGTACTAATTCAGAGGGTGTAGCCAATCCAGAGGGTGTGCAAGTACCAGTTATTCCTATCAGACCTTTTGAAATGCACCCCATCGTCTGATTGCCCAGCAGCCCGCGAAGCCCTTGAGCTTGCTCACCAGTGTATGATCGATACAGTTCAAGAAATCAATCGAGCTACGGGGGACCCCATAGCCAAGGACCGTATGGCAAAGACTTTGCTGCTACGGAACAAGCTAGACTTCACAGGCTTTGTAGGTTATTGTGTGTTTTTATTCCACAGCCCGACTAACATTCTCCTAGGGTAGGGAGAGGGATATTCTTCGTGACTTTGGTCCAATTAAGGTATGTGGTGTTCTTCATATTACCTATGAGACCCTGGAGTCGATAGCGGGAGAGTACATGGTATGTGCTCTCTTTGCCTCACATATCCTTCTGGCGGTTCCTTGTGCCGAAAATCGAAATTTTGCCGTAGTTGCCATTATTGCTACGACGCGAGCAAAGGTTGAGAATGTCAATGAGAAACCTGGTTTGACTCCCATTGTGAGAATGGCTTCAAAACACTGCTAATGGTCAAGTAGGGTTGCAATGCACAAGGACACCTCATTCCTGGAAAATGATTTACATTGCTAGCGGTGAAACCTTTGAGCTTGTCATGACGGCGTGCTCTACTAAGGAGGCCGCTCAGTGGATGGACCAACTCCTCCAGAATATAGCCCCAGAAATCACAGTAGACACACCAAGAATCGGCACAAAGGTTCGATTCCCCATCAAAGAACGTCCAGTGATAACTATCAACGAAGCTGGCAATATGGTCCAGCCAATCTGTAGGCTTGTTCGCATTAAAGGAACGGAGGCCGTCCCACGACTGAACCAAGTGCCTAGCCCTAGCGCGTCACCTTCGAGATCTCAAACCATCTTGGTCACTCCACTGGTCACCTTAACCCCAAGCCGCCAGGACAGGATGCGAATGGAGCGATGGTTGGCTAACATATGGACCTGTGATATCATCCCATACCCCGGAATGCCAGGCCGCAGCGAGTACTTTATCCGAGCTCAGGCGGGTTCCTTCTTTCGAAGCCTTAGCAGCCGTCGTCCATTTTCACGGCGTGCAAGCAGTATCACCACCACGACAACTCAGTCAATCAACTCCGTGTCAAAGGGTGGTGCAGGTGTGGAAGATATGGATATGACCACCCCCACCAGCCCGATCTCCAAGCACAGCACTCGGGAGCTTGATGACATAACGGACATCAATCCACGATCGAGGAGTTCTTCGCCAGCACGCGCAGCCCTGTCTATGCTTAAATGTGGCTCAATTGTGGACGAGATGGTGCAACATGAAGCTCAGGAGAAAGACCCGAAAGCAGTCAAGGAGGCCAAGGGAGGGAAACGTACGAGGTGGGGTGTTTCTATGTTTACGACGCCGAGCCGATCTCGTCGCGGCAGGCCAGTTGAAGCGTAAGCATCGGGTCTTCAAGCTATATTGTAGTTATCCAGGGAGCCAGAGCGAGTGTCCGGTGGAGTTTTATTGCACAACTTCCTGAAAGCTTTGTCGTATCGCATGGGGGATGGTTCCAGAGGCGTCTACGTAGTTTTCTATACCACCAATGCAAGACAAAACACGGATCGTTCCCACTCCATCTAATCGCAGTTGACCAGTAAACAAACTGTTCATGGAGCCCAAGTGACGCTATTATGAGTAGATCAAGAAGGACTCGGAAAGACGAAGTAGATGTATCACGTGATCAGAGAGCGCCAAGGCTTGGGCCCGAGTGGAGCGTTATGACGTCGATGCACAAGTACACCAACAGGCAGGAAACCGGGCATACTCCATGTACCATTCTGTTGAGCAGGGCCTTCGATGATGGAGACGCGCAGATGGTTACGGGCAATTGGGGCTGGTGGCTGGGAAAGACATAAATAGGGACGCTTCTGCAACTTCCCAGGAATCTCGACTTTACTCAAAATCGTACAAGACTGAACCAAAGAGCTACATCTATATATACATTTACGTCTACATCTACATCCTCATCCTGATATCTACGTAGCAGATCCTTATACTTTCAGCAACAGCCACGGAATTTGCCTTCTCACCTTTTTACCCCGCCCAATCCATCACTACTTAACCTCTCGCTCAGTCGTTCGAGAGTTATCCATTGGACCTGAAGCTAGAAAAGAACGAGCATACACATCTTAACTCCTAGAGAAACAAGACACTGCAATCATGGCTCGCGGAAACGTCGGAGTTTATAAAGTCTTCTACAAGGGAGAGACTGAAGATTTTGTCGTCTACGTCGATGATGTTGCTAGCGTTAAACAGTGGAGGAAGGACAAGACAGTTCCTCTAGCCCAGGTCGTCAGTGGATGGAAGATATTCGTCACCCACAGGTAAGTTGCATTACCTCGTATTATCATTCTCTGTCGATAACTAAACCACCATTTTTTTTAAAATAGGCATGGTGCACAAGGAATCCACGATGGAGCAAGCAAAGCAACGTTGTCGAACGAATTCGGAACATCAAACGAGATGGAATGTATCACCAAGATACTAGAGAAGGGAGAGCTACAAGAATCAGAGGTATGTTATGATATATCCGGCAGACATTTAGCTTAGATTTCATACTGTACAGTAGCTAAGTTTACTTCTTTACAGAATAACGAAAGAAACGGGTCGACGAATGATTCTAAGGGTGCTCTGCTGGGCCGATAGATGGAGTCAAATGGGTAACTGGCCAAACTGCGAGGATACGGTCCGGAAGATCCGTATCCAGGAGCATAACATGTATAACATTGTTGCATGAGCCATGGCTATACCGATGGCACCTTTTATGACCTTTTTTGGGGGGGAAGTTTCATTAAACATGGAGGTAACAAGGCTGGGTTAATCCAGTTGTGAGCAGTTGACGGCTAGTTACCACTCCTGGATTTCTGTATATCTAATACTCGATAATTCAACCATCAATACTTGAAACGACCGAAACCTGTGCATTTTCAAAGTAAAGAGATTACAAGAGCGACTTGTGATAGGAGATCAATTCTAGGCTAGCAAACGGGTATAAATTTAGTGCTTAAAAAACCAAAAAACGCAAAGACAATTATACAAAAGACATAAGGTAGGCAAGCCAAGGGGTTTGGAGTATAAGTTCTAAACAAAAACAACAAAGAGGTAAACAGCCCGTCATGTGAAGTAGACGGGGATATATTATATATAGAGGTAGAAAAATGGATAGCGAATAAGAATTAGAAATGTTCCTTCCAGAACTTGAACTTAACTTCTTTGCTTGTGCATTCTTTCGTTGCCTTTTTAACCTGCTTGGCCGCCTGGTTAGGGCCGCAGAAGTAGACTCCAACTTCAGCTCTGCGCGTTGCTTCGAGGTTGGACATGTACGTATGATCCATAATACTAGCACGAAGCGCATGGAAGAAGCGGGCAAAATCTGGACGGCCAAATTTGGTGCCTGTCCTCAGCTCAGTGAGCGGGTCAAGTTCTTGACCGACTGAGTTGAGATAGATGTTGGCGGCGGTGTCTTCGTCGAAACGTTGGGTAAGATAGGTATGTATGCGCAGGAACTCCTGTCCAGAGTGCGCCTCTTCGGCAGACTGTGCCTCCAGGGATGAAAGAAGAGCTTGAAACCACTCGAAGGAGCTGGTGTCTTTGCAGATCCAGATGAACTCGACTCGACGAAGCCGAGACGGGGGGTTGGGACCGGCCCGATAGTGCCAGATGTCCTTTAGTATAGATGCCCAGGGCGTCACGCCAATGCCTGTGCCGATGAGGATGGCAATGTCGTTACTAAATACGTCCTCGGCAGGGGCTCCGTAGGGACCATCAATGCGGATACTGGGCATAGTCTGGCCGTTCTGCATGGCGATCTCGTACATTCCAAGCGGATCGAGGCCATCGATATCTTTCGCCTGTTCGGGCCCGCAACCCAGTCGGTTCCCGAGTTCGCGGGTGAAGTCTCCGACTTGTCTGATGTGGATGCTGATGTAGGGGTCATGAGGGCAGGATGTGATAGTGAACGGATGCCACTGCGTTCGAGAGACGTCTGGAACCTGAAGGAAGAGCCACTGTCCAGGCTTATAGCGCAGACTTGGTTTACGGAATTGAATTTCCATAGCATCTAGACATAGACATGTTAATAGCGGTTGGTTGACAAGAGCGGGACAAATGCATGGGGTCACAAACCATACGGATGTCGAACAACTTTGATGATTTCAGTGTCTCTTGCAGCTCGAATCTCTCGGTATAGGCGTTCGATAAGGTAGAAACCGCCACCCCAAAGTTCCCATCTCCACCCTTCGTAGCCAATACAATGATCCCAGAAAGGCTTGCCGGCGAAGGGGGATATTGGATCTGGTGTATCTCTTACAAAACATCCAGTGGCATGGGTATACAGTGCCAACATGAATGGGATGAACAGATGGTGCGTGTACCAGAACGTCTCGTACGACTGTTGTCTTATCCTATGATGTGCGGTTGTATACATCAACAGCATACAAAGAAGCATCACATGGCCGGTGATACCAGCAGCTTGGGTATAATGAATCTGAACGGCTGCTTCCGGACGTGCCTGATATCGCTCGATGTTAAAGAAGCTGTGCTTATACATTAGAGACCTGAACTTCAATCAGAGCGGAACTATAGAAGACTCACTTGACGTAGTGTGCTACTACGTGTACCACACTAAAAAAAAGCAACGAATATGCTATCTGTCGATGGAACCATTGCGATTCATCGAGAGGAAGCCACCTCAACTTCGGCCTGACATATCTGAGCAGCGTTCTGCACATGGGAAACATGATCAGGGCTGTATCTAATGAAAGAACGAAGCCAGCTCCTCGAGATGTCCATACTGAAAAGTTGAGTGCATTAAGGGCATCTAGTCTATGGTCGGATGCTTGTTTCCACCTATTATTATCATCTTTTAGCTGCTAAGTTGAATATTGTAAGGAGATATTGCTCCAACATACCATCCGTAGGCAAAGAAGCCAATCTGAACACCGTAAAATATGAAGTAGAATAGTAATTTGGAGGGATTAAAATGGGACTTCCACTTGGAGGTCTTTTTCGTCATGATGGCCGTTTATAAGCTGTTCGGAGCTTCACTGAGTCTGGAGATAAAAGGGAACACAAAAAGTAAATTCGTCAATAAATGGAATATGCAATGCTGAAGACGAGAAACTGGATGCTGATGATAAAGGAAAGAAAATTCGTTAAGAAGTCGTTAATGTAATAAGTCAAGGGGAGGAGTTCGGCCAGCGTATGAGACGAGGAGAATAAATTGGTCGCAATGTTGTAAGTGCGTAATTCGTTGTCCGGGAGAGCAAAAGATATAGGGGATTTGGAAGCCGATGGATATATCAGACGGCAGAGGTGCCTGCCCTATCCCCCGGCGCGTATCACTGCAACGACGCCGAAAGGAGGCAGTCGATGGTGTCAGTTTCGCTGCCGTCTTCCAGTCCTAGTGGACCGTTCTTTCCCAAGCCCTTCCGCTATAGTCCTATTGATAGAATTCTGTGCTGGTGAAACAGGCCACTCCATAAATAACCCGGCAGCCAACGTCTGATAGCTGCAGGTTAATAGTCGATGTTATCCGGCTTGACACAAGCCACCGCGGCCAGCGTCTATTCGGTTTTATTTTATTTTCCGTCTTTCCCCAGATACCAAAAATAGGACAGCGATCTTCCGCTAATTCAATTCACAAGATATCACAGTTGTTCAACAATTTCCTCCGGCCTTCCTCACATCTCAGACATGCAGGGTTTTGGACACGGCGTACGGAGTAGAGTATGCAAGGAGAGGTTGGAGAGCGGATTCGACCTAGCGCTTGAGATGGGAGGGAGAAGAGGGAGGGCAAGGCGTTTTTGAAATTGATAATGCCCAAAGATATCCAAACTTGTCGAGCAGGCTATGTTTTACATAGATGGGGGTTTGGTTGTTTGGTTCGATTTGGTTCCGCCGTCTTTGGGATTTGGAGGATAATACGTAAGGAGAAGCGCCAACTGTTTTGCTGAAGGGTGAGCGGTTAAAAAAAATCGGCTGGCTCCCCCTTGCCAATTAGACCATGATGAAACGTGGGTTGGTATAATTGTTTGGTTCCTTGGTTTATTTTTTTTTATTTCCTTTTCTGTTTGGCCTACTATGTATGGTCGAAGGAATAAATGTTGTCGCTAAAATGGCTCGTTAAAAATGATTTTTTTTTTTCTTTTCTTTTCCAAATATTGAGGGACAGACAGGGTGGACCGGTGCAAGGGTGTAATCAACAGGAAGAGTCGACTCAGCCTGGCTGTGCTTTCAGAGCAAGATAGGGGGGCCAAAGATGGAAGAAGTAGAACCACTCTCTGCCCTCCGGATGATGAAGAATCACAGAACCCCAAGCACTAGAATCGTTAGACCTGTTTTCTGCCTTTCATACAAGTCAATTTCTCGCCTACATTATGTATTCCCCCTGCGCGGGGACGCCTGTCATAATTATCTTGTCAGCGTGCAGCTCTCAGCGAGTCCCACAGCGGCAATGCACAGCAGAACACTTGAGGGACAGCGTGTGGATATAAGAGCCCACTTGGCAGAGTTCAAAGGTAACGACCTTAAAAACGCCAGAGGCCAATGAGGATGTGAAGGTGGCTTTCTGAGGCCTTGATGACCTTCTCGAGATAGCCAGAGTATCGATGGTTATTGGCTCGCAACCCTCCAAGGCGCTACTGGAGACTCGTATAAATAGGCAGAGATGCTCTACTCTATGTGAAGTCGGCTGGTCCTCTCATGGACATTCCTATCCTCGTCATGGCTGGGCTAAACGGGTCCCTGTGGTTGATCGCTCCCAGTTGATTGAGACAAGAGACGGAGCGAGGGACTTGGGTTTCTTCTCAGGGGGACCTGACAGCAAGGCTCTGGTCCCTTTTGCATCCTGCTCCCATGAAAGGATTTCTAATAGAGCGAGCCTATCAGGTGCATTCTGCAACCGCCCAACACTTGCTGGGTTCATGCTTGGGGCCCAAGTTGAAAATTTGTATATACTATTTGTGTACACACAACGGGGCAAAGCGTTCATGTCCAGGCAAGGTAGTGCGACATAACGGACAGCGAGAAGGATGTTATGCATCGCATGTAATGTTGCCGTGGAGTTACCAACCAACAGGTAAATGTACTTAGCCGCTCACTGGCTGCTACAGCGACTTAATATTTCTCCCATACACACGATGCAACCGTGGGGGGCACGGCTCTTGATAAGAGGCAGCCTGCGATATCTCATGTCTCTCTACGTTCGTCCTGATGTACTCTTGTATATACATACTGTATGTACGGAGTACTCCGTATGCCATCAAGAGTCGCGGGTCCTGGAGACCATTCGGGCATCCCGTGTCCATGCTAGTGGAATAAGTAGCTCGCAGGTAGATAATATCTAGATAGTAGTTATCCAGCGACGGATGCTCGCGTCAACATCGACATGTTTAGGATGTAGCAGTAGGCGCCATCCAGCGTGGCCTGCCTGTTGGTTTATTTCCAGAAGCCATCATGTCTCAGGGGGACCAGCCAGTCAGGTCATCGTCCATACAGCATCTCGATGTAACGAATGGCATGATACCCCAATACAACCCCGTGTATAGATGAAGGGAGAGACAACCCCAGCCTCCCATACTATGTATAGGCAACTCCGGAGAGGCGTAGCAGCAGCAGCAGAATGGGCTATTACTAGTGCATTCCACCCTTGATCCCTGAGCCTTGCAGTAAGCAGCACAGTGGATGTCCCTCGGGATCCCATGCTGCTGGCCAATTGCTGGGCCTTCATGCACGCCAACGGTTCCTCGTCACATCGTCCTAAGGGTTTCCGTCCTGCAGGCCATGCAAAGTGTGATATCTCGCTTGGTTTTGCAGCTCGCTGCCAATAATAGATACGCCAACGAGGAGGGGACGTCGACTCGTTTATTGGCTAGAGAGGGAGAGCTTGCAGGGCTTGATGCAACGACTTGTAGCACTTAGCACCCAAGCAGCAGGGGAGAGAGAGCCGTCGATGGAGTCGCTTTTCTTTTCTTCTTTTCGCTTGAAGAGCGGTGCGGGAAGATGGGATATTGACTTAGCCGCTGGATAGAACCCCTCGCCGTGCATGTCCCTGTCGTCTTCGTCTTCGTCTTCTTTTTTATATCTGCGAGAGCTCGCTCGTAGTCGCATCTCCATCTGCTTGGTCGATCTTGATATACATCGAGTATACACACACACATACACACACGGCCCGATCTTCGCTTGCATATCAGCCATACACACACACTGTGTACATCCTACATCGTCAAAAGACCGTCTTCTATTCGCCGTTGTGGAGCATCGACCATTGTCTGAACGGTTCAAACGTCGAAGAGGTATGAAGCGGAGGCGATGACAGTATGACAGCCCCCTATATAGATGGACCACAGCATATGAACCGCATAGCTAACAGCGCGATGGCAGCGAAGAGAATAGCGAATTGAACATCGATTGTACAAGGCATCAAGCTCTTCGACGGCCATTTCAAACATTCTCACTCCATTCCAACATTTTTCCGACCTTCAGTACTCCCAACCACGTATATATACACTCACACCTTTGTTCTGGTTAATAAGAATCCCATCCGTGGTTGCCGGTCATCCACTCAGCTACTCTACTTCCGGTCGAACGAGTTCTTATTCCTGTTATATCGCTCAGGAGACCAAGGCCAGTGAGGTGTATATCCCGATCCTGCCTCGTTCCAGCGAAGCGAGGGAAGGGGAAAGGCCCTCAAGGCCATAGATCTGTTTCAGCGACATGGGCAAGCTCATCAAGAATCACTGGGCTCGCCTAATCATCCTCACCGCAGCGATATGTATGCATTCACTCCTTCTGGCCTAGTTATATACATCTAGTACTAACGGCTGAAACACAGACCAACTAGCCGCCGGCATACATGGATTCTTCTGGCCAAAGGTATTCTGGGACTTCCTCACGAAGAACCTTGACCAGGCAGTCAAACCGATTCCTATACTACAGATCATCAACGTCTTGCTAGGACTGCTGGCCCTGGCCTGGGAATGGCCTCTCAAACCGCTCGCAGGGACCCTGTTCCACCGTAGCATCGAGATCAGACTCTTCATCCTCCCTCTCAGCGCACTGGCCTCTGCCTTGCTATACCAAGGCACCAATCCTGCGATTTACTACGTCATTGGGATGGCTGTGTACTTTTGGGGGTACAGCGAAGGAGAGGTACGAACCTATTGTCATCCATTGAACGTTGAAAAGAACAATGAAAACTAACAGGTTTGATTGTAGACTGTATGCGCTGAGCCGTGGACCTTACCCAGACGAGGACCCATACCTATCGAATCAAAGGTATAACCAGTTTATACCGAACCCATTAGAAGGCATTTTGTATATATCCGCCCCCCCTTTTTGTTGTTTCCTGGTACATAATAACATCCCTACCCTAATCCTGATCGGTTGCTAGCAACTTCAGCCAACATGAACATTTTGTTGTATATTAAAAGCGGGCTTTTGTCGGTGCAACTTAGCGATTTAACGAATCAACGAATTTCCTATCACATTCAACAGTCTTTTTGCTGCTCTCATACTTTTCATAATAACTTTTCAACGGTTGGAACCGTTAATTAGGTAAAACCGTCAAAGGCTACGTTGTCTTTTTCTTGCAAATCTTTTTCTTCATCGATCGACTGCTGCCTGGCTGGCTTGAGCGATGCGCTGGACAAAACTCGTATTCAAAGCTGGTCAACCCAGGGGCTTTTGAGCCTCATTTTAACCAAGCTCAATATATAAAGTCGATAAAGTACCCGCGGTTGGTAGCTTAGCTGTTGTAATTGCTTAAACCGCCTGTGCTTGAAGAGAAAGACATGGCCGAAGAAGACGCTCCTCGGTCGTTCAACGGCGGCCTGGACAAGTACATCCATTCGCCCAGTGCATCTCCGGTCAAGTCCTTAAAACGAAAACTAGGCATCAAGGAGGAAGAAGAGGATGAAAAGAAGATCTTGTCCGCACCTTCATTGCCCCGGAAGACCCGCTCGTCCAAGTCGTTGACGCAGTCTACCCTGATATCTCGGCCTTCAAGGCAAAGCACTCGATCGGCTCCTCCACGGGCATCAGAGAAATCCAGCACTGATAGCCCAGAGTCAGGAGCGGCGGATGGATCAACTACCCGTGGACCAGTCTCTCGCCTCAGAGACTCCATTCCGGATAACCTCGTTCTCCTTCTCATCGGGGTCAACCCAGGAATCATGACGGGACAGACGGGATATGCGTACGCTCATCCGTCGAACCTCTACTGGCGCCTCCTACATTCCTCGGGGATAACTACCTTCCGCCATCCACCGTCTGATACATACAGAATGCCGGAGCTCTACTGTATTGGGAACACGAATATCGTGGTTCGTCCTACGCGTGATGCCAGCCAGCTATCGAAAGAAGAGATGAATGCCGGCGTCCCTGTGCTGGAGGAGAAAATCGAACGGTTTCGGCCAGAAGCTGTCTGTTTGGTTGGCAAGGGCATATGGGAGGCTGTCTGGAGGGTTAAGCATGGGAGAAATATCAAAAAAGAAGAGTTCAAATATGGGTGGCAGGACGAGTCGGAGAATATGGGGCGTGTTAGGCCGGTATTGGGTGGTAATAGCCAGGATGCATGGCCTGGGGCGAGGGTCTTTGTCGCTACGACAACCAGCGGGCTGGCGGCATCAATGAGTTTGGCGGAGAAGGAAGCCATCTGGAATGAGTTGGGCTCTTGGGTGAAGGAGAGGAGAGAAGCTAGAGGATTTGCTCTACCGACTTTGAGTCAGGCGTTAGGGACCTTGGATAATTAGACATGTTGGATGGCGTTTTCAACGTGCCATATATTGGACTATATACAAATCCTTGATAGACAGCATTATTTGATAAACCGAACAGCTACTTCATCCTCATCCGAGCTTCTATCGTCCGGCATGTTAATCGGGGGCTTCTGGCCCATAGCACTATCATCCGGCCCAACCACGGCCTCTTCATTCTCTTCAAACCATTCCTCCAGGTCAACATGGACCCTCAGCTCTTTCTCGACCAACACGTTGAAAACCTTCCTTAGTTCATCAAAACCCATCGACTCCTTAAGGCGTGGCTCTCCATACGCCAAAAGAACCAACTGTTTGGACCATGGGCATGCCCGAATAGAACGGAAAAATACCAGACGTGCCTTTTCACTCTCACCAAACGTAAGCTCGAATTGTATGAATAGTTTCCATAGCGCAGCACTGTGCTGGCCCGATTGTGAAGAAACTGCAGCCTCAAACGCAGCACGGACAGAGTGAGCCGTTGAACCAGCAGATACCCCTCTGTGAAGCTCTGAGTAGATTGAAAATAAGTGAGGAATAAGCGTGGACCGTTTCGTAGTGGTCGAATCGTCCGCTGGCTCATGAATTTGGCGGGTGAGGACCGATCGAACTCGATTTTCAACTCGGAATCGAGCTTCATTGAATGCAAAGAGGCCAAGGAAGATTGTGTTTTGTTGGAAAAGTAAGATACTCTTGAACAATTCTTCCCGAACTTGTGCAGGTTTATACACACGGTTTTCAGTAATATGATAATATAGCAGTCGAGCCTTTGCTTGATGTATTGGTTCCAAGAACACTGCCTTATCCAACTTCTGGTCTTTGAGGCGTTGTTCTGCGTTATCGTAGACTTCAATAGCCCCTGACAGTTCTTGGTTTTGGGTAAGATAAAGTAAAAGGGCCAGGCAGTCAGTAGCGTAGCTGAATACCTCTGAATTGCGGAATGTCAGCCCGTGAGCCTGGATACCATCTAAATGCTATTCAAAATGTTAGCAAAAACCCAGAACTTTGTGACGAAGGCACCAAAAACCTACTCTCTTAGTCTTAAGAAGCTCTGTCGCGCTAATTACTGCATCCCCATCTCCAGCCTTTGATAAGGAACTCAGATCTATAGTATTATTAGGAATCGCAAGCAACAGATGAGTTGCTTTTCCAGCGCTCTGATTATTAAGAGCTTCCCAGACCCAGCTATTCCAGAGGAGGATACAGTCCAGAGCAGCCTCCTTGGAGAAGCTTTGGCTCATAGAAAGAGTCGTTGTCCAAACTTTCTCAGCGGCAGCAATATTGCCGTTTTTAGCCTCAATCAGCGCGTAAGAATTGTATAGTTTGATGCTTGAAGGGCGCTGCTTCAAAAGGCTTTTTGCATACTTCTTCGCCTCCTTGGGGTGGATACTATATTCCAAGGCAATAGTATAGGATGCTAAGTAGTCATTGTCCGGCATTCTTGATACCAGCATCTTCAGTGATCTCCGAATCCATTCGACGTCGACCAGGTTACTTCTCTCAAGGTATGTTGCTTTCCATGGTGCAAATGTCGAAAACCAGTTTATTCCATCGCCAAATAGGGTGTCAAAACTATTTCTGAATATCGGATTGGGGAATGAAAACGGTGAACATGGACCAACATCTTCCTCCTTCGTGCTGATGGAAGCAAACCACTCCGATAGCTGCTTTCCTATCTCATCCAGATTGCGGTTCGACAAAAAGGGGTCGGTATGCCAACCACAAGTCCTTTCGCAATCTCCATGTGAGATTGGCGGTAAGTGACAAAATATCAGAAAAGCGTCAATAAGTAAGTGTAATATACTAGGATCTGATAGATGAACAAGGAAATCAGATATATCCGTGAACAGTACTACCCGGTAGGGGTCATCTTCCTGCACCTCGTCGAGTGTTCTGGCTGGTAAGAATGATGATGACATCAAATCCTGCTCGATGCTACCCCAAGAACTAAAAACATCTTTAACATCAATGTTTGGGACGGCAGGGTCAGTCTTTGGATCTGGTGAGTCTTCACCCGACTTATCCCAACCCTCTGATCCCACTTCACCAATCCGCGGGACTTCACTCTCCCAGAATTCAGAGAATGCCGAAATAGCAGCCGGTCGATCGGTTTTTGAATTGAGGCCTTGCGGACAGCAAAAATTATACTCAAGGAGGGCTTGCCATAGCCCAATTGAGTGCTCGGTAAAACCAGCTTCTCTCATAAAAAGGCTCAAGCGCAAGACGATGTAGAGACTAATAATCTGCTTCTCGGTGCTATCGGGTTGGTTTTCATTGACTTTCAAACACTCCAAGAATACTTGTCGACATTTCTCATAAGTAAAATTGGTAAAAGTGGTTTGCTGGACGTCCAAATACTTGATCCAGAGAGAAATATAACCAGAGTTGAACTGCAATACAGACTTCCATTTATTCAATAGAGTCTTTTGATCCCAGATTAGGGAGCCCTCTTCCATCATTCCGAGCAGAAGCTTGTCCCGAGGAACATTAGGAGAAAGGCCCTTTAACGCCTTTTCATACAAGGACACCTTCATGTCCGCAATGCTTCTCTTTTCTGCGGATGTATACTTTCGATAACCCTCTCTGTCTGCGGCACCGACCATGTTATCTTGGTGATTGATAAGCTGGAGCCAGCCTTCGACATCGTCCGGATTATCAATCGCGTTTGAGAACAAGCTGGCATGGCGCAACCTAGCCCCTTCTCCGTCTGATTCTAGGCTCCAATCAGATCCCATATCAGTTTCGACATCAGAGTCCGGTTCAGGCTTAGCTTTCCCCTCGATAGACCGGTAATCAGGAAGTTTCTCTTCTTCAGTCGCTATATAGGAAGTATCAGGGAATCCATCCGCCATACGCCTCCGCTTCCGGCTTCCGGCTTCATTCAATGGCAGGAAATCACGCTCTAGATCTGGCTTCTCATTTTGACGGGGGACCAAGCGTCGGAGTTTTGTCGGTCTGGAAGCCGATTTCCAGAGTGCCTTGTGGCTACGCTGTATTGTATCTGCTGTAGCTCCTCTTAGCTTTATCACTATCTTTGTATCGCTGCTAAGGTCTTGGTCAATGGTGTAAGTTGTGGGAAGACCCAGCACCCTGCCTGCGCCAAAACGATAGTACCGGGGGATATCGTACTTGTGGAGAGACCCATATATCAGTGTGTATGGATCACCCGTAGGATCCAATACGTAAAGATCCGAAGCATCTAGGGCGGGCTGGGGTTTCAATATATCAACCCTTTGATCACGCCTGGGTCTACCGGAATGAGATCTGGTCTCGCGACTTTTCTCCCTTTCCCGGTGTGATTCATCATGTCTAGAAGAACTGGAAGGCCTCCTAGATCTCTCTCGATCGCCCGCAACCTCCTTCAAAGACTTCTTCTCATCTCTGCCTTTACCATCACTCGCTAGGGCTGTTGACCGCGGCTTGAAACTTCCAAATTTTGGAATCGACGCTTTTCCCTTTTGTTATGAGACGCAAGTTAGTGCTATAGTGCGCTAGAAAGAGCTGAATCTGCCACTTACCCTTCCCCCATCAGAATCCATAGCTATTGTCTTGATCGCGCTACATTTGCCGCTGGTCGCCTTGTCTTCAACGGTGATAAATCACAAGTAAAGCTCCATCTGATATCGGGTAAACTTGCCACTTCTTGGCGTTTTAAGCGCCGGGAAAAACTTCCTTTTGCAGAGAGATAATTTTATACTTTTTTGCATTTTCGAATTTCAAGATCGAAGAAACGAAAGATTTTTGAAGGGGAAAAGAAGCAAGCTTGCAAAGGAAGAGAAGAGCTTGCTTGGGTCCGGCGAACAGGAGGACGGCTGCTATTATGAATTAGATACCCTCACTCAGCAATATAGTCTTCCGCTCTCCTCTGCACAATGGCGTCGTCCCTCGCCGCGCAGCTGTCGCAAGTCGCGGCCAAAGCAACCCATCAATTCGACCTAAAAGCTCAAAGAGCAGCTCACGCGCAGTCGTTGATATTCGAGAAGAAAGTCGCTGGCACACAGGATTTCGATACGATTTACCAGGTATACTACGAAGGGTTCCAGGAATTATGTACCCTCGACGCTCGCTTTCAGTCCTTCCAGCAAAATCTTTTCAGCGAACAAAGCAAAGCCGAAGATAGAAGCCAGATGACCGCGGCCCAGAATAAGGACCTGGACGTTGTCATAGAAGAGTTTCTTGTCTTAGTCGGTAGCCGGTTACTCCTCAATCCAGCCGTGAAGGCCGTCGACTGGCTTATTCGTCGATTCCGGTATTATCCCTACACACCAGTGGCATCACGTTTTCCCGGCTATGTGATTAGACGGTTTACTAACTGAGATATGTTTTTGCATAGGGTTCACGAATACAACACCGGATTTCTACTTCTTACGTTCTTGCCATACCATACCACTCCCTTATTTCTCAATCTTCTGTCCATCTTACCGGATAATTTAACCACTACGTTTAAGGTGCTACATCCATACAAGCGAAGCTTGGTGCTACCTCCACGAGGCTCTATTGTACACAGTGCTGCAACAAACAAAGAGTTTTTCTCCGCCTTGAATAGCTATGTTATGCAAGCCAGCAAGGCTAGAGCGCATTACCAGGGCCTCATTTCTTTCTGGGCTGGCGTTACGGCGGAGGCCCTTTCGACAATGCTTGACTCTGCGCAATCAGGAAGGATGGAAGTGGAACGACGGAATAAAGAAGACGTTTTGATCCGTATTTTGCCAACACTTAGCACCGGCCTTTCGTTAAAAAAGGCACCACAGCTTGTTGTTGCCTGCTACATGCTCTGTGTTGTTCTGGCCAATAAGGGATCCCTTAGCAATACGGCTATCGATAGTTTAATGGAAGCAGTGGCAGGATCTTGGACCAGGGACACCATTGCTTCTGGGGTTACTTGCCTGTCAGTGATTTTACAACAAAAGGATCAAGCAGAGCTTCCAAAATCTGTCATCAAATCAATTCTTCGGCTGAAAGATGCAGCTGATGTATTCTCTGGTCTCAGTGCAAGCCATTCAATAGTCAAACTACTTTCTGGCTTGATAAATGTACTTCTGGAAAAAGATGATGAGGGGCTTGCATCTCAGTCTATATGTCTTGTCAGTCAAATACTCCAACGAGATACTATGGGCCTGGAGGATAAAAAACAAACAATGGCTGCTATACTTAAAACTGTGGATCAATCCCACCGCAAGGGCTGTATGCCTGAAGAAGTACGCCAACTGGTTTCAGACACTCTCGCAACATTCGTTGAGTCCAAAGAACTTGATACTCTACTTCAGAAAGCAATTGTTGAATCTCGAGTCGACATAAAAGCCTTGGAAATGACTCTCCAGATTGCCATTGATAACAACGGGGTGCCTGCAGAAATAGAGGATGTTGAGATGGAAGATGTGCCTGAGAGCCACCTCCAAGACGAAGAATTTGCAACAGCCATTGCATCTTTATCTCAAAGACGGAGTCAGAAACCAGAAAACTTCCTTGTCGAATCTCCATCTCCATTATTTAGCGAACTGGCCGTTTCTTTCACTCAGGCTACAACCGCTGCAACTAAATTGGACGCATTTCTGGACTTACCCATCCTTCGTAGGGATACTAGATTTAAGAATCCCACTCTCCTCTCATTCCTTGTACGGTACTTTTCGGGTCCTTATCCACCTCTAGCTCGCGCAAAGGCTATTGGCGTGACCACAGCTTGCATCCTTGAATCAAATGAGAAAGCTGTTGATCTGCAGGCACTTGTTCCCTATTGTATATCTGCCCTATCCGATACATCAACACAAGTGAGAAGGGAAGCGGCTGCACTACTAACTTCCGTCGATAACCAATATCTGGCAGAAATCGAAGACTTACCCTGGGGACATGGCAGTATATATGGTGAAAATGAACAATCAAAGATGGTCCAGTGGCTTTCCGGAAAGGAAATCCACGCATTCCTCGATCAAGGGTTTATGCCTGACTTGGAAGAGTGTATACTTGATTCTTCTCGTGTCTCAGAAACATTCATGCAGACTGTTCGAGGAACTACACCGAGCCAATCCAAAGATGCCGGCGTAGGGTTGAAGAAATCTGTCCGTCGAGAGTTTTTCTCATTCATTTGTTCTCACATCATCAACACGCCGCTCTTCGCTACAAAGCTCAGGCTTCTAACGATCGTCAACCGAATTAGCAAAGTCGGGTCCACTCCTCGTACTCAATTCTTGTCTCCCTTGCTTGAGCAATGTAGAGCAATTGATTCAGAGAAAATCAAGCGCATCGATACCCAAGAACACGTTTCCATGCAGGAATTGGAGCAACAAGTCCTCGCCATCATCTATCCAAAAGACACAACCGCTATCTCCACCCTTTTGTCACTATTAAAAGAAAACCCTCAATCTACAAGGCCTTCGTTTATTGGGGCTACATTTACCCGCATAAAAGATATTTGGCCATCATTGGATGAGGAGAAGGAACTGTTTGCATCAGAGAATTTGCTGGATATGTGTCTCTCTCCTAAGCCTCAGGCTGAGGAGCTAGCAAATTCTAGCAGAGAGCTCCTCCGATCTGTGAACTTGTCAGGTCCAGTAATTGTCAGGTTCCTCAACACAATAATATCGCCTTCTTTCAATGTCGATTCTCAATCTCCTGCTCCAAAAAGACGGCGAATGAGCCAGAGCAACCCGACCGCTATGAACCCAGCCAGCCGGGCAGAAGCAAGCGTTCCTCTTCGGAGAATTTCGTTCATTCTTGAGTTGATTGATGCTTCTCAAGCTGAGAGATATCCTGAACTAATTGGAGGTCTATTCCAAACACTCGCCATTGTTCACAAATTAAAGCTACAGGTTAGGTCAGAAATGAGCTATCTTCTTAGCCTTAACCTTGGTATCCTGCTTTCTATCGTTAATAAATACAAGGTTGGTTGTTTCTGGTCCACGAATAATATATTCTTGCTAACAGTAGGTCTAGGGGTCGCCGAAGAAACTCGATACTTCTGTCATCAGAGCTGACTTGATAATCGATTGCGTTCGCACATCAGAGAGCCAACAAGTCCAGAACACTGCTCTTCTTTTGGTTGCGGCTCTCGCCACTGTAGCGCCTGAAATTGTTCTTCACAGTGTTATGCCAATTTTTACTTTTATGGGTTCAAGTGTTCTTCGAAAAGATGACGAATACTCGGCCCTTGTTATTGACCAGGTAGGCATCAATCGCATATCTCATCTATATTTCGGAAGTTATTGACATTTTGCTTCTCCCTCCTAGACCATTGATCAGGTTATTCCCCCTCTTGTTCGCTCCCTCCGAGTCCAAAAGCGGGACGTCGTCATGGGTACATCAGAACTGCTTCTATCTTTCACGACTGCGTATGAGCATATTCCATCGTATCGACGCCTCAGATTATTCGAGTCGCTTGTGAACAAACTTGGCCAAGAAGATTTCCTCTTTGCGGTGTTAGCCATGTTGGCAACTAAATATGGAATGGATAGGGATGTGTTAGTCACAATGACTGCTCTCGCATCAAATGCTGAGGCGCAACTTCAACTTACTGTAAGTTCTGCAACTCTATTTTTGCCGAATACTATTTACTCATCTCTCTCCAGACATATGCCCGTTATTTAAGCCTTGTTCAAGATGCATTGCAGCCAAAACCGACTCTCTCACGAATCCTTCTTGGAATCGGAAGCGAGGATGGAAGGGAGCCTCATAAAGTGGCAGTTGATTTACTTCAGACATTGTCCCATTTGCTAAAGTTTACCTCCCTTGGTAACAAAATGGCCCAGTACTTCGAGTCTGACGAGACAGAAGGTGCTACTAAGGTGCATAGTCTCTTCTCCAGCATGTTAGAACGACTATTAGCTCTAGGCGAAAGTGTTCGTTCTATTAAGGCTATAAGCGTTGCCTGCGGAGATGCTCTTGCTACCTTGTTAGGCACCCTCTCTCTTGTTGATTTCATTGACACTATTGAGGTTCTGCTTCAGAGGCCAAAAGATGATCTTCGCAGGAAAGTTCTCAGGCTACTTGAAAACCGCCTGGACAATAGCAACGATAGAGATACAGCATCTCAATCAAAAGCTCTCTCCTTCCTGTCTGTACTTGTGGGCATCGTGGAGACGTCGCCCGATATTCTGCTAAAGCATGCTGCTGTTGCCTGCATGGAGAAGATTTCTGAGAAGTATGGCAAGAAAAACCCTGAGAAAGTTGTCGAAGCTGCTATTATAGTGGCTGGCGACAAATGTATGGGGCAAATGGACAATCGCATCCGTATTATGAGTTCCCTGTGTCTAGCATCTATGACGGAGGTCATCGCGGATGCTATTATCCCTGTTCTTCCTATCGCCCTTCCACGTTCTTTAGATCTGCTACAAAGCAGTATAAAATCCGGGGAACAAAATCCGGAGCTCCACGATGCCGTATATTCGCTACTCTCTGCCTTACTAGTTCACATCCCTTACATGATCTCCTCAGAGGATTTGGACAGAATTCTACAACTCTCATCAAGTTCATCTCATGCCAGCCTGTCCGAGGACTGTGACGGTAATCGCCAGGATGCGCTTCAGTTGCTGGCGAAACGGGTTGACGCGAAGGAGGTTTACAATGCAGTCGAGCGCAACTGGGACTTCTCAGTTTCGAAGGGTCCGAAGGTAAGACTGACATATCATTAAGATGTATCCGTCATGATATTAACTATTTACAGGCTGTCAAGGAAACTCTTGATATTGTTAAGCTATCAATTGAGAAACACCCGAAGTCGGACACCATTAAAAACGTTCCGGCACTCTCGAAGCTCCTGTGGAAAGTTTTTGATTTCCGAAGAGCACAGTTCAGCCTACCTACCAGCGATAGATTTGAAGGACAGCAAATTGATGACATAGAGGCATGCATCAATGATCTAACGATTAAGATGATATACAAACTGAACGATACCATATTCCGACCGTTCTTCATTCAACTCACCGAATGGGCAACGGAAGAGCTAGATAAGACCGATTTATCTGGCAGGCAAGCAAGACTGACAACATTCTATAAGTTCCTGGAAACCTTCTTCAGCACTTTAAAGGTATGCAATTGCATTTTGATCGATATACTTTCCCTGCTAACTAGGATCCATCTGCATAGTCTATTGTCACTGGTTACTCCAGCTATATCATTGACAGCGTTGTTGATGTATTAAAGAATACACGGCCAAATGTAAAAGAAAACCAGCCGCTATGGACGGCGGTAATGCGCACGCTTCGAAGTTCATTTGAGCATGACCAGGACGGTATGTCACCCAGCCCTATCATTCGTTTTGTTCTCTTCCCAGTGAACCAGCATACTGACACTTATACTCGAAACAGAATTCTGGCAGTCACCAAGCCATCTCAACTCAATCTCCAGCTATCTTATAAACCAGTTATCCATGGCTATCAGTCAAGCATCTCTCAAGCTAGTCATGGCAGAAGCAATTCCAAGTATTGTTGGGCTTGCTATCGCAGCAGATTCCCCGGATAACCAGAAGGAATTGAACACACATATCATGAAGTATATGCGTGCCAGTGGCGGAAATCCCGATTCATGTAGGGGGGCTAATTCATTTACTCGCCTTGCGGCGGTGAAGTGTGAGCAAAGCCTGACCGAACAACTAGGCGAGGAATGGCTTGCACTGCTTCCTGAGATGTTGCCATTTATCAGCGAATTGATGGAGGATGATGATGAAAACGTTGAGAGAGAGGTCAGAAGGTGGGTTCTTATGATTGAAGATATCCTAGGAGAGAAGTTGGATGATATGTTGGCATGAGCTTTCAAGACCAGATGAAGGCGGAGGAATAACCCCTTAGAAAGGTTTACTTGATTTCGTTTTGATTTCTTCAATTTTTGTCCAGGGCAAAATACCACTTTGGCGTTTTAAAGGTTAGAGACTAAAAGAATAGCATGAGCATATAGAATGAATATAATCATTGGAATAAAACGAGTGTTCAATGCTTATTCCCGTTAAGCTTAATTCTTTACTGCGGCGGAGGATTCAAGTCCAGCCCTTCAACCGTCAGCTTAAATGCATCATTCCGTGAATAGCTCCCAGCGACGTCAATGTCGAGTCTTCCTCTCACACAGTCTTCAAAATCGACCTCAACCACCTGCAGACTCTCCTCATCTTCGTCGGTGATGTCCCAGATGGGCCCTGCCAGCACCTTTCCGGCCGGACTGATAATACAACCGCCTCCCCCGGTCACAAAAGGGTCATCAGAATCACTCTGACACTCCTGTTTGATATCATCAGTCACCCAAGAAGGCAACTGGCTGCGTTTTAAGCATTGGTTGACGCTGAGGACGACGGCGCGGCCTTCGAGGGCAATGGTTTGCATCAGTGGTAGCCAGGTATCACGGCCATCAGCCGTGGGAGCGAGATAGAGGTTGACATTCTGCTGGTATATGGCCTGTCGAAGCAGCGGCATATAATTCTCCCAGCATATAGCTGCCGCAAGAGTGAGCTTAACGCCATTGATTTCCGCAGTGACAGCTTTCAAAGTCGATGCCGGCCCTTGGGCCCAAACCAGCCTCTCTGTCCCGGTCTATATCATAGCAATCAGCCCTCCGTGTCCGACTATATATCTTTACAGCTCTTTCGCCATGACCATAGAGCATCCATCGAGACATCCGACATCACACTCACCGGCATAACCTTTCTTCTTTTCCCCAACATGCCCTTCGCCGGGTCAACGTAGACTACAGCACAGTATAGACTACCGCCACATCTCTCGATAGCTCCTACAACAAGCAAAAGGCCCGTCTCTCTGGCCACTCGTTCAAGGGCCTCGCGCGTTCCATCGCCTCTATGATTCTTCCCTTCGGCAACAGGCAGCTTTCTCTCGATCCAGTCGTCTCCGCTAGGGACCGGAGTATCGCCGAAATCAACTGCAGCTTTGTAGTATTCGAGATACTGATCCCGTCCAGCATCATTGCGAGATCCGATTGCTGCTCCGAAATTACAGCCTCGAGGGTATCCGCCTAGATATCCTTCAGGGAACAGCAGGATGTTGGCTCCGCGGTTTGCTGCCTTGACAGTAACCTGTTCGAGAGCGCTGAGCGTCTCAGCGAGCGTATCGCGAGTGCGACACTGCGCGATAGCGACCTTGAGCTTTTGTGACATCAATATGAACTTCCGTATCGCTCACGAATCCCGCTGCTTTTCCTACTGATTCACCTGATCTATATATTATACAACTTACAGCTTTATCAACCGTTACCAGGTCAGCGTCGGGCAATACTTTACCCGAAACATGGAGTTACAGGCATTATCTCGATATCCAAGGGGAATGGAAAAGCTGCTTATGGTGCATGAGCATGCCCAACTCCCGTCTTTGCGGGTCGGGATTCTCGCCCAATGGACTCTGTTTAAGCTGAAGGACTCTTTGGTATAAGACGGCCGTTCTCTCACTTCGCGGTTTGGAATCAAGGCGCCTACGGTCTCTGCCGTATGGCTTGTCCAGTCTCCGTGGGACCATCTCGCAAACGACAGGAGCGCGAGGAACATCTCGACGGACATTCATTGAAAAAGCTGAGGCTCGACCGGCCCGCTTCAGCATATTGGGATAGTTTGTCGAAGATCTGGTTAACGAGGGACGCTCTCGAGGAGCTGGACCGACGAAACGGTGCTTCTGACAGCATATCGGGACTGTCTAAACCCCCCATCCGGCCGCTCACTCGACAATTTCAGGCTGCGCTGAAGTGTCGCTACGAGACACTTGCTTCCGACCCCTCGAAGAGCTGCAAGCCCGCTAACCTACGGGAGATCAGGAGGCTCTCTAGGCAAGGCGGGCCTGACTTATCTGACCTTAGGAATGTATGTAATTATTGCGACGTGCTGTTACCTGTGCTAACACCTTGGCTTAGTTCCCGGATCCTCATGCCCCTTTATATCAATCAATGAGTATCAACAGTTTCGGCCGCCGGAAGCGACGTGCAGGGTCTCCTCCAGATGACAGCAACAACAAGACCACTACGAAGACTACAAGCACCTATAACCGGAACTTCGAGCAGAGGCTTATTGACTATGGCGTTTACCCTGATGGATATGAGTATCCTGATGGCCGATTGCCCGCAATGCCGAACAACTGGGATGAGATAAATGAAAAACTAGCCCAGCCACGACCTTCTCTTTCGCCATCAAAGTTTTCTGAAAGCGAGTTTCGAAAATTTAAACGAGCAGACACAATCGCATCCAAAGAGAAGCCTGTGGCAACTTCTGTCGTTCCAACTATTGACGGCAATATTAGTGACCCTAAATGCGTTGGAGGGGACTACCCATTCGGAAATCTTGCTCCTCTAACAGATGGCACGCTGGCAAATGCAAAACCAGATCATTTCTATGGTGCTCGTCCTGAGCAGCTCAACCGTGAAATCCGGGATGAGCTTAACGATTTTATCATCCCGTCCACACAAGGCTCCCTTCTAATGGCCCCAAACTTCTTCCTAGAGGCGAAGGGTCCTGACGGATCGCCCGCCGTAGCCACGAGGCAAGCTTGTTACGATGGTGCCCTGGGGGCCCGAGGGATACATAAGCTTCAGTCATACAAGCAGGATAAGCCTGTCTACGATAATAAGGCCTACACGATAACATCAACCTACCTCGCCGGTACCCTCAAGCTCTATACAACACATCCCATAGCCCCTCGAGAAAGCAATGGCCGTCCTGAATATATTATGACACAGTTAAATGCTTGGAGTATGGTTGGGAACGCAGACGGCTTTCGGCATGGGGCGTCCGCGTATCGGAACGCACGGGATTGGGCAAAAGAACAGCGGGACAATCATATCAAATCTGCGAACGAGAGACACCGGCAAGCTCAATCCGAAGTTCTGTCCACGTCCGAACGCGAGGCAACCTCAGAGCCAACTGTCATCCAGGAGGGCTCTGATACATCAGCGACGTCTGCTGAGTTCCATGATGCTGCGTGGAGCTTTGCACAGCCAAATGACAGCGTCGAGGATCCTCAGGATCCAAATAAACAAACTAAAAGAGCAAGAATCCGAGCTAACAGTGTTAGCAAGTCTCTCCCCAATTAGGCCTTTAGCCCTTTGTACATAGGCAATATCATCAAGTAGCAAGCATTGATATTTTTTTTTCCCACCTTACCAGGCATTTCACTCCGAGAGTGGTGCGATGATTGGATGCTCCTCATCACCCATTATGACTTACCAGATGAGTTTAATAATCTGTGGTGGAACCCTTGCAATGATCAGCTGGTGATGGACGCGAAGAGAGTTGAGCAGACAGTATGCTATAAGCTCTAATAGTATAAATAGAACACTACGTCTTATAAAGTTATCTCGAGTAATACCGAAATAGAAAGAGAAGCGAATATGAGGATTGTAAATTAATTCCAGAGTCATCATGATATATCTACGAAAGAGAATTTGGATTGTACCGACGGATAAATTACGATTCCTAATTCCGTGGAAGCAGATCGGAAAGGATCGTACTCAAAGATCATCGGCTGAGTAGTTTCCCTCTAGTCTCATACAAAGTCATCTACATCACTGAGGACGAAAGACGGATGTATCCAGCTCAAGATCAGACGATTGAAAGGACATGCTGACCGAGCGAGGCAAGAGACGGCCTGAAGTTGGAGTTTTGGCCTGGCATTGTCAGAGGCTATGCTCATCCTGTAATTATTAATTATATTTGAAAGAATTCCGTTGAAACAACAGGTTTATCACCAGCAACTATCACGGCAGAATGTTGATTTGAGTTGATGGAGTCATTGTACATCCCTTTTGAACCATATCATACCCAAATCCGACGCCCGCATGGAGAATGTTCATTAAGATGGTCGCTGTTAAAAAAAGGCATTTAATAAGCTACCTTGGTCCTCATGTCCTATATAGATGAATGTTAGACCTTGCTCTATTTTGCGGCAGGAATGGAGCAGTGCTATACTTACCGATATCTTGCGCTCGATCTCTCGTACTGACCGGTCGAGCTCGCCTGCGATAGCCTGCTTTTTATCATTTGGCAAAAGGAAGAAAGTCTCACACAGATCCCCGTCAATAACCCCTTTGCACGGAGCGTAATAGCCTCTGTAGATGAGATGATCTCGTCCGGCCAAGGGGGGGTTTTGAGAAGTAAGCTGCATTTCAAGTGTTTGGAAGAAATCGACATCATCACGGGTAACGAACGGGATAAGCATTCCAACTGTTCCCTGTAGACCGGTCCAAACGAGGATATCACGGCCACCTGCGACAAGCTGGGTCTTCTGGATACTTGTGGGTATGTCTTGGGAATAGAAATGTGCTACCAGGCTTAATCTGTTAGGTGCTCCCTGGAGATATTGTCGTTCGTGTATTAAATGGGCACCGGAACCGTCTTCGTCAGCTTCTTCGGATGCCTTTGGGGGACAACGGAGAAGCCATATGTTGCCAAACTTATCGCCACCAGCAACCGTCTCGTAGTCCACCATCGTGGTACAAGTAGTCCAGCGGGGTATTATATCGTCAGCAAAGGGAATGAGGTTATTCTCTTGGTACTTGTAAACCACATAGGTAACACTTTCCTGGACATCACTGACGATGATTCGGCTTCCTTGGGTCTGGAGTCCCACAATCACACGCGGTGTGATCTGAGCTTGACACTTTCGTAGGAGTTGTCTCATTCCCAGGTCATAAATCCTTAAATCAGGGCCGATACCAGCAAGTAGACGACCTTGGAACCCAAGGAGGGCCAGTGGTGGCTGTTCAACCTTCGTCTTGTGGATGAACTCTAGCTCCTTACCTTCCTCTTGGAATCGATATATATGAATAAAGCCACACGTAAAGGAACGGGGACTGACGACCATGCCTTTACCCGTCCCCACGACCAGGAAGGTTTCATCTTCTTGACTCGTAAAAGACACTGCGGCGATACTGACAGCTGCTTCGTTATCTTCAAGTTCAATCCTGGACATGACAGCCTTGGCGTTGATTGGGTCCACGACTTGGATGCACGAAGCCCAGTGGTTGGTACCTCGAGGGTAGCCAAAATCCTCTGGAGGTAGCTCGGCATTATCGCCGTTAACTGTAGTTGATTCACTGAGCAATTTGGCTTTGGTAGAGGGTGAAAGAACGTTGTTATCGGACCCGATAACATAGAAGATAGGATACTCAGGATGGCGGACGAGGCTACGAGAGGTATAAGCAAGAGGAATTGACTCTTGAAGGAGATTGTTATCCAGTTTCTCGATAGAGAATATTCTGTTCAATGTAGTCAGTATTTTGAAACATAGACATAAATGCACAAATATCGATTAGGAGAAAATTCTGCTCAGTAGGAACAATTGGAAAAAATAGTTGTAATCCTCATGCCGGTATAGGCGTAGGAAGATAACATAAGTTCATCATGCAAAAAACAAAGGCCGAATCAAGCAGCCAGGTGGATGAGATAGTTGAACGTACCGTAAGTTTTGGCCCTGGATACCGACCATACCTTCAACGCACTGTTCAGAGGAGAAGTTCCAACTCCATTCCAACCCGACATAGTTCAAGGGTGTGAGAGTAAAACTCATGGTCTGGACATCGGAGTATCCAAGCCAGGAGCGAGAGCTTAGGGCGAGGACGGCTCTCTGCTCCTTGACAGAAACGCCGAAGAGCTTGACTGGCTTGACACCCAGGAATCGAGTTCGGGTATCGGACAGCTCTCCGGTTACTTCATCCAGGACCGTGCGCAGATATATTCCAGAGTATAATCCGATATGTAGATATAACGTCGGGCCGCCGGAGGTAGAATCAATCATTGACATGATGGAAAGAGCAGATGGTGCAGAAGTCAATGCCTGAACGGATTTGTTCTCAAGAGTTGATTCGGGGTCAAGGCTGAGGATTCGAACAGTCGAATCGTCACATCCGACAGCGAGGAACGAGCTCCTCACTCGTCCTTCGGGGACTTCCCCTAAGCTCAGACAGGTCACTGTGCCAGACATCTGTCTCTTTTCGTCATACTCAGCCAATGAGCCGTCGGTGTCCATTTCGAAATAGACAATCTCTCCGGAGCTCAGAGCTATGGCAACTTGCCTCTCATTTGTGGTAGCAGCAACGATAGATCGATGTTGTGGAGCCGGCCACTCGTTTACTCTCTGGTCTGCATGGATATGTCGAATACCCTTTGGATGCACTTGGATGAGGGAGTCTTCACCAAGTTGCTGCACTGCTAAGGTAGGGGCGGATGAGAGAAAGCCGGTGTCTGTGACTTCTTCCACAGTCTCACCAATACTCAGAACGAGGGTGCCGTTGGAGAAAGAGAGGACGATGTAGGCATCATATTGGTCGTTTCGAGTCAGCTTTGTGGTCCAGACCGCTGATGGAACGCTGGGTAGTTCAGACTCGACAATTTCAGATACCTCTAGGCCGTGTTTCAACGTCCTGAAGCTACTTCTAGCACCGGTGCCGCAGAGAGTGTATAGTTGAGGTGCATCCTCCTCTGTGAGGTTGGCGATGGAGCAAGACATCAGTGGGTTTAGCGAGGCAATGCTTTCTACCAGGTTCAAGTTTTCTGCTGGCCGAGGTCGGAAGTAGACCGGAGGCAAGGGTTCTGTAAGGTCGGCAGAGTAGTCGTCACTAATAAATTCAATCTCATCATCGTCATCTCCGAGTTTCTCAAACTGGTAGAAGTGCTGGTTGCCTGTTTCACTAGCGACGAACAAAAAACCGCTCTTGAGAATACAGAGGCTCGATGCCAGTGGGACTGTGTCGAAGTACTTGAGTTTGAGCCTCTTGACCTCGCCCGTGGCCTGCTCGTTTTCATCCTCCACCATTTCCATGGTCAGTTTGAACAGGTCACCATCCTCGGACTGCAAGAGGAAGAAGAAAGCACCGCGCATTTTATGCATTACTCCTGCAGTGATGCATCGTTTACGCTCCGGGTTTTCGGTAGGGCCACGCCGGCGCGGAATAGGGACTCTGAAGGCGTCCTGGTTTGAGTGTCGGTAAACAATGTTGTCCTCTGCGCAAACCAAGACACCACTTGGACCGTCTGCACCTCCTGGAACTTGGAAGAGCATAGACGCGGTACGGTCGACGGGGTCAGCCCACTTCCTGACGACATGATTGAGTCCAAGGTCAAGTTCGTAGTAGACCAGCATCTTCTCCGTCTCTTCGTACGCCTGGCCCGTAGAGTCCTGGTCGACTTCGGTGTACTCAACCTCTAGCGCGGCGAAGATGGGGTTCTCATAGCCTACATCGAGCGCGGTGAGGGCAAAGACGACCGTCTGCGGCCTGTGAGCCTCCAAGGGCGAGGATATGGTAAGTTCGGCCTGCGCGTTTCGGTTGAGAACGTAGACCAGCTTGTTCTTCTCCACCGAGGCGATCAAGCAGGCTCTTCCCTTGGGGTCGACGGCGAGGTACTGTCCCGGAACGACGCGTCTGACGCCTGATTTCCCAAAGGTCTCGAGATGAATCCGATTGAACCGGTTCTGCGCCGGCACATACTCGACAATTGTGATTCTCCCAGAATCAGAGCCGATAATGATGTAGTCTGCAATATACGCTCAGCACAGTTCTCACACATATCATATCCACAACATCATAACCCGATCGCCGTTCACACTACGCGGGAGCTTGAAAAACATCACTAACTGGCCTTGAACAGGGATATATAGGTATATACAAAGCTTTGGGCGTACCTTTGTTGCTGCCGGCGAGCCTGAACGCGGCGAGGGACCTGATGATGCCAAAGACATCCTGGGAGAAGAGCGTCTGCACCTTGCCCTGGGACGGCTCCGTGCGATGGATGGTGAGCTTCGAGCCGGCAGCAGAGACTATCTGCTGCTCCTTGGTGCCAGAGAACTGGCCGAGTATAGCTTGAGTGATGGCTGTGGGCGGTTGGATGGTGAGTGAGTACATGAACATGGAAGAAGTGGTCGCCATGGTGCTCAGAGCTGCTGGACAGCTGGCAATCGAATCATCAGAGAATCAATTCCATGTCAGTCCTGACTTTAGCCCTGGACTTCAGTCCCTACGACTCTTGTCTCTGGTATAAGACTGGCTATGTCGATGTCGATGCTGGTGATGTTGATGTTGTGTGGTTTTTTTTTCTTCTTTGGGCAGAAGTTTCTTCGTTGTTCCACTTGGCTTCGGTGGCGTAGTCGGACCGTTTGATATAAAGCGACATTAACGGAAGAAGAAGAAGAAGAAGAAGAAAGGAAACATAAGAGAAGACAGGAAGTCAAAAAGTCAGGAAGAAGAAGAAGAGAAGTTGACTTCTGTGACAGCTTCTACCGGCCAGCAACAGTCGAGGCGACGAGACGGCAAGCTACATTCCTCCCCCCCCCCGCGATAGAAGACGAAGGCGAAAGATACGGACAGGAAGATAGGAAGACGACGAAGAGGAGAAGAAGAGAAAATGGCAGAGGAAGCTGGAGAAGACACTCCCTTCACCTTTCACGTCAAGTCGTCCGCAGAGCCCAAGTATAGCCTCACGCTGAAGCCATCGTCCACCATCGCAGAGATCAAGCAGATCCTCACTGGCGCAGAGTATGCGAATGTCCCCGCGGAACGCCAGCGACTGATCTATTCAGGGCGCGTACTGAAGGACAGCGACACGCTCGCCTCGCATAAGGTCAAGGAGGGCCACACCATCCATCTGGTGAAGAGCTCTGCCGCCAGCAGCAGCAGCGGCAACAGCAGCCAGTCCCAGCAGCAGTCCTCCGGTCAGGCTGCCGGCAGGTCAAATACACCGTCAAGGGCAGCTCCGTCTGCTGCTGCCGGTGTGCCAACCAACCTGGCTGCTGGGACGGGGAACTCGATGCTGGCTGGGTTGACGGGAGCTAGATATGCGGGTTTCTCTCAGCTTCCTGGTGCTGGAATGTTTGGTCCAGACGGAGGAGTAAGTCTATCTATATAAAAACATATAAAGATGATACAGGCTAACAGGAGTAGATGGGGCCGTTGCCTGACCCCGATCAGATCTTGAGCATGATGGAGAACCCTCAATTTCAGTCCACCATGAACGAGGCACTCCAGAACCCCCAGATCATCGACATGATGATACAGCAGAACCCTATGCTCCGGGATGTGCCCAACGCCCGTCAGATGCTGCAGTCTCCAGAGTTCCGAAGGATGCTCACAGATCCTAACATGCTGCGGTACATGACACAGATGCAAAGAGCCATGGGTCAGGGCGGTGGACAGTCCGCCTTTCCTGCACCGGGAGTCACCAATACCACCCAGCAGCGCGAAGGTGACAGCGGTAACCAGGACACAGCTGGCAATCAGAATACCAACACTCAGCCTCCCCCTTTCAACCCCTTTCTCGGCATGCCCGGTGCTGGCGGGAACCCGTTCGCCTCGTTCCTAGCCGGTATGCAACAGCCGCCTCCAGCTAGTACGCCTGGAAACGGAACCGCCACAGGCTCCAACCAGCAGCAACAACAGCACCAGCCAAACCCGTTTGCCTCCTTGTTCAATCCAGCACTATTCGGCCCGCCACCAAACCCAGACGGCCAGGGAGGACAGCACCCGCAGAACCCGTTCATGGCAAACCCAGCTCTGTTCTCTCAACTTATGCAGGCGATGGGAGGTCCCGGAGCAGAGTCCAACAGTCCACTGCACCCTCTCTTCGGCGGCCAACCAGCTCAGCCGGCAGACACTCGTCCGCCGGAGGAACGGTACGCAGAACAGCTTCGGCAGCTGAACGATATGGGCTTCTTCGAGTTTGACAGAAACATCGAGGCTCTGAGGCGGTCTGGAGGCAGCGTACAGGGAGCCATCGAGTATCTTCTCAACAGTCCATGATCTCCTTTTCTGGTGTTTGTTTTCCTTCATCTGCATCTCCCGTCATTAATGCATGCATGTCCATTTCGATATCATTGTCAATATAATATTACGTCCCCTATCATGATAACCCCGATGTACTCTTTGCTCCCTACGTTTAATAAATGATATTTCATCTAGACGTCTTTCTAAATATCAATGGGGTTACAATGTAGATATTCAAGGCATCCCGGTCTGATCAAACCAATATATAGTCTCGATCGTATCCCCATCCCCGGCTCTCCAGGTTTATTTCTTAAATAGCAGATCTCTCTTTATACCCCCTGTTAGAATATCGGCTGGCGATGGCTATAGGATTCAGTAGTTATATCTATATATGAAATATCAGCCTGGCCTTTCGTTGTCTGCTTTCAAGCTTGGCTTTTTCTTCTGCAAGTAAATAAATAACCAACAGCGTCGATGTTTCACCCGCTGCGGGTTTCATCTTCGAGCTTCATCTTCTCGTAAAGAGAAAAGGAAACAGTTCATTCGCTCGTTTGACCAATATTCGAATCTCTGACTGGTCGACGGTCTTCCTGCCCGGGCCTTCGCAGGAGGAGCTTAGAGCCTCGCGTCGGTTTCCTTCAGAAGTCTCGAAATCGCTTCATAAAAACCCCAACTTCTCGTCGTCCTTTGAGTATTGAGATCAAAGGCAGACTATACAGTTCGCCTTGCGCCTCTCGCCTTTTCTCCTTCTCGTCTTGTTTGTGTGGCGGATGTAGTCGAGGAGATGGACAGCTTCAAGGCGCAGCTGGCGTATCTACTGTCGTTTCTGCTTCTCCTGCCGCAAGCCACAGCGTTTTACGTACCTGGTACGTATCTATGATATATACGCAGTATAGATTGATATATATAACAGCATACATCCATCTAGTGCTAGTGCTGACTTATGGCTAGGATACTCGATAGAAACATATCAAGACGGCCAGCGGATCCCTGTACTCGTGAACAAGATCTTCTCGGACAACTCACAGCTTCAATATGCCTACTCTGACCTTCCCTTCGCCTGTCCGCCTACCGGTAGAACCGGGGGCGGTCACAGCGTCTCCCTCAACCTGGGCGAGGTACTGCGTGGTGACCGCATCAGCGTATCCGATTTTGACCTGGCAATGGGACAAAACATCGCCTGCAAACCGCTCTGCACCCGCGAGATTGGACGGAGACAGGTCAACTGGGCGAAGAGCCTGATATCTGACGGCTTCGTAGCCGAGTGGATTGTGGATAACCTGCCCGGCGCAACTAGCTCCATGACCGTTGACAAAACTCAAAAGTACTATACCACCGGGTTCAAGCTAGGATATCAGGCTATCTCGTCTGCTAGCAAGAGACCCATGTACTTTATCCACAATCACTTTACCTTCGTTATTCGGTGGAGAGATGCACCCCGTCGTGACGGGCGCAAGGTCATCGTCGGCTTCGAGATATACCCCAAAAGCATCGATCGAGATGACAGGAAGCAGGACGGATGCCCCAAGGATGTGCATACCGCGCACCATGGACTCGAACTATACCTGCAGCCTAACAACACACGTCTGGCCCAGCAGTACCCGGGCTCATCCTACCTACCAGAGGAAGACGACGAGGTCGACGACGGCGCCACCCTGTCCGTTCCATATACATACTCAGTCTTCTTCAAACGGGAGGACAAGGTCGAGTGGGCCAACCGATGGGATCTATACCTATACAGCCACCAGGATGGTACGACTACACACTGGCTCTCCCTTATGAACTCCCTGGTGATATGCGGCACCCTGGGCATCACCGCCCTGGTCATATGGCGCCGTACCGTGTACGGAGATGCCAAAGGTCGAGGTGACGGTTTACTAGAAGATGGCAAAGCTAGGCTTCGCTCTCGTAAATCTAGTGGCACCACACTGATGCTAGATGAGAAGTCATCTAATGGCCTGCTTGATAATGGTGCTGTCTCGGATGAGGACCTCTTATCTGAGGATGATTTTGACGAGGCTTCGTCGTGGAAACGGCTTCATGGTGATGTCTTCCGGACGCCCATGTATAGCGGTCTCCTAGCACCGTTTGTAGGGTCGGGAATGCAACTTCTCTTCATGGCCGCAGGGTTGCTGAGTCTAAGCTGTCTGGGAGTGTTGAACCCGAGTTTCAGAGGCGGCTTCATCAGTGTCGGTGTCGGTCTGTTCATTTTTGCAGGTGTTTTTTCTGGATACTTCTCTGCACAGCTATACCGGGCTTTCGGTGGATTGAACTGGAGGAAGAACACATTCATAGTAAGCGATCCCCGCCGGTAATCTCCTCCTTCATGGAAAAGGACACAAACATCAGTCTTACTAATATCCATAACAGACTGCGCTTCTATTCCCGGGCCTCGTCTTTTCCATAATTTTCGTTTTAAACCTATTTGTCTGGGCCCAGGCGTCAAGTACAGCTCTCCCGTTCGGAACGCTGATCAGCCTCCTAGCTCTCTGGCTTCTCATCCAGGTCCCACTCGTGTACGTAGGGAGCTGGTATGGCTATGAGAGAACGAAACCCTGGAATCATCCAACTCGTACCAATGTTATTCCTCGACAGATCCCTCTCCAGCCATGGTACTCCGGATCCCTCAGGGGAATCCTTCTTACTGGGTTTGCTCCCTTCGCCACCTTGTTTGTGGAATTGGTCTTCCTATTCCGCAATCTCCTGCAGGATAAAGCTGGGTATTACTATGTATTTGGCTATCTAACTATTGTTGGCCTTCTGTCACTGATTTCCATTGCTGAAATGGCCATCATCACAACCTACACTCTACTCTGCGCAGAGGTATGATACTATTCCTCCCTCACTCTTCATTATTTTAAGGTGGTGGTCTAACTCCCCCTTCTTAGAACCATCAATGGTGGTGGCACAGCTTTATGGTTGGTGGAAGCAGCGCAGTCTGGGTCTTCATGTACTGCATATGGTACTTCTTCACAAAGTTGCATATCCGGGGGCTTATCTCAAGCCTCTTGTTCTTCGCCTATAGCTTCCTTGGATGCGTTGTGTATGGCTTATTAACGGGCACAGTCGGCTTCCTAGCTGCATACATATTCGTACGGCGGATATATAGGTATATTAACTCACTGATTTCTTCCCCCCTTAAGTTTTCGTCATGTTAATATAGGATTATAGCTCTGTCAAAGCCGATTAATGGAATTTGTATCCACTTTCGCCTCTTTCCTAGCTGGAAGCAATATCTCATCTACTTGAACAGCGTTTTCGCGTCTTTGATGCCTTCTTCACAAAAACTCGCGCCGGTCATCAAACCCACACCTTTCTTTGGCACGCAATTCCCAGCTGACGCGAATATACAGAGTGAGATGAATACCATTCCACTGCAAATGGATCAGGGGATGGATAGATCTGCGTCCATTCCGGGATTATCCATTTACTAAAGCCGCAGGCCATATGGATATGCTTGCAACCCAAATGCAGCAATTAATAAGTGGATCAACTGAAAAATCACTTTTGAATGAAGCATGTTAGCGTCACAGTGTTAATACAACATATTTTAAATATCAAATGCTCCTTTCTCACACTTTTGATTGATCTCTTCCACACGGCCAATCCGACAGCAAGGATTCAGTTAGTACAACTTCAGAGTTCATGGCTTCATGCTACCCCACACCAGTGATACAATATAAGATCCAATAAGCAGTCTAATGTTGTCAGCAGAACTGAACGGCATCGAGGCTCACTCAGCGCTCTATCTTTGCACCGGCACTACCACTTCCAGACAAAGACACCAGGGCTCGGATGTTTCTCGTCTGTTCGAAAGTTGTATTTTGGTAAACGTTCGGTCTTTTGTCGAAAAATTCATCTATTCTTGTACGGCCTTATGACCTCTGGCAGGGGAGTTGGGAACATTGATACTGGCCCTATCACCGTGAGACTGCTGGTTCTACCCCAATATAACCCAGTTATAGGCTAGAAACATACAACAAGCATGTAACTATTTACATTGGAATCATATTGCTGCTTCCTCAATTGGTATTACTAGATAGCCTTTAAGGAATAGTTCTTTTCGAAGGTCATCCAGAGACAGCAGCTAGGGCATTCAATCCAATTCAAATTCAAATTCTAGGCTGTAATAACAGGATATGCAATCTCTAACCAACCAAACGCCATGATGTAGTATAATTGGGTATCCCAGAGCAGGTGCAGAATCAATTTCAAAGGGAGTTAACAAAATAAATATGAATACCACCACCTATACCCCCGCTATTGTATTGAGACATAAAAAAGAGCCCTGATTAGGGCAATTTCATCTGCCCACGATTAATCTCTTCTCTGGAAATGTGAGATGGAGAGAAAGATATCAAGAACCATATTCAAACAAACGCCAATCGCAAGAAATGCCTTTTATTGGATCATCTCACTTCTCGAGCGGCAATGGCGGCTATGTCATTGTTTATATGTGTTGCATCTGTAGCTCTTTGATCTTGAGTGTTTGCTGTTTCGAACAACCTCCTCCACCAAGCGGGAGGATCCAGTGGACGCACTCCTCCATATACAGACGGATACACGTCCGTGAAGTAGTACCAGATATGTCCCACCACAGCTCCACAAATTTCGTCCTTCGGGATTGTTCCATGAACAACCAGGCTAAATGCCATGAGAACAAAAGGTAAATAAGGAGCAGTAAAGACGAGGAGCCCCAAAAAGCTCAGTCTTGTATCCGGGTTCTTCCGGCCCCATATGTACACTAGACTAGCAGAGAGAGAGGAGCCCAAGAACGGTAGCGAAAGGAAAGGCGAGGCGAGAAGAAGTGTAGATGTCGCGTAGAGGAGAAGCCAGGAGAAAAAGGCAGGAGAGTGACCAGCGGATTCTTCTAGTAGACGGGAATACCGCTGGAGGAAGAAGACGTGGAATACCAGGTCCAGATTTAACGGTCCAAAATAGAGAAATGTGGTGATGAGCCGCCAGTACTGTTATCCATGCAAAATTGTCAGGAAAAGTCCAATACTTAATAGGCAGTGTTACGCAGGTTGGCTGGACTCACTTGTGACTTAATAAACACAGACCGGAAGCTGTAGAATAATTGATAAGGTGTAAGGACATGGCATTGAACCAGTACCGACGTTAGCACAGTCGCAGCTGTCCACCACCTTGTGCAAGGTGGCATTTCATAAAACCACTGTTCCAGAGGGAACTGCCCTCCCTGTCCACCGTTGCCCCAGATCGCCGCCATGATCACTGTTTATGTTCTGCGTGAGGAACGAGTCTTATCGGAAGGAAATTAAGGAGATCACCGGCGATGTTCGCCTAGTATACTAATCTCAATACTGCTTCATAGAACCAAAAACTGACGCGCGGGGAGTATCAGGCTTGATATATCTTGAAGCAAGACTTGAAGCCAGCTGGATGCTTTTGATAGAAGAAGCCAAAGCTTATCTGTCGAAGATGACATAATCTTGACATAATTATCACGTGATCACGCTTAAACTATATTCCGTGGAAGTTAAACTAGTCCTAAAGTAGATTAGCGTATCTGTCGCGTGACTGACGCGTTAAAAAGCTTGGCATGAGCTTTGACCAATCAGAGAACTTACTCTTTCTTCATCTCGCGTTTTCCACTTTAAGATGGCTGGGAAGTTCGACTTCTTTCGAATCTTTCTTTTGTTTCTGTTCCTTGACCGGCCATCTTTTTTCTCTTGAAGCGATAACCATTCTTTTCGTTTGATTCTCTCACCAATATCCTCGTCTCTGAGACTGTTGCTTCCAAGGCAGCTGTTTCTTTCACTGTTTAAAGCGTCTTTCCCCCCATTCGACAGACCACAATCAAACACCAGATGATTAAGCTCGAATTTCCGACAGCCTCTACCAAATTTAGTCAATTGAATCAATCCAAGTCGGGAACATTCCTTGAATCACGCGCAAGCCAAAATTGAGTAGCTCGGGCTCATCCTCAAGTTTATACCCCGCGATCCCCGAAAAACAAGCTCTGGCTAGCTATATTTATAAAACCTGTAGAGCCAGGAAATGCCGTCAAGAGTGGATAGGGGAAATAAGACGGTGCCAGGGTCATCCTCGGTGGCTAGGAGAACGAGTGGTGGAAATGCCAGTTCAAAGGGTGGCGCCTCGTCGCGCGCAGGCAAAGGAGGAGTAACCAAATCGAGAGCTAGAGAATCCGCACAAACTTCCGATATACAACGTACGTTATATGTCCAACTCATGCTTGACTACAGCAATTTTTCGTCTAACATATATTTTTTATTCTAGCTGGAGATCCCCTACCTGCGAAGCGAAAACATCGTTATCATCCTGGAACAGTTGCGCTAAAGGAAATTCGCCGATATCAGAAATCATGGGATCTTCTTCTTCTAAAACTCCCATTTGCCCGTCTAGTCCGTGAAATTGCCATGGACCTCCTACCGTCAGAAGTTGGAGAGGAACTAAGATGGCAGTCACAAGCGATACAAGCTCTACAAGAAGCTGCAGAAGCCTTTTTAATCCACTTATTCGAAGATACAAACCTCTGCGCCATACATGCTAAAAGAGTCACTATAATGCAGAAAGATATACAACTAGCAAGAAGGATAAGAGGAGCGTGGGGCGGACTTGGCTGATTCACACGGCCATCCCATCTTTCTCTTATATCCTTCCTGTACTATGATTCCCCTCTTGCATGCATTGCTCTTTTTATTCTAACTTTAATTATCCTTTCCCAGCATATGCATATTCGCTGACTTTCTTTTCTTTCTGGAGTTTGGGGCTCGACCAACCTGGCGGGCAAAGGGCAAGGCAGAAGAACTCTGCCCCTCAAAGGAGTTGGAATATCCGGTGGTCTCTTGTCGGTCTTATTTATTCATTTGCATCTGGTCCCCTTTTCTCGAGGGTTTAGCTTCTATATTAGTTTTGTCGATTGTATCTAGAGTTGTCAGCTAAGCCTGACATCGCTAATGGCCATACACTCTGAGCGTGTATGTAAAAACGAGTCTAGCTATTTGTATATATGCTTCTGTTCATTGAAATCCATATCTCAACTATAAACATTTGGCTCGCATGAAGGCTCATCTTTTGCATATTAATAAATTATTATGCTATGTGAGGCGCAGCTATAGAGCGAATCAGTAAATACAGAATCGGCCCTTCTACCTCGAAAAACACCGTCCAATCCATGAAACCAAAAAACCAATATGCCCTCAACGCCATATACCAGTTATAATATAACACACTAGTTAAACAGGTCTAATCTTTGTTGCGCCACCATTGGAGCTCTCTTTACCGTTTCCATTCCCATCTCCCCAAGTCATCTTTAACGCCGGTGGTAACGTTTCCAATTTTCTATCTGCTTTGGCTCTCAGGGCCTCGGCCTCCATAGACTTCCCTTGCCGGTCCAGCGTTTCAGCCAACAAGTCATCCGTGACGCTCATCCATAACTTATCGTCTGCCTTCCTTGCCATGGCTCTTGCCGCCATCGCGCTTTTCTCCGACTGTTCGCCAATTACTCCTCGGAAATATTTCCAACTCATAAATGTCAGAGCGACGCAGGTTATTTGACTGTTTTGAATCGCTGTAGCGGCTTGCAGTGCCTGGTGAAGGTCACGTTTCGTCTGGATGGTGGAATCGGTATGTACCGTCGCGCTGATGAGGGAGTATGCAGCCCGTATGTACTTGTTTGGGCTACTTTGACAGTGCGGCCCGACAATACTTAGCGTTTCCGAGGCAAGCGGGTGGTCCGCTTTAGAGGGATCTCTTAACAAGAGTACGATGTTTAAATTGGCTAGAATTGAAGTATCGCGATGAGGATTGCTTCGTGAGGTTTTGTTGGTTGATTGAGCAAGAGAAAACATGGGCTGTCGGTAGATGGCCATCGCTGCTCCCGTATCGCCGGTTGCTTGGTAAATAATACCGCGTGCATATTCGGCCAGACATTTGATATCGTCGTTTGCTGATTCTCCCAACTCAGCCAGTGTACTTCTGACTTCTTTGAGCGTTTTACTCGCCGTTCGCCACTCCGTTCGAGAACAATAGAGGAAAACTTGCTGTAGGAGCATATTGCAGTATAAATTTCTCCGCCAATGAATACGGGCAGAGGAAGACATCAGAGATTCGGAGATTCCCTGGGGAGATGAAAGGCTAGCTGTATTACCGGTTAATAGGTTATCCGAGGTAGAATTATTGCTCAGGGTTATAAGCTCACCTTTCATCATCCCTAAGCCTTCCTGTAGATACTTTTCCGCTTTGTGACCATCCTGTGAATTCTTCGCACTAAGAGTGATAGAACTTAAGAAGTAACAGAGAGCATAGAGATCGTGTTCCGGAAGCCAGTTCATAGTTAATTCAAATGTATGGCCGTCATTTCGATGTTCTCGCGGTGACGCAGATTCAATAGTCCTAGCACTCAAAGGAAGAGCGAATGATCCGTCATCCTTCCACTTTGGATTATGAATGTCCTGATCCATTGAAGTTTGCATTCCCTTGAGCTTTTGGCTAGACTGATTAATATCGTATTCAAGGATACTGCAGCATATATCTATCATTTGGATGACAGAACTCAACTGAGGTATACTATGCACCTCAGGGTCAAGCTGGCGACTCCGGGCCGTAGCAATTGCTCGTTGTGCATGTTCAATGGAATCCGTACTCGTAGACTGCTGCAGATATATCAGCGCTTCAAGTACCGCCGCTATAACTGATACTGCCTTGTCCCCGCATGATGTAGCTAATGATGAGGTTTTTTGAAGGTTATGTAAAGCGCCCACTAGGTCTTGATGCGGAGGCTGGGAGAGAGATATTGAAGCTCTTAGTAGACGAAAGACATACTCCCACCCAGTATGTCGATATCTAAATTTTAAGTTGGGTTAACAGTAAAAATTTGAACTACCATCTGAGTGAACTTACGCTTCTATATCACGGATCACGCCGTCAACAGTCTTCATCGCAGCCTTCGGGTTAGATTTCGCTAATATTCGACATAGCAGTTGCTGCATGCCGTACTTGAGGTCAAACATTCGATTCTATACAAATACGCTTGTAAGTTAAATTTGTGGTTCTTCATATCATCTTCAGCACACAGAGGCCAATTACATACCCTTTCACATAGGTCGATCTATAAATCATTAGCGCTTCATGTTGAGAAAAAAGATATAGGGAGTTTAGTACACAGCTAAAGACATACCCCTTTACTCAAAATTGTTTCGGCTTTTGTGTCATTATTCGTCTCTTCATATAATATCTTAGCGAAGCGTAGGGTCACAAGAGCTTCTGTTTGAGGGGCCAGCCTCCAGTTCTGGTTACGTTAGCATATACAATTATTCTGCCACAAAAAGCCCATTTGGTAGCTACGGCAAAAGCCCAATTAGCAGACAAACCTTCAACAGAGCCTCCATACATCGCAAACCCGTGGCAACCAATTTGTAATACTGCTCCATCTCTTGCTCATCTTGAGAGACTGCAATAAGAGTAGCTTGGCTGTGAGCCGCATCAAGATATTCGTCAGCAAGCGCTAGAAGCAACACCTGATAGTCCACAGCTGGCTTTGTGTTATCATTTCCGCCTTGTCTCTGCCGGGGTAACACTTTCGATCCCGACATGTGTGGTGAAGGGCGAGTTTGAGATTGAGAACTTGGTGCCTTGGAGGGTTTATGTATATGAGGAGCACTTTGAATTGTTGGGCTTGGTTGTGGAGCAAGTTGAGAATATCTCTGCGGTTGGGGAAGAGTCTGTATTTGAGGGGATATTGGTTGTGAAGCTTGTCGTTGAACTATCGGCTGGGAGGGACGCGGAGAGGGTTGGGTCTGAGAACGAGGTGGTAGCGTGGCAGGGTACAGTGGGTGTGGAGATATATAGGGATCAGGATGTCGGTTCGGCATCCCGTATGGTGAGCCTGATGCCGCGGGAACTCCCCCATACTGAAAGCTCGTGTGCGGCGGAGCGGAATAGTGGGGAGGAATATGCTGAGGAAGTGAAGGGGCGGGGGTCGTAAAGTCATGCGGTCGTAACGGGGGCTGTAGCAGCGGGCTTTGAGCTAGATGAGGAGGGTATACTGGAATTACAACCTGCGGGTAAACCTGCGGAGTATGCTGGTATGGCTGTTGCGGAGTATGCTGGTATGGCTGTTGCGGAGTATGCTGGTATGGCTGTTGCGGAGGCGTTCCTGGAGGCGGAAAGGGCTGTTGTGGTGATTGAGACGGCGGATAGTGGCCATTCTGTCTATAAGCCATGGCTTATAGCCAATAGCCCCATGTATAGAACCGGATTCCGCGACAAAAGGAAATCTACACCTCGCTCAATCCATCCCCAGAATGCTGGTTTCTAAGTCGCGATCTTTCATATAAATTCTGCTCGACGTAAAGCCCAGGGTAGTATCACGTGATATAGAATTTAATCACGGTTTGGTATTTGCTTATGTCATCACTTTAACCTAAAAATAGCCGCCAACTTTTCGAGCCTCATTGATGTTAACATCACCCATCAACTCGAAGGATATAGATAGCATAACATTTTCATGAGGTAGAATATAAACAGAACTCTGGTTTTATATTGTGTTTTTACATGGCTAATCTAAGTAATAGGGTTCCCTTAACTTCAAGAAGCAGTCACTATAAATTGTTAACATGGAAGCTAAGCCTAAGTTCAAAGGAACTAAGAACAGCGGTTCAAAGCCCCATAATGGATGAATAATCTTTGACTGAAGTAATCAACAGCAAAGAAATGGGAGAATTCAACGTAATTGAGAATAAAGGGAATCCTTTCTCATTCCAACAGCAAAGAAAACCATTCTGTTCAAGTGCTGCCACCAACTGCAATTTGCTTTCAGAAACATCCCGTCACAATATGAGTGTGACTAGGCTACTATAGCGAGATATCTGGGACTCGCCGCACACACTATGACTAAGGAATAAGCGCTCTACTATATAACTGAAAGGTTACCATTCACTCTCTATTTCCTCGGGTACACATTTCACAATAATCATTTCGATAATCTGAGCTACGGCTTGATAAACAGCAGGACTCTCCAGGACAACAACCAAATCAGGACCACAGAACGGCCCATAAATCTCTTTTTCTCCTTTTCTTCTTTTTTCTTCAAGCACCATACAGTTTCTCTGCTTGACAGATTTCTTAATAATTCTCTGTTCTGCTTGAGAAGTACAGCTATTTGCACTGGTTGAGGTTGGTTGTCAAGATGCCTTCATGTTAGTTACTCCTTATTGCTGGTTTAATATGATAAGATAAACTAACAATCTATCAAGCCTCCACTGAAGTTGATATTACGGGGCTAGATAAGGTTGCGTTGATGCTGGCACTCTATGAAAAAGCATCGCCGAGCATGTACGATATTGGTAATCTTACCGCCGAAGAAGCTCATCGCCTTTTTGAAAAGCATAACGGTCGTTTTGATTATGTGAATGGCCGCTGTTTCAAATGCAATCTTAGTGGAAATCTAGTCAATCCATGGGGTTATGATCGTGATGCTGGCGCAGGACAGTTCCAGGAGGTGGTTACAATGTTACGGAAAAATAGCAGTTCCTAAAGATGCTGCTTATCCTTTAAAATAATGGATATTTTGCGTGCAATTATATGCTGAAGGCGAATGAATTAGAAATCGATTTGGGAGAAAGGGGGGCTGATTGCTTATCTTCTAAGTTCAGAGGTTGCTTTTATCTTCTCGTATTCCTTAAGCCTCCCGACGGAGTATATCAGCATGATATTGACTACAGATATCCGGCTACAAAAGATACAATTGTTTTCTTCTCTTGCTGGAAATCTCCTGAGACAATATTAAATGATGCCAGAATCATCATTAACGTAGTAAGTAACCTTTGAGAACCTTATTATCGCCAATAAGTAGGCTATTGTCTCTAGTATACATAAATATAATATTCACTATATCGAGCCATTTACGAACACACTCTACGTATATATCCTAGTTCCCAAGGTATCAAGCATTTGATGCTCTATCAGAGCTTGTTAGGTGATCTCAAAGAAAATAGATTCCTTCCTGCCTCATCAGGGTCTTTGGTAACATAACCAGTTCTTCCAATCGGCTCCGTGATGGGATTCGACAATTCATCCAAGGTTAAACCATCCGCATGATTCGCGATAAATCTATGGCCATTGTTCTTCAAGAGACCGATGATATATGCGCACATCGGACTCCCATCCCGGTTAAACTCAACAGTGTACGTCTAGGATCATATTAGCACAATACAAGATATATTATTAGATTAGGTTGGGATATTTTACCTCTATTATTGCTTCGCCCTCTGCTTGAGCATCAACAACTGGAATCGCAACGTCTGTCACTTCCTCAGGGAGAGGATTTTCAACTGGGTAGGGAGCACCATCTTTTCTAGGAATAGACGAGAGGCAAATAGCATGTTGGTAAGTTAGCACGCCGCCATTTGCGAGGATCAGGCCATATCTAGGAGTTCCCGTATATTTTCTTAGTTGCCGCACCATCTCAGTTATAGCCTATATCCAGTATCAGCGATGTCCCTTCACCCTCTGATCGTATATTTTAGCTTACATGCATAGAATAGTTGTTTCCTGCTCCCCCAAAGGAAGTCAATCCACCTAGGAGGGTGACAGGTTTCGATCCATTGACGGGTAAGCCTAGATGGAGCGCAGCAAGTTTTGGAACAATGGGAAAGCAGCTGTTCATCACGAGCGTATGAGCACATCGCTCCTACAAAATGGGAGAGTTTTAACCTACGAGTAGAAGTCAAACAGGTCCACATCTTCTTTACTCAACCCGGAGGAAATTAAAGCTGCATCTATTGACTTAGAAATCGATGGGCTGGAGTAGAAGTTCGGTCTTTCCCAGACTAAACCGCAATAGGTCAGTATATTATTCAATAACCTCGTAAATTCTTCATGAAATACGTTATCTGACGTACAATTATTGCTGTCTCTGGTACCTGCACCGCCCAATGGGTAGATCCATCTGTCCTCGGACACGCCGAGCTGACGAGCAGTATCCGTTGTTGTTAGAATGCACGCCGCAGCCAAATTAACGGTATTAAAAGCATTCATCAATAGCGGGTCTATATAGTCGGTTAGCCGGTGTTGCCGGATACAATTATCAAGCATAGTAACGTACAAGGGTAACAGATCATCCTATTTCTCTCAGTAACAGTACTCAGAGATTGTTCTGTTTCTGCAGGCTTTCCAAAATTCCAAGAGAGAGGATTCTTTTCAGCAATTCTGGAGAATTCGGCATATAATTCAGCGGACTCTTTCATGTTCTCCTGCATTGATTGTTTTCTATATGCTCTAAGTCCATTCTCATACATTGGATAAACGTGTAGGGGTAACCCGACAGAGTGTATAGTTCCAATATCTATATAAAAATTAGTAGAGTGCCTTAAGTAGTGGGCTACTAGACTTACTTTCTTCCCTTTTTGATCCCTTTGGCTGAAATACCTCAGTCACTTCTTTTGCAGGCTTTGTCCAAGTTGACGGCGCAAGCTTTCCCGCACGCGCAAATGCATCCACTTCCAATAGTATTCATTTTAGTGTGCCTGTAAGATGTAGTTTAGAGTATACTGATGAAACGTACATGATGCTAAGGCTTCTCCCCCAGTCACCACTGCTACCTTGCTCTTTCCCTGTGATAAACGCCGAGCAGCTTCGTCGAATAATTTACCTGGCGCATTGCCTGCATGGTGGCTATAGAATTTGTGCTGAGGTTGAATGTCCAGTTTATTTGACAGAAGGGTGGGGAGGTCCGGATAAGGCCAAGTCCAAGAAGCAACAACATCCAAGCTGTCTATACTTGATTGAAGTTCCTTGGACACCTCAGGGGAAAGGCCTGTATCAGCAATTGCCTTGTAAATTGCATTAAGCATTAAATATGCAGGCTCAATTGCATCCTCAAGTTTTCTTGACCCGTTCTTAATATCCCCTACCCCAATAACAACTGGAATTAGACTCTCCCTCGCCATACTTATCCCTCGAGTCTGGCTTTCCAGGTCAACTCCAATAGTCCGCTGGTTGAGGATGGATTAAGATGGCCATACTTGAACAATTGAGAACAAGTGGGAAAGCAAAATTCCACCTGCTCTCTAACCCCGACTATGCGGATTCGTAAAAGACGATCATGCTTCTACCGAGGTAGATTTGGTTCTTTGTAAACTCGGCAGCAGCTTAAGCCAGCCCCACAGCTAGTGATATTCGATGCTCTCTTTGAGTTTATGATCCGCTAGCTGGCCATAATGCCTGAGGAATATGCGACAGGAAGTGGCATATTTGCGGCTTCGTCTTGTGCATAACCGTCGACTGCTCTCCGAGACCCGAGCAGCTGTTAGGGGAATTAATAGTATGGCCAAAAAGCCGCTGAGGAGAACCCTGGATCCCTGTATTTCGGTAAGGGGCCTTGTATCATCCGTCGCCCCGTATCAATTTGGTAACGAAGATTATGCGTGGGATGATGCCATTATACAAGGAGTATATATGTAGTCGGCTTTGACGGATTAGCGGCGCTCCACAGCCTGAGGCACAAGGTCCAGCGTTCCCTAACGAGACCATAACAGCAGTTTGGTGGACATAAAGCCTTGGGCCTCGTTCTCTTGTCTGATCTATCATTTGTGAATGACAATGCGCCAAAAACAGCGCCGCTGAAAGCCAACAAAAGATGTTTTTTTTTTTTCTTTTCCTTTGAAAGATGATCAAAGAATAGATATCACGTGGAATACCTGGATGTTTATGGAGATTCTACAGCAGATATTTAACCTATAGTTAAAGAAGGGACAAAAGTAAGATATATAACTCAATTAACCCAGATTTCATTGACATTGATAGTTAAAACGGGTTAAAGTGGCCACAGTTGAAGGCCGAATGGTACTGAATTGGTCCAAATTTCGTTCCTATCCCAAAGATACTATGTGGTGCAAGTTGCGTATCGGCAAACATAAGAGCTATTTTGTAAGGATTAATACGGGTAGTAAGAGAGTGAAGAACGGGCTCAAAATAACGTATCCGGTGGAACTAGCCTTCACATTGCATTGAACCGCGGGCTGGTGCTATGGCAAATGGATGTACTCGCGGTGCATCGGCGTTTCTTTACTGTGTACCTCGTACTCATAATGTCATCAACATTCCGTGGGGTTACAAGCATTGCAGAACAAGATCAACGATGCCTAGATATATATCACTATCGACATCAGGCGTCTCCAGGCCAAGCCCCACAACTAACAGCCTTTTCTCTTCGGCGGACTTTGCGGCTATGGCAGTCGCTATTTGGCAGGCATAAAGCTGGCCAATGACCTCCCAATCGCCAGATCGACCACCAAGCAAAGGAGTAGCATTAAATTCCGGTCGAGGGAGGAGAGCATCTTCCTGGCTGGAGAGTGCGTGGAAGCCAGCGGTTGGGTCAGGGCTTTCCATTGGGACATGAAGCTGCAAAGACTGTTAGACCAAATTTCGCAGAATTATATGTATAAGCCAGCCGGGCTATTGTTTACCCATTGTGCTAACCGCCCACTTTGCGTAACAGTGACGAGAATCCTGTCTTGGAACGAGACGACCATAACATCTGTTGGCCGTCCGCCGACCACGCCTGCAGCCTGTTTGGTAGACGCAGGATACGGAGCGTTTCCAAAATTTGGAATCAACGACTCAACATCCCCCACCTCGACCTGTCTTTTCGACGACATGTTGCTGTAATCCAACCGCCCTTCAGCTCGCCAACTCTCCAAACTCCAAACATTCAAAGAAGTCGGAGAAGTCGCAGAAATTACAAACACGGCATGTTTGCATAGTTTGTTTAAAGTTCTGCTTATATAATAGATGGCCCACTTTATTATCTTATCTTGACCGCCTTTGAAGTGGCAGAATTATTTTATTTTTGTAGTTTTTTTGAAGCTTGCAGTTTTGGTGGAAGATGAGGACTTTGGTAGGAGTTGCTGGTAGGATCTGTTCATAAAGATGCCCAAGTTTGTCCCACGGCAGCGGAAACACAAAGCGCGGGCCAGAGAGAACCAGCCTAAGCTGTCACAAGATACCAATGCCACAGAGGTAGCTCCAGTGTCAAAGGAAGAGAAGGAGGAGAGGAGGAGGAAGCTGAGAGAGGAATTGAGAGCGCAGCAGCCGAAAATTTCAGGCAAGAAACAAAAGAGATTAGACAAGTATATTGTATGAAGATTTCGTGCTCAAACGCTTTTATTATCACTACTAACAGTTATATCAGGACAACAAATTGCGCAAGGATGAGAACCTCGCGCTTATCAAAAAACTTGCGAGCTCCAAAATCGATACAAGTCAGCTGCAGAGCTCCCGTGTTTTGGGAAAATCAAATAAGCTGGTAACTAAAAAGCCGCAGCGCTTGCCGGGTGATAGGCGAAGTACACCAAGCTTGCCGCAACCAGAATCTGAAAGCTCTGGCTCTGACGAGGATCTTCCTTCATCGCGCACCAATGCCCGGTTGGATGGTGGCATACCCACAAATCCGGCAGTTGGAAGTGGTCTGAAGCGGCCGTTGGAGATTGGCGAGGATGGACGTCCGATAATAAAAAGAAGGAAGAAAGCACCAAAGGTCAAACCAGTTGAAATTCAGGAACTGCCATGGGAGGGCTTTAATTCGGAAACGGAGTCTGGTATTGATAAGGGAGAAGATTCCGAGTCAAGTTCACGCAGCGGCAGCGATGGATCCGAGGACGAATATTCATCCTCATCCAACAGCGAAGTCGAAGCGCAACAGAAAATCAAGCCTCGGCAGTCTGCCTTCAAGTCATGGGCAGTACAACAAATTAACGAGGCAGCGGGATTTACTCCAGAAAACACAGCTGTTTCCGCTCTACCTCCCCAAGAGATCAAGGGATTTAAACCAAGAAACACGGCTGATGAGGAGGAGCAACTCCCACAAGAACTAAAAGTAACAAATGGAGATACCAGCAGGAAATCTTTTGCAGTTCAGATTAACAGGCCGGAACATATTCAGGCTTCTCGCCTAAATCTTCCCGTTGTTGGAGAGGAGCAAAAGATAATGGAAGCTATCCATAACAACCCTTGCGTGGTAATATGGGGAGCAACGGGGAGTGGTAAAACAACCCAACTTCCTCAATTTCTGTTTGAAGCCGGCTATGGAAGCCCCGACAGCCCAAATCCTGGCATGATTGGCATCACCCAGCCCAGGCGAGTAGCCGCTGTCAGTATGGCAAAGCGCGTGAGCGAGGAATTGGCTCAATATTCTGACAGGGTATCATATCAAATCCGATTTGATTCATCGGTTACATCAAAGACTGCAATTAAGTTCATGACAGACGGTGTATTGATAAGAGAAGTGGCCCAGGACTTTTCACTGTCGAAATATTCTACAATTATCATTGATGAGGCCCATGAAAGGAGTGTTAACACCGATTTACTGATCGGTATGGTTAGCCGCATCGTGGATTTACGGAAGACGATGAGTGCAGAAAATCCATCTATAAAGCCGCTGAAACTCGTCATTATGTCTGCTACTCTACGGACATCTGACTTCCTTCAAAACCCCAATCTTTTTCGGAGTGGAACTCCGCCACTTGTCCAGGCAGAAGGCCGGCAGTTCCCTGTTACTATCCATTTCTCTCGCAAAACCCATCGGGACTATGTCGAGGAAGCTTTTCGAAAAATTTGTAGAGGCCACCGTAAATTGCCTCCCGGAGGTTTCCTGGTATTTCTCACTGGACAAAGTGAAATTAAGGACCTTTTGAGGCGTCTTAAAGTCGCATTGAAATCTACACGAGCTTCCGGCTACTCTCAAGGAAAGGTTCAAATTAAGCCCTCAGAAACTTCCATAGAAGCAGACGATATTGATTTTGGCTGTGGAGGCGAGTCAGCTACTACTGCCTTTGAGGGAGACGATGGCTATGATAGTGATATTGACATTAGGGGTACAGACGAAGACGAAGAGGATGATGATGAATTTGACGAGGAAGAAGGCGCCGTGGATTCAAAGACATCTGTGCATATCCTGCCCCTATACTCCCAGCTGCCTACAAAGGAGCAACTTCGAATTTTCGAACCGGTACCCGAAGGGTCTCGTCTTATAGTACTTGCAACCAATGTGGCAGAGACAAGTTTAACCATACCCGGAATTAGGTACGTCTTCGACTGTGGGCGATCGAAAGAGAAGCAGTATGATCTATCCACAGGTGTTCAAAGTTTCCCTGTTGGATGGATCAGTAAAGCGAGTGCGAACCAGCGTGCCGGCCGTGCCGGCCGTACAGGGCCTGGCCATTGCTACAGACTTTACTCATCCGCAGTTTATGAAGATTCATTTGCGGAGCACACTGAGCCAGAAATACTCCGCACTCCAATCGAGGGAGTTGTCCTGCAAATGAAGCATATGGGCCTTCACCATATTATCAACTTTCCTTTCCCCACTCCCCCTGACCGTGTCGGGCTGGCAAAAGCTGAACGCCTTCTCAAAAACTTGGCCGCTTTGTCAATAGATGGACAAGTTACGGAAGCTGGTCGACATCTTACACTTTTCCCGCTGAGCCCTAGATTTGGCAAAATGCTACATATTGGCCATCAGCATGACTGTATGCCGTATACAATTGCTCTAGTTTCTGCACTTTCGGTATCAGAGGTATTTATTCAAGAAAATCAACTTGATCTAACGCCGGTAAACCCCAAAGCTGGTGATGATGACAACGAGGATAATAAAGTATACACAAATGCAGATCGACTCGAGGACGACGCCAGAGAGCAGCGCCGAAAAGATTATCATAGAGCGCAAAGGATGTTTAGCAAACATGACGAAAAGTCAGACGCAATGAAATTCCTTACAGCCGTGTGCGCGTATGCCTATGCCCCTGATGGTGACAAATTCTGCTCTGAAATGTTCCTTCGTCCAAATGCTATGAAGGAAGCATCCCAGCTACGCCGTCAAATATCCAACCTGGTCCGAATTAACAATCCAAACTTGCTGGGTCAATTCGAACCTCGTTTGCGCGAGCCATCCGAAAAGCAAATACGAGCATTGAAGCAGATAACGGCTGCAGGATTCATTGATCAAATCGCCATCCGTGCAGATGCTGCCCCAGTTCGTCCTGAAATGCCTCGAAAACCAAGAAGAGCCATTGATGTACCATACTTGACACTATTCCCATCTCACGATCGCTATTCCTCCGAACTAGAGGACAGGGCAGTTTATCTACATCCTTCCTCCATCATAGCTAAACTATCGTTGAGCGAACTGCCGCAATATATCGTGTATTCCCATCTTCAGCTATCTACACCATCACATGTGGGCGATAAATCGAAAGTTCGTATGTTCCCATTAACGGCAGTCAGCGGTCTTCAGTTGTCTGCCCTTGCACAGGGTACGCCCTTGGTTGACTACGGGAAACCGATTGGGAAGATAGAGAGCCTGGGAGGGTCGCCGGAAAGACGGGAGTGTTGGGTGGTGCCTTCACTTGTTGGAGAACCTGGAAGCACTGGATGGCCACTTCCAGCTAAAAAGGTCGTCCAGGTGAAGGATAAAAAACATGGATGGATTATCGACCGCTTTATTCAATAAAGTTCCAAGTCCACCCTTGGGTATATACTCTTTTTCCATGCCTTTGGGCTGGGACTGTTTTGTCTGGCACATGTGGACAACAAATGGATGAAAGTAATGCTTTGTATCATAAATATTATGGACCTTTCCAAGTGAAGATAAACCCTTGATTTTGGAAATCAGAGACACCCAAAACACCTTCGTAGCCAGCTCGTAGAATAAATAACATACAATGCAATAATGGTATCAATCAAAGAGTGGCATCGTTGACCAACTCTTTCACCGTCGTCGGTCCGAGTCTCTATCATTAAGGCGGTCCCTACCTCCTCTGTCCCTATCCCCGTGACGGCCGGAATCCCAAGGCCCTTGTTCCCCTTCTCCCCGGATTCCAAGAGCTTTTCGTAGCCTTTCACTCTCTTGAATTTTGGCCTCGGCTTGCTCGTGAACCTGATAGGTTTTAAACTGTTTGCGGCCTTTATAGCCACTTTTCTCCTCAGATCCATTCGATCGCCTTTGTCCCCTTGTTGGATATGGCTCGTAGCCAGGCTGATCTCTATGTCTCGATTCTAGCCCTGGTCGATGCCTACCTGCCAGCTCATCCTCCAATTCATTCGTTAACTTCTCACGAAGTTTATCAAGCCTTTCTTCTATCTCTTCCTCCGTTAGCTCGGCCCTTAGTTTCCGTGTTTCCTCCCTGGTATCGCCTTTCTCGCCTTCTTCTGTACCCTTTTTATTTTTCGCGACATATTTCTTATTCTCCTCGGCGATTTTCTCGTTCTCTTCTTCAAGCCTATCCCTTTCTTCTATGATTCGGACTTCTATTGCTCTCCTCCGGTCATGCTCGAGGATCTGTTTATCGGGTTGCCTCTGTTTAAATCCAGCGTCACTGGGACCACTCTCACCATATGGCGCAGGCGGGGCTCCGTAGTTTGGATCGCGAGGTTTTAGGAGAGAAAGATTGCGCTGGACATATCCAGACGTGCCGCTCCCTCGAGGAGTGGTAAGGCCGACATTTGAACTCATTTCTGTAATTTGCAAGACTGGAATATATGTATTGTCCAGCAGCCGGCAGTTCAATTACCAGATCAGGAGGTGGTTACCGATGCCGGGAAAGCGTTCTTTGGTTCGCGGTAAGGCGAGCCAAAGGAAAAAGTAGTTTGCTTATAGGGGTAGTTCTTTGGTTATGTATCAATGATGCCTTTATATCGTTGTTAAGTCTGTCGTTTTATTTGACTCGTAGTTTCGTAGCAAAACCAATGGAAGATATCAATATATCTTGGCATTTGAGCTTATGTAATACGAATATTAAATTACGATTATTCAGTATTTCTACTATTATACAAGAAAGTGAACTATTATATAACATTATACCAGTTGAATCCTCCTTGAAGACAGGGTTGTAGTATCCAATTATAACATATGAACATTGTCCACATCCACAGCGTTATGCTTTCGAATATATGCCAGGGAAATGCGAACGGATCAAGTCACAGTGTCTATATTATCCCCCTTTTTTTGTAACGTAGGCAGTATTCGTGAGCTATGCCCATCCGAAGACTTCTCCCACACTAATCGTGCTCCATCGTACACCTCCGACCGCAAGGCATATGACTACAATGTCAACAACGGCCAGGACCCCGGCACCCATCATGAAACGAGGGCAGAATATGCGGTACAGCATGAGATGTCTCCTGAGCCAGCCCGCCCACATTGTGGTGGCTAAGCTGATGGTTGCATAGTACAGCATGTGAGTTGCTGTGGCCTGTGCAACGTCACTCAGAAGTTTGTTTACAGGAGAAGACTGTTTGGAGGCCATTTGTGGATCGCCCTGCGCAGGCGTTGGGGATAAAGCTGTTGTTGTATTGGTTGGAAGTTTGGAGTTTGCGCGCGATTCTATCGGCCGTTTCCAGAGCACTGTGAGTGGGACAGCAAGAGCAGACAAGATTTGGGGTCCAAAAGTATTAAGGGTAACAAGAATAGGGGACCACGGGTATTGGACTGTTTTTAGCGGAATGAATGCGGTCTCCCACTGAATGCTACTGAGAGTAGCTTGGTGACCCGTTGTGAAATAGTGGAATGAGCCTAGTAACGCGAGGACGACAGGGCCCGTCGCAGAGTTCGTGACAGTAAGGTTATTTGTGTCGAGAATCTCCATGAGCGAGAGGATTTGCCAGATTTGAAGACCGACAGCGCCCCCACCCATTGGCTTTTGGAGCAAGATTATAGCAAGCGTAAAGTTGACCAAGAGCAAAAAGTAGCGGGTTCCGTAGATGTTTGCGTATCCAAGGATTGTTACAGACGTTTTTGCTTCGCCTGATTGAGAGCCATTGGGAGTGACACCAATACTGACACATGGCTTAGCCCATGCGAATGTCGTAGACCCAGCAGCAAATGCGATGGCGAGTACGACCTGAGCCAGTATCGTGCGTGCTGATTTCATATGCTCCTTTTGAATAGCAAACCAGTTCCCGTCATCCGCGGCATCGAGTGCCCAGTAGATTGCGACTATGAGGAGACCCATACGAAATGCGAAACCGATCCAGAAGATAGCTGACCCTTCGTACGACTTGGTTCCCTGGTAGTATGAGCGAATCACAGCAGGGAGGAGGAGAGATAAGAAGAAAGGTATCAGGAGCTGCCAGGGAGCAGAGGTGGAGGAATTGTTGGATGCGTAGTAAGTTGATTCACAATAAGGCATTTGCTCTTCTCTGCAAAGCCGAGACATTGATGCGGCCCTCCCAAGCAGTACAAAGACGACGGAGTGATAAAACCCAAGGACCCTATCTTGAGTGGCCTTTTGCCCCAATGAGGAAAATGCAGCGAATACTCCAAATGTCGTTAAGAAAAATAGGAGTATCTGATCTTCCCATATGGTATATGAATTCGAAGCAAATCCAACGGACTGTGCTATTGTGAAAACAAACATTGCCCAACCCCATATCGATTTTGGGAGAACAGTTCCAACTGTCTTCTGACTCTGGAAAACCATCGAGGCTGCCGCTATGATACCGCCAGTTACACATCCAAGTGCCGCACTCTCAAGAATGGGCATCTCCAGTGCGAGGCCGACATTTATCGTCGCAGCGCCGCCAATACCAACTAGAGAGCCATACCCAATCTTCCGTAACGTAAAGTATGTGATGTCTGTTCGATTCCCGCGGACTGCGCGCGCATAGTATAATAACAATGTCACACCAGCGAAAAGTATCGCAACCCCTTGAGCCATGCTGGGGATATCAAACTTGGCCCACAATCCCTTACAAACAGAGAGAGTAAGGCGTTGATACTCTCGGTAGGTGTTATAGGTAGCTTGATATCCGGTTTTATCGCTCTGTCCCATAGTGTTGATATCCTTCCAGCTTTGTTCCGCCTCGGCCCATTGCGCGAGCGGGCCTGATGTCTGAGCGGCCTCACTTCCCCTAGCTTTAGAATATTCATGCTGATATCGCTTGATTTGCGCGGAGGCTAGTCGATTTACTGTTGCAAGGTTGCGGAAGTCTTGACCAGTTTTGCCAGCAAAAGCCTCCTCTATTGGAGACCCAAGGTTATTAAAAGGAATTGGCAGCCCGAGAAGCAACGATAAGGTAGGAACCAAGTCTATTTGAGGGATTGGGCGCTCCTTTGCTGTCACGGGTGGCAGTAGAGTATTGTCGCCTACTCGCCCAAAAATACCCTTTTTGGAGTACATCCATAGTGCGGCCTCAACTTCATCATCAGATTCCCCGCCGTGGTCACCCTTGGGATCCATACCGTGGTCACCCATTACAACCAGTAGTGTCTTGTCATCGATCGCCTCCATCATTTTACGGATAAGGGCGTCCATCTCCGCCAGCTTGTCAGCCATGGCAGGATGATCTGGACCGTATCGATGGCCGGCATGGTCTACGCCTAGATAATGGCCGATCAACACATCCCATTTCGTTGAGTTGTCTGCATGTAGCAAAGGAAAGATATGTTCAGTCACTCCATTATCAACAGTAAACAGATCCCATACATTGAAGGAATCATATGCATGAGTAAGCTCTTCTTCGAAATATCCTGGAAACAGGGAGTGCCAAGTATCATCTCCTAGATGAACAACTCGTTTCCCAGCAGTCTTTAGTTGCGCGATAATATTATCTTCGTCAATCGTAGTTCCCGCGAAGTTAGAACCCGCATCGATGAATGTGGGTAGAGTACCAGTGGTAAGTCCCTTAAGGCGCTGAAGGGTGGTGGTAGGTGGATCCGCAATGAATGGTAGCAGAAACGCATCATTTGGTGACTTGACCGCGGTGTCGTAGAAGACGGGAATATTATCATGGAACAAACGGGGTGTCTGGCCTTCGCTTGTCTTCTGGAAAGGAATAGTGAAATCGTACCGTAATGCGTCGATAATTATAACCACGGCCTTATCGAATGTCTTTGCGTGCCAACACCCTTTCCCAGCACCGTCCCTTGGAGCGTCGATACCTAAGTTTGCCGGCGCAACGACGTCGGAATCATCTTGTAGCGGCAAAACATCACATTGAGATATATCTTCTAGCACCAGCCGAGTTAGAAGAAATCCTTTCGTAAAGAAGTATATCCCTATGACATGCACCAGACTATCCCAAGAGCTTAGCTTCATCCAATTATAAATATCTTCTCAGCGGTTGGAACAGCCAACTTACAAGAACCACCCCAGTAGCAGCAATATGCCTATATGCTGAATCTTAAAGGCATTCTCTTTCTCCTTATTCCGCTTTGCATCTTGTTCCTTTGCCCTTTTCGCTAACTCAGACTGGCCTGCCGCCGGTCTCTTTGCACGCTGAGTAGGTTTCTCTGGTCCAGCAGCACGTTTGGCTTCTTCCTCAGCTAGTAGTTTAGCGAATTTGGCTTTTATCTCGCGGTATTCGGGGTTGGTGTTTGAAGGTGTTTGCGTAGCAGTGGCTTTTTGGGAGGTATTTGGTTTCATGATCGCTGCGCATGGAATTAAACGGAGCGGTGGGACAAATCGGGATGGGTTTTTGAGAGCCGCTGTATGGCAGTTTGCTGGTGCGAATAGGATTAATTCATGCCACGCGCCGTTGTTTTATTATTTGGTCGAGCAACCGTAGAAAGCATAGCTCGTTTGCTTGATACCGAGTCAATTGATGTTTTTACCCCTTTCCGGGATGACGAAGAACCCAGGCAAGCTGCAACTTGCGGTTTCGAAGGCACCGTTAAGTTATATATATATAATCAAACAACTGGTTGACGCTGAGTTGGCGATTGTCTAAACTACGAGAGTTGATGTCAACATCATTGATTAGATTCATTAAAGCTGGAAGGTTTTGATATCACGTGGCTGTTACAGACTCAATCGACATAAAATAATTAGAAGTTCAATTTACAAAGCGTAGCCGAGATACACGCAAACATTCCGATTAACGCAAGTTCAGCATAGATATGGGGGGAGGGGTTGCGGTAGAGGGTTGCAATTAGAAATAAAAGAAGAAAAGAGATAAAAGAATGAGAGTCAACCTGAGGGCTAGGAACCGTTTCAACTCGCCAAACAGCCCCATGACCAAGAAGTAGAAGATTCATCATCACGCCAACGGAAGAACAGGATAAAATTAAGAGAAGAGAACAGAGAGAGTCAAGGAAACAGTAGAAGGGGTATGCCACAGGGTTACTACTCACGCCCTAGGAACGTTTCAGGGCATGGTGGGTCATGACAAGGAATGTACAGAAACAAGGTGACAGAAAGCAAGGTAGAAAAGAAACAATCCAGATACACATCCTGCAAGGAAAACAATCCAAGGGAGTGTTGAACCGGATTGTGCGTCAAAAAAAAGGACACGCAGCTAAGAGCCCAGCTGGGTCCGAGGGGGTGTAGAATTGTAGGGAAGGGGAAAAAAATGAACGCTCATGGTCATAAAGAAGAGCAATCACGGGGGCGTGAAAAGAGAAGATCTATATTTTTGTGAAGTCAGAACAAGCATCAGGGTTTAAGAATACTGTTTAAGATCTCCCTTTTCTTTGAGACCGCCCATCCGATCGAGATCTAGGGATTGGAATCGCTCGGTGGAATCGGATTGGTATGGTGGCAAGTCCTCATTACACGGTTCAAGGCCGATGCCACCCTTCTCTCCTATTCTGACAACAACGACGCGCCCGGAAGTGCGCTTGCCAGCAGCATCTTCCTCTTCAGGGAAGGTAATGCGGATTTCGGGGACTGGGCTCGATGGTCGACCGGACGAAGCATCTTTCTCGTCGACAACACACTGGCCATAGGAAGTGGCGGTAATGGTAAGACGGCGGTTATGGGCGGTTTTATCATATAGTGGAAGTTCAGACTGGCGGCGCTTCTGCATGCGACGCCTTCGGTTAAGGAGCATCAGAATGCCGACAAGTGTCATGGTGAAAAGGATGATAGCGAGGAGAGCGATCAGAAGGTTGACGAGTGTAGGATTCAAGTCATTGCTGTTGTTCTTCTTTCCGTCGTCGCGCTTGAAGATGGCGCGCAAGTTCTCCATGTTTGTAGCGTGTTATTTTTATAGATATGATCGAGGTAAATCGAAAATAGGGTCAACAAAAATATGTAATCCGATATTCCAGATCGCTAGAAGAACGGATATAGCCTGTTCAGAATGTCTGTTTGTACGTTGTGTACGTTATGATATAGAGAGAGTATCGTAGCACGCAGCGCTACGGTCGTTTTGTTCAAAAAAAAAAAAGAGCGGGACAGTCGTCTTGAGGTAGAGAAAGAATGGACAGTAAGGCAGCCAGCGAAAGAATGAATCTGGCACCCACTAGAGAGAGTCGAGGGCGTTAGAAGAAGCCGAACAAAAGTCGCTTGAGTCGAGCGTCGAGAAGTTGTCAAGAAAGAAGAAGAAGAAGAAGACAGGAAAAAAAAGGGCGGTGCCAAAAGGGGGAAAAAAGGCGGCAAAAAGCGCCCAGGGGTAAATTACGCTAGGCCATAAGGGGTTAGTCTCCGAGGAATGACCAATAATATTGCATAAAAGTCCCACTTAGCTCTGGCCCCACGACAAAATAAGCCAATGAGAGCGAAGAAGTGCCTTTCCGGCTTAGTCATGGCCCCATCAGCTTAAGCCGTTTAAGCATAAAGAGCAGAAAAAAAGATATAAAAAGAACAAGTCGATGTGTTTCCGTATAATGGCAGAGATATACTACGAGGGACAGAGAGATATAAGAAAGAGATTACCATGGAACAGCAGCCTGCCGCTGTGTGGTGGCCTGCCCCCAAAAAGTCATGCGTGGTTCACTCTGTATAACGTGAAAGATCGGGATTGGCCCACTGCCCTTGCCAACATTCGCAGGGAAGCGCCGGTCCATCAAATCACAGGTCAATCACACAGCAAGTTACGTGACTGCGAACTCTAACGGACCAAAACCTCATGCGTACGATCAATATATTATACCGTGGAGTACGGAGGTATTCGTTTCAGCTTACCGAGAGGTTGTCATGCCGACGCTCATGGATATGTTCAGTTACTGTGTATGGTGACAATGGGAAGCACTTGCGACATTTACTCGATCTATCCTTGAAATCCGACCATCGATATGGCGTGTTTGGAGGGGCAATTGTACGGGTACGGATATATGAAACTCCTCTTCGGGCCGACTGTTCTGGACAAATTACAATGTAAAAAATCAAAGTCCCCTTGCCTTCGACAGAGAAACATCTTTCCGGACAGAGGGATCCAAGCCCTAGGTTCGAAAATCAAGCCATTTCGTCCAAGGTTGTTGAAAAAGAAACAGCGCAGAGATAGAGGGAGGGTGAAAAATCCCTCGTCAAGGCCAATATTCCCTGTTAGATTCTTGCTTTCTCCGGGCATGATAAAAATGACCCTGTTCCGCTCGTCCAGCGGACCCGGCCAGTTAACGATCTGTTCTGGCCATGCTGTGTTTCTCTTCACTTAAATTATGCTCTCCTGGGCTGGGCGGAGGTTTTCTAGCTACGCACAGAAGACTATTAAATACTTCCCTGTTCACCGGGTGTTCTTCTATAGTTGATTATCGCTCTCCACGGGTCCAAGGCTATGGGTGCAAACGGGGATTCCTATTTATATCCTCCTTGCCTCCTTCGGCTAGGATTTTCACTAAAGCTCAGGCCGCCCACATGCAAGGGCCGAAGCGTCTGGTAACGGGCGGATGGCTGATATGATATTCGTTGTGATAAGACATAGGGTCCATACCTACATCACCTACATCAACTCACCATTTTCTTTGATAGGTGCCCGCTTTGTTATACATGTTCATTGTTCTACGGATGCTCAGTCGACAGTTTCGTGTTGTGGCTACTGCCATTCGCTGGGAGGGCTCTGGCTGTATAAATGGAATATATTCCCTCACAGCTGGCAGTGGTACAATATTATTGGGGCATCTAGAAGTCCAGTCTGAAATATAACGCCAGTGATTCAAATCCGGAGAGGCCGCGGCCACCTAGTGCAAACAGGAGCAGGGAGCAGCTCCAGATCTACCCTCTTCGTGACATTTGATTCCCAGTTCTGGCCGCAAAACACATATTTAGCGTGCCTTGCATGGAATAAGTTGGAACCTGGGCTATACGGCCTGCTTTTACCTATTTGGTATCATATCATGCGCCAAAGGTCATCCAGAAGGTCTAGATTGTTGTTGAGTGCTGACCTTGGAAATGTTGGAAGGAGGAATAATACTTATCTCTAGTACAGTTGATATGTAGCTGAACATTAATATTGATCTAGATCGCCAGAACAGAACGATCTGTCACGGTGGCACCTAGCAGTCGATGGCCTTAAAATGAAGCAGGCCTCATCTTACTCGATCGAGCCCTTTTTAACCAGTATCATTACTTTGTATTCCAATATTATGATACCCGTTGTAGATAGAGAGTACTCTCCACTCGTCCTACCGATCGACGGTGGCTGAAAATCGTCCTTCTTCCCCGTACCTTGCTTGGAACCATGTTTGAATCATCCCAATAAGAAAAACAGGAGGAAGGAGAAAAAAAGCAACAATATTCCTATTTTTTTGGTCGGTTCCTGAAGAAGAAAACTTGGTTCTTTCGCAGCCATGAGCTCAACCAAGGATCAGCAGATCAGGAGAAGAAGAAAAGGAAGAGAGTCTAGAGTACTTCGTATAATATATGAAGTCATCGGTCTCCATGTGAAGAGTTATGTATCTTGGCCAAAGGGCGGGACAAGCCCCGAAATTTAAGTCAGTTTGAGTGCCAGAGGTGCATCTTCTGGGTCATCTCTCGTCACCGTTCAAATTCCATACTTCGATTTTTTTTTTTTTTTTTTTTTTTTTTTTTTTTTTTTTTTTTTTGGAGAGTACTTCCCCAGAGTCCGAATGGATGGAGTTGTGACTAGACCGCCAGTGCTGGCTGGCTGGATGTACGAATCCGCCCGCTTGATATATTATGAGTCTGCTCGATACGAAAAAGTACGTCCGATGGTATCTCATCCAATACATAGGGACAAACACTGTCGTGTGCTACCCACTGCTATGGAAACGATCAGTCAGTCTCTTCTTCTGCACGAACGGGAGCAAGATAAGCAAAGGAAAGAAAAGAACGGCTTTCCATGGTTTTTACAGTTTCTGGCGGCTACTGGCATCTGCGCAGGAGTCCATGACACGTACACTCATTTCCTCCCGAATAACAGCGAGTTAAAGAGTGACAAGAACCAGTTTAAGCGGCCGCGTAACTGTTGGGACGTCTGACAAAACCACAAGTATGTATATGTAGGTGTCGCCCGTTTTACGACGAGTCCAGCCCCAGGTTACTCCGCAGAGTCGATTCAACATATGACAACACATGAATGGGCAGTATACTCCGTACATATGTAGCAATAGCAGTGTATTACTTCATACTGTGTATAGGTGAGTGCCAAAACCGCCCATCTCGCCATGTTTTATCTGATATAAAACACCAATCTCACACAGGACCACCGGGACAAAGGTCACACAACGAACACACTCACATAAACGCTGCCTGTCATTGAAGTCTCTGTACAACTTCTTGGGGGGTGGAACGGGGGGGCGAGAGGAGCCACTCCCAACCGTACCATGAAGGACAAGCTCAGGACAAAAAGTGACTAGCCAGAGGGAAGAAAAGTGCCCAGAGTGAGTTGGCGTATATATGTATTTGCTTCTTTGTGGATCTCTAGTTTCCCAGGATCAAGTGGGCCCCTATTCCGGCCTTAAAACGATCTGCTGGGGCCGCTGGCCCTATATCCCTTTAGCCCCCTGCGATATTAGAACTTATTCTGCTGGGGAGAGGAGGGGGGAGGAGGAAGAAGCCAGGCGGTCGAAGGGGGATAGCGGTGTACGCCGAGCTATCGATGGGCGTCTGGGTGGAATATGCCGAATCAACGGAAGACAGAAGATAGATATCGAAGATGTAAAGGCAGGCTGTGAGACGAGTTAGAAGAAGATATTCGCCGATCCGTGGCTCATTGGCCCTCCGCGCTGGTCCACCATCGCGATTGGCGCGAAGATATAATCATATTATATATATGTGTATATATATACTCCGTACGGGAGAAGAGAGTTCCTCATCCCATTTCTCCCTTGAAAAGCAAAGAAGAAAAGAAAAAAAACTTTCTCATCTTCCGGGTGCCTCCTTTCGACGGGCTGGGCCACGACAGACAAAGATACCGTACGTACATATACACACACCGGGTGATGTACATAGGTACGATGAGGGGCGGATGTTGCACATAGGCGGGTAATACATAACCCAGGGCAGTGCTTGCAGTAGCCTCTTTCTCCATCCCCATCTCCATCCCTCTCAAAACCCTTGAAATGATGCTCATAATGCATGCCCTAAAAGCTTCCCCTTCCCGTAGTGCATATTCCGTAGGCCCTGAACCGTACATCCATCCGCCTTTTGGATGCTGAAAGAAGGTAAGAAAAAAGAAAAAGGAAAAAAGTGATACGGCGGGCCAACTTGGCTTATTCTTTTTTTTTTTTTTTTCTTCCCACTAGCTATCTTGGCCCTTCATTCTTCATCGTGAGAGACAGAGAGAGAGAGTATCGAAGGGTCGTTGGCGAGGCTATTGGGAGACGGTTTTTTCCCGGGCTTCACGACTCAAAGGGCCAGCAGCAAGCAGTATCCCGGTTAAAACCAGAAGAAGAAGAAGAAGAAGAAGACGAGTGACAGGATCGGAGGGCAAGCCGTAGAGTAAGCCTCTCTAACATGGCATATTAACTAGTCGTTTTGTACAGCCGTTTTGTCGTTATATCTGGTGTGTGTTTATCGAATCCCTGGTTTGCGAAGAATTAGCATCCAGAATCCCTGAGATAGCTTGGGATTAATTCTCAACTTCTTCCCTTCTTCCTCTTCTTCTCTTGTATCTTGTCTCGTCCTGCTCTGCCCGTTGCCCTTTGTACGCCGTAGTTTCATAACGCTGTGCTACCTTTTTCTTGTATATTCTTTTTTCTTTCCCTTCTTCTTCTTTTGGCCGTGGGTGGCTTTTTTTCTTTTCCTTCCACCTTTACTTCTTTTCGACTTCTCAACACCCAAAAGACGAGAAGACCACGACGACCACAGCAGAAGAACACGCAAAAGAGACAGTCTCTCTGCTTCTGCCTCTTCGTCTTCTGCTTCGTCTTCTCTTTACTCCATCTTCGACCTTTGGACGGAAAAGCCCCTGCGGGTGTCATCATGTTTCCGTCTGTGTGACGGCTTCATGCGCTTTTTGACCTCTCTTTGTCCTTCCATCGCAGTTCTTCCTCTTCCTCCTCCTCCGGCTGCTGCTATACCGCTGCTTCTGCTGCTTACCACTGCGTCTACTCCGTCTCGCCGTCCTCACCGTCTCTGAAACAGAAAGCAAACGCCCGCCTGGCCGCTCGCAGGTCTGCAGTTGTGCAGAAGACCACGAGAAACACAGGAACGGCAAAGAAAAAAGGCGAACCCGTTGAAGGCTGTCTCGTCTCTTTCTTACCCCTTAATCCGCATTCGATCTTCCCTGTCCGTATATCCCTACGCCGTTCTACCGTCTCGAAACGGTCTCCAGTCGTTGTTCATACCGAAACAAAGCTCTTTGCAACTGTAAATAGAAGCTCCGGCAGCTCAAGAATACCTTCTCTCGGAACGGCCCCCACGGAAGTGACATACACACTTATACAGGCATACACCACACACATATCAAGCTTCCTCGCCTCGCTCGCCGTTTTGTTAGACCGTTGGAGAGAGACTGAGGGGGGAGGAATCGCTGGGACCGTCTACAAGGGACCGTCGAGACTGGTCGCGCTTCACCGCAACGTATAATGTTAACAGCAGATGTAAGTTGGACCTCTCTCCCTCTATACTTACCTCTCTTATCAATTTCCAGGCGGCTGCTTGCCGCGATTGTGTTGTCAAACGCATCCCGGGTCCTTTGCCCCATTCAATTGCCTGCATTCGGGGCTTACCCTTAACTCCTCCTTCACTAAGACCTCTTCTTTTTTTTTTTTTCCCCCCCTTCTTCCCTTCTTTTCTTATTTACTCACTCTCGCCGTCTGGGGCTGGCCAAAAAAGAGTCTCAATCCACGGTTCAAGGCCGTGTCACTCTACCATTCACCCATATATCCACTTCTAGGACCATATATCTACCTCTACCACCATCTCTGTCTCTTCCTTTTACTTGCACCGTCCTTCTTTTTTCCATTCAATACCGGTCGTCTTCTGTATATGATTTGGTTCGCTTTGTCTACAGCTTGACACTCAATTCTTTTCGATATTCAATATCTATACGCACACACCCACACACACACATCCCACCGGAATCTACCGAGATATTCACTGTATCAGCTTGCTAATTATTTGAATCCAGTTTACAGTGACTTCTTATTAATATTAATTCCATTCACCCGCCAGGCCTTGTTCCTGTCTATGCCCATAATCGCCAGCAAATAAATTTCCCGCCTTCGAACATATTCCTCTTCTCCGCCTCTCCTCCTTTGTCTATTCCCCCCAGCATATTCAGATCTTCTCGCTTCTGCAGATATTCTTTTTAGAATCCTCATTCAAACACACCTGCCCACCCATTCTATTGCATACATATCCTTTTATACCGCACAAACAGCCCTCCTTCAACTGCATACCATTATTTCAACCATGGCAGCTATTGGAATCCCCAACGCAGCTCCACAGCAGACAGTAAGTTGCCCCAAGAAGCTGCGCACAACTCTAATGCACTAGCTAAACATTAGTGTAACCCAGGCTCGGACCAACGGTCGAAACTCTGCCTCTTCAGTTGGCTACGCCAGCGAAAGGGTTACTCTCCAGACATCGACTGCCTTGGGAAATGGAGGCTGGAACAACAACATCTGGTCACGCACACCAATCACTGGTATTTCCAGCACCATGGTGGAGAGTGTACATCCAAAAGGTATTTTTTTTTAGTATATCAATTCAAATCACGTTCTTCTTTGACCACAGCTAACTTTACTAGCGGCTACTACCGCTGGCGGTGATGCGGTGACTGGATCCCGTTCTCTTCTGCCTTCATCAGAGGCCGAGGGTTGGGCTGGTCAGTCGCTCCCTTGGAATTGTTCCCCTAGCTCCAGTTCCCATGCATCTTCCGTCAATCCAGGAGGCAACACTCCCCCAGGGCATTCTGCCACTGTCAACTCCATCAGTCGGAGTGAAGCTTTCTCTTATTTGCCAGCCTCTCAATCATCTACTTCCAATACCCGGGTTCCAAACTGGGGCCACTACCACACGTCCTCAGGGTCTACTCCGTCATCGGCCACTGCGTTTGACAACAGTGTCGGAAGAAGCAGTCAGCATGCCTCTATCAACATGATCACTAACGGAAATGGTACCCACAATGGATTGCCGGGTCAGGAAACCCCAGTGAACCCATTTGACCATAACAACACCCTCCCCTTCAGAGAAGCCCCTCGACCAAACGACCAAGCTTCCTACTTTCCTCCTACATCAACCATGAGTTTGGCTTCCATGACACCCTCATCGAGTCATTTTGGAACTGGCACCCCACGCCATTCGATATCTACTGGCCATGGCAGACCTAGCTTAGCAGAAGATGAGCTGGCAGCTGCTCTTTCCAAGATCGACGTCAATGTTGCTGGTGCGCTAGCTGAACACCGGCAGCAAGCCCTACCTCCAAGACCGTCATTCCAGCAACGTGCATCTTATGACGCTGTATTGTCCCGCGCCAACTATGTCATGGACGCAGAAGAGACCCATCCCCAGTACGCAACGTATTCGCGGAACCTCTCCTCTCCTTCTGTTACTCTGCCTTCTCTCATCAGAAGACAAGAACGCGCCCATCGGTCCCTTGAACAACAACGCAACTCCATCCCTGGTTACTACTCCAGCGTCGATGGCCAAATCCAAGAACCTATGAGCCAGGGGATGTACTCCCCCAGATTCCGTTATCCTACAAATGACCGCGTCCAGAGTCCGGAGGAGCAAGCTGAGATATTGGCTCAGGGACTGCGCGCTATCCAGCAGCAACAACATGAGCAGGCATACCCCTCAGTCCCCATGAGTCAACTTCCCGGCGGCATTCACTTGCCCCCTGGCTATAGATACGCCACATTCCAACCCGCCCAGCCTAACGGTGTGCATCCTGTCCAATTACCCGTCTATCCAATTACCGGATTCGGTCCTGTATCGCCATCTCTGGTTCAGAAGCCTTCAACTTCGGACCAGGACTCTAACCAGGCAACTCGCAGTCCAGTTTTACAGGAGTTTAGGGCAAACAACAAAGGTAACAAACGCTATGAACTAAAAGATATCTACGGTCACATCGTCGAGTTCTGTGGAGATCAGCACGGCTCTCGCTTCATTCAACTGAAACTCGAAACTGCAAACAGTGATGAAAAGGAGCGGGTATTCCAAGAAATCCGACCAAATGCCGTACAGCTCATGATGGATCTATTTGGCAATTATGTCATCCAGAAACTCTTTGAGCATGGCAACCAAGCTCAGAAGCGTCTTCTTGCACAGCAGATGCAGGGTCATATTTACTCTCTGTCCGTTCAAACATATGGATGCCGCACCGTTCAAAAGGTATGCCGTTTTTTTTGACTACTCTCTCTCGCTCATTGGACTAACCAGGTTTTAGGCACTCGAACACGTCCTCGTCGAACAACAGGCCACGATGGTCAAGGAACTCGAAGACAGCGTGATGAAATGTGTCACAAACCAAAATGGCAACCATGTCATCCAGAAGGCTATCGAGCGCGTTCCTAATGAGCATATTCGATTCATCATTGATGAGTTCCGTGGCCAAATCCCACGCTATGCTACCCATACTTATGGGTGTCGGGTAATCCAGCGTATGCTAGAGCACTGTCCTTTGGCGGACCGTCTATCCATACTTGCTGAAATTCATGCTTGCACCCCCAGTCTCATTTCGGATCAATATGGCAATTATGTCATCCAGCACATCATTGAGTTCGGAGAGGAAGCAGACAAGAATAAGATCATCTCCATCGTTCTTGGACAAGCAGTTCATTTCTCCAAACACAAGTTTGCTAGCAACGTGGTAGAAAAGAGCATTACTTTTGGCACATTGGAACAACGTCTGGGCATCACCCGAATTCTGTCCGCGGTCAATGAAAAGGGAGAAGGCCCTCTGCTGGGTCTTATGCGAGACCAATATGGCAACTATGTCATCCGTATGTATCCGCCTATGGCCCTGCTTATATTGCTACTAAACTAACAAATGGACTTTAGAAAAATCCTTGAGCGTTTTGGAAGGTTCGGATTACAAAATGCTTGTTAGCCGAATTATGCCATTGATGCCACTACTAAAGAAATGCAGCTATGGCAAACAAATTGCTGGGATTGAAGGGCATCTTCACAAATATGGGCGCCCAACATCTTCATCTCCGTCTTCCCCTGTGGACAGCAACAAAGCACTTGACCTAGATGTTGACAACAACGTGAATGGCCTAACATATACCCGCGATAATAGCCCTATCTACGATTTATCACCTGTTACCGCTGATAGGAGCTCTATTCCAAGTGCAAACACTAGTGTACTGGAAGAATGTCAACATGAACTGACGAAAGAGGATGGCGGTGCCATTCTTAAGCCAGCTGTCGTATAATCCCTCATTTCTTTGATCTTAGGGTCTATTCTCGATCATATCCAACTCAATCCAAACCGATCTAGCGGGGCATTATGAAATTTGTACACTTAATCTAATCGACCACCTTTCAAATAATGGAAACGAAAACGGATATATATTTTTTAGCATGGGGTTTAGGGATGGGGAAATCAACTCGTCGTCACTCTCGGTCATCCTTTCGTCCGTCGCATCGCATCGCATTGCAGCAAGCAACAATTTGCCTATCTAGGCTCCCTTATTAGCGCTAACCTTCCATTCTTATTTATTTCAACGGGTATAAATGGCGCCTTTTCTCTGGTTTTTTTACTTCTTACCTATCTACTTACCTCGCGGCCCTTTTTTTCCGATCCAGCCCTGAAGATACATTGACTTCTTTTAGTTCTATATTATTTATTAGCCCTCTCACGCTTCAAGCCTTCACTTTCACCCTTATACCTCGCATTATTTTTTTTTCTTTCGGTTGCGGTGAATTTATCATCGTTATTGCTACCATCATCAGGCTTCAGGGAGTTTCATCTACTAGTTTAGGGAATGGTTTCTTTACCAACGGTGCGAGCTAACGGTGGAAAGGAACACGGGCGGGCGTCATGGCATTTTCTTTTCATTATTTCTCAGTCGTTTCCATTCATATCTTTCCCTGCCACATATTTCATGGTGCTCGGTCTTATTTTTCATATATCAATTTTCTAAACACAAAAAAATACAAGTCAACCCTCCCCTTCCCTCCTTTCTTTTCCAAGGGCATGATGAAATCAATTCTAATTCTAAGGGAATCATGAAGCTGAAAAGTTTTTTCTAAGTCTTTTGACATTTTCTTTTGATATTTTCTTACGATGGACGACACAAGCGCAGATTCTGTCTTCAAGCAACCCGGTTTCCTAGTCTTCATTATCTAGTTTATATTGTTACGTCCATAAAATGATCACCTTCAAATTTCTTACGGATGCCTGCCAACTTTTCTCTACGTTCTTTTCCCGTCGTTTTATTGCTTTTTATTCCGATGCATTTTTGTTATAAATAATAAACCAAAACCAAAACTTAGAAGCGACTCGTTATGTCATCTAAAATATTGGCTGAAATGATTGATCTATGACTAGTTGTATTCTAAGGCCAAGTTGTTTTTTTCTTTTTTCTCCCTCTTTTATGCTATTGATTTATCGTCGTATTTAGCTGGCTAGTTTGTGATTGCTTGCTTGTGACATCTAATAGTGTCGCTTTTCCGCTGTCATCGATGGTCTGTTGAGGAAGATCATAACATCATGTTTACTGAGTACGAAGTGCTAACTACCATTAGATCTTCATAGACTTACGAGATGCGTAACTATAACATAACAGCTCGAGGTGTTATTAAAAAGCAGCGTTTTATTATAATAGTTTATAACACCGATCAACGCTTAACGAAAAGGGGTTTTTTTTGGGGGGGAGAGGGAACGTAAACCTGCCTTGACAGGGAGAGGCCAACAAGTATTAAAGGAAAATCAAATCACAAAACTTTTAATCCGTTATCTTAGCAAGGGGGGTATAGCTCATCATAACATGTGTAACATGGGGGATAATATATTAATGCAAGGGGAAGGAAGAAGAAGCAGGGAGAAGGGTAAGGTATAATATATAGTATGAAGAGCATGTTTAACGAGTCCAGCGTGAGAAATCCAAGCTCTGGAAGGCGTTACAGTCCATTGCAAGGTTGCGTTCAGTTCCGAGGCCGCTGCGCAAACTGCCGTCATCAACAGACTGTTTGGTGTTGCGTCGTGATGCTGGGTATTGGCCATCGCCCATAGAACCTGAATTGCTGCCCGATGAGATGTCTGGGCTAGTAATATCGGTGGACGAACAGGCGTATGCACGATCTCGAAGACGGCGGATTTCTCTCAGGCGGTTTTGCCAGGAAGAAATGTATTCGCCGCCGTGACTGCAGACGAGGGAAAAGACAGATGCATTTAAACCGATGATCCTGACGAATGCAGCGAGATTTTTGCCGCAGATGACCTTTGGGATTGCCGCGGCCGATAATTCGGGCATACCGGGCTTGCTCAGCACTTTGACAGTATAAAGTCTTCGGTTGAAGTCGTTGACGGTGAATTCTCCTTCTTTGTCTTTACCGGAGCTTACCCGAGAAGCTGGTGTAATGACGATGTCCACAAAGTTGAATTGGGTAGAGATGGTATTGAAGTCAAACTCGGAACCGGACCGGTTGAAGATGATGTTCACGAAGTCGTTGCCAATGTGCTGCTTCTTGTTTACACAATAAGGATCCGCTTCCAAGTTCGTAGGCATCATGGTAGCGACATGGTATATAATCTCGGAGACTCGATCGCGCCAAGCATAGATATACTTGCCATCTCTTTCAAAATGGAGGCCTTGCGGGTTGAACTTGGGATTCTCGATGGAGACCTTGGTTCCAAGGCTGGCAATGAAGAATTCATAGTCTGGGCTGCCGTGCTCATTCGCAAATATTTCTGTCTCGTCCGTCTGGCCTTCGCCGATATACAGAACACCAATCTTATGGCCGTCAACAATACTGTTCCTATCGAACGCGCTAATTGCCCGACGGGTAAAGTCATCATCAGGTAATGGGAGTGGCTGCAACGGGGCTGCTGTGGGAAATGCAGAGGCTGTCATCTGAAGGAGAGCATGGCTTGGTAGGACTGAGGTTCGCGTTGAAGGGTCATCGGAAAGGGAGTATGAGCCAGGATTTGTAGGTATTTGATGAGGCAGGACAGGTGCGGTTCGCTGTTGGAAGATGGAGTACGTTGTCCCGGAGGCCTGTCTTTTCGTGACTTGATTCAACCCAGAGGCACATGCTGTTTCGACCGTGACGATACTTGTGCCAACAATCCAAGTCTTTTTTACAACTGGGCCATCTGACGGCGACGGTGGGAAGTTTTCGAATGGAATTGTATCTCCCAAGTCTGAGTATGCAACTCGTTGCATCATATCAATGAATACTTGGCTCTGCTCTTCGATGACTTCTTTTCCTTGCTCATCATTGAACACCAATCGCTTTGTGATCCAACCGACGTGGTTTGGTCTATCCTGTAACTTAAGCGATAGGAACCAAAAGACCATAACATGGTACGTCAAATGATAAACATATCTGGCAACATTCTCTCCACCGTGAAAATCAATAGCCTCTGTAGGAGGGTGTGAGACAGGGTCTTTTGAGCCATTGCTCACTCGTGAGGGCATAGATGCGGACCGGCCGTTGGCAACCTCAGTGCTCTTGTATCGTTGCTCCCTTGACGTCTGAATATACCGAATACAAATTCCAAAAACAGTCCTGATCTCCTCATCACGAAGATTGACATACACTTCAGGCAAGCGTGCAAGCAGAGCGAGGAATTCGAGAATGTGAACGGCAATATGAGATCGAGTGATGACTTTGGACATTTTATCAAGGATAGCATTCAAACACTTCGTCACCGAGAGAGGGATTTCGTGACAGCAAACGCTGAGTGCATGGATACATCCTCGAGACGTGCCCTCCCATGAACCAATTCCGTACATGAACGCACGGACGATCTCATCTTGTTCACCCTTTGCGAAGTGCTCATGGAAGCTAACAAGCATCGTCAGAGCTTCGAGGAGGCAGATTGCGATATCCTTTTTCTTTACTCCTGTCCAGCCAAGAGGTTCGGGGAAACTCTCGTTCTTGATCTGCTCGCACAGAACGCTTCGCAGCAACTTGATCTGGGGCAATGCCGCACTAAAGAAATCTCTATTGGCAAGCTGTGCACTGACATGAGCAGAAACATAGCTATAGATATCCCAATCCTTTTCACGCTGGAGAAGAGCAATGATAGCCTCGGCCCATAGGTTAACTTTCAATATGACGTTAGTGTCGTGCTCAGGCTCTCCATCGGTGCATGAGTTCTTGAATGCGTAGACATTGCTGCCTAATTTGAGTACTGTCATGTCAGGTAGCTTATTATGTTCATCAAAAGCCCAGATCGGTGCAACCCATCGAGAAGGGCGTCGAGCCATAACGCGATGGCCATGGGCTCCTAGAGGGGTGGTTGATTGATCTTTCAGAGATGATCTGCTATTTGGAGTAGATGATGGATCATTGTTGTTTGCCGTGCGTTCAGTAGACGACTCTTCACTGACGCTTGACTTGGCGGTTGATTCAGCGGTGCGTAACAAGCTAGCAGTTAAATGTCCATTATCAATGGATGATGCAACATGGATAACACCTGAGGTGTCACAACGGAGTCGGAAAAGGAGTCGGAGCGCTGAGAGGCGGCAGTCAGAAGGGCGGCTTGTTGACAGTGCGATATTTATTAATCTCTGGTAAGTTGTCAAAACAACCTGAGATTTAGTTTCCAGCCCTTTCAAAAAGATCCGAATAAGGCCCAATGTTGCTGCGTCACTTAGGGATGGTGCAAGCGTGTCTGAGGCCAAAACATAGTGCGGAACTGGGTTGGTACCGGATGGGGACATGTCTTCCGTATTCTCATCAGCATTCATGGGCTGGCTTAGGGTATCAACTATGAGGTTCAGCGTGTCTTCGTCAGAGCAGGCTGTTACATCAACTAGAAACGCTACTAATTCTTGCAAAAACAAGAATGAATCTTCATCGGCGAAGCCCTTGGTAAGGGAGCGAAGAAGCCCTTCCTTAACATATAATTCCGGTGCATTCTCACTGAAATATGCATCTCTGAAAGCGGCCAAAGCAAGGATGCGAGTTTCCGGGGCCTTGTCACGATCCAAAATATAATCTTGCACTAGTTTCCACGAGTGACTAATCCAATTGTCAGATGAGGATGGATGGCATAGTCTTTCGGCCCCTAACAGGCGTATAGCAAGTTCCGACTGAGAATGGCTAAGGTGTCTATGAATGTCGGCCAAAAGGCGCCATGCTTCGAGCTTCTGAGCCCTATCCAACTTTGGCCACAGGGTTTCAAGAGAGGCTGCAATGCGGGTAAGGTTGGCAATTATGTTAGATCGTACATCATCGGCCATGGAGGTTTTAGTGGGAGGGGTGGATGTAGGGAGAGAGACGGGAGATATGTTTGAAGCTGGTGAGCCTGGCGCTGTTGCGTCTATGGCTCTTTCTGAGCAAGCCATCATGACGCTAACAAACTCGGACCAGTCATGTTGCAGTGAGACTGGTGCAAATTCACCCTGCAACGCGTTAAGGCAGACTTCTAGGATGTCGGTGTCAATTCGACCATCCTTGCGGAGAGATGCTCGTTGAAGGGAGGTGATAAGGCGTTCGAACGAGATCGTAGGCATCCCGTCTTGGCCATATGCGACAAGTAGATCTCGGAAGATATCCACAGCACCGCGTGTAACATTCAGGTTACGGTCAGGTCGCTCAGAAGTCTCCCAAAGGAAGGTGTGAAGAGTCTCTACCATCTCTGGCTGCTTTCCGGACTTAGCTAGACTGCGAACGGCTCTGGATGTTGGACCAGCTAACGACTTTACCGACGCGTGGATACTGCACAGAACCTCCAGTAAAGGGATGAAGCTTGGGTCCGGTACGCCTAACGTTGCGATGATAGCGTCAAAGACGACGAGCGCGTTTTTTATGTCCACGGCAGCACTCGTTTTCTTGCAAACAGTGAATATCTGATCGAGGATAAGTTGGATGACCTCTGGGCTCGGGTGGTTGCGTTGCAGAGTGACGACGTCGACAATAAGCTGGAACAGCTCACCCAGTACGGTCTCATCAAAGGTAGTGCCGGCGGGCCTCTGTCCTCTCCACCGCTTAAGTTTTGATCGGATAGCCGCCGTTTGCTCGTATAGAGGACGATCCAGGCCACGATTATTCGTAAGACGGGCTCATCGGTGAAATCAAACTTCCTCCCGTAATCCTAAGGCAATCAGGGCTTTTACGCGGCGGGGAATGACGTCTGGCTGCGATGGCTGGGAGATGGAGTGGAAAAGTGTCTTACGCCCAGACAGGGGCAGGTCCTGACGGCCAGAGACGCTTTCCAGCAATATACCACCTGCATTTCGTGCCTCCGGAGAACTGGGGTGGTCGATAAGGTAGGCAGCTTGTTCCCAGACCACGATGACCTGGTCACCACTGAAACCGTGTAGATACCGCACCGCCTTCTCGGCCTCGTCGGCTGCACCCTGGAGAGGTTGGTCCGCAGCTAGATTGTGAAGGATCGTGTCGATACTGGGGGTCGAAGACGCATCAGATGCACTCGTGGCCACGCTTCCTCGATGCAAGGCCTCGAACCCAAAGGTTACTCGGCTGCCTCTTCTGCCTTCCATCTCGGGTGACAGCGAGCCTCCAGCGTTTTGCGCATGTAATACCGGTGACTGCGACTTGGGACGCCCTACCGCGAGGGTCTTGAACACGTCGGCAAAGGATGAGGTAGACGGTTTGTTTTGTGGCGCTTGGGGGACATCGTCGGAAGACATCCGCCCAGACGGGCGAATGAGTCAAGGTCCTAGCGGCCAGGACAGTGACAGCGAAAAAAAGGGAGTCCAACAGGCTGGTTCACTGCGTCCGCTTAGTCGTGACGGTGTGAATAGCTCCAAAGAAGTTGCTCTTCTTCTCTTTTGGTTTTCTGGAGGTTTGCTTAAGCATAAGAGGCCTGTTTCTTCTATATCCGGGTTAACATTGTGCTATATTGGGCTGAACGCAACGGGAGAACCTCTGGCACCAAGACTGATATAGCTATCGACAGCGGCTGAAAGGTGTGTTTGTTTTTTCCTCTCTCTCTCAATCTGTAGGCTGTGATCTGATCAGCAGCTTAATAAACAGAGACAAGATCACGCTCCATCAATTGGCGTTAACTGTATAAACCGAGCCTGAGGAGAATCCATGCCAAGCAACGCTAGGTTGGTCGTTGAAAGAAGATTTAGTGTATTACATAAGGAGTGTGGGGCCAGCACGTGATCAATTACATAAGAGGAAGTTAGCATTATACCAAATACTAGCTATAGCTCAAGAACAATCCCACCACCGTGATACACGGCTGCAGAGACAAGCTGTGTCAGAAAAGGGCATATGCACAGGAAATACTACCAGAAGCAAGAAAAATTCGCGGGAATCTTGCTATTAATTGGTTCAGCCACGCATGGTGTTCGGCAGGGCCCAATTTTCCATGGGTCAATAGGCACATCCCCGCGGCGGATCAACCTTCTTGCATTAGGAGGCGCGTGAGTTTTGCCAGGTGTAGAGACCATTAGGCCTAGGAGGTACAAGTCGCTTAAACCAATCTAGTGTGTTTACAATTTCCTGTCGTTCAACATCTAAATCAACCAGCCGTCCGTCCAGTGCTTTAAATAATTCCGGAAGAACTATTGATGTGTATGGCCCAAGAAGCCCAAGTTCGAATTGTTGACGGCATTGAGCAGACTGCATCAAGTGTTCTCGAACCTCATACGATTGCGGAGAGGATGAAGGATACTGGCAGTCTCGTCTGAGGAACACATTTAGATAAGCGTCGCGGTCCGTGACCAGTCCACAGATATTGTCGCTAAACAGCCATGGAAAGATGCAGAGTGACGGCAAGGGCACAATAGTGCCTGGGAAATCGAGAATACCGGTGATGTTGAACTCATCGTCGACCTAGCAAGTTTCAACGGCTGTTTTGTAGAATAAGAAATGAGGCCCTTACCAAAATATTTTGAACCGTTAGATCGTTATGGTTAATGACAAATGGTCCATTATCAAACTCCTTTACCACGATCTTGTTAGACAAGTTAGCGAGAATCTCGTAATCTGCCACTGTCTCGTCTCCGTCTTCCTCGTTCTCGAGGTCATCCAAGGAAGCTCTACGGTTCAACTGCGCCATGCCTCGTACCATTCGTGGAAAGAGGGAAAGGGGCCTTTGTGGGCATCACTAAGGACGAATACGCCGTGGCCCTGGGCTGTGGTACGCAGTGCTGTTCGATCGATATACGGCCATTGCGAAATACCTTCTGGACCTCCCGTACGATCCGATTTATCGAATTTAAGGAGCTATAATATCGGTATACGGGTCAGCGCCGCAAGGGTCATTTATTGAAGGATAGAAGACATACCCAGTTCCAGTATAACATCAGCTAGCTGCTGGTGTATCTTCTCTGCCATCGCAAGATCGTCCAAATCGATGTCAAGGCTCGGGCTTTCCAGCACAGGCAATGGACGGCCTGGGAGCCGCTCCATGAGGATATAAGATGCGTTGACCTTGTTTTCTGGGTTTGACTGAAGGCTGTACGCAAACACAGTTGGGACGGGTATAGTACTATGTCTCTTCAGATACTTCAGAGTAGCGGCATATGAAGCCGTCACCTCTTCGGGTTGGAAACAGTTATACGGAAGCGGGATACGCGCCATCCAAACAACGCCGTCCGAGAAAACTAGCTCATAAACAACATTGAACCCTAAGAGGTAATCGCTATAAACAGTTTCGCTTTACAGTATAACTCGAGCAAGTAGCCGGTTTACCTCCGATAGTGTGTAGCCCGAGGCTACATGAAACGTCCTCCCAGCATTGGGCTGCAGCAGCACAAAGCTCGTCTAGTCGGATAGTATCCACGAAGAGGTCAAATTCGGATAGGAGGCTCTGCTCCATGGTAGAAAGTACGGAGTTTGTGTTGACTTTACTCTTTTCTCCGTTACTATGTTTGGAGCCTCGTCGATCACGGAAGATCCGGGGAACGCGGGGCTTTGTTTATCCGGATGACATAAAATATGGATGACTAAACATGCTGTATAACTAATATATGACTAAGCAGCCCCCCTCTCTGTTTTTTTTTTTTGTTTTGTTTTGATGGAAGAACGAAAAGATATCGAAATCTACATTTCGCTCTCACAGACGCTCTCTTCAGTCTACAACCATATGCGAGAGGCGCCAGACGTCTGATTGAAAGGTCTTCGTGCTGCTCTACCTTGAGCCCAGAGTAAATTGTTACTTTTTCCAGCTTCGGAGAGAGGAGACGTTTCTTAGAGTTAACTTCCCCCCCGCCATGGCGAGCAGTCTAGCTCCAATTGCGCAGCTACTGGAGGCGAGTTTGGATCCTCGACAGCACAAACAAGGTGGGTTGCTATGATGAATTTCAAGCTTTACGAGGTAGAGCAGAAGCTGACAGGGCCCTCGAATTTCTAGCTGAGGCTGCGTTGAAGCAAGAGGAGACCAAGCCGGGCTTTTCTCTCCAGCTCCTCCATATCACAGCATCAGAGACGTTTGCATACAACACCCGTCTCGCCAGCGCACTTTGCTTCAAGAATTTTATCAAGAGGAATTGGACAGATGAGGATGGCCAGTACAAACTTCCGGAGAGCGACGTCGTCACTATCAAGCAGGAGCTTATAAGCCTGATGATATCCGTCCCCTCTGGTATACAATCTCAGCTGGGAGAAGCGGTCAGCGTCATTGCTGACAGTGACTTTTGGGAACGATGGGACACACTTGTCGACGTATGTTCCCTTCGCGCGCAGCATTGTCTTGAATGTTTTGAGGCCGCTATAGCTAACCCTTCAACTTTGCGTCTAGGACCTCGTCTCTCGGCTATCGCCTGATAATATCAAGACGAATATCGGTGTCTTGCAGGTAGCTCACTCCATATTTAAGCGATGGCGGCCGCTTTTCCGCTCCGATGACCTCTATAGGGAGATAAATCACGTCCTCGGAAAATTCGGACTACCATACCTGGCCCTTTTCGAGGTAAGGAAGGCAGCTCTAGTCTCTGAATATGTGTTCCGACCATAACTGAACTCGTTTAGTCCCTTGACGCGTACATCGAGAAGAACAAAGACAGTAAAGAGAACCTAGCTCTAGGTTTTACGCAGCTCAACCTCATGGTAAAGCTGTTTTATGATTTGTCGTCTCATGATCTGCCCCCAATGTTCGAAGAGAATCTAGGCGCAATTGCGACCTTGTTCCTCAAATATCTGATGTACGATAACAAGCTTTTACACACCGACGATGACTCTGAGTCTGGATTGTTGGAATTCGTCAAGGCCGGGACCTTCGAGGCCCTCACGCTCTACGTCCAAAAGTATCTAGATGTATTCGGCTCTCTCGTCGAACAATTCATTGGTAGCTCATGGAATCTACTTACCACCATCGGACAAGAGACCAAGTATGATATCTTGGTCAGTCGGGCTTTGCAGTTCTTGACCTCCATTGCAAAGATTCCAGAACACGCAGCGGCCTTCCAGAATGAAGGAACTCTGGGCCAAGTTACCGAGAAAGTCATCTTGCCCAACATCACGCTTCGAGAGTCTGATGTTGAAATGTTTGAAGATGAGCCTATCGAATTCATTCGGAGAGACCTTGAGGGTTCCGACAGTGATACCAGACGACGAGCTGCCACAGATTTCCTTAGACAACTTCTTCAGAGTTTCGAGGACTTAGTCACTGCTGTGGTCCTTAGATATGTCGACCACTACTTGGCTGATTATGCCAAGTCTCCTTCTGACAACTGGAAATCTAAAGATACCGCCGTCTACTTATATTCATCTATCGCAGCCAAAGGAGTTGCGACAGCAAGCCACGGTGTCACTACTATCAACACCCATGTCAACATCACTGAGTTTTTCCAAAAGAATATCGCCTCCGATCTTGTTGCGGAGACCGGCATTCAGCCAATACTGAAGGTAGATGCCATCAAGTACCTCTACTCGTTTAGAAGCATCATCACCAAAGAACAATGGCGGGAGATTATGCCTCTATTAGTAAAGCATCTTGCGTCTTCGGACTACGTTGTTTATACCTACGCTGCAATCGCAGTTGAGAGAGTCTTCGTCCTTACCGATGCTTCTGGTGCTCAAATAGTGCCAGCAAGCGATATTACCCCCTTAGCTGGGCAACTTCTAGAGCATCTCTTCCAGCTAGTCCAGAAAGAATCATCTGCTCCTAAAGTCCAGGAGAATGAGTTTATTATGAGATGCATTATGCGGGTCTTAGTGGTAATCAAGGACGCTGCTGTTCCGCAAACAGAGTCAATTCTCAATCACTTCATCAGGATTACTCAAATTATCAGCTCCAACCCAAGTAACCCACGCTTCTACTACTATCACTTTGAAGCTCTAGGCGCTCTTATCAGGTACGATACGTGCTTTGTCAAACTTAGAAACTAGCAGCTACTCACATTATATTTCAGATACACCGGACCTTCTCACCCTGATAAGCTTGGCCAGGCCTTGTACAGCCCGTTCTTTTCCCTCTTGAGAAATGATGTGTCAGGCAAGTTGCCCATGAATGTTATCGTTCGAAATACATAATAATAACATCTCGCAGAATTCATGCCATATGTGTTCCAGCTATTAGCTGCCTTGCTAGAGGTGGACCCCAATGCACCATTCCCGGACTACTTCAAGGAGTTGATTGCGCCAATTCTCACGCCAGTTATGTGGGAGCAGAAGGGAAACGTCCCCGCTCTAGTTCGTTTGCTGCAAGCTATTGTACGCCGTGGAGGAGATTTATTGAGTAAAAACAATCAAATTGAGCCGATATTAGGAATCTTCCAAAAATTGGTTTCATCCAAGGTCAACGAGAGCTATGGCTTTGACCTTTTGGAGACTGTGATCTCGACCTTCCCTTCGTAAGTTGCTAACTTGGAAATCTTGCCGGGCAGGTTCAAACTCTAACAAGCGTACTGTTTCTAGGGCCATGATACAAAATTATTTCCCTACAATCATTCAAATCATCCTTACCCGACTTCAGAACTCAAAGACCGAAAATTTCTCTCTCCGTTTTGTCCGGTTCTATCACTTTCTCTCCGCCCACCTTGAGAATGGGTACGGGGCAGATTTCTTCATCCAATGTACTGAAAACATCCAAAACAAGTAAGTTTCTGCCTTAATTTTTTAATAGGTAGCAACTATACGAATTCTAATATTCCTCCAGCGTCTTCACCCCCATTTACCTTAGTATAATCCTTCCAGAGTCTAGAAAACTTGCTCGTCCCCTTGACCGCAAAATTGCAATCATCTCGTTTGCCAAAACACTGGCACACTCTGAAGCATTTGCCTCCCGATATAAGAAGGGATGGGGCTTTACCTGCGAGGCACTACTGTACCTTCTCGACCAGCCGATCCTCCCCACTACTGGCGATGATATTGTTGCAGAGCACGACGTTGAAGATATGGCTTTCGGAGTTGGATTCACCCCACTAACAACCATTCGAATGCCACCTAGGGACCCCTGGCCAGAGACTGGTCCGCAAGTTGGCCAATGGGTTGCTACTTATTTGAAGGAGCAGAATACCAAGAGCAATGGAAAGATTCAGAATTTCGCTCAAGAGAGGCTGGATCCCCAGATCCTACCTGGCCTGGCCAAGCTTCTTGCATAGTTCGCCTCCAAGATATCATAAAGAAAAATTTACATAATAGATGGACATCTTTTTTTACGAATTGCTTAAGTTTGACCGAAAAAAAAAAACAGTGATGTTAATGATGTTATTCCCATGTTCACAGTTGATCATGTAGAAGAATCTAGATAGTTCAAGTTCAATTCCATGCATTATAGTAGTTAACCCTAAGCCTAAAATGCAAAATATTATTATACATGATAGCCAACACACCCGTATATTTAATATAGATAATCCATAGCCCAATTCTTAACGCAAATGAGAGAATCACTTTTCCTCCGTAACAATTTTAATGTCGTTCTTTTCCATTATACCCGTCTCACACGTGCCATCTATTTCGTTCTCACAAACGTTTTCCTCTAATCCTGCTTCTATTTGCTTCTTCCTTTTCTCCTCTTCCAAGGCCCGATATTTCCTCCTACTCTTCTTCATCTTACTCGCCTTCCGCTTCTTCTTCACATTAGTTACGATTGCTGCACGGCTCTGGTCTCCTTTTTCAAGTAATTCTACTTTCTCAGCTAGGATCTGCTTGGCAATTTTCCGGTTCTGTGACTGGGAGCGAGTGGCTTGACATTTCACCACGGTGTTTGTCGGTATATGGATGAGTTGAACGGCGGAATTAGTTTTGTTCTGACACTGTTGGTAAGTAAAGGTACAACTTTATCTTCCGCGGAATACGGGTGTTCGTGTATTATCAATTTAGAGTAGAGAATGGGGTATTTCTTCTTGTTGAAGTATTCGTTCTAATCCCAGCAGGGTGTGAGAGGATATCTCTGACAAGGTATCAAGAGGATTAACGATAATAAAATGACGAAAAAAAACCTAATATAATGGTAAAAGAAATATATCACTGACAATTTTTTGGCCTCCAGGGCCTGATCCTTTGAGATAGCTTCCGGATATTTCTGAGTCGTCTATTGTAGGGCGAGGAGGCATTTGCTTCACTGCGGCTGGCGGAGAGGTCCGGAAGAAACGCACATCACCGACATGTTGTTTGAACCGCCCTTGAGCCGCCTGTTTTGATATTTGTGCTAAAGCTCGAGAGTATGTTGGGAGCCTGGCGAGATGCATCGGTCGTGGTGGCGAGTGTAAATGTGTCCATAAAAAGAACAATACAATCTCCACACAGGAGAGCGATCCTTTCATATATATTAGTATACAAGGCCCCCAAGATAGCCAGGTTTGAATGGCATCTATTAATATTGTTGCCTCCGTTGAAAGACGTTGCGATGTAGTTTGGATGCAGGAACTGCTGACTCAGCAAGGAGATTTGCTTCTTCCTTTTAATATCTTTTCCAACAACTTGCAACGGCAGCAAATCGAGGTTTCAGCAATAAATGAGTCTTTAGTCCCTCTTACATACGAAAGAGCCGTCGTATCTTCTTTCTATCCGCCGACTGCAAGCTCCAAGTATATTCATCCCGGAAGAGAGCCCCCTATCGAGCTACGAAGCCAACCATGTCACCAACAACAACATCACCAGGGGTTTTCACGTCCTTTTTCCGATGGCTCCGCCTAAAGAATTACCAGTATGAAGTGACATTCTCACTATACATGCTTACCCCTATAGAGAAAGTTGTCTTCAGTATGTACAATATGAATTCCTTTTCTAACAGATGTTCCCTACCTTATCGTATGATTTGACTAATGATACGGCGTTCCACTCCTTAGATACTATACTGATCCTCTTCACCTCCATGCTGATTATTGCCGCCTATATATACCTCCCGGACCATGTACTCTCTCTTTATCGGCATATCAACTATTACTGGGCTGGCCAGCCTGTCGCCGATCAAATCGCGTTACATGCCGCGAACATGAAGCTCTCCGCTGCAGCAGCTAATGCAGCAACTACGGCCGAGGCATTAAAAGAATTATGAATACTCTGGATTTGGAATGCATACGAGCCTACGGTCTGATTCTACCCTTCATATTATATCCTTTTTTAATTGCACTGCTGTGTGCTTAATCTTTCTTCTTGGAGCTGCCTTTACATTTTTATCATGAGCGCTTCACGAGCCTTTACTTACACCAGCCTTCTGTTGTGATTTATTGTTAGCGGATATTAGGTGCTTAACTGGACAAGGTGTTGAGTGTCTTTTCTTCATGTATATAAGCTATATTAATCGCTATATGGCATCTTTTCCTCCTACCTAATCCAGCCTAGCATGAGCATACTAGATATACTCCCTCCATTCTTCAAGGCATAGCTTCTACGATAACAAAGCTGAAGTTCTGTACTTGCGGAGAGGTAAATTTGTGGTATTCAGAGATGAGATTATAGGTTCACGCGATCTCTCGTGTGCAAGTTTTATATGTTGTTGACATGAATCCTTTCGATTTCGAGCTTGAAATGTAATTCATCCATCCCAGATAACTCCCGATTTCCATCCAGAAACGCCTGCAAATATACAAAATGTATAATACAATATACAACAGTATCCAATCCAAAGGTAGGCCGGGATTCCGCCGGGCGCTGGTTCATTCTGTAGAGACTGTGTTCGAAGAAGCTGTAACATTTTCCATTTCTTTCTGGATTCTTTGCTTTTCTAGTAACCGTCTCGCTCTCTGTTCGTTCATCCGTGCCAATTCCTTATCTATTTCACCCTTATCCGCAGGGATTTTATGCGAGTTCGCTGTTGTCGGCCAGAAATCTGGGACGCTGAAACGCTCTTCTAGGTTGGTACCAAAGTAGTACATCCATCCTATAGGGAATCCGATATAGAGGCCGAACTAAAGTAATAAGTAATATTCTATCAGTTTCATGTTTAAAATACAGCCCAGTTGGGCTAGTCTTTAGAGGAGGTTCAAGAGGGGCTTGCTCTATACTACGTACCTTGAAAACCTCAAGATTTCCACCTTGCAGTCTGCGAAGAATACTGCTGAGCATACTTTCAGATTTCCTCCCTCTTTCGCGGACCTGACCCTCAACTCGAAGCGAAGTAGACGTATGTGTGGCGGCTGGTGGCTCGTTGATCTTGCAATTGGTGGCGAGTAGTGCTTTCGAATGCGATGATATCACGGAGTAGGCAGCCTCAGTTATTTTTTTTAACGTAGCTGTATCTTCTTCTTGAACTGTTCGGATTCTTTCCAACTTGTCATATAAAATAAGAGCTTCATCTTGGAAGTAAGCAGCTTAGTCATCTCATCGGTAAAATTATCTTCCGATATTAGATTATCTAATCAATTTCACTGCGAATTAAGCTTTTGTTGGAAACTCAATATCGCCTAAAATTGGCGCCAACTTTTCGCTTAGCGATTAAAGATAAAGATACACGCCAGGCACCTTGTATATATATATAAAAGCTGTAGATGGGCTGGTTCACTAGTTCGTATCATCAGTATTCACCTTCTAGGCAATCTTGTTTGTTCATAATAGTTGTTCGGTAGGCCTAGAGACAGTTTGTTGCTCTTTCGTAGAGACGCCACCATAAATCCCTGTTAGTCACGTAGACAACGCTTAGTTTCTCAACAAATTAAACCGGCCGAATAAGATGATGAAAGACGGTAATACGACCGACAGTAAGAAGCAGACCTTACTAGTAGTCATCTTACGGATATAAAAACTGAAGCTGCCAGGTCATCTGACAATATTTTTATATACAACCATTTAGATAATCTACTCCTGCCACCACTATTCTACAATGGAGGACCCCCAGGCAAAAAAGAGTGTTACAGCTTCGGATGCAGAAGATTTCGTCCAAAGGGTACTCGAAAAGAACGGTGTACCTTCGTCAAATGCCTCTATAGTAGCCAAATGTCTCGTGGAAGCTGATCTCCGCGGGGTTGATACCCATGGGATAAACAGAATCCCATCATACATAGAACGCATTCGCCAGGGGGTTCTGGACCCAAAGGCATCTCCATCGTTAAGCCAAGTTACTCCTGTGGTTGCCCGCATTGACGGACACAATGCATTTGGCTTCATCTCTGCCACGATGGCGATGGGCCGTGCTATCGAGATGGCCAAAGAGTATGGCATCGGCATGGTCTCGGTCCATAACTCAAACCACTTTGGAATGTCTGCATCGTTCGTCCGGCAAGCTGTGGATGCAAATATGATGAGCTTTGTTTTTACAAATTCTTCACCTGCTCTGCCGGTCTGGGGTGGAAAGGAGAAGCTGATGGGCGTATCTCCAATAGCATGCGGAGCACCCTCTGGCCCGAACTCTCCTCCGTTTATTTTGGACATGGCACCCTCTGTCGCAGCCAGAGGAAAGATATACAAAGCTCATCGCAGAGGGGAGACTATACCTGAGGGCTGGGCGTTGGACGCGAACGGCTCGCACACTACCGACCCAGCTGCTGCTCTCCAGGGAGTAATGCTACCGATGGGTGGTCCCAAGGGTTCGGCTCTCTCTATAATGATGGACGTCTTCTCTGGCGTGCTTTCCGGGTCTTCGTTTGCTGGAAATGTCACTGGCCCATACGATCCATCGAAACCGGCTGGCGTGGGACATTTCATCATGGCCTTGAAGCCTGATTTGTTTCTGTCTCTAGACGAGTTCAAGGAAAGGATGGACTACCTTTATCAGCGCGTCGTGGGCTGTGAGAAGATGCAAGGTGTTGAAAGAATATACTACCCTGGTGAAATTGAGATCATCACCTCAAAAGAGCGGGCTAGGGACGGCATCCCATATGCCCAGGCAGAGATCGATGCTTTGAACAAAGAGGCGGACTTAGTAGGCACTGGTCACATTGTAACGAAGGGGTAGGCGCGCCACGCAAATGCAGATTGGACTAGCCTGCCCTCGAAAGAGAGGATATACTATCGAATAATAGTAATAAAAAATATATGCTCAATTCTAAGTCGTAACTATGGCATCCTCATCATTCAACATGGGATCTTTTGCTATTTACTTTTATAGTGTTATCATCAGACCCTATTTCAGCGACGGTTTTAGATTTTTGTGAAGACTTCCTTATAGTTTCCCAACGTTGCCAACCGCTCTCGGTCAGGTCTTCTCGAGGGAGAAGATCTCGAATTCGGAAGTATCTGACAGGTTCCAAGTCCAAAACCCATTCGAGCCAACCACTCTTGCGTAGGTAACCCCCAATTTCAAACCAGACAACCCCATATGCAATTCCAATGACGCTTCCAGCCAGCACCTGTTCAGGGGTGTGGTAGTTTAAATAGATCCGGCTCATTGCAACCATCGTAGCCCCTACACAGGCTAGCGAGGCCAAACCAACACGCTCAAGGGCGCTTATATACCCAGACAGAATCGACGAGGAGGGAGCATGTCGGAAAAGGAGAAATAGGGTGAAGAATACAGCAAAGTACCCCATAAACTGGGAGTGAGATGAAGGCATCCCGTAGCCTTTCCCATTCATTTCTGTAGTAGTGAGTCTGTTAGAGTTGCTTTTTCGGACGGTTGTGTATGGTAGAGAGAAAAAGGCTATTCGTACGGTATGGCCTCTCTTGTTTGATTAACCGCTTTAATCCAAAATTTAGAACTTCGCATGATAACTGCCCAGCAAGCATAAAGATAATCTCTACTTCACGTGTTGCCCAGCAGAGTGATATATAAGAGATAATTAATGCCTGCGGAACAAGTGCCAGAAAAGCGCATAGGTATGAGATAGGGTCTTCTGGGTTCTATATGCAAGAAAACCATTAGCATTAGTCCTGCAGACATAAGAAAGGATAGTATACCTACATAATGGACATGTGTCAGTGAAAGAGATGCTAAAGGGACATATTCATCTGCCATTTTCACTTAAAACACTCCCTGAGCGTATAAGATATAAGATGAAATGATCCAGAGTGGATATAACAAAAGAGGGAGGAATCCAAAATTACTAAATAACTAGCAGCAAATGTTATCTCATATTGAAGAATATGAAAAATAACTCCGGTTGTTTAGTTAGCACCACAGGCAATCAAAACCTGCTGGTATTCTTCACCAACAGTGTATGGACTTTGATGGTGGCCGTAAGAAAGAGCAAAAAACATGCCGCGGCTTAACTAAGTTTTTAGGCTTATCGATAAGAATGTCTGTCGGTGACCCAAAATAGTGTTAGCAAGTGAACCAGCAACCAAATATTTAAAACTGCAATAGAACCTGGGGCAGACATAAAGTGTTCTATCTTATTCCGTCATTTACTTGTTCCCTAATAAAGATACCAGAGCATCCACTCTATACCTTCTGACCCCAGAAGCAGGGCAAAATCCCCTTCTACAGCTCACCAGTCACTGAGGGGCAAAACTTGAGACTCGGGCGGTTGAGGCTCTTCTCAGGCAATATTCCTATTGCTTAGCTGGACCAGGAGACGTAAGCTGGCCTTTACGACTCGGAGATCGTGGTTATTCTACTATATTTCGGTTACACATTTTCGAATTTTACTCCGGAGGCGATGGATGAAGATACGGATGATGAGAGAAGCCAGGAGCTTCAGTCCATTGCGGCCATTTACCCCGAGATCGTTGTGGACCCTTCTGCACCGTTTAAAGCTTCCTTGACGCTTCCAATTTCACCACTGAATCCTATAAAGGCCGTGTTTCGACGATCGAACACGGATGCAAGTACCAAATGCCTGCTTTCGCCTCCCCCGTCCGCGGAGCCTAGCGATGTGAAAATTGGAACAGACATTATAAATGGAGCTACATCTGACAGGGAGGCCGTAGATAATGAGGTTTATAGCCTCTCGCATCTTCCACCTCTCAACCTAGAAATCGAGCTCCCGGAAGGATATCCAGCCGAGAAACCACCAGTCTTTTCGATATCCACAGACCTTAACTGGCTACCCACGCCAAAAATTAATAAATTGATCGAAGACGGAAAGACACTCTGGGAAGAATCAGGGAATAATCTGGTTGTCTTTTCATATATAGATCACCTCCAAGTTGCGGCGGAGGAAGGTTTTGGGGTAATCAATGACTTGGAAGATGTCGTGGTGTTCCCCCAGGAATTAAGAATAAGCCTGCTAGATTTTGAGAACAAAGCTAGGAGGGAAGAGTTCAAACAGGAGACATTTGAATGTGGAATTTGCCTTGAGCCAAAGAAGGGCAAAGTTTGTCATAGGATGCAGCGCTGCCTTCATGTATTCTGCGCTCAGTGCCTTCAGGACTTTTATCAGTCATGCATTAAGGACGGTGATGTTGATAATGTGAAATGTCTTTCTCCGGGTTGTGGAAAGGAGAAAATCAATGATAGTCAACCTGAGGTTCGCAAGAAACGTGACCAAACCCTCAGGCCTGGAGAGCTATTGCAAATACCCCTTCCGCTTGAGACTGTACAGCGCTATGCTCGACTGAAGAGGAAGAAAAAGTTGGAATCGGATAAGACAACCATTTACTGTCCCCGCCAATGGTGTCAAGGTGCTGCTCGTTCAAAAAAGCACCCTAAGCCCATAGATTTAATTAATGACGATGAAGCTTCAGATGAGGAAGAAGATAACGGTGTTCCATTCGATCCGTTAGGCGCACAAGAACAGCTACCTCCAATGTCGGAAAGATTGGCTGTTTGTGAGGATTGTTCTTATGCTTTTTGTAGCGTGTGCAAGAAGGGTTGGCATGGCCCGATGAGCATATGCTTCCCTCGGAGAGAAATAGAGCTATCAGCGGAGGAAAAGGCTTCCGAGGATTATCTCGATATATATACCTCCCGGTGTCCCACCTGCGCTGCACGATGCCAAAAATCAATGGGTTGCAATCATATGATATGTTTTCAGTGCAATACCCACTTTTGTTATCTGTGCTCTAGCTGGCTTTTTGCAAACAATCCGTACGAGCATTTCAATACCGAGAAAACATCGTGCTATATGAGGCTGTGGGAGTTGGAAGGCGGTGATGGCGAGGGAGCTCCTCTTCATATAGAGGATGCAGATGTTGTTAATGGTGAGATTGAGATGATCGACGATGATGATGAAACGGGTCACCCGCTACCTGTGCCACCACCTGCGCCTATCCCTCCAAGGGCCATTCCCCCAATAAACCGAAACCGCCGACTACCTCCGCTGGAAGAAGAAATTGGCCTAGCAAGACTGGGATTACGCGGGGGTGATGTACCGGTCAATAGACGCCGAGCACAGCCACAGCAGGGTATCCACAATAATCAAAACGGAGGTGTGGATGGCCAGGTACCTCCAGATCAGTTGCGAGGATTGCAGCGGTTCCTATACCTTGTTCAGCATGACCAAGAGGACGAGTGGGACAGCGATGAAATGGACGACGATTTCTGAGCCATAACTCACCCTCCGGCTTCATAACTTCACCTCATGGCCACTTAAATAACGTGTCTTGCAGATAAGGCCTATCAAAGCTTCGCCCACCGTCCCGAGGAAGCAATTTAGCCTAAAAAGTGCCAGGTTGTCACGTCCCGGGCAGGGGGCCATATACCGGGATTATATTATCACATCATCTTACGCTGCTCAGCGTATATTATGGTCAGAAATTGGTGGCTACGATGCCTGTTCTGTTCATTTTGAGAAGCATGGTCTGCGATTCCCACGAATTTGGTATTTATGAACATATCATCTCTAAACAGGTTAGCAGCTTTATTCCTAACTGTGGTATCGAGTTTACTTTCCAAGCTGACTCAAAGGGGTATCACAGGCAGTCTCCTGCATTGCTTAAAGCGAGATCTTCAAATCCGTACCTGGTTATCTGTTAATGAGGCCCTTCATGTATCTATGATTTACAATATTCCAACAAATTTTCAACTTTGAAAAACTTTAAAATAAACATTTAATTAAGCTTTCGGATTTTATTTTATCCATTAGCTTAATAATCCGCAATTTAACGACTCCCTGGCTTATTAAACGACGAGTAAAATAAAATAACCTGAGAGAATATTTGCATTAGCGGTAAATAAGACATGAATGGGTACTGAACGAGACAGCCTACGGACTTTGGATATGTTTATATGCCGTGTTGAATTGATTTAAAAGACATCTAGTTGCGATATCGCCTCATGACAACCAACTAAGGTATACCCCATACCTCGAGGCCCATCTGTGCCTTGATAACGTTTGAGTGTACGGCGATTATACCATTTAATTGTTTATGGAATGGAGACCCTTGAAAACACGGATCAGGATGGATCTGGGGAGGAGCATATTGTACGCGCAGATGAAGTCGACAACATTGGAATCGATATATCTACGGCCTCTGATGAGCGGCTAATTGCAGATGCCATCTCAAGCATAACGCTATCTGAAGATAACGAGACTAAAGTTGATGGAGAAGATGGGTATGATGATGCATCACTACCCCAGCGACGCTCTCAGCCTTCAGCTAGACCCGAGTTACGACGTGATCGCGTTGCACCACCGCCACCTTTGCAACCACCGCCGCCAGCTCCTGTGCAGCAGGGCACAGAAAACCAAACGGACTCTGTGAGCCTTGCTCAACTACGTAAAATTGTCCAGGATCTGCCAAAGTCTGACCTACCTTCTTACGCCTTCAATTATGACGACTGCCAGCCGTTCCCCGAAGAGATCAATGAGTGGTTCAATGACGACGAACCCGACAAGCTTATGCTTCTGGGTTGCAAGGCCACCTTTGAGCAGTCGTGGCCAGCTTTCTGTCAGTCTTTATCCGAAATTCCTGAATGTGACACGTGTTGGCTGAGTGCAAGCGACCATCATAAGATGGCTTTTATCAAAAAAATGATTGAGTTTTTTAGTAGCACCGACATTTTCTCTCGACTTGATGCTTTGGAGAACATTGCCTATACACTAACAGGTATCTGGGTCTCCACTGCTGGAAGGGTGGCTGAGGACTATCCTTTAGATATAACTGAGCACGATGCTGCAGAGACCCCCAAAAAACGATCTATGCAGATTCAATGGATGATTAAAAATGCTCATATTCTACAACAGTGCCAAGGGATTCAGGCTTTGTTTAATTATCTGCGGAGATTTTTTGATAAAGACCAGTGAGCCAACACCCTGATTTTGAGTGTCCTTTAACTGGGGTTTCTCACACAAGATTTTTTTCAGGCCATTTATACAAGATGATATGAAGGCGTTTACAAATGAAAATGGTACAACTGCATATGCTGTCGCTAGAAATAAGGAGGCTAATCTACTGCTCACTTGCCTTTACATTATTGTTGAGGTGGCACGGAGAGAAGAAAAGCTGGAATATCCTAATTTGGAGTTGAGGGACGCATTTGGTAGGCCCATCCACTAATATATTTGAACAATGTCGAATACCTTACTCACTCAGTCTAATCTAGCTGCTTTAACACCTAATTTACCCGGAACACTTGTTGAAATTGTTGCACGACTGCGCTGGGAGGATCCTTCTACCTTTCCACTAACAAGGGTATGCTTGCCTATGCAAACTATTAGCTACTTTTTTGACAAGTTTTTTTTAGATCCTTCTTCTATTTTGGAAATCAATTCTTCTCTTATTTGGTGGTATTGAGCCTTTGAAAAGAGCAAAAACTATCCTGGAGCCTGCGCATGAACAAAATCGTCTTGAGGAAAATGGCTCTTCAACTATCCCCACTCTTACGGCCTCTCCACTCGATTATCATCTATTTAGGCAGGAGATTATATCTAAATACCCAGCCTACAATCCGCCACCACCACTAGTCCCCTTTGAATTGGAACACAATTCAGTTCTGCCGCCACTTCCTACTTCTTTGAGTCGCAACTCTTCTTCTGTTTTGTTCTCTGGGGTTGGGTCAACTTTGGCGAGTAATAATGATTCTATTCTACACCAATCTGTTCACATTGCCACGCCTGCTCCTTCTCCTCCACCATCCCCTGGGGGCCCTGGAAAAGTTGGAAAGAAACAAAACTATCAAACGAACCAGCATTTTCCATTTATGTATCCCCCACTAGATGGATCAAGCAATAATATTGGAGGGAAGGGTTCTAGTGACCTTCAAGACAGCCTTGTTGGTAGGAGGTGGGAAGGGAGCGATGTTCCTGCATCAATCATTGAGGCGGGCGAGCTGTTTTCTAGTCGCATGAGGATGACAAGAGCATTGGAACAACTCTGGGAAGAGCGAGAAGCGTTCATGAAATATGATCGTGGATGGGATGAAAGGGCACCGAACAGCGGATACCGAGGGTTATCTGATGATACTAAAGCCGATCCTCAAACTGACCAAGGGTGGAAACCTCGAAGACAAACTGAGGATGATGATGTTCAACGGCGTTTAGATGAAGTCGAAAACTTCTACGTAAGTATGCCTTTACAAACGCCTAGAGTTATCTTCTAATATTTCCAAGGTCCGCGCGCTTCCACACCTCCAGTCTTTCGTAATTGTGGTGTTAAAGGATATTTTAACGAGTATCACTGCTATTGCGAGCAAATCAAATTGCGGTGATAATATTGACGGCAGAGCGGAGTATGTATTAAATGGATAACTATGTGTTGACCTTTGACTAACCATCTAATAGGAATGAATTGAACGGTCACAAGCAAACATCCAACAAAACCCGCATTCCAGAGCCATTCCTATCCACGAGACAGCTGCAAGAAGCTAGGTCTAGAGAAATCAGATTTGAGGCTATTTCTGGAGCATTGATTTTACTCCTGAAGTGGTTTAAACGATGCCGTACGTTTATCAACGTTCTAAAACACGAATTGTCATATCTTTTCTAACACTTTAACTAGATATTTTAAAATTCGAGTACTTGTCACAAATTCTACTCGATTCAAACTACATCCCTTTAATATTAAAAATGTTCATCCATCAGGAAGTGGACCACGCTGTTGCACAGCCCCAAGACCCATTAATATCAAGGTAGAGTTACCATGCATAATTCATGGTTTTCTCCTGCCACACTCATGCTAATCCAAGCTATAGTTTCTTTCACTTCTGCCACGTTCATTCTGATCAGCCACCGGAGCCTATCCCTCCTCTAGAGCCCACGGAGATTGCTGATGACAGTAGCGAAGATGAAGCAGCTCCGCCCCCGATACTCCGACAGAGCCATTCAAGGATATCAATGCTTGAAGAGGCCTCTGCAAAATCAGCTGCTACCGATCAGGGCAAAGAAAACGCCAGGTTTCTTGAAGTCGATGAGCTCGGTTTTCCAACAGCACCCATTGAACCAGGGCCTATTGCCACTTATTCCTTCCGAAACTTCTTCTCCGCGATTAACTTCCTACACGTTATGCAAAAAATTACTCGTGATAAAGCCCATAGGTGCTTACTCCTTGTGCAATACAAATGTAGCGCGGTGCTACGGAAGGGGCTTAAAATACCTGACCCACACCTTCGCTTATATACCCTCAAGCTGTTTAAGTCGCAAGTACCTTACTGCGGTCGCAAATGGCGCTTGAGTCACATGAGAGTCATTACGGCAATCTACTTATACTGCCGTCCTGAGCTACGTGACGATTGGCTTGCTGGTGGTGACGTCGACGCTGAGGTAGAAGAATCACTACCTATGGAGCAAGCCCTAAGAGGGTTAACCCATTGGTGGCACGTCCGGCAGTATAAGGATGTCTTATCTGCTGAGAATGGGAAGCCATTGATAGATGAAGAACGGGATTTCTTCACCCGTGAATTAGAAAAAATTGGGTGGGGGTGGTTCGGCGACGAGTTGGCTAATGGCGTTGAGGAGGATGGAGAATACGCGCCTCACATCGGAGGAGGGCCAGAGTTGGAGAAAGCCGTTCAGATGGAAGCCTGGTGATGAGTGATATGTTTAGTATGGTGTGGTCCTAGACATGAAGGGTTAATGAATCACGTCTCTTTTGTTTTTAGCGCAAAACCCGTTGTAATAAACTAGGTAAAGAAAATAGGGGTTGTATAGTCTAGGGGTTCGCCTTCTATTAAACCTGCATGGCTGCACCGATCCTGGCTTATTTGCTCCCATTTTAATGGAAAGAAGAAGGAAGAAATATAACTTTTGCAGTACGACAGTGATGTCAACAATCTATATAATGAACATAAATCATGATCACATCCTGGCTCCATGTTAGCTATGATCCGAGTCAGGCTAGTTAACTAAAAAATAAAAAATAAACGCCTAGTAATTTCAACCGCCGAAGTGTCAAGTTTAATCGGCCTCCGTTTCACCTGCCCCTATTCTTCGCAAGTGCTTCCCCTATCAAAGCACGTCAAGTAAAGGACCAATGGCTTCGATTTCGGTCAATAAGCGAGCTAATTTTCCACCAATAAATACCGAACTATGGCCTAAGTATGAATGGTTCGTCTTTATGATATGCCATCTGTGCTTCTGGTCCCCTAAGTTCCTTTGGCCAGTCATAGTAAAGCTCGTAATGGAGGATTGTATGGTCACAGTATGTTAAGAAAAGGCGATAACGGCGGGAATATTCGATTCCATGCCACTTTTCTTTCCTTGGTCCTCCATTAAAGGGTACATAAGTACAATGCTTTCCACGCAAGCACGATTTACCCGGTTCACCTTCAGCACGGTGTGAGTGGGCACTGGTTCCGCGCTGGCTCGATGAGCTACTGTGATTATTGGATTTGTGGACATCAAAATCATATCTCCTAGGGTATGCATCTTCGTAATCATCTGAAGGACTCTCTGGCGGGATTAGATGTGGGGCAACTGGGCTAGCAGCAATTCCAAGTAACGGGCATAATGGGCGAAGCCGATTGCGTTCTTGACTTGCAAACGGGAGTATGCGGTCCATTCTAAATACCTTTCCCTCATTAGGTACTTCCGTAAGGCCAAGTACGGCAACCCTTCCTTTCTGGGAGGCCGCAACAACAATACCAAGGTCAGGAATTTGGAGAGCCATGTTGAAGCGGTCAGTCGCTTCTATAAACTGTACAGGGTTTGTTACAACTTGTGATAGAGCGGCACGAAAAATGACGGATGGACCGTAAGAAAAAGGGCCTGGGAGCATTCGAATATGAGCTTCAGAGAAATGAAGAATTGGAAAGTCACTAAAGAGGTCAAAATCTGGGTGGTCTTCTGCCAGCAGCCTTCCTGTATCATTAGGCTTGTCCAAGCCATCAGATTCCGAGTTGGTATCTTCATCAATGGGGGAGACGGGCTGTGGTACAGCAATTCCACTTTGTACACCGGATTCAGAAGAATCTTCACTGCTGGCATTATCAGTATCGTCATCATTGGGATCCATATTAATGTCCGCATTGTCGACAACAGCATCGTCACTATGGGTGCCCTGGACATGTATATCATCTTCGTTTTCATCACCTTCATATTCGTCCTCCTCGTCGTCCTCCTCGTCGTCTTCGCCATAATCGATTTCAATATCCTCATCGCCAGAGTCACTCAAATTATTGTTATCATTCAAAAGATCTGTAGATGCAGTTTGGTGAGCCGCGTGGTGATAAGTATATAAAGAAGAAGCGCTTTCTGGGGCCCCTTGTACCCCAGGTGTGGAGGGGCCAGCATTTTGTCTCTCTGTTCCTTCGTAAACTAGAGGGGAAGTTGTAGGAGTTGCAGGTTCACGATGCCCAGATAACTCCCCAGAGTCTCCATCTGAGCCATCAGAGTGGGTAAGAGGGAAAAGCTCATCAGGTGGAGGTCCTTGGCTTTGATATTCATTTGCGGGGGGTCGTGGCGAGAAGAAATCATAATATTGAGTGGCATCATGGACTCTACCGGCTAGAAAGCTAAGGTCATATGGGGCTTTCTTATCGGGAAACCTGTGAGGTGGGCCGCCACAGGCCTCAAAGAGGTCTTTTTTCATTCGGAAAGACCTAGGGTCAAGGGCGAGAACACTCCAGCCACGTTGACGGCTACTGATTCCCTATAAATTAGACAGTTTCTAAGAATCCTTTCTCTGCTATTTTCACTTACTCATCAAACAAATCATCATAATGCTGGTCTTCGGCGGGGTAAAAATCCCAGTGGTTGACTGGGCGAAAGCGTTCCCAGATCTTCCAAACGAGGAGTTTATTGTTAATATCCGTGCTGACCAGCCAGTCTCCATGAGGATCTAGATCACAGTTCAGAAATGAAACGTTGGGTATATTTGCAGCATGTCCTAATAATGAAAGCCGAATGTTTTGAGCACGTCGGCGTTGCCGCGACCAGCTCCGTAGTTTCATAAATTCTGAAGGGGAGGCAATATGAATCCAGTCGTTATTATAAACCTTTGGGTTGGCGGCGCCAGAGGACGAGTTCCCCTGGGCTGTGTATGCTGTCTCTGTATCCTCGACTAACGCAAAGGCGAAAATAGTGATAGTTGTAGTGTTTGAGCTTACAGCAATCATCCTGGCAAATTTATGAATTGCTAAAGCCCAGGCACTCTGCGTAACCCATTCGCTAAAAAAGCATGCTACACCGTTGCCTAGTTGGATTGGATCAGTATCTTCTACGCGGCGTCCTTCAATAGCCAAGTAAATATGTTCTGTTCTGTAAGCGGCCACATTTCCAGAGTCCGTTGCCAAAAGTAGAATTTCGTCAGATCCAAGGTCACCAACAGTTATCTGATTGATAGCATGTGGGATATTGGGAGCAATATAACCCGGGGCATCAGGTCGTGCCATTTTTGGAGTTAGTATAAGTGCTGGTCTTGACCCGATCATTTGTCCACGGCTAGGTTGATACACGTGGATACGACTGGAGTACGCAACGAAGTAGAGGTTTCGCCTCTGGGATAAAGCAGTCTAAACACGGTCACCCTATAGTTAAGAGGTGTAACAACTAATGGTCTCAAATTATCCCGACTCACTAGGTTGTTTCGCCATGTCGCAACTGGAGGTGAAGGGCTGTTCCGTCTAGTCGAAAAAAAATTTGATGCATCAGCTGTTGCTGCTGTTGTAAGTACAGAGGCTCCTGAGGGTAGTTGGTAGCATACGGAAACTGTAGTCTTAAGTTAGTAAGGAGGAGAGCATGTAAAGATACAGGGTCCCTCGGAGACATACACGCCTATCTCCCCGTTCAACGCCATGTGGCTCAACCGTAATACCATGATCTGCATGCTCCTCAACGACTGTTACCCAGGCCGGGTTGCTTGAAGCATCACTCCGCAATTTCTGATCCATGTTGAAGAGTCAAGCCATGCATTTGGGTATATCAAAGTGAAGTCATGGGCACTGCGGTGGATAGACTGGGCCTATTGGAGCGCTGTTATTGGTGAATAAGGGTAAGATACGGTGTTTGCTAAGAGGTAAAGCAACCATTTCTTGAGGGAGGCGAGAATGTGGTGGGGTTTTCGTAATGGCCAGGAACCGCCAGGCAAACACGCCAAAACAACTGGGATAAATGGCAGAGAAAACGTTCCGATCCTCTAGTCCTCAGCACAACAGTAACTGATCGCCAGCACACCAGCGTTAGGCCACAGACTGAGGAACCGGCGTCGAAGATGAGGCTGTAGATTTCGACCTACGTCAACATTATTTTTTTCTTGCGGAAGTAAAAAGTTCCAGTTACATCACGTGCTCACTTTATTTCCCCGGCCTTGTAGTGCACGGATCTTTAAGTGATCCGTGCATAAACAGTCGATAACGTGACTATTTTGAGCCATTTTGGCAAGTTTCAAGTTTCGATTTTGCTTCAGTTCTGAAGATAAAGATGAAGAACTCAAGAAGAAATTGAAGGCGAAGAGGGAATAGGAAAAGAAGAAAAACACAGAAAGTCTTGTGCTAGACAGCTAACATGGATCTCGTATCCACAATTCGGAAGGAAGGTAGCAGGTAGGTTGCGAGCCCTGAGAGCATCCAGTACAGGGTTCAAGCTCACTAATCTATGGCTATTTAGAGGTGGACAGACGGAGTTCAAATGGTCAGACGTCAAGGATTCGAGTCGTCGGGAGAACTATCTTGGCCACTCCCTGATGGCCCCTGTCGGTCGGTGGCAACAAGGCCGTGATCTATCATGGTATACCAAAGGAGAAGACCCTGATGCGGCAAAAAAGGCCCGAGAGGAAGAAATCCGAAAAATTAAGGAGGCAGAGCAGGAAGCTATTGCTCGGGCGCTTGGTCTGCCGGTATCAGTGCCGTCAGCAAGCTCGAATGCAAATATGGAGCCGCTAGGAGGGAAAGAAGTCGAGCAAACAATTTTAGAAGGGGCCGCTGGTGACAAGGGAGTTGACCGTGTCAAGGGAGTCGGCTTTGGTGGCTTCTCCGGGAATATGCCGGCTGGAGACAATATTAAGAAACTAGATCCAATGGGAGATGTTTCTGGAAACTATGATCAAGCTAAGAGGGCCAATGCTGATGGCCGAACCCTCGGTGACCGCCACTTGGACTGGAGAAAGGAACACAGCAGGAGAGACGATAGAGAACGTGCAAGGGATCATAGGAGTCGAAGGGATGATCACCGCTCAGACCGCCGTGATAGGAGGAGATACCGTTCACGTTCTCGAGACCGAGAGGCTGCCCGGAGGCGGCGCTCCGCCTCACGCTCACGCAGTAGAGGCAGGGGGTCAGGGGAACATCGGAGTCGCCACAGGCGTAGCCGGTCACCGCATGCCTCTCGGCGTTCTAGGGATGATAGGGGACACGACCGTTATGATAGAAGACGATGAACATGTATGAATTTAATAACGGGCTTTGGGCGTTTTGGTTGGAATATCTTTTGTATCTCATTGCATAGCTTTCAGGTCTGGTAAAGCTTTACTTGTATATATGATATTAAAAATCTAATCTACAGTTCATCCTTCGCGCTCGGTTTGGCGTTCAGATCAGGCATAACCATCATCTTCACCACCAGACTAGTCCAGCCAGTGAAGTGTTGGGTCCGTTGGCCTTTGCCGGTATCAGGATTGTATTGTTCCCAGGCGAAACCAGTCCTCTTCCACTCCTTGAACACATTGTCAACTACGTTCCTGCGTAGTTTTGTGTACATCTCACGGGCTTGGTCCTGATAAGGGCCTGGAACCTGAGCAATACTCTGTAAAAAGAGTGTGGTTAGACATGAACGGTAAAAAAGGTTTGCATATGGAGACATACCAACAGATTCTTGATAACCAAATAATTCATATTGATCCAAATAGGGCCCTTCCAATAATTCTCTCCCGTTCCAAAGAACTCATCCTTCTTGCTAAGACTTCGTATGCCGTAGTCACTCCACAATTCATCCGGATCTTGAATGAGGTTTAGAATATCCCCAAGTCTAGGGTGATTAGCGTCCATAAGCCCAGTCATGAAAGGGAAAATTGAGATGTATCCCTTGTGGCACACATGTACACTTTCTTCATAATCGTCAATGGTGGCATCACAGTAAGTGTTTGCGTCCTTGTCCCAGTGGAGATCATCAACGTTCCTGAGAATGGCGATTTCGTATTTTGTGTACTCCTCTACATCGGCCGTCTCTTCCAATGTTTCTGCAATGCCTCGCAAAGATCTGGTCATCATGCCCATCCAGCTTATGAGGTCAACGTGAAGCTCGCCGGGATGAGGTGGTTGAGGCCTGGGGTAGTCATCCAGCCCTGATGTGAGAATATGTTCAACCGTACGCCCTCTCCATCGATATCCTTCTTTAGTGGAAAAAGATTCTCTCTCGTAAGATTTAAGATCACCCCATTGAGTTTTCCTAAACCAAAAGTAATGCCGACGAAGGAGAGGGTAGATGGAACGAAGGAATGATTTACTGAGCTCCTTGTTATCAGAATAATTAGAGTTAGAGCCATGAAGATCAGACGACTTTCCTAAGGCGGCCTTGTTCATGAATTCTGTGAGAACAAGGAACAATGTTGGTGGGTTGGCATAGTGTGGGTACTGTGTCTGGAATTCGTGTGGGACTTTGCTTCTTGCTTCTGGCCCGAGAATTTGTTCTCTCGCGATCCATCCGTCTTCATCCATAAGATTTAACCAGCTCTTGACAATTTGAAGCCTATTCCATATTAGTTCTCTACTTTAGAACAAGGAATAGGACATAAGCACTTACGTCAAGTCAAGATCCCATTCTATTACCGGCAATAGGTGAAAGCCCTCATCCCACAAGAAGCCTCTAGGGAAAAACGGTCGTGAGGGAATTGAAGTAAATAGTTCAGAAGGATCGGTGGGAGTAAGCTGTGCGCGGGCTCGTGCTTCAGCTGCGTCCTCCCAGAATCCTTCGCTCTCTTCATCGTATTCCGGTGCATGAGTCCGGTCGACGATTGAATCTCCATAAAAGTAGCCAATCCCGCCTACCAAGTTTGAAAGCATTGCCTTAGAAAACTTCAAGTATTCAGGCGTGTTGAATGGAGCAAGTGGTTTGAATATCTCCTCAAACTTTTGCGAAAATGAGGCAGATACATCTTTGATCTGCTCCGTGATGGTTGAAGCTAAACTAGTTAGCAAAGAGACATCTCATACCATGGAAACCACTTTATACATACGGGTTAGTGGCTTTTCTGCAGTCCCTGACGAGAATAAGATATCAAACTAATCAGTAGTCAGTGGATAATGGCGTAGTATGCAATATATCGAGTAAAAACTAACCTCAAAGGCTCCACGGAAGACTTTCTGTACATAGTGAATATTGTCCCCCTGCTGGGCGTTTGGAAGAGTAAACAACGCTGGTGGAGGCGGTGGATTTTTGTCTCCAAACTTCTGCAACATAGCATCAATAGCTTGCTTCATCTGCGTGAAGAGTATAGCTAGTAAAATGTCAATGACTTTGGTAACAATCCAGATAGCAGTATGGTTGGGAGGGCAATGTCATACTCTTCCCTTGCCAAAGCGCCTCTGGCCTTACATTCATGCTTGACACGATTGTCCTGTCCAGTGGCTTCTCGTCATAGCTTGGATGCACTCTCTCCGGATAGGCGTTGGTATCTGGTCCACGAGTGATGTCGATGGTAAAATCTCCAAGACTCATCGTCTTTCCAGCAAGTCTGACATCTCCTTCATATCCTAGTTCGTTGGGTTCGTTGCTTAGTCCCAGGTTTCCCATACCTTCCATGCCAGCATAGAATATCACCGTCGAAGGCTGATCAGGGGCCGCATCAGGGCGAGGCACACCCTTGATGCGAGCACCCCAACTGCCGCCATTGTCGCCCCCGGGGACTTTAATAAAGTCAATAGTAAGGTCGATCGTATTGCGGGAATCGTGTATTGTCTGTCTACCGCCTTTCCGAATGTCATACTCCTCCCAACCGTAGCCCTCCATCCCCTCATTTTGCTCACAAGTATGTCTAAAGTCTAGCACAACGTTCGACCAGGTTAGCCGTTGTTCAATTATCATTTCCGGACAGATTATATTTAAATTGAGCTAGAAATCAGGGTCTACGTACTATCCTGAGCGGTGCTGTAATCGTCGACCTTCGCCCATAATAAGCCCATAAGCAAGCTCTTTGGAATCCGTGGGCGCACCCCAAAATATAAATTAGGGCGATAAGGGCCCCAGAGTAATGTTTGGTTCAATACCGTATCAACGGCGAGGGCAGCTGTATCCTCTGCAGCTGCCAGGGCACCATTCTGGCTATAGCTGGCCAACGCGGAGAGGATACAAACCCAGGAAAAAGAAGACACAACGCCCATGTTGCTCACTTGCCCTGGTTTTATGCACAATTACCGGGTCATAAAGCTGATCAAACCCCAGGTATCAACAGGCCAGGCCTGCCTTTCCATCTAGTTGAACTGTTGATATCCAGTCTTTGACGTGTCCACATTGACCAAGTTAGATGGCTGCCGGAGATACGATGGTCCGCAGATGATTAAATCCATACCTATGGATTGTTATTGATAGTAATCTAGGCCCTGATGAAGATGGTTTCTACTATATTGTATGACTAGCGAAGATAACAAGACTGACATACTGAAGTCATGTTTTTGATATTGAAGGAATAATAAGAAAAGCATGCTGTGACTTCATTCAGATGGTGGTAGCATCTAGACAAGCGATTTGAAGCTGAATAGACAATTCTTTATAGCACCTTACGAGGATCAAGAGAAGAGATGCTCAGGCTCTTTGCATCACCATCAAACACGAACTCACTCATCAGCTTCCCCGTCGCTGGTGCGTTCTGGATGCCCCAACAGGTATGGCCGGTTGCAAGATACAAGCCTTCTATACCAGTTTTGCCGATAAGGGGACTCCCTCGATCACCGGTGCCAGCTACATTAGGAAGATAGCAGGCTTGTCGAACCATCACCTCACCATCTCGCAGTTCATCAGATATGCTTCCAATTGCATCGATCACGTCCTGGCATCGGGACTGGTCAACCTCGACATCTGCTGTGGACGAAGGTAACGGCATCAAGGTATCGCCCTCTCCACAGGCATAGACAGTGTTGTCCGGCCTGGCATAGATTTCAGGGCTCATTGCAGATACCCTGCCAAATTTGGACTGTTCGGCTGGGAGTGTGATATCGGTAAAGAGCGTGTATGCAGAAACAGGACGAGTTGGACGAAGCACGACGCTGTGCGCACGAAGAGCTTCAATTGGAGCTGGGGGGAATACCCTTGATGTCCAGGGACCGGCTGAAACGATAACATCTGTAGCAGCGACAGACTCCGAGACCCCAGTGATTTTACTCTTGTATGTTACCGTCTTAACACTGCCTGACGAATAGTCAATGTCCGTAACGGTTCCAAAGACCACTTTTGCACCCTTCTCCTCCGCCAGCTTCGCCATGGATGTCGTAAACAGGTACGGGTGAACCTGTGCAGTGGTTCCTTTACCTCCCATATCCTCATACCCCCTCAGCACAGCGGGATCAAACCAGTCAAGGTCTTCCGGGAATCCAGCAGCCTTCAACGTAGCCATTGCAGCATCGCTTCTCTTGCCCAGTGAGACGGCCTCGTTTCCGGATTTTGCCTTGCCTCCATGGCTTCGTGAGCGACTGTCTGCGATCAGCTGTCCACATCCGACTTCTCTGTAGCCCCATCTGTCAACTCCATCATGTTCCTTTGCCAGTTGTGCGTGCAGCTGATAGCTTAACGGGACGATGACTTTGGGATATGCCCACAGGGCAAGTAAACCGCCGGCCTTCCCAGATGCCCCGCCAGCGATCTCCGAGGCTTCGAGTATCGTTATTCTGTGTCTTGACGGATCGTATGAAGGGTGTCTGGTAAGGAAATAGGCACAGCAACATCCAATTATACCGCCACCTGTTGGGATAGGTGTTAGACTTGATGCTCTGTTATGGTAGAAGATAGCGACGTACCAACAATGACGATGTCCTTTGCTTTGCCAGCGTCTGCCATCTCGCTACTTTGATAGAATAATATCGTTCTTATTTCGAGAAATAGCCAATAACGGAGCGGCCAAAGAAGCTCGTGTCTTCCAAAGCTTTGAAGAGAATAATGTCTTTTTTGTCGCGAAGCTGCTTTTTATTCCTATGACGTTGTGTTGGGTAAATAAATATTTATCCCCGCCGACAAAACTGACACAGCCATGAATAATCAGCCTGCGATGACGATGAACTCAATAAAGGCATTAGATGTTGGGTATATTTCTCAATGCTGCGGTTTGCTCTAATTATACAAAATGGGGGTGTAAAATCCCAGAACTGAAGGCAAAGGAACGGGGGCAAATTAGCGACCAGCCTACCATTCGCCCTGAATATCTCAGAGGATAAAAAACAAGAAAAGGAAGAAAGAAATATTCACGCTCAGAATGCTGCTAGAAATGTGTAGATAAGAGGGAGGGGGAAGATGGAAGAAGGTAGCATCATCTGGTTGGACTCAGCGGTTTGTTAAATCCTCCCACACGGTTCATATATTGTCTATACTGCGTCTTCTTCTCCTTCCGGACACCTGAAACGTTGTTCCCTGGGACCTTGGTGTTCTGTGTGCTTTTAAAGGACGAGAATCCCATGGCCTTCATCATCACTTGGTCCATGTCGTCTGGATCGTCAGGTATGTCTACTTCCATCTCGTCCTGCCTGCTTGATTTGGTTGACGGTCGTGCACCATTGGGCTCTCTGCTATCTCCACGACGTCTGCTAGATCTTGTATCTCCCCGATCAGGCCCGCCTCTACGGGGGGGTGACCGTGAGCGAGCTCTACGGCCGTTTCGCGCAGGAGAGCGTGACCTCGATGGTGACCGGCTGAGAGTTCGTTCACGGTGTCTCTTAGGCCTGGAAGCGTATTCTATATACCAATGAGAGTATAAGCGCTATGCAAGCACAAGGGTAATGGGAGATGGTAAGCTGTTTATGTATATGCACATACCACGGCGGGAGCTGTATCTGTCTCTACTTAAGCTCCTCTCTCGACCTTTGCCGCCTCGACTATCTCTGTCAACATCTCGCCGGGTATCTCGCGGATAATCTCGCGTCCGCCTGTCCCTTGACCTGCTTCTATCCCGCTTTCTCTCTCTGTCCTGAGATCGAGATCGTGCTAGTCGTTCCCCCCTGGAAGACCCGTTCCTGGTGATCTCGTCCTTGCCAGAGGCTGCTTTTCTTAGGACACTGCCTGACTCCTTCGATTCGCTATCAGATCGCGTACTGTTATCATTCAAATCCCACATCGCTGAGCTATCTGTCCGTCTAGCCCGTTTGGCTGGTGGTTCGACCATGGTGTCAGGCATCATGCAGAAGATCGCGATTCCAGCAGTGTCAGGTGAAATAAAGAAGGCGCAGTATACGCTTGATTAAGTGCCAAAGGAGCCTGAGGTCTCGATTCAGTTGCTGCTTGATGCTGGATTAAATGTTTTCTTACTTGAGCTTTTCTTGCAAGATCGAAAACGAACAAAAAAACTGCTACGGCGGGCGGAAAAAGCCAAAAGTGCTTCTATGTTTTTTTTTCTTTTTGCGGGCAAAAAACGAAGAAGACAAAATTGATATTGAATAAAATCAACTAAGAAGACAGAAGACGGCGTAAAGAAAATATATACGATGCAATGTCTTCTAACAGTGTATCTCACCGCAGAGCCCATAACCTGCTTCTCATATCCAAGCTACTCAATCTCCGAGAAGGCGCTGCGCCGTTAACCCTCGTTCAAGACTCACTGGAGCAATCAGCTGCGCCGCTGTTGAAGGAGTATATTCGACGGACTAAAGTATTAGATCTGACCCCATTATAGCACTTTGGGATAGCCTTCTAACTGTTCTTTTTGCTAGCTATCCAAAGGTCATATAACTTTCGTCTCGTTTGATACGTTGACTCGCCCCGCTGGCGTTGATTCGTTTATAACCACCACTGGAAAGGCATACGAGCAGATCGCAAAGGAAGTGGTTGCGTCATATCCATCCTATCAGTCGTCGGAGAACCAAAATATCACTCCCAAAAGTAGGTGCCCGGAGAAGGAAAAGCAGCACTATTGTTCAGATGGCTGAATGTAAAGTATTTAGGATGTCTCGTCATAATCGACTCAGTCCACCCGCTGCTTTCACCTCGAGCTGGCGCAGACCCAGTCTACCTGCCTGAATATTTGAGCTCGGTGCTGGGGCCCCCTTCGCCGCACATGCAGGTCTCACTTGTCCTGGTTCATCATCGTCACATACCCCCTTCGCCCAGCTTGAACCAGTATGCGCCATCTCCACTATCGCTCTTGAGCTACCTTGCTACCACAATAATCACAATCCATTCGGTTTCACAGATGCTTGCTCGCAGGGCAGCTCTGGACAGGAGTTTGGCGCCGCCAGTATTTGGGCTGGAAGAAGAAGTTGACGGGGTTCTGATTGGAAGAGTAAATCAAAGCTCCAAGGGTGAGCGTCAAGACGGAATCGTGGTGGAAATGGAGCATAGACGGAAGAGCGGGCGAGGCATAGTCGAGTGGTACTTTTTACCTCACGCATCCAAATATCCCGCCAAGCAAGCTACGGAGGTGGTGATTTTGTTAGACGACCACCCGCTGTTTAAGCGAAAAGACGTTGAAGTGAACGAGGATTCTTGGGAGCCTGAATCGACATTTGAACTTGGGTTAACGGAGAGACAGCGGAAAGACAGAGATAACGTAGTGCTGCCTTATTTCGACGCCCAGAAATGCGACGGCCCTGGAGAAGGTGGACGTATCCTCTATGACATGGGCGAGGAAGACGATTTCGATGAGGAAGAAGACGATATCTGAGCAAAATCAGCGATGTTCTTGAGAATGTTGAAAATCTTCACCGGGAACTAGCAACTCAAGGGGTCCTCTGCCTAATTCTGTTGGATAGAGGGTGAGTGCTGACACGGCTTTACACGCTCGGCTACAACATGGCGGGCAATAGCGTCGCCGTTTGGACGGGATTCGGTGTGTATGATTATGGATATTAATATCTGCACTAGAAGAACCGCCACCAGATGAGAACGATAAAAATAAAGCCTACCCCCACGAATGGACCATACTACGAAACTGGGAATTAGTACGAGAGCCTCAACAGCGCATGACAGACGAATAAAACAGGCAGCCCTACCTGTTTAATCAGCAATTCCCAGTTTATTCGAACAGCCGCCTTTCGGTATTTCTTGCTGTCCTCCCGCAGTCTTCCAGACATCTCTCCCATGCGCTCCAGGCTGTCACCCCGGTACAAGAGATCTTCTATATTCTTCGTCATGACCTTGGTCACATCTTTGAGCTCGTCGTTCAATTTATTGATATTCTGGGTTGCTCGACTATCTTGATACGTTTTCTTGGTGCGCTGGATAAACGAGTCAAACTCAACAAAGGCATATGGTCGTAAAGTGGAGGAAAGGTACTGCGTCGGAGAATAGGTGGTGAAGAACTCGGACGCGATATCTGAGAGATATGTGAAAGCTAATTTGCGGGGATACGACTGGTCCGCGATGCATAGGAAGCAGATGTCGTCCTGAATAATGTAACTAGAAGAACAGCCGCATTAACATTTTCTTCCTCTCTCTCGTTCCAGGGATATCTCTCTCATACTGTAGACTGTAACGGCCTGAGGATATGCTAGCTTGCTGCTCTGAGTTGCGGTTTAACCGTGCAACTATCTGTTTGGTCTGCGACTTGACATCTGAAAGCTCCGACTCAGCCTATGAGCAAATACTTAGCTTCTTCTTCTCCCCTTTCCTGCAATAGGACAAACACACACCTGTTCATTGTCCACTGAAGCAGCCAGCATAAGGCCTAAAGAAAAGCATCCAACTTAGCTGCAAACACTCAACGGTCCAGACATAGAACCACGACCCACCATCCAGCCTAGAAATCTGTGTTGATATGACCATATTGAGAGGCTCTTCTATCGTTCACGTCAACCCAGTCTGCTATTTGTTGTCGGTAATCCACACAAAACTCCCTTGAAGCCAGATTGTCTCTTTTCTCCTTGTTATTTTATTACAGAAAAGAAAAAAAGTAAAAAAAAAAAGACCATGAAGCGCAAGGCGGTGGCGGGCGGCAGAACTAGCTCCCCTAAAGTATCGTAAGTTGTTTTATCTTCAAGAAGACGAAGAACAGCTTTCTTTGAAGCTGCAGTTTGCTTCGTGATGGGCAATACGGTTGTGCTAAGGTCGGAAATCAACTAGTGACACGGAGCCCGATGCGACACAGACGAAAAAGCGAATTCAGTCGTCAAAGGAGAGGAATATGCCCTCTAATGGAGCCAAGGCGGCCACCGCAAAGCGCAAGTCTGGCAGAGGCACCAAGAAGAATCCATGGGTCGATGAAGACTTTGTTATGACAAGTGATAAGTCGCCGCTTATCGATATCGATCTGGTGGTGCGTGAGACGCGGTGCGCCTGTTTGAATAGCATTTACTGATTGTTATATAGAAACTTCTCGCCAAACCCGAGGCATGGACATGTCTAGATGAGAATGAGAAGAAGGAGATTCTTGCCTTACTTCCTGAGAGCATACATCCAGTAGTCGAACCGTCTACGGAGAATCCAGATGGGATCATCCCCCCTCTACCCGAGGAGTTTGTGCGCTACTCAAACGTCTGGCGCGATGCAATCCGTCAATTCCAAGTTGACCTGCAACACGGAAAATATGACCCTAAATGGCTGAGCCAGGCACACAAGGCGATGAACGAACGGGCCGAAGGGAAGTTTGATGCACGAAAGGAGCGTGATTTTGAGGCATTCTGGGGACAGAAGCAGCGGTATCACACTAATGTACCAGCTGGTGATAGCGCTACAATAGACTTCAAAACACTGGTTATGAACGGGGTTTTTGAGGTGGGAGATATTTGGAGGTACTCTCGGTCCCAGGGAAAGGGGGCAGAAAAGTTTTTGGTAGAGAAAGAAGTTGCAGTAAGACCTTTACCTTTCCTTTAATCATTTTTTTTTCTTTTGGAAAGCTTCTACTCATCATATATCACAGGTTATTAGTGTGGATGGAGAGACTCTTACTTTTGCTATTCCTCCTGGTAGGCGTGTGATCCTACCATCCATGACCGAGGATCAGCTGCTGGTACTGTGCACAAAGCCTGAACCCGAGCCCACCATTGAATCCGAGCCTAAATCTGAGCCCCGAGTGAGCCCGGTTACAGAAATAGCACAGCCTGTTTCTCTTGGATCTCAGATTTATGATGGAGAGAACATCAGCATTACTCAAGCGTATATCGAAGAGAACAACCAATGTGTTGGCACCGCACAATTCAAAGCGGAACCGAATCAAATAACTGCGAGTGAAGATTGCATGGACAATAAACCAGCCGATCAAACCTCTATTCCCGATATAAAGAGTCTTCCAAACGCAGAACCGCCTGTAGATATCATGGCACTAGAGGCCACGCCACCCGACATCGAGACAGAAACAACCGAGGTGCCCAATGTCATTGGCCAGGAGTTGCCAATCAAGAACCTCATTTTTGAGGAACTTGATGATGGTTGCAGCACTGTATCCGATCCACCAGACGTGATTGAGGAAATAGACGATGCCGATTTTCACAGGTCTTTACAAGAGTTGGGGCCTGCTCCCCCCAAAGATGTTCCAACTCTGTCATTTGATATAATAACATACTTTTCCAATACTCGAAAAGCCACTCCATCTATAGAACCTGGCGTAACCACTATACAGGAACTAGAAGCCAAGCCTTCTAATACTACAATAGCCACCGAGCTAGAGAAACCTGACTCATGTGTACGAAATGACAAAAGCACGAATCTCCGTGTTATGACAGATACTACTGAAACTGAACCTCAGGCTGCAGAAGCATCAAACCTTATTAATACCCAAGAACCCACTGATGAAGCGCCTATACAACTTGAAGCCACGAAAGTGGACGCTACTACCCAGCCCACCGTCACTCCAATAAATACACAAGCGGCAGAGATCCAGCCTATGGTATCGGACCAATCAAATACTTGCATATCTGATACTATCCAAATGCCACCTGAGGAGACACCGGGGGAATTGGATGGAAAGAGCACTTGCTCCCCCAATGAAGAAACAAATGTATCTCCAAGCTCCAATGGAGACAAGCCTGTGATATTTCCTAGCGTCACAGGGCCTATGTTCCTAGTTAGAAAGATCCATGAACTCGATGGCCGAGGCTCGAATACCCGGCTCGCAAACGCATGGATGGCTTTTCGCTGCATTAGAAATAATCAGGATATGGGAACCCTTTGGGACGTCCGCCATAGCTGGTACGTGCGATCAAAACGTTGAAAAGGAACTTTATTCAGCCCGCCTTCCATCAGACAAGGTACAGGGCCTGACATAGGCCGATTCCCAGGATGAATGGAAACCCTCGAAGCATGTATAACAAAGGAAATACAGCTCGGGATATCAATGCCCTGGATCCCTGTGTTTGGTTCATCCTGAATAGATTTGCAAATTACATGGTTTAAATATGTAGGCAGATCCTCGGGGATAACTCCGTACTGTCGTTAGAAATTTATAATGAATACGAATATGTGTGTACAATATTTCACTTTTGGGGTCTACCCTGATTGTATATACAAAAGCGTTAGGCCAAGATGCCACAAAATTAAAATCATATCTATTTAGATCCCTCATGCCTCTGTCTGGGCCACCGTCTCATCGCCCATGACCCGCGAAGGGGTCTCCGTGCTATTTATATCCACAGCACAGCTACACTCGATGAAGTCTTCCAGCTCTTCGCTGACTGTCTTTAGCTTTTCCTTCACGCAGGCCACAGACTCCGCTCCAACGATATGTCGAGCTGGGGGGTTCTCATGGCCTCCAATAGCAGTTATGGCATACATTGTTTCCGCCATTAACATTTCCAGGTGCTCGGAGCCAAGTGGCGGATATAACGAGACGCCTGACGGTGATGATAGCGGCTCGTTGTTATCCTTTGCAGCAGGTTCCTGCTTCACACTACCAGGGGACGAGATCGAAGCCTGCGTCGGTGAAAGATATAGTGACCGGCCGTACCCGCTGACACCCGGAATATGGGAGAGGACGCTGTTCATGATTCCTCGGAAAAGGGGCGCATGGTTTTGGGCTGGTGAGTAGGCGTTGAGTGGTGGCACGCTGGTGATTAGATTGGACAGCACCCCAACCTCAACGCTACTCTGGAGGATTGTAATTCGGATGTTGAATGGCGCCACCTCGTATGCAAGGCTCTGTTATAGAGAAATTAATATGGAATCCAATAATGATTTTTCAGGGTAGGAGATCTCACATCACAATATCCATCTAATGCCCATTCTGCGGCACAGTACACCCCCAGACCAGGTGTGCCAATATGTCCAGCTGTTTATTTTTAGCACATAGTCCAAGGAGTAGTGATGAAGGGGAGGTAGGCCTTACTGATTCCCCCTAGGACCATGAGATGACCAGATCTCTGGGCTCGCATCTGCGGAAGAGCGGATTTGATCAAATTCACAGGACCAAAGTAGTTAGTTTCAAACTGATCTTTCAATAACATTCGTGCCCGCTCGGAGGTCGCAAGTTCTTCAACGGACCCGATGACAGCTACCATAGTTATATATTAGCAGCTGTAATGGCCAAGTAAGGGGGAGGAGATCTGTATATTCACCCTGACTCGTGCAGCAGAGGATGATATCAATTCGTCCGTACTTATTGATAGTACTAGCAATCGCAGCCTGACAGTCGCTCATTATCCTGTAGCCGACCATATTAGCCCTCCATCATGAGAATAGTATAGATATACAATGAACATCTCATCTGCACCTGATATCAAGATTCACCACATCAAACCTCTCCCTCAAACCAGTAGTATCCTTCCCGGCCTCCACGCTATCTAGGGCTTCGAGGAAGCTTTCGAAAGCTGCAAGCCTGGGGTTCTCTCTTTCAGAGTCGACCGGACACCGGCCGCAAACCACATAGTCGCCATGTGCGAGGATCTGACGAGCCAACGAGATTCCTATGGGAGAATCGCCAGATGAAAACAGCCAAACTCGCGGATTCTCATGCGCTGGGAATTGAGATTGGTTCGTATTTGCTCCTGTTCCTCCTGTTGTTCCTCTTGTAGCTGCTCCAGCTCCAGCTCCTGCATCGGCGCTTGCTTGGTTGTCCATTATAGATTCACTTTGCGGGTGGATTGAAAGCCCATCTCGAGGCCCAGTGGAAGAGCGACTTCTGCCGGCCACGGCGTATACGTGTGTCTGTCTATTCAGGCCAGTGTGAATAGAATCAAAGTAAGAGATATATTTATTATCTGGAGTGGAAACGAAAAGTCGCTGGTTTCAGTGGTTATGAACTTGATTCTATTGGTCGTTTCCGGGTAAATTCCTGGATAACGTAAAAAAGAAATCCTTATCGCCAACGTCTTCTTTTACCCTCGTCTAACGTATTTCCTCCAACCTCAACTTCAAAACACTCAACCAGCTGCGAAATCTTTGCTCTCTAAGCTTTGCTTCGACAGCCAAAATGCCGGAAGCGCCCAGAGGTAATGCGCGGGAGGAGGAGACCGTGAGTTCGTGTCTATAAGTACTACTGGGTGTGCAAGGCTAACAAGGAGCTTCATTGCAAACTATAGTCGGCCCTCCAGCCCATGCTAAAGGGATTTGTGATGCTAGTGGTCTCCCAATTTGTGGTGTCGAAAGCTATGAGTTACTGGAATGCGCCAAATGCTGCTGCTCCGGGTGCAGCGGCTGTCAAGAACTCGTTCCCAAAGTTTTCAGAGAGACCAGACCAAGATACAATTACAAACAGGACCTATTTTCCCGTCAAGGCGGTACCGATGTGGGAGCCAGATAGCAAGCTAGATATTGCGATACATGTTACTCCGTCGACTACTTTCCCGCTTCCAAGGGATAGCAAGGTACTAGACGAGAAGGAGTTTAATACTGCAGACTCGAAGGAAGTCAGAGAGATTAGTACCAGTCTGTTCATACCAAAGGCAGTGCAAAATAACGAGACCCTCTGGGCTCACTTCTTCGTTGCGCTTTCGGGGCATCCACAGTACTCAACGGAGGAGGGCTATAGCTCTGACACAGCCTATAACTTCTCCCATCCTGTTAATCAGTATTTACCAAAGAAGAAAGCTAAAAAACTCCGGAACCTACTTGATGCAGCTAATGAGACTGAGATTGCGGAAGATGAGCCAAAGACAGTCAAGATTAGCTCCTTCTACCACCCAAACCTCACTGTATCATTCGTTCCTGACCAAGGAGCAATAGGTTTTCAAGCTACTCATCCCTCTATTCGCCGATTCCTTCAGCTAGAACGGACCGGCGCCAGGGATAGCTCCGGCGAGGTAGGCTGGTATTACCCTACCTTCTTTTTCAACCGTTTCTGGCAGCTCAGAAGCCATATGACGGAGCTTAACTCCACTGTTAGCGAAGTTCCACTGCGCATTACTCTGAACACGGTAAAACAGTGGCAGTTCGCCATAATGTCCAGCATTGAGGATGACTCCAAGCAAAAGCAGCACCAGGCCGCTTTTGGAGGGCCAATTCCTCCTACCTCAGGTGATGGGAGTGAAGTCGAAATGATTAAAGAAGTGCTTTTGGATACCAACATATACCTTCTTATTACTACCGGTGTTGTTGGTGTTTTGCATAGCATTTTCGAATTTCTCGCATTCAAGAACGATATCGTAAGTGATGGGCTCTTGTTTAGACCTATGCATATGGCCATACTTACTCTGTCTTGACCTAGTCTCACTGGAGAAAGAAGAAAGATGTCGTCGGAACCTCTGTCCGCACTATCATTGCAAATGTGTTCATGCAACTGATCATCTTCTTGTATTTGCTTGATAATAACGAGAACACATCTTGGATGATTCTCGCCGGTCAAGGCTTTGGTATTGTTGTCGAAGCCTGGAAGATCACAAAATCGGCCAATGTCCGCATTCGCCCTCCACCAGTGGGGTCATATCTGTCGTTTCTCCCATACATCATTGTCCTTGAGGATAAGCACAAGCTTAGTGAGACCGAGAAAAAAACCCAAGAGTACGATGAAATTGCGTTCAAATGGCTGTATATCGCAGCCGTTCCTCTATTAATCGGGTACGCCATATACAGTCTTATGTATGAGAACCATAAGTCATGGTACTCATATGTTATCGAAACGCTAGTCGGCAGCGTTTACGCATATGGGTTCCTCATGATGGTTCCTAGTCTGTATATCAACTATCGACTCAAGGTAGGTGACATCTATGAACCGATCAAGCGTACGGACCAGAGAGATTGTCTTTTGGCTAACCAGGACATAACCATAGTCCGTTGCACATATGCCCGGAAAGGCTCTTACTTACAAGTTCCTGAACACGTTCATCGATGATCTGTTTGCGTTTACCATTAAGATGCCAACTCTACACCGACTTGCAACTCTTAGGGATGACGTGATCTTCTTCATCTGGCTTTATCAAAGCTGGAAGTATAAGGTTGATTACACTCGTGTCAACGAATTCGGCCAAGGAGGAGATGATGATGAGGAGGAGAAGGAGAAAGAGAAGACCAACCAGGAGAGCGAGGAGAATACCTCCGGTGGCGATTCGAAGGCTGAAGAACCCTCTATTCCCGCGGCCAAAATGGGTGAGGCTTCTTCCTCTGCAAAGGCGTCATCAAAGGGTTCGATGCGGAAGAGAAAGTAATGTTTCCATTTGACCGGACAATTCCGTCCCAGGCGGCCCATCTAGCACCTCTGTCGCCATAAGGATTCTAGAGTCAGAAGGCATCATTCAAAACCATATATACGAAAATAATCGGTTAATATCCCCAATAGAGCATACTTCTGGACTGTTGATAGCAATTGCATTTTCTGTCTATACATATATTGTCATATACCCTGTCTTTACGAGGGCACAGCCCATGGTGTCTCCCTGCTGATATCGTGTATAGTTTCGAAACCTTCAGGCCTCGATGTATAGATAGGCCTACTTGTGCAGAGGAGATAAGTATATACACATCAAACCTTGCAGCCCCCTTGTAAATAGTATACATATAGTATCCCATCCCATGTTACAGCCTGTCCTTTTCAGCTCACCCCAAGGGCTATGCGAGATCATGAGGTGATATCTCATCTTACAGACCTAACCCTGGCCCACAGGCTTCATTTCCAGTCGCAGTAAAATATGACCAGTAGGTAGCTGCTCTTGTACGAAGTACCAGACTCATTCAGTCGTATTCTGAGACCAATATATCCCTCTTGACGCCCCTGTGCTTGCAAGAATGAAAAAGAGCAAGATCGTCGCCAACACCCCTGTGAATATATAATGTACCCGGCCCTTTCTCTCCACAGTCTGAAAGACAATGCCATAATTATAAACTCTACGCTGAAGGCTCCAAGTAACGCCCACGAGCAGTAGCTTAACCCCACCGATTTTAGTGTTGGCCGAGATCGTTGTATATTATACTTATTTCCTTTATACCGGGTGCGACGTTTCAGGGGTTCTCTAGTAAGAGGACAGAAAAGACAGTCTGCAGCTTCATAGCGTGCATGAGGATGATCGTCATTACCATGATTCTGGAATCTCGGATTTTACATTTGGTCAGCAAATTGTCAGGGGTTGTGCCTTAGTGTAAAGCATGTCTCTTGGTATAGATGAATATAGTGCATGTTGTCACCACACTGAGTGTTTTTTTGTTTTTTTTTTACTTTGGTGAATTTGCCTTTGATACCCTGGAGCCTGAATATGCGGAGAGTATCCCACGACCACGACCCCATATTCTACTAATGTAGGAAGGAAACAATGCATGGGAATCCGCGGCTCAAGGGAGGGTTATCCCAGCAAGAAACGCACGACATACTTCCTTCAGTGCTGAGCATGAGCGGGGTAACCAGAGGTACCTGCGGTTCCATCGTTTCTATCCTGTAGATGTTGTGGTTTGGAATATCAGAGAAGAAATGAGGCCTCCCCCTTGGCTGTCTAGAAGATGGCTTACTCGGGCAGAAGGAGGGAAGCGAATCAGGGTCTGGTGTGCCTGACTATGAAAACGGGTAATTTGACCAACACAGCCGTGGAGCTGGAGCGCGGTTAGTTTAGCAGCCCGACTCAAGGGTGCCCCCAGCACAGCCTCTTCCGTGTCCTCGGAAATGCACCTGAAAACGGCCAAGGGTGAGTCCTACACCAGAGTCGAGAAAAGTATAATAGACTACCCAACTGTTGAAAGAAGGTATAAACTCGACGTATTATTACTATTGTCATATTATCAGCAGAAGCGAGACCGGCAGGGACGAGGGTATGTACATGATAGTTGCATATACTCATACATACTTATTCATACTGGCATTCTATGTATTATTGCATCTTGTTGCTGTCGTTGTGGTTGCATTTTTTAATATATAAACAAAGTCACATGAGCAAGAAAGGCTTGGCGCTTGTTTATATCTCCAGGAAGAATAATAATCCGTGCCAAGACCGAGATTAAGCTCGTGGAGTTGATCGTCGGATCGACAAAACATTTTTAACAACATCAAGCGAAGAAACATGAAGACATAACTAGATATCACTGCCATTCGTCTGCTGCTGGCTGCATAAGTCATCTTCTTCGTCGGTGCTGGCTATGGTTCTGCAGTCTTCTCGTGTAGAGTTGGCCGTGAGTCATTTTGGAAAGGGAGGGGTGTGGTTTCTACCTGAAACCACAGACAATTATCTTCGGCTCTAGGATTACCCCAGGTTTTGCGGACTTGCAAGAGGCTGGGCATAAATACCAGTTGGCTGCTCCATCTTCCTCCTCAGGCCCTATTCCGGACATGCAAGGCCCACGTCTGTTCTCGTTCTCCCTGTCTAGGTCACCGGCTTGCTGGTGCTGTCTGTGCCAACGCCATAACTTCAGCTTCAACAGCGCGCACATGGTAATTGGTGGGGTGAGGGAGGGTGCCTAACCCACTTATCCTTCAGATTTTTTCTCCCTTTCCTTGCTGCCCTGCTCGGAATATCGATGATGCAGCTAAGGATTGAACTAGTTCGCTTTCATATGCAATGGAAATTAGATTTTCAAAAATGATGCTTCGGTCTTTTAACTTCCATTGGCGAAGATAACATCGCCATTGCATTGCATGCAGAAGAACGTCTCCACGTTTCCCCGTCTTCTGAGATAGCCCGGCTGCAGTGGCTTGGCATTTAACTATGTATGCCCTGAAGCTGCGGTCAGGTGGGAAGGTGGGCGGCTGGTTTGGACTATGAAGATGCAACGTTGTCATATTTTGAGCCATCCTGGGCACGTCTGATGGAGGCATGTTCTCGCGTATGGCCGGGAGAAAAAACACGAACTTATGGCCCTTAGTGGAACTCCGCTATCGTTCTGTGCCACCCAGTTCTATCCAGCAACCCATTGGGAAAATTATATAAACCCAATGTTTCTCCCCGTCGATCTGTTTATCACTTCTGCTCAGATCGACATCGACATCCCTAGTTCTCATCACACGATCTAAGATCCGGTCTACTTCTTTACATTTATCTCAAGATGAAGTCTACAGCGATTCTTGCTATCTTGGCCCAGGCCCTTGCTGTCACTGCTCAGCCAGTTGAGGGGGACAGAAATCCAGGCACCCGTACCTTGGACCTCCCCAACTTCCCCGGTGGTAGCTTCCCAACTCGTGGTGTCGAGAAACGTGATAGAGCATTCCCCGCTGATCTCCCTCCAGACAACGGCGGCGGCAATGCCCCTGACCCAGACAAGGTCCACATTGTTGGTGTTACTTATGGCGGCACTGGATGCCCGGATGGCACTGTCAGCCATATCCTGTCTGACGACCGCCAAGTCATGACCCTCATCTTCGATCAATACGTTGCCCAGATCGGACCAGGCGTCAACACTAAGGAAAACCGCAAGAACTGCCAGTTGAACATCAACCTCCGCTACCCAGGTGGATTCCAGTTCTCCGTCTTCTCTGCCGACTACCGTGGCTATGCCAACCTTGATAAGGGTGTTACCGGTGTCCAGAAGTCCATCTACTACTTCTCTGGCCAGACTGAGCAAGTAAGTATTCTGTCTAGCCCCTAGTTCTTTTATTTGAACCATGTACACTAATAGATCACTTAGACCTCCACAAGCACCACATGGAACGGCCCACTTGACAAGGACTACATCCTCCATGACGAGGCCAACCAGACCTCCACTGTCTGGTCTCCTTGCGGAGCTAACGGTGCTTTGAACATCAACTCCCAAGTCCGACTCACCGCAACCGACCGCAACGCTCGTGGTATCCTCACCAACGACTCCGTCGACACCAGCTTCAAGCAGATCGTTCACGTCAGATGGCAACAGTGCACTAATTAAATCTCCCATGAGATTCCGACAAGAATCCCAGAAGCTCTACAATAGGATGTAACATTCCAACCGTCGGACCTCTTTACCACAAACTCCCTTTGTTGAGCCAAGCATGGATATGTTCACGGCTCACCGCCCTGTACTTATTTACCATTCTTATGCTGGATGAGCCACGTTTTGACTTATGATACTCAATTATTTTTTATCCCTAGTTCCTAGTTTTTTCTCCTCCCCCTTACCCCCATGTATCCGAGTATCGCTCAATCCCCTGTCTCTGGCCTTCCCTTTCGGGTTCCATTCCTTTCCTACCTCAGAGTATAGCATAGGGTACCTAGATATATTATACCTTCATCTGCGAAAATCCTTGTTGCCTTTCTTATATTGGTCAGACTGCTAGCATCTCCTCATCCGATGAATGGGAGTATTTCAGCGCCATAGAGCGGATAGTATGGAAATTCTACTAACTTACTCAAAACCAACACAAAAAAGAGCCAGCCAGATGCAACTACGGATGGTGGTAAATATGGTGTAAACCTCAAGTACAGCTAAAATGCCCTGATCCACCAGACGAGGAGATGGCAGCAAGAAAATATTTAGGAGATCCTACTTATTATTGCACCAACATCCCCATCAGCATCATAGCGCGAGAGCTCCACGATAGAGGGCCGAACGTGACAACGGTAGGATCTATCTCACGCAAGACATTAAAAAGTCTCCGCGGTACCAGGGTCCTGGGCCACAGACGCAAGATCATGAGCACGTATGAGATCTCTGAAGCTTCCAGCCATGCCATAGTAGAGCACATGACGTTGTATATGCCGTCGTGGGTGGTTGCGCAGATGATTAGCTTGAATGTATGTCCGTCAACGTTTTTAACTTGGCCAGATATCCGCATCGCCAGAGTGCCAATATGGACCTTATGCAGATGTTATCTACTCGGTTACCCTGTGCACGAGAGCTACTAACGCCAAATGTCCCTAGTCCATGCAGGTGTTATGTTAAATCGATATTACAAGAACCAATGATATACGTCCTACTTGATGTCTCTCTGCCGTCTTCGTTACACTTTTGTAACGACATACATAGTAAGAGTGCCGCGCATCTGTCTGACCAATGAACTGCGAATAACTGCCTAGCTTCGGTGCCCTCGTGAGCCTCATAAGGGCCATCCATGATGTCGATGTTGCGCATGCAACATTGTTGCCTCTGCTACGTACACCGACAGCGCTAGCAATGGATAACTATGGTAGTATAGCCACCGCTGACAAGATGCTGCACGCTTTTGCAACGCAACACCACCGTACGCTAGCATCTTGTGTGCGGGACATACGTCGCATCCGCCAGGCTGGCACGGCGGGCTACCATGGCATGCGATGTCAGATTGGTGACGCATAAGACGATCGAACTAATCGCAAGCCTCTCATGCCATCGTGGCTACGCATGCGGCCTGGGTGTTGTTCTGCATGGGATAAACGTGCGGAGTTCGCGATACTGTAGCATTTGACATTTGGCGTAGAGTCGATTCTATGCGTAATGCCCGTATATCCTCTATTAGATGCTACCTACAGAGAATTATAGTTCTAACCATAGGAAGCAGTGTAATCTTGAAACGCTCAGTCTGACCATGGGCACTAGGACTCTAGCGAACTTCATGGCCCTGTACTTCCTTTGAATGCCACACGTAGGACTATTGACACCGCTGGTGCTCAACTTAACTATGGCATCCGTGCAAAATCCAGCAACCCGCGCACTTTCAGCATATCCGGATGAAATACCTCGATTTGACGTATACATATGCCTTGCTAAGAACTACGAAGACGCCATGATGGTATCGAGGAAATTTTGTTAATACGTACAACCCGCCGGAACGCAGCCACGCTCGATTCCGTTGCTTTGTAAGGGCCCCGATAGCCCAAAATGCCATGAGACTTTGTAAGTGCAGAAGAAATTACACGATGTTTCTGTTCATTAACAGTTTCTTAGTGATCTTCTTGTTGGCAACCCCGAGAAACGACGCTTTTCCTTGCTCGCCTGCGGTTCTCCCTCGTCTATCCTACCGAAGCCCAACCCATCAAGATACCAGTGACCGCTGTTGTCATGGCACCTCCCTTTCCCTTGGCTGGATGCAAAATCTATGAGATCTCTCGAACCCAGCTTTTGGGCGCTATACATTCCGCTCTAGTCGTCCATAAACAGGAGGGAGCAGTTTTAGTGTGAGTTCATGAAGCTGCCGTACCAAAGCACGGTAACGGAGTGTCCCTAGCTGAGGCGAGAAATACAAAATTTATCCGTAAGAGAACCAGTATACCAGTGCCCACAGTTTTGGATGCGTGGGAAGAGCGCTCTAGGGGATACAATGGCGAGGAACAAGTGGTGAGCTACCTTCTGATAGAGTTTATCAACGGTAACCATCCAACACTCACCAATCCCAGCAGGACCAATCTTTTCGACCTGCGAGCCAGTGTCAGTGATTATCGCCGTCCCGACTATGGTCGCTGCCTTATAAACTGGTAGGAGTAGTCTATATAGTAGATATTTACCTCATTATATATGTATGGGCTAACTTTATCGCGTGTATTTATTACTTAATCAATCGTAGCTGAAACTTTGTTCCTGGGTTGTTTTCAGGGGCGCGTCAGACCGCGATACGCCCATAAGAAGCCATCAGACATAATAAGACCCTTTATATGGCGATGGCTTGGACATTAGATGAAGCAGTGACACAGCTTGAGAGCGGTAAATATAGCCTTATGTTAAGTTGTAATACTCATGGAATCACGCTGATTTGCAGGTAGTCGCCAATGTTCCCCCAAAGCAACGGCATACAAATGTTGCAGAACTTGTGAAAGTAATAATCTCCTCTGCCTATGAATCCGGCTTAGAGACTGAAACGTTGAACCGCATCTTGAAAGTCATTGTATCGTCTAGACACCTTGATCAATCAACCGTGACATCAATAGTTAAGAATCTCTATCCGGCTGAGAGAGTCCCGTCAAAGATTGTGGCGAGAGTGATTTGCTCACTCGGAGCTACAAAATCAAAGCCATCCCCAGCTACTCAAAATTTACTCCTGAGATGGCTTCTCCTTGTCTATGATAGCCTGGAAGATCAGGCTCACTTGGGAAAATTCTATAGCATTCTCTTCGATAACTTGGATATGATCAGTTTACGCCGTCCCATTTGTCATATACTCTCACTCATCACTCGACGGAAACACGTCAAGCCATTCCGTGTATGGGCCCTCTTGGAACTTATACGAACTACAGGCGGAGACGAAAGGGAGCTCTGGGGATTGTTGCGGGTGTATAGAAGCTATTATCCAGACATTATCATCGATGACGCTGCTATACCTCGCAGGAGAGCCACCTACTTTTTCAAACACCCAGACCCCGAATGGACCACTCATATGAAAACCTTGCAAGAGCGGGCTGCAAGTGCTGCTCCTCAGACAGCCCCTGAAGGATTCCAATCCGTTCGTCGAGACGGTGTCAAGAGGAGTCGGATTGAAGTCGTAATACCAGTTCCTAAAACTTCTCGAGTCCGGCGTGGTTTCACCTCTCTAGAGGAACTCAACAATGTACGAGATTTTGTCAACAAGCTAGATAAAATCGAGCTACCCAACCAAATAGCCTCTGCCCTAACTGAGCCCCTGGCCCAGAAATTTTTGCTTCTGGTTCAGAATAATGAAGCTCTACAAAGGATGGAAAGTTGGCTTACAAACTTCTTCGAAGATGAACTCGATCACCTGGATGAGGAGAAAAGGTCGTCGGAGGAGCTGGGCTTTGCTCTTGATAGCTTGGTTCGCTATGTGAGGTACACAAAGGTAGGCTCTTTATAACGCAATATTCTTGGAACTTAAACTGATAGCCTGATATAGGGTTTCCCTCGCTCTGTAGATAAGTTCCTCCAGCATTACCTGCCATTGTGGGACGGAATCAGTTACAAAGTAGCGATGCTTAATCTCCTCGAATATGTGCCTATCTGTGATAGGCTTTTTCAACAATATTTCCTCAGCCTGGAAAATGCGATTTTGGATAATACTATGGAGTCTAAAATCCTTATTCTTCAGTACTACACAGCGGTAATCCGACGTTGCGGCAGTATTCTTCAATCGAATACCTCGGTTGAGCATGTCCCAGATCTAGCAAGCATCATTCATAGGGCAGAATTGGTATCGTTGGCCATACTCGAATGCCCAGCCACCTCTCACCTTGGACCATCCAAGGACTGCTGGTCCCCCAGCTCATCTGTCCTTCAATTCTACGTGCAGCTAGCGGAGCTATATCTTCACGCTCCTTCAAACAAGCTTATACGGCTGAACACTCCGCCCCCTGAGAGCGTATATCTCCTGGCATTCACTCCAGTTCTCAGCCATATTTCGTTAATGAGCAGCGTGGTAGCAAGCTATAAATCTTCCTTTGAACAGTCCTTGGCCAATACGGCTTCTGCTGATGGTTCTTCCGGGCAGCCATACCCAGAGGCTATGGTAACCAGCCTTAATGGACATGTGCTAGACATCTGCAACTTACTATGGCGGAATAGAGGGTTGAATAGTGATGAACCTAACTCTCTTGGCTGTCTTGTGAGAAATGAAGTCGCTAAATTGCTCACCGAATATATCCAGGAGGTGGGCGAAGACCTAGCAAAAAAGGGCAAAAATGGTGGTATTTACAGGCTTCGGCTTGCATCTATATTTTCCCTGAGCCATCACGCCGCTCTGTGTGGCATGTCAGCGATGTGTTTCAGAAATTTAGAGTCTAATGCGGAAAAGGACGGGCAAGAAGTATTAGCACGATTAACATGGCCGGTGACGCAAAAGGCATTGAATGCTCTACACAAAGCGGGGGGTATAAAGGTCGACTGGCAAGAGTATAGGTTGAAAATGCTAGAATGGTTAGACAAGCATGGGTCTGAAGGAATCGGCCGATTGATGAGAAATTCGATGATGACGTTGCGGCAAGGATAGAGGTAGTCCAAATGCGATTATCATTAAGTCGATATATCTGGGCAATTAACGTAGATGTCCTGCACACTAGGGTCGTCCCGGAGGCTGTTGATTATATTTTCCACGGTGCTAAGGGCCTCTTCAGATTCGATTTTGACAAGCGTGTCTTGGTTTGGATCCCATATAATATCGATACTCTCAGTAACCAAATCTGTGGTAGCAGACATCTTGTCAGCTACAGACTTTGTAGCAGTATGTTCAGTGTAAACTATGAGCCGATTGTTCTCATCTCCCTCCACGTCGGTTGCGCCTGCGTCTATTGCCAATTCAAGGTAGCTGTCGACGTCTAAACCAGGCTTTGGTTCGAACACAATTTTACCCTTTTTCTCGAACAGATAGCTCGTAGGGGTGTTTGATCCTCCGGAATGTCTGATAATCGCTCGTATATCTTGTAGAGCCCGGGCTTTCTGGTCTGTCAGACACTCAACAACGACAGCTACAGAGTGTGGCAGCATTCCCTCAATAGTAAGTGATTCCAAAGCTGCTCCGGCTGCAGTAATGCCCTGGCCTCTTGCAATTGCCGCTTCTATGGTTGGCTTTGGCATTCCACTCCGTTTGGCGTTCGCTATAACAAGGGCAAGACGAGGATTCGACTTGGGATCCGGACCGTATACTGCAATTGGGAGGTTAGCTAGAAGAACCACAGGACCCTGGAGAAACAGACGGATGGTGACATACACTTGGACGCCTGAATAATGTCTTTACTGAATATCTGGCGTTCTTTGCTCTTTGCTGCATCGTTTTTGCCCTTGTCATGTCTAATTGTCGACCAGCGATTATGGCCTGATTGGAGTATCGGGCCGCTCGATATATAGCGACAGCTGTTGCAAATCCATGTCTGTTGAATCCGTGGGTTTGTAAGCAGTTTACGCCTTAATGGAGTCGCCATCGCGGAAGAAGCCTGGGGAGTAATTTATATATTCAATTTCCCTACGTCGTAAAAGGATGAAGAAGCTCCTTGAAGCTCCAGGAAGGAGAAGTTATTCCGGCTCTAAGTTAATCCAGGCCGTCTAGATCTTGAAGCCGCAGTTTGGACAGAAAAGGAGCGAGGAAGTGATGATAAGAGACGTAGACGAAGGAAATAGAAGAAGAATGCCTTGAGAAGATATATATATTTACGAGACCAATGTCTGCCCCCGAAGCTGCTGCTCCCCGGCCCTCCAGCGACGGTTCTGTTCCACCTCGCACCGAACTCGACATCTCGAAGCTCCATGCCCTCCCCTCCGAACAACAGGACCTCTACCTCCTTACCTACACCTCAGATCTTGTCCAGTATACTGTGACTCTAGACAAGGAGACGCTCTGTGGACAGCAGAATTTTATAAAGCAGGAACTCTTTAAAATCCTCCGCCTGGTCTCTCCGGTACCAACTCGGGTCATTCGAAATGGCATAGGCCGTTGTTTCAGCGCCGTCTTTTCCAAAGGAAACAGAGCAACTCTATTTGATACTGTTACCGAGTTGATAGGGATTCTTAATTCCGGCAAGAATGAAGTTGATTTGAAAACCAAGTTTGCTGCCGCTGCGGCTTTGGGGGATATATTCGCTGCTGCGGGTGACGGCGCTGTGGGTCAATCTGGTGCCACCTGTTCAGCGATACTCAAGCTTCTTAAGCTGGCGCAGAACAATGCAGGATTGCGATATTGTGTGTTCACCTCGGTGCGGAAAATAATAGCTGGAATTGGAGCGCCAATCGATGAAGCTACCGCCCGCGATATATGGAAACATGCTCGAAACTCGGCAGTGAATGACAAAGCCCACAATGTCCAAGCAGGGTCATGCTCGTGTCTTCAAGAGCTGGTCAAGGCAACTCCCTATTTTAGGAATACCAACGATTACGAGCATTTGAAGGCTACTCTATGGAAAGTTATGGATAGCCATGTTGCCTCTGTGAGGCATGGAGCAGCAGGCTGTCTCGCTGCTTTCTTAGTTAGAGCCCATTCCACTGTCCCCATCTTGAGCTCAAAACCTACCGCTCTCCGGTCCAAGAAACAGCTCAAAAGACAGTCTACCGGGCCCGTGGATGGTGATATTATCGAGAGAACCCAATCTCCATCAGGCCGCAAAGCTGACAGCTCGCTATCCTTCAAGATGGGTGACATTCTAACACAGCTTTCGAACCACTACTGTAAAGCGTCAACAGGGAACCGTGCTAGAGCTGCAATTGCAATGTGCTATGAGCTCCTTCTCAAGGACTTTGGTGGGAACATAGTTGAGGACTATTATACGCAGATTGCTGATCATTTGCTCGGCACCCTTTTGAATCACCCAACTGTGACTTATAGCCGGTACCGCCTACTTTTGACCCGGAAGTTTGTCAAACATATCCTAGAAGATGTGCTAGGCCGTGAAATGCTACGAGAGAGTAGTCAGTTGAGTGCAGTTAAATGGATCTCCAACAATATCCTCAAGGATTATCCCCAGGTGGTCCAGGAACGTCGAGAACCAAGCAAGTATACTCTCATAAGCGCCCTCAGCGCCCTCTCGTCGCTCATCGAATCTCTCGGGTCTGCCGCGGCGATGATCGCAGACTCGTGTCGGGAAGCCTTACTTCAGGTTCTTCAACACCCAAGTTTTAGTGTCCAAATCCATATTTCCCATTGCATGCGTAACTTTGTTGTGGCATGTCCTCAGCAGCTTCTTTCATGTGTTACGGTGTGCATGAACAGCTTAACTAGGGAGCTAGGCCAGCTGTCGTCTATTCGCGTGTCTGCTCCTCGCTGTCTTGGTTATGCGCACGCCCTCTCTGCTATGCTAAGCACCTCGAGACTTCAACCTCTATACGGCTCTGTCGATGTTTACGCCCAAGTTTTGTCGCAAGCTACCGATCTTCTCAAGACAAGCGGCAATTCAGAGCTCCGGGTTGCCAGCACTCAAATCCAGGTGGCCTGGATTTTAATTGGAGGACTCATGCCACTAGGACCGAATTTCACGAAGATACATCTTTCACAGCTCCTATTGTTATGGAAAAATGCATTATCACCAATTGCAAAAGAGACTTTGGCTAAGAGAGGCCCCTTGGAAATGAGTTTCCTCGCCCATGTCAGGGAATGTGCCTTGAGCTCTATACTCGTCTTTTTGGAATATAACAGTAAACTTATTACTTTGGATGGGTTGAAAAGGATTGCTACGATGCTACAGGGCACTGTTTCCTTTTTAGAGCATCTCCCTAAACTTAAGTCCGTCGAAGATATCTCTCAACGGCTATTTCCCTCACTACAGCTAGCAGATTATGCTACTTTGGTTCGTCGGCGAGTCCTACAATGTTTTACGAAACTAGTGAACCTGAGCAACCTTAACCCTATGGATAACCTACCTCTCTCTGGTATTCTAGGTCTAGCAATATCTTGTTTTGCCGATCCAGATGTCACCTCTGCAAACCCCTTAGAGACCTCTATTGCCGCATCCACAGCAAATTTCGATACCTTGTGGGATCTTGACGATAACTTCGGGTTTGGCGTTACAGGCCTTGTTCGAAATTTTATGCCAGGGCAACCGAAATCCAGTCTCTTCGTTAATACCAGTGTAACTGAAGCCACGAGCCATCCGATTGATTCTTCTGTAAGTCTGCATTTACCCTAGGTCTAGCAGAATACTGACGTGCATAGTTGACCACACCAATGTGCAATGCAAGGGAGCATGATTCAATTCTGCTATATTTCTCCAAAAACATCAATTCGGATTATCTCCCCGATCCTCCTCCAACTGAAGTTGTCAACTCAGCCATTGAGTTATTCTCCGTTACTCTACCTTTACAAAACCCAAAGGTCCAGGAAAGCAGCGTTGAGCAGATTGCAACTATGCTCTCAACCCATAGCTTAAATCGAAATCCGGGGAGGAAGGCGGCTATGACTGTGAATATTGCGATTGCTCTCCTGTATACACTTCGCGTTTCCGTAAACGAGACTCCATATCTCCCGGGGAATCTGAAGCATGTTGCAGTTGAAAAGATTTTCCAGGAGCTTATACAGGTGTGTAACAGGATATACACCCGTTCAAAGCACATAACTTATACCATTTTAGAACTTTATAACAAATCCTGACTATATTATCCGGATCATCGGATTCGAGGGCCTTGGCCGCCTGTGCAACAGTTCCGGTAATGCCTATACGAATTCGGAAATAAATAGACTTGTCGATGTCATCGTCGAAAATCGTGATCCCCATGCGCGTGCTGGATGCGCAGCTGCATTAGGGTCCATACACGCTCAAGTTGGAGGGATGGCGGCAGGATTCCACCTAAAAACTATTGTGGGTGTTCTTATGTCGTTATGCAATGACCCTCATCCCGTCGTTCATTTCTGGGCTTTAGAAGGATTGGCTCGTGTTATAGACTCTGCGGGCCTAACATTTTCGGCCTACGTATCTGGAGCATTTGGAATGTTAGCACGCCTATATGTTGCGGATACCCATAACCATGAGGCCCCATCAGTGGGGACTTCAAATTTTGAAGCCGAATTCTCGACACCATTGGCCATTGGCCGGTGTGTGGATGCCCTAGTCAACGTGGTTGGGCCTGACCTCAGAGACGTTACAAAGACGAGGGACCTGGTATTCACCATTGTCAAGGAGTTCCAGCTGGAACGCGATGCTCCTCTGATAAACGTCAGTTCCCAATGCCTTGACCATTTGTCACTCTATGCACCACAGTATATGGATTTCTCGGGTTACGTTCAATGGCTCCAGAAAGAATTAGCATCGACAGACAAACAAGTACAGCAAGCTGCAGTTTATGGTCTAAGCAATCTAATGAAGAGGGATGCTAATCGAGTCATTGAAACCGCATCCGCATCTTTTGAAGATGAGTTATGGATAGCAATCGACAATGCTCCGGAGAATAAACTTCTCCGAGATATTATCATAAATTGGCTTCAGCAGACTGGATTGACAAATACGAAAACTTGGGTGGAACGATGCCAAAAAGTTCTGACAAAAACCCGGGCTAAACGCGATGACATTCATTCTCCACCCCCAGTCACTGCTACTGCTGCTGCAGGGCCCGACCTCCCCGATGACGAGGTTGCTGGCTTTGCCACCGCAGTTGCTGGTGATAACAGAGAAGCAAATGATACGTCTGCCGGTGGACAAGAGCTACTGAAATGGCAGACTCGAAACTTCGTCATTGGGTGTCTTAGCGAACTCCTAACAATGGTCCAGAGTGAAATATTACCTGATCAAACCATCCCAGCCGAGGCTGCACTACAAGAAAGAGTTGGAGACATTGTGCGAATGGCGTTTTCTGCTTCAACGGCTAATGTCATAGACCTACGTATTTGGGGACTAAAGATATTGGATCAGGTTCTCAAGGTGAGCTCGAATATGTCTTGCGGTGGCCCAAGCATTGCTAATTTTCTTACTGCTAGTTATTTGGCCGAACACCGGACCCCGATTTTGCTGAAGCATCTCTACTTGAGCAATATCAAGCCCAGATTGCATCTGCCTTAACGCCAGCATTTGCTGCGGACTCGTCTCCAGAGCTTGTTTCTGAGGCCATAAACGTGTGTGCAACATTCGTTGGAACAGGGATAGTTACCAGCGTTGAAAGAATGGGTCGTATCTTCAAGCTTCTCGTCGTAGGGCTTGAGAACTTTGCCAGTACGTGTTGTTCTTCTCCTGAATCTGGTACACAGCAAATCTAAGCAAACCAATAGACAAACCTGATATGACAGAAATTGGAGACCTCAAAGGACTCAACTCCAACGCACAAGTGATGGCAAGACTAGCATTGTATTCTGCGTGGGCGCGGCTACAGATTTCTAGCGGTGAACAGAACTACCTTGTAGCCATAGTATCTCCCTACACGGCGATGTTAACTCCACTCTGGCTCTCTTCTCTTCAGGAGTTTGCACGATTAAGGTTCGAACCGGAGATATCTAGCACGATGGACTCACTGAGGTTATCCGATAGCCCTGATGATATATATGCAGCGCTTAATCGAGAAATTCTTCTCAAGGTATGGGTTTTATATCTGTCTGACGGCCGTGTCTACCTGCTAAAATTTCATAATTTATTTAGTTCTATCAAGATTCTTGGCTAAATTTCGTCGATGCTATCGCGAGTCTTGTCGAAAAAGACAGCGATTTTGTCTTCGATGCATTGAACGGAAAGCAGGATCTTCAAAAAACGGAGAGTTGCAAAGATACACCTGTTCAGAATGACGAAATAAAAGCCAAAGGAAATCAAATTAATTACCGTGATGAACCGGTGGCTTTCTTCTTCGTCCTCTTTGGACTGGCATTTGACGCTTTGGTTAGCCAAAGCAGCACCCCATCCCAAACACTCGAAATTCTTCAGGCTTTGCAGAAAATACTACATCCCTCAGTTGCTGGGAATGCAGTTTATCAGGACGCCGTGTTCTCTGAGACAATCGATACCTTGAACAGAATGGTAATGACTGAAAATTTAGCCATCCAATCTGTCATAATTCAGATTGTCCGAAGTCTCTCTCTCCACCACCCTTCTGCAACAAGAGATAGCACTTCTACGGAGCATTTATCGGACGACATCGAACAGTTGTTTGAGCTTACACGCAATATTATACTCGTGATTGCAGGTGTATTACCAAATCTTGGAGAGTCATCGCCTAAAGCCCGATCAGATGTCTCAGAGGAGTCGATATCACTAATCCAACATTCTCTCTCTTCGTTGGTGGATATTACGTCTGTATTCCCGGCAATCATTCGGGATGACCTGCACACTTGCATAATGCACATATTTACTACAGTTTTTGCCACTGGTAGTTGTCAGGCAGAAATCGTTCCCAAAATCCTCCCAATCTTCAAACGCTTCCTCCAAAAGCTATGTCCATCTCGCAACTCTCAAACACAAGAAGCCACTGCCCATGGTACGGAGGCTATTAGTGTCAGCCGTCAAATCCGGGGTTGTTTGGCAAGATTCCTAGGCATCCTAACTGTTGCGCAACGGCGAGAATCAGATAGTTCTCTTGCTTGTGCAAAAAATGCCCTTCTTGGTATAACAATTCTCCTGACAAGCGCTGCTTCTGATATTCCACCTCAAGACCCGTTGGTCACTCGAGCCATGCAGGAATTGCTTGATTGTTTACAGGATCTAGGCCTCGGAAGTGTTGCAGCAGGTTGTATTCGCTCCCTCCTTCTAAACCCTGGCACTCGCTCTACCACCGATGATATCATTGCTCGTACACTCTTCCCCAGACTCCTAGCCTTCATAACGCAGACCCCCATGGGTAACGATAATGAGCCCCCAATTGATCCCGAGAATATGAAATCTACTATCACCCAAACTCTTGTCTCCTTTGTGGGATCGCCAGCCCTTTCCAAGGCTGCCATTCCCACCGCTATGTCATTGTTGATTCCAGCTCTATTGACACGAGCTAGACTTGAAGGAACTTCTGTTCACCAAGAGACTGCCAGTAGGTTACTAGAGCTGGCAAAAGTAGATCAGACTACTTTCAGGGGGTTCGCTACCAAGATAGAGCCAGAATCGAAAAGCCTTCTAGAGGAAATTCTCAAAACAGTTGGGCGAAAAGAAGACACAAACCAGCGAAATGACCAGGAGCAGGAAAGGAATGCTCCCAGTATTGCTTTACGCTTGGATTTCTAAGATAGGTCTAGCTTTGCTAGTGCGAGGACTTCAAGGTGATTCCGTGAACAGCCCCTGGATTTGCCAGGTAACATTGCGAATTTCCGGTCATTGCATATGTAGACTACTGCAAAAGAAATAAAATTAGACAACTCTTAACTTTGGATCACGCTACCATAGAGCAAACATCCTAACATTCTATTTTTTACAACAATTGTAGAGTTGCCTATTGCTGCACACATAGCGGAGCTGGGACAGTAAAAATACTCGGACATGGTTTATGTTCCTCAAGTGAACACTACCGTTCTTTAATAATCCAAAACCTCAACGTGTATTAATATAGATAATATAGAGGGCAAAACTCCATAGGAACTTGATAGATTCTAAAATTATTGTTTCGTAACTTGGACGATATCACCAATGGCAACTTCTTCAGATTCAGCAGCAGCTTTCTTGGCAGCTTTCTTAGCAGCTTCATGCTGCTGAACTTTATAAGACTGGTATCTTAAAGCAAGAATAATCATACCTGGAGGAAGTTGTTAGCTACGTCTTCATAACAATAAAAAATGAATGATAGAATTGAGAGCATAGAAACGGGGTTACAGGGGATTTCTCACTTGCGCTGGTGGCAACTGCAATAACAGCTCTCCGTGTGAGCACCCATCTAAGTCCCTCTACTTCACTCTTCCCGTCACTGTTGAGAGACACCGTAATCTGATAGTTTAACTCTTGAATTGCCGTGTCAATTGACCGCTGTAGCTCCCTAGTAGAAATTTTTTGGTTGTTGAACATCTCTTTCAAGTCATCCTTCAAACCGGCAAGGTCCTGCGTCATGCGTTGGGTCAGAATATCTAATTCATGCTGTATTAGAGCACGCCGGGTGCGTTGGGATTGTATCTCGGCATTCCGGGATGCTTGAATGGAGGTCTGCAGTTCAGAGCATGCTGCTCGGAAAAGGTAATTCTCGTTTTCAAAGTCGGACTTTGATATTAGCCTGGCGCGGGTCGTCTCGAGATTTACTGCCAGTAAGCCGTGGATTGACTTGGCTATGGATATGGATTGCTGCTCCGTGAAGCCACTCTTACTCAAGTCTCTCACGAGGGTGTAAGTGTCAAAATGATGGACGTACGGGTTCGGAGGCGGAGGCTTGTGCTTATGACCATGAATATAGGGCTCTATGGCGTTTGATTGAGAGTGCTCTATATCCTTCTGGGGCTCTGGTCTTGATAGTTTGTATACTGAGCCCAAATCACCCTGAGAAGGGGCATCGCCAACGGACCCAATCTCAATTAAGCCAGGAGGTTCGCTATGTTCAGCATTCCCTCCAAGGCTTTTTTCCGAAGCTGTTCCGGTTGCCGTATCTTTGGAATGGGCCTTGTCCGACAACTGAGCTCCTGTGTCAGACGCGCTTCGTTTAGGGGGCGTCTTGGATGTGTCATTGGTCAATTTATCGCCCTTTGCTACCCTCTGGTCCGTCTCTTCCTTTGAGCCCTGGCTAGAACTTGATTCCACGCTATCGCCAGGGACTTCGGAAGGACGCAATCGCGGTTCTACAGCCGGCCCATAACGTTTTTGAAAGCGTGTGTCTTGTTCACATGGACGGCTTGAATGTAGCCCCGCGGAATGCGTTCGCTGTGACGGGCAACGTATAGATCGGTAGGTGGTCGGCTCGCAAGCTCGTACGGACCGCAGGAGGTTTGGATAGAGAAAAGGGAGTCGTTGATGCGCCATTTTGAAGCTGTGGTGGAGGGAACATTGGTTGACGGAACGATAACTTGAAGATGTTACTAAAAAGTGCCGATATTGAAGTAGTTTTAAGCCCGGGAAAAGCCCGGTCACGTGGCTAGTGCCGGGGAACTCGACCTCCATATTTCTACAAAGTGTTGGCTGATTGATTGTATTAAATTATTCTATATATCTTTTCATCGACATCCCAGCAATCCGAAGAGAAGCTGCGTCCGCTCCCAATATGCAAGTGACCGTTTCCTGAGGGTTTCCAAACTTTCATCCTCCAGCTTCAAATCATCCAAAAGACTGGACAAGTGTACCGAACAAACAGAGCTCCCTTTTCCCCCTGATGCAGTTTTTGGTACCATTGTGTTACCCAAATACATGAGGTCGAACAGATATTGTATTTTACAGTCCCGTTCGATAGATGGGTTTGTAGCACTTTGGTCCTGCTCTTCATCCTTCACCCCATTCTCCGAAGCCTCAGTCTTTGCGTTAGCTGTTTCTCGCTTGGGGCCGGCGTCGAGAAGCGTGTCAAGTGATTTCTTAAATTCCACTTTCAAGGCAAACAGAGCACTAGGATTCCATAAATCCGGTCCTAGGTTATCCATTGTAAGCTCAAGCCTGCGTAACAGTTTAAATCCCGCCGGAGACGGCTGAACTGGCAGCTCTGGTTTCCCTTCCCACAGAGTCCTGCCGGGGCACCTTAGAGAGCTCTTGCAAGGCTTCAGCTTTTCTATATGTACGGATAGTTTGGCTATCGTATCTATTGCAATGATATTGTGCAATCCCGGTATTATTTTCTGGGCAAAATGCTGTTGTCCTCCATCTAGGAGTTTGTTTGGGATTTTGTTTCGAATTTCACGGATCATTCGGAGTAGAAAGACGGCCTGTAAAGCTTTCTTTTCTTCGGAAAATTCGTTCAGTACTCCAGTTAGAGTAGCTTGAAGTTTCTCAAATCCTTTCATCAAAGCTTTGCGATGCTCTTCTTCAAGAATAGCGGGATTATCCTCCTTCAAACATCCATTTATATGGTCAATGATATCCTCGTCACTGTCATCTTCAACAATATCCTCCCAGTTATCACTTTTCATCCCGTGAATTAAGGCGGCCCTAGTTTCGACAGTTTGGAGCCAAGTTTGGTATAAGTCCAACAACCGCAGAACATCAGTTCCTCTACCTAGGGTTCTGTTTACAATCTCACCCTTGAAGTTTGAGGCGCCCTCAGAGAAATCAAGCGACGTAAGCTTTGGATCCCACAGTAAAGATCTGTCCTTATCATTATCCGTTGAAAGATTATTTATAACAGACGTGATTTCATTTCCCAAAGTAGCTAGCCCTTCGGATTGGCCTTGGAGGGTCAATATTAGTTGGTGGTTTATGATGTCCTGTAACCCTTCGAATATTTCTAGATTTGAATGGGTTGGGGTTGAAGACTGAACCAGCAACCACGACTCCAATAGCTGCTTTCGTAAACTCAAAAGCTCTTCGAAGTCATGAAACCCCTCCAACTTCAGCTTCGCTTGTGATGAAAATATTTTAAATGTGTCTTTAGACCAAGGCTTTAGCTGTATATCTCTTTCTGACTTGGGTATTTTGTTATACTTGATCCATGGAGTAAAATGCTGAATGTCTGCCAATAACCAGGGTTTTAAGACATCTATGTTGAGTTCACCCAGACAGAAGATTTCAGGGTCTGCAAGGAGAGGCTGAGAAGTCAGCTTCTCCAACGCAGCCGCTAGGGGGCCGGCAAGCAGATGGTCAGCCTGCCGTAAAGTTTGCAAGTACAACTTTAGAGCAAGAAGAATGCCGTCTTTTTGTGTATTTTGTATTATTTTCTGGCCAATTGCATTCTTTCGCACATCACAGAAATGTCGTATGGCGTCGCTAGAGGAAGAACTAGTGGCCAGGCAGAACGCAGACAATGCGTGCACAAGCCTATCCGTGGTAGTGTTAACAGCAGCCAGACGTAGTTTCACTCGGTTCAGCAATGTTGCCCGGAGAGAAACTAAATTCTTCTTCAAACTATCCACAAAAGGGGGGACTTTTTCATGCTGCGAAAGTGCTTTTAGGAGAAGTCTCAAAATCACCAGTAGCTTCGCAGTGAGTACTATGGAGCCGCGTTTTCGAATTATTTTTATGGCTAAGTTGGTGCAGCTTCGGAGGAGACATAGGTGGGCCTTGAGTTGTCGTTCATCACCACCTATTTGAATGTTAGCCTGTTGCACGTAGTCAAGGTAGAATCGATCCTCATTTCCTCACTGATTTTGGAATCATCTTTCAAATCAAAGGTACACTCAGCCCTTTTCGCAATGGCTCGAGGATTGCATCGTTTTCCAATACTAGATAATGTAGACTCAACTTGCTGTATATGCGTGTTCATGTCCACGATGGTCTCTGCGGTTCCAAGAAGGTCCCGATATTTGATACTTTCCATGCAGCCATACATTAGCAACCTTTCTCGTCGTATATTCAATAGCAATATCTTTGCTCCGCAGGCCTCAGACCTACCCAACAAGCGACCTCAGCTTGTCCCTGTTGCTCTCGGCATCTCTGTGAAGTTCCTGTTGTAGGCGCCGTACCGTCGGAATAGGGTACTTGAACGCCTCTTCCCACGAATTGAGAGTCAATGCATCTGGAGTTTCTGCCGCCATCGTCAAGATTGGCCTGATTTTCCAGGCTGAGCTTTTCTCCAAGGTTGCTTCATCGCTGTCAACTTGATAACATTTTAGACGAACTTAATGGTCACGTGATATGTATATAAGCGCCAAGCGACCAATCGGAGGCTCTTCTACTTTATGCGTCATAGGAGTGTCATTATTATTATCATTATATTAATATACGATTGAACGCCTTATTATATCGATCATCTTTCTACATTCTGCAGTTGGTTGCGAAAAAGCAGTAACAGGATATCTATTTCCTGCTGATAGATTCAAAATATGGCTGTCCCTCCCGAGCAAACTCCTCCCCGATCACAAAATCCAGTGGCTTTCCCTCCAATAACTAGATCGCATATCCTTAATTGCTCATACCACTCCTGGTATTCACTGTAAGCAATATACTTATTGTTAGAGGCTGATGCAGGATAAAACTAACCAGCAAACTACAGTTACCGATCTCTATCCCCCAAAGCACGCCTTATTCCACTCACAGAATCATTCATAAACTATATCCGTGCAGATGGGATTGTTCTTCCTCCAGACGAGATCAGTCTGGAGGTATCCGATGATGATAGCTGGACACTGTCCATGTCGAATGGTGGTAGCAACTCGGATAAAGAGGAGTCTGATGATGAGGATCGTACCTATGACCCATCACAAGAATGGCCAGAGGTACATGCCGAGGTGATAGCCAAAATCAGGGAGCTGGGCGGACAGGTATCACCAAAGCTGAATTGGAGTGCACCAAGGGATGCAAAATGGATACTTGCGACGAATGATATGCAATGCAGGACGGCTAATGATGTGTACTTGCTGCTCAAGAGCAGCAACTTCATGAACCATGACCTTGACCATGCCTTTGATGACTGTGTCCCCGAGCCAGGACAAGAGCAAAATATGCCATCGGATCAACCGCCTATTCCATATCACCTTGTGCTACGAAAATATTTTAATGTCAATACCTCGCTTGAGTTTCGATGCTTTGTGCGCCACCGACAGCTTATTTGCCTTTGCCAAAGGGATCTGACATACTATGACTTTTTATCCGGTATGCGGAATGATTTATTAAGGGTGATCCAGTCTTTTTTCGACGAGAAGCTTCGGGATACATTTCCCGATCCAGATTTTGTATTCGATATTTACGTTCCTCCGCCACACAATCGGGTCTGGTTAATTGATATCAACCCTTTTGCCCCAAAGACCGATCCCCTCCTTTTTTCATGGCAGCAGATACTTAAGATTGGCCAGGAGGTAGAACAGAGTATCAATGGCCAAACTAACGGTGTCGAAGAACAGGTTGTTAGACTAAGTATTGGTGATCAAAGCTTATCCTCTGCCGCGGAGACACATCCAATACAAGCTGACGAGGATGACAAGGAGGATTCAGATATTGAGGAGGTATCCGAGTTGCCACTGTTCCTCCTGCTCTCTGGAGGGAATCCAGCGGGTACGAACATGAACGCTGCTCCCTTCTCAGCACACAAACTTCCAAAGGATGTAGTAGATGCCTCTAAAAGTGGCCCTGGAGGCATGAGTGAGTTTCTTACCCAGTGGAGGGATATAATGGAGGGAAGAATACGGCCGGATACAGGTGCAGATGACAGTGACGATAACTAAAAAAAAAAAAAAAAAATTGTATGTACGGTCATAGTTTAGAATGCCAAACTAGCTAGTTTATGTACATCAATTCGTAAGTAGGCCTCTAAGTAATAAAAGAGAAATGTATATATATATATGTAATAGAATGCCAGGTTGCCGCCCAAATCAGTGCACAATCTATAGCTTATGTCGCTTCTGGCCAGAAGCAAGTTTCATAAACTCGGCTTGAGGGATGCCAGACACAAAACGCTCTAGTCCCCCAAACACTTCGCGGACATTTTGTTTGTCCAATATATCTCGATCTGGCGCGCCGATCAAAGCCTTGATCTTCAACATACTGTCCTGGTTCAGATGGGTGCCCAGAGTCATATCGATTTCGTGTAGGACCATCTTAAGGAAGGCATCTGAATCATCCTCCTTCCCACTTGATGGAGTGAAGATCTTATTTACGAATCCGGTTTGCAAGAGATCCTCCGATGGGATACGTTTGCTCATGATAAGAGCTTCTTTGGCCTTCGAGATGCCCATCCGCTTGACAAACGCGTGGCTGGAACCTCCCTCTGTAACTAGGCCGATAGACGAAAAGGGCGTGAGGATATAGGCATGAGGGGTTGCGTAGATAAAATCTCCGAAAGCAGTGAGTGCAGCGGAAAAGCCGACGGCGGGCCCATTAAGAGCAACAACCAGGATCTTGGGGTGTGTATAGAAGGTATGGGTAAGGTCGATGTTATTAGCGACGAATCCTTGAACGATATCTCGACGTCCGTCTATGTTTTCACCTGTCTCGGGTGCACTTCGAACAACATCTGCACCACTAGCGGTGGATAGGACTTGTCAGTCACTCAACTCGCTTCACTAGCAAGAATGCTTCACTTACGCCGAGAAGAACCTGCCGGCCCCAGTCAGGACTGTGATATATATGTCGTCTCTCTCCGCAACTTCTCGCATCTTCTGGCCAAGAAGATAGTAGTGTGCGGCGGTCAAGGCATTGAGCTTCGACGGCCGGTTCAGAGTGATGATGGCTACACGGTCTTGGTAGGTGACGGTTACCTCGTCTGTTGGGTACGACATCTTGATCGTGGGACTGTGAATGCTGGCAGATACGAAAGAGAAAGGAGAGATCTCTCCCAGCGACCTTCCAGGGGAAATGTTTCGTGGCGTACTGTCGGGTCTCCTGTAGCCCAGAGGATGGAGGATTATAAAGGCCGCCAGGGGAGGCTTAGGGGGATATTAGCCGGAAGAGTATAAATCACTCCGCTTCCGCCTCCTGTAAACTGACTGGAGCCACGAAGACGAGGCCGGCTCCATCGTTCGTTGCTTAGAAGCTGGAGATGTTGAAGATTTGAACCGAAACTGCGTGCGCGACCTCGGCATCTCCATCGCACAGGCGGACTAACAGCCGCGGCATCTTTTCTCCTTTCTTTTTTTTCCTCAACCGTGATGATATTTTCGAGCCCTTAAAAGAGAGAGCAGAGTACTCGTTGACTATCGTTAACAATCTCTAGATTAGTTGATAGTCGCTTTGTTCATCAAGATACCTAACTTTCTCAGAATCAGTTTTTAAACGGGCAATCGACAGTATACACAAAGCATTTATTATTTCTATAGAGCAAGAAATGTCAAGCCATCACGCTCCTCTATGCTAACAAATAGGTCATGTAATTCTATGACAAGCTATCAGTGAGAATTCGATTATCGATGAAAAAGGGACAAGGTTCGTGAATCTCAAGAACGTGGACGTCCAGAAGTCCTACGCTATCAGGCCAAAAGGGCCCATCGTATTCCCTCGCCTAGAACCCGACCGCTGATCTGGAAAAGCTGTAAATATGATAAAGGTTAAAAGGTCTCATGTTGGCTCGGTGATCACGATTTTTGGGATGTTGAACACTGGGCGGGGAGTTTCTTCGGTATCTTCGTCTGGCACAGCTTTGTCATTATCGCCATATTCCTCTGGCCTGGGGATAAGTTCCGAGATGCAGGTCGCGATATACGTGACTAGAGACCCGATATAGCCTGATTTCTTCCAGTAGCCTTCGTTGCAAGAACTGGTCTCCGAGTGCTGCAGAAGATCACACATCCGTCGAAAAGGTTTCTGGCATCCAGGGCAGAAGAATATATACCCTTTTCCATTGGGTAACGACTGAACAAAGTTCGCTGCAAGCTGTAGGATATCATCATGTCCTACTCCAGAAGGGCAGTTTCCAGATTCCAGGTGATTAAACATCGCAGAGAGGGTCGAAAAGTCCTGGGAACAACAGTAGCAAGAAACTCCGCGGGGCCTATGTTTGAATGCATGCTATAGAGTAAATACCAACGCGTTAGTTTCCATCCGGGGTGGCCATTGAAGATAGATTTCCCTAAGAGATACAACATACCCCATTCAACTCATGGGCGTTTGGAAAGTAGTCACCACATGCAACACATAGGTAGTGTTTACAGGTATTATGCTGGCGTAGCCCAATGGCTGAAGGGGCGAACCAGTGGCAGGGCTCACAATAAAGATGGGCTTCTTCCAGATGGCGCTGTAGGCTGGTAAAGGTCTCAAAGTCCTGATGGTCCACACACAGATGACAGACATTGTGCTTGATAGAGTATCCAACATGCGAGCGGTAATATTTATCCAAGGAGAAGCTAATATTACACCGCTTGCAGTGGACTCCTCTGTTGGCTTGGTCCATCTCTTCTATCAAATAGCCATAGAGAGTACCTATCCGGTAAAGGGATAGTATAATGAGACCCAGAGCTAAATAGCTATAGAGATGAAGTTGTGTTCACGCTCTACAGCAGCAAGAAGTGGTAGGTTCCGGATATCTCTAGTTGTAGTGAAGAACAAAGCTATTCAATAGAAAGAGAATGGCGCGTCTGCTCAACAACTAGATAATGTCTTGCTCTTCAAAAAAAATAAACAGCAAGTTCTCAAGAGGTAAAGGCAAAGGCAAAGAGATAGGAATAGAGAGAAGTGAAAGTATTCACTGGCTTAAGGGCTCACTGCAGCCTGTAAGTCTTTTAACCCTCACTTAATGGAAAGTCCCAGCATTGTATAGAATAATATCTATTACAATACTAGGGATTTCTCGGAGGGAAGCACGCATCCACAAGCAACAATTTGGGTATAGCCTAGAGCTCTATCTTCATTTTGATATCTCTACCAACATCAAGATAGATTCTTTGCTCTTTTATCAAAAATATGAGCTTATTTACTAAATTTGATGTTTCTGTTTTTTGAGCTTTTTTTCCAGCTGTTTTGATAGGTTGTATCACGTGATTAAACACAGAAGCTTAAAAAAAGGTAAAAATATTTTTTTTCTTTGAACGAAATCAAGAGCTTCGAAGTTCATCTGCTTTATAACACCGACTCAGGGCCGTTCCTGAGCTTTTAGTTCGTCAAGATGTCTTCGGATGAAATAGTCTGGCAGGTCATTAACCAACAGTTTTGCTCTTACAAGCTTAAGTGAGTCTATATTCATTAGTCTTTGCTTTTATGAATTTTTTCTGACTTGGGAATATAGAACCGATAAGGGCCAGAATTTCTGTCGCAATGAATACAATGTTACTGGATTCTGCAATCGCCAGTCCTGCCCTCTGGCAAACTCGCGGTATGCGACTGTCCGATCAGACCCCAGCACCGGTGCCATGTACCTTTACATGAAAACGGCAGAACGTTCCCATATGCCTAATAAGTGGTGGGAGAAGATACGGCTGTCTTCGAATTATGCGAAAGCTCTTGGACAACTGGACGAACGCCTCATATATTGGCCGAAATTTTTGATTCACAAGTGCAAGCAGCGCCTTACTCGGCTCACTCAAGTTAATATACGGATGAGAAAACTTGCGAAAGAGGAGGAGCGCCTGGGTGAAAAGCTAGTCCCGAAACTTGCTCCCAAGATAAGGAGGCGAGAAGAGACAAGAGAACGAAAGGCGGAGGCTGCTGCAAAACTCGAGCGGGCAATTGAAAGGGAGCTTATCGAGCGATTGAGAAGCGGGGCATACGGCGAACAGCCTCTGAACGTGCAAGAGAACATATGGAAGAAGGTTCTCAGGGGACTGGAGAGGCAAGGAGAAGGTGAACGAGACGAGGACCTCGACGAGGGAATCGAAGAAGAGCTGGAAGAGGAAGAGGAAGGTGTCGGGGAAGTCGAGTATGTTAGTGACGTTGACGAAGACGAAGACATGGAGGATCTGGAGGACTGGCTCGGTGACGAGAGTGACGATGCAGGCAGTGATGGGATTGACGAGGATGAGGACGACGATGATGAAGACGAAGAAGATGATAGCAGCGCCAGCGACGAGGAAGTCCAGAAGAAGCCCGCGCCTGCACCCAAGAGGAAACGGCCTGCAGCGCCGTCTCGGCCACGGAAGAAGGGGGCGCACGTCGAGATCGAATACGAGACAGAAGGACCGGCCAGAGAATCTCTCTTTGCATGAGTATTCTTACGATAAGCCAGAGCAAAAAAAGTGTTTGTTTCTCCTTGTTCATTTCCTCAGGGTCGTTATATTCGCATGGAGTTTTGGGATCTACTTGGGCGAATGGTTGTCTCCATGATATCTCATGTACAGGACTGTTGATTTTACAGTGTCAATTGACCGACTTCATTGCATAGAAGATTGAATATCTTTGTTAAACAATTCTACCAAACTGTTGCAATAGTACTCCTAATCATAAAGTGATAAACCTGGACATGTGACATGGGGATAAAATATGGAATCTTTTCGTGGTTTGGAGACTTTCGCCTTTTTCTTCCCACTCCGACGTTTCATACTAAAACACTTAACGGGAACCGCAGGAATGGGGTTATATATTTAAGCTGCTCCTCTCTGAATTCCCTAATACCTTGTCTCTCAAGTTGTCTTCTTCGAATCAGACTGCCGCGGCTCCTCTAAGCCCGCCGCTCACGCACCCGTACGGCCCAATCAATCCCCTGCGGTGTCAACTCTCACCATGACGTCCTACTTCTCATCTATAACATCGATATCTAACCTCAGCACTCGCTTCACCTCTCTTCGCCGTGTCATATCCTCAGATGAGACCGACGACCCTGAAAACGAGGATCTCTCACATATCTCCAATGTTTTGCGAGCATACTACAACGAGAAGGGCCGCAGGCTGCCCCCTTGGTTACCTCCAGACAAGAAAGCGGGATCCAACACTCCAGTCATTGCAACTTCTCAGGCATCCTTCCAAGGCTACGGAGGCACGCCGTCTCAGCCTGGCGGTCGAGGCGGCCTAGGAGACCTATGGGACGATTCAGGGCGGTCGCAAGCACCGCAGCAATCTACAGGGAGCCTTCGTGCCGGTCGAAGCCAGAATAGCCTGGCGGGCCAACAAAATTCGCTGCCATCGTCCCTTAAACCCGCTCCAAACCATCTACCCCATCGTCCTACCGCGGCCGGCTTAAGGGGCCAGGGTGGAGGGTACGACCGCGACCCTTCACCACATGCTGCAGGCCGCTCTCAATCTACGGGTGGCGCGAGACCGCTCCCCAGCCAGCGTGCTGGGTCATACCAAACCTCCGGCGCGCAGATATCACGGCCAGAAATAGATCGAACGTTATCTGGAGCTTCGGCGCAGGACAGACTTCGTGCGCGGTTGCATGGAGGTAGCAAACCGCCATCTTTCGGGTCTAGCAACTCGTTTGATTCCACCTCGAGTGATGGAGCAGGGTACTCTAGGCATGCAGCACCGCGTGGTGGCTATCGATGACCTAGCAGTGCCTCAGAGGCAAGTGGGAGATAGAGAGTGCATAATGGCTCAGACATGTTGAATTGTTTTCTCAAACGAGCCCTGGCGTTTTTGGTTGGCATCATACACTATTATTCCCATTTCTCTCCTCTCTTGATGGAGCTTTATTTCCCCTATTCCCCTAGCTTGGCCTTTCTCTTCTATCTATCGTCCTCAGAGCCTCTGTATATATCAAAATACGAGTATTTAATACTATCCACTGTGAATAGTGCCTGTTCATGGTATTCTCTCTGTGGCTGGCCCTATGCTCCTTATAGACAATAAGAGTGCATGGTAGTGACTTGAATTTCCAACACCAAAGAAAACATAGAGATATCAATTTCAAGTAAGTCTATGCGCCTTTTCAAGGCAGTCTAACCTGACCGTGCAAATAAAATAAATCCAAGTACAAACTTATAATATGAACACCCATGCTGGGTATAAATACACCAAAACACCACCATCCAAGTCACAACAAGGTAGTATATAAGAATGCCGGCCCAAAAATCATAACCGCGGTAAAAAAAAAAGTGTATCTAAAAAGTATCAAACCACGAAAAGATAAAGGGGAAGAATCGTAGCTGACGGAATAAATGCTGGGTAAAATATAAGATTATGAAGGAATGCTCAGCCCCGTACTTTGCGATAGCTTGGTGGGCTCCAAGTACGGCTGATCAGTTTTACGGCCCAGACTGGTATAAGCGAAACGGCACAGATAACGGACACTTTCCATGCCCATCCCCATGTAACAACATATGCAAGATCATAGTAATCACCAAGGAAAGGAACGGAAGCACCGTAGACTATGGCGGTGCCAACAATGCACATTATCATGACAGGATGCCATGTGGTGATAGAAACAGCAACCATGATAAGTTCATTCAGAACCAAGGAAGTGAACGAGACACTGACGAGTCGGGGGCCGGCGATTTCGCCGACGAGAATCTGTGCAAGGCCTTCTATTACGGCACCCTGGTATACGGAGACGAGAACCCAGGTGAAGAAGGACCTGTAACTGAGGCTCTTTCCGGATTTCAGCTCCTTGTATAGCTCCGGGTAAAGGTTTGCTAGGCCTTCATCGACATCACGGTCAAGGACAAGGGAAAAGACAGGGGCGTTGGTATAGATGGTTGCATATCCCACAAGAAGCCAGTTTATGAACAATCCTTTTGGGTCAAAGTGACTTGCAATGCTAAACATGGTCTGACATGCACTGATTATCAGGCCACGATGCATAACAAACTGGGCTAATTTAGCAGACCTCTTGTAAGAGTTACGGCCATGCCAGAACAGGAGCTTCGTGAGATGGTGAAAGTGTGTGATACTGAAATCAGCAGCAAGGGAAGCCTGTCGTCCTTCTTTCCCAACAATTCCAATTCCAACATCCGCAGCCTGAATCATAGAAACATCATTCCCGCCATCCCCTATGCAGCATATACGTTTCTTGGTATGTTGCCGAATCAGAGTCGCTATTTCAGCCTTCTGCATTGGAGAACAGCGGCAGGCAATGACAGCTGGAAGACGTACCGCGAGGGTTATAAATGGTACTCGAAATTGAGAAAGCATCAAAGCAAGGGATTCCCCGTCGATCAGTAGACACGACTCGGTCTTGTTGCGGAGGAAATCCAAGGCATCATTTGCTGCGTCCATATCCTTCAGTTTTGTGACTGTATTGATTACTTGACCTCGAGAGACGAGTTTTGAAGACACAGCAACACACCGTGCTGTTTCAACCTTGTCCCCTGTAAGCATCCAGATCTTGATTCCGGCGTTCCTAAGCAGCTCAAGAGAGGGCTTCACATCCTTCTGTAGTTTGTCCTCAACTCCAGTAACACCTAACAGCTCGAGATCTTGCTCGAGGTACTCCCGAGCTACAATAGCCATTAGACTGTCCCTATCATTGAGAGACATGGAAGCTTCCTTATAACTCTTGGAAAATTCACTGTAATGTTCGGAGGAAAGCTTCTTTCTTCCTACCACCAATGTCCGTAAGCCTTCCCGTGCCATGTTTGCTGTCTCTTCATCAAGCCAGTCATTTGCTGAAACGATAGCGGACATCACTGTATCAGCGCCTTTCTGGAAGAACCAGATCTCGTTTTGGAGTTGTGGTGGGCAACCTTGATGTTGGTCTGATGAAAATTGAACTATAATCCCCATTCTTTTACTCTCAGATGTAAATGGAAAGACATCCAGGATTTTAGCTTTGATTGTAATTGCACTAGAGTCCCCCACGCTGAGAATAATAGATTGCCTATCCCGATGAGACAGTTTGAGCCCAACCTCCTCCGTATATTTAACAATCGCGATCTCGTCTGGAGAAGAAGCTTGGTAGGTTGTCATTATCTCGCCGTTTTCTTCCTCTTTAGTTGGCGTAACGTTATGGCACAGTGCAAGGGCTAGTATTAAATCTCTAACTCGGGAGCTGATTTCGCGTCTCGTTCTCGTTGCTGGTCCTGAACTTGGCTGCGTAGAGGAGTTATTAAATGGTAGCAAGTCAGTTACACCGGTTGACCCAGATGCTGAGAATCCCTGGCGAACAAAGGATGCAACCTCCTCCATTGCTTCGTTGGCATATGACACTGTACCGACATGAATTTTTTTAAGTTCCATCTCTAGTTCGATGTTAGTTATTGATAAGAAGTTGCCTGATACTTGGAAGCTTACCATTCTGAGTCAAAGTACCCGTCTTATCAGAAAGCAGGTACTCAATTCTTCCAAGATCTTCTGGAATTGTGCTCGTTCGTACGATGGTTCCGGGTATCCCCTTGTCTCTCTCGATAAATCTCCCATAAACAGATTTGGCCATGTCAAGATTTACTCGTAGACTCATTGGGATGATGGTGGAGAAAAGGATAAGGTAGATCATAATGGCAATATACCACTTCTTATCATCTGTTGGTTCAAATTTTTCCAAAGCGACCAGAGTAATCGATAAGGTTAAGGTGAGAGCACACAGAATCTTTGTTAGACTATTTATTTCATGTTCCAATAACCCGACCTTTGAACGAGATGCAGAAGTCGACAAGGCAGACCTTGTCTGAGATCCAGTATAAATGACAGCGGCATAAGTGAGCGTATTAGAGGCAAGGACAGTGTTTGCCCAAGCGGCGTTATCAATACTGAGTGGAGCAGACTGGGGTTGCTCATCCTGTTTTCCACTCCCTTCAGTTGCTGGATCATAGAGCTCTGATGGGAGCTGTGAGAGTTCGATTTTCCCAACAAACTCATTAACATTTTTAGCTGGAGTGCTGGCAGTGATGCGTATTCTATTGAGCTCAGCTAGTGGGAGGCTCTGTGTGAGCGGAGACGCAAGTCGTAGCTTCCAGTCTGTTTCACCGTCCAGTTGGTCGGTTCGAATAAAAGTCTCGGCAGAGCCAGCTGCATCAAAAGACGCGTATATATTATTATCTTTATTGGCCCCTGGAGTATCATTTCCTTGTCCATTAGCATCACCCCGAGGGGTTGATGCTAGGTCCTGCCCCTGGGGTTCAGTAGGCAAGGACTTTAATATAATGACATCTGCCGGAAGGCGTCTGTCCTTCCCAATTTTCAAAATATCACCAACTTTGAGGTCCCGGGACCTTTTTGTTGTTTCCACCGGCTCAGGCCAGCCAGGGGTTTGGCTTTTGGACGAGATAAGGCCGGAGGATCGTAATGAGGAGCGCTCGAAGGATATTACGTTATATTCCTCGGAGTTTGCTTCCGCGTCCCTTCGGCGACGAGAAATATCATCCAGTGCCTCCTTGCTAAGAGAAATGAATACAACGAAGGAAAGCGGCGCAATATAGGATGAGATATAACCAATACGTAAAATCGGGATGGTCTGAGACAAAGCCACGAGGAGAAAATAGATGTTGAAGAAAAAAGAAAACTCATTGTATAGAGTACGTGGAAGGAAGCTCCACGGGGTATATTTGGCGTTCGACACGATGTTAGGCGGATATCGTGACTTTTGCGTCTGGCCAACGAATATTTCGCGAGGAGGTACCTTGTTGGCAGCCTTGTCAGATCTGGGAAGCTTCAGGCGATCGAAAATCCCATCACTATTGTTAAAGATTGGAAGCCCAAGCCTAGATCGCAAACCCGAGTTAACATGACCAGACGACTGTCGTGACTGGGGCCTCCGCTGCCCGTCTGTAAGGAGGGGTGCATCATCGTCCGCAGAGCTTGTAGTTCCTCGAGAGAAACGAGCCTCTTCGTGCTCCTGGTCGTAAAGCAGTCCGCCCAAGTCATCTTCTTCTCCACGTTGTCTAGTATCCCGTTCCCATGGTCGTTTTTGCGCTTTATGCCGTAATTTTTTCAGGGAAACCGCAGGGCTATACCACCGCGAGCCATCCGAAGGCCTCCGGGACCTGTCATTATCACCAAATCTCGGACTTGACTGTACCCCTAGCTCCTCAAGCTCCAAGTCGTCGTCGTCATCCAAGGAACTTATGGACCGTCGATCGGGCTGTGTGGTGTAAGAATGTGTAGGCATCGTGATGGAAGTCCACGGTGGAAGGGATTAAAACGATAAAGAAGATATCAGAAAGAAAGAAAAAAGGAGAGAGAAGGGCCGTAAGACAGCGTCCGGAGCTTCTATCTCGATGGCATCCTTAGGATTATCCAAGTTATGGCGCTTCCAGCCATCAACAACCCCTAGGAACCAGCGAGCAGGCTGCCCAAAACAAAAACTGAACGTCAGGAGCAGAGGACTGCTCTGTATAAAAGCTGAGAAGCGAGTGGGACTATGGAGAGCGCCGTGGTTCTGTCTGCGCCGTCAGTTGTCTCTCTGCAGGCATCAACAATAAATGCTATGCTGGCTCTTTTTTCCCTTTTTCGGTACTTTCGTCATTTCTTCAACAAACGTGGCTGCGACTCACGTGATTATCTACCACATAAATGTGGCGCATGGTCACGTGACTAATCTTGCCTATACTGTTCTGATATCCAGGCAGCGCCCTCCTTTAAACTTCACCAACACCATGATCAACTTACTACACCTTGTATACCTCAGCCTACAAGCGCCATTTAGCAGGATATGAAATCATATTGTCCTATCCGGTTTGGCGTGCCATCAGACAAATTTATGCAGGATTAGTGTTCATTGCACAAGTGAAGCTATCACAAGTTGGGTCTAGGCTCTTATAGCTATATAGGGACGACCTGGTTGCCGAGGCACCGTGGCAGAGTGGTTAATGCGTAAGATTTGAAATCTTATCCCTTAGGGGTCGCGCGTTCGAATCGCGTCGGTGTCGCTTTTTTTGATGATTTTTGTTATCATCACGTGATTAATACAGCTTAGCCAGCTCTTGAAATATCACATATCAATAGACAAAATCAAACATGTTTTCATCCGAAGAGAAGCTGTCCAGAACCTAGAGTAAAGATATATAGCCAAGTGAGGAAGAGCTGGTTTAGAGATCTAGCCCTAGACCTATTCTCCTGCCCGTCGATATTGAATCAATTAAGTTTACTATAAGTATGGATGATCTTGGTATATTCTTGTATGTTGTTGATGTAGAGTGGATGTAGATTGCAGTTATAATTCTACAGTTTACTGGTAACGCATACAGCGGCATCCTAGCGGCTTCGACTGCCGTCGTCGGCGGCCTTGAGCAGTATGCATCCTCGCTGCCCTTTTGAAAGACCCTGTTTGAAGGCTGGATCCTTCTGCCACTAATATTCTGACATATTTGAGATAAACAAAGTACAGGGGGAAAAGGCAGCTGAAGTGAGAATAGATGACCAAATAAGGAAGAGACATCTTTCATTTACATCCATAGGCGCTTTGCTCCACTAGAAAGGCACTGTGGCGGAGTGGTTAACGCGTTTGCCTCGAAAGTTACGTTTTTCACGTAGCCCGTCTTTGTATGGAGAGCAGCAAATTCCTTCGGGAGCGTGTGTTCGAATCACACCGGTGTCGTGTTTATTTTTTACTCTTTCAACAACAACACTAACCATTTATGGGTTAGCGTAGCATCCGGAGTAATATTTCTCCTTTTCTAAGGCTAGACCAAATTTGGAGAAACGGCCCGATTTTTTGCCGTTGCGCGTGTCAGCAAGAAGCCCGAAAAAGGAAATCTGGCAAGTTTTTTGGGCTTTTTTCAACGTTGACAAAAGAATCTCATTATCAACATTAACTTCTCTTCTGTTCCTAGAAGCGTTTTCATTCTTAGGACTGAGTCCTGGCCGCCATGGTTGGCATATGCATTTGAATCCAGCGTTGTTTGTTTCGAGTTTTGGTGCTGTTTTTCCTTTCTTGTTTCTACTTCATTTAACAACAGTAAGTAAGATGGCGTCCCCTTTCGAACGAACAGAACGCGATTCTGACGGCTCACTGGATAGGTTGATCCATAAACATGTCGGACGACCCATCTCTTAAGCAACCTGCTGAGCCAGGCGTTGCTGCTACCCACGCAGATTCACAGGAATCCTCCGCTCTAAAGGAAACCATCCAATCTAAATACCCGGACGATTCGGATGCACCCGGCAGTAACCAACCCGCCGAGTCTCAAGGCGCGACACAGGATACGGAGACATGCGTTGAGCTTCCGACAGGTGTTTCTACCCTTGGTGATGCCGCTACCAACTCTAACCATTCCGAATTCTTGACCCTCTTGGAGTCAGCCACTCCGCAGACATCCAAAGCAGATGCCCCAGAAGACCCTCCTGTGAACGTGGATGCCACTACAGCTGTCTCGGAACAAACAACTCCGCAGATTTCCCAGCCAGATACCTTGGAAACCCTTCCGGCAACGGAGGAGGTTGCTCTAGCTAATACTGAGTCGGACCAGGCTGAGAAACAGTCAGCAACAGAGCCCGAAGAGGAACAACCTAGCTCGCTCCCAACGCCTACAGCCGCCGATCTACTTGCCCGCAATGATATTGTTTCAAGGACCAATTCATTCCCTGCCTTCGGCTCGGCAGATGAACCGTCCCAGCACACAACTTCTGCATCCGACCCTGGCAATGCAAGTGAATCACAAGAAGACAAAAACAGCCACACTCCTTATGCTCGTCCACCTACGGACCTAATGATTGATTCTGAGAATGGCCATGTCTCGTTACCCTGGAATGATGCGGCTCAAGATGGCGAGGTCGAAGGGGAAGACTTTTTCAACCAAGTTAGCACTCAGACCAAGCCAATATACATTCCTCCCGAATTTGCGGAGTCGAGATTTGAGGAAGGGCTGCCACTTGTTGATAACGGTGACCAGAACTATGGCGAGCCAGTAACCGAGTCTAGGCCACAAAACACCCTCGATTCTGTATTCGGTGAGGATATGGCAACTGAGGAAGCTGGGTTTTTCAGCTCTAATTTGGCCACTGCGGAAAAGCTGTCGGATGAACCACCTTCGCTGCACCGAAAACAGACATCACAAGTGCTGGACTCACTAAAATTAGATGATGCCTTCTTGGGTGATGACTCTCCCATTGAGCCTCATCTTACCTCCGGCCAGCAGTTCCCCAGCTCTGGAGAGCCTGATGAAGCTACTACATCAAAGGATGATACCGTCCCCACCGAAAATTTGGATGAAAATGAACTAGCAGAGCGATGGAAAGCAGCACTGGATGATGACTTACTTGATGATGGGCTCCTCGACGACGACCTACTCGATAATGATAATGCGTCCCAGCCTATCCAGAATGAAAAACCACCAGCCCCGTCACAACATTATCCCCCCTCCCAATCAGCGTATTTGCCTCAAGCTCCGCCCGCACTGGCATCTATTAACCCCTACGCTCCTCACCAGCCATCATCTTCGTCCATGATGGAGGGCATAGCTCCTGCTATCTATGGGGAGCATGTGCAACCCATTAGCCCAGTGAGTGGAACTGCGGAAAGCTTTTCAAATCAGCCAAAGGCCGGATACAAATCTCCCTATGATCTACCTGATGATTTACAACCAAAACGTCGAGTTGCCCCGCGATCCGTATCTAATATGAGCCAGCCATTCCAAGCCACGACCAGCTCTCGGCCTTCCAGTCCCTATAGCACAGCACCCCCACCAATTGCACATCCACCAGCGGCAAACAATCCTTATGCACCTCCCACTCAACCTCAGGCTCAGCGTCCTGCTGCTCCTAGCAACTTTTTCGAAGAGCTTCCAACAACTTCGCGGTCAAGGCCATCCACAAGAGGAAGATACGCTCCTCAGCCTACAGAAACCGGCCAACAGGTAGCTCCAAACCCGCAGATGATGACACCTCCCTCCCAGCAGCATAGTGAACTTCAACCTCACGGCCAGTTTCAATTACAACCCCCTGCAAGAATGGACCCCTACGCAAACGTCCCGACCCCTACCGGACCAGGTGCAACCAAGCCATCAACTCAATATTCCCCTAGACCTATTGGGAAGCCCGCATCCTCTGGTCGTTACTCACCTGCTCCTCTTTCTAGCAGTGCTCCTAACCACTCATATATGCCCAATCACGCAGGGATCACTCTCCCGTTTCAGCCGAGAACGTCAAGCCCGCTGGCGCAACATGATTCAAGTCATGTCAGACCTCAGGCCCACCCAGAGACTCCCCGTGAGAACAACTTTGGTAACCAAGAGTCAGCGCAGCATTTGTCACCCCCAATTGCCCATAACGACTTCGGCCCAAGGAATTATGCCCCCATGGCAAGCGTTGGTCCTTCTACCCAATATAATATGCCACCACCTTCTGCTCCCGTAAGGATGTCGCCGCCCCGTAGGTCGCAAACCCAATCTCCTGGGAGGCGAATTTGCAGTCAAGGACATACCTCTGTACTACAGGACAATGCTCCAAGGCCTGCGTCCGCTCATGCTCCCAGTGCACCCGTTCCTGGCGCCCATGTCCCACTTACCCGTGCCATGACCGCTGACTCACATTCCACGCCTATAGCCGATTTCATTCCTCCAGTAGATAATCACAGCCTTGACGAATTGGAACGTTGGAAAGGTGCTCCTATCATTAAGTTTGGTTTCGGTGGATCTTTAATTACATCCTTTCCAAAGCGTGTTCCTATGTATTCAACCGGCCAACTTACCCCTCGTATGAAACCTGTCCCCGGAGAAGTCAAATTGCGTTCGGTCAATGAGGCCATCCCCGGGTCGCTAATGCCCGCTAAATTCCCTGGCCCGCTAAAGTCCAAGTCTAAAAAGAAGGAGGTCATTACCTGGTTATCAAACATGATATCCAGCTTCGAGCATGAGGAACCGCAGGGCCTCGCCCACCTTACCCAAGGCGAGTACCAATCCAAAGTAGAGAAAATTATGCTTTGGAAGGTCCTTAGGACGTTGGTTGAACATGATGGCATCCTTCGAGGAGCACCAGAGGCAGAGAAAAGTCTACGTGGTATTCTATCGCCTGTCACACAGCAAGACGATCAAATAGCACTCACCATAGGCTCAACCAATGCACTCTACGGTAAAGAAGAACCGGCGAATGTCAGTCTTAATGCTATTCAACATAACCTTCTCCTCGGTGAGCGTGAGAAGGCTGTGTGGGATGCTGTTGATCATCGGCTGTGGGGCCATGCAATGCTACTATCTTCAACACTGAACCCATCGGTCTGGAAGCAGGTTGTTCAGGAGTTCATTCGTCGGGAAGTACGATCTGTTGGTGAAAATACCCAATCGCTTGCGGCTCTTTACGAAGTGTTGGCTGGTAATTTTGAAGAGAGTGCCGACGAACTAGTCCCTCTGTCTGCGCGAGCAGGGTTGCAAATGGTGAATATGCGCACAGGTCAAGGACCAACAGGAAATGCACTAGACGGACTTAATAAATGGCAAGAAACCTTGAGTTTGATTCTGAGCAACCGCAGCGCCCAGGATGATCAGGCTATATTGGCCTTAGGCAAATTGCTTTCGTCTTATGGGAGGATTGAAGCAGCACACATTTGTTTCTTGGTTGCCAGATCGAATACAAATCCCATCTTCGGGAATGTCGAGGACCCGAATGCTTATATTGTCCTCATTGGAGCCGACCATAAACGATACCCATTCACCTTTATGACCGACCCTACTTGCTGTTTACTTACCGAAGTATATGAATTCGCGACATCTGTCCTGACAGCGACACCGTTGCATGTTCTACCTCACCTTCAGGCTTTCAAATTACAACACGCAATGACTCTTGCTGAAACTGGCCACAAGACCGAAGCCCAGCAATATTGTGAAGCAATTGGTGCATTGCTGAAAGCAGCAACTAAACTCTCACCGCACTATAATCAGCGGTTCTTCATGGAATTGGAAGAGCTTTCAAACCGTCTCCGGCAATCACCTGGTGATGCGGCTTCTTCTTGGATGTCGAAGCCCAGTATGGAGAAGGTGTCTGGCTCAATGTGGGCAAAATTCAACAGCTTTGTAGCTGGTGACGATGCTAGTCCTGCCTCATCTGATCCCTCCAAGGCTCACGATGAGCAAGGCCCCTTTGCGAATATTGTTGGCACACCCCCAGTTAACCATTCACCTGGGGGACCCGAATCATTCGGTTCATATTTCCCCTCGCATCAACAACAGCCAGTGCCCATCCCAACCTCGAACTCTCGGTATGCACCCAGTAATCAATATGCATCTTTCTCATCTCCCGATCAGCTTCGTGGCCGTCGCTCCCTAGATTCACAACGTTCTCCCTCGCGCGGCCCAGCGGCTCGAGCATACTCTCAAAGGCGCCATTCGCAAGATCCTTCGGCCAGCTTGGAGGGTAGCTACAACCCGATCAATGCTAGCAATCCTTATTCCCCAGCAGTTTTGGCCCCTCAAGCCGCAACGCATTCTGCACCATTACCTGCACATTCTCCCCTGGCCCCAGTTGAGGAGGCAAACTCATCTTTGGCCCCAAGCACTACCTCAGAACAAGTTTCTGGCCTAGGCGTGTCTGCCCCCGGTCCTAACTCGTTCCAGCCGGCTCCTCAACAAAATGACCATATGTATTCCCCACCTTCTCAAGGCTCCCAAGGAGGATATGAACCTCCATCAGATGGAGGCTATCAACCACCATCTTACGAGCCACCGTCTTACGAACCACCTGCCGATGAGCCGGAATCCCCTGACAGTGAGATCGCCGAGGAGAAGAACCCCAAGGGTAAGAGTTTTATGGACAATGATGATGGGGATGATTACATTGGCAAAGGAGAGACAAACGGGGTGGAAACAGACAGAGGGCGGAGGGATAGAGAAGCAGCGGAGCTCGTCAGGAAGGCAGCAGAAGAAGATGGTAAGCTTTGCCCAGCACTATCCAGATACACCGTAACTAATTCTTCCTATAGCCAAACGACCACCTCCGGATGCAAAGAAGGGTTGGTTTACTGGCTGGTTTGGAAAACGAGATCCAAGCTCTTCCGGTGGCCCTATTCGCGCCAAGTTAGGAGAACAAAGTTCCTTTTACTTTGACGAAGACCTTAAGCGATGGGTTAACAAAAAGGACCCCAACAGTGCTACGGCATCTACTACGGCCTTGCCTCCTCCCCCCAGGGGCTCAGCACCCGGCAGCCGGTCTGCCAGCGCTGAGCACCGACCACCGACCTCAGCGTCCGTAGCGAGCGCGCCCGATGCACTCCCTATTCCACTTGCCAGAGGACTATCTGCTCAGGGCCCCAATTCACCGTATGGTTCAGCCCCTCCGCCGTCTTCACTAGGAATGCCTTTCTCCAGCAGCCCAGGTGGGCGTTCAGTCTCTGGCGGTACCCCACCTACTAATCCATCTTCCAGACCTGGTACTGCATTGAGTCATGCAAGCTCCATTGACGATTTGCTCGCGGCCCCACAGACCAGGAAGGGAGGTACCCTCAAAGGACGAAAGAAGGGCAGATATGTGGATGTCATGGCAACATCGTGATCTAGCTCTTGGACACTCTACCCATTGAATGATGTGCTGCTCTCAGGTACTTTCAACCAGCCATTACATTTTCATATTTTTCCCTGATATTCCTCAAGCCCCTTTTATAGCATCGACCTGGTGTCGTCAATTTTCGTTATTCTGCGTTTTTGATTGTTACCTCTTCTTTTACTGTTTTTGACTTGACCCCAGAAACAGGTTCTCCCTTTCTCACAATACCCCCTTTTAATTACACATCTTTCTTGAGCAGCTATAAAATCTTCGTTGCGGCTACTTCTTCATTCTTGCATGTATCGTTTTCTGGTCTTCCCTGGCTAAGCATGTATTTTATATCATTATTATTCTTAATATATTATTAATCCGTCCCGCTCATGTCAATTTTTTTGGCAAAGCATCACCACTAACTGGCGTATGAGTTGATATAGTACGTTAGGCACGAGTCTTCTCCTCCGATACCCCCCGGGAGATAAACATATAGGATCAGGGCAGTCTCATCGATGAAGCCTACGGGCCCAGTCAGCAAGCGAGGGTCAGTATAGATCAGTATATACGGCAGTGAAGAAAAGAATATATACTCACAGGCAACGACTTTGGGGCTCAATCTGCCGACACTCAATACACGACCCCAGTCTTTACCATCAATCCTGACTTTAGCCCACCCTTCCTCGCCGTCCGCACCTCGAGCCCTCATCCTCTCGCTAGGAAGCTGAGCAATCTCGCGCTGGGACATGTGCGCCTGATCAAGGGGAGGATTGACCAGGCCAGTCCATACACTGGAGATGCGGAGTGCATCAGTAGCAATGGCCAATTTTAATGAACCGTGCATGTTTGCGCTAAGTTCCAACTTGGGCCCGCTACTATGACTTCCCGCTAGAGCAGACCCATTGCTGTTGCCACCAGCATTGACATTCCCGGTTTTGCTGGAAGTAGCGTCGGTGGCGAGCTTTGTGAAACGCTCTGATATGCTTTTCAGCTGGATGAGACTGGGGAGAATTATATGCACGTCTGGATCACGACAACGTGGTTCGTGCAGTCCTTCGACCGTGGAGGGATGAAGAACGCGAATGGGTATCTCTTGTGTGACGATCGTTTCACGTTCTCTGGGGCCATCTTGCAGGAGTTCTGCGGCGGGTATTCCGGTCAAGGAGGCACCGTTTTCAAGAGAGTGTGTGTGACTTCCTCTCCCCACCTCGTCTGCGGACGACGTGCCCTTCCCAGACGCCCATGACGAGGTTACCACCGTCAAGGCGAGCAAGGGCTGATTCCCCTTTTTGGTCAATCGTAGTTGTGCAGAGGTAGCGCCAGTGGCTGACTTTAGCGCACGATGCAGCGCACCTATTGGCACTTCTAGATTTATGACTTTTGCGACAGAAGAAAAAGAGTATGAATCGAAGACAGTGTGCTACTCTTCTCTTAGCTTTGTTCCTTTGTCTTCTTCTCCTTCTTGTCGTCTTATACATACAATTGGTAGCTGGGCCCAGACCTGCGTCCCCTGGTCTGGCACTATGGAGAAGCGAACGACTTCATCTTCCAGCCTCACCCAACAGATCTTGCCAAGTGACGATAGAGAAGCCGTAAATTCTAGCAAGGGTCATTAGTTAAATAGTTCATGGAAGCGTAGAAGGATATTGATAGTAGAGAATAACTGACTAGAGAACGTCGCTACGTTCGTGAGCTGGCTCTTGAAACGCATCCTACACGCTTCATCATTCAATCCTCGTTTTGAGCAACAGGAATTATACTATGTACGCATGTGTAGCAGCGCTTTTCCCCTTCGTCAATAGTTTTCTGGTATCTTTAGTCCTTGCGATGCAGCCAACCACGCGTGTGAAACAAGGAGTATCAAACTGGCCCAGCTAGTTCCAGGACAAAGGCTGGTTGCAAAAGAAGACCAGATGCTTGTCTCAGGTAGTTTTCAAGGAAGATATCGTAGTTATGAGTCGAATTAGTTATTTAACCAAGCCGAAGAAGTCGAAGAAGTTGAAGTTGTGGCTTTTTCTTTTATACGAAGTTGAAGCCACCAAAAGAAAAAAAAAATAAGAATAAAACATCTTCGACCTTCAGCTTTTCTTCATCTACAAGAGAAGAAGAAAAAAACAAAAAAGAATCTACGAATGACCATTCATATGGCTTGACTGCAGATTTTTCTTACTCAACAGCTCATTCACCTTGCAGGATTTGTTCCACTTTGCACCACTGGGGGGAAACGAGAGAGGGAAGGGAAATGCTCGACAGACCTCCAGCATCTTCTACTGCAACAGCAGATCACCAGCAACCGTTTCTCTTTGCTATCTGAATCTCAATCTGAAATAGAATAAGAAGACGAAGATTATATCTGATATGATCATAGACTGTCACTGTTTGCTCGTTGCTGGCGTTGGTTCAACTCGTTCTCCTAGCCATGTCGACTTCTCCATCCTCCATCTCTACCAGTCCAGGCGCCGTCTAAAGAAGCAAAGAGAGAGCTGAGCGTCTTTCAATATCTCGAGACCCGGCTGCCCCCAAGACGAATATATATCATGGCGAGATCCCCGTTCCAGTCTCTGGATCCGGCAGTCCGCCTCCCTCCACGTCACTCACGCCCTTCACGCTCACCTTCACGATCCCCTGAACGAAGGGCCCAATTCCTCTCCCATCAGCTCGATCCTCTCCTCTCCGACCTCTCTCCAGAGACGACGCTGCAAGTTCTCTCTGACACAGATGCTCTCTCGATACCTAAAAACACTCCGCATAGCCTTTTGGCCAAAAGCATATCTGACGTCTCAACCGTGGATCGCGCATTCGGCATCAGAGCTGCCGTAGCCGCCCAGAAGCTGAACGAATGGCATACTGAGGTCCTCTCCTGGCTCTGGCCGGACGACAACAGCTCAGATAGAAGAAACGGCTTTCTTCCGCCCCAAGAGTTCGCTGACAGCTCCGCCAGGGAAGAAGACCGTGCTGGAATTTCCGCGTTATCCCCAGAGACTGATAATGAAGTATACTATGGAAGCCTACCTGCGAGCATCCTGAAGCTATATAAAGAACGGATTAAGGGAATAAAAGATGGCATGGACGCTCTAGACGTCGAGGAACTGAAGGAGCATGTTCTCACAGCTCATATTCCTTCACGATCTCGTCCACCATCTTCTGCCAGCACCATGTCTACAAACTCACGTCTAGCTACCTATCTGAGAATGAGTGACTTTACCGCAGTGATAACGGCTACAATACTACGAGCCCTCCCGGTGCTATCCAAATTAAATTATCTGTTGAACAACTGGCACTCTCGGTTGCTCGTTCTCAGTCAGGTTCCCGGGCTGCTCACGGGGCTTCGGGAAACAAAACGGGCTATTGACAATGCGCTTAGCCGGCTGCAAAACGGCCTACTTCCTGAACTTGATGACCCCCTCTTCTCCAGAGAGTCTTTCAGATCAAGCTGGAGAGAGTTGCAAGGCATGGTCTCATCACTCGGTAGTCGTATAGATGGTATGCTTGATATCCTTGAGGGTAGAGAAGATTCCCTACCAGATAGCTGGATCGATGAGATGGAGGCTATCGAATCGAGGTTTGCTACCTGGGCGTTTGAGGCGGAAAGGAAAGCAGTACAAAATGAGCTGAGATGTCTATATCAACGTGAACTCGACGATTACATGTCACGGAAAGCTTCCAAGGAACCCGCGCGGGATCAGTTGAAGAGTATACAAGAGGATACCTCCATCGATACCTCTCAGGACACAACAGCAGAACGTCATACCCTCCGTCCAGACACATCTTCCAAGCCCGAGTCTATCTCTCACACTCCACAGACACCATCTGCTACCAAGGCTAATGAAACAACCGAATTACAAACAGCCGCCCTTTCTACCACTCAGACCTCTTCAAACGTAGATACCGCAGATTCACCATCTCCAGCCCACGATCCTAACCAGAGATTTGGAAACACTTCCAGTTTAATACCAAATGATACCAATGCTACAGTTGTCGGAAACTTAAAAGATTATGATAACCTTAGCTTTGAATCAAAGCGAGCCTCCCATCCAGCCTTATACGATGGTGCTTATAGCGAAGAAGACGCTGACATTGTTACCAGACCTAGATCCCGTAGGCACAATGACATGGCAAGCCCAAAATCGACCAGCTATGGAGACAGGTCTCCTGATACATCACCAGCCCCCATTACGTCGTTGCCTGGTCTAAGAAAAAGGTCGAGTAAACGCGAAAACAATGTTCCTTCTAGACTTCAATTGATACCATCAGGATCAGACGCCACGATTAAGCAGAACGACTTTACTGCTTCAGTCGACTCGTCTAGTGCTTCATTTTTTGTCGCCAAGGACGATGCAGATGCAAACTTTGTTCAGCCTTTACAATCTCCAGCAACTCCGGCCCAAGTATCCCCCAGTTTCAGCTCCAGCGGTTCGGTAATCCACCATACCCCAGAAGCAACGAAGCACTCCTCGTCTCGTATTACCAGCAGTGCATCCTCATCCCCTGACCTTCAGACACCACCTTCTCTTCGGCTGTTTGGGCGAACTATGAGTTTACCATTGGCTCGTTATATCAATGATGAAGCCAGCTCGTTGTATGGCCAGGACTCTATCTACCACTCGAATGACCAGTCCCGAATCAGCACAGCATCTATCGAATCCATTGACCTATCACCAAAGGGACAGGTACGTCTAAGTGCCCCTTCGCCGTGAATTTCCGTATACTCACTTCTCCGTAGCTTAGAGATTCAACCTTTGATAGACGTAGAAGTTTAACCCCTAGCACATCAGCAAAATCTGATCTACGGAGATCGGTCTCATCGGCCAGCATTTCTTCCTCCCCTCGTTTACAGGAGAAGCTCAGCCTTGGCCGGCTGTCGAATTATATGCGACCCTCACATATACAGCGCAGTGCAAGTTCTGAACTGTTATACCTTGAGAAATCATCATTATCTACGGGCTCTCCTGACACTAATTTTTCATCCACTCCTCTTAAACCCATCAAATTCCCCTCCAGGCTGAGCCCACTCGTTCGATCTGCATCTCCAGGAACAGAGAGTACATATGCAGATGGCGACTCTCTTGAACGTATATCTCCTCCGCTCAAACCAAGATTTCACCCAGGTACCAAAACGCCTGTTAAAATCCCCCACGATGAATTAGACGACAGAATACATTCCATACTGGGCACTATTCCTACCAAAATCCGCCTTAAATCTACTGTTAGCGAAGACTCAGGCGAACCCCTAGTACAGGAAAATTTACAGGTCCCCAAAAATTCCAGCCGCACGCGCTCTTCTTCTCCGACACCATCCCGTTCTAGCACGCCCACACCATCCCTTACCCTGACCCCAGCATTCGGGCGTTCCAAACGCCGCAATAATCCTGGTCCGGACGAAGTACGGCTCTACCATCTTCATAGGGGCGGAAAAGCAGCCCCAGTGAAACTGTTTGTCCGGTTAGTTGGAGAGACTGGTGAGAGGGTAATGGTACGCGTTGGTGGCGGCTGGGCGGATCTAGGAGAATATCTTCGCGAGTATGCCATGCACCACGGACGCCGGGGAATAATAGACGGAAAATTTGAAGTGCAGGGTATTCCAGTTGTTAGCAAGTATCCTCGGCCTTCTACTCCCAATCCTACAAATGGCCGAACAACTCCCATACCTCCCTCACGGCCTGGTTCCGCTATGGATATACGCCCTGTGTCCTCACTAGCAGTCCGTAAAGCGAGACGTGCAACCGGCTCTGGTGCAGACCTACTACCAAACCTGACTGCTGCTAATATTCAAAGGCTCTCCGAAGAGGGTGTTAGTCCCGGTAACTCTTCTATTCGATCCCCACAAAGACGTCCATCATTATCCTCCAGCACCTCCATGAGCATGACATCAGCCGCGGGAGAGAATTCGTTCCACACCACCACGCCATCCCATCGTTCCTTTTCCACTGTCACTGGTGCCGGCCATTCAACACCACTCGGACTGGCCGGTCCCAAACCACGATCTAAAAAACATACCATTAGCCCAGAGAGTGAAGCCTGGGTCGAAGATGTCATGGGCCAGGCGAGAAGAAGCTCGTCCACTCTCAGGGCACAGCGATCTATGACCGCTATGCGAAGCAGCTCTGGTGTTCTCAGGCGTATGCCGAGCGGCACTCTCAATGAGCAGAGCCCTACTAATAATATTGGAATGAACAAAGTCCGGAGTGAGAATAAACTCCGAAGTGCAAGTGATATGGGAGGCGTATCACTTAACAAACGAGTCTTTTTACGTCGACTTGGAAAAGAAAAGGAGTAGTCTCGTACAAGCTCCTTTTCTTTTCTCTTATCAACGTCGAACACCCATCCATTCTTTATATCCATTTTCCTTGTTCGGTTTCAATTTCTGATTTACTTGGGTTGCATGTTGTGCGATATTTGATATTTGGGACCGGCGTTCTTCAAGATATCCATTTCCTACTTTTTATTTCTATCTCCCCCTCTCTCTAACGCTACGACTACTCTCTTTTAATCTGCCGCACCACGCTCTTTTGCCTCGGCTTTTTTCACCTTTTTTTTTTATTTGTTTTTTCGTTACTGTCTTGGTTACCATTGGTTTTATGTTATTTCAACATCTCTGCTTCTAGCGGTTCATTTCTGTAAGTATTGGTTAAATGTCTCTCGCATCCCAATATTCTTCTAAGCATATACCCCTATTGTCTCGAATTATAAACATTAGTCTTTTTCTTCTCCGAATCATGACATTATATCCCAACCTAGATTTGTGCGGCGCGTAGCATAGACACGTTATAGAGAAAGATGTGTGCATTCATCGCCCATGGTAGGAAATATAATTAATCAGTAACCCAGGAAATCCAAATGCCAGTACCGGAGGAACTTATTGATAGAACGAGACGTAATGCTTGAATAAATGTTAGATAATATGCCCAAGTCCCTATCGTTGCATATACTACTATTAAGTGGAATAAATCGACTAAAGACGTTACATCAAGGAAATTCGTCAAAAAGCCCCATCCGAAAAGGGGGTAAACGCCAGCGAAAGGGGGCAACTCCCCATGCATGCATTGAATTTGATTACTTCGTCCCAAGGCGTGTATGTTCCCGAACCTCTTTAGGATCCATAACTTCTACCTCCCGGCTGAGTAGTTTGCGAAGTTGAGGAGTAATTATCTGGTTGGTCTCAGGTTCAGGTTTAGAGCTGGCCTTGTTGGTAGCTTTAGCTCCTCCGGTAGCTGATGGGCTAGCTCCAGTGGCTGTGGCAGAATTGTCCGCAGGGGGTGAAGAAGAACTGCTTGGCTGAGATGCTGGGCGTGTTGTTCGTTGCCGCACAGGTGCTTGCGGGAAGTTATACTTCTTATCAATGGCTTCAACCTTCTTCTCAAAACGGTGGAATAGGGCCTCCGCCCGGCTCAAAGTCGGTATCAAGTCGATTGTATTTGAGAGTTCATTGACTATAGGTAGGTTAGATCTTGAGCCGATCGTTTTCTTAAGCAATTAGTGATGTTAGGCATACCGTATTTCAGGACCTCATCGAAGTGATGCAGGTGCGCCATGATCACGTCGCGGTGTTTCTCCAGAATGGCCAAAGCAACGAAGATGTGGAAACTGCTAGATAGATAGTCGGTCCATAGAGCTTCCCAGAGCCTAAGACAGTCGACCCATTCGAATTCTCGTTTGAACCAGACTAGAAGCATGCGGAAGAAGAAGAAAAAGTTGGTACTTTCTGCCTTTTGTAGGTGGAGATATAGCTTTGGATCCATCAGTTGAAGGAGTTGGTCGAGAGTTAATAGCTGCTGACGCATTCCAGATTGGTCGCGGAGGAAGTTCCGTTCCTAATTTGTGTTTCTTAATAGGCTGCACTTTATAATAATTTTGACAGACACTTGTATGCTCACCATTCTGTCCATGAATCCAACGAATCCCCAGAATGCCACTGCGTCGTCTTGCATCACGGCATATATTGGACTTAGAAGGTCACTCATACCCTGTACATATCCGAGATCTGTGTTATACTCGTTATACGTGAGTAACATATCCTTCATCTGTTCCAGGTGCACATTTGTCCCCGTCTCTGCAAACGGTGAGTCTGGGTCTGGATGAGGTGTGTCCTCCCCGGCAAAAAGGGGAATATTCCGATCTGTCCGATGAACGTCTTTCTCTGCATTTAGAATACCAAGGGATGGTTTGTAGTTAGTCATCTAAGGAACGCCGGTAAAATTATGGACAAAGCAGGCCATTAGGGGAGGCACCCTACCTATTCGATTTTTCTGCTCTCTGAACCATTCCTGCTCTTTTGGAGTGGATGCTCCGTCAATCATACGCTCCCACCAAGCCCCCTTCAAGCGAATGTATTCATCTCTTCTTGAATTCATGACGGCTCGTCGCTCATCCTCGCTACTATCCCAGGCATAGAACCCCAGGAGGAAGAGCCATGCCTCCTTTCGGACACCATCATTCGGTTCCAGGCCACCATGGAAAATCCGCTCCTTGGCCTCACCAACAGTAACCTGTAATCTCCCAGTCGTCCCATGAAACCACCCATTCCACTCCTCCAGAGTGACTGGTTTACGTTTATCACTGATGCTCATCTGGGCGGCTTCCATATCAAGAATTTCAAATTCACCGACGGAACTGTTTTCCATAGCTAATACGTCGTTTGCTGTCCATATTCGCTGGTTGCGCTCCCGTTCGCTCTGTTCTGCAATACCCATCGCCCAGCGGGCAAGGTACAGTCTAGCGCTGTCAAATTCGTCTTGTAGTGTTTGCACTTCGGGATTCCTCATAAGACGTCTAACTTGCGGAGGCACTCGAGGGTTATCTGCAATATCCTGAGCGGTTCTGCGAGTAAATGTTGTGATTTTGCTAAACTGTTCGAGGACCATCCACCTTGTTTCTTTGAGGGCCTTTGTAAAGGGGTCCATTGTCGCGTCTTTCGGGGCTTTACTAGAACTCGGCTGGCCGCCTGGTTTTTCTATTTTACCCTTGGCCTGTCCGAATGCTGTCTTATCTTCTTCAGTCGGGTTGATCAGATAGGCACTTGGGTCCTCTCCGGAGCGATGGACATCAACATATCTCCGCAACCATCGGAGTACTTCATCACCTCCCCAGAACATACTTCCATCATCGGCGAACGGGTCAAAGTTTTCCTTTGTTCTCTTCTTCTTTTGTAATATGGTAGACTCGCATTCGCTGTCGTGGAAGAACAGCGCAGGAAAACTATCTCCAGCCTTTGTGTTGATAACGACACTACCAAACCACCATCCTAGACTGGGTGGCCGAACTAAGAGCGAGTATATCTGGGATAACGGGATGGCGAATGCGTATGACCCGATAGGACCGGCATTGCTATCGGTCGTGGGTAGTGGAGGAACAAGGTAAGATGTCCGTGGAGGTGAGTTGCCGTCTGATAAATCTACTTTGACATAGACATTGCGTTCATCTCCCAAGGATGACTCGGGAACCCATGACAGTAGGAGTGATGACGGATCAACGGTTTTATCTTCTGAGGATGGGGAGGAAGAGTGAGAACTCTCGCGAGGAGCAGAGGAGGCGGCGTTCTGTTGAACTAATGCAATAAAGCCGGGTATATTGTCCTTTGAAGAGGCAGTCGGATGGACATAGACCTGTGCCAACCGGTCAGCTAGACATGTTACTCCGCCTATTAGACAGGCACACAAGACGCACCTTGCTTTTAGAGTAAAGCAGCCTCACACCTTTTCCCGAGCTTGTATAAGTTACTGCATTATAATCCCCTTCCTCATCGTCTCTGACATTGTAGAACGATCCTGCCGGAGACGGAGGCGACGCTGGCGGGGTGGCATTCGTAGCCATCGTGCTGTGGAGGGCTAACCGGATGAGCTGGACGTGCCTAGCCAGCGGTCATTATCCAGAACTAAAGCGAAGACAGAATATCTATCCCGTAGTTTATCACCATGAAGCAGCATTAATGATGATGCCTGGAAGTCATGTTTTCTATCTATAGATCGTTAAATGCGTAAGTGACGAAAGAAGAAAACATGTGACGTTATACATCACGTGATATAGCCAAGTATATCATTATTATTCCATGGAAGTCAGCTTGGTAGGGTGTTTAGTTTGGGTCTGATATCTGCCCGAAGATGGCAGACGGTTGCTTATGAGAAGAGCCTAATATACTAAGAAAAAATGGTAGTTATAGTATAATTATCGAGATTTATAAGGGTGCGGGTGCTGAAATGTAGGTTTTGGTGTAAAAACCTTGAAGTACCGATACTTTTGAACCCCAGATCGAGCCACAGGCTGCAACATTAATACATGATCTTTCAACAAAAAAAGCAAAGATTGATTACGCCGCTATTAGAAGTCATGGCCAAGGAATCCTCCGTCTATTCCAGTATCTAAAGAGCGTCCTTTTGATGTTACTGGTTTCCATCCAAAGCCTCAAGTATCGCAACTGGCTTCCTTTCAACGTCAAGGTAACCGCACCACAGACGGTGCAGTTAGTATTCAAAGACGATAGCTTTGAGCTTTGATCGCGGTGGTCCCATATTTCTCTTGTCTGTCATCACAAACACAAACAGAATATGGAAGAGAATTCGATGTCGTTAATAATCCTTGGCCCATCTACCAGGGTCTAAGTCAAAAATCCAATAGTTCTCTTCCAGGATTCGCCGGGTCCAGGGTCGTTGGGGGTTAGTTCGAAAAGAACTCCTGGCATATAATAGTGCTTATCAGGCAGTGATACAGCCACATCCTTACACAGGCCAGCGGAGGTTTTGGAGCACCAGCCTTTCGCAATCAGCATACAGAGTATACATACTACAAAGTAAGACTTTTTTTTTTTAGTGTGGTTACTCCCGTGCAATACGGGCCTTAATACACTTTGGCTGATCGACGACTGCTCCCCAGTGGAGGCGTTGGAGTTGCTTTTTCTGAACATCTGGTCCAACCTGTCTCTGAAGCCAACCTGCACACCATCTGGCCAACCCGTAAGATTCGCTGGAAAATACGGGCGACGATGACTGAAAACGGGCAGTTCTGTGATCGCCTATTCTTATATCAGGGCTGTTTCCCCGTTCTTGAACATATGCAAAGCGCTGACATGCCGCAGTTGTTTTCTTCTGCGGAGGTGGGCTTATCACTCAACCGGCCCTCTCTTAGCTACAGGCACTTACATATAGTTACTATATCAACTCCTCCCCTGTAGCTGCATGCAGGCACATAACACCCCAATCTATATCAATCAAACAGCCCTTGTCTTGCCCTTGTCCCATTTTTTTTTTGCCAGGGCCAGTGGGTTGTTTTTTAGTGGTCGGCTACTCCCTTTCCCAAGGATCGAAAAAGACGAAAGGCTGCAGGGTGACAATATTCATATAGATAACTAGCATGTACACATCTATCGCCTGCCAGGTACAGTCTAGCACCCTTTCAACTGCCAGTTAGTTCTGCTTAACAACAACGGATTTCTTTTTAGGACCCAATTTTCCAACAGTTATTCATCCTTTAACGCTCGTCGGGTGTGCCGTGTTCTATATCTCAATGACAGATCGACCATCGCCCCAACTCGACGGATTCGCGCGCCTATTTCTTTGATTAACCCGCCTTCGCCATATTGAACCTGTTATTGTGTTGCTCTATTATTCATTTTCGTCGCAATAGCTTGCATGGTTGTTCTGTGATCTCGGACCGGAAAAGACGAAGGTTATGAGAAATATCTACACATCTCGCTGCAAGGTCAGTTTATTTGATAGCTTTCGTCGCTTTTCTCATTCATTTTCCCTTTCTGGATGGCCTGTGACAATGAAGGGTGGCTTTTTCCCCCCTTCCCCATCTTATTCTTCCGCTTTCAAAGCCTCAAGTCGATTGCGCAACGCTCTTCTGCATATATCCATTGTCTGTGGGGAGTTTTGGCCGTTGTTATCGAAGTTGATTTATCTCATTTTCGCTGGATATCCCGTCGAGAAACGAATCATCTGTTGTGGCTTTTTTTTGAAATCTTCCTCCTATCATGTTCTCGAGCCATGTTTGCGGAAGAAGCTAGTGATTTCCTGGGGCGTTTAAAACAATGAAACCATGGGGCCTGGAGCTGGTCGGATTTCATTTAGACCTGCTGGAGGCCCCAAGGAAGAGGGGATGACAGCGATGGCCTGCAGCTGTTCCTTTTGTCACTATCCTGATGTGCGCCGAAGACTGACATGATGCATGAACTCTAGAGGTGGGATAACAGCAGCCATGACGATCATCGTGAGGTCAGAAAAGCTCGATAACCTGGTGCCATCGGCGAAGAAGATGAAGAAACTCCAGAACAGACAGTCAAGAGCCAGCACAAGCTGGACCAAAGATATATCTGCAAAGCTCGAGACCAAGGTTCAGAGCAAAATTCGCGGAAGCAAGGAGATATCGAGTACCATGGCTACCAATGCTGCAAGACCTTCAACGGCGACTAGCTTGAGACCTAGAGTCCCGCCACTGCCTCCTTATTCCCCTCTAGGAGGTTTGCAGGAGCTATTCAAGGACGTTGGAGGAATTTTTGGGCCCCAAAGAGATCTGGAAGACGAAGAAGACGGAGAAGCTGATATTGCCTCGCCGGTGACTTTTACATCTAGATCGTACGCTGCTACCATGGGTGACAGCGTCGACGAGAGATTGTGTGATGACGACAGCACCTTTTGCCAGTCCCCAGCTACAGTGACTACCATAGAAACTGGGTTTGGAAGCTGTATGCACATATCACACAGGGCAGCTCGCGAACATACCCCTGATGTTGGAGCGTCGGCCATCCCTCCATTATCCGGTAACAAATTTATAAAAAAGCAGACGATACCTCTCACTCTCGATAGCAACAACCATTCCTCGCCTGACCCCAGGTCACCAACATCGGTTACGTGCTGTTCCGCAACGACTTGTACTTCAATATACCCTTGGTCCTCAGTCAGTTGCGCTGGTGAAGAAACACCACGGAATCTCTCCCCAAAACTGACCGTGAATGGACCCATTTCACTGCTTGGATCAGTAGACGCTATGATCTCCAATGATGAATTCCGTCCGGTAAACCCCGGCGCTACTACTCTCAAAAGGAGATTGACAATACGTGAATCGAAGATGAAGGCCCTCCCCCCTTATCCACCCCTGCCGGAGACAGTAGCCGCTCAGTCGCAGGAAACAGAACAGTCACTCGTGAAACGCTCCAAGAAGACCACCCGTTCTAGCTATTCACCAAACGCGCTCTGTCTACCGCAAAGACCCCAGGAAAGTGATTTCGAAATGCTTAACAATACATTCCGGCAATCTAATTGTAATTCATTGTTTCCCTCTTTGGAAAAAGCAGCCGAAGACCTCGAGGCTCATCTTTTAACGATTCCTTCCACTAGAGGAACGCAGCCAAACTCACGATCCCCTTCTCCATCACCCTTTAAAGCCGTCAGCGACAGCGAGAGCCAGCTAGAGGCCACTACCCCTGAAACCCAGAACGACAAGTCTCCAAAAATGGACTTAGCCCGAAGCAGCCTCGATCGTCTTCGGGAGAGCATAGCATCAAAGCAAAAGGTCCCCCTCTCTCGCACAAAAAACCAGAAGTGTGCACACTCTGGCTTGAAGAGCAAATGGACTCGCCTTTCCACATTCTCTAAGCGAGGTGCGCTAGGGAAACCGAAGCTACATTTAGACTTACCTCCTCTCAAGCTACCTCCAATGCAGAAAAGCAGCCCAATAGAAAAGCTAGATTTCGGTCTGAACGTGGTTCTGGACCTTCCTGCAGGCTTTGCGGAGCTTGATGCACAGCCTTCACCACGAGAAGAAAATAACGCTGCCAAAACTAACAAGTCTGCGCCTAAGCCGTTGACTGATAACATAATTCTCCAAATTCTCAAAAATGTGGGCTACTTTGATGACTTGTTCAATTTAGCAATATCAAGCCGATCCTTTTACCAAGTTTTCAAACAACACGAGCTTGCCCTACTCCGAAATACCCTGTCCCTTATGTCGCTGCCAGCATGGGAGCTGCGTGAAATGAGCCCGCCATGGGATGATGATGGTGTCTCTCGCCTCGGTGTGAGCGTAAAAGACGAACCCATCCCCGAATATACACCACGCCTTTATCTCCAGCACTACTCTAGGGACCTTTACGCCATGGTCGCTCTAAAGTCTATGATTCTTGTACACTGTGAGAGTTTCCTTCGGGTAGAAACCTCCCGTGCCTTGGCAGGCTTGGATGAGCAACGCTCGGCGGAAATGGATGATGCTTTCTGGCGTGTGTGGACGTTCTGCTCGCTTTTTGGTTGTGGGAAAGGAAGAGAAGGAGATATTGAAGCTCAGGTTGACTGGCTTAGAGGTGGAATCCTCGCTGAGTCTGATACCAAGCCGTCAGCATCGATATTTAGCCCTATGCCGTTTATTAGCAATCTCTTGCTTGACCCGCCACAAGGATTTGCTAAAGGAAACAACGGAGGCTTAACAGCAGAGCAGCTATGCGATATGTCCGAAATTTGGACCTGTCTCGTCAACTTGCTCAGTGTTTTCCACGGAAAATGCAAGGAAGCACGCAAATATGGCGTCTTTGACAATAAAGATGTAACTCCCAGTGATGTTGCACAGGAGGAAGCCTTGCTCGGTAAGCATTAGACCACTATTCATCTTAAGTATCATGGAGCTAACAGCGGTAACAGAAAATTGGACTCGATACCTCCTAACATTGGGGCCTTCTGTCGTCCTTGCTCTTATTAGTTTTGCCCCTTCTACTCCAGTAGAGCAGAAGTTTGCCCGGGCCAAATCTCTCGGTTGGACCCGTTGGGAAGCCCCTATGAAATCAGAGAACGAACCCGCCCGCCAGTTCTTCAAAGAAGCTGTCTCACGGGTTTGCCGAGATCTTCCTTCCAGGCCAATTTCCCTCTCCTCCTCCAATCAATCCTCTCTCTCCATTAGAATATCTCCACAAAGCTCAAGATCGAACCGAAGCAGCCAATCGAGCATCGGAAGCCTAAATAGCGCTCGTCGCCAACGACAGGCCGGATTTGCCGCTGAGCTACGCAAGAGAAAAGTATCTCTCGATACAGGATTAGGCATTGCCAATGCTATTCCTGACTGTGACGAGCGACCAACTCCAATCTCAGAAGTCGTCATTAATAAATTTATCTCCTCCGAGTCTGGGACGCCGTATCTCCACCCTAACCCCCGGATTCCGGCATCTTCTACCTCAAGCCCAAGAAAACACACCTCTTCTCCTTCATTATTCTCATCACGACCAACCCCGTCACCTACATTCCCGCCGGTAGAGGAGAAAATCTCCCAAGGCCGCCAGCCAATGCCCTCTACTAGTCGTCTAGCACTATATCATTCCAATTGTCAGGGTCCAGTAGTCCCAGATCCAGCTGACTTGGCTCTGCAAAAGATGGTGTATGAGCTAGGATTCAACGAAGAAGATGCTAAATGGGCTTTAAAACGAACCGATACTGGCGAAGCAGTTGATATAAATGCTGCGGTTCACCTCTTACTCGTTAAATCCTGCAAAATCAACCCTTCGTCTGTAGAAATGGGCCTTCGACAGCGCGAATCAAACATTCCTCAGACGAGGTCGTATGAGGTCTACAGACCTACCTGGAGGTGGGCATGAGCTTCTTATATCCATTCCTATCATGTCTGCTAGCCGTTCCATACAGAAGGAATGGCATATATAAGACCATAACAGCTGGCTGTACCGCCATATTACCTCGCAAAGCATACATATACGTGTGTGTGCACTTCTATTCCATATTTACAATATTCTTTTGTCCGACTGATTGAGTTTCATATACTCTCGTCTCTCTTTATACCCAGAAAGGAGTTATTTCTTTTACAATGATTGTTTCACTATAGCGTTATACCCTTTCCTTTGTCTGGTCTCTCGTTTCAATGCCCCTGGGGAATAATAGGATGGAGCATAGGTGACCCTTAGGCTCACCACCACCTACAATTGTATAATGACCTGTGTTTTCTATATATATTCAAACAGCTTATCATCACTCCTAAAGAATAAGAAATGAATAATTAATGATAATATATTATTACGCTCGCAATGGCTTATATTTCTATGCGGTAAAGGTTTCCGTTAAAAATCACCAACTTCATATTATTTGGAACAAAGTAGTTATCCTAAATTATTAAACTACAACATTAATTCGAACAATTTCAGCCGTCAATTTCCAGACCTCGTTCATCAAAGGCTACTACTCTACCAAGCAAGCGAAGCAGCCAGTCCATCAAGCTCCCTCTCATAATTCCTATGGCGCGAGATATGATAGAAGAACTTCCCCAAGAAATCACCGGCGTCCTTGAAGATTTTGATTCCCTCCGTCAAGCTCTCAGGCTCATGCAGCTTACAGCTGGTAACTACGCCGTAGCTCTCCACAACTCCAGCAGAGGACGAATCCGCAAATTCAAGCTGCGGCACATCATTACCTAACACCTGAGCGACAAGATTGACCGCATCACCCGTGGCGCCGATGGTCTTCAAATGGCCGAATGATTCTGCGATCCAGTATCGAATCTGGCCTATCTTGCTCAGGATGCGGATATGTTCGCCTCCTGGGATGAAAACGGCGTCGAACAAGGTGGAGCGCGCACCGTCATACTGATGGTCAGGAATGATGCCCTTGTCGGTCTCCTTATGCTGGTGTGCGGCGAAGATAGGCTGGCGCTTAGTTCCAATGACAAAGGGTAGAGCTCCGGCTGCTTTGATTGCTGTTTTGGCAGAGATGAAGGCGACTGGGTCATAGCCATCTCCAATTAGAATAGCAATACGACGGGATTTGATGGTCGGAGTTCCACCGCCAGCCTGGGGGTGTTTCTCGTTGATCTCTGCCTGGCTCAGGTTGATTGTCTTCAAGCCCTGGTTTGGACGAGGTGACGATTCGGGCGTTTCTGCTCCGACAAGAGGCGCAACGGCCTTTGCGAGAGGGAGGTCAATCTCGGCCAGACGCTGGACTACTCGAGTGTAGACGGTTGGATCGTCACAGTGATCCAATTCAAATGCAAGAGCATTTTGAACATGCTTCTTCTCGTAAGGGGTGAGTGAGTTGTAGAACAGCTGAGCTTGGTTGATATGCTCACGGAACTTCTTGCTCAAAGTTCGCTGTTTGATATTCATTATCTTCTCAGGGAAGGAGTGGAATCCCTCCCCGGGCTTTGCAGGAGGGCATGCATCGAATCTGTTCGGCCAGTAATTGACGGTTCCCTGAGTGATCTTGTGGCGCATTTGTCCGTCGCGGTTATGGTTCATCACGGGGCAGACTGGGCGATTGATGGGGAGCTCCTCCCAGTTGGTTCCCAGGCGAGAGAGTTGGGTGTCAAAGTAAGAAAAGTTTCTGCCTTGGAGGAGAGGATCGTTTGAGAAATCGATACCGGGAACAATGTGGCTGGTGCAGAAGGCCACTTGCTCTGTCTGAGGGAAGAATTCGTCAATATTACGGTTTAGCTCCATCTCACCGATGTACCTGACCGGCACCAAGTCCTCGGGCCAGATCTTAGTTGCATCAAGGATATCAAACTCGAAATCATGCTCCTTATCGTCAGGGATGACTTGAATCCCCAGCTTCCATTTGGGATAAGCCTTGTTGTCAATAGCTTCCATCAAGTCCTTTCTGTGGAAGTCGGGATCTTGGCCTCCTATCTTAAGAGCCTCATCCCAGACAAGTGAATGGACACCAAGCTCCGGGGTCCAGTGGAACTTTACGAAATGGCGTTTTCCATCCTTGTTGACGAGAACGAAGGTGTTGACTCCGAATCCTTGCATCATACGGTATGATCGTGGGATTGCTCGATCAGACATGGCCCACATGAACATGTGAGTTGCCTCTGGATGGAGATAGACAAAGTCCCAGAAGTTGTTGTGGGCAGTTTGGCCCTGGGGGACCTCATTGTGAGGTTCCGGCTTGACAGCATGCACTATACAATGGCCGTTAGTCCATGATTGATCTAAAGTATAAGGAGATAAACAGTGGGTACATACCAAAGTCTGGGAACTTGATGGCATCCTGGATGAAGAAGACGGGAATGTTATTTCCCACCAGATCCCAGTTTCCTTCCTCAGTATAGAACTTGACGGCAAAGCCACGGACATCTCGAACAGTGTCTGCACTCCCTTTGCTTCCCTGGACGGTAGAAAAGCGAACAAACACGGGCGTCGTGCGAGACGTATCCGTCAGAACGCCCGCCGAAGTGACGTCCGCAGCACTCTCAAAGAGCTTAAAATGGCCAAACGCACCAGTCCCACGAGCATGAACGACTCGTTCTGGAATCCGTTCGTGATCAAACCGGTGAATCTAGGATTGCAACCGTAAGCTTTGTGATAATAAGGAGCAGAAGAGACGAGCAGACCTTCTCTCGAGCGATCTGATCCTCCAGCATAGACGGGCCGGAGTGAGAGCTATCAGAAGCCCTCAGCCACTCGTCCGTATTTTCGACCTTGGTGCCATGGTCGGTGGTGATGGAGCCTGCAGTATGGATATCACACGTATCCTTTGCGACGTCCGCCAGCTTCTTGTCGTGAGGATATAGGCCCTGAAGGGTCTCCTGCACCTTGCGTATGCCTTCTCCAACAGTCGACATAGTGAACGTATGCGTAGAACTATTCAGGTATCCGTGGTAGACCAACGCAGCATTCAAAGGGTGGTTGGTAGTTGTCCCAGAGCTCTATCGGGCTGAATGAGCTGACCGGCTACAACCATTATTAATTGAATAAAAGACAAAGCCATTGCTGCTTAATCCACTTGATCTGACTGGCCATCCATAGATCCAGTCCAAACCATTTGACCTTGGACGGAACCCTGGGGGAGGTTTGTTTGGCAGGCAATGGTGGCATGGATATGACGTTGGTGCTACCCACACCCGCATTGTTGCAAACAGGATATGAGGATAACCATGATGGTTGCAGTATAACATGATAATACGATTGGCAAGCAAGCAAGAAAACAAGCTCTGTCTTCCCGTATCCTTGAGGATTCCGGCCACTCCGGGGTATGTCGAGGGTGGTTTTCTAGGCTGTGCTGGTGTATCAACCTCTGAGTTTGCCTGCTTTTCATGCACCATGACGAGCCAGACGCTCCCATACCAGCTACCTATATAATACAATGGGTAATACAACGTATAAATAAAGAATTTAATGTGAAGTAAAAAAATAAACATAAGCATCACCAATAAGGATGGTATTAACGTGAGGGTGGGAAAAAAAAAAAGAAAGGCCGACGTCGGACGGATTCGAACCGTCGCCCCCGAAGGGAATTGATTATCTGTTTCAGAGAAATTCTAGTCAATCGCATTAGACCACTCTGCCACAACGCCTTTGTTGGAGTTAGCTAAGCCGGGAGAGGCTTTATAGCGTAGCCGTGGGTGTCGGGAGGAGATGAGCACATTATAATTGGTAAGATTTATGGTCATTCTATCATTAAGAGGTCTATAGGTCCAGAAACCGCCAACAGATGCTTTTATGAGACGGTGGTTTTTCTCAAGAGGGAAGATGGCTAAGTATCATTCTATATGTTTACGAGTCAACCCGATCATGACAGGGTCCCCGGGGTGGGAGGCTTTGGGGAGGTGGCGGCAGAAGGGACGGGCCCCTGTCTGCTGAGAATCCACATGAACACAAACTGGATCATGTACGAGTAGATGAAGAGGAACTGGGTGCGTCTGTTGCGCTGGGAACGGGCCACGGTCGGCATGGTGCCGCCTCGCATGGCTGCGTCCGTGGACGAGTCCGGTAGGAGGACGTACTTTAGCGAGCGGAGCTAGATAGACATATCGTCAGCACGTTGGCTTCTCTCTTTTATAACGCTCCGGCTACTAACCAAGAAGAAGGAGTTGGCAAGGAAAGTATAGATGAAGACCGTCCAGCCGACCCAACCTCCAGTGCCTTGTCCGGGCGTCAGTATCTCGGACACGCCCAGGGTGGCGATGATGCCGACAAACTTGTATCCCGAGTAGGCCACCAAGTCGAGCAGCTGGGAGTCGTTGTTGATGTTGAGAATATACATGGCCACCTTGAGGCAGACAATTTCAAATATCACCACTGCCAGAGCAATGAACGTTATCGAGCGCAGTATCTCTGGGTGGAAATTCCCCCGCAGACCAGCCAGAACCGCCGAAAGCAGGATATACGTGACGAGAGCCATTGCGGGAATGTACATGTCGGGCGAGTTGACGTCGTCGCGAGGGGGGAGATACATGGAGGTGTACTGAGCCTGGCTGATCTGGCCGCTTGCCGACGCCGCACCAGCCATGCGGCCCTGCTGGCGGAACCACGGCTTATGCCTCCAGGGAAACAGGACGAGAGCAAGCTTCTTGAGAACGTATGAATTGGAGACGTTAAAGTAGTGTTTTAGTGCGGGAATCGACACATAACGGTTTAACTAGGATGCTCTGTCAGTGAACCCGAAGTTATAAACACAATGCACAGCCAGTGTAGAGTCATGCCTACATTCTGCTCCATATACTCCTGGCCGGCCATGACGGCGCTCTTGCCGACCTGGAAGCCCATCTGGGCAGTTGGATCCGACATGAAGCCACCGAACCCAGGGGCGAACTGCCCTCCCTGGGCCGGGTTTGGCTGGTAGGGATTGTTGTATCCATGCTGCTGGTGCTGGTGCTGGTGCTGGTGCTGTGACTGCTGAGAGACTGGCGGCGGCGGCGACCGCATCATCGGAACTGTAGAAACATGCTGTGGGATGGGGTGGTGAAGGGGAGGCGACTGGGCCGGAGGGGGTGCAAACGAGGAGCGCTGCATTGTGTGTGTGGTGGCCTTGCTGTCCGACGCAGGCTAAGACTGTCTTCTCTATACGTTCTGTAGAGGCAGGGCTGGTGTATGTCGAGTGGCTAGAAAGCTGGCATGGCAGGCCGTGTATATAAGAGTATGTATGTACCTATGCTGGTATGGCTGCCGGTCGAGCTTGATGTCTGGTGCATTCTGGATGTTATTTAACGACTTCTCGATAGACGCGGAAGTTCTTCCTCGGCGGCTCGCCCTTATCAGCCACTGCGGGCCGTCGCCTCCCACCAAAGACAGTCCTTGATGGTCTAGTGGTCATGATTTCCGCTTGTCAAGCTCTCGCTTAGAGTTAACAAGCGCGGGAGACCGGGGTTCGATTCCCCGTCAGGGAGTTTTTTTTTTATCACCTAATTATATTACTTTTTTATTCTTTACATGATCAAGAATAGGATAATAGACGGTATCTCTATAAGCCAACCGGTAGAAGCCGAGCCATGGAAGATGGATGAGAAGTTCCGTGGTTATATCTATGATAAAGTGGATGACGCAACTTGGTATAGTTCTTAGATATATGTATATATATATATATACATTCCTTACGCTTGACTTCCTGTTCCTCCTTAGTGTTAGGCGTTGCAGCCATGTCGTTCTTTTCACGCTCTGGACGATGATGAGACAGGTCGCCGGAACTACTGGGGATGTACCACCAGGCTGTCTGGGCTGGGACATCCCTCAAAGCACCTCCTCTGAGTCCGATGAAGCACGCATAAGCCGTGATGCTCGTCTGCTTTTTCCCATCTATTAATATAATATTGCATATTCATCTTTCATTTTTATCAGCCCGGAAGCCTGAGGAAGTTATACATGATTGCCACAGCCAGGAGTCTGCGAAGTTAACTCCGTTCTTTTATTTCAATCTCTTCTTTAACCATATGTTGCAGCTGCGGCTATGGCTGTGTGCCTTTTTAGATAACTAACGGATATACAGGCTGCAGCTTTAAACATAAGAATAATAACAATACTCCGTCCATCTTTCTCCATCGCATCAAGCAAGTTGTCCAAGTAAACATTTAACATTATTTACGTTTGGTAAGAAGGTTTGTCACGTGGTGAAGCTATCTTGATAGGCTGACGGTTGTTATCAAAATTATATAAAGAAAAAGATTAATCCTCGAGGTCAAGCAGTGCGACAGCAGAAAGATAAACCGACAGGATGCTGGACACTTTCGAGGTCATAACTACGTCTGGGGTTGTGCTCTGGTCAAAGACGTATGCCCCGGTTGGAACCCATATAATCAACAGCCTGATCAAGGATGTCTTTATCGAAGAGAGAACACACCTACAGGACTCAGGCGTTGATCGTTCCGCCAGGAGATATAACAAGGAGCAATACACGCTGAAGTGGACAGAGGCAAAGGGATTCGGGTTGATATTCGTCGTAAGTGGAACAATCAAGGATTTTTTTTCGGAGTCAGCCGTTGCTAACTTTTGATGCTCAGGCTGTCTATCAGTCTCTCCTACATCTGACCTGGATTGATGACCTTTTGGAAAACATAAAGACCATATTCCTGGGACTTTACAAGGAGCAGCTCAAAGGGTCGCGGTCCAGGGTTGCCAACTACCCGTTTGACAAATACTTCGAGCAACAGTTGAGAGAGCTTGACCAGACCACCGAGCTTCTGGCAGATGACAAGCGCCAGCTAGGTGTAGAGAGCAAAAGGGACGCACTTACAAAGGCGGATACAGGGGGGCCGCCACCACCACCTGTTCCTGGGCTTCTTACGGGTGAGACCTCATTTTGCATGCTATAGCTCTCTACCCACCAGCTATTAACGCCCGTTTTATAGTGCAGCGTCAAGCTGCGCCGGCGACGGAGGTGCTAAATGACAGCACACCGTCTGAGACTCCCGAAACATCTCGACCGGCAACTCCGAGCTCCCAAGTTATCACCGCAAAATCTGGGCCCGGTGGCCGTATTTCCCGCCGTGCTCGCAAGGCCGTAAACGCAAACGCTAATTCTGGGGCTGAGGATAAGGTAAAGAAGGCTACTAAAGGCAAATCTGGGGGTAAGAAGATGAGAAAATGGGGGCCTGATGGCATGGCGGACGAGGAAAGTGACGAGATACTGGACTATTCTGCCAACGATACCGAAGCCCCTCAAGTCCTTCCTGCGCCTGTCGATGCTATTGACAGCGAATCATTTGGAACAAAGACGCAGAAGGGACAGTTTGTTCTAAAGGATCTAGGGGATGAAATCCATTCCATCCTTCAAAATGCAGACGAGGAGAAAGCCAGGGCTAACGGCGCCTCTTCTGGAGTCGTGAACTCGAGCCTAGGTGCAATCAGCAACATGTTCCGTAATGTTGTCGGTGGAAAGGTGTTGACTGAGGCTGACCTAGTAAAACCATTAAAGGCGATGGAAGACCATCTGTTGAAGAAAAATGTTGCCCGTGAGGCAGCCGTCCGCCTATGCGAAGGAGTCCAAAAGGAACTGGTGGGCAAGAAAACAGCAAGTTTCCAGAGCATTGACTCTGCCCTTCGCGCTGGAATGGAATCGTCTCTTCGCAAAATACTCACCCCTACCTCCTCACTCGACCTCCTTCGTGAAATTGAGGTTGTCACTTCTCCGACGAACAAGCAACAGCCACGGAGACCATACGTTATTTCGGTCGTGGGAGTCAATGGTGTCGGCAAATCCACCAACCTGAGCAAGTTATGCTTCTTCCTACTCCAGAACAAATACAAGGTCTTGATTGCAGCATGCGACACCTTCCGTTCCGGCGCAGTAGAGCAGCTCCGTGTCCATGCCCGAAACCTCAAGGAACTAAGCGCCAGAGAAAACGTCGGCCACGTAGAGCTTTACGAAAAGGGTTATGGGAAAGACGCAGCTAACGTTGCCAAAGATGCAGTCTCTTACGCGGCTGCTAACGATTTCGACGTCGTTCTGATTGACACTGCCGGCCGTCGGCACAACGACCAGCGACTAATGTCTTCATTGGAGAAATTTGCCAAATTCGCTAACCCGGATAAAATCCTAATGGTTGGAGAAGCGTTGGTCGGCACTGATAGTGTCATGCAAGCTCGTAATTTCAACCAGGCCTTTGGCGCCGGAAGAGGTCTTGACGGCTTTATCATCAGCAAATGCGACACGGTTGGGGATATGGTCGGTACCCTTGTCAGCATGGTACATGCAACTGGCATACCTATTGTCTTTCTGGGTGTTGGACAGCATTACGGCGACCTACGAGGGCTTAGTGTTCCCTGGGCCGTTGGATTGCTCATGAAGTAATGATAATGAATTTATTATTTGGTTACTGTATTCCATGGCTTTCTTCTTGCAAGATTAATAATTTCATGAAGACCATCCTATCATAAATTCTATACATTTTCCAGGATAGTGATATCCTTTTTTTTCTTTTGGCTGTCAGCATTTCTATGTACGTAGTGGTAGTATTGCTACACGCAACACTACCATTTTTATATATAACCTGTCTCTTTGTGCATAGCCGTCTGTGAATCGCTATTACTTTTTTTTTTGTTCAAAATGAAAAGAGAAAGAAACTCGTAAGTCGTTCAAGCCTGAGGCATGTAAAGCACACTGTTTTCTCCACTTAGTATCCGCCATTCAAAGACAAGGTAGTATATATCGATCTTTATTTACCGCTAAACTTCATCCTCATCGTCTGATTTCCCACAATCGTCATCTTCATCTCCCCAGCCTTCGGCCTCGAGGTTCCGAGAGCGAATACCAAGGCTCAGGAGGAATCCAACAAAGGCCACTCCACCAAAAACACCGAATGCGAGAGCTTCTCCTTTCGGCCGTACTTTTGTAGCCAGAGAGAAAAGGCTCCCAGATAAAAATGGTCCGACAGCACGCCCTGCAGCAGAGAGGGTTTGAGCAAGCCCATTGAGAGAGCCAAGTACAGAGTGGTCTGGCGCTGAGTTGGTGATCTGAAAATTAAAATGTTAGTAACAAACATTCTTTTTCTCTCAAAAGTATTGATAGAGGGAGAAGAGGCAAGTACCAATAGCAATGCGCTGGTAAGACCACCGACCGTTGCAACGGTTTTGATCAGCAGCACTACACAAACTTCCACAGCTACCATGGCATTTTGGTTTGATATCGCCAAGTCCACATTAGATCCATCCTTATAGCCAATGAAAGGCATCAGGATAAACGACGCAACGAAGCCAACTAGGCCAGCCCGATAAGACCACCTATTCCCCATCTTGTCACGAAGCCTTCCAAATACACATATTTGGAAAATGATCGTGACGATGCCTGCAAAGGCCAAGGAAATGCCAATCTCCTTTGGATTGAACTGTCGGCCGGTAGGAGGTGGGGCTTGCGCAAAGATAGGGTATAGGGAGTTAAATGAGACATTAGATAGAGAAAAGATCAGATAAGTGAGAAGTAGTAGTATCATGTCTCTATTGAAGATTTCGTCACGGTTGAGGACTTCGTTATGGGACTGGTGAGGGAAAAGGGGGGTGACGGGCATATCGTCGTCATCTTCGTCGCTACCGAGACATTCTCCGTAATGCCGATTCCCATGGCGGATAGAGCGCCGCGTGTAATCCGCATCAGCGTCATTGCGCAGATAGGTTGGTCTGGACGAGCTGTTAAACTGCCACAACCAGGCAAATATATGCCGGAATTTTCTGTAGATTCGAGGTAGCATTTCCGCTCCTTCCACGCTTTCTTCCAAGAATATTGATATGACAATAAAATCCCCGATTAGAATAGCAGCAGACACAAGGTTTGGGGCAAGGAACGGGTATCCTTGACTAGTTGGATCTTTTGGGACCAGCAACCCTCCTAAGATCGGGCCAGTAATACCTCCAATTCCGTAGATCACAGGAAGGTACGTAAAAGCCCGCGACTGATTGCTGCGATCCGTTATCTCTCCCAAGCACGTGGAAACCACTCCTTGGTTTCCGTTCACCAGACCCATGAAGAGTTGAACGACGATAGCCTGCCACAGCGTTTTGCAGAAGCCAAAGACGAGAAAGCATATGGCAGTGAGAATGGTTCCTAATAAAATAACCGGCTTTCTCCCAATACGATCCGATAACCAACCCCAGAAGAAGTTGGTAGAGAATTGCGCGAGCGCAAAGGCTGAGGCAATTGTGCCGACATAAATCCCAACTTCATGGGCTTCAACCTCCGGAAAGGAGGCTGCCATGGCAGGCAGGTACGGGCTTATAGAATTAAGCGCGGTCTGCTCACATAGAGCGATGAATGCGAGCACAGACATCTGCTGAATCGGTATTGGGGTTGATGTCGGAGCATCAAGTCGTTCACTTGGGTTGTGGTGAGACGAAGAATGGTTGGAAGACGCAGACTCCGCAGAAAGGGGGCGGCCAGCAGATTTTGGTGGAGGTGTCGAGAATGTCTGATAATGAGTGGTGGAGGAGGCTCGCCGGCCCTTTAGTGATGGAAAGCTCGACATACTGATAGTAATAGGCTGACGAATTTCAGGTGCGGAGAATACAAGCCGGGGATGTGCTCGGTATTTGCTTTGAAGAGATCACTCATTAACTCAAAACAAAAACGCCTGAAGGCGTTTCGGGTCCAGACCAATTTACATGGCCGAACTTATCCAGAGCACATTGTATAATGCAGCAGAGCCAGGTGGATGTGTGAAAAACGGTGTTTTCTCGTGAGTCGAAGTTGAAGAAGCCGAAGGAATTACTCAAAAATTATACGAAACTAAGTTGCGTTAGTCTACTTGTGGTTAGTAAAATCGGCAATCTTATCTGATCTATCCTTTGCTGAGTCATCAGAGAAAACCCAGAGAAAAAAAAAAAAAAAAAAACAAAAAATAAATAAATAAAAAACAAAAATGGGACAAACAAAAAACATGCTGATACTTTACTCACTCCGTGTCTACTACAGCAGCCTACACAAGAGTACTGCTTCTGACTTAGAGCACTTAGCACGGTGCCGCATGTGCCTTTGCGGGATAGCTTCCCTAAGTATATATCACTTAAGCCTAGGGTCCATGAAATCAATGTTTACGGCCGGAAATTGACTGCAGCCGACAGTCTGTTTCTTTTCTTATGCAAAAGAAATCTACTTCCAGTCACGGTGGGCATATATACCGCCTAGCTGATCTTATGGGACTGCCTCGGTTCCAGCAGTGCAGTGCCGATCTAAGTGCTCTGCGGCTGGCCAAGTCGCTATGGGCTGGACGGTTCGAACCAAAGGCCTCCATCATCTTCTGTTTTTGGTTCATATCTTGCCGGATGGCCTGTCCATGGGGCCCAGCCGTCTATCTTCTCTTCCTTGTGTCTCATGACCTGCCGGCCTGCTTGTTTATATAAAGGCCTTCTCTTCTTTATGTCCCGTCTATTGTCTTTCGGGTCGAGGAGACATACGCTTTACCTTGAGCCATTTTGATATCCCTCCTGAGTTATAAATGATTAGCCCATTTCGCACAATGCCGCACGATAAGGAACAACTTATCCATTCCCTTCGCTCCCATCGAATTAACACTCTTATGGAGTTACGCCGGGCAGAAAAGGCCCTCGTACCGCTAGGCACTCCCGACATTTACGAGCCTCTGGCCACGGCATGGCTTCACTATGTCAACTCAAACAATCTCCTTAGCGAACTGCGAAGCCTTACCAAAGACTACCCGTTTAGCTCAGAATGTCTAGACGAGGCTAAAGCTCTGGTCAACCATGACCCGGCAAGCTTGAGGAGCTGGAATTACTGCTGGCTAGTCCTCCAAAAGATTCAAGACCAGTAGGTTCTTCATTAATACGGAGTCCAGGGGAGAGATGAACATGTGATTCTTTTCATTATCACGGGTTCATGTGCGGTTGATTCGTTTTCTTTTTCTGATATTTCCCCCCCTGAACAGGCAATTGATCTCAAAGCACGCTTGGGGAGCTGCAGCGAAACCTGAAATGTGGGGTGGCTGCACGCCAGATGCTGGAGCTATGGGGAACCTTGCAAACGTCTTGCTAGTTGAATGGACCCGCGCAGTGCAGCTGATGTTGCGCCATTGGGAAATATCACCAATGCGGTAAACAGCTGCAAAGGGCAGACAAGGCAGATGATGACAGATTGGCCCCCTCACCATGCTCCACGCCTATAGAACTCGTCCCTAGGGTGTGTTTCAGGGGTGCACCCTGTTGAGCACCCTCCATTTCCGTCTGTGCCTGCACACATTTGTATATACTTGCATATGTGCCTTGGTACATATCTTCCCCTTGATTTCTAGAGTACGAACCGGCATGAAGCATCCGTGACGTCTTGCATGTTTAGCAATAACGGCATGGCTCCCGTCTCTATCCATTAGATGTTTGTGTGAAGATGGGTTATTTAACCGAAGAACGAAATGTAGTGTGTTTCTTCAAGCAGTCGCACTTCCATACCCAGCGTTTGGGATCCATCGGATAACTAGTAGCCTTAGAGTGAATTGTCAGGTAGCGAATGCCGTACGCGGTCTAGAGTCATTGTTTCTTTTTGTCAACGGCAAGCTTCGCAGCCAGACGTATCTAGTATGGTCACTTTTATTCAAAGATAATACGGCCCTTTCCGAAGTTTCCATGGGGTCAGAGCCACTGCTAGCTTAAGGGATAGTGAGCAAGTCAATTCTAATTCTAGATACCGCCCGGTGGCTGCAATCGTTCCCAATATGAGCTCGTATTAACCCTCAGCAATGACCTCCTCGGCGTCTCATGCTCGTCAAAGCTACCGTGTAACGACAACGGTGACAGGGATCCCGGTATCGGTTCTGCCTTCCGCTCAACTTATCGCATGCAAATTGTGGGCATCCCCGCATGTCAGGGCGCTCTGTACATGCATGTACTCCGGGTGCATGTATGGGGCAGAAGTGGTCTGCTTCATGCAGCCGTTTGTGGACATGCCAATCTCTTTCCGTGACTTCTGGTAAGAGATGATTCGCATGCCCGCTGCTCATCGACGAGGACAGCCATAAAATATAACTAGCAACCGGCCCTGTTTGTATCTGTCACTGGCAGGAGGAAGATAAAACTACATACTATATAGTTGTGTGTGATATATATATATATATATGCTAGGATCCAGTATTCTGATACTCATTGGCGCCACAGCCCCAGAGCTATCCATTTCAATCCAAGTGCGCAAGAACTGTCGTATCTCAAACTACAGAATACGAAACAAGCGTTTCTTTTAATAACTTCTGCTCTCTTTGCTTTTTGTCTGATAAGCTCGCTGCCTTCCCCAACGTAGCACTGCGATGTTCCCAGTGGCCAGTAATCACAGGCATAACCTAGCAAATTTAGCTTAAAACGGAGATCTACCCGCCTGAGGGGTGCTCGCACCTCTTCTTTCTGAAGCCCAGCGTTCAGCAGGAGAACTCAGATGCTTACGGCGGTTGATAAGTTTGGGAGTTTCCCACATGTCTGTCTGGTTACATTTTGACCGCCAATTCTGTGGCGGCCTGAAGGCAGGGATGTCTAGCTTGTATACAGAGAGGCTATGGGTAGGGACCCTGTACATAGTAAGCTGTAGGACAGATGCAGAACATCGATGACAAAGGAGTGTTGAGGGAGGCGGTTGAGTTTGCTTGCGCCTATCTTTAAGGCGTCCAAGGCGTAAAGAATGGGCATTTATGCACATCAAAGATTAAGACGATAAACAAAGATGCCAACCATTATATTACGATTGGCTAATGGTTTGTTAAATCATATCCCGTCAAAAATAATCTTTAATGGCCGATTCAAGAGTGGAACAAGAATTGTCGAAATTTCTTTTATTACTGCAAGCTATAGATCATATAGACAAGTCATCCAGTCTTCTCCATACCGAAAGCCGATCCCTGGGCTCACATGTGTATACCTATTATTTGGTGAGTTGTTAGCGTGATGGAACAATGCGTAAGAACTAATGGCCAAATTCAAGTTGCAAGCTTTGTGGTTTTCAGCGATCTTGGTAGAAAAATGTGATATCACCGCCCTGAGGCATCAACTACTATCTTGTGCGAAGACATATCATCAGGAAACCTAGAGGGGGAAGCTGGAAGGGTCAGATGTTTACCTTGTTGGTAGAGCCATGCGGATGGCTGTGCTGGTGGTTAGTGTATGGGAGCCCTTCATATCATTTCATGCCGGCTAACAGCTTGTGGATAGTTCCTAGTAGTCTGAGCAAACTGTTAGCCCATCTCAAGCAAGACAAGAACCATAGCATCATCAATTGGATGAAATAAAAGAATCAGAATATGTAAGAAATTAAATATCACCCCGACAGTTGCTTGAGAATACTCTGGCGGGAGATTCACAAAAGCCGGATCAACCGCAAATTACCACATCATAGCAGAGTAAAACAAGGAAAGAAATGATATGGCTTACCATCATTCATTAGTATCACCACAGCTGATTCTGCTCTCTCTCCGTCTACAAGGCGAGGCTCTACCATCGAAAGAACGAGGAAGGAGAAGAAAAAAAAACTTGTTGATGGTTGAAGAAAGAAAAGCGCTTTATGTAAGACGGCAACTGCGCTAAACCCAAAGCGTCCAAAACCCACTAAGCGGGAATGGCTAAGCGAGGCAACTTTTTGTGTGGGCGAAAGGCACGCTGGACACATTGAAATTCGCGATATCAAGTTCAACTCGACAACAACGACCAACGCCCATCCACCCTCTATAGCACCCCTTCGGTGGACAGTGAGCATCCTCCTTCTCTTGCGCCGCTATTCCAATCCACCGGCTAATCATTGCACCAGGACTTCCTTCGCCATGTCTCAAGAGATCGATATCAAGCCCTCGACATGGAAGCTTGTCGAGGTCGGCAGAGTCGTGCTGATCCGGAGAGGCCCCCATGCGGACAAGCTGGCTGCTATCTCTGAAATTATAGATCACAAGCGCGTATGTCTTTTTTTTTCTCGCTCTCCGGCCGGGACAGAACTTTTTTTGGCGCAAGGAATCGACGAGGATGGAGTTTTCTAACGGAATATTCATATACAGGTCTTGGTCGACGGTCCTTCCGGCGATGAAGACAAGGTCGTCCCACGTCAATCCATCCCTCTCGCCCACGTTACTCTCACATCTCTCTGCCTCGAGAAACTTCCCCGACGTGCCAGAACCGGAGCCATGAAGAAATTGTGGGAGAAGTGTGAAATTGACGCCAAATGGGCTCAGACTGGCTACGCTAAGAAGAAGGAACAACAAGACCGACGACGCAACTTGACTGACTTCGAGAGATTCAAGGTCATGAGACTGAGAAAACAGGTTCGTCCTTTATATCTTATGACATATATATGACAAGAGATTACCATATATGGGGGCCTCTCCGGTGAAATATCTTAAGGGACACGATTGCTGATTGTTTTCTACTACTTCAGGCTCGCTTTGCTGTCCAAAAATCGCTATCTAAAGTCCGCGCTGCTTCGTGAGGGATAAAGGGTTGACGATGTTCGGAGGGATTGGCGCATTGAATGGAGGGTTCCTTTTGCTCGAAGAAAAAGGCAAAAAGATTTCCCCCGTTCAGAAAGGAATGTTCAACTGTAATCAGTTTCAATCTGAGAAATTGAGAACAGATTAATCTGCAAACCACTTTTATCCCGATTAGAAGGAATAATACTGGATCTCGCAACAGGCTTCTACCATGGTTTTACGAATTTCAGAAAACAAAACAAAAAAGAACTTCCTTTTTCATGCTGTGACTGACTGTGGTATTATTTGTAATAAAAAAAAAAAAATTCTACATGCTCACTGCGTCAAGCCATCTCTCGCCATACAGTCTTTATGGGGAGGACCCCATACTTTGGTACCCGCCAGACACAACGCCTGGGGTAGTAAGATACATTGCATTTGCCTTGCTTCCCTTTATCGCTTCAAGTTAAGAAAAGGCTGGTAAGGAATAGATGAATTAGATAGGAATGGTTTAATGTTCAGTGGCACAAGTATCATCTCATACAAAACTCGCTGTGTAGTTACATGTCAAGATTTTATACGATTTGTGTGCATGGGAAAAAAAAACCTCGCTAACGGGATTGGGCGAACACACATCAAAGAAGATTGAAGCTGTAGCAACAACACCACCAAACCAGCGCAACATTTGGCATACAAACCACCCAGCGTCCAGGTTAGTGCAATTTAACACTCTTATTATTCTTCTTTTCATAAGGCAAATGCGGTTTCCAGTGAAAAAGAGAAGGAACACTAACGCTCATCGAGTACATATTCTAGACAACTAGCCGTTCTTTCGCACATATCCCCTCCATACAACATGGCCAACCCACGAGTAGAAGAGCTCCCTGAGGAGGACGTCAAGGCTACCGTCGAGGAGAGCTCCGAGTCTGAGGCCGGTGATGATGGCGCTGAAGAACTCAACATTCCTGGTGGCTCCGGTGTCACCGTTCTCTCCCGTAACGAGAAGAAAGCCAGAAAAGCAATTGGGAAGCTTGGATTGAAGCATGTTCCTGGAATCACTCGAGTCACCCTCCGCCGACCAAAGAATGTGAGGATATAGCACTCTGCGGCCTATATTGCCATTGTGGATGTCATTATACTAATTTATCTCCAGATCCTTTTCGTTATCAACCAGCCCGATGTCTACCGCTCCCCCACCAGCAACACCTGGATGTAAGCTCATGCCATTATATCTTTTCCCCATTTTGGCGGCTTGGAGACACTGTCACTATAACTTGGACTTGTGCACTAATTTATCCTACTTGTAGTATCTTCGGTGAGGCTAAGATTGAGGATCTCAACTCTCAGGCCCAGGCCTCCGCTGCCCAACAGCTTGCCGCCAGCGAGGGTGCCAACGCTGCTGCCGGTGAATCCGCTGGCCAGGAAGCCATAGATCTCGGAAAGGGCAAGGCTGTCGAGACCGAGAAGAAGGAAGAGGAAGACGAGGATGATGGTGAGGAAGTTGACGACACCGGCCTGGAGGCCAAGGACATCGAGCTTGTCATGGCCCAAGCGAACGTCTCGAGAAAGAAGGCTGTCAAGGCTCTCAAGGAGAACGACAACGATATTGTTAATTCTATCATGGCGTTGAGCATATAATGCCGCTGCACATTCTTTAGTGATGTTTGATTGACCATTATAGTATGCCTACTACGCCTCTTCCGGTGTGTGCGATATCAAAATGCTGTGTCCATAAACTTGAGATAACAACTTGATGTGCAAGGCCTTCTTCAAGGAAAACACCCTTTAGAACATCTTCCTACGACCCTCATACCCGCGGCTTACTCACCGGTCATCTAACTCTTACAACTTGGAAAATAAGCAGTAATTGGTGTCCAATGTAGTCTTTATCAGGGTGCCTACTCTTATATTAATCTATCGACAAGTCTTTGTTTGGGGAATATGCCACTCTAGAGGATAACCCCAGCCAAAAAACTCTTCCGCGACATGGCTAGCTAACGAGGACATATGTTAAAACGTAGTATCTATATCGCCCTCGTCGCCCGTATCAAATTCTCTTTGATTGCCCCAGTGTCAAATATATCACGTGATATATCACGTGACCAACTCTGTCAACGTCTTAGAACTTCAAATCGGAACGAGAAGGAGAAAAAGAAGTTGAAATTGCACGCCTCGAAGAACCAGACACACCACACTCACGCTCACAATGGCAGCCACAGTACGTGACCTCCTATCCCCATGAGATGATTCAGCCTTTCTCGACCGTTATCCTCTTAATTGGGTTGATGCAGCCGACTAACACGCAGTAACAGCGGAGCGCTGCTCTCAAACTCGATTGGGCCAAAGTAGCCCAGAGCCTTGGACTTCGCGGCCAAACCGCTGCCTCTCTCCAGGCCTTCAAGAAGCGTAACGACGACGCCCGCCGCAAGGTCCAGGTCTTGTCCGAGACACCTCAGACCGTCGACTTCGCCCACTACCGTAAGGTGCTGAAGAACCAGGCCATCGTCGACGAGATCGAACAGCACTTCAAGAACTTCAAGCCAGTCACCTACGATGTCAACAGACAATTGAAGGCCATCGAGGCCTTTGAGGCTCAGGCTGTCAAGAACGCCGAAGAGACCAAGGGTAAAGTTGAGATGGAATTGGAGTCTCTGTCGCAGACTCTCGATAACATCGAGTCCGCTCGACCATTCGAGGACCTCACAGTCGTATGTTCATCCCGATTATTCATATTGAATCCATATTTCCATCAACTCCCCCTCGTGGTTTTCTCCATGGTTGCAAGCGCTCTCACTTCGGATATCCGAGGTTTTGCTTTGTGTGATGATAACTTGGTATCACAAAAAAAAGCCGATGCTAATGTTCATGTTTTCAATGATATAGGATGATGTTGCCGCTGCTGCTCCAGAAATCGACAGAAAGACCGCTCAGTTGGTATCCAAGGGTATCTGGATGCCAGCAGGCTACAAGGTGAGTTTATCCCACGCTATGCTCGTCCCACTTTATATCAAAGGGCACGCCGCAACCACGAATATTTCGTACAGGGTTACTGATCTTCTTACTCGAACAGGAGAAATACGGTGACCTGGCTGTCATGTAAAGCTGCACTCTGTTACCAAGCCGTTGCCACAGCCGACACCCGTGATTTTCTATGTATTTTTGGTATTCTGTGGCTTGAAACACTTTCTCGACGGCATCCGAGCGTTGCCTGAAGAGTGCCGTCAACCACAGCTGTATAGAACCGAGAGTTTCAAATAGAAGCATGTTCCTTTTTATATCCTTCTTCCACCGTTACCTACCTCTCTCCTACATACTAATGAGGCTGCACGTATAACTCTGTAACCGATCAATGTAACCAACCAAACACTGGTCACCCTGCATAACCAGGCCAGTCATCTCGTACATGGTGCATACATATATCTGCCCAGCCATGCTGCCAATCCCGTGGGATGAGGGGATTTCCAGCACGATCAGAAGCAAACAGCCCGTCTTCCACACTCAGATACAGATCCATGGCTACCGCAAGGTGGATGAACAGGCACACCAATTGGCTCCGGACCTCCGGATTGGGCCTCCTCACCGTTCCTCGGCGTCTTAATATAAGAAATGTTACATATCTACCGGCCGGTATCCAGTTGGCAGAGCGTGTAAGTCGGCACCGCTGTACATAGTAGCGCGACGCACGCAGGACCTGGACATAGAATGATAGGAATAGCTGATACTTGACTCCGGCTGGCTAAATACGTCGGGTTTCCTTTGTTTTTTCTTGCAGATGAATTGAATCTCCTTTTCTTCGTGCCCGACCGCTATATTAACATGCTGTGTTAGGATAATGCTCTATCTCCCCATATTGTGTCTGCCTTCGGTACAGAAAAGAGTCTCTCATCTTAGAGTGCTTTCTCCCTAAATAGCATCTCTCCCGACTCTAGCCAACCAATACAACGCCTTCGCATAACTACATGGCATTCCTCGTGTTTATTAATGGAGCCTAAAGTGGGAATAAACGCTGCCATTGTTGATACAACATAAGCTCTCTATCAAGCCCAAGCCTTGCAGTGATCCCTTTGAAAGGCGCAAAGACGGCACAGAAAAAATCCGTTCAATCCTTCGGTTCAGGCCAAAGGAAAGGAGTTGAATCGACTCATATCATCGAGAAGACCATTTGATTTGGAGACAAGATCTTGTTTACATACTTATACAAGTGGCGTCGATGGATACACCAAACTGCCCGGCAGGAGTACGGCTCCGACGACGGGCTCCCATAGAGCTGTTGCCAGCCGAGTTGGTGCATAAGATCTTTTTCCAGTGCCTCGAATTCAACTTTCCTCGTGCATCAATATACATTGCCAACACCCTATCGTCGCCGATACTGTATACCTGGCTTATCCGTCTCGCGTTTAGCAGCTGCAACCGTTCGTCGAGATCATATAATATTTATGCGTCACAACACTTCCTCCCCCTGGACTATTTCTACTTCAATCACCTTGAAAGAGCGAAGTTACAAACCGAGATCTTAAAGTGCCACTGGTTGACGGCCCCCTTGCTTCGAAAGTGCCAGAGAGAGTATGTTGAGCATGTCATCAGGCAGAAACGCCCACAACTTGTGATTTCTCCAGACGAAGACCAAGATGTTCTTTCAAGGCTGGATCAATATTGGCAGAATATAAACAGATTCGACCCTACGCCCGCAGGCAAACGCGGAAAAGGAGACTTGATTATACGGGCTCATAGTCTGGAAAACGACCAGCCATGCAAAATTGCGATATGGTTCGGTTTCGGGGCATTTCAAATCCGTGATCTTAACCCTGTGTTTCAGGAAATCGACATCTTTCGCTTGCCCTGCGCTCCTCCTTATCCAGCGGAACCATGCAGAATGCCAGATCGACTGCTCGCAGCTCCATGGACGGAAGACAAGCTAGAGCTTCTGACCCTCCTCTCGTCGGACGCCTATATAGACGAAGGTTGGCCACCCGATAGATCAAAGGCTGTGTTGAGGAAAGTCATCAAGGACCGGGAACTTGATGCTTTTAAGTGTTTGTTGAATTTACATATTTGTGGGAGGCAATATAGGTACCCGTACCCCTGGCCAGTAAGCCATAACCATTTTAGGGTAGCTGCTAGATATGCAGAGTCAGACAACGATCCATTCTTGCAACTGTTGTTCGACAAGAGAAGGGACAGTATTCCTCGGGACGATACTTCAATTATGGCGTTGATGGCAAAATATTCTTGCATAGATTATTGACTGTTAGAGGATTTGGCTTGATGTATTTGCGAGCTACAGGTATAGAAGGTAGTGGTAGTCAGTAGAAGAGATTATCCAGTCTCTGAGTAACATGAATAGCCATTAAAGTCATGAGCATTTGTAAGACCGCGAATAATACAGAGAAAGCCTTGTGCTTCAGGAGGGAAAAGAACTTCATCGTCGGGGGGGTAGTAGGTCGATTGAGTTAAGAGGCAAATGCTCAGGGCAAAATAGCTCTACAGGCCACGCATATGGCTCGTAACCCCAGGCTCTCTTGTATTCTTCATACATAGGGTGGTCCATGCTGTAAAACCAGTGTTTCCTTACACTTTTCACATATGCATTGTCTGCATTGAGCATGCCACAGGCAAACAAACTCTTCTCAGAACTGTGACGCCTCTGACATGAAGGAAGTTGCACCATGAAGTCTAGAAGCCATTTATAAAATGGGCAAGACGACTTCTCTCCTATGAGTGCCCATTGAGTGATTTCGGGATTATCAAATGGAAGTGACTCTGCACTTGCACGGACTAGGATTTGTAGCATATTAGGTTTTGTGGAAAGGCGAGCTGCAGTAATGAAGTGTTCCGGTGGAATCTCGTAGGCAGAATTCGTAGACATCCCCTTAAATGAGTATGCGGCGGAGCGGACACAGTATTCGTCTAATTCAAGAAGCCCTATTACTATTTCTCGGCGGCATTCAACAATAGCTTCATGCACACCTGTATGGAGTACCTCTCGGGAAAATGGCTGGATGGGGACTGGGTGTTTCCCTTGGTATAACATAAGGCGTAGTAGCCGAAAGAGTCTGAATTTTTGAGTAGTCCACAGCCTTTTATCTATTGCTCTTTCCGGAATAGAGAAGATGCAGACCGGACTTCGAAATATCTTGTAAGAGGTGGCTCTATTAAGAATGGTATGCTTCATGGATACCCAAGTACCACCGAATTTCTTTAAGTTGAGACTTTCTAGGTAGGACCACATCAGATTGTCCTCAAGAAGCTGTAAAACTTGTGCTAGATCATATTCATTCCTTTCCTCTTCGTAGCCTCTGACTCGAAGCTGTGTTAGATTGGCACATTTAACAACGCAGGAACTGATACGTTCAAAAGTGGCCCATCGACAGTTGAGGATCTGTGACTGGAGTCTCGCGGCTTCTTTCCTGGATAATTTCCTATATCCAACAGGACGGAACGTTCTCATTATTTCTTTCTCTCCCAGTTCGAAACGGGCTCTTGTTTGCTCGTCCATTGGCTCATCGTTCATTGGCTCGTCCGTCCCTACAGCTTCCTCATCATCCATTGTCTCATCATCTATCTCCTTCTTTGGAATGGGCTCTTTCCAGATGGCAAGTATAGCTATACAAGAATAGACGCGTTCATTTGATACCGCTCTTGCAAGTCGTGGAAAGACATGAAGTAAATTGATTTCCAAGCAATCGAAAAAGATCTGCTCCAGTATTTCCGTGGGCAGTAATTGTAGTGTAATCCTTGTATGCTTAAGTTTGCTTCTATTAGCACTCTGGAGCTGGTTATTAACCTTGGTAATGACACTCTTTGAGGGTATAAAGACAGTGTCAGTGGTTGAACCAAGCCCTTTGCTTGCCTGTGTAGCATCCTCACGGTTTCTCTTCTTTCCGCGGACCTTCACTGGTGTCAAGGGACGATTATTGGGTTGCACTGAAGACATAATATTTGTCTTGGTAAGGATTTGTGTTATACCCAAGGGATAACCCCCTTATTAACACACCGTTAACTGCCCAGTAGTTAATCGTTATCACACACCGCGCTTCGGCGTTTGCACAATTTTAAAATAAGCGGGAGGGCAGTTGTGTCACGTGATAGTTAATCAATCTTCCAAGTTTCTATAATGAATTTGATATTACCCCTCGGGTCCGTTAGAGAGTGGGAATGGTATAAAGGCCTTGGATGCTACCCGCAGCTATCATTGTTAAATTTGCTTGCTACATTTGAATATGCTGGATGATCGCGCGACGGCCCTGGGGGGTTTCGAAGTGTAACGCTGGAAGCGGTGTATTTTCAAAGCTCCCTGCTCACTAGGTATTTATCGTGGCGTATTAATACCTGCTGATGATATATTAATGTGCCTATTCTCTGTATAATAATGGACTGGTTGATAAACGAACTGTCACTAGCATAAATGTCTATAAAAACCCGTTTTTGCTCTTTTTTATTGCATCTTTGATATTCAAAATCAACCCCCCAACGGAACTTGGAAAGCTAGCTTTAGCTCCTTTCTTTATATATTACGATGAAGATATCAATTGTATTCTTTTTCCCATTGCTGGTCCCCGCGTCACCAGCGGCCTTTAGTCCTGCTTCTCCCAGGGGCCTTGCGGGTGTTAAAGCAGCCAGAAGCGAGAATTACTGCTGTAACCCTAGTGTCACATTTGTAAGTTATCTTGATATAACATATTGACCCAAGTAAAACTAATGGACCTTTTTACAGTGGTGTGCGGATAAATCACGTGCAACACCTTGCTGTGGATACGGGAGTAAGTACATCATGTAGCACAATTCTATAGCATGATGCCTAATGCCAACCTGTTTTTAGAATGCAATTGGGCCTGCTGTGCCTGTAATGGTGGGTGCCGCCATTTATGAAGTGATTTCAAAGGTATGGCTTCTTGCTATTAAGCGTGTGGGTATATGTACATGCACTGACTTGGTACCACAGAAGAGGTATCAATGGCAGAGGGAGTTAGAATCTGCGAACAGGCCGGTTAAAACCCTCATATATGGGTTCGGTGGCTATTGGCGAATTTCTGAAGTCTATGCGCGTTGCAGGACTTGCTCCACGTTTGCATCAGATAGATTCACGAAGGGGTGGGCCGATGTCCAACTACGTTCGTTAGTTTCAATATCCTAGATATATCAGTATAAATTAACATATCGAATTTGACGACGGTTATTTCTTAATTCCTACTTACCAGGCCATAAATATCTGACGTTTTCAGGGTCTAACAAGAGATAGTGGTATTCGATTGACTCCCGTTTCGTGTTTCGTCAGTGAGAGGTTGTTGGATTGGGCGGTCTTCGTTCTTGTGTGCACCCAGTAACTCATCTGCGTTTAAGCGAGATGGCTTTCTTCTTCATTTTGTCCTTCTTTGTTGGTGCTGTTGTCTTTGACTTATTAAGAGCATCGTACAGGGTAGACGCGGAAATTCGGCGCTGGGGGTCAAGAACCAACATCTCCCGAAGGGCAGCCATTCGTCGAGGGAGATTTTTTCGTAGGGTGTCAATGTGGTCCCACCAATTCATGAATTTCTTTCGCACTTTACTGTCTTCCATGAGCTTCCGAATCGGCCAGCCGTTAGACGGTAGCTGTATATGCTTAGAAACGAAGAGCATAGTGATTCCAAAGGCCCAGATGTCGCTGGGTTTACCTCGTTGTCTCACTAATAACTCAGGCGGTATGTAGGATGTCGAACCTCCGTCACTATAACGCTGTTCAAACGTTGAGAGACCAAAATCGCAGAGCACAGCTCCTCTCTTATGGTCACCAAGTATAATGTTATTAGGTTTTATATCATGGTGTATAATACCCTTTTCATGGATATATTTCAGAGCATCACTAATATCTATCCAAATCCGGAGCTGCATCTCCTCCTTAATGATTGAATATTTGTCAGCATCCACATACTGAGAAAGGTCTAGCCCTTCTATATATTCAAGGAACAGAGTAAGATCGAACGCTTGAAAATCGAGAAGCTGCACTATGTTACGCTGGAAGTGGAGGTTAGAGTGATATGGACATAGACACATTTGATAATAGTGGAGACGGTAGAGCATACGTGTTTCAATGTCTGGAGAACATTTCTTTCGTTCTCCCACATGTACGCTGCCTCCTCTATATCCGGCTTTCTGCACACCTTGGCAGCAACCACACGGCCAAAGCGCTGAAGTTTGAAGACGCGGGTTAATCCTGTTTCAGCAACGAGGTCCAGCTTAGGAGGCCGTGCCTTGCACAAGACTATATTTGATGGGGAAAACTCGGATTTAATTCGCTTGCTGGAATGAGGGGCATCGACAGGATCTTTATGGGCTAACTTCTTCCGTCTAAGACTTTTCGATCTGTTGGTAATTGCTGGGCCGCTAATTAATTCGCAATTGCCAGGAGGAACGGGAGCGCGGGTATTTGAAGTGCTACTAGGAAGGACCTGTAGCAAAAACTCGAGGCCAGCTCCGAGAGTTATATGCATAAGACCAGGTTTTATCCTCAGTCGATCTCCAGGTATTATTTCCTCCTGCTCTCCCTCCTTTCTGTTGACAGCATCCCTGACAGTAAATCGAGACGTGGACAAATTGCGAAGGAGAATAGCATCGTCTTCATCATCGGGTATCGCAATAAGCAAACAATGGCGAATATTAACCCAACATTCATCGGTTGTAGTCTGAAGCTGTATTTGGCACATCTTGTCACTCCCAATGACAAAGTATGGATGATCTAGATTTTCGTAGAGATAAAACGCGAGTGCTTGCCGCTTTTTCCCACAGTTTGCCAACGGCTCTATGGGCAATCCAGACAGTAAAATCGTACCGACACTATCTTGATTTCCAGGGAGATTCAAAGATTTCACGGCTGATATCGATATAGGGAAAAGGATAACGCGTATGTGGTGTTCACCCGACTTGATCTCTTCAGGCTCGGGGGAAAGGTATGCCATAGTCACAACATTAATGGTGTCTTTAACATATAAGTATATTATATAAATGGTAGTTATATATATAAAAATTAACACTTCGTCTTTCAAGCCAACGTGTGAAATTGCATTGTCTAGTGTACGTTTTTTTAGCTGGAGAAATCATCGTAACTTTCGTCAACTTGCGATGTTGTAAAGTTCAAAATAAGCGCGACGCGAGGGGCTAAACCACGTGACTACTTCGTGTCCCGTCGAACTTCTCCTTTCAATAAAGCCTGCAAAAGGACGAGAAAGACAACATCAGTGACTATTATTTATTATCTTTTGACGCCTATCCTCAGCATCATGTTGTCCCAAAGACCGCTGACACCGCCATACACGGCTCCGCGAGACCCGGAACCGACACAATACAATGTTCCGCGAGAAAATGACACGCTTTTAGCAGAACTCTCAGGACGATGCAACACAACCCTCCAAAACACATTATCGAAATCATCATTCCAGCGTCTTGCAGACGAGGTCATTTCGAAGAGTGTTGGCTCCGGCTCAGCCAAGGATACCAGGGGCCTTGAACCTCGCATACACTTTACCGTTTCTCAGGCGGCCCAGAAGCTCTCCCAGCAAGCCACCAGCACCGTCAACGGGATATATTTCGAGCTTACAAAACTCCTCCCACCACGACTACAACCATTTTTACTCAACTTTATAGGGAAGGAGGCTAGTGAAGAAGACCGATATACTTTTATAATAAATGTGCTCCCATGGGTACTGAAGAAACTACGAAAGACTCCACCCCGGCCCGGTACGTAAAACCGTATCTCTCATTTCATCTGTTTGCTATTCCAATGCTTTGTTCAATACTTTGACATATAGATTCCCTTGGATACTCCTAAACAATATGCTAACCCTGAACAGGAGCACGAAAGGGTGGTTTACCAAGACGAAGTCAACGGATAGCTAAAAAGCAAAAGCAAAAGCAAAAGAAAACTGGCACGAAACGAGTGGAAAAAGCATCAGCTACACCAAACAAGAATAAAAGAAAGCAACAACAACAGAGATGAAACTAGATATGAACTTGAGCTAGGGCATTTCCAGCAGTGTGAACGAATGGTGTCGTCCGAATTTATATGAGTTTAAGCTCTTCTTAGGCTGGAATCAAGCGACATACTTCTCTGGCATGCATTTGCCAAGGGTACGCCAACCAGCAAACACAACAACCCAAAAAATTAATGTTGGTCCATCGTGGGTTCCGGGGGTCTATATATTGTGGTGGTGATTCACCATAGCTGCAACTCCATGATGTGTCTATCGTGCTGTATACACAGTGTGCGGACTGGCGTGTCCAAGGAGAGCCAAGTTGCTATTTATTAGCAGACTTGTTATATCAAGGAAGAGGAATGGCTCCCTATTGATAGTTTGGGGGAGGGGTTGTAGGCGAGTAGTTTCGTATGGCTATTCACCTTGGAACACCCAAGGGGTTTTTGGGTCGTACACTATGAAGCCTGGGCTCCCAGTTTTTCTTTGACTCTTGTCTGTGTTCAACAGACCAGTGTCAGTTCCATGGCAATTTGCTTTGACCTTAGGCTTCCGTCGCCTGAGGGTGGTGAAACCTGCTTTCGAGCGCCTATCCCTAGATTTTTTCGGAGCTATAACTTTTTAGTATTATTACGCTCCAATCTTTTCTTCCTCGGGAGAGGAGATATGATTTGGTCAACCTGGTACATCCTCTTTCGATCGAGTCATTATCCAGATTATCTCCGAAACTCCTGCATTTCATTTATAGCGCTTAAAACAACTCTAACATAATTTGAGGAATACGGTCGCAGTAATTCAAACCTTTATTCAGTAGGATATAAAAGTCATTGCTGCTAAAGAGCTATACTTTGCATGGCTAGTATGCCTAATAAATCTTCATCGGAATGGGCTCAAGAAGACCATGGGAAAGAAGAAATAAGAACTTCAAAGGCTACATAGTCCAGCATGATAGCTCAAGTGTTCGTTTAGTTCGTGGTCGTTAGTGACGAAAAACGTTAGTAGTCAAGCACTCATAGTTAGGCAATCCTTGCTTACATGGAAATAACCGGATCATGTAGAGTTCCTGGTTCGCGTGGCAGGTCTGCAACTAGTTACGGAAATATTGGTGTAAATAGAGGGTTTCAGCATGGCTACAGGGTTATTTGACACACTTAAACATCTATTCTTTGGTGACTGAAAAATGACTATACTACAAAACAATCAACTAAATGACGGATCTGAGGCAGTAAGTATACGCATAACCTCTACAGAAATGACTGGATAGCCCATAATGACATCGTGCAATCCGGTCTTTAGTATCTGCTCTCTGATCACTCCATTTTCCGTGCGCCACTCCATCACCGATCCTGCGGCGGCATTGTCTATCTTCTCTGCAGCTTTCTTTAAATCTAACTCTTTATGCGTAATGCCATCTGACACTGTCGCATTGACAGCGCTCCAAAAAAGAGACTGGGTGTGGTGAAACGGTATATCGTAGTCATCCTCAGCATGGATTAATGTAATTCTATACTTTTCGTTGTTTGACTCCTTTGTACGGATGTAATCACTCAGGCGGCTGCTACTGAGCCATTTGTCCAGTATAAGGGAGCTAAGTCGTTTAAATAGAATGGGAATCCTCGCTACTGGTGACAATAACGGGATGGTACCTGCAACATTATAGGTTGCCGCGAGACTTGCTGCATTGACAAACGGAGCGACCAGGACAGTCCCTGCAAAAGATACAGGCGGTGATTGTAAGGCGAAATGCCGCAACATAGCCAAGCTAACTGCAGTACCGATGGACTGGCCAAAAATCAGTAGGCGAGAAGGTGGGATTCCCGCAACATTTATGGCCCATTCAACAACAGCAATGGCGTCGAGGATAAGTCCATGCTCTGAAGGAGGTTTGCCGCTACTTTGCCCAAACCCGCGATAATCAAAGGTCAGAACATGGATTTTCCCAGGTGAATTGACCGATAAGGCACGATAGTTGGCTGGCCTATAACCTGAAGCGACGGTACCTGCAGCTCCGTGGAAGTGTAATACTAAGCGCGCTTCAGGGTCATCACGTAGCAGTTTAAATGCAAGGCGAGAGGAAAAATCAGAGACAAAGCCAGATGTCTCGAGCACAAGAGCCTGTTCATGTCTCCGGTATAGTTCCAGTGGTAGAATATGCCAGGCATACAACGAGTGGCCGTCAGGGGTTTTGATATAGAACGGTGTCGCCTGGTTACGAAGGAATCCCCAGAGCTCCGGGGTATCGAGATCTTTGAACCACGTCATCTGAATCTTATGGAGGTAGATAACATGGGTTTGGAGGAAGGGAGTTGCAAGAAGCGCTAGGAAGACAGCGTATAGAGCGACACAAGATGCGACTGAGATGGAACCATACTTCAAGACAGACCTGATCACATTTCCAGCGGTCATTGGGAATAGTATTGTATCGTATGCAGCAGGTTACACTGATACTAAATTTGAGAGAAGATATCAGAGCTATTCTGATACAGCGACTTGCTGCCTGAACAGGATGATAGTGGTGTCTGTTAGCTTCAATGGGTTAACTACGGTCCGACCCGCTCCTATTTCTTAATTTAGACCTGGTTTGTCATGCTGGCGGCTAATTAGAATGCAACCCTCTTAAAACAATGTTGACTCGCTGTGACAAGTTGAGCGCCAGGGTACGTAGTAACACATGCATTGGCAGTGATAAAACGCAGAATGCTGCTATCCAAGTACTATATCTTCTGTGGAATTATTTTTACTGTGTCTAATCTCTAAAATAAGAGTTTACATAGTAGGGCTCGCTTACTAAGCTACTTAAGCCTCAGTATCCACGTGGTGGGCTTGCCATGACGTCACTGACAGGTACAAACGGCGACAAAGTTTCATCGTCTCGTTTTTTCTGGGATAAAAGCAAGATTCGAGTTGGCTTGCGCTCTCCTACGTCACTATAATCGTATATCTGATATATGACAAGGCATTTCAGGGAACTGGGTAGAACCAGTTCGTCTCTTCGTGATGGATATATAAATCGTCTCGATCCCTCGCTGGATCGTATCTTCAGCAACATTCAATCAACCAGATCCAAGACGTCAGATATACCAAACTTCACGAAACGGAACCAAGAACCATCTATCCTTTCCCATAAATCTACCAAACAATCCAAACTCATTCACAACCATGGGTGCTGTCGTATCATGTGTAAGCTGGACGCTCTGAGGAACCTCATGAACATTTCGATCTAACACCTTATTTACATAGATCGTTGGTGCCTTTCATGCGGTTGGCCGAACCCTTATGACTATCGTTAATGCAATTGGCAGCGTATTGATGGCGATTGTGAACGGAACAATCTCGGTCATACAAGCCATAATATCTTTCTTGACCTGCGGTTGGTGTTCAAGTCGACGATCGGGGGTTGGTCGTCGTCACGGCATGAAGTCTCACCACCATACGAGACGGCCAGTGATGAGCACCGTCTAATGAACTTCGATATACACCTCAATGATCTAAAGAGAGAAGAAACGGGAAAATTCCGACGGCGTGGCGGCATTAGGTGGATATGGCCTAGTCGGTGATCGATTTACGGGTTCTTTTTTTTCCGGTATTGTTGAGGGATGGGCATGAAATGACGATACCCCGTGGTCCGTCTAACGATTTAATGGACATTGCTTCTTTCTCTTATTGTTTGATCGTGTATTATATTCATGAATCCAAATTCACATGTTGCTTAAAATTTTCTGCACTCCGCTTATCTTCCCGACCAAAGACGGCTGGTACCCGGTCTCGACCACTCCCTGACACATAGTCCATGCACCTTCACCGCCTTGACCTTTCCCCTGTCCCTTTTGAATAGGATAATCCAGCCGTGGTGGGATCTTGGTCTGGAGAAAGGTTCTGTCTTCACAAACTGCTTTCAGATTGCTCAAGTTCCTGAGGCCCTCGGCCCCACCAAACCTCCCATAACCGCTATCTTTCACGCCGCCGAATGGTAGCCCTACAGCGTAGAAAGTAGCGAAGTCATTGACTGCGACCATACCTGCGTCAAGACGGGAAACACATTTTTCCACGTCCGCCCGGTTGTGGCCGAAAACGCTGGAGCCAAGGGCGTATTTGATGGAGTTTGCGATAGAGATAGCCTCGTCTACCGTCTTGGCTCGCATCATCACGAAGACAGGCGCGAACAACTCTGTCTGTGCAAGCTTCATTTCAGTAGTGACGTCGACAAGGAGAGTTGGCATAAAGTAGTGGCCATATGGGTGGTCAGGATGATGGTACCGTTTGCCTCCATATATCAATCTAGCTCCGTCTCGCACAGCGTCCGATATCAAGCTTTCCAGACGGTCAAAAGACCTAGATGAGATTTGAGCGCCAACGTCGGGAGTGTGAGGAGGTTTTTGAGCCTTTGGATTACCCTTTCCATCAAGAAGTGCAGACCCAAGGCGAAGTGCTTTGATACGTGGAGTGACTATCTCAAGTAACTCGTCGTATACCTTGGGCAGTGCAATTATCCTCTCGGTTCCAATGCAATTCTGCCCGGCGGATTGGAACACTGCTCTCATCATGATAGACGCAATACTTGGAAGATCACTTTTGGTCTTGGGGTCATCCAGGATAATAGCGGGGTCTTTTCCACCAAGCTCCACTGTTACTGGAATCAGGGCCTTTGCAGCTGACTTGCAAACTTCATGGGCAACAGGTTTTGATCCAATGAAAATCAAATGTCGTAGTAAAGGGTGAGATGTCATCGCATCCGCATGCTGTGGTAGACAGATGATCGTCTGGACAAGATCTTTTGAGTGGCCGCAGCTAACAATTGCGCGTTTGATAATATCGCATAGGAAGATCGAGGACCAAGCCGTGTGCTCAGATGGTTTCACAATGATGGCATTTCCAGCAAATATCGCACTGATTACCGGTGAAATCAGATTGTGGAATGGGTAGTTCCAAGACACGCAAGCTCCAACAACGCCGAGGGGCTCATATCGAACGGTGTTCTTCTTGTACATCATAAGAAAATTGGTTGGTCGACGATCTGTCTGTAGTGATTTTTCTCCATGGTCAATTGTCCATTTCAACTTATCAGCTGTAACCATTATATCTCCAAAACAAGCATCCACTTTGGTTTTGCCCGAGTCAAGGCAACAGGCAGTTGCAATCTCGTTTTGGTGCTCAAGGATGTATCTATACAGGTGGTCAATTAGAATGCGTGTGACAGTTCTGACCAGGAGGTGCTGGTTCATATCCTACTTCAACAATGTCCTCAAAACCTTTCTCCTTTCCGCAAAGCTCGTCTCTCTCCATTGCGAATATGCGGCTGAGGCGCGCTCGAATGTATCATCGATATCCTTTGGAGTTGCTGGCTTTATACCATTCTCATCTCCAAGCAGGCGTCCATCGGCAGGGCAGTAGCTCAGAATTTTCTTTTCACTAAATGTCTATAGCAGAAGGGATATTGTCAATAGGGGTTGAATTAAACCGCACGGGGATCGAAAAGGCGACTTACCCCGGTTGTCCCTTGCGACGTCAGAATTTCTCTTGACTCTCTGCTGATGTCCTCCCATGCGACACCCTCCCATTCAGGTCTCAGCTCCTTAGGTAGAGGTACGTCAAAGGTAACCGGCCGTTCATCTTCAGCGAGGAGAGAAGAAACGAGGAGCTTCAGTGCAAGGAGGGTCGGGATAATTATCACAAGAGACGTTAGCAATTGGGTGGAACTGCAGCTCAGCACCTTTTCATAGCCTCTCTGGAGGTGCTCCATCCCCTTAGCCAGGTTCTACAGGAGTCTTGGTGGAAATATTAACGAAACTTACGAAAGTTGCCAGCTCGAAAATATTCCGAGATGCCAAGACCTGCACATACAAAAGCCGCCAAAGAAAAAAAAGGGGCAAGAAACAAACTACAACATCTCGATATCAGACAATTGATTGCGATTCTTTCCGGCAAATACACAATAAAGACATATATACTTGCCAGAAAATACTAAACTGTGATAGCATGCCTTAATCCTATCTCTCTCGTTGATATCTATCGTCTATTACCGGTTGGTTCCTTGGCCTTTCGTGGACTATGCTTAAGCTAGAAATACTTAAGCCTGATGTTTCAGCTTAAAGGGGATGATTAAAAGGAGAATTGATGTCATGGTGTTGGATATACCCAAAGCTCCAAGGAGAAATACCATACTTGATCCCAGACCCCATTCTTCTAGGCTTCTTGGACTTCTTCTATTAAAATAACCTAGGTCTATCGATGGCCCCTTTCTGGTGCTGCCTCTATGTACGATGAACTCATCATGGTCATACCTCCAGAATCCACGAGCGTTCTTTTATCAGGAGCTCTCTGGCCCGCCTTCCATGTCATTCCCGTCTACAGGCTTGTTCGCACGGTTATTTGCTTTGAGGCTGAGCTTTGTCTGCTTTAATGGGCCCCCTTTCTTCTTACCAGTTCTCTTTACAAGATGGTCTATAATACAACCGTCTTCCCAACCGTCGCTATTCTCTGAAGTGATGGCCCGGCATCGAGGACAGGCCTTACCGTGACGTATAAATAGCTGGTGCAGCGAGTACTTTAGATTATCCGGAACTCTCACCTCGAGGTGACTGAAAGCGGTTATCTCGTTGGCTTTTTCTGGGGGAACCCAACCGAGCCATTTACTGAGGCGGAAGACGTGTGTATCGACGGCGAAACAGGGCCGTTGCAGACAGAATAGTATCACACAGGCTGCTGTCTTGACGCCGATACCGGGATACTTGACAAACTCTAGCATGGCCTCGTCCTTCGATAACGAATGGAGATGGTTGAGGGAGAGTACATGTTCGTTCGCCAGGGCGATTTCGTTTTCCTTTTGCTTCTCCGTCTCATTTATCAAGCCTGGAACTCGCTTAAGGTCAAGATCTTTTCCGTTTCTTGATTCGACTAGTGCGTCCCTCCGAGCCTTGTTCTCTGTATACACCATCTCGAGAATCTGCTTGATATAATTGCTCTTAGCCACGCCGAGACCACCGCATTTCATCGCTTCGTAGATATCCTCCACCGGTGCCCCGCGGACCTTATTCCAGTCAACACTCCCTTTCCCAATACCTTCGTTGAGGATGCCAAACCTGCGCACTAGACCCTGAAATGCCATGGCCGAATTGTTGCCTGTGGTCGCACCGCTAAGCAGTGTACGTATCAACGCATCAAGGATGCTAGGTACCTCCCCGCATCCTGATACAGTCAACGAAGGCGGTGGCACTGCCTTTGGAGCTATAACTTCTCCATGAACCGAGGACAGGAGCCTGTTGACCTTCTCACACTCTTCTATTGTTGGATGCTGCCACCCTGGAAACGGGCTAATTCCAGGCGTCAGACCGTATGGATTCCTGGGCACCCGGTTCCGACGAGGTTTCGATGTTACCGCTTCATTGGGAAGCGGCCCCGAGCTGGCATCGGTTGGTGGTGCTTCCGGCACCTGGCGGGCAACGAAGTCCTGCGTTGAACCAACCACAACGGCATCAAGGATATGGATATTGCCTAGATTATGCGGCAGTTCATTGATATCGGGAAGTAACCCTTCTTTGGTGGCCTTCTTTTGTAGTTCATTTGAGGTCACATCTCTCTTCATTGCCCTCTTTACGGGAGAGGGCGTGGGAATATTTGCCGTGGCTCGTCTCTTCAGCCTAGTTACATATTTAGGCTCTGTAGGAGGTTGTGAGCCATCTATATATGGGCCATGGTGATGTGGAGGTGTCGCGAGGCGACCGCCTTCGGATATATCACGCTTCTTCTGGGATAGGGAAGCTGGCTTGTTCTCGCTTCTCCCCATGATGACGAAGTGGGCAGAGAGGTTTTAAATATTCTTTCTATTAGAGAGATATAGCCTCAGCGTAACGCTCGTCTGGATGTTTCGGATGTAGATGGATCTCTGTGTCTATCTTTTCTATCGTTTAACTGGTCTCCGTTCCTTTGAACAGAAATATGCTGCTATATGCAACACTCTTTGTCCAACGGATAGCAAACGATAATTCTTGGTGTCGATATAAAATGAAAGAGGAGGGAAAATAAAGCCAGTGAAATAGATACTTCACTTAGTAATTCATGGGCAAATACAAAGAATATCATTAATGTAGTTGATTCTTCCAAATCAGTGATAAGAATATTCATTGTAAGACAATGAGAAAATAATCAAACGCTGATAAAAAAAAATCGTACTCCTATGATGTAAGGGACCGTCTATTCCGTCACAGCAGCTTGTCAAGTCGGTACCTTCACTGATCCATGGTTCAAGACTACGCTGAGCTTAAAGGGGAGCAAACATAAGAGTATAATGAATTTTGTCATATTTTGTCATCTACTAAGTTATACTGAATGGAGATATTGGTAGACGGCATGAATGAGGCGAAGATACAACAGCCTTTCCAAATAGAATATAGCAGGACGTAGAGAAGCAGAACATCTAGAGAATAAAGCCAGTACTAGAAGAGGAAGAGAGGAAGATGTGTAATAGCATTTTGCATTTGCATTGTTTTTCTCACCAGTTTCAGTTGTTGTGTGATACTTTTATTCTATCGATTTCTACCCCATTGTTTCACCCAGAAAATCAGACACAGGATGCAGTGCTGTAGCCTAGAAATTAGAGCAAGGCCAGCTAGGGCTAAAGAGTGTTGCAACCTCGCGGTATTTATGTGTATTCATAGTCATTTAAACGTTCAAATCATGGCTCTAATAGAAGAGGGAAAAAGGAAAAAGAGACGGCGACGACGATCGATTGATGGGAGATATCGCCGAGTCGGGTATGATTTAATAATCGCCAATGTTATGGAGGCTGATGTCCATCCTGTCCTTGACTTGAGGCGTTACGTCCGTCGACTTCTGATAGCGGTGACTATTCGCCTGCGCCTGCGGAGACGAAGTGGTGGTGTTAGCGATAGTGACATCCACCGGCTTGACTGTCTCGACCACAAGCGGTTTACCGTTGATATCCAGGTCAACCTTGCTAGAAGCTATGAGCAGATTTTCTTGACTCGCGGCTCCGTTGAGTACCGCGGCCCTAGCACTCTCGACTCTCTTGATCTTCCTACCCTCACCACGGAGCTTCTCTAGGTGCTCAAAGTATGTAGGAGAGACGGGGGTGGTGTATGTGCCGTTGAAGACACCGACTTCGAAGTTCACGGGCTCTGAGAGACCACTTTCAATACATATCTCGGCGCAGGAAGCCTTGAGGTCATCGAGGGTTTGATAAATGACGGCGTCCGCACCGATGTAGGCAGTTATGGCTTTGATGTCACGGTCATGAGCCACAAGCTCCTGTGGAGATGCCAGGTCGATACCGTAGATGTGGGGATGCCTATATCAGAGTTAACGATGTACATGATGCAATACAGGTGAAAGGACTGAAGAAGAGTAGACGCACGATATCTCAGGAGCGCAGCTGGCAAGTAAGACACTCTTTGCCCCGGCGTCTCTCGCCATCATGACAATCTCCCTACTGGTGGTACCACGAACGATGCTGTCATCGACCAGCAAGACGTTTCGGCCCTTGAATTCTGATGCCATGGCGTTCAACTTCCGTCGTACTCCCTTTTGCCGCGCTTTCTGCTCCGGCATGATAAATGTGCGGAACACGTAGCGGTTCTTGACGAAACCCTGGGAATACGGCTTATCTAAAAAGCGGGCGAGAGCTGCAGCAGAAGTATTGGAGGTCTCTGGCACAGGAATCACGACATCGATATCTTTGATAGCTTCTGAACCAAGAGTGGTAATGATTTGTTTCGCCAGTTTTTCACCCATGCGCTGCCGAGCGCGGTAGACGCTGATTCCATCAATAACGGAGTCTGGGCGGGCAAAATATACGTACTCGAATATGTCGGGCGTATAGTTGAGTCTGGGGTGCACTTGGCGGTATACCGGTTCATGGCCCTTTTGGATGATGACAGCTTCGCCGGGCACGATGTTGCGGTGGTTGGTGAAGCCAAGCTGGTCCAGAGCCACGGACTCGGAAGCCATCATGTAGTCCGTTCCGGGTCCACTTCGAGAAGGCCGTGAGCCGATAATCAGCGGACGGATGCCGTACGCATCACGGAAACCGAGCACGCCAAATCCTGCAAGCATCGCGGTGCATGCCCATCCTCCCTCGAGACGTTCGTACATCCGGCTGAGAGCAGCAAAGATATCCTCCCCATTCACACGTGCTTTCTTGGTCTCGTTAAGCTCATTGGCAAAGACATTCAGCATCAGCTCACTATCGCTGTCTGTATTGATATGTCGGTGTGCTTCATAGTCCAAGAATCTCTTGAGCTCTGGAGCGTTGATCAAGTTACCGTTATGCGCAAGGGTGATGCCGTAGGGGCTGTTGACGTAAAACGGCTGGGCCTCGGCGTTGGCTGAGCTCCCTGCAGTGGGATATCTCAAGTGACCAAGACTGATAGCAACGATTAGGTCGGTTCAAGTGCATGTAGAGGCGGCGAGAGAACATACCCCATGAATCCGGGTAAATCGGCAACCCGCTGACCATCTTGAAAGACTTTCCCACACATTCCATTGCCTACAACGATTAACTTAGCATGGTAACCTGTAGATATTAGGGGGGCTACGGAGAGAGTCACCCTTGCACTGGAAGATACGTCCGGCGGATGCGCAAGTGGCTATACCACAGGCATCCTGACCACGGTGTTGTAGAAGGTAGAGGGCTTCATGAAGGTCGACACTGGCCGCCTCACCTGTGTTGGCGAGGATGAGGGCTAGAATGCCACACATATTGCTGTATCATCCATCTCAGTTAGCCTGTGTGTATATAAGTAGATACTAGGATGATGTCTATATCCAAGTTCAAGCGTTCAGATATCGTTGGATTTATCCACAGATGTTTTTCAGTAGTCTAACATCCTTTTTCCATTTTGATTCATCCTACAATAAATAAAAAAGGGGGAAGAGATACAGTATGCGCCCAAGGAGAGAATCCATACCTGGTTGAGTAGAGAGTGTTTGCTGTTCAAGAGTCAGGTATTGTGGCAAAGGACTCGCCTATGATAACAGACTCATTGTGAGAACAGCAGCGCGCAAGATAGAAGTTCAAGCAGGCACAGCAGACGTAGTGCCAGAGTCAAGAGAATTCACAGCGACTGTGAATGCGAAGATGAAGCTGAAGTTCATCTTTTTCTTCAGGTGAAAGAATTTTTTTCTTTTTTTTTTTTTTTCCTTCAAGGAAGAAAAAGACTAAATTTGGAAGTTTGGACGAGAGCGTAATTTTCGTATTGGAGGTACAGACGTTGGTATTTTATTAGCCAGTCAGCGGAAAGTTTTTATTAGGGCTTGGCTTGTTTTGGCGGTAGGGCATGACTTGTGACAGTACGGTACGCGGTTAGTGGTGGATAAGTTACGAAACATCCAAAACATCAAGCTTGACAGAGAGATGAAGATGAAGAGGACAGTGAAGACAGTGAAGACAGTGAAGACAGTGAAGACAACTGAGATACTGTGTATTATGAAGAATAAGACATGTCTGGCCACAGGATAACCGTTATTTCTGTGAACAATGTTCCTGTTTATGTGTTCTGTGCTGCTCTGCTGCTGTGTTGCTCAGGACAAGCAACACAGCACAGCAAGCCTTCCCAGCCACCGGTGAGCTCTAGGAGCTAGAAATATATCTTATCCTCTGTTTCTGCTCTGGCATGACCTGGAAATATCATGGCACTGTCGACCTTCAAGCACACCCAACCAAGATCAAGATGGATACCCAGATGGCTCCGGTCATCGAACTTGATGATTCTGATTGTGAGAGCACCGGCACCAGCATTACCATAGGCAGAAATGAAAATTCGCCTCCCGCGTCTTCTCCATCTCCCTCTTCACCCTTCGGGCGGGATGACTTCATGTCTGATGAAGACTTCGACGCTTATATCAACTGCCTGTCGGGGAACGATGGCTCGCCGAGCCCTAGACCAAGAGCAGCAGCCCGAGGGACAGCCCAATGCCGGCGTATACCCACTCCTCGGAGGTCACTTAACGAGATCAGCTATGAGGGCCGGACGTACAGGCCTGGCAAGTTCATAGAACTGTACGACGGCACCTTTCTACGTATTAATCGGATCTTACGTTCGGACGGAGAGACTGTCGTCTCAGGGCCCAAGTTTGAAAGACTAGAGACGATGGATAGTCTGATGCCGGATAGACCCAACGAGCTATGCTGGGTGGTCAACCTTGGAGACTATAACAACAGCAACGCCACCACCAGTAATACCCAAAACCAGTCACATGTGGAGGAGGCAGAGGTTCCGCTGTCCGCCATCCGTCGACTGCGTATTATCAGAATGACAAACCAGCAGTATACCCGCAACACTGCTGAAAACAGAGACGATGATTTCCTCTTCTGTCGATTGAAGTATACTCGGACTTGGGAACGGCCTCAGACCTTGTCCGGCCGCAGTACACCTCGCATTGTGGAAGAAGCGATCACCTTTCTTCCACCAGAGGAGTGCCAGCCATCGTTTTCTGTCCCTCGTGCTTCCCTACGAGAGAACTGGCGTGGAAAGCTTCCCACTAGGCGACGGTACACCTTTGGAGATGGCTTCTGTGGCGCTGGCGGGGTGTCCAGAGGCGCACAACAGGCCGGCCTAAAGCTCACCTGGGCGTTTGACCATTCGCCGTCAGCCATGAATAGCTATCGAGCGAACTTCCCTTCCTCTCTCGCCGAGACGAGCGATGTGGCAGACTTTCTCACTAATAGTATCTGGGATATCATAGTAGACGTGCTGCACGCATCCCCGCCGTGCCAGCCGTTTTCTCCGGCAAAGACGATCGCTGCGGCACACGACGACGCCAACGAAGCGTGCTTGTTCAGTATCAGGAGGCTGGTAGAGAAATGCCGGCCCCGGGTAGTCACCATGGAGGAGACCAGCGGCCTAAAGGAGCGCCACGAGGTCTGGCTGTACGCCACCATACACTCACTGATCGAGCTGGGGTACAGCGTCAGATGGCGGCTCGTCAACTGCAAGGACTACGGCGTGCCACAGTCGAGGAAGAGACTAGTGATCATAGCTGCCGGCCCAGGAGAGGAACTCCCGCCGTTCCCTCCGCCCACCCATGGGACGGCGCCCGGCCTCCTGCCTCCGGTCACCATCCTCGACGCCATACGCTGTATACCCAGCACCGCCCCTGACCACGATCTAGAGCGGGCGGAGAGGCCCTTCCACCGTCCGCCCTACGACCCACGCCGGCTCGCAAAGACCCTCACCTGCTCTGGCGGCGACAACTTCCATCCTTCGGGCACCCGGACGTTCACCTTGCGAGAAGCAGCATGCCTGCAGACCTTCCCCATGAACCACACCTTCTGCGGCCCCGGGGTGATGAAGCAGATCGGGAACGCCGTGCCGCCCGTCCTGGCCAAGGCCATCTTTGCCCAGGTCGTCCGCACGCTCCGGGAGACCGACGCCGCCAACAACACCCAGGAGGACCCCATCACCATCGACTGACCTTCTCCGTGTCTTCATGTCTTCATGTCTTCATGTCTTCATGTCTTCATGTCTTCATGTCTTCATGTCTTCATGTCTTCATGTCTTCATGTCTTCATGTCTTCATGTCTTCATGTCTTCATGTCTTCTCCATGTCTTCTGCGTCTGACTACCAACTTCATCCTGGCCATCAACCATCTTATCTTATCTTATCTCTTCACATGTCAGGTGACTTCCCGGCTAGCCTCGGCCCGTGCTTTTCCAGCCTCAACCAAAAACTCGCAACTTCGACTTCTTCGACTTTCTTCTTCGTTTCTTCTCAACAAAACAATTAAATAAAAAAACAAGAACGTCCCAAAGAGGTAAGCAAAAACGCACTGCAGAAACACGCACTCCAAAAAAAAAGTCCACTTCGCGGGCTCCTTGTCAGGCTGCTTAGCTGTGCAATTGAGTGTCGGGGGTGGGCTGTTTTCTTGCTGGGTTTCTTCATGCTGACAGGTACATGATATAAAGGAAGAATGTCTGCCGCTGCTCCGCTCCGGCGCCTGACTTGCGCCCCACGCTCGCTTGCCCTCAGAGCCCGTCCTGCGCTTCCTCTGCGATCTCTGCGTCTGCCAGCTACACCATCACCAAGACGGATTTCTGCTCCCTTCTCGACCATGGCTGCTCTTTCGTCTAATGCGCCAGTTGCCCCGGCTGCGGCCCGCGGCTACGACCCCGAGATCAACGATATGGCCTCCTACATCCACAACCACGAAATCAAATCCGATCTCGCTGTATGTCGATTTTCTTTTTTTTTCGTAACCCCTCCATTAAAGCATACGAGTACATATGGTCTAACGGAGTCACTAGTTTGATACTGCTCGTTGGGTCTTCCTTGACACTCTCGGCTGCGGTCTCGAGGGCCTCAAGTTTGCCGAGTGCACCAAGCTGCTTGGCCCCGTCGTTCCTGGCACCACCGTCCCCAATGGCACCCGTGTTCCAGGAACTCCCTACCAGCTCGACCCGGTCAACGGTGCCTTCAACATCGGTGCCATGATCCGCTGGCTCGACTACAACGACTGCTGGCTCGCTGCCGAGTGGGGTCATCCATCCGACAATCTCGGTGGTATCCTCGCCGTGGCCGACTGGATCTCCCGAACCAACCGTGCCGGTGGCTCTCTCGGTAACGGCAAGGTGCTCAAGGTCCGCGACGTCCTCGAGGCCATGATCAAGGCCCACGAGATCCAGGGTGTCCTCGCCCTGGAGAACTCCTACAACAAAGTCGGGCTCGACCATGTTGTCCTCGTCAAGGTCGCCACCACGGCCGTTGTCAGCAAGCTCATGGGCTTGAACGAGCGCCAGACCGCAGATGCCATCACCCAGGCCTGGGTTGACGGCCAGTCTCTCCGTACTTACCGTCACTCTCCAAACACCATGTCCCGTAAGTCCTGGGCCGCCGGTGATGCCTGCCAGCGTGCCGTCAACCTCGTTCTCAAGGTACAGAAGGGCGAGCCCGGTATTCCTACCGTTCTCTCCGCACCGGTCTGGGGTTTCTACGATGTCCTCTTCAAGGGCAACAAGTTCGCCTTCCAGCGCGAGTACGACAGCTACGTCATGGAGAACGTCCTCTTCAAGGTCTCCTATCCAGGTGCGAATCTTCCCCATCCCAATTTTTCTCTTTTCTTTCCTTTTTACAGCAAGCATACTGACATATTGGCATAGCCGAGTTCCACTCCCAGACTGCCATTGAGGCCGCCACCAAGGTCAACGCTACCCTGAAGTCCATGGGCAAGTCTGCCGAAGACATCAAAGAGGTCACCATCCGCACGCACGAAGCATGCGTTCGCATCATCGACAAGCAGTTCAAGCCCATGGACAACTTCGCCGACCGTGACCACTGCATCCAGTACATGGTTGCAACCATGCTTGCCTTCAACCGCCTCGTCGCTAGCGACTACACTGACGGCTCCGAGGCCGCCACCTCCCCACTGGTCGAGTCGCTCCGCACCCGCATCCGCTGCGTCGAGGACCCCCAGATGACCAAGGACTACCACGACCCGGCCCTGCGCACCATCCCCAACGCTCTCACCGTCACCCTCAACGACGGCACCGTCCTCGACGAGGTCCTCGTCGACGCTCCTCTGGGACACAGGCTCAGACGCGAGGAGGCTAAGCCCGAGATCCTCGCCAAGTACAAGCGCCATCTCGAGGGACACTTCGACGCCTCCCGCGTCAAGCAGCTCATCGACCTCGGACTGGAGCAGAAGACTCTCGAGGAGATGGATGTTGATAAGTATGTTGACTTGTATGTTAAGGAGTAGCTGTCACCATAGATGGGGGGAATAGATTGTTAGTCTTTTGTAGTTAGCGAGACAAAACGCGCCAGTGTCATAGTACAGACATAGACCAAGTACCGAAACTAATAAAACAAATCAGACTTGATGCATAGAGAGACATAGATATATGTATAATGTGTACCGGGACGTTTTTGCTATGTTTGTTGGGGGGAAAATTAGCCGTCGAGATGCCGAGGTCCAAAAATGCGCAACTTCGCTTCTCCTCACGAATCCCTGACAAAACCCCCCCTGAAGCGCCATACTTGGGTTATTAACTGCAGCAGCCAGCAATCATGGAGCTCGTTGGTTCGGGAGGAGGTGGTGGAGTCTCCGAGACGTCCAGGGCACTGCATAAAGAGAGGCGCCTTTGTCTCTTGGGGCTGCCCTGGGGGAGACGTCGGTTCTGGAGCGAATAACCCAGGGTTTCTTCACCAGAAAGACACCAGAAGATAGATAGCTGAGAAGGATGGCTCTCGCCGGTGAGTGTTTCATCTTACCCAGCATATACACGGGATGCAGTACTGACTGGAATTTCATAGCTGCTGTCGCTGGCGGGACTGCGCTGGCATATCTCAATGGAAAGTACCAGCTGGCGTCCGATATATCGTCCATCATCTCTATGAAGAGAAGCGAGAGAAGGGCTGCTGCAAAGGGTACGAGTTACCGTATTATTTTCAACCCTGCTTGACTTTCAATCATGCTAAAACGGCTGGTAGTTGCTGGTGGCACCGTTTGCCCGTGGTTCCAATTCGAGGAGTCGGTAAAGAAATACCCTACTGTGCGGGCAGTCTGGACACGAGAGACATGCTATACATTCCGTCAACTACACGATGTCGCATGTCAGTACGCACATTACTTTCGTTCGCAGGGCGTGCAACCAGGACATCTTGTCGCTACCTATCTGCAAAACTGCGCCGACTTCCCTGCCATATGGCTGGCGTTGTGGTCAATCGGAGCCGCACCAGCCTTTATCAACTACAACCTCGCCGGAGCAGCTTTGCTGCATTGCGTACAGGTCAGTGGCGCGAGCCTCTTGCTAGTTGATAACGATCCTGCATGCAAAGGAAGGATAGAAGAGGAGCGTTCCAAAATTGAGAACGAGTTTCACATCACTCCGATTCTACTCGACGACGAGCTCAAGCAGCACATCGGCGCCTTGCCTACAACTGTCCCCGATGCTTCACTGCGTCGTAACATGGATACTTCATTCCCAGGCTGCCTCTTCTATACCAGTGGAACAACCGGCCTTCCAAAGGCCTGCGCATTTACCCTGGAGCGTCTCAACCATCTCTTCGGCACCCGGGCCTTAGGCGATACACCCGGCGGGCCTGATAGATGGTATAACTGCATGCCTCTCTATCATGGCACCGGCGGCATCAACATGATCGTCTGTCTAGTGGGCGGCGTGTGTGTCGCTATCGGCAAACGGTTCAGCGTCTCCTCGTTCTGGAACGACATTATCGACTCAGAGTCCACGCACTTTGTCTATGTAGGTGAAATAGCAAGGTACCTGCTTGCTGCACCTCCTTCGCCCCTAGACAAGGCCCACTCCGTTCGCTGTGCGTACGGCAACGGTTTGCGGCCAGATGTATGGGAGAAGTTCAGAACCCGCTTCAATATCCCCACTATTGCGGAATTCTTCGCCAGCACAGAGGGTATGTTTGCACTGCTCAACTTTGACCGTGGGCCGTACCTGTCTGCCTGTGTCGGCCATCACGGCCTTATTCTCCGTAAATTGCTACATAATGTCTATGTGCCTGTTGCAAACGACCCAGTTACAGGAGACATACTGCGTGATCCTGCCACCGGGTTCGCCACCCGCAGCCCTTACGAAGTCGGTGGAGAGATACTCGTCGCTATACCTAACGAAAAAGCATTCCAAGGCTACTGGGACAATCCATCTGCAACTTCGAAGAAATTTGCTCGTGATGTTTTCAAAAAGGGAGACCTGTATTACCGATGCGGAGACTCTTTACGACGCACCAACGACGGGCACTGGCATTTCCTCGACCGTCTAGGTGATACGTTCCGGTGGAAGTCCGAAAATGTATCTACAGCCGAAGTAGCAGTGGTGCTGGGCCAGTTTCCCGGCGTCGCTGAGGCGAACGTCTACGGTGTTACGGTACCGAATCACGAAGGACGAGCTGGCTGTGCTGCACTCTTGATTGAGCCACAGGCACTTGCTGGCTTCAAGTGGGATGCGTTCCTGAAGCATATCCGTGAGAGGCTGCCTCGGTATGCGGTACCTGTCTTTATAAGGCTGGTGGGTGTCTCCGCACACATACATAACCACAAGCAGAACAAGGTCGGATTAAGGGAGGAAGGGGTCGATCCGGCCAAGAGGGGGACGAAAACTGCTGGTGGAAAGGAGGATAAGATGCTGTGGCTGAAACCAAAGTGGGATACGTATGAAGAGTTTGGAGATAAGGAGTGGGAGACCCTGGTTGGAGGAGGGGTGAGGTTATAGACTCTTCTTTGCATCTTATGAGATGGGGGTTACGTAGGAGGGGAGTGTGGGATAGATAGAAAGACCTTACCTATATTAGCGTAAACGAGCACAGGTTTATGTTTTTGATTGTGTATATTCGTTCATAATTCCACACTCAATAATCTAAAAGGGGGTTACCCCGTGGTATACATAAAGTCGATAACATTAAAGGGAGACAGATTTATATATTCCTCCTATCCATGACTAGAAGTCTATATATTTCATTAGCATGATATCTAAACAATTGCCGATGGGTAATCAGAACTTACGGTCCTCGGTGTTTCCTTCGCCCATGCTCTTGTTCGAACTACTTCCGCTGAGAATAGATCCCAATACGCCGTCAACATACGGTGCTCCACTCCATTTCTGATGTGTGAGTACGTCGACACCCATTTCCTTTTCACGTTTCTGCACCAAGTTGACGTAAGACAGCATGCCGTCTTCTTTGAATCCACGAGACAGCTCCGTGGCCATCGTGGCGTTATAGTGCAGGCCGGCGAGGGAAATAAGTTGAAGAATGAACCTAGAAATCCAGTTAGCTATATAAAATTTCCCAAATTATATGATAAAGCTTTACTTACCCATGCTCCGCCAGATCCCAGATGAACGACTTCAGGGTCTGCTCGGTGAACCCTTGTCCCATCCAGTTAAACGATGGGCTTAGGTTGTATACCAGTTTCTTTCCAGGGTATTTCCTGCGAATTTTCCCAGCGAAATCTGCGGCTTTGCTAACATTGGGGTCTCCAGTCTCAACCCACAGGAGGTCTGCGTAGGGTGCAAATGCGATGGCACGCTTGGTGGCTGCTTCATTGCCGGCACGGTAGTGGTAGAAGCCTTCACGGGTGCGTGGAATGTCCCAGGACCAGAAGACGGGGTTTTTGGAATATTTGGCAGCTAGCTCACGGCGGGCGGAGATCGAAAGATCGCGGTTCTCCTGAACGTGGGATTTGTACTCATTTCGGGCGGACTCGGAAGCTCCTTCTGCGGCAAGGTGTTGGTCCACAGCTAGGTACTGTTAGTAGGCTATACTCAAAGAAAAAAAAAGAACCTCACCTTCGTCAAAAGTAACCAGTTTGTGCTTCTTGACCCATTGAGCTTCGAAGACATCAATCTCAGCACCGGATGCACCTTCCAGCTCCATTCTCTGCAGAGTCTCGGCCAATGGGTCGCCGTCCTCCGTCACACCGAGGATGAACTCGTGGTCACGCACATCGATGGTGCTGCTGAGTAGCTTGCCGCTCTCAGAGTCAGTTCGTGCAATAAGCAGGTTCTCAGTGCCCATGATATCCCACTGGAAGCGGGCGGCAACCAGTCTGTTGATATGTTCGGCAATTGGTACAAGAACCTTGCCGGCAAGATGACCACATTTCTTGCCACCGTGAAGCTGGTCTTCAAAGTGTACGGCCGCGGCACCGTTCTCAGCAAACAATTTGGCAAGTTTCATCACTGCTGTGAGGCCGCCGTGTCTAAACAATTATTGGTAAGCCAGGTATTTATGTTTTAGTCGAAGGGAACGGCTTACCCGGTATCACCGTCTGCAATGATTGGGCGCATGTAGTCGATATACGGCGTTGACTTGCGCTCCTCTGGCGACAGCTTGCGTCTTGCATCCCAATGCTTCCTGTCGTGCATGTTCTGCGCCTTGAAAAGCCGCTGTACCTGGTTCGGTACGGTGTTGTACGGGTAGTCTCCAAAATCCGGGGAGACCTCGTTGGTGGAGGTAAGAAGCGACGAGCACGCCCATCCAGAGATGTATAGCACCTCTTGGTTTGGTGCTTGCTGGGTCATCTGCACGGGGTCAATGGCACCCACTATAGGAGACACTCTATTAGCCAAATTCCATTTGTAATCAGCAGGGCTACTGACGAGTGTGAACTGGTTTGCCCTCCGCAGCTCGCTCGTTCAGCAGATTGAACAACTTCCTCGCCATCAGCGAGCTAGGATATGTCTGTTGCAAGGCTCCTCGCTTGCTCACCACCGCTTCGGCGGAATATGGCCTCTTGATGCCCTCATATCTGTCTGAAGCCCACCACTCGTTTACGGCCTTGACTTGCTCCTCGAACAGGGCATCTTCGGCCGCACCGGCTTTTTCAGCAGTCGATAGCAGCTGGTAGGAGTCTGCCGGAAGTGTCGACGAGACCGGAGGACGTACGGGAGGCAGCTGTGAGGCCATTCGCAGGCTGGTGCTGGAGATGAAGCGGGTTGCGGGGAGGGCAGGTTTCGGCTTGCAGAGAGCTCGAGGCAGCTGGCGCGAGACGGAGCGAAGCATCGTTCCTCTTTCTCTTCTTCTCTTCTATATCTTCTCTTCTTCTTCGTTTCTTCGTCTTCGTCTTCCTCGTCGTCTTCTCGTGTAAACATCAAAGGTCGTTCCAACTCTTCGGCGCTTGAGGCCGACGTGAAAATCCGGCCGAGGCTACTTAAAGTTTACCGCGGAAAACCGAGCCGTGCGCGAGCTTAAATTCAACCCGCAAGCGACTTTCCCAGCCCCAAAAGAGCGACAGTCAAGTTTGACCACCAACAAGACCAAACCGAACCAAACTCTTCGCTACCCCAGAGATACAATGGCCTTCACTGCGAGAGCTACGAGACAGGCGCTGAGGGCTGCCCAGGTAGGCTGTTGAAGTGCAATTGGAGGAAGAGTCGGGCTGTTTTTTTTGCTAACCCATGTGGTAGAAGTCCTCCCGCCAGCTGGGAACCCGGTCCTACGCTACCGCTGAGCCCGACCTCAAGACAGTCTTCAAGGACGCCATCCCAGCCAAGCGAGAGCTTCTCAAGCAGGTCAAGGCCCGTGCCGATGAGGCCATCGGCCAGGTCAGTGTTGCCAGCACCATTGGAGGCATGAGAGGCCTCAAGGCCATGGTCTGGGAGGGCTCTGTTCTCGATGCCAACGAGGGCATCCGTTTCCACGGCAAGACCATCAAGGACTGTCAAAAGGAGCTCCCCAAGGGCACCACTGGTACCGAGATGTTGCCAGAGGCCATGTTCTGGCTTCTCTTGACCGGCCAGGTGCCCTCTACCCCACAGGTTCGCGCCTTTTCCCGCGAGCTGGCCGAGAAGTCGCACCTCCCAAAGCACATCCTCGACCTCGTCAAGTCGTTCCCCAAGGATATGCACCCAATGACCCAGCTGTCCGTTGCCGTAGCTGCTTTGAATACTGAGTCCAAGTTCGCCAAGGCCTACGCTGAGGGTATCAACAAGGCCGACTACTGGGAGCCCACCTTCGACGACAGCATCTCTCTCCTCGCCAAGATCCCACGTATTGCTGCCTTGGTCTTCCGTCCCAACGAGGTCGACGCTGTTGGAGCCCAGAAGCTTGACTCCAGCATGGACTGGGCGTACAACTTTGCTGACCTCCTCGGCAAGGGTGGAAAGGAGCACGAGAGCTTCCACGATGTCCTCCGTCTTTACCTTGCTCTGCACGGTGACCACGAGGGTGGTAACGTCTCTGCTCACGCCACCCATCTCGTCGGATCTGCCCTTAGCGATCCTTTCCTCAGCTACAGCGCCGGTCTTCTCGGTCTTGCCGGTCCTCTCCACGGCCTTGCTGCCCAGGAGGTGCTCCGATGGATCTTGAATATGAAGGCCAAGATCGGTGACAACTTCACCGACAAGGACGTCAAGGACTACCTCTGGTCTACCCTCAAGTCTGGCCAGGTCGTCCCTGGATACGGACACGGTGTGCTCAGAAAGCCTGACCCTCGTTTCGAGGCCCTCATGGACTTCGCCAGCAATCGCCCAGAGATCATGGAGAACCCAGTCTTCAGACTCGTCAAGAAGAACTCTGAGATCGCCCCTGGCGTTCTCACTGAGCACGGCAAGGTAAACTCTATCTAGCATCCCTCCTTTTTACATCAAATACTAATGAAATCCAGACCAAGAACCCCCACCCTAACGTTGACGCCGCTTCCGGTGTCCTCTTCCACCACTACGGATTCCAGGAGCCACTCTACTACACTGTCACCTTCGGTGTTAGCCGTGCTCTCGGCCCACTCGCCCAGCTGATCTGGAGCCGTGCTCTTGGTCTCCCCATCGAGCGCCCAAAGAGTATCAACCTCCAGGGTCTCTTGGACTTGACCAACAAGAACTAAACACCAACAGCGCTAATCACAGAAACAGAAGAAAGGCGACATTTCGGGGAAGATGTAAACCATGAAAAACAGATTAACGACCAATAGACAGGGATGTATTGTGATTTACGTTATGTCAGAGAAAATTGTATAACTAAATGGTTAGGGAATGTTGCTCTATCCGCGTGTTTATTCTACCCCTTTGAGTTATATATTATTTGCTCTGTAGAATATCAAGTCATTTCATCTTAAGCCCTTGATCTGCCACCTCCGTAAACCGAAGTCCATCACTTTTTATACCTGCTCCAAGACTAGGCGGGACATCACTCTGTCCAGTTCCCCAGGCGCTCTCTTTATCTCCAAGTGTGAGTTCAAGCGTTCCGCCATTCAGGAAGAATTCGTGCCCGATCCAGTTCCGGGTATACTCCTTGCCATCCAGTGTTGCTCGTTGGATGTACACGTTCTTGTACCCGCTGTCAAAATTAATGTTACGTACAGTTGCCGTCTTCCCTGTCACTGGGTGCTTAATGCTGACTGCTTCGAAGAAGGGAGGCAGAATGAAATACACATTCTGTCCCGGGTTTGGGAAAAGGCCTATCATTGCAAAGACAGTGAAGCTCCCCATTGCACCCGAGTCGTCGTTTCCAGGCACCCCAGAGGTGGTGTCGTTGAAAAGGGAAGGAATATAGGTATGTGCACGTCTAGCGGAGAGCCCGGGGCGGCCGGCATAGTGATATAGGAATGTTGCGAGGAAGGATGGCTCATTGCCTATGTATAGTATACCCGACTCATGGAGATAGTCTAGACGAGAGACAAACTTTGATGGACCACCAAGGATATTGATCAGTGTCGACATGTCATGCGGGACGAAACTATAGAGACGGGTTAGTTTGGTGCGTAACTCTACGTTAGACTCGGGATTAGAAACGAACAATTGATTCTCCCATATGCCAGACTCGTACGTCTCCTGTGAGTTTGATGTTAGGGAACAAAATTGTGCAATGTTGCTGCATAGGATTGGATCCTGGTATCCCCATGAGCCATTCTGGTATCTCGGTTGAAAGAACCCAACAAAGCCTGTGTCCTTTCCATTGATAAATGATGTCTGGTCTGGCTTGAATAAGTTCTGCCAGTTTCCGGATCTATCCAGATATTTCTCGTACTCCTTATCTAGTCCCTTTCCTAATACCCCGATGCAGTAATCATTATATGAATACTCAACTGTCCGCGATATACTGCGCGTTGTGATTCCGGTTCCTAGGTAATCATAGTCTTGTGCGGGTATATAACCAAGGGCTTTCCAGCTCATTAGCCCTCCTCGTCCTTCAATAGACCAGTCTGGCGGTTCAACTTCAGCATCTTTGACAACAGCCTCATACGCAAGGTCCCAGTCGATTTTGTCTGTGACATTTTTCACATATGCATCGGCAATGACAACATCAGCATTGGACCCGCTCTGGGTAAATCCCTTGCATAAACTCATGCGGCAGTCAGGCAGCCAACCCTGATGCTTGTAGGTATCAAGGAGGCTTCGTATCATTTTTGCCAACACCTCAGGGTCAAGTATGGTGAGCAATGGCAGCTGCGAACGGAACGAGTCCCAAAGACTAAGCTCGGTTAGAAAGTGGTCCGTATTGTAAATTCCATCTCTAAACATACCAGTAAAAGGAGTCAAAATAAGGCTCTTCACTTTTCCAAAGTGGGTTCTCCCCAGTATAATCCTGCGGCGAGATCATTGTGCGGTATATTGCGCTCCAGAATGTTCGGTGGAAGCTGTCACTGGCTCCTCCAGATTTCACTGAGATATAACCAAACTTCTCCCTCCATACCTTTTCAGCATTGGAGCGGACTTTGTCAAAATCCCAATGTGGTCCCGGAATTTCTCTCTCTGCATTTTTACAGGCCTGGTCCTCGCTGATGAAGCTCATGCCCACACGAGCATTAATCAAGGTTGTACCGTCACTCGATGCCTGAAATTGTACAAAAGCTCCAGCCTTCACATAGAACAGATTAAATCCTCGTCCCACAGAGATAGACTTAGGTTGCGTCCCGGCTCGATTACTGATGTATATTCCGGTGTTTATCGCTTCTGCTCCAGAAAAATCAACGCAGACAAAGGAGTCGTAACTACCTAGTCCGAAGCTGGGTAGAAATGTTCCGTTTGCCTTAACTCTAAGTGTTTTCTCGTCCAGTGAAATGGCAGCCTTTTGTCTAGAGTCCTGCAGGTCGGTCAAGTCTACCAGCACCACAGGTGAAGTTCCATTCATGCCCGCATCATTTTGTGGGAAAGTAAAGTGATATAACGCTGTATGTTCTGTGACCGTCATCTCCGCATTGATGCCGTTATTCAGCTGCAAGGCAAAATACCCAGGCCGTGTTTTCACACTGTTTGCAACGTAGTGCACTGCTCTATCTCCTTTTGAGAATTTGCACTTATCTATGTCATCATCTTGACAAAGTTGGGGCACGAGAGGGAAATTTCCCATCGATGGCTTCCCGCCAGTTCCCGAGTCATGCATATGAGAGAAACCAGTTACGTTGCTACCATCCGTGGCAAAGCCACCGTAGTTTTCGCTGCTATCAACATCTGCCACAGCCTTTGCCATGCCATACGGCAGGCTAGCTCCAGGAAAGACATGTCCGCCATTAGTTGTGCCGATTAGTTGGTCGACATAATCGAGGACATCACCTTTGCTTTGTGCGGCGGCTTGAGAAAGAAGAATATAACAAGCAAGAAGAAAAGGGTATCCATATAGGACCATGAATGCCATTATTCTAGCTTAGCAAGTCTATGGCCTGCAGCAACAATGTAGTTGAGATGTCGTCCTGTATAAGGACGAGAAATACAGCGGCACATGAGAGTCTTAGAACTGCGGAGAACCTTCCCGGCATATGAAGCATGGGTATGCGGTGAAGGTACATGTACCACCATGTATACATAGTAAATGCCCTGCATACCATTCTGTCAGCCGGCTGCCCGTGAAACAGGGATTGCCAGCGAAAATTATGGGATCTGTTGTGTAGCAGTTACACGGCGCCATGAATCATTGGTGGTTTGTCCAGACAAGATTGTACGATCATCCGCGCTACTTGGTAGCCCCTTGTCCATTGTTCGCCAGCATGATGATACTGCTCTGTGTGTAGCATTTTCAGCTTTAGGATACCCTGGGGCAATTTCAAATTGGAAGATGGGCCACGTATATTTCTAGAGTATTAGCCCGACTCGGCCGGTCTCCACTGCACGAAAAGGTGCACTCCCTGAGTATTTAGTTATCGTGTTATATCGCCCGCTCTGTGGTGTATGTGTCCAAGGTAAAATTCCAACCTCATGCTCGTCTCGCTGTACCAGAAACAATTTTGCATCAATCCATGAAGACGATGCAAAGGCTGAAGGACTACCTGAGTCTTCTAATGTAGGTAATACCTTAAATAACGTTAACTTAAGCCTATTAGTAAATAACTAGTTAATTACCGCGTACGAATATTACATACCAGATGTTTGAAGATCTCAATGGTGCAAAATCAATGTGTATTCGGCTGCTCTATTGTTATTGTATGAACAGAGCTCGAGGCCCAACCGCCAGTCATACGATGTATGTGTGCGTTCATAGTAAATAATGGCAGGGAAGGCGAGCTAGAAAACGTGCAGCTCTGCGTGGATCCGAATCGCTGAGCCCCTGCAAACCAAGTTACTTTTAGTGAAGTCTTGTTATTATCAGCTATGTAACGGCTATATGGGAGTTTACTACTCCGTACACTCCATATTGCCCTCTCTCTTCACGTCGACACCTCAAATAAAACCACAGCTCCAGATCGTTAAGCTGAGAGAGAATTCGATATTCTGCTCCATGCTCCGTAGATGCAATTCTCCGGTCCTGCATCGTAAGCTGATGGCTGGTTGTCGGCTTGAAAGTCGAGGATGGACAGATATTACCCAATTAGGAACGCCAATGTAATCGATAAGGAAAATTTCATTTGCTGACTCAGCATGTTTCGCCCCTCATGAAAAACATCGAAATATATTTTTCTCCTTTCTGTTTCTTCAGCGTTTTTAAGGGCCGGCGGCCATGTCATTTGCTTCTGTTTCATTGTTTTCTAGTGTTTCTATTATCTGTATTGTCTTTTCTTGAATGTGATATTTCCGTTGCTTTCTTTCGTGCGCCGACACTCTCCACTCCCGCGCCTTGGACAGGTTGGGCTTTCAGTATCACAATAAAATGCCCCTCCTCGAAACCGCACCCATGCAGTCAGAAAGAATTATTCCTGTAGCATTGAAAGCTGCAGATGGAACCATTGGGGATGATGTTGCATCTCTGTTGAATACCGTATTTGAAGCGCAATCATCGCAGCAAGCGTTGGACGCTTCGTACGCCCTTACCAACCTCTTGATCAGCACCGGCAGCGTTCGATGCCTTCATAATTACAACGTCATCCAAGAAATAAAGAAGGCTGCGGCAGATAAGAAGAATGGCGCGAGGAGGGAGAGCTCCATGTTGATTCTGGGAGCTTTGTTTGAACGATATCCTCTGGAAAACCCGCTGAGTGAGGTTGTCTTCCTCCTTGAGGATGGCGGCTTGCTCTACCTTGCATTGGATCTACTGGCAGATAAGGGTGCAGTCGTGCGAGAAGCAGCCCAATATGCTATTGATGCCTTATTTGCGTGCCTAAAGGAAGAATCTCTTGTCCACGCCCTTGTCGAACCTCTTTCTCGATATCTAAGCAAGGCTACCGGGAAATGGCAGGGAACAATAGGAGCATACAAGCTGCTTGAAAAAGTGGCAAAGAGGGCTGAAATTGGCACAGAGAGTAAAGAGAAGGAAGAGCTTAAAGATCATCTACGACTCACCCTTGGCCATAGGCTGAAGGATTTGATCCCTATTGTTGAGAGTGGAATGCATGACTTGAAGGCAGAGGTTGCTAAGCAAGCTGTGAAGACCATGGCAGCACTCTCTACTGTCCTTGACAATGATGATGTTGCAAACCGAATTCCGTTGTTGCTCAAAACCATGGAGAAGCCGTCGACCGAAACTCTCCAAAAGGCCATCCATGCGCTTTCTCAAACCACCTTCGTAGCGGTTGTTACATCACCAGTCCTAGCATTGCTTACTCCTCTACTTGAACGATCTCTTAATACCCCAACTACCACTCAAGAAGTCCTCCGCCAAACCGTTGTAGTCGTTGAGAACCTTACCAGGCTTGTCCATGACCCCATTGAAGCCAGGACTTTCCTGCCTAAGCTGAAGCCTGGTGTCCAGCGTGTCAAAGACGGTGCTTCTCTTCCAGAAGTACGAGAGCTTGCTACGAGAGCTATGAATGTCATTAACAAGGCTATGGGCGATGATGAGAACGGCGTCAGAGATTCTCGCGTTACAACCGAGCAGGTTGAAGCCGTCCTCGACGAACAAATGAAACCTTACACCAAGTTCAGCCAGTCGGATGAGAAGCGTTTCTGGGGAATTAGCAGAACCTATATCGCCAACATGGTCCGAGACGATGCCAATTCCCGGCTTCTCGATCGTATTCCTGTGTGTGTTGGTCCATATCTCCGATCTTTCGTCCCTGATGGAAAACAGGATGAGATTGCCGCAGCTGTTAAGGCTCATTTCGTTGCAGAAGATGAGCGCCGATTTGGTGTTCCCGTCAAAGAGGATGACGGGGAGATTGAAATTGTCAATGCTAACTTTTCCCTTGGTTACGGTGGTCGACTCCTCCTCTCACACGCTAATCTAAGGCTCCTGAAAGGTCATAGATATGGACTGTGTGGTCGTAATGGTGTCGGAAAGTCCACTCTCATGCGCAGTATTGCTAATGGCAAACTTGAAGGGTTCCCGCCCCAAGATGTTTTGAAGACTTGCTTCGTTGAACACAACCAAGGCGAGGATGCTGAATTGAGCGTTTTGGAATTCATCACGAAGGACCCCGAGATGGCTGCGGCCGGAGAGGAGAGGATCTCTGCTGCACTTAACGAGGTCGGCTTCACCCCTGGCCCAGAAGGTAGACAGCAGCAACCCGTTGGCTCTCTGTCTGGTGGTTGGAAGATGAAACTGGCTCTTGCCAGAGCTATGATTATGGAAGCCGACGTTCTCCTACTTGACGAACCTACCAATCATCTGGATGTCGACAATGTTAAGTGGCTACAAGAATATTTAAAGAAACACACAGAAGTTACCAGCTTGATAGTCAGTCACGACTCCGGTTTCCTAGACGCAGTCTGTACAGACATCTACCATTATGAGCAGAAGAAGCTTGTTCACTACAGGGGGAACCTTGCAGAGTAAGTTACTATTACACTACAAATCTGCGTCCGTTCACTAACGTATAGCTATAGTTTTGTCAAAGTCAAGCCGGAAGGAAAGAGTTATTACACCCTTTCTTCTGTCAATGCAAACTTCAAATTCCCCCCTCCTGGCATTTTATCTGGAGTCAAGTCTGCTACTCGCATCATCCTTCGCATGACCAACTGTTCCTATACCTACCCTGGTAGCAGCAAGCCATCATTGGTCGATGCAAGCTGCGCTCTCACGCTGTCTTCTCGAGTTGCTATTATTGGCGGCAACGGAGCAGGGAAATCTACTTTGATGAAACTGCTCACCGGTGAGACCATTCCACAGACGGGGAAGGTCGAAAAGCACCCCAACCTACGTATTGGGTATATCAAGCAGCATGCGCTGGAGCACGTGGAAATGCACATGGAGAAGACTCCTAATCAATATCTTCAATGGAGATATGCGAATGGAGACGACCGTGAAGTTCTTATGAAGCAAACCCGCATCCTCACTGAAGAGGATAAGATCCAGATGGCCAAACCAGTCGATATTGGAGATGGAAAAGGGCCGCGCAATATTGAAGCTTTGATGGGAAGGCAAAAGTACAAGAAGACTTTCCAATACGAAGTGTAAGTTCATACCCTAGCATAAGTATGTCCTCCCTCCACAGGCACTAATAGAAAGTAGTAAATGGAAGAACATGCTCCCCAAGCACAATACCCAGATCTCTCGTGAAACGCTTTTGGAACTCGGATTCCAAAAGCTCGTCCAAGAATTCGATGATCATGAAGCATCGCGTGAAGGTCTGGGATACCGAGTCCTTGAACCCAAGGTTATCTCCAAACATTTTGAAGACATCGGCCTCGACCCTGAGATCGCCAACCACAACGAGATCGGTGGTCTTTCCGGTGGACAGAAGGTCAAAGTTGTCCTTGCCGGAGCTATGTGGAACAACCCCCATTTGCTCGTGCTGGACGAGCCCACCAACTTCTTGGACCGCGACTTCTTGGGCGGCCTTGCTGTTGCGATCCGTGAGTTTAAGGGCGGTGTTGTCATGATCTCCCACAACGACGAATTTGTCGGCGCACTGTGCCCTGAAAGGTGGCACGTTGAGAATGGCCGGATGACCCACGCTGGCACTACGGCCGTGGCACTCGATCGATTCGAAGATCAGTCGCGCGCTGCTAGCACTGTGGCCAGCAGTGTCGTGTCCAGTGCCGCACCGTCCGCTGTGAATTCGGGTGCTGAAGATGGAGGCGAGCTAAAGTTCAAGGCTAAGAAAAAGAAGAAGATGACCAGAGCTCAGCTCAAAGAGCGTGAGGTCCGCCGCAGACTACGACATATCGAATGGCTGAACAGCCCTGCCGGGACTCCTCACCCACCAGATACTGACGATGAGCAGTAGTTCGTCGTCTTATAATTTTTTTATATCTTATATCAAAAAGTACCCTAATCTTTGTTCATGTTTGCAGTTCGGATATCTCACGAGTTATGCCTTGTTTTCTATTATCTATTTCTGTCATATACAATCAGGTACTCATTTTCTAGACACCAAAAGGCGGGAAGTAATTAGATAGAACGTATGGATCATCGGCGTTGTCCTGGGGTTTTTTTTCATTTCTTCTTCTCTTCTTTTCTTTTTGATAGAGGTCTAAAAAATAAATTGGATTAAGTCTTTCGCATCAATGCTTGTATCATCGTCAACTAATCCATCTGCGCATATACATCCAGTGCCTGGTGCAGCTTTCCAAAGATCCCACCATGCCAGCCCTTCAAGGCCTCCCATTCTTCGCTTAGTAGCATCACTCGACTCATTTGCAGCCAGCCTCCGATAATAAAATCCGCATAGGACGGCCTGTCACCCATCAGGAACGGCCCGGTGGTGTCTCTCCTATACATCTCTGCCAGTCCAGCCAGGGCCTGCTCGTAGGACCTAAGCATCTCGTCCCTCTGCTCCCCCTCAACGCCCAACTCCTCCCACGGCCTGCCTGCCCTCCTCGCGAACTCTGCCCTGATCTGGTCCTCAGTGGCAGGGTCAAATGGTATCGTATGTACCATCAGCGGCACATGCGCAGTAAAGACAGCGTCGACGTTGGTATTAAACTTGACATATTCCTGGACGGATTCGTCCACCTTTGCCTCTGAGATGGGCGCAAACAGCACCGGGTTTTGTCCATAGACAAACTTTAGATCCTGTTTTGGGAACAAGTCTCCTCCCGACGACGGGTACTGTGCCTGTAGGTATACTGCGATCTCAAAGGAGTCACCGACTATTCGACCAGTGGCCGGGTCAGAGAGCATAGGGAGAGTGTGATAGGGAGATCCATCAATGAATGTGCGTGAGGCAGGGATGTTGAGAGCGCCTCTGACGCTGCTGATATCGAGAAAGGGGACCCAGGTCGTCTTATAGGGCGTTTTTTTGAAGTTCAGGGCATATCTGGACTTCCATGGGTTGGGCGAGCTGGCGTTGTCTAGCACTGGTGGTGCGAGGGCGATGTCATAAAAGATCATTGTGGACGCAGGCAAAACCATGGTCTATATTGATTTGATGAATATGGACTGTTCTGTGTGCTTGCGAGTATCAAAATCTAAGGATTGTCTATGGAATACTCCGTACTTATACATTTATATATGCCTAGTTAACTAGTTAGTGGAGTGCTGGGATGAGCGAGAAAGACTCATGAAGACTCATACATACGTCTTACTAGGCCAACTGTTATTATTATGCAGAACATCACCACCAGCATAGCGTCACCATCGTCAATACGAACTTGTCAGTTAGTCGATAAACCGAATTTCGATCGCTTGTGAGTTATGCCGTAAAAGGCGGACTGAATGCAACATCCGCTCAAAATTATGTTTTGTTATCAACCAGTTAGTTAACGAGTTCGTTCAATAGTTATACAACTAGCCAATGTGTAAAACCAGGACAAGGAGTGTAGTCGTTAGATGGCTGGCCTTGTTACCCACTCTTTACAAGCCATTAATCCCACATCCTTAGCTAATTATCCAGGGCAGAGAGTATTTGGCCCGCACCGTAACACTTCCTAGCATGCGTAAGAAACTCGCTTTTTGACATGGCACGCATGCTTCTGTTACTGAAACTCGTGCCCTCAGCTCTATCTTCCTCCCCTTGAGTAGGGAGCTCGTCGGCCTTGAATTGAACAAGCATCCACTCGCACCCTTTACACCAAAGACCATGCTCAAGGGTGTTGTCTGGCAGCAAACATGGAAATTGTATTGATGCCATACCACTGAACTCATCTGGTTCTCGCTCCAATCCATCTTCCGGTAACAGCCATGATGGATGACCAGTCAACGGTTCCAAGGGAGGCTCTAGTGCCTTTATTGCGGCATAATAATCACAAGTCATCCAGTTGGGCATCCTATCCCATTCACGCATTTCAGGAGTTATTATACTTTTATCCACAATCGGCATCGTGCCATTAGCCCTTGCAAGTTGCACTACAGCCAAGACAGAAACGAGCTTCGGCCGCCATGACTTGTTAATGTTTTGTTCCTTATAAACACCGGGAATGCCCTTCATCACCGCGAGCTTTTTAAGCTGGCGCGCCTCGAGTGAGTAGATCGTCTGGGCCCTCGGAATAGGTATCACCCAGAACGAGTGGTTATATTCCAAGCACATATAACAGCACCGCTCACAGGTCGGAAGAAACAAGAAGGGGCCGAATCTCTCACACGCGACGCAAGCTTTGGACCGCAAGACGGCGTGTAGTTTATCGGCTGAATGGTGGCGGAGGAGATTGGACTGGCCAAGTGCCTTGAGGGTATCTGGTGCATATTTCATGAGGTCACGGTATGCTGGTAGCGACTCGACTGTGACTCTGCCTTTGCGGGACACACGCGAAAGGCGAGATAAAGATCGGAAATCCAATAGATTCAAGGCATTGTGTAAAATCTCGAGAGATAGAGGATCTAGAAGGCCGAGAGATGATGGACCAGAACGGCGCCGGAGAGCTGATGGTTTGGCTGGTTTATCGACCGTGATCATGAACCCAATAAGGTGGTCGGGGCGATGGGCTACATGTAAGAGTACATCGTCGTCGCATGCTGTGGACATGGCAGCGCCAGAGTGCTGTCTTTCTACCGTTGAGGCGTGTATATAGATGCGAGGGATTTTACCTGCAAGCGGAAGAGCTTTGTATTTAAATAAGCTACATCCACATAACTAATAAGCTTAGAGCGAGAGGCCTTTTTAGGTATAATTTTTTTTATCTTATTAGCAAGGTATATATTTATTACGTATAACTACAGGGTTAAAATGCTATTGAAGTCTTTGGGCGAATCAAATATTTTGAATTGCTTGAAATATCTTTGCATATAATACAGAATACCCAAGATATAGTAATTATTTAAATTGAAAATTTAATCGGCCTCCCAAAAGTTTGTAGGGCCAGTTTTTTTAAAATCCTAACGATTTTGCAAACTAAGAATGAATTATAGGACCTCCAAGGATTCTGTCTCCTCGCTTCAAAGGGCCATCATCGTCATCGTTAATTGCGATACTGTCGTTGGACCGCTGTGCTAGCTTCTTCTTATCGTCTCTCATCGCAGATATTCCTCGAGACCAGTCAATGCTATTAATGTACATGGCATTTGCAAACCATCTATAGCTATCAGCGTTCAGGACAGCATCACGAGGGTTTGCAGCCGCGAGAAGTATGACGAGGTCAGGCCCATAGGCTACCTCTCCATCAACTTTCTTATCCAGGCACTCTATTCCGCCCTGTTAGCGATACCAGTCGATATTGATGGTAACATGGTTGAGAACGGAAGAGATACCTCTGAATACCAGATGGCATAGTTCATGGAGGAACGTCCCAGCAGTCGACATTGTAAGCTTCATAGGTTTCCCTTCCATAATTTTTCTCTCCGGATTCTCTCCCTTCCACGGGGCGAGGCTGTCTTTGCGTTTTGGCCATTCGAAAGACTGGGGGCAGAATGTGATGGAGGTAGCATCCCCAAATGTGGTGTAGGCTAAAACTGTTCCTGTGCATGTTATGCTGTTGATTCCACCAACGTATCTTTTGTAAAGTGGAGTCCACCAGAGAGGTGAGGGCGCTGTAGAAATTATAATGTTTTGTTATCAGAGGTGGCTAACCCATCAAGCAATATGTATAGGGAATTCACGTACCTTTAACTGTTGTTAGAAGCTTGCCAGTTCTCCTCCCTGTCCTCATGTTATACAGCCATCGGGTCTTCCATGCCCATTTATCAGAGCAGAACAGGCCAGGGTTCAAACCATTATGGGTGTTATGGGAATCATCGATGATCCCTTGGAAAGTATCTAGATTGTGTATGATGCCTCGTTAGCACAATTATACCATAGGTATGCGTGGTTAAAACAATATTTCTTAAAGATGAACATTATGGTACCATTATACCTCACTTACTCCGCACAGTATTGAGAAGAGAAATGCTTTCAGCAGCAACCAGTGTTGGATCAGCAGAATCCGGTTGAATTCCAAAGAAGGATTTTAAAGTGGCCCTGATAACCTTATCTGTGGCATAACTATTAATAGCTTCGATTGACACGGCTGCCATATCGATGGCCTCATTGTAGACGGCTTGCATGTCTACATCAAGACCTTCACATGAACCTCCTGTGTAGCGGTCTGTCCGCGTGATTGGCCCCAGGCCCATCTGAACCCGAAATCGTGAGTAGACATCGACAGAGGCAGACAGGGACAGTAAATGGGTAAACCAGACAATGATCGCAAACCAAAGGGCGCCAGGTACGCCTGCAACCCTCATCTTTGGGTGAAGTAGGTGATAAGTTTCAATTTAGTTAAATAAAAGAAATCTAATAGCCCTTTGAAGTATACAACCAGGCCGGCTTCAATGGGTACATATACTCTTCCTTTTTGTCTTCTGTTGTCCCCCCTTTTCGGCATCATATCAGTTCAGATGTTATTAGACCAGGGTACATGCCAAATTTACAGTCTCCCCCCCTTTTTTGCTTAACTATTCCTCTCTGTTCATGTAGTTAATGCACGGTGTATTATACTCCGAGTAAGGTTGTAGTCCCGCGGATGTAACTGGAAATGCAGCCATTGGATAGCATCTTACTTGCTCATAGCGCTCTATTGACCGCTATTATCACCTGCCAACAAGGGCCAGCCTTGACGGCGTTGCTAGACCGCAATGGTCTGGTCATTTGAAAGGGTATCTCCGAAGGCAGAGTACCATGTTGATGGTATATAATAACATGATTAATCTGTTAAACACAGAAAGCTCTGGCTTGGTGGGCACCAACTATAACCCATACAAGCAACTGTATGGCTTTGCTAACCAAGCTTTTGCAAAGATGGTACGGAGTAGGAACCTTTTATTAAGGTGGATATTGCTGCCTTCGCTCAGGTAAGGACTTGCATAAAAACTAGTACTCCGTAGTTAAGGGTCAATAACGGGAAGTTATTAACTAGTCCGCTGTAGCTACACAACTAGGACGTAGACTTGTTCGTTTTCGGAGTGATACTCCGTCTTTTATAAGAACGAGGGCTAAGCTTTGACCACGCGGAGCCGCGGGAAGTTTCGCTTACGTAACTAACTAAAACCACTTTGAGCTTTTTCCTTTTTTGAGACAACAAGGTATGATGAAGGTTATATCAGACTTCATATCAGAACCCGCCTCACGCAGAGTACTGCTTAAAGGACAAAAACAAAAATACTCTAGCGGGAAGATATAATACTTCCTACTGGAGCAACGAAGTTTGCCGTTGGATTATGGATACATGATCCGTGTCCAGGCCCTGCATAAATTTACGCCCTTTGTTACCCCATAACTGCCCCATCCTCGAGGCAACCACTCGCTCCAGACCTTGAACACTGCACAGAAAAATTACCACAGAGCTCCCCACCAGAATTATAACTAGTTTCCGAAATGATTCACAAATTACCACTGACACGTGAAAGCGTGTATGGAGTACGGAGTACAGAGTATACCCAGCATGGCATGACATGTATTTGAACACCTGTTCCTGGAAACACCTGGGCTTCTTGAAAAGAAATCTGCTTGGGTCTGGGTGAAGTCCGAATGGCCCCGGCTATGATATCCGAATTGCTAATCCCTGGGGTTAAAGCTTAGTTATCATTCTGTCTGATTCTCCTAGCCCCTGCTAGTTACTGATTCAACCGCGTTTATAGAATGATTGAGCCTTGGGAAAGCATGGGCTGATACTGACTTATGGCTAAAGGGATGTTAATGCAAGGATAGGCGTACAATAAACGGCAACTCGCTCTATGTTGCCTCGGGAGAGCTTGTTGTTAGTTACATCGCTTCTAGGGGCAATGGCCGAACTCCCAAGTACTTAAGGGACTGCTCCTGCGAGAAGTGCCAATTAAGTGATCATCTGCATTTCTCATACTCCAATTTCTGCTAAGATGAGGTCGTTATTTTTGACCTTGGCCTCTTTATACCTTTTTTATCTCCAATTGGTCTCCTGCGATAACATCGCTTGCGGGCCAAACAATCAATGTGCCCTTGGCTGTTGCTCAAAGAGTGCAAAGGTATGCGGTTATGGACCTTCGTATTGTCATAAAGACAAGTGTTTAGCGGAGGGTAGCGCACATGGAACGTGTAGCCAGAAATCTGAATGTGACCCAGGTGTTTATCCAGGCTGGGGAGAAAATTGGGGTAGGCTATTCTTTGTACTTGCATTCTTTCACCTTTTTGGTCTAACTTTTCCTAACAGGATCGGATTATGCAAATGCGACACATTGTCCGCTCAATGTCTGCTGTAGTCCCTACGGATTTTGCGGCACGACCAAAGACTTCTGCGGTGATGACACTGTTGCAGAACCTCGTTGTGGGGGATCATCCGCGACAAAACGAACTATTGGGTACTATGAAGGTTGGAATCTACAACGTTCTTGTGACACAATGGAACCTGAGGGGATTCCCATCGGGGGTTACACCCATATCAACTTTGCTTTCCTTTACATTAACCCTATAACGTTTTTGGTCGAACCAATGGTAAAAAACCAGGAAGCACTCTATGACCGCGTTGCTGCCTTGAAAAAGAGGAAACCAGGTCTAAAGGTATGGGCCTCCATTGGGGGATGGGACTTCAACGATCCGAGCCCGACTTTCCGGACCTTTTCACAACTAGCGGCGTCACCTTTTGGTCAATTTCTATTCTCCCAGTCGCTACTGGCATTTCTTGAAGCGCACGGTTTTGACGGAGTGGATTTAGACTGGTAAGAATTCCAATAGTTGACCTAAAACCTAAACTGACCGCACGATTCTTCTTGCCCTCATTCTAATAATTATTTTGAATTCAGGGAATATCCAGTTGCTTCAGAACGAGGAGGGAGTGATGTAGATTACGATAACTATGTTTCATGGCTTGCAAATCTCCGCGTGGCTCTTGACGGTGCTGGCAAGGGATATGGACTGTCCCTTACTCTACCAAGTAGCTATTGGTATCTTCAGCATTTCGATATTGCTAAAATGGCTAAGAGCGTTGATTGGGTGAGTTTTACAAGATATACCTCTCCGAACATACAACTAATATTGTTACCAGTTTAACATGATGTCCTACGATCTTCGTAAGTATTCTAATTGATCATTTGGGAATTCGAAGAGAATCTGACGATAACAAGATGGCTTGTGGGATCAAAATAATAAGTGGATTGGTTCTATTGTGAACGGTCATACAAACCTGACGGAAATATCCCTTGCTATGGACCTCCTATGGAGGAACAGTATCAAGCCTGATCAAGTTGTCATGGGGCTGGGATTTTATGGAAGGAGTTTTACTCTTAAAGATCCTTCTTGTGGAACGGCCGGGTGCCCCTTTTCTTCTGCAGGTAAGCTACGAATAGACCTACCTTTAATATGATTTGATATCTGACTTGACACATATAGGGAGACCCGGAGAGTGTACCAAAAGCGCCGGTACTCTGTCATTTACTGAGATTGAGGCCATCTTAGCTGACCCAAGGCGTGGTGCAAAGAAAGTTTATGATCCTGTAGCGGCAGTGGAAATCGTAACTTTCGACAACGACCAGTGGGTTAGCTATGATGACTCGAAGTCTTTCAAGGCGAAGATGGACTATGCCAACTCACATTGCATTGGTGGGTAAGTGTATTTGCCCTGAAGCCCGTTTTCCTGAGATATTGTCTAACTGTTCACCTTTTAATAGCACACTGGTTTGGGCCGTAAGCCTCGATAGCGATGGCACCGCTACTAGTGAGTCAAGCTTACTACTATAAACAGATCAATATATTAAGCTAACCTCATCAAAGATGCTTTAACGGGAACAACAAAACCTTTTATTGATGATGATGGGTCAAATGGCGGCAGTGGGGATGTCTATATAGGGCCTGATCTTTGGGAAAATTCGACGCATGTGGTTGCATGCGAACCTCCTTGCACTATGGTGTTGCCCCCATTCCCTATAGAGACACCAGTCACGGTAAACTGGCCAGCCTACACGACATCCGTTCTATCTAGCTCTGCTGGGACGACCTACACCAAAACAACGGTTATCAATATCCCGCCATTTGTTGTGACTGAAATACCGGTCTGGCCTGTGACCGTTGCAGAGCCTGGCTTATCGGCACTGTTTCCACCTAAACAAAGTATCGCACCGCCACCCCTTATATTGACGCTTCCTGCCACCGAAGCGGTTTTCCCAGTGACACATCCTGAGCATACCAAGACTATCACTACCCCATCAATGCCGGACCCTACAACCTCAGGCTCTGCTACCATTTCTACCCCAGCCGCTGTCCAGCCTGGGATGGTTTCCGGCTGTCGTGAGTTTTATAAGGCTATGGCGGGGGATAATTGTTATGGCATTGCTACATCCCATGGCACGACCCTGGAAAAGTTCATTGTAAGTTTACTAAAAATTCATACTACAAAAAGATCCCAACTGTTCCTATACAAGAGAGAATATTTATTTACTCGCCCACTCGCTAGGAATGGAACCCAGCGGTAGGGGCCGACTGCTCGGGGCTTTGGGCAAACGAATACTACTGTTAGTTGCATCCTTATTATTCTTCTTAATTATAATTCTAATATGGCACAGGTATCTCCGTTGGATCTGATTCTACTATTACCGGCGGTTCTACTTCTGGCACCGCGTCATCCACAAGAATACCGCCAGTTTTCCACACAACAGCCCACACTATCACAATCCAACCGCAGCCTACTTTCACTTCGATTCAGCCACCCACAAGAACAATTCCACCTCTCCAATATGTGGATGGAAAGCCGCCTTCTAGCGGAGGTTGTACTGGAGGAAAGCCTTTATCCGGCTGCGGAGTTCACGATTGCACTCTTTTTGGCTGTGGTAATAAATGCGGGCTCTTGGGGTGTGATGGAGGATGCGGACTGGGATTCTGTGGAGGTGGCTGCGGCTTAGGGGGGTGTGGCCCAGGATGCGGTGACGGTAAGCACTAACCTTGTATATGAAAAAAGAGACCATATCTAAGACGTGCGATTCTAGGAAAATGCATAGGACCTGGAGGAGACGGGGACGATTCCGGAGACGACGACACTACTACTACAACAACAACCTCTTGCACGAGTTCTATGACTACTACGACAGCGTGTGATACAGCCTGTTCTGATTCTGAGGATAAGGCCTGCGAGACTATCTGCGACACTGTGACGGTCGGAGGGTGTCAAAAAGATGAACCTCTTTGGCTTCAGATTGAAACTCCTGTAGCTGATCCCTGGCCTTGGTTGGATGAGAGCGATGAGGAAATGCTTTCAAAAGCACTCTCCGTTGCCTCCTTTATCAATCCACGACTTACTGCGATAGATCCAATAACGATTGATGGTACGCCGTTCACCGCAGGACCCGCTCCTACCACCACCAGCACACCCGTCCACACCGAAACGTCAAATTGCAAGGTGTGCACCTCGACAGAAGGGCAGAAAACATCTTCCTGCACATTTCAGGATAACTGTACTCCAACGCCGCCACCTAAACCAGAGCTCTCTGCCACTTGCGACTTCCGCAGTAATTATGGCGTTGCCTACCGTTTCACAGTCTGGAATATTCGGGGATGGGCAAATGACCATGGAATGGCCCTCAAACGCGAAGAAGATGGCTGTGCCACTCTAAGCGGGTGGGTATTCAAGGAGGCCACGGCGGAGAAAGGTGCAAGTGCGAGCTTTAATCTGGACTATTTCATCAAGGCAGGGTGCGTTGAGCGAGCCATCGTGTCGGCGGGTGGGCCCAAGGTAGAATGCATAGAGATAGTAGATTTCAACGCGGCTAACCATCCGGACAAGCCGTTGCAATCGCCAAACGCCACTAACACCACTACAACCAGAATCAGGGCATTGAGGGGCAGGGGCTCCGCAATTGTCTAAGTCAGTTGCCCATTGGATACCCGCACGCTGTTACATAGTGCTGTTACCTATTCATATCCCTATCAAATCCAAGAATCTGGGTACTCTATATTGGGGGGGCTGAGTATACAAATAGATACACGAGAAGTTTTCTCATCTACGCTGTATATGAGTACATCTTGGCTATGTCTCTATCAAACGAGAATATATGGGTGACTTGCTGTCGTAACGGCCAAATCTAGAGAACAATACCATCGAGATGCATTTCTTCAATGTTGCTCTATACACTCTTCGTCGCGATCGCACGATGTGATTGGATAAAGTCTGCTTAGTAAGTATATCTATTGTGAATATCTTCCAAGCTGATTGGTTAATAAGTAAACGCGTCAGCCCAATCACAGGACAGAGTGGAGAGAGCAACCAATAAAAGGTCATAAAACTAGTACCAGCCACACATCGACATCCTCCGTCAAGAAGAAATACAAGTACAGAAGATGCAGCAGCGAGATGGACGATATCTTGGTCGAGTGGTGTACGAGTGTGTATGTGTGTATGTGAGCGTCCGCAGTGAAAAATGCAAGCCGCTCATCTCCGAGAAACCAGCGGAACATGACATCATGAGCGCTTCTTCGATGGGGAGAAAGAAAAAACTCTGCTTGGCCACAGTCGATCGACCAGGATGGCGGATGTTCTTTTTCCGCCCACACTCTCAAGTCGCATTGCCCAAGACATACGACTTGGACGGAAGACGAGACGGAAGACGAGGCAGAAGGACAACCCAAGGGCTGATCTGGGTGACGCTCCCAAGCCTGTGAAAGTTGCTTCGTATAAAGATAGCAAGCCGTGCAAAATCTCTGGTTCTTCTCCACCAAGAAGTGGATTTTTTTTCTCCTTCCCTTCAATATATTAAACATCATCCCCAGGCGGAGAGGCTTTGAGTGTATGCGACGCCCATGTTGTATGCGTAGCACCAAGTACTACCCAGAAGCGACACCCAGACACCAGACACCAGACACCAGACGGTACCACCACTGGAGAGTCCCTTTCGATATAAAGCCGTAGATGGACCATAGCTTGTCTATACATTGCTTTCGACCCGTTGCCGGTGAATCCCATATGCAACAAGCCCGAGATCGATCCCCGTCCCAGCCATAGACACTGTTATACAGTGCTCTCCTTTGCCCATCAGGCATATCGCCAGTAGCCGAATCCCAATTGCCCACTGCGACCAAAAAGGAAGAGCAAGGATGGACGAGAGCATCGGCCCCAAGGTGGAGAGATATCCATCTCCTCCCAGCTCTGGGGACGAGAAGGGGTCCGTCGACAGCGATGCGGCCAAGCTGGCGGCCATGGGCTACACCCAGGACATGACTCGCAAGTTCTCGGTGCTGTCTCTGCTCGCCGTCGGTTTCTCGCTCACCAACTCGTGGTTTGGCATCTCTGCCTCCCTGGTGACCGGCATCAACTCGGGCGGCGCGGTGCTGACCATCTATGGCATCCCGTGGATCGCATTCATCTCGACCTGCGTGGGCATCACCCTGTCCGAGCTCGCCAGCGCCATGCCCAATGCCGGGGGACAGTACTTCTGGGCCAACGAGCTCGCTCCCAAGAACTATGCGAACTTCGCCTCGTACCTGACCGGCTGGTTCGCCTGGTCCGGCAGCATCTTCACCTCTGCCAGCGTTGCCCTGGGCCTAGGGGCGGCCGCCGTGGGTATGTGGCAGATGGGCCATCCAGACTTGTAAGCTATCTATCCCGTTAACTAGTTAGCCGTATATACGATGGAAAAAGAAAAGCTTCATGCTAACAGGTTCGATAGCTCCCCCCAGCCGTGGCATACGGTTGTCGCATACCAGGTGATAAACGGCTTCGCCTTTCTCTTCAACTGCGTGGGAAGGCTTCTCCCCAAGATCGCGACGGTCACCCTGTACACCTCCCTGATCTCCTTCATCACCATCCTCATCACCGTCCCGGCGAAGGCGCCCACGCACCAATCCGCCAAATTCGTCTTTGCTACCTTCATCAACTCCACGGGCTGGAAGCAGGATGGGATCGCCTACCTGGTCGGCCTGATCAACACCAACTGGGTGTTTGCCTGTCTCGATGCCGCAACACACATGGCCGAAGAGGTCGCAGCCCCTGAACGGTCGATCCCCATCGCCATCATGGGCACCGTCGCCATCGGCTTCGTCACCGCGTGGTTCTACGTGATCTCCATGTTCTTCAGCCTGAACGACTTCAACACCGTGGCCAAGTCCCCGACCGGAGTCCCCATCCTCGAACTGTACTTCCAGGCTCTGGGCAGCAAGGCCGGCGCCATCGTGCTCGAGTCTCTCGTCCTGGCTACCGGAATCGGCTGCCAGATCGCCTCTCACACATGGCAGTCTCGCCTATGCTGGTCCTTTGCTCGCGACCGCGGCCTCCCTTTCCACACCTCCCTGGGCCTGAACACGATCAACCGGAAGCTCGATGTGCCCCTGGCCGCGCACTCCTTCAGCTGCGCCATCGTTGGTCTCCTCGGGCTCTTGTTCCTGGGCTCCTCGACCGCGTTCAACAGCATGGTCACTGCATGCATCGTGCTGCTGTACGTGTCCTACGTCATTCCTGTTGTCTGTCTGCTCATCAAGGGCCGCAATAACATTCCTCATGGACCCTTCTGGTTGGGCAACTTTGGCCTCGCCGCGAATATAGTTCTGCTTGCCTGGACCTTATTCACTCTGATCATGTACTCTTTCCCTTCAGTCTATCCCGTCACCGCTGGGAGTAAGTTTGTCCCCTTATCATCATTGCCTCCTTACAAGAAGCTTGCATTTCTAACGCCGTTACAGCGATGAACTATGTCTCTGTTGTCTACTTCGTCGTCATCGTCATCATCGTTGCCGACTGGTTCCTTCGAGGTAAGCGGGAATACCGTGGTCAAACCGCCCGGCATGAGGATGCTGAAGTCCTGCATCGACGCGGTAGCGTTGTACAAAACTAGCTGTCTCATATCGAGACTTTTATATAGTACATAGCTTTTTCTTCCATTTCGTATCTTCCTAACGATGGCATTAGAGGGTCTCACCGTGGCGTCTGATATGGGCCTTTGTATATCCTCAATACATCCACGAACATAACTAGTTAATAAGTCTGCAGCGGCTGAACAGACGTGCAAACGCACCTATAGCCTGTCCTCAGAAGCGAGTCTGTCTGTAGAGACTTGTCCCTCCGTCTTGGACTTCTCTTGGACTATCAAGTAGTTTATGCTATCATTGGTGTTGCCGGAAGCGAACTCGGTCGCCGCCACTTCATGGCTGAGCAAGCAAGTAGAACGATGTAATATAAATATCTCTAACAACATCGTCCATCCAACGTCCATCAAGTAGATAGTACAGCTGGTCAAATTGCTGGCTACTTGGTATTATCCCTTTAATTATAGGCGAAACTCGTCTTCTGTCTCTTACCATGGCCGGGCAAGGCACCTTTGCAAGCGTCAACAGCCTTGGACTGAAGTTGCTACAGCTATTATGCGACAAGGAGACTCCAGACGGAGGGATTGCAGTCTCTCCTGCATCGCTAGGTATCGCTATGGCAATGTTAGCAGGCGCTGCTATACCATCAGAGAGCGAGAAGATGTGCAGTGCGCTGGGCGTGGATGAGCCAGAAGCGCTTGATGCCCTATACCATAGCCTCAAGAGATGCAAAGACACCACCGCCGCAGCGAATGCTATATTCGCGGAGAAGGGAATAACGCTGCACGACGAATACACCAGCTTTCTCCAACGATTCGCGGTCATGACGAATATGGAGTTCCCACGCTTGGTCGACGGGCTCGAGACTATCAACGGCTGGATCTCCGACAACACGATGGGCATGATCCAGGATATGATCAGCAAGGACAGCATTGCTCTATCACATATCGTCCTTGTCAACGCATTATCATACAAGGGCACATGGAAGGAACAGTTTGATCCGAAAAACACTGCCTCCGAATATCCATTCCGGGTCACGGAGTCAGAGACTCGTCCGGTTGACATGATGTTTCGCTTCAGGGAGAACATCCTAGTCTACGAGGCAGTCAACTATACAGCAGTACAGCTACAGTATGAGGCCGAAAGTCCAGCAGCAGCAACGTCATTTATAGCTTACTTGCCGCGTCCAAACTCGTCCATGCAAGAAGTTTTATCCTCTATCCCTCCCCTCCAGGGACAAACTCGATTCATCTCAAAGAAGATCGATAGGTTTGGGTTCCCGAAGGTCGAAATGTCCTCTGGCATGGATGTATTTCCTCTCTTCAAGCAGATCGGGTTCCATATCCCGCGCGATTTCCCGAAGATGGGTGCGGGTAGGAATATTCTTCAGAGCATCCTCCATAATACAGCCGTCTCGATTGACGAACATGGGACGCGGGCGGCTGCATGCACTGCCGCTTTGATGACGAGGTGTGCGGCAGGGCCACCGACCGTTCTTATCTATAATAGACCTTTTATCTTCTCTATTGTGGCGGATGTTACAGGTGCAGCACTGTTTACAGGCGTGTTCTCTCCTAAGAGCTAAATGCTCCTTTCGATCCAGCTAGCATAGTTACTTTATATTTAACTGGGTATTGTTACATGATAAAGGCATTAAGTATTAAAAACACAAACTAACGTCGCCTCGACGGTTTCTTGCTACGAGAGGGGTATCTCCGGTCAGTTGCACAACCAGAATTTGAGGCCTCAGCCTCGCTAGTAGTATGGACAGTGTCACCAGAAGCAGCAGCAACAGGGGCAGAGATGGCAGTGTTTTGTGCGGGAGGAGGTGCCCTAGCGGACAGCAAGCTTGAGGCAGCCTGGGCTGCGGAGGCCAAATTATGAAGGGTAACCCCAAGGTCAACGGGGGGATTAGGCAGCCCAGCGAGGTTTGCAGAAGCAGCGGCGGCTTGGGACAGGCTGTATAGAGTTGCCTGTAAAGACGGCTGCGTAGAGGGGTCGAAGGGAGAAACGGCAGTACCGGTAGCTGGCGGAGCGGTCGACGCGGCGAGAGCGGATGGAGAAGGCGGAGATAACTCGACGCCTGCTGTGTTTTCAGGTATACAGGGTCAGCTCTGGAATATCAATCGTGGCCTGGATGTGGTGATATTTACCTCCCTCAACGCTCTGCCGCGCCGCTGGGGTATTTTGGGTAGCCTTATGAGTGCTATAGAAGCCGTGTTAGCTTCAATCCATGCTCGTTTATGAGAGATCAGTTTTGGCTAGCTACCAATGCTGTAAAATAGCACAAACAGCATTGACCAGGCCGAAAATGGTTGACATCACCACACAACATAGAAGGGCGGTCTCCTGCCACTGCTTCATATTGTAACTATTAGCGGTTGCCGGCTTGGAATGACTATTTGTGTATTTCATCCCTCCTAAGCCGCTGGTGGCGTTGTGTTTTCAAAACAATCAAGAGGAAGAAGGAGGTAGTTCTGATAGTGCTGCGGTGCTGTCCTGATTGGGAAAAAGGCCTACCTTCTGCTATAGCGGCGGAAAAATCTGCTATTCCGCTCTATAAAGTCCTCAATAGTGGAAGCTAGCGAGCTAAGCGTGATAGCAGATGCCCGTGGTGCCCTAAGAAAACATCCATAGCATAGCTCAGAGTCTCGTAACGCAGGCCAAGGACGAGCACATGAAGGGCACACATCCAGGGCCGATGAAGTGACCGCCTTGGGCCTGCACGCCGCACATAGCTCAAGAACAGGATATCTTGCCTGTCTATGTAGACATTCTGCGCATCGATCAGAGGCCGGAAGAACAGCTCCTTCGGCCTTGCTCAGGACGATGGAGTTGTCCGGGGGGTATAGGCCTCTGTACGCAGGCGGCTGATCCGACATATTCTACCTCTTGAATATTATTATAGATTTATATGTAGTATCCGGGTATTGTTTTTGTGTGAACGGGGTATAACATATCAATATCAAGTTACTCCCAGCGGCGAGGATGATGCAATGTATCCGGCCCAATATAAAAGACTAATAATGGTACCTGGTTGCGCCATGAAGTAAGTAATAGATATATTCCATGGTACATTTGCACAGAGGTTAGATATCACTAGGTCATCAATGTATCCTAGTGTTTCTGCTGCTTTCATAGTCAATATTACCAGCACGACAAGCGAAAATCCATCAGGTTATAAAAATGTATTTATAAACCGCACACTATTGGGCAACAGACGCGCTGAGGCTTAACCAATCATGTAGTCTATAGCCGCGAAGAAACCTTTCTCTACATTACATAATAGAAAAATGCGATATTATTGGCTTATAGGGCTTAGTGTTATGCTTATATAATAAGTTCTTCCAACGTCATCGCTTTTTGTTTTCATCTTTCTCTTTTACGATTATGCCTGCGGAACCAACGTTCAGAAACGCGTCTTTATACTAGAATTTACCTAGTAGTAAGAGTCTAGAATTTGCCTGGTATGGCCTAATGCGTCATAACTTCCATACCCTTATTTATTTCTTGCCACTTGGAGCTATAAACTACCATTTGCGGTGTATATAGCCTAAAATGTGGCCGTTAACTCTTCACCCGTTTATCCTTAGAGGATAACCCGCTATAATTTGTCTATTTGATTCAGGGAATCATCCGGATACATGTGCTATAACGGTTATTGCCAAAACCGCAGGCAATTGATATCCTAGGCTTGCTTTTAGCTCTGCATGTTGAAGGATGACGATGAACCTAAGAATTGGGGCTTAATACTGATTCAAGCTTTGCAACGCCGGAGCGTCCGAACTGGACGGCAGATCAGCGATGGATAAGCCGAAGGATGTGAGGATTTCGGGTCCATCATGGCTCAAGAAGAGATTCCTTTCTCTGATACTTTTTATGATAGCTGTTCTCCTGGCGATAATCATTATCTTCCTAATTTGGGGAAGTCAGGAGAACCTCGTCCGCCCTAAACTAGAACGGAAATACCGTGTCCCTGACAGAGTGAGCTTTGTTGAGTTGTTGCCTGACAAACCTGGATGTTCATAGGTGGATATTAACACCGTTCCATTAGATATCGCCCACAAGGCACCGGACTCCACCAGGTAAGACAGTGCCTGGTTGGAAAAACAGCTATTTCAAAGCCCAAGCGCTGGTAAATAATATGACCCTGGTGGAAAAAGTAAATGTTACAACCGGAGTAGGTTGGCAGATGGGACTATGTGTCGGGAATACCGGTTAGCTTCCGCATTATCCCTAAAAAGCATTACCATGGTCAAGCTAACTTTTGCTCATAGGCCCCGCCACAGAAGTCGGGTTCCCGTCGCTGTGCCTTCAAGATGGTCCGCTAGGGCTACGTTTTGCTGACAACATAACCGCCTTCCCTGCTGGCATTACTGTTGGGGCTACCTGGAATAGGGATCTTATGCGCAAGAGAGGCGAAGCCTTGGGAAGAGAAGCTCGACGAAAAGGGGTAAACATCCTTTTAGGTCCGTCTATGGGGCCTTTAGGAGTCCTTCCGGCTGCAGGGCGTAACTGGGAAGGTTTCGGCACCGATCCGGTTTTGCAGGCAATTGCGTCTGCAGAAACCATACAGGGAATCCAGAAGGAAGGGGTAATAGCAACAGCAAAGCACTTTGTCTTAAACGAACAAGAACACTTTCGACAGCCATATGAATGGGAAATACCAGAAGCCATGTCTTCTAATATAGATGACCGTACCCTACATGAAGTATATGTCTGGCCATTTGCTGAAAGTGTCCGTGCCGGTGTCGGTAGCATAATGTGTGCTTACCAGATGATCAATAACACATATTCCTGCAGCAACGATCGGCTTTTGAATGGTATCCTGAAAGATGAACTGGAATTCCAAGGGTTCGTTCAATCAGACTGGTATGGCCAACAAAGTGGCGTTGCAAGCGCACTAGCAGGAATGGATATGACTATGCCGGGAGAATTGCCTCGCTCTGATCCAGGAACATCCTTCTGGGGGCCTAATTTGACTATGGCCATTCTAAACGGCTCTGTTGAAGTTGGCAGATTGAACGACATGGCGACTAGGATAGTAGCTGCATGGTACCAATTAAAACAGGATACATGGGAACGACCACCACCTGATGGAGATGGAGGCCCAAACTTTTCATCCTGGACGAAGAACAAAACCGGCCATAGGCATGAAGGGAGCCAAGATGATGACCAATTGGTGGTTGTTAACCACTATATTAGGGCGCCGAATGAGTGGAAGGATCCCCATAGCGATCTAGCTAGGGATATTGCAACAGAAGGCACAGTACTCTTGAAGAATGAAGATGACATATTGCCTCTATCCAAAAAAGGTACCACGTCAGGTAGAAAAACGAAGGTGGGAGTGTTTGGAGAAGATGCTGGTCCGGGAAAGGGACCAAACGTTTGTCCAGATAGATCCTGTAATCAAGGTACGCTTGGGTCTGGATGGGGCAGTGGCGCTGCTGACTTCCCCTACCTTATAACGCCATGGGAGGAGATTAAGAAATCCTACGACCACAACGATGTCTCAATAAATGAATACCTTTATAACGGCATCCAGGATAACGACTTAGCCGACAAAGACCTGTGCCTCGTCTTTACAAATGCGGATTCAGGTGAAGGGTTCGCTTCTTTCGACGGCATTGACGGAGACCGAAATGACCTGTTCCTCCAAAATGACGGTAATAATTTGATCAGACAGGCCGCTGATAAGTGTGGGGAAGGCAGGGGAAGCACCATTGTGGTTCTTCACTCAGTTGGCCCAGTCATACTGGAAGACTGGATTGACATGCCCGGAGTCAAGGGTGTTGTCCTAGCAAATCTCCCTGGTCAGGAAAGCGGTAGGGCGCTTGTGGATGTTTTATTTGGCAAAGTTGATGCGAGCGGGAGACTCCCGTATACAATCGCAAAAGATCCCGAAGATTATGGCCCCGAATCCAAAGTTCTATATGAAAGCGAAGATCCAGTACCACAGAAGAATTTCACCCAAGGTTTATATATAGACTATCGATACTTCGACAAAAACAACATCACCCCGCGATATGAATTTGGGTATGGTCTATCATATACTTCTTTTCAACTATCAGATCTCAAGATCCGCCTTTTGAAAAAGAAGTCCACGAGCCCTCCTAGATTGCCGTCTGAAGTGAACGTAACATTACCGGGATATAATGAAAGCATCCCAAATCTAGATTCGGCCCTTTTTCCTAAAGGATTCCGGTCATTATCAAAATATGTTTACCCATATGTTTCCTCCACTGACCAGATTCAGAAAACAAAATATCCTTACCCTGCTCGGCATCATCCCGAAGATGTCTCACCTGCCGGTGGCGGCGAAGGGGGCAACCCTTCACTCTTTGAGCCAATGGTCGATGTCAGTCTCTCTGTCAATAACACTGGAAAGCGGGCCGGTAAAACAACTGTTCAGCTTTATATATCTTTCCCAGCCGGTGTCAATGAGTCAATAATGGAAGATGGGAAAGATAACAATATAATACCGGTAGATTTTCCTGACCGCGTGTTACGGAACTTCCAGAAAATCGAGTTACAGCCCGGTAACTCAACGAAAGTGACCTTGTCGCTTACAAGAAAGGACTTGAGCTATTGGAGCATTTATCAACAAAATTGGATAATGCCTACAGCAGGGAAATTCAAGGTAAGGGTTGGCCAGAGTTCAAGGGATCTACCGTTGACTGGTGCATTTTGAATGTTCTAATTGCGTTTTTCGATGATTCTGATACTCCTTGTAATCCAGGCTCGGTAACCTGTGGCGTAGATGTAGTATTCCAGCTGATGTTGTATGTATAGTACTATGTAATATATGTGATCCTAGTTATCTTATGCGTCTTCTTCCATGTCAAAAAATCGACCAGCCTATTAGAAAACAGCTTTAGATGTTGGTCTCCTGCGGCGCTGCGAGAAATACCTCGAAGTGACGGTAGGGCCTATGGGCGTTTACCGATTTGGGAGTGTCGAAATATCCTGGCGACATGCTGCATGAGTTGCTGCGTGAACACCCTGGAGTCGTTACATTGTAGTCCATACGGAATGCCTGGGGATTTCGCGCAACATGTACCATGTATTGATGCAAGCCGTGTACACGGCATGGGTAATACGGAGAAGAGACAATATTTCCATAAATGGTTAATCAATGATCTGCCTATCAATTTATGTACACTTGGTCAGATCCAAGTCGGAACTGGATCACCGCATTGCAGACTGGTTTTCACTGAAGAGTAACCCTGCTATGCACTGTAGTATAAAGGAGCAGATCCGCTATTGCTATAATTTTACCCTCGTCATAGCCATCCTCTCTAGATAAACCGGTTGAGTTAGTTGGTCATACCGCCGCTCCTATCTTGTGTGAATTATACCTCCTGCTGGAACCACGATAGCCCATCAAGATGGCAGCAGGCAGCACGTCGGAATTCGACACGAATGGAAATCCTGCCACTGCGTACAAAATAGACCAAGAAGCCATGTTCAATGGACATAATAGGAAGATCAAGGTATTAACTATTGGAGCCGGTATGAGCGGGATCATGATGGCGTATAACATTCAGAAGCATTGCCAAAATGTCGAGCATGTGGTATACGAAAAGAACCATGATATAGGAGGTACCTGGCTGGAGAATAGATATCCAAACTGTGCTTGTGATGCCCCAAGCCATGCATATATGTTTAATTTTGCTCCAAATGTTGGTATCATTCCATTCAGACAAGTTATATACACCTATACTGAATACTGATTGCTGGAGATATCCCTAGCCCGAGTGGAACAATATATATTCGTATGCATTAGATATCTGGGCATATCTAGATAGGATATGCAAGGTCTTTGATCTCCGCAGATATATGACCTTCAATACGCAGGTCACAGGCGCCTACTGGGAAGAATCTCATGGCCAGTGGAGGGTAACGCTCATTCAAACTGCGCCGGATGGCAGTCAGAAAAATATTGAAGAAAAATGCCATGTTCTGCTGAATGCCTCAGGATTCCTTAACGGACATAAGTGGCCAGACATCCCCGGTTTAAGCAAGTTCAAAGGAAGGGTAAGAAAGCCCCGAGTGGCCTTTATCTACCGTTCATCTGTGCTAATGATGGACAGATGATTCACACCGCAGCATGGCCAAAGGACTACCAGACCGAGAAGTGGAAAGGAGAGAGTGTTGCGGTAATCGGAAGCGGAGCATCAAGTATCCAGACAGTCCCTGGGATGCAGCCACACGTAAAACACATGGATATATTCATACGAACGGTCAGTGAACACTCTCAAGTGTCTGTTCCATAGTTAGACCTCAATCTCCATAATCCATAGCATCAAATTTAATCCAGGTTGAACGTTTATCAACTAACTCCATTTTGGATAGGGAACATGGTTCGCAACTATTGCTGGGAACAAGGGGGATAATTCAGCCTATTCGGATGAAGAGAAGATGAGGTTTAGATCTAGTCCTGAGGCGTTGATAGAGCATTGTAAGTCCTGGGAAGATCAGATTAATAGCATCTGGGGAATGTTTTATAGTGGAAGCCCGGCGCAAGAGGCTGTCCGCCAACAGTACGAAAAGCGAATGATCGAATCCATCAAAGACGAGCGCCTACTGAAAGGTCTGTCTTGCCTATCCACATGCATGGCTACATATTGATAACTATTATGCTAGGTTTCATGCCTTCGTTTGGCGTAGGGTGTCGAAGAATCACCCCTGCCGATCCGTATATGGAGGCCATCCAGGAAGACAATGTTGATGTCCACTTCACTGCCGTGTCAGAAATCACAGAAGATGGGCTGATCGGTGCGGATGGCATTGAAAGAAAGGTGGATACGATCATATGCGCCACAGGCTTCGACACTTCGTACCAACCCAAGTTTCCATTTGTTGGCCAGGGGGGCGTTGATCTTCGTGAAAAGTGGAAGACATGCCCAGAGTCGTATCTCGGCCTAGGAGTCCCTGGGTAAGCTTTTGTTGGTGAACAGGATAGCCCTTCATGGGCAATTTACATTTGATATTATGAGCAAGATAAAAATAGCTAACTGCTGGCGAGTTAGGTTTCCTAATATGGTGTCGTTTTTCGGCCCTACATGGCCCGTACACAATGTATTTAAACGACGTTATTCCTTTTTTCCCTCTTCTCTCTGCGTCAATTTATATTATTTGATATCTGACTTTCTTCCGACAGGGATCGGTGATAGGCCCGCTCCTCGAAGCAGGCAACTTTGCAATCAACTTTATCCGCAAGATCCAGAACGAAGAGATACACTCAATCAGCCCAAGACAGGATGTTACCGATGCCTTCAACGAGCATGTTCAGGAATGGGTCAAACATACCATATGGGCAGACAGCTGCCGTAGCTGGTATAAAAACAACGAGACAGGCCGTGTCAATGCAATATGGCCTGGCAGCTCGGAGCATTTCATAGAACTGATCAAACAGCCACGATATGAAGACTATGCAATCACCTATCGGAAGAAGAACATGTGGAGTTTCCTGGGGTTTGGAAATGTTCCAGCAAACGTCACGAAGGGAGCTGATCGAAGCCCGTATATCTCTGTGGATGCGATTGATCCTGCCTGGCTGAAGGAGATTTGTATACAGCAGAGCGGCTGATTGGCGGATCCCGGGCACTGACGAACATGGACATGCAGTTATGTAAGTGCAAGGCTATGGATGGATTAGCTGGTATATATAGAGCACCGGCTAGAGTGGCTCTCTTAAATAATTGCCCCAGGCAGCTGAGAACCTAAGCTCTTCTTCATTGTCTTAACTTACATGGTGGGCTGGGAAAACCGAACACCTCAAAGACAATGTCTTAGATGCACATCTCGTAAATGTACATTCAAAGTTGTATCTGCATTAGATGGCATATGGAGTAAAATGTACCGAGAGCAGAGAGATATAATGGTAACCGTCCCACCTTTTATCAGCTTCTCTGCTATTTCGGTATCCCCACCCCGCTAAACTACTAAATAACGGGTCGTCGTTGTTTCACATTTGGCCTTCCATCGCCACGAACCACGGCATTGTGCATATGCGGAGAGCTTCTGCTATATGCCCATTGGATCTATTATCTGTAGATGGAGACACAACTCCGGAATGGCAGAGGTAGATATGTACGGTACGTAGTGGATACGAGGCCTGGCAGTTGCGTACGATGTACGATAGATAGAAAGATATATATAATCCACCAAGTCTGTCCTTGGTTTGCACTTTGATAATTTCATTCTCATTAAAAATTCGCTAGAAGACTCACCTACAGGCGACTGTTCCTACTCAGACAAGATGAAGATCTCTTTCATCACTGCATTCTTGCTCCCCCTTCTTACTCTTGCGGCTCCGGCTCCAGCAGACCCTCCTGCAAACATCCAGGTCACAGCACGACACCCCGGCAGGAAGCATGTCGACAAACTCCCCATGCAGGCTGCCGGAAGAGCATTCTGGCTAGGCGGATCGCCAGCAACTTATTGTCCAGCGGTTGTCGGCGACGCCTGTCCACCAGGAAATGCCACCGTTATCCTTGGATTGAACAGCATGGTAACTGATACCTGAACATACGGGAAAGGGAAATAGGAATTCCAGGAGTCCCTTGTTAACAGCTTCGATCTAGAGCGTCCTCGTCCCCGGCGGCCAACAAATGTACGTCGAGCCAAGCGGTAAACTCGGCTTCACTCAGGCACATTCTATTTCTATTCCGCCAGGATCATATATCGGCGGCTTTGCCTACAAGCCTCTTAACAGGAAAAGTGGCAGCTTCTACTTCGGCGGTTGGGGTGCCACTGCATTGATGGCATGCCCTGTTCCAGACTCGAAGTTTTATCAGGTATTCGCCAATATCAAGAACGCCATGGTCCCAGGAGGAGATGTCAAGGAATGTGTCGAGTTCGTTGGAGTCGCAACAAAATATGAGGGCGCCACCCCTGCTGCCTGGCAGTACACCTAAACAATCCAAAAAGGACACAGCAGAGAGAAGTGACGTGAAAATCCGGTTCTGCCGTAATAGTCTGCGTTGAATGCTGGCCTTTTCGCGAGGACTTTGATTCGGGTATCCTATTTTTTCTCCCTTCCCCAGCGGATGTAATGATGAACTATATGTCTATTAGCTTGTATAGATCTAATGATTCACCATGACCACAACAGCTCTCCTGTTGTCCTCTTGTCTTCTCTTGTCTTCTATGTTATATATTGATGAATGGCGGAAGTTGTCCGTTCCGAAACCGGCGGGGAAATCACGTGTAGGTATGATGAGTCATCAACGGCCCGTGCCCGGCGTTTCTTTTTGAGCCTCGGCTTCTTTTTTCTACAGAGAGAGAGAAAAAGGGGGAGAAGTTGATATCAAAAACGTCAGAAGACGCTGGTTGTCGTTTTCAAGAGCCTGTGAGCATGCAATATATTACACAGCAATGAAGAGAAAAATATATTGAACTAGAGAGATCGTCGAGCTCGCTTCTAGCCAGGCAGGGCGTGAAAAGGCGCCCATATGACGTCGAGGAGCGTCCCCAAGCTGCTGTTATAGCAGCGGGAGAGCTCCGAGCACACCATGTTGGGAGTAAATGTCCGCAGGTACAGCTATATGGACGCCTGTTATATGGGGCAGCCACCCTCTAACAGTCGGAAAAATCTGCCGAGATGAATATCTAGACGCCTGATGGTCTGGATTGCGGATTTGGTAGTCTGCCATGTATTCCGGTATGACTCCAATAGACTTCCCCAGTTTCCCGATCTAACGTGATAATGCTAGTAGATTAACCGGTCCTCAAGCTGTCTCGACCGAGCAGGCTGGTGTTCTTCCCCTTTGACCGCATCTCTGCTTCGGCGACTGGTGCCGCAAAGGTAACTAACTCGATACGTGACGCTGAAGGGAGTTCCAGCGTCGGCTAGATTCCGAAAGAAACTCAGTTAATAAGGCAAACAGGTTAATGATTATGCGGGCGAAAATGGCCAACTGGAGCTGGTATGATACAAAGCAGACTCCAGTTTAACATGTGCCGCGGCTTTGGTGGTTGACGTTATCTTGTATATAAGAGACCTTGTAGTCCATCGAATGTTCCCCCAGCTCTGTCTTTGTTCTACTTCAAGCAGATACGGATACAGCTACCCATCACCAGCCTATACCATCAATAAGAGATAGTATCAAAGAAGTAATATGACTTCAGTGGAAGCTCAGCTCAAGGGCGTTGCCATTCTCGGCCCCCTCAACGATCAGACTCGCAAAATCCTCACCAAGGAGGCCACAGCCTTCCTCGCTCTTCTCCATCGTACATTCAACGGCACTCGAAAGGCATTGTTGAAGAGGCGTATTGACCGACAGGCCGAAATTGATAGAGGTGCCCTTCTCGATTTCCTACCCGAAACCAAGCATATCCGTGAAAACGACGCATGGAAGGCTGCTCCCCCTGCTCCAGGACTCGTTGATCGCCGTGTTGAGATTACGGGGCCAACCGATAGGAAGATGGTTGTCAATGCCTTAAATGCGGATGTATGGACCTACATGGCCGACTTTGAAGGTGAGCAGCGTTTTCCGAAGCCTGCCTAACTCGACAAGTAGATCTAATACATGCATATAGACTCCTCCGCTCCAACATGGGAGAACATGGTCAACGGTCAAGTTAATCTGTACGATGCTATTCGTCGTCAGGTGGACTTCACCCTAGGCGGCAAAGAATATAAACTCCGCACTGATAGGAAACTCCCTACACTCATTGCCCGTGCCAGAGGTTGGCACCTTGATGAGAAGCACTTCACTGTTGATGGAGAGCCAATTTCCGGCAGTTTGTTCGACTTTGGTCTTTATTTCTTCCACAATGCACATGAGTTGGTCAAACGAGGTGCCGGTCCATACTTTTATCTTCCCAAGATGGAATCCCACCTGGAAGCTCGTCTGTGGAACGACGTCTTCAACACTGCACAGGACTATATTGGTTTGCCCAGAGGTACTATCCGAGGAACAGTACTCATCGAGACCATCACTGCGGCCTTCGAGATGGACGAGATCATTTATGAACTGAGGGACCACAGCTCAGGCTTGAACTGCGGAAGATGGGATTACATCTTCTCCTTCATCAAGAAGTTCCGCAACAACCCTAACTTTGTCCTCCCCGATCGTGCCTCTGTCACCATGACCGTACCATTCATGGATGCGTACGTAAGGCTTTTGATCAAGACCTGCCATCGACGAGGAGTTCACGCCATGGTAAGCCGACCCGATGTTGCCCCCAATATTGCAGACTAATACTTATTCGAAATAGGGTGGTATGGCCGCTCAAATCCCCATCAAGAACGACCCCAAGGCGAATGATATTGCCATGGAGAGCGTTCGCGCTGATAAGCTGCGTGAAGTTCGTGCTGGCCACGATGGAACCTGGGTTGCTCACCCAGCTCTTGCATCAATTGCGTCCAACGTCTTCAACGAATATATGCCCACCCCTAATCAGATATTTGTCCGAAGGGAGGATGTTCATGTCACTGCTAACGACCTCTTGAACACCAACGTTCCAGGAAGCATTACCGAAGCTGGTATCAGGAAGAACTTGAACATTGGCCTCTCCTATATGGAGGGATGGCTTCGCGGCGTTGGCTGTATTCCAATCAACTTTCTTATGGTTCGTCAAGAAACACATCCTTGCCAAAGCCCGTACATGATAACCATTGCTAACCCGATTAACCACAGGAGGATGCTGCTACCGCTGAAGTTAGCCGAAGCCAACTCTGGCAGTGGGCCAAGCACAACGTTCCCACCGCTGAAGGGAAGAGAGTCGATAAGGCATACGCCCTTAAGCTCCTCAAGGAGCAGGCCGACGAACTTTCCGCAAAGGGGCCAAAGGGCAATAAGTATCAACTTGCTGCTCGCTACTTCTCCGGCCAAGTTACTGGAGAGGATTATGCTGACTTCTTGACCTCGTGAGTCTTCCTCATCTATCCACCAGTTAAGCAGAGTAGTACCGCTGACTGTCCCCCTTAGATTGTTGTACAATGAGATATCAGCTCCTGGACCTGCTGTCAAGCTCTGATTTGACATTAGCAAGCATATTTTTTTCTATTATATACTGGTATGGAATGCTAAGAAGCCGAATAATCCATGGTGTAAATAATTCATGAGACTTAAGTACGATGTATGCGAGCTGAGAAATGGTGTACTATTTTCCTCTTTTCAAAATGTCCTTAAATTATTACCGGATCACCATATTTTATCTAGGCCCGGCAGTAACTTCTGAACTAGTAGTATATATAGGTGTAATTATAGATATAAAATAGTACGGTTATAAGTATTGTATATTACGGTCTTGGGATGTAGGATATGATAATATAGGCAGGTATAAAAAGAGGACTCATAAGCGATACAATAATACTATGCCATGAGATTAGTTCGCAAGGGCAGAAGGCTATTTGGCATTCTATGGCTATTTTGCTTCACCTGAGATGCTCGTTATAGCATCAACAGTGGAAGCAGACGCCGGATTCATACGATATATCCCCTCAGCATCAAGTTCCGTTACTCTTCTTGGTCCAGGTAGAGCATAAGAAGGGGTATTTGGAGCAGCCTCTATAGAAGATATAGCAGTGGAAGGTGCATAAAATCCCATTACTGATCTTGAAATTACTCTTCCCGACCCATCACTTTCGTATGCTTGTCCTTTCAAGTCTAGATTGTTGTATTGACCTTCACTAACAGCTGCAGGTAGTGCTGGAGTGGCTGTGGTTCTTGATCGAAGAACCATCCATACAACTCCGATAATCACTGCCCCAACGACAGCAAGACCGCCGACAACACCTCCAACGATAGCACTAATCTTTTTTGATACACCATTTCCTTCGTTTTTTTCGTTTGAGTTACCAGCACTGGTAGCTTGTGCACTGCCAGACGTCATGGAACTTGTAGACGATGAAGAAAAGGATGTGGAAGATGATATCCTTGTGGTTGAGGATTTTTGTCCCGGTGATTCGTAATTCTGGACTTCATGCCCACCGCATTGTTTAAGTGTATAAAATATAGAGCAGCATCCGACATCGGTGCAGTATGTGTTGCGAGGGCAGTACGCTGTAGCCATGTCAGGATGTTATAAAATGCACCGCCACAAATGGTAGGAAGAAAGGGTATGTATATAAATATAGAATATAACAAGAGAGCTGAATGTGAGGTCAAGATAGAAAACAGAGTCACGTACTTCCGTCTTTGCAACAAACCTCGCCCTGATCTGGATTGTAACACCTGGTGTTGTTTACACAGGGAACATTTCCTATCCCACAAGATTTTTCACAGTTTGAAGGCGGCGGAGCGTAAGTACACTGTGTTTGGGGAGCAGTTTCTGTCGTTGTCATGGCTATCATCCGCTGGTAAAGCAGCTCAACGTCGCTATCAGCAGCCAGCACGCCGGAAAGAAGGATAGTAGGCGCAAAAATCCGCATCTTTCCAGGATTCTGAGTATGCCAAAAAGCTGGGTATTATGGAATAAGGTGGGCAGGTCGAAGGACACAAAAAGTAGTGTTAGCTATGCTCGCCATCGTGCGTGTTCATTGTACGCCGAGTTCAGTGAATAGCAGCATGGATTTGATCAAAGACTTAGGTAACTTCCAGACACAAAGAATCCATCGTTTCATTCAAAGAGGAAAAGCGCAGGCAAACGTAACTCAGCCTTGAAGTTCAAGAAGACCTATCGCATTTGCGTCGATGTCCGGGGTATAGGTCTTCTCTCCTTGAATGGCTCTGGTATTCTTACTTTCCAAATTACCCGTCATTTTATCGTCCTTGGGTGATCTTTCATGCTGTGCTCAATAATCAATTAATCTTGCCAGTGTACGAGAAGAAGACATCTCTTCGTTAAAGTATGTCGGCGAATACTTTTTGGGCCATATCGCCACAGAAATTCCCAGAGTTTTCTATTCATCCGGAATCCCATGACTGGATTACTGAAGCGTTGACTGCCTAATAATATTTGCAAGATAGCTAGAAGGGTATATACGAATTATTAATACGTATAGTCCTCTGGAAGCGCCAGGAGGAAGACACTCGGAGTTACCCTAGTCGCCCGTGTCGTATATATGGTTAATACGTGATGTCCTAACACGCAGTAGGTGATCGAAATGTCTCATTGGCTCGAGAATACTAGCCTTAATGTACTCATCTGAGTGACCAGCGACCCGAACCAACTATTCATGGCCACTAGTTTCTGGAGGCAACTTGGGATCATAGGTTTGTTAATGCTCACAGAGATTATATATTTTGACCGTGTGGCATGGATCATTAGGGTCTTGATATCGGGGGATTTTAAGATCAACGCAATTGCAAGGGTATATGTAGAAGTCGAAAATTTTCTGAAGGGACAACCTCTAGTTCATGAACACATTGCCCTAAGCATGGTCACTGAAAGACGGTTGCAAACAAGCAACAGACTGAGTATCTCACGAAAAGGGTTGAGATTTACAGCGATCTCCCTGATAAGCTCGAGAGAAGTTTGCTGAGCCTTCTCATCTTTCTCTTGAAGATTCGAACAGTATCTTATAGGTTGTTGTTTTGTCCTCCCTCCCCCTTTTTTTCATATAAGTAGAACCAGTAACAATTCCTGCTGGTTATTCAGTTAGGCGACAGCGGAGAAGACGATATCGACGGGTCATCCACCAGTTCAACACCGCGCTCTACTCGTTGTCATGCTCTCTATAATGCGTACACTCGAAGGCCCTACGAGAACCCGAGCTGGAGGAGCTTGTTGTAGTTTTGAATTCGGGCTGGTGAAAATTATAACCACCCAAGGCAAGGCTTGTTCCAAGGTTTAGTTGAGCCTCCGTGGAATAAAGAAGTTCCAAACACAAAATTATGGGTCCGACGATGCGCAGGAAAAGTCGCTTCCAGATTATTCTCTGCATCAGAACATTTGGAACAATATCAGAGGCACGTAATGTCTAGATGACACAAACCGAATCTCCCTATTACTGAAGCGCATCTAAAGCATCATATAGTTCCTCACTGGGATTTTCTCCGACGACCCTAAAACATATACTCATTAGGAGGTGGTGAGTTATTCTTTTCAAATTGACCTTCAGCTCCAAAAAAATAACGATCTGGCAGCGAATAGCTAATATCATTTATCAAGTGTCTATAGTTTCAAAGTATATCTATCCATAAGCAGGATTATGCTATCGAAATGTTATCCTTGCATGCGCGAAACCAAAGAGTGAAACCATCAGAAAGTTCAATGAGTTTTCGGTGTCAAGAAGGACATGGCTGCTCTTAGGCAGAACATCGACTGTTTTGCATACTTGAAAATGTTTTGAACTTGATCTTTAGCTCAAGTTTAAATAGCCGAACTCTCACAGACTTGGTGTCAAAGCCTCGAGAGCTGGTACAACAATGCATGCATACAATCAGTACCTGTGTCCCAACAAAAGGTCGCGGCTTTATATATCAAGGATACAACCAGGCTTACTAGAAAGATGTTAAACCTGACAAATATTGTAATAGCCAGTGTGACTGTGCCTTGCACCATTCTCTTTCTTAGCTTCTTTACAAAATGTTGTGAGACACGACGGATGTCTTTTCATAAATTTACTCGTCCAAAAGCGAGAATATTCATTGGTTGTCAGTTCATTGCCTGAGAGCTCAACCATCGCATCAGGAACCACCATGAATAGTATAACACGCAAATAATGACACCTGCGCTGCTATTTAAACGCAGGCATCATCCATCCCCACATATATTCTTACCCATCGCTAGTTATCAAAAACAAATTATAACACAAGCCTCGGCTTCATATTCCCTTGTCTCTTTTTAAAGAACCTTCCTCTGCAGAAAAGCGAAATGCTCATAAATATTTCTGTGACTGCAGTCTTCTACATGGTATACCCCCAAAGTCTACGGAAATTTAATATAGTCGGGATATAGGCCCCCCCTAGATGAACCGCTAACTACAGCAGCCTCCTCTGGATAGATCAATTAAAATGTTGCTCCTCGAAGAAGCTTCATTTGTTAACAAGAAGTTGTCTATGGCTTTGGGTCCAAAGCTCGACTTCCTCCATTCCATTCCATTCTAACGAAACCTGATAACTAACGGTTATATGGCGGAGGTAGATAACGAACCCAAAGCTATGTATGTCGAGGTTATTTCTAATATATCCATAACAAGATGTGTTGTTTGTGTTGCAATGCCAACGTTTTTAACAAGGAAGCGAGCCTGATGTTGAGGAGAAGACCGAAGAACTTCGTCAGGGGGTGTTAGAGATTGAGAGAAATAAAATGCTGCATCCTTGCAACCGCAGGCCAGCGTTACTCCGTACCAAGTTGCATCGGGGCTCACGCCATAATAGGAGAAACACCAGGTCAAACGGAGGGAAAATCCAACCTTTATAGTGGATGCTTACAGGGGATCAGAGAGCAGTGCATGATATCCTTGAGGCCTACGTGCATAGATGCATTGCATATGCACGACAGTATGAGAACAGCTATCTATTCTATTCCACTCCGGGCATGCGAGGCACAGGCATACAGAGTATCTGAATGTACGGAGAACGCCGCGCAAATAGGAATACACGCCCTTCCTTACACCCTTGAAAATGAAGCGGAGACCTTGACCCGCCTTGGCTATAATAGTATAATAATATTTTACAGGGTTATTGCAGGGTATGTAATTCCAACGGTCTTGCATATAACAAGACTGGGGACAGGACGTTGGTTATTTATACGTATAACTGTATCAACTGGCTCAATTCCATTATGTTGGTTACTGTAAAAATTCCTACCAGAGCATATAAATAAGGATAATATGGGAAAAGAGACAAGGAATGAAAGTGAAATAAAGAGGAAATAGTAAGAAAAAGGGTATATCGAAATATCTTAAGATATGTACAAAAGGAGCGCGCGCTTCGAATCTGAATAATACCGCTCCAGTCCGCCTCCCTGCCTTCGCTGTCCAGACTGATCGCTGTCTGAGCGAAAGTGGTGCACGCTAGAATAAAAGGAAAAGGACAGAAATATCAATCCAGCAACGGCCGGTCCGGTTTCCCGCTCCTGAATGGGGTAAGGGTAAGTGTATATGTATATAGGCGTAAAGTTAAGTTGGCATCAATCCAAGGTGATTCTCATTGCTTCAAGCAAGTCTGAAATATGCTTTTTGTAATGCATGAAATATTAGGGTACCATGTCGAAGAGGGAGAGAGAGGAAAGAGAAAATGGAGAGAGAGAAAAAAAAAAGCAGGGGTTACTTGATGGGAATATTCATGTGCCGGTGTGTATGTATATCATGACTCGTCTGTAGGTTTTCGGGCATATACTATTGTTCCTGGTAGATATGCGTTTGTTTTGTAATCTCGTAGAGCGGCTCGCATCTGAGCCAAGAAGAGTTGGGCTTCTTCGTACGGCCACTGTAATGCGGTGGTCAAGAGTCGTAGCATGTAGCCTTCGACTCCACCATGCAGTCGTACCTGGTTCCAACGACCAAGCTCACGTAGTTTGGGATCTTTACTCCACCTATTGATCAGTTAGTGTATGGTGTAATATAACATAGTAAAAACGGGTATTAAGAAAAGGAATAGACAAACCCGTTCATTGGCCATTTGTATTCTACCTCGACGACGTCAATGAAGCCAGCCCGTTTGAGGCGCTCCTTGCTTTCCTTCCAGATGGTAAATGACTTGCCAAAGGTAGCGCCAGCTTCGACGACCGTTTTCCCCCATAGGGTATAGAAATGAGAGGGTCCGACGGAACCGTCATCCGAGGTAGGCTCAACGGAATGTTCGACAATCTCGATATAAGCACCAGGTTTCAAGCATTGGTAGCACTGTTGGAAGAACTCGTCCCAGTCGGGTATGCAGCCGAACATTTCTCGTATATGGATGAAGTCAAAGTGGTTTTGAGGATACGTCCAAGGGCAGAGGGTGACATCATCCACTTCGAACGTGCAGTTTGGAGGGAGAAAGCTGGGCTGGATGGGGGAGAGGTCGACGCCGGTGACCTTTGCGCTGGGATACTCGTCCGCTATATCGCTGTAGAGATGACGGTCAGCTCAAGTCCCTATGGCGGTAAGGATCTCGTATAGAACGTACATTGCCCATATGCCGGTGCCGGTGCCAACATCTAGGATTTCCTAATCAGTGTATAGTTTTAGCATGGGATACTACAAGTGCGACAATCGTCATCAGGCGGGTTTATTGTTGGATATGTAGATACCTGTGGGTTAGAGATGGGCGCAAGGTGCAGCCTGCCGTCCAGGGTCAAGAGATACATGTGGTGTGCGAGGTCCTGTTGGTCGTTTGCGCTCTCATCGTTTGGGCCCTAATCAACGAGTCAGTCGACCGTCCAGAATGTCATAGAAGACGCAGACGAACTAACCCAGTAGGCTCCATCACGGTATGAATGGTATCGCCGGCCGTTTTCGTAGCGATATTTCGTTATATACGTCGACAGCGTCTTTGTATCGTCACCTATGAACATCTCCCCTTCGTCTGCATAGGCCTCGTCGAAGCCGTCATCGTCACTCGAGTCCGCTGCTTGCGGAGACGGTGCATCAGAAGATACCGGTCTGTCTTCGGGCGTCTGCAGATGAGAAGAAGGCTCTACATGAGAAGTCTCTACATGAGAAGAAGACTCTGGATCTTGATGTTGATATTGGTGTTGGTGATGTTGCAACTCCGGCGCCTGTCGGCTGCTGCTATCGCCAAGGGACTGCTGATGTTGCTGTGAATCCATCGCTTTGCTGAGTACCCTGACACATCGACAAGTTTCGTTTCTTCTTATTCTTCTCTTTCAGACGGCCATCGGAAGGACCGTTTATATCAAAAAATAAGGTCGGTTTATCTATAACTTGTCGCTGGTGAGCTTTTCCGGTCCCCCTTCGACCGCAGCGGAGAAGATGAAGCGGGAAAAGGTTTAAAAAAAAAAAAAGAGGTCAAAAGAACAATGGGCCCTTTTTTTTACCTAAAGGACTTATTCTCTTTTAGCCTCTCTGAAGGGGGGAGGACCTTAATAGGGGGCGATCCTTGTCTTTATTTTCGTGCTGTGAAAGCCGAACAGATGGCTTGTGGTTGACGGAAATCGGAGATCTATAGTTAACCACCCATGGAAAATCCCCCATCCTTGCTGAGCATGAAGGTAATAAATGACAGGCTGTTAACACAGTACATCCATACGATGGCTTGTAGGACAGCCTGTCAGTGGCTAAACCTGAGGCTTTCTACAATAACATCCCTGATATTTTGGATCATGCTTGCAAGCAGGTCGATCTTCTTTAGCCACCGCAGCCAAAGAGGCCTATCAGCGAGCCCACTGGTGACGGTAAAGCCAGTAATCGCCATTACTTTTTCGCACATCCCATGTCTAACTCTATCGCATTCGCCGTTTGAAGATAGTTGCAAGTCCGGCAAGATGGTTGTTGGTTTTGATGATACGAAGGGGGAGATATCAAAGTATCTCTCTTCGCCATATAGTTATACTTGGGTGCCATGGCTGGCCGGTTCATCCCCTAGTATATTGATCAACAGTCAACAGTGTATATAATGTATATACACACCTGACGTCTTTGCTCGCCTTCTTCTTCCTGATGCCGGTATATAAAGTTTTTTCTGGTCCAAGACCGGCCAAGTCCAAGGGTTGATCCTGAAGGGCGAGCAAGCCAGAGAGTGAACAATATATTATTATTAGTTCAGCCCTTAAGATGATATCCACTCGCTTCTGCCAACGTGGATTCTCGTTTGGCCAGGCTGGACAGCCTGGCATTCGGCATCGGCTTCGCTCGCTTGGAAGTGCTATCCCCCATGGCTTAGGGTTCTGCGCATGGCTTGCAAAATACGACCAAGTCGTATCCACCCTTCTGCCAATCTATTCACTGCTGCTTAGAGTTGCCCACGCTCGTCACATAGACGGGAAGTAACACGGATGAAAATCCCCTGGGAAAGGAATATCTCCACTCGTGGTGCCATGGGGTTGGGATTTTGTTCCTCGAGTTTTGGCGTTTCTTCTAATCTAGTTCTGTCAAAGCCTCAGCTAAAGGCCGCCTGATATGCCTCAGAGATGGGGGAATATTTGTCTGTGATGGAGGATAGAAACCTCCCAGTCGTCTCGGGGGCCGTTGCCACCGTTCTCATCATCGGAGCTGGTAAGTCTGGTCTTTTTTTCCCTGTTTGTTGCCGATATATCTTCCCCTCCATAATGCATGTTTTGACGTTTTTTGGGTGGTAATCCAGGAACAACAGGACTTGCACTGGCACAAGGATTTAAAAAGGTAAGAAGACGTTCCTGTCAAATGAATGGATTGGTCGAACTGTGATAAAACTAACACGTTATCAGGCGGGGATACCATGCACTATCTTTGAGAAGCACGAAAGCCTCAATGCACTGCCTAGGGACTGGAATATGGGACTCCATTGGGGGGCTGCCGCCTTACAAGGAGTCCTCAGCTGCGAGTTATGGAACCGGATCGAGACAGTTCATGTCGACCCAAGTACCCCGGTGGCAGAGAAGGACGTCTTGAAATTTATCAATTCCAGCACTGGTGAACCAATGTCAGAGGTGCATGTCTCCAAATTCTATCGATTACGCCGGAGTAAGCTGCGCTCCTTACTCGAGGACGACCTGGATATCCGATATAACAAGGTCCTCAAGAACATTTCGATGTCGAGTGATGGCCGGATAGCAACAGTTCACTTTGAAGACGGCACCTCTTCCTCTGGACAGTTCGTTATCGCCGCCGATGGAGCCCGTTCAACTGCGCGTCAGCTTCTGCTGGGGAAGACTAGGGGTGCCATACGGCGTCTACCGTACGCGGCTACCTTTATACACGCGAAATTCACGGTCGAGCAGGCGCTCCATCTCCGCAGTTTCCATCCTCTCTATATCGCAGGCATCCATCCGTCCGGCTTTTTCTCATTCTTTGGTATGCATGACGCCGAGGACCCTGCCAGACCGGAAACATGGACGTTCTTCTTTTATATCTCTTGGAAATATAGCCTCGAGGAACAGGACAGCACGTCTGGTTGGTCCAACAAGCAACGGCTAGACCAGGTCAAGTCGTTTGCTAAAGACTTTTGTGACCCTTGGAAAAGTGCCTTTGAGTGGATTGGAGACGACCATCAGGTCTGGTACATGGGCCTGACTGACTTCGATCCGGGCTCGGAGGGCCATTGCTGGAACAACCATGGTGGTCGAGTGACCCTCGCTGGCGATGCTGCCCACGCCATGACATATCAGCGCGGCCAGGGCCTGAACCACTCTGTCACCGATGCTGCAAAACTCGTCAACGCCATCACTGATGCGGTATCAGGCCTATCGTCCAAGGCTACCTCGATTTCAGCCTACGAGGATGAGATGATTGCAAGAGCAGGGGGTGAAGTCAGATTGTCTACCGTTAATACGGAGATGCTCCATGACTGGGAGCGGGTGCTTGCATCTCCAGTATTAACATCAGGAATGAAACATAATAACCGATGAATCACGATTGACTTAGTTTGTTATGATGGGTGGAATTCTTCTTCTTTGCTTGCATGTATGTATTAATCCTGGTTCATTTTTGGTCGGGCGTTTGCAACTTTGATACTCCTTTCTACATGTATACATTTCTCCCCCTTTATTACTTGATGTCTTTCATACTTTAATTCTAGACGAATATCAATGCAGCCATGCCATCCTCTTCTCCTGGTAGAGCAAAGAGTAAATCCATGAATTAATCAAGAATTAAAGATTTTATTATTCAGTTAGCTTCAGGGCATCAAATGCCAATTAAGAGAAAGTGAATAAAAAGCCTGTGTCTAAAGCAATAGAACTGTATATGCACCTAATGAAACAAGATATGAAGAACAAGAGGGTTTGGCAACATAAATATACTGAGGGATATTGCCAGGTCTGTAAAAGAAATTTGCTGGGGAACAAATCTAGTTGTTAACCATTCAAGCTACCCAACTAGTGCTTTTTCACAGCCTCCTCTGCCTTGTGAATAGCTGCTTTTGCAGAATCTGTTGCCTCATGGGTCATATCCTTGACGGCCTCTTTAGCTGAACCGTCTTGAGACCGCCTGTAGAGGAAGATTCGGGTGACTTGTGTAAGGCCAACACAGCCAACAAAAAAGTTGACGGTTGCAAGGCTGTGGAATTCAGATAATAAGCATTCAATTCACCAGCGTGGAGATGAAGAGGACAAATGCTTACAGGACGTTTCTAGGTTTGATGATAAGACACCATCTAGTCCAGATTGCTCCGGTTGCCATCAAAGCACCGTTTTGAGTCAGGGAAAGTTTCTCGGCAGGTCTGGCCATATCAGAAAGCCCGGCCAAAACGAGAACCCACTGTAAAACGGGTTACGGGGTTAGCCGCAAAGTCATCTCTCTCTTTTAGTGTATCAATCGGGTGACTTGGGGGGCGTGCTATAAAGTTGAGATTTGAGGATTTGCAACGAACCTTCATAACAGGTGCCCTAATTCGTAGAAAAAGGTGTCAATTAGCAGGTTGGCTTCAAATATAGTTGATAAAAAGAGCGCGAATAATATCAATTATCATACCAGAAATGGACGGTCTTGATTCCAATGGGGCTGTTCCATGATCGCTGCAGGAAGCTCTGCTGTGCTGCTCCGGCTTCAGTGCTTTGGAATCGCCTCGCCCGGAGTGCCTGCGCTCTGAAACGAGCGGTGGCATTCTGAAAAGCAGCCCTTGAATTCTGGAAGAGACGGAGTCCGATCTTTGAAGACATGTTGAGACGAGCGATGTTCGCAACGAGAAGAAGCAAGGGAGAAAAACAAACAAACAGTCCCTAAGACCCGAATAACCCGGAAGATGTAAAGAGGGGAGAGATGGAAATATAATACAAAACCGTCAAGCCTCGCTGCCGTCCAAATGTATAATCTCAAAGATCTCAAAGATCCTCAACATCTCCGCAATCTTGCTAATTTTCCTCTGATCTCCGGTTTCCGCAGGCTATTTCATGACATAAGCACTGAGTCAGCTCAATCACGTGATTAAGCTTGATTCGAACGTCGAAACATCGAAACGAAGCAAAAAGACGGCAAAGACAAGCTCGAATAATGCTCAATTGAGAGAGGCCTTGATATATCATTTGAGACGAACAGAAACTCCTCGAGTGAGCGGAGGACTGTCTACCCACTTACCACAATGGCTTCGAGATACGCCTTCAACACCGGTCTGAAGGAACTCCGGTTCCTCTTCTGCCATTCTTCTGCACACGGCGATGCTACCAGGTAAAAAGCCAGCCCTGTTGCGTGATATATTCACGCTCTTATCATGCATTTTTCGATTCGTTTTCCCTCTGTTGACATCTGTGTCTACTGTAGAGCGTTCCTCAAACGAGCATACCCCACCATGAAGAAGAACAACCCATCCGTACCGATATTGATACGGGAGGCGCTGGATGTCGAACCAAGGGTATTTGCCAGATATGGTATGCACCGTCCTTGGTTGTATCCGTGTGTGGTTAGGGTAATTTAACTAATATGTTATGGCTGGCAGAGTTCGGAAAGGAAAAACAGGAAACGCTCTTAGGCATGTAATTCCATGGCGATGCTCTGCTTGGGACTTTGTAACTGATACTCGTATAGGTTTATCGGATAAGGAGATAGAACAGAAAGTGACAGTCCTTGTGAAGAACGAGGGACAGCCCCAACAAGCGTGATTGTACACTACTCCTCTTACGAACCGAATCCGTTTCTTTTCATTATCCACTGTACCTATACCAGCGTGAAGGAATAGAACTGGAATAATATAAATATTCCAATTGCATATATCAACCTATATACTCGATTTACATGTTTTCAAGGAAGGCCGTCTCCCTATTTAGCCAAAATTACGCCGGGGCGTCGCCAAATCGGAACTGCGCCCAGCTCATGCTCCCTTCCTTCAAAGTCCACAGCCTCTCTCCGCAATCTACTCCAGCAGCCCCCGCGCCAATATGAATGGGCAGCAGGTGTTCAAATGTCGGATGAGCTTGTCGTGCATCATGCCGAAGAAGCAACTCGGCCATTGCCTTTTGTCTCTCTGCGGGAGGGGTCATAACAGCTTCTTTCAAGGCTTCGTCAAAGCTAACAGTGTAGTCTAGCGGGCTTGGATCTCCAAATGTAAAGCGGAAATCACGTAGGTTATGCACCGCCATACCTGACACGATTATCTGGATGTTCTCATCCCGCAGTTGTGAGATTGCTTGCCCCAATTTGTAGTGTTCGTCAGGGTCTTCGTCGTCAAATAGAGAGACCTGCACAGCAGGGACACTCAGAGGGTTATCCTCTGGGTCAAATGCTAAAAGCATAAAACATGTGAGCTTTTTAAAACAGCTAGCTGACAAACGATCTCCGGTTAATATTTAACAGTTACGTACCACACTTGAAACTTGCCCACACACCATGATCGAGCCCTCGCGTAACCCCTTCAGCCTTCATGCCCGCGCCCTGGATAAGACGGATCACCTTCTCCGCGATCTCCTTGCTCCCCCTGTTGGGATACTTCTCTTTATAATAATGTGGTGGGAAGCCGTAAAAACTATTCGATCATATCAGATTAACGTCTCCGTTTTGAGTCAGCCGTAAAGAAACTTGAAAGAATCCTCTTACTCATATATCAACTCTGTAGTCTCTGATGTGTTGACCAAGATGGTATCCTTTCCGCCCTGCCAATGAGCGGAAAACACTACAACAGCCTGTGGTTTCACTCTCCCAGTGATCTCCCGACCAATTTCTTGTAGTTTCGTATATGCCGGATGTTCATGATCGTACATGATGTTTGGCTACTTCATTGTTAACTATTGCCCAACTTCCCACAGCTAAATGTATGACTAGGATGGATAGACCTACTCCGCCATGGCTTAGGAAGTATACCGGTGTCCTCGCCATTGGTATTACCGGCAATGTATAGTATTCCTTGACTATCGGGTCCGTGGTAGGTGTGTTAATGGCTGAATCTGCGGAGTATCGTACCCGAGGTCAATCTAATAGTTAGCTTTCAACTTATTTACCTAAATCCTATATAGCTGACTTATGCTGAACAGCGAATCGCGATCTAGACACAGGCACTGATTGACTACAGTATGTAGCCTATATGCTAGGTGTTTCTGTGCCTGAATATACGGTATTAGAATGCCATTAATTATCTTCCTATTCAAAACCCCTACGAAAGCAGATCTTGCCGACGCTTGCGAAGGGAAACAAAACGAAGAAAGGAGGTAGGAATACAGTAACAATCATCACGTTTATACCACAGGTCATGAAGAATAAAAAAAACACGGGGGAATGAGGACGGCGATGTTCAATGATATGTGCAAGGGGAAATGATAATTAATCCCCTCCAGGGGGTGGGAAAGGATGGGAGTAAGAAATAATAACAAGAACAAAGAGCACAATAGAAACAGCATAAGAAATGAGATAATCAAGGTCTTTTCCAAGGCATGCAAGAAGTCTAGGGGAAAACAGAGCACAAACGTCATGCATGGGGATATCTCAAAAAAAAATTACATTACAATGCAATCACCTTCGTTTTTGTTGACGGCAGATCTAGAAACGCGGGTCTTTTGCATTCTCGCACCGCCTCGACGAAGGTCTTCCAACCGTTCGCGAGCTTTCAAGAAATTTTGAGCTGAATGGCGACGTTAGTTGAAGGAATTGGGCTATATGGGAACCAAAGACAGAACTTACAGGATGCTTTCCAGTACCATCTCTTTGCGTCATCTAGATTAGTAGGAACACCGATACCAACCTCAGTGAAATAGCCCATTGCGTATTCCGCCTTGGCTAATCCGGCCATGGCAGCTTTGCGGGCCCAAAGATATGCTTCCGTGTCGCTTTGTTGCAAGATGCCCTCTGCACCGGTCAAATACCATCCGCTGAGAGATAGTTCACTTTGATGCTCGCCCTGTGCAGCAGCTTGGGTATACCAGTAGATACTCTGCCGCGCATCAACCGGACATCCTACCAGGCCATACTCGTATGCGGCACCAAGGCGGTGTTGGGAGAACTTATAGCCCAGTTCACCTGCTTGATGAAGCAGTTCTCGGGCATAATTTTCATCTCGAATGATAGAGTCGATGCCTTGAGGGTTTTCGTACAGCAAGGCCAATTCATGTAGCGCATGAGGGTTTTCCTCATCTGCGCGCTCAGCAGCGCGTTTCAACCAGGATAAAGCTTCTCGTGGGTTTTTAGGCTGGCCCAGCAAGCCCTTTAGGAGGATCATGCCCATCTTATACATGGCCGGAGGGTCACCTAGGGCAGCGGCACGTCTATACCATTGTACTGATTTCAGCGGATCACGCCGAGTGCCTCCGCCGCCTTCTTGGCCCATTTCACAGCATACAGCAACTCGATAGGCAGATTCAGCATGGCCCATTTTGGCGGCTGACTGGTACAAGCTGAATGCCTCTTTCGGGTTAATTTCCAGTCCAAGCTGTCCGGAGCCGTAGCAGTCCGCCATGTAGAACATTCCTGGAGGATATCCCGCGCCAACAAGCTTTTTAGTGATTTTATAGGCCTCCATAACGTACCGTTCCCTGTTTTTAGACTTGGTCTTTGCATCTGCTCGTCCGTTGTCGTCTACGAGGTGGATAGAGGCCTCGACCAACTTCTTGGCTAGGACCAGCTGCTTGGCATGGTCTGCAGGGTTGCTTCGAGCAGTCTGTTGAATTATATGTAATTCGCCAATGGTTATCGGCTGGGAAGATCGGCGAGTTTCACCACCGTAGGATGAAGGGGAAGCTTGATTAGGCTGAGGAGTGGGTGCCGGCTGCGGAGTACTGGTATAATTTCTTACAGGAGCCGGCTTTGGCCCTTGATCAAGGCCGGGCCGGAAGGGAGCGGGAGGAGGGTGGTGTTGGTGGGAATCAGGCCCCTGGTAGCCGCTGTATTGGTCTTCAACCGGTCCTCCATAGTTCATATCCTGAGGCGGGTACGGCCGTCCGCTATCATACTGACCTCTACCGCCGTTTTCAGGCGGAGGAGGCCCGTACTGATGATACTGTTGGGCAGGGTACCCGCCTCTGCTTCCTTGCCCGCCGTGTTGTGCTGGAGTCATTGGTCGGCCACCCTGTTCGCCGAAATACGCATTGTTAGGATGGTGCTGATGTTGACCATAGCCTCTGTGAGCATACGCTGGCGAGGGAGCATATTCGTCCATCAGAGGGTTCCCGTAGCCATTTGTAGGGCCCTGCCTTTCTGGGGGGGACTGCATAGGCGCTATGCCTCCCGAGGGCTTATATGGAGCGTAGGCAGGCTTTTGCCCCGAGATGGATCCTGGATCTTGCTTTGGCTTATCGAACGGAATCAGCGTTTCCGCATGGGGCGATCCGACATTCTCGTCAGACATGGCACCAAAATTTGGCATGTCGGGCTCGTTTGGCTCGGTGTTGTCATAGTAGTCGTTGAGTAGGTCCTCGTTTAAGTAGCTCAGCTCGTCTTCTGCCTCGACTTTGTCAGCAACTTGTGGCTCCAGGTCGGCGTGCTTCGGGTGGACTAGCTCCGGTTTTACACCAACAGCAGTTCCTGGCCGAGATGAAACCGGGTGTGTGTCGGGGCGTAGAGCTGGGCTAAGAGGCGGGGGGCTTAGACCAGGGTCTTGCCAGGCGCGCTGCCCGGGGTATAGAGGTTTCGGACCTCCAGCGGACATGTTGACAGGCATGGTTGCACTTCGAGAAGGCGGTGCTGCTCGAGGATCTTGCTGGGGATGGGCGGCATGGTGCGTTTCAACATTGAGCGGAGGTGGACTTTCACTTGGCACCCGGCGAGGATTCAATGTTGGAAGCGGTTCTGAGTGATATGTTGATGGAGGTGGGCGGTTGGAGTTTGACGTATGCGGCCGTAGGATTGGTGGTGCTCCACGGTGTTTTTGGTTCTGGCCGAGCTCCAACGCACCCATCTTCTTCTCCAACCCGAGATCCATCGAGTTTACACGCTTTCTAGGTGGGAACGAGGGAAACGGATTGTCGAACGAGCTCTTGAGCTCTGGAGAATTCGGTTTTACCGGAGCTGATATAGCTTACAATTAGTATCGAGTTATATAGGGGCCAAAAAGAAATGAAACTTACCTTGGTTTGTGTGCTGACGGACGGGAGGAGGCTTATTCTGAGCCCTTGGAGGCCCTGCAGGTCCGTATCCACCTCCATGAGGTGGCCTATTATTATATCCATTTGGCGGACCTCTGTAGCCCTGGGGCGTTGGGGGAGGACCTCGAGGAGGCCTGTTCTGAGGAGGATAGCCGCCGTCGTACATCCCACGACCACCTCGACCATAAGGGACCTGCCCGTTGGTCCGGTAGCCATCATCGTAGTTCATCGGACGGTCTCCTCCAGGGCCATAAGGCAGTCGTCTATCTGGAGGTGGGTGTTGGTGTTGGTAGTGGTCTTGGTACTGTTGCGGAGGAGGACCGCTACCGTACTGCGGTCCAGGAGAAGGACCATAGTGAGGCGGAGGGCGAGCTTGGTAGGCCATAGCACCAACACTAGGCTCTATTACCAACTTTTGCCGGAGCTGCTAGTTATATTTTTTTTTGACGGTAAAGAACTAGTTAACTACTCCGTAGTTATGCTCCCAATGCGGCTCAATCGTTCCTCTTCTTATCTCGATCTCGATCTTCGATCTCTCTCGATGGCGATGCGCCCCGCCAAAACAACAGCGATGTACGGAGTAGCAGTCCAGTTTCCACTATAACCGCACCATCAGCTCCGTAGGATCGGTGGTGTGCCTCTCGAAGGATAGGCGTCCAAGGTGCTTTCAGGTGTATCGTGGGGGAGGGGGGAGGGCGCGCAGAGGGAGAGAGAGAACAGAGCGCCCAACAGAGTCCGGCCACCCAAGGGAAAAAACGCGAATGCAAGAAATCGATAGTGCGAAGAGACGGCAGCGCCGAGCCGGCCGTTAATATAAAAAGTGTGTCAGTCAAGTCGAAGGGCCTGACAGGGGGGGCATGGGACTGCTGCCCGCCGCGATGCGATGCGATGGGACAAGCGACAGCGGGAAGAGGAAGAAGGGAAAAAAGAAAAGAGCAGACCACGCGACAGTGCAAAGTGACTCGTGGAGAGTATCGAACTTCTTGCTGGACCAGCCTGGCAGTTCAGAATGATATCGAGACGGGCGTCGTTGCAGCTAGTTTGGCGAGAAAGGCACGATTTTTATAGTTATATACGGATGAAGGTTGCAAGGAGGTCGCACTTCTGTGACAAGGAGGCGTTTTTTGTTTCTTCCGTTTGAGATGCGCGCTTAGCAAGTTAAACAGCTTCAACTCTGCCGTTTTATAGGATATGAGAGATGAGCAGAAGAGAAAATATTCTACGTGAGAAAAGGCTATTCTCTATGATACTACATGAGCCATCCATGCGACATGGCCCCTGGCAAAGACCGTCTTTACATCGCGCTGTACCACCACAAACGCGAAGGAGTGTCAGTACATATGGACTAATCATATAACAAGAGAAGGATATATATATGCTTCTGCTTCTATTTTTTGCTTCTTCAAGATGGGCGCTAATCCGCTTCTCCTGCCAGGTACCATTGGGCATATCTCGTATCGCCCAAGTCTGCCCCTGACAGCCCTAACCAGACGGTCAAGTACCATGTCACAAACGTCCTTCAGCCAGTGGAGGAGACCGTTAGAGAGGAGTGGCGATACGAACGGCAGCTTCTGGCCGAAGTCAAGACTCCCAGGCTGCTGGCCAGGCTTCTCATCGGCAAAGTAGAGAAGTCCAGACGGGAGTTTGAGCAGTGTCTTGGTAGAGTTCCTCTGGTCCAGGATGTGAGCCTTTACCTGCTTTTTACCTTGCTTCTTTCTCGCTGCTGGGCGATGTAACTAACTGGCGAGATAGGATCCTGACTGGAGATGCCGGACATGGACAAAACAGGCGATGGCTGAGCTGCAGAGGGGCAAGGTTCTAAGTAATAACCAATCCCAGCCCTTGTCCTCCACGGATAACTAGCTGCGTGGCATTTTTTTCTTTCTTGTCTAACGTGGTGGTTTGCTCAGGCAGCTCGTCCATCACCGACTGGGACATCATCGAGGCGGAAGGCCGAGCTTACGTTGAGAGGAAGAAGGGCGAAGGTCGCTACAGAGTCATCATGGACTCAATTCCAACTTATGATCTACTTGAGCGGCGAGAAATCAGTAAGTAGGATGCTCCTTGCTAAGTAGTAGATATTCTTTTATGAAGGACAAGAGTTACCTACACCATCCATCTTCCAATAATTGAGGGCTCGCTCATGAGTTAAGTAGCCATCCTAGTTAAATAGGTGTCGAGCAAGACAATCAGGAATGATGCTCTCAACTGATGCATCTAACACACATCTCTACAAGACATCCCTCGAAATACTATTCAAAATGCAGACGTTTTGAAACGGTCCCTTTACATCCCGGATATATATACCGGGCAGAACCTGAACTGGAGGCCTTGCAGTTGGCACCTGTCTCGTATACCTTGGTTGTAAGGTCGTCCCATCGATTAGTTGGCTTCGTTACAATCATAATAAGCCGAGTCATTTCTTCTACTCCAGGGCTTTCTGTTTCCCGGTCTTCTGTCCACAGGGAACCCAGGCACTCTGTCTCCTTCAGCTCGTTGTCTCTCCATGGCTGCCGTGCCTTTTCTTCATGCCCAGCTCAGAAGTTTACTCTGATTTCCTGGGAGCGGCATGTTGGATGTGTTCCTATCGGGGTTTGACCTGGATTTTAGGGGGTTCGAGCATTAGGATACCCTCTTTACTGGCATTCCCCATCCAGGTATCTGCAACGGGGGGGAATACGTTTCCGTTTGAGGATGAGCGTACAGATAGATGTAGTTGCTGCTTTTCCAGGTGTAGATGATGCCCTTAAAAAGTGCTCTATCTTCCACTAGGATGAAAAAGCGGATGTGTCTCCCCGACGACATCGGCGGGCTCAATAAACCCAACATTGATAACTGCAAGGTTAAGCTACCACTATGTAGTAGCATTCTCGCAGCCTTCCCTACATTCGTTTCTCAAGCAGGCCTGTCTAAGAGACCCTGGTAAGGGTGTGCGGCTTTGAACCATATCTCTTACAGATACTGGCTTCCTCCGCTGAAGAAGCAGCCGGGTTGAAGTCCACAGCTGTCGTAGAAGATACCAGACGACACAAACCGGTGTCTTTTCGGTGACTGTATATATAGTATATAGAGCGAATATGTGTATATAAAACAGCAGAAGGTGAGAGCTCAAATGCAAGGTGATATCAACACAACAAAGGCCATAAGCAGCGGCTGTTAGGTAACTGATAGAGATCGATGGGCACGACGCTCCCCATTAAAGGATATATGTAGCTTTTGCTAACTGATAAGAAATATATAGGGCCTCAGCCAGTGACTGTGCGTGTGTATATAGCCATCTCGTATCATTGGAAGCAGAGATAGAGCGTTCGGAGCTTCAAACAACACAAGGGTATATATATCTCTTCTTCCCTCTCACTCTCTTCTTCCCTCTCACTCTCTTCTTCCCTCTCACTCTCTTCTTCCCTCTCACTCTCTTCTTCCCTCTCACTCTCTTCTTCCCTCTCACTCTCTTCTTCCCTCTCACTCTCTTCTTCCCTCTCACTCTCTTCTTCCCTCTCAATCTCTTCTTCACTCTCACTCTCTTCTTCCCTCTACCTTGATCTTCACCTTCTCACATCAGCATATATCATGTGATATCACGTGTCAAAATGAAACGAGCGATGCCAAGAACTGCTTACGTACTCCAAAGAGAAGGCAGAAAGAAACAAACAAGAAGGAAAAGACGAACAGAAGAAGACGAAGACCAAGACGAAGACCCAGAAGAAGAAACGAAGAAGCAAGACGAAGACGAAGAGACATCAGCCTACCAGCTAGAGAGAAAGAAACGGCACTCAGCCCGTCTACGCCTCGATATCTTGCGCACCTTAGTTGCTACCGATTCGACTTGCCACTCAGTCGTTGACCCCCAGCCGTCCCTGGTCGCAGATATAATATATTCTTTTCCCTGCTACCTTGAGACAAAAAAAAAGTCTTACATAGTACATCACGTACCCAGGGAGCTCTCGTCCTTCTTTTATTTATTTATTTTGACACATATCTTTCACCATGGCCGACCGCGAACAGCCATACGACCCTTACATTCCATCTCAGTCGAAGCCTGGTCATGATGGTTCGGCCGCGGGAAACCAGAGGACGGCGGCGCTGCAAGCTGTAGGTCATTCGCTTCTCGTTTCGGCACTGTTTCGCATCACTCGAGAGCAGAAGAGGGAGTCCTGGACGAAGAGCAGCTTGAGATGGAAGGCCTTCATTCTCACGGCCGTCTTCTATTGAGGCCCATCACATCTGCCGGATGCGAATATAATGCTGTGATGCTCTTTTTTTTCCCGCGAATTATGCTGACTGGGATGAATCGTCTAGCAAATCGATGATACCGTCGATGTGATGCGAGAGAACATCAACAAGGTCTCGCAGCGTGGTGAACATCTTGACTCTCTACAAGACAAGACCGACAATCTCGCCGTGTCTGCCCAGGGATTCCGTCGGGGAGCAAATCGCGTGAGGAAGCAGATGTGGTGGAAGGACGTCAAGATGCGTATATGGTTGATCATCGGTATTATCGTGCTGCTCGTCATCATCATAGTACCAGCCGGTTCGTCCGCCTTTCCTTCCGCCGCCCAAATCACATATACTGACCCGTTTATAGTCGTTGCATCGAAGCATAAGTGATTTATACGTCCATGAACTCTCCTCACAATAACTTTTAATCCCTCTCCTTCGCCAGCTCGACTATATGACTACGACAGCTCCTTTTTTTCTTTTCAACCAGCGAAGTCTCTACCTTTCATGAATCTCCTATTATCCCGAACGCTAAATCCATGATTCTGATACCTATACCTCTGTTGACTCCTGACCTTTTACCCAAGACGGTGGATAGCAGGGGCTCTACCTTGGTACATCCTCGATGACTTTTTTCTTTTTGTTTCCCCCTTTCCTTTGTTGATCTTCTGTTTTAATACCATGACTCTGCCCTCTTCGATGCAAACGAACAAACCCAGAGTCGCTCTGCTATTTTAAGGGACAAAGGGTTTTATATAGAGGGTTTATTGGTATGGGCGTGAACGGATATCTTTTCTGGCTTCCCATGCTTTTTTACTGATATCATCCTCTTTTCTTTCCTTGCCTCGCCTTTTTCCTCTCTTTTTTGGCCCTCAAACAGACTCCCTTAAATGTGTTAAAATAGCGACAAATTATAATGGCTGTGTGTGTGTTTTGTTTCCTTTCTTTCTCTTCCCCCGTCCCCGTCCCTGTTTTTGATGTCATGTTAACTGTACACCAGACGAGTTCAACTGCTTTAATGTCCCTATTTGACTCCTGCGTAGCCTAACATCTGCATCTGCATCGTCTATATCGTGTGTGCTATGCATCTGCATCTCTATAAAAAGCAACGCTACCGTGTATGCTTAATGCTTCTTCCCTGATCTTCCGCATTGGCTGTGGGTCGGCCAGGGTTCAGAAGCGCATACACATAGCCACATTATATACAGTAACTAATCTATCTTTAGCTACATAGTATGTAATAGTTACATCTCCCAAGCTCTCGTATTTACCTGATATACCTATCTAAGCAAAAGGCTGGTCGGAAAGAAGCCGAAATCGGCTTTGACAAGTTAAAGAAGCTAAGAAAAAAAACCTAGCTCGAACTTCAACTTCTGCGTGTGAGTAATAAACAAAAAAGTCGACCTTCCATCCCCAACTCTTTGGACCTCCTTGCTCATTGATATACCTCTGAAGCCTCTAGAGACGAATTACATAGGGACTGCGCATGCTAGAGCCAGAGAGCCATGTCTAGCCATCTTGCGCGGAGAGCCTGCTCGAAGCTTGCTGCCGGCTGTCTGGCGGCTCGCTCCACCGGGCTGGGGTGTCCTGGTCGACTACCAGCATCCTCGCTGTCAAGCTGTTCGTCGATAGCATCGAAGCATTCGACCGTGAGCCAGCAGCAGAGACGCAGCTATACCTCTCCTCGCTACCAGCCCCATCTCTCGACTCGCTCGACGGTCGTCCAGCTGCTCAGCAACATCGGTTCGAAGCGAGAGGTCCAGCAGTACCTCTCACACTTTACATCGGTCTCCTCCCAGCAGTTCGCCGTCATAAAGGTCGGTGGTGCCATCATCACAGAGCACCTGCAGACCTTGTCTTCTGCTCTGGCCTTCTTGAACCATGTTGGGCTCTATCCGATTGTCGTCCACGGTGCGGGACCACAGCTGAACAAGATGCTCGAGGATGCCGGTGTGGAGCCCCAGTTTGAGGATGGAATCAGAGTCACGGACGGCAAGACGCTCGCGTTGGCCAGATCCCTTTTCATGGAGGAGAATCTCAAGCTGGTCGAGGAGCTGGAGCGGTTGGGCGTGAGAGCCAGACCGCTTACCACGGGTGTCTTTTCGGCAGACTATCTGGACAAGGAAAAGTACAATCTGGTAGGAAAGATCAACGGCGTCAACAAGAAACCTATCGAGGCTGCGATTGAGGCCGGATGCCTTCCTATCCTGACGTCCATGGCCGAGACACCAGAGGGACAAGTCCTCAATGTCAATGCGGATGTTGCGGCCGGTGAGCTAGCCAGAGCGCTACAGCCCCTGAAGATCGTCTATCTGGCCGAGAAGGGAGGCCTCTTTAACGGGGATACCGGCGAGAAGATATCTGCCATCAATCTGGATGAAGAATACGATCATCTCATGAAGCAGTGGTGGGTTCGTCACGGAACTCGTCTCAAGATCAAGGAGATGAAGGAACTTCTCATGGACCTCCCGCGCACTTCCAGCGTTGCCATCATTCACCCGGCTGACCTACAAAAGGAGTTGTTCACCGATACCGGTGCTGGAACCCTAATTCGACGAGGAAATAAGGTGCTCACTAAGAACAGTATCGAGGAGTTTGAAGACATTGAAGCCCTTAAGAACGCCCTAGCTCGTGATCGTGGAGCCCTGGATGCCAGAGCTACTGTCGACCGATACGTCGACTCTCTAAAGGGCCGAGAGATCAAGGCTTACTCTGACGAGCCTATGGAAGCCCTGGCAATTGTCCTGCCTCCCCAACCGGGCTCCTCGCTCGCGCACTTGACCAATATGACCATCACCAAGACAGGCTGGTTAACCCATGTTGCTGATAATGTTTTTACCAGTATCCAAAAGGATTTCCCCAAGCTGACATGGACTGTCAAGGAGGACGACGAGAACCTGTCCTGGTTCTTTGACAAAGCTGACGGAAGCTTGTGCCGAGATGGTGAGGTTCTCTTCTGGTCCGGTGTCCGGGATGCAGATGAAGTCAAGGACCTCGTTCTTGAGTTCAGTAAGAATGGACGTGATATGTTGGGGAACATCAGCCTGGAGTCTTCGTTGAAGCAAGGCACCGCTACACATGCTCCGGCAGGTGGCCACGCGTCCGCCGGCCTGCAGCAGAAGAGAGCCTTTTCGACTTCCTCCTCCAGCACGTCTGCTCTCCGATCATTCAGACAGCAGCAAGCCGCAGCTGGCTTCTCTTCCACTCGGTCATATACCACCAAAACGAACCCAAACCCACCCCTAGGCAAGAAAAATGCATCCAACACAAAGCCTTCCAAGGTCGCCCTGATCGGTGCCCGTGGCTACACCGGCCAGGCACTCATCAGCCTCCTCAGTGCTCACCCATATATGGACCTGGCCCATGTTTCCTCCCGTGAGTTGGCCGGAAAGCCTCTCCAGGGCTATGAGAAGCGTGAGATCATCTATGAGAACCTTAGCCCTGACGATGTTAAGCGTATGGCCGAACAAGGTGATGTTGACTGCTGGGTCATGGCCATGCCCAACGGTGTCTGCAAACCCTTTGTCGACGCCGTCGATCAAGTGGACAGGGAGAAAGCTGTCATCGTCGACTTAAGCGCTGACTATAGATTCGACAGCAAGTGGACTTACGGGCTTCCAGAGCTAGTTAATCGCTCTGCCATTGCACAGGCTACTCGCATTTCGAACCCGGGGTGCTATGCCACTGCAGCCCAGGTTGGTATTGCACCTTTGATTCCGCACTTAGGTGGTCAACCCACCGTATTCGGTGTCTCTGGCTATTCTGGCGCTGGAACAAAACCCAGCTTGAAGAATGATGTGGACCATTTGACCAACAACATCGTACCCTACAGCCTTACAGACCATATCCATGAGAAAGAAATTGGTTCTCAGCTCGGTACAGATGTCGCTTTCATTCCCCATGTCGCCGTCTGGTTCCAGGGTATTCACGTATGTTTTTCCTTCCTAACCCCTTACCCGTCGTTAATCTTAAATGCGCATACTAACCCTTTACAGCATACTATTAACATCCCGTTAAAAGAATCCATGGCCTCGCGTGACATTCGCAACCTCTACCAGGACCGCTACGCAGGTGAAAAGCTCGTCAAGGTCGTTGGCGAGGCACCACTGGTCAAGAACATTTCAGGCCGCCACGGCATCGAAGTTGGTGGCTTTGCAGTCCATTCAAGCGGCAAGCGAGTCATCGTATGCGCAACCATCGACAACCTACTGAAGGGTGCTGCCACTCAATGCCTTCGTATGTCCTCTTTCTCTCTCTCCGCCATCGTTGAAGCGAAATCCATATCTCTAACCTACCCCTTTTCTATATAGAAAACATGAACCTTGCTCTAGGATATTCTGAGTACGAAGGTATCCCTATGGACAAGAGCACCTGATCACCTCTACCATCTTATTTCCATCAACCCTTCCAAAAAGTCATCTAGACCTGACTTGCCGCAGCTATAGATTTTCTCCCATTTCGTTCCTCCCATTAAGCACTCGCATGTCTTCTGCTTCGTTAACTAGTGAATCATTTTCGAACAGTCTTGTCTTTTCATTTTATGCCCATTATCTGCGCATATATCTTTCCATTTCCTTTCTCCTTTGGGGTTTATTTTGTGTAAACAGTGCAAAATATATGTCTTACTGTCCTCTTTCTCATTCTTCTGGGGTTTACAGTGTGGATTTTATTCTCTCGTGTACTTTGACCTTCCGGCTTAGTTCTTCGTCTCTGTAAGCACGATACGAAGCTCTTGCTATCCTTTCCGGTGGCTGATGGAGTCTCATCCCCAATTCCTTCAGCCTTCTACATACCCATCTATACCCTGGACTGTCTATGTCTCTATCTACCCCCTTAATATCCCTATAATATCAACGCTTTTTATATATCAAGATTCTGCCACTCTAAAGCGAGAGCTCGTGACTCTCCGCCTTCCGCCCTCCTCTCACTTCCCGATTAGGCCAACGCGTCGCTCTTCTTCATCGTCTTCTTCCTTCTCGACTTCTTCTTCTTTTCTCTCGTCAACTTCTCTCTTTCAACGCATCTTCAGTTACAGTTACTTATCGGCAGTTAAGTCCTCATCTAAACCTCCAGACGGCCTGTAGATGGTCAGAAGACCAACAATTTAGAACGTGATCAAGAGAATTGACACTATGTTCTACAGTCACGAAAGTGAGTACTTTGCCTACGTCAATTGGCTACCTATACAATATAGACGAACCAAGTTGAATGGGTTTCTTCTAACTTCCTGCTGCCATTCAATTCTTGCTAACCACTTTTCTACATTTACTAGTTCTCACGTCGCGTGAGCATGGTGTTGCGACAGTGTGGTGAGTTTACTATAGATCTAGACCAAGGATAGAAGGTGAAGAAAACCGTCCAATTAATGACGGGGTACTGTGGTCAGGCTCGTCGCAACTCTCGGTGCAAAGTCAACTACTAGAAAGGTGAATAGAAAGGCGATATTGGAGGTGGATGTGCCCAAGGCATGTGATATGATTATTCGACCAGATGCCCCAATGGCATTGAGATTACAGGGGAACCTGCTGTAAGCTCAAATGCTGGCCCATCTCCGTTGTAAATGACTAATTAGAAAAATGGCAGTTATGGGGTATCAAAGGTTTATCATCAACAGTGTGGGTATGCGCTCATAGACGCGGAGGCGACAAGGGAGCGGATGAGAGCCATGTTGAAAGTAATCAATAATAATGGGTTGGATCCCGATGCTGGAAAGGCCAGGTAAGTATTATTCCTACGTATCCCCTAATATGGTCGAGCGTTTCGTAACGGCGAATTTAGGCCTGATCAAATCATGTTACCACATGATCCCGCTTTTATACCAGAGCTCATGCTTCCTGGGTTGAATGTTGACCTGTCAGCTTTAGATATGGGGCTGGAGTGGGAGTCTCCTCGTAAATCCAGCCTTCTATCAAGCTACATACCCCGATCAACCGCTTCCAACAAGTCAGGTACAGAGAAACTGCAGCTAAACCTTTCATCCTCGGATATCGGTGGCGTTCAGACAGTAGACGGTTTAGGATATATAAGTGAAATGAGCAGTGCGAGGAAGGAGCCGCAAGTAGAACTTCCATCCTATTTTAGAGATGAGGCTGGCGTATTACTACAGCCAGACTTTGAATTCGACGGTGATGGGAACATTGTTGAACTATCCCTCAAAAAAGCGACAAAGCTAAAGGATTGTGAGGGAGGCGATATTCATGTGAAAGATGACCGCCTGAGTTTCCTGAGAAATACAGGGATCGATTTCCTGGGCGAAGATTACCAAGTGAGACGAACCTGAGCTCCCATTGACTATATACGCTAATCCTGCAGTTTAGCTTGATGGAGATATCCCAATGCTTGATATTGACATAGTTCGCAACGAAGGTGCTGAGGGTATTCTCATATCTGACGGGACGCAGCCACGGGGGCAAGTGAATGATCCTGATTACTCAAAGTTCCATGAGATTTCCTCAGAAACTGGTGAAACAAAGGCACGCTTCAGGCGAAAACATCCCAAAATGGTTGAGATGGACGAGCCTGCTGAACTTAGAAACTCTGACCTAGCACAGTGGAATTCAGGGTATGCAGAGAACATGGCTGCCGCCGCCAAAGCAAAGGTACACAATAGGCTTATCACCATTGCCAAGAAGAATGCAGCTTTCTGGGTTCTGGGCTCAGGGATTGGGGCAGTAGGTATCGGCCTGGGAGCAGGAGCAGTGCTACATCCATTGGAAGCGTTTTCTGGTGACCAGCTACTAGCATCCTTGACCGGTGTTGCTTGCAGAGAGAGACGTAGGAAGAGAAGCCATGATGGAACGGGAGACCCCAATGCATCCGTTGAGAAGAGGGCTCGTACCAGAGCTGATGACCCTGAAATTGGTCTATGCGAGGCTGTAGAAGCGGATGAATGTCCCGGTTTAGTAGTTGAAGTACGCTATTACTCCCGACTGCAGGAAGAAATAACGAACGTGGTTGCACTAACGTCTAGCCATAGGATATAGAGGTCGGTCGACAGGCACCCGCGCCTCTTCGGGATGACGATCTATCCCATATGCCATGGAACATCACTGCGTCTATCAAGAGCTCGGCTCGACGTTCGTCAGTGTACTCTCGCCAGGTGTTCGCGAGCGGAGGCTTGTTTTCAAGCATCGGTGGGCCGCGCTCTGTAGTAAGCCCCGGGCCGGATGGCCTGCCCAATGCAGCCTTCCGACGAGGGCGTCTGAGGAGCGCAAGTCCACTTGCTGGTCGCGGGGGCATGGTAAATATCCAGCTGCCAAGTGACCAGGACATTGACATGGACACTTTCAGTGGCATCGACGCAGTCCATTGCGGCGACGAAGACGGCCAGCCAGAGGAGCAACCGGACCAGGAGAGATGGATCCAGAAGCCAAACTGGCAGAGTAGCAGCCTTGACCAAGAAACCATCAACTTCTACGAGTACCTGAAGATTCGGATTGAGGAGGATCCGGAGGTCGGAGGTGCAAATCCAGGGGTATCTTTCGCCTCGCTGCTTCCACCCAAATCGAGCTCTCGCGTTGTCGCGACGCAGGCGCTGCTCCACGTTCTGACCCTCGCAACGAATGGAGCTCTTCAAGTACAGCAGGATATCGCCAACGACCCAGTAAGCGTCCAAGATACCGGGGATATCTTCATGATGCTTGGAAGCTAAACAAGCGGCTCCCACATGCAATGCACGCGAGCGGAGTTTTCCACCCAGACGTCAACTTTTACATGATTTTTTTATATTTGACAATCCGAGAGCCATTTGAGCGATAATTTGACCGTATCTCCTTTTGTTTCTTAGTTCGCAATTTAAAAGGGGGGAGAGGGAGTTCTGCGCTGATATATACTTATGCTTCGCGTTATTTTGCCCATGTATCGTTATTAATCTCTTCTTCATGCCCAGTTTTAACCCCGTCCTGTCAATCTCCAGGGCTACGGAAGGCCCACGAAGCCGACGCTTGCACTGCCACCAGCCTTGGCAGAGACAAACCAGCCTGAAACAACTGTTCATCCTTCCGTCACTCTCGTTCGCCAACAAGAAAGTCAACAGCATCACAACCTCGCACCCCCTGGCCTCTCTCTCGCCTTTCCCCTTTCAAGCGTGAAGCTGCAGGCTTTCAATTCACTGCTCGGGCCTGCGACCTTCGAGCTCCAAGTCTTTTTCTCTATCCAGCCAAGCCTGGCACATCGTCGTCAGCCAGGGAAAAAAAAAAACGTTCGAGTTCCACCTGAAGAGAAGATCCACCGTCCAGGCGCCGCGCTCTTGGATATCGTTGCAAAAGGGAGCATCCGACATATTACTTACAACGTACGCTCGCTCGAATCTCTCCCGCAAGCATCATCGAGACTCTCATACGGGGCCCCGTCCATCGACCGTTGATATCATTGAGGTTGCCCCCTCGAACTACTTTGTGTTCCACAGGTCAAGCCCGCTCAGATGACCTGAAGACATTACAGACCGCATGCTACATTCGTTGACTTGAGTGTTGAATCAGCTCATTTGCTGTCGTTCGTTTATAAATCATCACCCGGCTATACATCATTTCCACCGCTCTTCCGCTTTACCTTCTCGTCACAACGATGCTGTCCTCTTATCGATCTCCCAAGTCATGGATATCGCTCCTGACACCGTTGCTAGGGGCCCAGGTGGCTCTAGCATCGATCAATCTAGACTTAGGAAGCGAAGGTGAGATAATTCTTAGTGTTGCTGTTTGAATGGGTAGTATTGGTTGCTAACTCTTTCACCGTGGGGGGGTAGATTCTATCAAGAAAGCTGCAAGCAGTATCGCCTATGGAATGGTGTCCTACTACACTGGAAACCGCACTGGAGACGTTCCGGGCAACCTGCCAGACCCCTACTACTGGTGGGAGGCCGGCGCGATGTTTGGAGCTCTCGTAGACTATTGGTATTACACCGGGGACGACTCCTATAATAAGATCACAATGCAAGCGATGCTTCACCAGGTCGGAGAAGATAATAACTATGAGCCTCGCAACCAAAGCCGCAGTCTTGGTAATGACGATCAAGCATTCTGGGCTATTACCGCAATGAGTGCTGTTGAAAACAAGTTCCCCGATCCCCCACCGGATCAGCCACAATGGCTCTACCTCGTCCAGGCGGTATTCAATCGTCAAGCAGGGCGCTGGGACAACGATACCTGCAACGGTGGCCTACGATGGCAGATTTTCACTCTCAACAATGGATATCACTATAAAAACGCCATTTCTAACGGCGCTTTTTTCCATATGGCTGCTCGTTTGGCAAGGTACACAAACAATGAGACCTATGCCGAGTGGGCTGAAAGATCTTGGGAATGGATGACATCTATCCAGCTTATAAGCCCAACCTACCAAATTTTCGATGGTACCGACTCAGCAGACAACTGCTCCAGCATTAACCATATTCAATGGACATACAACAATGGTATCCTACTTCTTGGCGTTGCTCACATGTACAACCACGTAAGTCTCCCGTGGATATGTCCATTGATTTTTGTAAAATTCACTGGCGAATTGCTGACACATCGACATAGACTAATGCAGATGCCAAATGGAAAGCTCGTCTCGACGGTCTCATCAAGGGATACGAGGTCTTTTTCTCACAGAAAGACCCAAAGGGCATTATGATCGAAGTTGCTTGCGAGGCCCAAGGAAACTGTAACAATGACCAGCGCTCCTTCAAGGCCTATATGAGTCGTTGGATGGCTGCAACTATGATAGTGGCCCCCTATACCCGGCCATTAATTGAACCTCTGCTCCAAGCATCTGCGAAAGCAGCGGCCCTACAGTGCAACGGCCCGAACAATGCTTGTGGCCTCTACTGGACCAAGGGAGCGGACTGGAGTACCTCTAAGACCGGAGTTGGTGAACAGATGGCTGCTCTAGAGGTTATTCAATCCAACCTTTGGCCAAAAGTGGTACTCGGTCCGGCCAACAGCAAGACAGGTACAAGTAAAGGCGACCCTAGTGCAGGTGGTGGAGGTTCTACAATGAAGCAACCATCAACAATCAATACCGGAGACAGAGCAGGCGCTGGTATTTTGACCAGTCTCATTCTCCTGGGCATTGCCGGAGGCGTATGGTGGATGGTATCATAAACAATTTTCCCTTCACTTTCCTTTCTAATTCACATAGTATGTATGCATTTGCTTTGGTGGTCTGATGTTCCATCCCAACCAACTATCTGATCCTCGATATTTCATTTCATCTGTTAGTTTGCACACACACACGCACACGCGCACACTTTGTAACCCTATTGCGTCTCAATTATATTACCTATTTATTTCATTTCATTCCTGCCCCCGTTCCTTCTTCCCCCTTGCCTGTTTCCTTCCCATCATTGCTTTTTTTAAAGGAGAATCGGAGTGTAGAGGCGTGGCTATGCGTCTTAGGCAATATTCATGATCTTGTTTCTCAGTTACTGCTTTACTCCTTTGAAGATGTTGCTTTTTTATCCTTTGTTATTTACAGGCCCAGGGCACCTCCTTCGAATAGTAAATATTATACTTATGTCTATGCTTTGCCTATTTATGCCCGTTTCGAGGAGTCAAAGGTCACACGGGCACCTCCCAGCCCGAGAAATATCTATCATATCTCCTTATATATATGTACATGAGTGGGAAGATGCAGAGATGTAGATACAATACCCTTAGAGTCAACGGATAGATGAGATGATCATAGTAAACAGCCCGTAAACGCCTTCCTGGATGTATATAGTACATAATACCTTGACTCATATGCAAGGCATCGTAATAGATATTCTTATCTGTCAAAACCTCGAATCGTCGATAACGGTATATGTGAAGGTAGAGCGTAGGTCAAGAGAAGGTAGTCCACTGCCTACAGCCAACCTACGGTAAATTCAGTGCCTCGTAGGAAATAAAGCGGTTCAATTGCCTGTGGTTGATAGGTCTGAGAATAGCTCATTTCTCCGGGTGTTGTTCCTGCTGCTCCTGTGACTCTGGCAGCTTCTTTTGCTTCCTTTTTTCTTGTTCAGCTGCATTGACAGCTTCCCAGACTACAAACATGCCTCATCAGCTTTGAAAAAAATCAAGGGATACAGCCCTAAGAATAGCATGACAATGAGAAGAGTAACGCGAAGGACGTACCATTCTTATCAGACTTTGCATGTTCCTTCAGCTGCTTTACGAAATGGTCAAACTCCTGTTGTCGCCTTTCCCGGTTCTCCAGATTCCGCTTTTGTATCTCAGGATTGAATCTCTATGGTCGTGGAGTGAATGTGAATTAGCCCATGCTTTCGAGAAGCTTTCGTTGATAGCAGTTGGTTGGGAGGCATGTAGTCGCGATCAAGGAGTGCGCATACCTTGAATAGTTCCTCCTCCGTAGGACGCACATATTCTACTAAAGCCGGACCTCCGATAATAAGTATCGAGCCTCTACAACATGGCGCCTGTTAGCTGCTGCTGCTTCTGCGTTATTCGCGATGGGATCGTTGAGCAACATTCACCCGATAAGCATCTTAGTCCACGCCCGTGCAGACCTCATGATGCAAATGCAATCACTCCCGTACGGCACAATATGTCAGACAGCCGAGTAACTATCCGTCTCGAAGGAAAACCAGGTGCTCTCGATTATCGACCTCGAGCTCTTGGTCGTCTTTCTGCATGTTCAAGCTTATCATGCCTTTAATCCGTTTGCGGTTTAGCGCGGATGGAGTCTCAGATATAAAATATAACGAGTCTCTCTACTGTCACTAAGAGCGGAATCGCCTTTTTGGCCGGGTGGCAGATTCCAACAGTTATGAGCCCTTTTTCCTGCGGCCACCCCCGAAGACAAAACTCCAAACAGCTTTCTCGACCCCTACAACACGACTCAAAGCCCACCTTCCAGGGACGAACGCAGTCCCAGTCCCGGAACCCAATTCCAAACCGCATTTATAGAGGCATACACTAGTACAGCGAATATCTACCCTGAGGAACACACTAGGCCAAAAGATTGGACACCGAACCCGGAAATGAAGAAGGTAGAAGAGGCTTTGAAGAACCCTCGAATTAGAAAGGACGTTGAGAAGTCAAGGCAACGGAATAAGGAATACAATAAGAAAAAGGAACAGGGTGCAGCCAACCTACGGTAACGGACCTGGAACAAGACGAAGACTATCATCCCACAGCACTACTCACAGTGGGATCCAACGTAGCATCGGCCTACAGCCAAATGTCGAGCTACCACCCGCGAAACAGTGTGGTATACGACACCGCAGCCAACAATCATATAGTCAACGACAAGAACAGGTTCCTGACCATGGAGTCATTCAATGACGAAGTCCTCACCGGCGACAATACAACAAGGGTGATGGGACGAGGTGACGCTCGAATCTGGATGACGAGCCCCAAAGGAACAATTTCAGGTTATCCTTAAAACAAGCCCTAATTATTCCTGGCTTCCACGCAAATGTGCTAGCCAATGAGCCTCTAGGATATACCTTTGACACAGAAGCAGAAAGAATAAGGCACAAAAAGTCCAAAAAGGAGGTCGCGATAATGAGACGAATATACCCGATGTGGGTAGTTAAGTTCAACGAGCCTGAGCTCTTGGTACAAACACCAGGAATATCCGCGTTCTCATCATCTCGGGAACCAAAAATGAACGTTGCAAACGAAGCAACGTGGCACCGGCGGTTAGGACACCCAAATAACGAAGTCCTGAGGCACGTTGAAGAGCTATCAGACGATATCGAGATCGTCCGGCCGAAGGCTCCAAACAGGCGAGCCCGCACTAAGTGGCGGTAGAGACTGGTTATATTTGACAGATATCAAATAAAAAATTCAACGCCAAGTAAACAAACATATTCAATAAATCTAGGGAGAGAAGGATGCTGAATTTCTAGCAATGGGATATTTACCCAATCAGATAAATACCTATCCTATAGAGACATGTCTATAGCTTTATTTCCTCACTGCAACCGCTTACAATAGTGTATATTTGAGCTCTTTGGCTCTCCTAATATGCCTACCCCTATGGCATGTTGGCTGTGCCTGGCTTCCTTACTTGGAATGCGGCTTTACTCCGTTGGTTTCGCTTCTTAAGCCCTTGTTAACTGGGTAGTTTGAATAATGGATATACCATCATAACATGTCTAGCTTCAATGCCAGCAACATATAGCCAAGTACCGGAAACCAGAGCATAACCTTGAGAACTTCATGCTGTTATGGTTCATTTCAATCTCTACTTCTTTCTTTGTTCTTGCTCAGATTAATTCTAGCGAAGCAAGATCTTGAAATTTTCATGAACTACAAACTCGATTTCAAATTTTGATTTCTTCTATCTTTACCTTCCGTTCGCCAAATACGTCAGCTTCACCCTCATTGAGGCTATAAAGCTATCAAGGTGAGATCCCACTCTTAAGCCTCACTTCAAATATTCTTGCACCCACTTGACCTCCCATGTATTACAACAGTCTTGCATTGGGTGTGTACGTGGAAGAAATATTTACTCTTCATTCTAAGATGTTAACTGAATTTGGGTCTAGGAAACGCCATGAGTAGAAGTCGACCAGATCACATACTAGACCCTAACGGTGATGTGATTATCGAGTTGAGAATAGAACCAGGAAATGGCGCCACGAAGCCACACGAAGAGTCTTTTCAAGTGTGTTCAAGACACCTCATACTAGCTTCTGGCTATTTTCGCATGAAGTTTGCAGGGCCATGGAAAAGAGCATACCAATCGAGAGGCAGCCAATGCCTCCGAGTACCTCAAGATTGCAACAATTTGGGAATGTTCCTAGTCCTCATGAATATTTTTCACGGCCATTCAAGGGGTGTGCCTCGGAAAGTTAGCCTTGGGGAACTTGTCAGCTTTGCCGCCCTTGTTGAAACCTACGAATGCCTCGACATAGTGGGCTTTTTTGCGGATATCTGGATTCGCGCACTCAAGGGCCGCCTTCCTAGAACTTTCTCAGATACCGCAAAAATGTGGACTTATGTGGCATACATTTTTCAGGAGCCGATTGTTTTCCAGTCGATGACGAAGATAGCTGTGAAACACGGCAAAAGAATTACTTCTTCGGACCTCCTTCTTCCTCCGGATGTCTGTTGTAAGGACATTCCAATAAAATCACATAAACCTGTTTGTACCAAGGACTAACGGCGGGGATAGTAGAAATCGAGAAGCAGAGAGTGGCATTGAATTGTCAACTTTTGATATTCCTTAAGCGCACAGTTTTGAGGCTGCAAGTGGAAACTTCATCGAATAACTCCGGATCTGCTGGATTGACCCTTGGAATATTATCTGCACGCCTCGCCGACCTCCGCCTTCTAAACCGCCGACCAACCCGCCCATTCTACCACGTAAGTTTTGCAAACATAGTTAGGAGGCTCAAAAACCTGGATATTGAAGTGACCCCTTCTATCCATCATCGTACTGTAGGATATTAACCTGGATTGCCCCATTTGACTGATCCTTGCTAACATAGATTCCAGGAAAGAATCACAACATATCTCGAAGCCCTGGAACACGGAGTTAAAGGCCTGCGGTTGTGTGATGCCCGAACATGAACTCTGGTAATAAGATATCTTAAATAATTTTCTGGGTTAAAGCATTGCCCTTCTCTTTGTCATTTTAGGATGATCCTAGCAGATTCTACTTAACTGCCAACAATGGACTCTGACCATGACTACATTGCCTATGTTCCGTAATTAGCTTAAGCCTTTCTAGCGCTTGGATAGTGGCTCAGCGCGATATTTATATCTGATTCGCGGGTCTTCTGCGTAAGGCAGGAGTATTCATGAAGAAGTTGTCAAAAGATACGGTCGTAGGTATTTATTAACTAATTATTTGACATATGTAATGGGACAGCTTTATGCACAAAGGCCTAGAGCATAGTCTATGATAGTTTTAAACAGTCTAAACCATCTACAGAACCATTGCTTCACGCAGCAAGACTCTTAGGGGCTTCGGTTGCCGGTCCCTCAGGGGTGACATATGCCTAGCACATGATTAGCAAAGACGGTCATGATTAAAATAGAACAAGGGAGTAGCATACCTTGGTCATGCCGCCATCAACGACGAAATCAGTGCCATTGACGAAACCGCTCTCATCACTAGCCAAGAACAAAACGGCCTGCGCCTGCTCGACGGCCTCTCCGAATCGGCCAGTAGGGAAATGAATCTCACGTCTAAGGCGCTTTGGAGCGTCATCACCAAGCCAATCTTGAAGTAGAGGGGTGCTATGATTTAATTCACATGTCAGCAAGAGATATATCAGTCATTTAGTCTGATTTAGCAACACTCACTTCAATGGGGCGGGGCACAGCGAGTTGAATCGGAATCCCTCCCGGGCATGGACGATTGCCAGCTCCCTAGTCATGGCCAGCACGGCTCCCTTACTGGCAGTGTACGCAAGCTGTGGAGTGGCACTACCAACGAGAGCAACAACGCTAGCAGTGTTGATGATGCTTCCTTTGGTCTTCTTGTTCCTGCGAAGACTAGCAACAGCATGTTTGCATCCGAACCATACACCCTTAACATTGATATTTTGAGTCAGGTCCCAGATCTTCTCTGGAGTGTCGATGGCGTCGGCATCGTCTGCGTGCATAATACCGGCATTGTTAAAGATAATGTCCATGCCACCCCATGAATCCAATGAATCGATCATAGCTTTGACATCAGCCTCCTTGGAAACATCGCATTTAACCGTTTCTACTTTTGAGCCCGCCGGAGCAACCTTCTTCACTTTGGCAAGCGCAGCTTCGAGAGCTGGTTCAGATATATCCGCCATGAGAACAGCAGCGCCCTCTCGTGCGAAAAGAATGGTTGTCTCCAGGCCAATTCCACTAGCACATCGCCGAGTTAGCTTCTAGAGAAGAAGCAAGAAGCTATATAACGTCTAAGGACCGACGAGTCTCACCCAGCAGCACCGGTTATAATGGCATTCTTGCCCTGAAGACGTCCTCCGGTCATGGTGATCGTACTGAGTCGAAATGCGGGGTGTTCTAAAGCTTTAGCAGTCAGATCAGACTGCAAAAAAGGTAATAGAAGGCTATAGCCAGATGAAGAGACGCCTGATGCTGATGCTGATATACTCACTATGACAGTTGTTATTATCGAGTGTGAAATGGCTGTTTGTATAAGTTGTCCAAGTTGAACAATAACGAGGGGCAGAGAAGGGCGAGAGATGAATCAGCCAAAACCGAAGAACCAGCACACGAAGTCTCCACCTGGAGTGGAGCAACTTTATATAAACATATAAGCTTCTTTCTCATCATTCTAGACATTTGAATATTTGGGCTTTGGGGTACTTGAGCCGAGTATTCCCCGAGTAAGGAGGTCATCGCTTTACGTATATACGGATGACATTTGAACACTTTAAGCCTGTTAAGCCTGTTAACCACTAGAGATGGAAGATAAAATATCAATTTAAAGAGGAAGTATGTAAGTTAAATGGATTTAAGCTATAAGATGCTCAATGTTTCGTTCTTAAAGTTGGCCTTCTATCATCCTAAGCTTTGTTCTTTCATATATCAAGATATATTCCACAATGATAGGGCTTATGAACCAAAGGATACCATATGTATTCCTCAAAGGGTGTCTGGGAGAACAGGAGCAAAGCAAATCGTTTACCAACCGGTTATCATCATGTCTTGTCTTTGAGATTTGATCTCGAAGACAAAAACCAGATGGATATTAGTAAGCAGATATGACTAAGCGCGGGTAACGTTCAATCACATGATTCCGAGATAAGCGCCGGCGATAAGGGCGGATGAAGAAGACGAAGACGAGGACGACGTAGCAGATCGCAGCCATCAACCGAGAAGACAGCGACCTGGCTCCCTGTTGGCCTTTGAATTGGGGCACTCACCGTTCGTAGAGCCAGCAGTTCTCTCTTTTGGTTTCTGTTTGGCATATCATCACTGTTATACGGTTCTTTGCGCCGGACTTACTCCGTCAGGAGGGGTTATCCAGCCAAAGGCTACGAAGATGGCCGCGGATACCGTATCTCTCGATAACCTGGAGGAAGTCCTCGCCAATGACAGCCAGGTCAAGGTTGCTGGCTTCGACGCTGATGGAATACTTCGTGGGAAGCTCGTCTCCAAGAAGAAATTCCTCTCAATCGCAAAAGATGGGTTCGGCTTCTGTTCCGTCATCTTCGGGTGGGATATGCACGATCAGACGTACTTCAAGGAGCTGGGTATCAGCAACAAAGAGAATGGATATAAAGATCTCGTTGCTATCCCGGATATGAGTAGCTTTCGGAGAATACCATGGGAGGACAATGTACCTTTCTTCTTGGTCAGCTTTTTCGATCCCGATACCAAGAAGAGCATCTCCGCCTGCCCGCGCGGGCTGTTAAAGGCCGCTACTTCTGGGCTGGAGCAGAAGGGCTACAGGGCTATGGCCGGAGGTATGCCTCTCTTCATCCATATGTCACCATTGAGCAGAGGTAGTCTTGATTCTAATGTGGCTTGAAAGCGGAGTTTGAGTTCTATCAGTATCGTGCGCCAACTACTATTGACTCTCTCGAACGAAACTCCACTGGAACAGCCCGTTTTCTCAAGGAAAACCAAGTCACCGACCTGCAGCCATTAACCGAGGGTATGTTTGGTTATAGCTTGACTAGGACAGTGCATAACCAGGAGTACTTCTACAAGATCTTCAGCACCTGCCGTGAATTCGAATGTGATATCGAAAGCTGGCATACTGAGAGTGGTCCCGGAGTTTTTGAAGCGGTGTGTTAATGTTTCTTTCTCTAGACGTTCGAGGTGACCATGCTAAGAGAGCAATGATAGGCACTGCAGTTCGGAGAAGTAAAGGGAATGGCCGACCGTGGTGGCCTGTTCAAGTATGCATCCCCAATTCTTCGGTACAGGGCGAAAGTATATATTAACCACAGAGTACGGAGTAGATACGTCGTCAAGTCAGTCGGCTCAAAGTACGGGATCACACCGGTTTTCATGGCCAAGCCGCGTCAGGGTCTCCCTGGAAACAGTGGCCACATGCACATTTCTCTTGTCGACGAATCGGGTGCTAATATCTTCGTCCGTGACTCTCCCGACCCTTCTGCGCCGTACCCAGACGTCGCCTATATTTCTGATATTGGACGACAGTTCCTTGCAGGGATATTAGTTGGCCTTCCGGATATTATGCCTATACTTGCGCCCACCATAAACTCATATAAGCGACTGGTAGAGAATTTCTGGGCTCCTGTGACGGTCTCATGGGGTCTCGAGCATCGCGCCGCGTCCATCAGAGTTATCTCCCCGCCAACTTGCAGTGGGAAAGGAACGAGATTTGAAATCCGTGTCCCCGGCGCTGACATTAATTCGCACTATGTCCTAGCTGCGATAGTCGCGTTGGGATGGCGCGGTGTAGAGAAGAAGCTGGACATTCCTATCCCTCCACTACCAAAGGGTGAGAACGTCGGCAGCAACGCTGACAAGGGCGAAAGACTAGCGAAGAGTCTCAAGGAGGCTGTTTCCCGGTTCACAGCCAAGGAGAGTGTTGCCAGAGAGGCTTTTGGAGATGATTTTGTGGATCATTTTGGTGGGACGAGAGAACATGAGATTCGTCTCTGGGAGGAGGCTGTTACCGATTGGTATGTTTCATTTCCACCGTTCCCTTTCCTCCTTTCTTTGTATCACATCACGCCTGGCTAACCATTTGTTCACTTCTTGTATTCTTATAGGGAGGTGAAACGATATATAGAAACCGTGTGATCTTTTATATACACGTACATACAAAGGTATTCGGTTTTGGTTTTGTTAAGATCTATAGTACAAATTCCCACGAATCCACCATTAATACACTATAGCCATAATACAACTTATCGGTATTCAGATCTACCAACTCCCCATAAATATACGTAACATCCCATCAACAGAAGTATATACGATACAGAGTTAAGAGTACAGGGATATTGACTACATAGCGATCTCCCGAATACCGGCACTCTGTATCGGTTCTTTCCCCAGGTTCTTGGATTTCCGGGTATATGTATATACAGAATGATAACCCTAAACCCTGTAATATCCAGTATTTAATAGTAATAAACACGCAAAAGCCGCCGGTAATTATCCGTTTGGACTTTTAACGCGTACAAATGGAGCTAATTAGTGAGTTTTTTTTGGCGTATATAAAACTCTAAACCTTAAAAACCGCCCCAGTTCCTGGTTGTGCGTGAATATAAGCTAGTATTTATAGTAAGTATGTATTTTTTTTAAACGCCCGGTACGGGGTACGGGGATTTGAATTAAGTTGGTGCCTTACGGTAAGTATAGGGTCATGGGTGGGGTGTTATTTTTGGTTATTACAGCGGGAGTATTGTAGTATCGTGGTACGGATGATAGAAGCGCGGATTGTGCGAAAGAGACAGGCTGGCATTTAGCATTATAAAAGTTGACGTGAGGGCGGAAAGAGGATTCATATAAAGATCAATAGACAAAAATCTTCGGGCATATAACGGAAGCGCAAAAAAAAAAAAAGAAGTAAAGCAAAAGTAAGTGGTATCAAGAAGTGAAAATAAGAAACGAGCTAAACCGGTAAGAAGTTGAAGTGAGAACCGAGGCACGGGGGTCAAGCCAGCCTGGGGAAGCGGAAGAGTGGGGGAAGGATTAGAGTAGGGATGAGAGTAAAAGGGCAAGAAGAAGCAAGCAAAGACGAGCGCTAGACGACTTCAGGGGGCATAAGATATATAAAGTTGGATATAGAACGAAAACAAGGGGCAAAACGATGAGCACAAGAAAGAAAAAACACCAATTTCCCTGGCCATGATGTATAACCGATTTCCATATAAGCAGAAGCATTACTAATGAGTCATTCCAAGCGTTGGACACAAGGTTTTCTTTTGAGCAACGATGTGGGCGGTGATTAGTTGACACGGAAGGCATCAAGGATCACTATAAAATGAAGGTTAGTGCATCTCGTACCGGAGGGGCGGCATGGTGTGGGGGTAATACCTTCTGAGCCACGACGACAGCCACTGCCAACCCACATGATGGTATTAACAAACGCGTATCGTTCATCGCCGGTTTCCATAGAGATATTGACACGGTATTTGTACGTGTTTGGGTTGACGGAGTCAGCGACGGTAGGGTCAGAGACCTTTTCCAGGACCTCTTTGGCACCGGTCATCCAGCCATTGGCCTTGACCATGATGAATGCAGGCGGTTCGTCAGAGGTTTGAAGGAGATATGAGGATTTCATGCTTGTGGCAAGCTCTTTGACTACTACCTGGGAATCTTGTCCTCCCGGCTAAAGACAGTGTTAGGTAGATGGGATTAAAGAGAGAGAGGGAGAGAGAGATGAAGGAAGTGCTGCTTTGTAGTAACTTACCAAGACAACACCTTTGCCCCATCTACCGGCCCACTGGCCTCCAACAAAAGTGACCCAGTCACGCTGGCCCCAGATGCTGTGTCCAAGCGAGACAGAAGGATTCAGCTTGATGCTCATGCGGAAATCAAGCTCCAGTGTGGGTGCGGGAAGCTGTAGGGACCGAGCAATGTCTCCCTCCGGGAATGTATGCTGTAGGTTGTTTGCTGGGATAGAGTCTTTCATGACGTTGAGGTAGGTCGGACATTCTAGCAGATGTTGGCGCTGGCGACTGGTGTTCTTTGCGCGTACCTGCTGACAATATATACATTGTACAGACAAACACTACCAAAGTCAGTCTCTCTTTGTCTTTCCAAAAAAAAAAAAAAAATTTCTTTCTTAAATATATAACTACCTTATCCTCTTCCTTTGCGCGAAACTCAACAAAGGCGGCGTGGACGTCGTCTAGGGGCGGGGCGGGGAGGCTGGACGTGCTCTGGCGGGGTTGCTTGGCGACTTTGGGCGTGCTGTGGGGACGTGCAGGCCCGGCGGGAGCGGAAGGAGGAGCGGAGGGCGGAGCGGCCTGAGATGGCAACGACGGGCGACCAGGCAGGCTTGGCATGGGCGTCTGCATCCCGCTGGCGTGCGGATTGACGCCCGTAGGCATCATCGGTCCGTTTGTCGACGGCAGCGTGGCCGTGGCCGGCCCTGGCGCTCCGGGGGGACCGGGTGGTCCGCCAGGAGCAGCGCCATAGCCGTTTGCACCGCCGGCGACTCCGTTCGGCTGCTGTTGCTGCTGCTGTTGTTGCTGCTGCTGCTGGTGCTGGGGAGGTGCTGGCTGAGCGTGCGGATTGTTGTGGCCTCGCAGGGCTGGACACTCGAGCAGGTGCTGTTTCTGCCGGCTGGTGTTCTTCGCGCGGATCTGCTGGCAGTAGATACACTGCACGGAGAGACACTACAAAGACCCAAAAAAAACACAACCAAGCGGTTTATCGTTTTCTTATATCAGCCGGGAGCACCGTTTTTTGGGGCATTACCCGCGAAATACACGATATATAATACGGGGGAGTTTCACCTTGTCGTCTTCCTTGGCGCGGAACTCGACAAACGCGGCGTGCACCTCCTGGTCGACGGTGCGACCCATCGTAATGTTCGAGACAGTACGAGGGAGCAGCAGCGAGGGGTCGACGACCGACGTCTGGACGGCTGCTCGCTGGCCTGGAAGGGCGAGAGGATGCACACTGGGCGAGACGCTCGCGAGCTCCTTTTTTTTTTTTTTTTTTTTGGTCCTGTTTATTTCCTTTCTCTCTTCTTCTTCTTTTCTTTCTTCGCTTTTGCTGGAAAAAAGTCGTGGATGGAAAGAAAAAAAACAGAGAGAGAAAAGAGAGAGAGAAAAAAAGGGCGAAAGATAAAAAACAGGAAACGGAAAAACCGTCACCGCGTCAGCGTATTTTACGTCACAGCTGCTGACTAAACTCGGAATGGGGCTGTATTGTTCCGTAACGGCCGTATCGGGGTTGTTTGGATACGCCGTACGTCGTTTTATTCGTATGTATGATACGCTGTTGATACGCTTTTTTATGGTTTTTTATTTTATTTTTTTGGAGCATTTTTCAGACGAAGATTTTTGACGGTCAGGATGAGTTTTATAGATGAGAGACTTGGGGAGTTCGTTTGGACGGTTCTGTCGGGCTGTGTCAGAGCCAGCGTTGGCGGTCGAGCGCGCTGCTAGACGAGAAAAAAGTCTCTTGGCCTGCGCAATGCGCTATATATAGAGAGGAGATATCAGAGAAGTTGTTGGATCTATAGCGAGGGCGGAGGATAAGGATCAGAGAGATGCCGGCGAGAAAGAAGAAGAAGAACGGTGAGTGAGTTTGACGGATGTGTCGAGCAAGCTGACGGAGACGTCTAGGTGAACGGACATCGCCGGCAGACTTTGCACAGTCGCTGCAGCCTTCGTTCCTGGCCACGGACGGGGAGGACTGGATCACGGCGCCCTCGCTCAGTCGACCGGAGCTAAGCTTCAGCCCGGCCATCTTTCTCTCCGTCTCGACTCACCTGCTGGCCAATCCAAACCTGGTGTCCCCTAGTCTCTTCAGGGCTGACATCCTCCATGACAGCTCTGGCGTTCTGGAGACAGCCAGCAGTGATGCCAGGGGGACGGAGATTGAGCACGGTGTACGCTCTCCGGCCCCGTTACCTGGATTTGAACCGATGCGTGTGGTCGTCAGGAGGTTGATACCGAGGAATCCGAACCTCGATCCGACCCACGACCAGACTTGTCACATCTACCGTGGCATAAACGGCCGTGAAGACAGCCAAAAGACATCGTATCTGGCCGTATACTGCCCTCACGCCACTGCTGAGCAGGATGTCCCATACTACCACCCGGCCGTGCGTGGATTTGCCCTCCTATACACCCACAGCGATGCCAGCGGCAGTGGCGCACTCTCCCTTCACTTTCTGCCCTTCTCGTCCGGCATACCAGCCACCATCCCCAACCGCCTCCATCGTACTCTCCTCAACCTGCTATCCACACACGTCCGTCTGGCCTCGGGGCCTTCTGCAACCTCCCATGCAACCGGCTCACAACCCAGGCCGTTCAAGGATAATCTTATCCCCCAGCACACCGTACAGAACACCTACACAAGACTAAAGTCAAAGTATGCGCACAGCCTCGTCAGGAACTGGGTCGAGGTCACGGAGCCGTCGAAACATGTGTTTGAAGACCTCTCCATCGCCGCCTTTTTGATCGAACTGTGGGGCATAATTTATCATCTGCCTACATCCGCTCCTACGGAGGATGCAGATGCACACGTTGACGTGACAAGACAGGAACCTCCCAGGAGGAAGGTGGGATTCCCTGGATTCGTCGACATTGCGTGCGGGAATGGTGTGCTGGTGTATATCCTTCTATCTGAAGGATATGACGGTTGGGGTTTCGATGCGCGTTCACGCAAGACCTGGTCTATCTTCCCTGCCTGGGTCCAGGTTCGGCTGAAGGAGAGAATATGCGTGCCACAGCCCTTTAAAGACGTGCTGCCCCAAAATCATGGTGATTCAACCGACTCCGGCCACTTCGGGAGCGGCACATTCATCATATCCAATCATGCGGATGAGCTCACCCTCTGGACTCCTTTGCTAGGAGTCTTATCCAATCCTTCTCAACCACTGCCTTTCCTCGCCATACCATGCTGCTCCCACGGGCTGTCGGGCGCTAGATACCGCTATCCACCTCCAAAGGACTCAGCTCTCAAGGGATCTTACGGAGAAGCCGAGGAAATGGAAAGTAATCCACTAGATGAGAACGAGGAAGGGTATCATGACCAGGGTCCCCAGCCACGGAGTGGTGACCTCAAGGCCTTACGTAGTAAAGTACTTGAAGCTCGACAGAATCCAGGATCGACTTCATCCACCTACGGCTCTCTGACGGCTAAACTCGTCTGCATAGCTAAGGAGGTAGGGTATGAAGTGGACAGAACGTTGCTGCGTATCCCCAGCACGCGGAACATCGGAGTGATAGGAGGTTTAAAGGCGTGGCAGGCTATTACCCCCCCTCCTGAACAGTCAAATACTTCCCTCGGCGAGCGGCTGGAGGGAATGACACTTGACGTCGACAAGCGTAGAGAGAAAGTCCAGAGTGTCGTAGAGAGGGAGACCAGCAGAGACGGCGGACTAGTTGTCTCTGCGAATTCCTGGCTTGAACGGTCGATGGGATTGGTCAAGGGCCAGGGAAGGGGGAAGCTCAACGATGCCACGAATGAACATCATAATTAATTTTGGTCGAAGAGGTGGAATTATCAGAGTATAAATGACAATAAAGAAAATAAATGCAACTTGCTATCTATAAGCAATATCCAGTGCCACATCGCATACACATGCAAATCAAATAACAAATACCACAGAGGTAGCCCCCCTACGCCAATATTAATCACCCAACCATCGCCCTTTTACCCTTCGATTTCTCCGACATCCCTCGCTGAGCCTTAACCTCTTTCATGCGCAACACGCACCGTCTAAAGTCTAGCTGGCTGTAATCCTCAGGCATAAATTCGCCGCTGAAAATGCACAGTACCGTCATACCAGGCTTGTATACTAACCCGCCAAGCAGTTTAGGAGTAATGAGGAAATATTGCCCACCGGTGGTACCCGAATCGGCCTGCCCACACGCAATATCAACCATGCGCTCGTGGACCATGCGCTCGTTTCGTGGGTCCATACCCTGGTTGATCTCATCAACTACCCTAAACGGCGAGGCAGAGAGCGATTGTAGTGCCATGAGATAGAAGATGGTGCTGACTGCTCGCTCACCGCCAGACTGGCGATGAGAGTCGAGTATAGAGAGCTCCTCGTGTTCACGGAACTTGACCTGTATCTTGATAGACCATTGGTCGAAGTCGCTTCCAGGCCCTGCATCACTAGACGGAAGGCCTTCGTTCTTGTCGATAGATACCTGGCCTGCACATCCTATGCGAGCGAAGTTGTCAGCGAACGCATCGCTGATCTTAGACACAATTGCGTCCAATCGTGGCTCCCATTCACTCCGTATCTCTGTGATAGATTGTTCTATAGCAGTCAGTTTTTCTTGCGATGAGGCGAGTTGTTCTTTCAACCGTTCAATGCGTGCTTGTCGGTCTTCAAATTCCTGTATGATATTGCTGCTTCCTTCGTGTGTCAGCTCAAGCCTAGCCTTCTCGGAGTCGATGTCAGCTTCTAGCTGTGCGATGGTGTGATGCTTGACCTCTTCGCCAATTTCTCTGAGGCCAGGTACTGATGTCATGCGGCCTACAATAGCGCGTGCGGCCCTCTTGGCCTCCTGAAGCTTCGCCCTAGCTTCAGCTAACCTTCGGATCGCATCTTCAACTTCTACTCCTTTATCCTCGAGCGCCCTGGTAAATTCACTGTTCCGCTCTTTCAATACATCCAAGTCGGACATAGCCTCTATCGCCAGGATCTCTATGCGAGCTACCTCTTCAAGTATACTGCATAGCGAGATTACCGCAGCCTTATTGAAATATCTTATTAGTATCTCATAGGCTTATCAAAATTGTAAGAATCTGACGTACGGAGTAGTCAATAGCTGCTGCGGCTTTGTCAACAGCAAATTCATCTTGTTTATCTCGTAATGCTTCCACTCTGTCTCTGATTGCCTGCACTCGATCATTGACAGTTTTCAGTTTTTCCTTTTGTTGCGCTATAAGATGGATTAGAAATTATCGCGGTATATTATATTGTAAGGCCAAACAAGCTTACCAAGTTTCGTGGGGAGAGATCGATAAATCACCATTGCTGATTGTTTATCCGCCTTTTCTTTCTCAAATTTGGTCTGTTCACTAGAGTCAGATCATCCTATCACAATGAACCGCGACAAATAGCACACCTTTTCTCTAGAGGCCTCATCGTTTTCTTCCTTTAGCTGCTGCAGCGCACTCCTTTCTTGCTCTGCTGCAGCAACTATCTCGCTCAACTCGCTCTTCCATTGCGTAACGCAATTTCTTAGTTCATCTTCAGTAGACGAATCGACGGGTTTATCAGTCCACATTCTCGCTGGTCGTAACTGCCGTACCCTAGTAGTGGATGCACTTGGACCATATTCACGTCGTCGCACGACTTGATAATTTTGATTCCCAGCAACCCAGGTGCTTATATTACTGCTCTCCAGCCTGCGGTACTCTTCATCTGAAATGTCCCTCAGAGTGACGGCAGTTTGGTGAAATCTGTTCTCATTGCACAGCATAGCTAGAACGGGCTCTGGGCCATCCATAAAGTCCTTTGCCCAGCCATCGAAATTCAATGATCGAAGCTCCTCATCAGAAACTGGTGGGTTGAAACTGGATGTTGATACAGTACATGTCTTTATACTTATATCGTGTAGACGCAGGTCGTTGTTCAAAATGCCCTGCAGAGTTCTGAAATCTGCGCGAGACTGCGTGGTAAATGCCATAAAGTCGTTTCTCTGCAAAAGAGATTCCGCGGCACTGGCGTATCTTGAGTCCTTTACAGAACATTCTACAATTGGAGGACCAAACACGCGCTTTTCAAACCGATCCTGGTGCTCTCTTATCCACTGCCAGGCCTTCCATGAATCCGCGGATATTCGCCTTAGCTTTTCTTCTTGTTGACCTGACTGGGATTTGAGGTCTTGTAATCGTTTCTCAGCACGTGCAATCTTCATTCTATGATCTTCCAGGTTCTGGATGGTGGTTCTCTTTTTGACATGGATTTCCTTCGCTTTATCTTCTGTTTCACGTATTCGTCGAACACACTCACGCTAGAAAGAGATGGATCAGGATTGCGCTTTCATCAAAGCAATCGATGAGTTGAACTCACTATTTTTTCGGTATATGCGGCAGCATCAAACTCCGCAGACCCCTCTTCAATTTGACGTTGGAGCTTATTGATGCTCTGTTGAACCCTCTTACACTCCTCCAGCTGGCCCGAGCCGCCTCTCTTTTCTGCGTCTATCTGATGGCTCAAGCCCTTCATTTTATCCTCAATCTCGACCATTCTGTTAGAGATCCTGGTTGCGGCCTGTTCTCCTTTCTCAGCAAGGGTTCTTTTCTGCTTGAGTACAGCCTCAACTTTAGAATAATATTCTCTTTTTGAGTTGACAGCCCTTAATACTGGTTCCAGTTGTTGTTGTAATTCATCTTGCTCTCGTGTCAACCTCTGCTTTTGTTCCATAAGGGCAAGAGACTCCTTATGGCACTCAGAATATCGAGGAAGTGGTCTTAAAAGTTCCAACAATTTTAAACGTTTTTTTACCTCTTCTCGCTGTTTCATTCTTTCTACATCCTCACGTTGCATTTGTTGGCGTTTCTCTAGGTTTGCCAGATGCTCTCTCTGAGCGGTACTCTCTTCCAGTATGTCTTTTTGTGCCGCCCGTAATTCTTTGAGGTCGTCATGCCACTTCACCATCTCAGGCCCGGCAGCAGCTCGTTGTGTAGAATGCAGTAGCTCCACAGGGGATAATGCAGCAAATTCGCTGACTTTATCTTGCGGGAGAAATTGGCAAAGGTTGTCGATTTGAATGGAAAATGATTTTGCAAGAGATAGCACCATATTCTGCCTAACGGCTTTTCCATTTATCGTAAACATGCTCTTATTGCCCTCGCGCTTGATGGTCCTGCAGATGATCGGGTTTTGATTCATGTCTGCTCCGGCCTTAAGCTCAATCTCAATAATAGCTTCGTCGGCACCATGCTTCACGAACTCAGCAACATCCTTAGCTCGGCCCAAGTACTAAAAGTGAATCATTGCATTAGCTGCTACGTTTCTAAAGGCTATGCTCAGAATTGGTATATACTCACTCCTGGCCCCCAACCAAGTCCTAGGCAAATGGCGCAAACAAAAGTACTTTTTCCTGTTCCATTAGGCCCGATCACCATGTTAAGTCTCGGCCCTGGGTAGCATTCGGCAGAGGTGTAAGTCACGAAATTCGTTAGTTTCACTCTCACAATCGAGCCGGGAAGATGTTCGAGGGCTCCCGCATTCCCTATGCCCTGGTTGCGAGAACCCCCCACACGCGTCCGATTTTTTGACGATGTCATATCAGAGGTATCTGCTCCAAGGAACCCTGTTGCTGATAGCTTATTTTCACCATCATCATCAGATAAACCCCCCTCCTTTGCTTCAATTTCACCGGCATCGCTTCCGGTGCTTAATCTAACGCGTTTGCTGCCATTTGAAGTATGCGAGAACGGGGTGCCATCACGATCCGCTTCCTCGCTATCAGAGTCGGACTCCTCTACAGCCCGCTGCCGCCTTCGCGGAAGTGCTAGAGCGTCTGGCATTGTACACAAGCCAGGCACTGTCACCGTCAGGCTTTGTTGATATTTAAACATTCTTTTCAAAATAAATTTCTATGTTGCAAGTTCGGGCGCGTCGCTCTACTCCAGCGCTAAGCCTATTTAGGATAAATAGAAAAAGCTCCTTCAGAATTATATGGACTAATATTAATCAATTCTATATACGTATATCCTGCTTTAGTTGATGAATTATATCGAATTATCTCTATAGCAGCAGAGTATGGAGGAAAGCACTGCTTTTTTCGCCCTGCCAAACTCGATGTGTAAATATGTCCGGTTGGATATTGATACAAGTCAAACCCATAGTATCTGAACGCCAGGATATAAAGCCGGTCTCAAGGACCCCCGTGGTATATGTGAAAAAGCAGCCATTCCAACCAGTTGCGCCATAACCCTTAGCATACATACCCAAAAAGAAAAAAAGAAAGTCCCCATCCAGAAAACTTTCGTATGACGTCTATAAGCATGACTCAAAAATACCGACCCCTCGATTGGAAGTTAAGTCAGAACCAATAATGAACGGAGAATGGTAAAAGTAAAGGATAAGGATACGTCGTGGCCCATGGAAGTGTCGTAAATTGAGCAGGATAGCGTGAGCCATAGTGGACCTTGCGCCGGTACTAGTCAATAGTAAGGTGGCAAACTTTGGTGATTAGAAATAGTTCCCATTAGGCAAGGTCATAAAAATGCCGATTAGAATGACGGTTATCGCGGTTCCGACTGTCGTGGAGCGTATGATAGTCATGGTTTGAAGTTGACAGAGGGTTGGATCTTGGATTCGTACTGGCGGATCAAGAACTTTGCTGAAGAAGCCTCTTTTTTGATTTTTCCGGATCCAGGGCTCATCTTCGTAAGAATTAGACGACCCAAAGGCATCGAATGCTTTCTTATCAAGATGGCAGGAGTTCGTTGGGACCTCATCGGTCGCGTTATAAATCTCCCAGGGATGTAGCTGGCGTTTATAAAAGCAAAGAAATAGCTTAAAGACATATCAGTACTATTCCGTTATTCCGTAGGTAGAATAAAGGGGTATAGATTCATCAAGGTACATACCATGCAAGTTCCTTCCATGGCGGCAATCAATGACGCGATTCCAGGAAAAAGAAGTAAGGCAGAAAACATCCTCCAGCCGCGGTGCACCTTGCTAAATACCAAGACAATGGCCAAAGCTAACCCGAAGGCAATAACAACCGTGCTGAGTACGCGAGCGCATAGTAGGCGGCTGTGGTTGCTATTGTTTAGTGACCATCGGAGAAACTGTGGATGGGATTGCTGTCGTAGATTCCATTCAACTTCCTGGAGTACACCAGCGAAAGCGGATGGGTGAGTCGTGGCCGATAGCGCTTGCATAACTATGGTGCGTTCTATAGATGTCAGATTCAGTTGCCGGGGTGCATTATCTAAGATGTAGGTAGAGATAATTCGATTTATTTCCTTGCGATGTGGTTGGATAGTAACTGGGAATGATATTTGTTAGCAGGGGTTGGCCAAATAACAGGAACTAGGTCGAGGGTGGTAGTCGTACATGGCTCGAGAGGATTTATACCATCAAAGGCGCTTGATTCATCGATTGACTCCTCTGATGCCTTCAACCCTCCATCCCATTCAAACCAGTCACCGCGGGAAAGACTGCTGATTTCGAAGTCATTATGCGAGCTATTGGGCCGAGTTGCAAAGGGAGTCAAATCGTCAAGTTCTGTTTCAGCGACAGCTGGAAAGGCTGGAGTAGCCATAAAAGCGCCAACAATAGAAGGGGCACATTTCGCTCTCTCCTTTGCTTGATTGTTGAGTTTAATCACTTTTTTTCGCTGTTCTTCCGACCACGGCGGTGACAATGCCCACTGGGATTCAGACAGGGCCGCAAAGCGCTGGATATAATCCTGATACCATAGGTAGAATTGAAGATTTTCTGCTGCGCGTTCAACGTAAATAAGGTAATTCATAAAATCGACCAATCCACATGGCTAAATATTCATTGTTAGTAGCCGTGCCGCCCGGAATAAAATATGTGACACTTAAGTCTCTAACTCACCGAACAAGTGCAGCCGTTGACTATAGATTCAAATGACAGGGCCTTCTTCTTGCTTCCAAACAGTAGCTTCTTCCATGAAATCAATCTCTCTGAGACGGACGAGCGAGGCGAGTCACATGGCTGATTGCGGGACGAACGTAGGCCATTCTTTAGTGCCATGTCAACAGGATATCATGGTGCTGAAATATCCAGAACGAATGAAGGATGGCAAACAAAGAAATAACGAAGGAATCGAAGAAATCTGGAATGTTGAAGGGAATGGATCAAGGTGAAGAAGTACACGGAAAGGCGGCGACTTGGCGATCTTCACAACCTTCGCAAACCTTCCAACTGGTGAAGAGGGGAGAAGAGTATCCGTCCACTAGTATTTTAACTGCTACGAAGTGGAGATATAGGCGAAGAGTTTTGAGGTTAGGCGAGACGGTTCATTCCCAAGGCTTCCCTTGCAAGGTATCTGATCCTCTGGCCCAGAAAGCCTTGAGTGGGCAAACGGATCATGCCACTAATATTTTTGGAATTATTCGCGACTTTCTTTGAGAATGTGTAAACTCGACCAGGCCGAGCCTTGGACTGCATATATAACAGTTGAACTAAATGTTGTCGGCCTCGGGGCAATGGGACAAAAAATAAAACCCGCATATCCCTTATGCTTTGGGCAAGTATTGAACACTTCACGAAGCAAGGGACCGAGACCCTGAAATCGAACTCGTCTCGCATCTCAGCTGGGCCCTGGGGAAGGAACAGCGTACATACATACATGTACATTCATCCAGAGTGTATATTACTCCGCAGTAATGGAATAATGTTATTCTTTGGCGTGACGGGGAAGATGCCGTTCAGTCGTTCCGGGAGGCCAGTCCGGGAAATAAATCGACACCGCTTGCTTCCAGAACAAGGTGTCCCAACCAAGGACATGGTTCGTGTGTGGCCTATACCTGATGCATGCATCATCTTTCGCACGACTGCCCGTTGGCCCCTTATTTTATATATACTCTTCATGTTGTGCATCACCCGCGAGGGCTGAAGGATGCCAATGAAAAATTGGCTTGAACTGTCGCTCATAGCCCGCTGATTCGGTAAGGATAGTCCCTGCATATGATAGGGTCTTCTGACTTTGCCAGTGAGCACTACTAGCTTCATTATCGAATAGTTGGTTTTTCCGTACGCAAGAAAACTCCCTGAAGAATTGTCAACCTGGCTTTGATGGCTCCATGATGACCACGTCGCGGCATGAATGGCCGGCTGGAATGTGTGGCTTTTGCCCAGACAGCCAGGAATCTCGTATAAACTTAATACTCGGCTCAAGACTGACCAGGATGGCTGCAGGCTAGGGGAGCACTCTGTGGGGTTACATCGTAACTCTTCTCTTCCAGGGAAGAGATGGGTCCTGGCGGAGCAGACAGGCGACAGCTCACATGCTTACCTTTCTCTGTTCCTGCAGGCTCTCCAAATTCCCTCCACCCTAGGTATATAATATGCTCTGTTATACCTTTCTCTGTAGATATATATCTTCGCGGTCCTTCTGTCGAAAGATGGTTTGGTCGAAGTTCAAGTTCATCAAAACTTCAGAAGTTGCTTTTTTCCCCTTTCAGATAACTCTAATTATGTAATGTGATTAGATAACAATTTAAGTTCGTGAAGATTACATAATATATGATTATATAATATATCAACTGCGATCACATGTTAGATGATTACCTAAAAGGGAAATCTGCACTTCTTCGCCTTTTTTTATTGTCACATTCAGCGCGCATCTGACAAGCGAGATAACGAAACAACCAAATCCATGGAGAAGGATATTTGAGGACTGGATGGCGGGTGTTTTATATCTCGACAGATACCCAGCACTATTCTCGCGTGGTGGCTGGATCAATGGATGCCATGTCCTTGTTGTCTCCTGATATTATAGATTATCGATATCTCTAGCGCAGCTCCCCAAGCCATGCCTGGGCATGGCCACCCCGACCCGGCATCAGCGGCATCAGTGACCAGGTGGAAGAAGCCTCGGAGCGATGGCTCGCCCAGCAGCACACTCTTACCATCTCCTGTTGCGTCCCTGATAAGCCTGGTGACGCAGTCGACCTCTCTCTCCCTGCGGTTGTGGACGTATCTTGGTAGTTTTGCAATAAATAGTGCAAGGGCAACAACTCTTACCGGACTAGAGCTGAGTAGAGCCGTCGTAGAGGGTATCCTCATACGTGCTGGTCGGGATGTGGTCTCTCGTAGCAGTGACGAACACGGAAGGACAGAGGCAGAGTCACTGTTGGAGCGAAGCGTGAGCACTTTTCCCATAGAATATGTACTATCTACGCACAGCAGCATAGCTAATGCTTATTCTATAGTTGGCAACCTTGCACAAGACCATTACTTCAGCTTCGTTCTTTGCGTCTGCCAGCTTCCATCTCTCTTCAGTCACTCTCTCCTCCGTAACATCATTTTCTCAGACTCTACTTTCGACTCTCGACGCTATTCTTGGATCTACTGAGTCCTCTAGAGCAATCGCCTCGATCATCACTCTAATTCGTCGCGAATTGAGAAATCCAGAGCTGATTCCGCCAGGGGAGACCGTTGGTGTTGGGGATCTGCTTGTAGGATCCGTAGGGTTTGTGCTTCTGCAGCGATGGGGCAGGAGACAGACAGACAAGGAAACCAGACAACACGGGAACGAAGAAACTATATGGGATGTTGTTATTCTTGACAATGGATTGAGAGCAGACGTCGTTGGGACTCATCGGACAACATTCGGGGAAGATATTGATGGAGCTGATTCTTCGCCTCTACGGCCTTCCTCTTTCCTTATACCCGATGCTGAGGGTGGAGATGAGAGCCTCGACACTATTGAACGGGGGAATTCGTCGTTCAATCACATCGGACATTTTGTCCCTCATGTATCTCTCCCTGCAGATCGCCAACATGAGCTTCCTGATGATGAGATTCGCCGTTATATTGCGGAGCAGCTACCACGGGGCTGTCATGCAACCATAAGGACGGATACGGTAACTGCAAGAACAATTACAGTAGACGTCTTTGACTCAGGCTGTGTCAATATCTCTCCTCCACCTGGAACTACGAAGGTTGAGGAAAGAATAGAGCCAGAATACAACCATACGATTACCGGTTCGGATTTAATCGGCGAGCCTCTTCCCAAACACACGATTGTTTTTAGAACTGTATCAAGTTCCGTTCAGGACGCAGAGTTGCGCACGCCTTCACAAGTGACTACACCAGATGCGCAATACGGTTGGCCACAGGCAGATATTAGAGAAAACACGATCAATAGTGATGCAAAGTTCACTTCGTCAGCCAGTATCGAGACTAGTCCCCCTATGAAACCCAGACCCTTTACCCGCCGACGGAGACGTTCTACATCGGATACTAGTGGTTCAGAAACTCCTAGAAGCATTGGAACCAGGTCTTTTGCACGTATAACTAACAAGGTGAAGACCAACGCAGAAGAGAAACTCGGGAACAAATCCTCAAAAAGGTTATTAAAAGGGACTTCAAGTGCAGCACAAGGCAATTGCCCTGTTGTTGGCTCGTTCAACGAAAATAAACCCCGGCCGAACAACACAGCCAGTGGCGCAAGCAAAGAAAAAGAGAAGAGTAATATATCAGCCACGAGAGGTACAAAAGTACTGTCAGATACTACAAATAGGATTCGACCCTTGTCTCCTAAGAAAGAGAAGTCCGCTTCCAGGAAAATAGAACGTGAAGCCTGCTCCAGCGAGACTAACCCAGGCAGCTCACTAACATGCGGCCGCTACTTACTCCGTGAAAAAAGCTCAGAGTCGTTCATTGCCCAAACAGATGCTTACTCCATACGCTCTCCAGAGGCCCAGCCTGGTTCACCATCCCTCTCTAGAGAGCATATTCGCAGCAATTCTTCCTTGTCTAGAGCTAGGTCCGAGAAAGATATGCCTCTCTTCTTCAACTTCACTAGCCGCCCTGGTACCCCCATGATGTCCCGGCGCAACTCGTCCAAATCTGCCGTTCCTAGCATATACTCTATCGCCACAGGATCTGAAACCTCACTCTTGTTAGCTCCCCGAACTGGCAAAAGTGCATATGATGACATTTCTGCTCTCTCTTCCCTTTCACGCACCGGTTATGTTCCGGGGCTTTATCCGTCAAACAACCTAGTGCGGAACATACGCCGTTTTTCTCGCTTTTCATCTGCATCCTATGGATCAAATTTCTTAAGGATAATGGGCATTTCTAATTCTTCTCAACCTCGCTATCAAGATCCAATGGACCACCATGAACATAATTCATTTTCGGATCACACAGGACTACCGACTTCAACTATTTTACTGTCATCATTTGTTGATACAGCTGGTGGCACTAACGCTGCGGGTGTCACATCCGAAGGGTTTCCTTTAGTTCATTATTTATCCTTGGACCATGACTCCAAAGCCGCTGTTTTGACGCTGAGAGGCACCTGGGGGTTTGAGGATATTCTTACAGATATGACCTGCGACTATGATGATATTTATTGGCTGGGCAGAATATACAAAGTTCACAAAGGTATGTTGGCATCCGCGAGACGTCTCCTAGAAGGTGGTGGAGGCAAAGTCATGGCCACAATTAGATCAGCCTTAGAAGAATTCCCGGATTATGGTGTTATTTTCTGCGGCCACTCCCTTGGAGGTGGAGTAGCTGCCCTCCTTGCAACACTTATATCACACCCCCAGCATCCTGACTTACCCGGCCCATCATTCGTCACATCATCAAACCAAGCTCATACGGGTCTACTACCTGCTACTTCCAACAAAGATACACAGGATATCCATCCACAAATGGGCCAATTCTCACTTCCCCCCGGTCGACCAGTCCATGTGTATGCATATGGCCCACCAGCTGTGATGAGTCCACCCCTCCGTCTTGCCACCCGGGGATTAATCACCACAATCGTTAATGGGCACGATGTTGTTCCTACACTTTCACTGGGAGTTTTGCATGATTTCCACAGTGTTGCCCTTTCTTTCAAGCGCGATGTTGCCGACGCTAAATCCCAGGTCAAAGCCAGGGTATGGGATGCAATCACGCGCAGCATTGCCAACAAACTATACCTAGATAATCCTACTTCAATCCATGCTAGCGATGATCTAGGCGAAGATTCATGGGCATGGAACACCCTCAAATCCCTACGGGAAGGCCTCACAGCAACGAAACTATTACCACCCGGAGAGGTGTTCGTTGTCGAAACGATGCGTGTTCTCCAACGTGATGCCTTCTCAAGAGATATGGTTACTGGAGATGGATATCCTCGTCTCGGCCGGCCCGCCACCCGGGTCCAATTAAAATACATCCGAAACGTGGAGAAAAGATTCAATGAGGTCAGATTCGGGTCTGGCATGTTATTGGACCACAGCCCAGCAAGGTACGAATCTAGCTTGTCTATCCTAGCACGAGGGGTCTTAGAAGATGAGTGACATACCTACCCCGTTTATTGATCTTTGCGCATATTACACGTGATGACTTTTTTATATCTCATTTTGGGTTTTGGTTCACGCATCGCATTCGGTTTCGGTCACGATTTTAAGCCTGGGACATTTGGAGCATTTATTATTATACCTTTAGTATATTTAGTATATTTCCCTATTTACACATCACATAGAAACCCGCATTATATCTTGCGGTCATGAAGTTTGCGGCGTCGTTTGAAAATACCCCTTAGATAGTTAGGGAAAAACATAGTATATACATATAAACAATCAAATGAGCTATTTCGGTTTCACTATTTATGACAGATAGATTCCGGTTCTGTATAGTAATCTGTAAGTCTTGAATACAAAACGTCCCTTAAAAGCATCTCACAAATATTCAAATAATACCTATCCAGATAGACGATGGCCTTACAGTCAGCCTACATGAAGCAGCACATCCTTGTATTTTAACTAGGCCAAATCCGTGCAGCATCCATGTTTCCATCTCCTCATAGACTCATACTCTTTTCCAGTAAACCTGAAGACTCCGCGTAACAATTCAAAGACCTCCAAATTTACCTACTCCGACAGACAAAACTGGCCAATTGCATAAAGGTCCCTATTCTGGTAGTTACTAGGCCGTGCTCGAGTGCGGGTTTCGCTGGTGTGATCCAATCATTATGATCGGCCAGACAATATAGCCGTTTGCATCTGTTTCTCCTCAATTTCAATATCATTTTCTTGGAGAGTCCGGCAGCCCGTCAATTCCCGAAATCTCTCATACACAGTCTGGTAGGTAGGCGGGGCTGATATTTGGACAATGCGCCAATAGGGAGTATAGCTTGCGAACGGTCCTATTTCCAACGCTGGATGCTCCTTCACCTCTGCTTCTCTTTTTGCAGTTGGTGTTCATGTTGCATTTGCGGTCGCTGTTGATATTGCCCCTTTTGCCGTAGAAGTTCTGCTTTCTCTGCCTGTCTCGTTTCAATTCCCTTGATCTGCTGCTCAAGCATCGCCCGCTTCGCCACTAAGTTTTCCCTCACCACCATGAGCGTGTTGATTTTCTCCTCTGGCGTAGCTTCCATACTTTGTTGGATTCGCTATAGGCACATCCAGATGCACTATTAGCTACCAATCACCTCAGTTGGATATGTATATAAGATGGAGGAGGAATTTAGAGCAGCCAACCTTTTGTTCCTCATGGCCCATCTTCAAGCTTGCTCCCCATATTGCTCCAGAGGCAGTGATGATGGCGACTGCGCCAGCCATTATTTTGTTCCTAACTTGCAACGAAAAGGCCATGATCCCAAGTTTCGAAGTATAGAATGGTTGATATGTAATTCCATTGATGTTATAGAAGAAGCCTGCGATGTAGCTAATTGATGGTTTGACGTCGAAAAGCTCTAGACCTGGTCTTGGCGCGTTCTTTAGTTTATCTTAACATCAACACGAACAACCACCACCGGCCATATATACCCCAATCCTTTAAGAAGGAAGAACATATACAAGTCTACCGAAAATGAATCCCGGCCATGAACAGTCAGCTCTCTCTCCAGCCAAAATGCGGCAATACTCACACCTCCACGCGCAGCTAGCTCAGCTCAACGCCAACCTCGCCGATACACAGAATCTCATGCGCATGACGAGTGCTCAGGCAAGCGACCTTAGGTTTCTGGGTGGTTACGTAGGGAGCTTGTTTATGGGCGCCGCAAAAGTCCTGGGTGAGGAGGGAATCAATGGACAGGAAAACAGCGCTAACAAGGTCGAAAAAGATGGAGGCAATGGGAAAGAGACCGCACAAACGAAGGATGAGAGTGATGACTATGAAGACGATAATGAAAGACATGGCTAGGCGAGGGAAGGTGATCAGACATACAGCATCACATTTCAACCGTTGGGATGGGCGCATACGACATGGTAAACGCAGACATGACAGGGGTTTCTTCTCTCGTGGCCTTTTCGCTCTGTCTCTCTGCAAGATCGCTGGATGAACTGGTAAATTACTCATATACTGAGTCGAATGAGGAGGTAATTGATGATCACAGTGGCACCGAAGCTGCTCGGCCGACGCCTTTACACGGTATTATGGATCACATAAGTGTCGACGTACGGAGCACAGCAACCACGGTTCGATGAGCTCATTCAACTACTCTTTTATCTAATGGTTATACACGTTGGTACGGGAAGGCTTATAGGTATCCTGGATTACTCTACAGGCCTTACCCAAGCGAGCCCCCTTTAACGGATTATTATCTGAACAATCCCCAACCCAACAAGAGGTCAACCAATCGTCTAACCTAAAGACTCCGTCATGAGACGTAGCTAGTGTGAGAAGTTCAAGATATCAAACTAAAGAGAGCTAGAATAATAGAGCAAGCTTCATAATCATAAAAAAAGAACTTCTTTCTCTTCTGAAAAGCAGTACTGAGGAATTAATAGCAGATATACACAACGCAAACTGTGTCTCCATGTCAAATAAAAACCAGATAACCCGTCAAACAGATGGTTAAAAAGAAACGTGGAGGACAGGAACCCTAGCAGTAAAGAGTAGAAACAAGAAGCATCAAAAAGACGAACCAGACATGCGAATCCCATGTCGTTGATGAATTACTTTTTCCTCCCATTTGGTCCCAGGCCTTAATCCCTCGCATTCCCTCCTTTGTTCGGTTCGTAAAATATTAAATGGCAAAGAAACAATGTAATAAAAATAATAAACGGACAAAATAAGTATAGGAAAATACATAAAACGACCCATGTCCCCCCCCCCCCCCATTTTTTTTCGTGGAGATGCGCCAAATGCCTGGTTCTACCGATGGGCATCGGCATTTTTAATGGACGAGGTAGTAATTACTTCAGTATGTAAGCTATTATAATGAAAAGAAAAAGAGAGAGGAGGGAACAAAGGACACAAGTCGATTGGGGAAAATGAAGGGAAGAATAGCTTGTGTACAGAGGGAATTAAATTGCTAGGCAAAGAAAAAGAAAAGAAAAACGACACAAGCTCTCCTTAATGCAACATGAACAAAAGGAATATGAGAAAGAGAGAAATTTTGTTTGAAAGCCGACGGGTAGAGTAGAGGGAGAAAGCTCTTGGTTTGAATACAACCAGAGAAAGTATTATCGTAAGATTAGACTCTGAAGGTTGGTCGGTTTTTATCTGTCCAAAAAGACGTGTTCATTGTACAATGAAGACAGCAGGAAAATATAACACTGCTGGCATCTGTCGGTATCGAGAACGTAAGCCCGAGAAATGTGACGCTATTTACCGTGAGTTTCATCATTCCGAGGCGAATTCGAACCAGAAGGATAGTCGGGAATTTCGGTGGAGAAGAATGCTAGGAAAGGCCGAAAAAAAATGTAGGTGAAGTGTTAATGCGAATTGTGTGGTGAAGGGGTATCGTTAATGGGGACGTCTATAATTCATGTCGTGAAGGGGTAGATATCCGTTCGGCGGGAAAAAAATATAAAACGGGGTTTGTACGAGGTTATCGGACTACATGTCCGCGATGAACGGGGTCAAGGCTGCTCTGGCTACTATAGGCGGAATTCTCCGAATCTATATGCGCACTGGCACCACTATCACCACTCTCCGCGCTGGCACTCGCACTGCCCGTCAGACTTCGAACGTTTGGAAGACCTTTGGGGGGATACGGATGGTTGCTCACCCCGACATGTTGCTCGACCTGATGCGGCATTATAGCATTGCCTTGACCAGGCGGATGCCTTGGTACAGGGGCTTTCATTATTCCTGGGGGCGATGGCCTTCCACTGTGCCCCATTCCGTTTGCTGGCGGAGGTGGCATCTGACCGCTGTCATGGCCGGTAGCTGAGCGACCCATCCGACCATTTGGGAGAGGAGGGTGGCCAGGGGACTGACTGGTTCTCCGGCTTGGAGGGTAAGGGCCATGTCCCATCTCGCCCATACGAGAAGCAGTTAAAGAATTCGCTCTTGATTCGTTATGCATTTCTCTCCGGTCGACATTACCGTATCGGTTAGATGAGTAGCTCATCATAGGGTTGTCCAAGAGCGAGTCGTGCATGCCCGGTATCTCCTCTACTATTCTCGCACTAGCACGATGTCTGCCAGCACCAAAGTGTCGGCTGAAAACAGAGGGAGGACGAGAGTTGTTTATCTCGGGATTCTTCCGGAATTCTTTTGCTGGAGCTGTTGGGGTTTTCCTATTTCTTCGAGAAGTTACACTCATCATGTCAAAGTTATCTGGATCAATTTGAGGTATGGGTGGACTGCGGTGGTCTGGCAAGTCATAGCCATCATCGTCATCATCGTCAAAGCCACGCGCCGACGGGGCCCTCCCACCACCACGACGCCTCATTTGCATCTCTTGCTCTCTTAGTGCTATTTCGCGTTGACGAAGCATCAGCTCACGTTCCTTCAGGGCCAGCTCATTTGGTGATGGCCCCCCATTCCCATTCATATTGCCATTATATCCGCCGTGCTGGGACTGGGTATCGTCCTGACCATCTTCGTATAGCACAAGATGGCTGAATTCGTCAAGCGCCGGGTCCTCATAAGAAAGATCACGGGGAAGACCTTGCTTAGGACCGCGAGGGCCGTGGCCGTTTGCTTGAGGAGGTAACGGCCTCGGATTGTTGCCCATCGAGGATGGCCCTCGACGTGGTGGCGGTGGTTGTCCACGGTAATTCCCTCCGCCTCGAGAGGCGCCATTCATTGGCGGTCTCGACGGAGCCGACGAAACTCGAGGCGGGTGTGCAGCAACGGGTGACGAGGGTTCTGTTGGGGGCTGACGGTTTTGGTTGGTAGTATTAATATGATGCATCATCGCGTACAACGTCTCGATGCGAGGGGTCTTCACTCCATTCTCCGTAGCCATTTTGACAGGGGTTCCAAGGTATGTTTCAATTTCCATGGGCCGCCTGGCCTGGAAATCCTGATACATGACGCTCGGGTTCTCTGTCGGGGCTGTCATTGCCTGGATGGTCTTTTCTTTAAAGTCATCCGCAAAACTGCATCCCTGGGCCTTGGCAAGCGTAATCAACTCATCAAGAACATCAGAGACCATTTGACGCAGCCCAACCTTCTCCAGGAGTTGGCTATGGTTTGGGGTCTCGAAAAGCACACTGAGAGGGTAAAAAGCAATTGGTCTAGGTCAAGTAAGCATGAGCAGGTCATAATAAGGGTTATGATTGAGTTCTTACCCGATCATACGGTCATACTGCTGCTGAAGTATATTTTCGGATACTTTGCAATTCACCTGAGCGGTGCCTAGGGTTATTGCTAGCGCAGCAGCCATATCATTCTGGATAGCTGTTGGAATCATGGCGTTCTTCGAAGCCGGGCCCACCCACAAATCGGTTGAAGATGTATGTTCGAACTCGCTCACACCAGTTTGGACAATATCAACTGCAGATACTAACGAAAGAACAACATTCTTCGGGAACCTCTGCTCCAGATGGGCTTCTATACCTATTGTGCTAGTTGTATTGACCAGGATGCATGTGTGTTGAGGAGTGACGACTGATTCGATAACACCTGCGAGATCGTAGACATCTGGGAGAGCCTTGACGCAGAGAATCACATAATCGAACGACGATGATATGGTGGCACCTTCTTCCGGGGTACGGACAACTGTTATAGCATGAGTTAGTACCAAGGCCCATTTACATCATTCGAGGGATATATATATATATAGAATAGGTACCGTGTCGAGGCTTGAAGCGTTCGTTGCCAAATAACTTCGACCTAATTGATGGTTAGTCGACCAAGAACCATGATAGAAAAGCGAGGAAAGCTTCGTAGACGTACTTAAAGGAGATGCCGTACTGCTGGACGGACTCAAAGCTCGACTTCCATACCAGCGTCACATCGCAAGAATGCGTGGCCTGTAGTCTCCAGGAAAGAAAGGCAGACACCGCATTACCACCAACTATAAAATAGGATGTCAGCCGGCCCATCACAGAAACACGGTCATCAAGATGTAACTAAGGAAAATCAGGGTGCGTGTGATTCCAGGGTAAGGAGATTCCAAGCTTCTGTTCCTTGGGTTATTTTTTGCTTCTTCTCCGTCTTCCTGTCTTTCCTGTCTTTCCTGTCTTTCCCCAGCTCACTCAGGTGAAGAGTCAAAAGTGTGAAAAAAAAATTATGGCAAAAGGGAGGGAGAGAGAGAACGGAGTGAAGATGTGAAAGTTGTACCTGACAGAATGCGAAGTCTCGGCGGCGAAGGGGCCATTTGGTGGAGAAAGAGAGAAAGCGAGAGAGACAAAAATGTATGCAGCCGAGCTAGACGTCGGGGCGGGAAAGAAGCAGCCCAGTTGTTTGTACCGCCGAAATGATAATAATCAAAGAGCACAGCAGGTTACACGCTTGCTCCTTTTTTTTTTCTCCCTCCCGGACGAAGCTGCAGCAGGCAGGAAGGGTTGAAGAAGAAAAGAGAGGACGGTCTCGCCCTTTGTTTCGCTCAGGTCGTTGGGCGCTTCTCTCGCTGTCTGTCTCTCGTTTTTTCCCAGTTCTTATTTTATATCTCTCTGGCGATTATTCTCTGCCTTATTGCCTTGTTGTATAGATAAAGATGGTGTGCCTGATGTATAGAATAGGCTCCTATCTCATCGCTCCTTGTTCTTCCCGCGCGCGCAGGAGTATAGCTGATGGTCTGACGGCCTGGCCGGGTACAAAATCTCGGTGGCTCTGCAAGACAAGGCTCGTCCGCTCGATCCGTTGGCCAGGTCTTTGGAGATTCGGGTAGCCGTCGTTTGGACGAGGGACGAAGGCCAGGAACCTGGATCAAGGCAAAGAAAGGGAAAAAAAGAAAGAAAGAAAACCAAACGAACGGAAGACCCAATGCCTGGACGAGGGGGGGAAATAAAAAAAACGACTGGGGACCAGAGGATGCAGGCAGGCGGTCGAGAGGTTTTTTGTTCGAGGTTCGTTGACAGAGAGAAAGAGAAAAGCAGCGAAAGATGGACGAAAACTTGCGTTTGGTCGGAGGGCGAGTTGAGGTTTTGGTGGGAACCTCGGACAAGGTCGCCATAGTATGTATTACGGTTACAGACGGTGTGGAAAACGGTGTTTGCTTTGCGGCGTTGCCACCAAAAATGTGAAAGTTACAGGTGTAATGTTCCGGTAATTACGCCATCAAGCGGGCCATGAGTACCTCGACTTCAGATCGTAGTCTAAACAGATAAGCAGGGAATCTTGCCAAGTGCTGTTTTAGTTGGCAAGGCCGTGTGGAAAAGAAAAGAAAAAGAAAAACAAAGCATCGACACGGCGTTGCTTTTTCCTCCGGGTTTCCCTCTGGCTCCAGAGATTTTCAGGGTGAAGGGGAGCTAGCTGCTTAGTGACAAGCAGGAGTATAAATATAAGAATACCTGAAGGAACTAGTTCGTTAGCCTGATGAAGATGGAGAGAAGAGAGAAAAATGGCAGATGATAGGATGCAGAGTAACCACCACGTTGTGGCATTATTAACTTACAGATTGGATATAATAATTTTCAACTCTCAAAAGACAAGCTATCCTGATAAGTTATCCAAACAAAGCAAAAATAGAGAAAGGGGCGAGCGTTCTCTAAAAGATAAAAAAAAGGTCTTGACACTTTTTCCTTTTTCTCTCCGTTCATAGTTCTTCGGTCAAGGCCAGCCTTATCGTCGTTGGTATAGGTGTTTCAGCAAGTATATTAAGTACCCAAACATACTTACAGAGTAATATCAAAACATAGGTTCGGAACCGATCGCACAGCCCCGACGGAGTCGACGGAGTCGACGGACGCTTAACGGATACTAAACTGGCCCGAATCTTGTCGAAGGATGGCTCGACTCTTCACCTCCTTCCGCTGTCAGGTCAGACCCCCATCCCTGATGAGCAGTCCAAAGAGAAAAGTGGTGGATCATTTCGTCATGGTGATTTGTTAGCTATAATATTAGCTATGTTCGGCGTGCTGAGCGACTCTGATCCCGGGGGGTTCCATTCCAACTGCATCTCCCTTTTAAAATATTGCTTTTCCAACATGTCGGTGCAGTGGCATATGGTAACAAATCCCCTTTTTTTCTGTGCACTTCTCTTTTCCCCCTTCTTGACGTGGCGGTTCGAGATTTCGATATGACGGGGGCTCAGGCACCAGTTACCTTCTCCCGTGTGTGGAGAAAAAGAACCAGCCAGACACGTACATCTTCAACAACCCTTACAGTTTCTCATTTTGTAAAACTGAATATTACATAGTAAATATTCGATGACTCCGGCCAAGGCCCCAGCTTGCGACACATACGTGCAATGCAGCAAGACCGAGTACATCGCCTGTCCAGAAGATGGACTCTTTGTACGACCAGAACGCGACAGGCAGAACCGGCAGCAAGAAAACGTCCTGATTTTCCTTTCGACCATCGTTAGAGGGATTGTTTCGTCTTCGCCACCTGGCGTACCTAACTTAGCCTGACGGGACGAGGGTGCGTTGGCGCCAAATCGACTCGTCATCGCCCCTTTGGTTCAACTTCTGATATAGACTCCGTATTTAATAGCACCACAGCTGCTCCATCGTTGTAATTTATTGGTGCAAATGCTGTATTTTTTCTTATTTTTCTTTTCTTCTTTCTCATCCCCTGGTTGAGTATCCGCCCGTCAGCACCTGAATATCGATCTTCTGAAGATCTCTTACCGATGAAGCCTCTCGTCTTCGCATACGGAGTAGATCGTGTCAATATCAATACCAACAGCAGGAAAAGCTTTCTCTTTTACTCCTTTTAAGGAAAGAAAAAGTAATAATTCTCCTTCCTTTGGCGTTATTTCAAGGTTATGACTAAGCTACGCGGCTCTATATTTATCCGATGACTAAGCAATGCTAAGCTAAGCCGGTGACGTTATGGTTTATTTTTCCTGCAAAACGCCATAGGAAGCCCCCGGAAGTAATGGAAGAGGAGCTCTTCTTTCTTTTTCCCTCCTCTTTCCTCTCTCTGCAGGTTACAAGAAGCAAATATAAACATCAATCTCACATCCGCTTTTAGCGAGATTATTATTTATGCACCCATTGGTGAAATCGAATACCTTGTGGGTTACATACTTTTCTATATCTCCAGCTTGGACGGTCGATCACAGGTAGGGGGGCCGAGACTAATCAAGCATGGCCCGTCTTGATGAACTGCCAGACGATATCCTCCTATGCATCTTTGATCAGGCGTGGAGTGCCTGGGAGACATGGACATTCATGGATGGCATCCCGGTGAGCCCAGAAAACCGCTTTCAGCGAAGTTTCCTCTATGTAAACAGTATGTTTCCTTTCAGGCCTACCTGTCAGCCTTAATCGTATTTCGCCCAGGCGGTGGCTATCGTTTTGACCTCCTCAAAGCTAATAAAGCATTCCTATGGCTTAAAGAGAGATTCGAGGCAGTTGTTGAACGCTGGATGTGTAGCCAGATTAAACCGTTTGATGATGACACAGGGGACAATGAAACGTGGCTGTCAGCCATGTTACCCCGACCAGCAATGCGGCTATTCATGAAGAGGTTAGGTGACGCAGAAAGCATGGTTGATGGAAAACAGAGGTATGCAGGAGGAAAAGAGTTCCTAGAGTCCGTCAACCAAGTCACTGAGTATCTCGTGGGCGAAACTCGGCACAATGGGAATGATCCCTCCACTCTAAGAGACAGTTACCAAAAGTCACTTTGCACGCTGGCTGCAGCGCAGCTTTGTAGCGGTAACCAAGAGCCGTTCTTCGACACATTCCTCGAGGAAGGTGGTAGGGTGGAACAACGTGCAAAAGAGATGGTCACCGATGCTTGTAGCGTTGGTGGGGTAATAGCCGTATTTGAGGATAATCCCCCTTTGTTAGCTCACCTGTTACGGAAGGGGCCTTTTGATATCAATATTGATCACAAGTTCTTTGGCAATCCCATCCTTGTGGCCGCACATATGGGGCGCCTCGAATGTATGAAAATCCTTCTTGAACAACCAGGAAGAGAGTTTTTGTGCAATGGTGCAGACTTAAATGCTTTGCACTTGGCCGCCAGAAGGGGGGATGTACCAATGATCAAGCTGTTGCTAGATTGTAACGATGGTACTCTTAATCAATTTGAGCAGGAGACTACACCGTTAGGTCTGGCGGCGGGTAAGGGACATCTATCTTCTGTAGAGCTCCTACTCCATGGCCTAGATCCTCCACCTACCAGTGAGATTATCGACATGGCAATTACGAACGCTGCAAGCTCTGGCCACGAAGAGGTTGTAAAACTTCTCTGGGAGTATAGTAGTATACCCAGTCTTGTAGGGCAAGGGTATGGCATGGGGTCTTTGAACATTGATGGCGAGGACAGTGACTCCGAGTACAGTGGGGATGCGGTCGCTGAGGATGAAGGCGCTGAGGATGGGTATACTGAGAATGAAGGTGCAGAAGACATCAGTGAACTTGAGGGTTATGGGTTCGAGGATATGCTTGGCATTGCTGTGGAGACGGATATGGCATTGTTTGCAGCCAAAAATGGCCATGAGAATATTATCAAGCTCATTATTGACTCTGATGAGTTCGGGCCCAAGGCCAAAAAGACTATTGCCCAGTCATGCTTTCAAGCTGCTCTGCAGTTCGATAGCACAAGTGTAGCGCAGCTGCTCCTTGACCGCTTTGAAGACTTGGCCAATAAAGGGTACACAGGCAATACGAGGCCGTTAGCGGTTGCTGCAGCATGTACTGCAACAAAAGTCATGAAACTCTTACTCAAACGAAACGATATTAACGTCAACCATGTTAACGCCGCTGGTGCTACCGCGATATGTTATTCAATGAGACCTCCTATGGAGCTGGTTTGTAAAGTGACGGACGAATTGGAAGCACTGGAACTTCTAGCCGCCCGGGATGATGTCGATGTCAATTGGGCAGACCGTAATGGTGATACTCCGCTGATTGGTGCTGTTATTGCAGGAGACCCGCGTATGGTAAAGGCGTTAATGGGTCGCAAGGAACTCAATGTCAACGCAAGAAATCGGTTTGATGAAACTGCCCTTTCACGCTCAGTCCTACTGGGGAATACTGCTATTGTCAAAGCCCTCCTGGGCCGGGATGACATCAAAGCCGACAAAAAAAACAAGCTGGGCCAAACGCCGCTCCTAATGGCTGCTATTTCCGACTATATCGATATCCTGAAGTTGTTTCTCAATCGATCTGACGTCAATATCGAGGCTCGGGACGCCAAGGGGCGAACGGCTCTTTGGCTAGCAGCCAAGCAAGGGAACATTCAAACAGTCAAATGTTTGATGTATCACTGTACCAAAATCGGCGTAGACCTCAACCAACGGGATGATGAGGGCATCTCTCCATTGGAAGTTGCAAAGCTGGGAGAAAGCGAAGAATATCCTGAGGTGATACAGATTCTGAGCCAGAACGTCGAGAAGAATATCACTGGAAATTCATACCATACTAACATCACACAGAAGTTCCAATCCGACGACCACTGCTGTGTCGCTTGCTCGTTAATACATCCAGAAGCGCATGGGGTGTACAGCGGCTTAATTCCAGGGTTTGCTTTTGTTTGAAGGCTTTGAGATGGTGCTTATTTCCTCTTATGGCTTTTTGGCTGCTTAGTTACGCAGCTTGCTGAGTCATCTGTATTTAAAAGTTTGTTTACTTTACCAAAAAGAGTACATTTAATACATTAATTACCATTTCTTTTTTTATCTTTCTTTTTTTTTTCTTTTGATATAAAAAACAAGTTACGCTCTGATAATAAAAAGACCAACAGATATCAATTTCAACCACCCTCCCAGCTGGCTGACGCTAGGGCGAGCAAGTCAGGATAAGATATATCTTGGTAGCTAGTTATTTAGCCCATTAGACAAAACCTGATGCTTCTGGTCATAATTGTTCATGTTTCCATCAAGCCGGATCTGGAGTTTACAACCTTGACCCTAGCTAGCAACAAGACCTGTCATAGACAATGACTCAGCTCGAGATGGAATCGATCGGGGTTCTTTTCCTTAATATTCTAGCTTCAGCCGCTGTGCCGAGCCCAAAGCTTGTCACTTTCTAGCTAAGGCTACCAGATGCCTCCACAGATATGTGCCCCATCATGGACGTCATAGAGAGGATGTATCATATACATACTATACCCTTTTTGACATATGCACTGAATGGTTATACCCTCTGCTTTATACATAGTAGAGCAAAAAGAATCGCCATTAAACATGGAGTTCGCCTACTTCGATTACTACCACTTCACCGAAATTTCCAACATACCCCAAACACACCATCCGTAACATCTCAGATCTTGTTGTCGGACTAGAGTTAGGCATATCGTGATACATGTGGAACGTGGGCAGGGTAGAACAATGTCTTGAACACAGACTACCCTATGTCAATGATGCCGCACTCTGTGCGATGGGTTGATAGTGTGTCAAGTGCGGATTCTTGCGGTCAGCTCGCTATCTGACGGCTCTTATTCAAGTTCGAAAAATATGACTTCTAGAATCATTCAACACTCGGTGGTTCTCCCTCCCAATTAGGGATGAGGCGGAGATTGCATAAATTTACACCCCTTTGGTTTATCTATGCTACTCCTACCATGTAGGTCAGCTTGGGGAGCTTGACCCAATTCTACATATTGACTATAATTATATATCTACCCGAAGAAAAGCAAAGGGATCACCGATGCGAGAACGGGTTTGTATTTCATCCTAGGGCTTCCATTTTTTTGATTTTGAAGCTAAACAATAGTACAAAATTACATCATAAAAGTTGAAGGACACTGTAAACTTTTCCTCTGCGTTTTTATGTCTGGCGTTGATGTGAAAAAGGGTTCTGTTCCACCAGCGGGGTACATAGCACGAGGGCAGCTAATACAAAAAGCTCAACAAAGACAGTGTTGGGGTCGAAAAAAGTGTATGAATGGCCAATTTAATAACATAAAAAGAAGTGATAACCACTGAAGTTCTGAGAAGCGAATACCTAACGCGCCAGATACGAGACCCCGAATCATTTTGAGAGACAGCTTTGCGTCAGGATTGGATGGGCTGATCGACGCTTTTCAAAAGCATAATCTATTATGCCATGTAAGTGCTGGCGTCGACACCTCCCTCAGGATATTCACTATATATGTGTAAGTAAGCTTGATGTAGATTCATGGGGTAGCAAAATGGCAAAACTCACGGAAGTGCAACCTCGAAGCGCTTCTCAATATCCTTCAGCACCTGCAGGTTCTCTTCATCGCTGACAAAGGAGATGGACAACCCTTTAGTTCCGAATCGACCAGCACGGCCGACTCGGTGGAGATATGAATCTGCGTCAATTGGCATGTCATAATTGATGGCTAAGTTGATTCGCTCGATATCGATACCACGACCGAAAACATCAGTCGCGACACAAATACGCTTGTTAAACTCCTTGAACTCGCGGTATCGTTTGATGCTACACAGATTATTAGCTTTTTATTTTATGCAAAAAGGGCACCAGAGGCATTAGCTTACCGTTCTTCTTGGGAAACACCAGAGTGTACAGCGATACTTGGGAAGTTACATTCCCTGAGAAGCTTGTCGAGCTCTGTTGCTCGAACGGTGCTCTTCACAAAAATAATGACTTGGTTGAACTCGAGATTATCAAGTAATTCATTCAGTTTGCGGTTCTTTTCAGCTTCACTGAGTTTGATGTAGTATTGCTGGAGACCATGCAAGGTTAGTTTGGTGTCGTCATCGACATACACCTCAAGTGGGTTTCGCATGAATTTTTTGCAAACTGGACGGATCTCCTGCGCAAGAGTAGCGCTGAACATCATCACTTGTTTATCCGCAGGGGTGGAGCGGAAAATCTCTTGAACATCAGCGCGCATATCTATAGTAAAGAAATATAAGTTAGCTTCGCCGATGGCCGTGATGCGTGCTTTTTAAGCGTTGAAGACTAACCCTTCTGGTCAAGCATCTTGTCACATTCGTCTAAAACAAATGCTTTGATGTTGCGGAGAGATAGCTTCTTATCCCTTAAGAGGGCATTCAATCTACCCGGAGTACCAACAATGATGTTGGGGTGGGTTTCCTTAGAGGATAGGATTTCAATGTCCTTCTGAATTGGCGTACCACCGTAGAACACAGCGGTCTTCACATCTGGCATATATTTACTGAATCTGGCGTATTCATCTTTGATCTGGTAAGCCAGCTCACGAGTAGGGCACATGACTAAGATAGAACAAGTGCCAGCAACTGGCTCGAGTTGGTGAAGAGTGGTCAAAGCAAAAACTGCCGTCTTTCCGAGACCTGACTTGGCTTGACAGAGAACATCGACATTAAGAATAGCTGTTGGAATGCAAACTTGCTGGACTGTATAGGGTACGTGGCAGACATGTTAGATTGGTTCGATCCAGTTTCAAGAAATACGCAGGATGAAAAATATCCGCCCATTCCGACTGTCTCCAGAGTGACAACACGACGGAGTAGAGAAAGTAGATACACCTTCCCCAGGTGAAAAGATGGCAAATAGCGACTGATATATGTAATACTCGGAAGAATGCAAGATTCACGCAACATATAGGCTTATTCTGCAGGGCGGCACGAGGAGGTATCTTCTTCAGCTTGGAGAACGCCTTGATAATACAAGGTTCCCACGCTCGCTGACTCCGCTATAGGCCATATTTAGGTTCTCCTTGTGCCAGTTAAGGTTGAAGGAGACCAGAGGAGGCAAAAGCGACTTCGGTTCAACGCTACTCTGGGCCGAAGTTCACAAAACAGGGCCCAAAGGACCGTCTCTTTTCGCGAAAATAAACGTGTTTCCACAGAGGATTATCTTCTTCTTGAAAATATGTCCTCAAACTTTTTCCCCTCGTGCCGCCTGCAAGCTCGTATCGGCCATTTTCTCTTTATTCCAAATCGGGAATGGGCGGATATTTGGCTGGGTTTCAACAGGAAGGACGTGGGAGAAATGTGTAACTAACCCTCCGATGGATGTTCGAAACCGCAATCGGTGATCGCGCGTAAAAGCTCTGCCTTGAGGTAGAAATCACGGAAACCGGTCGAATGAATACCAACATAACTGCCCTTCTTGTCGGCGCCAGCTCCAGCTACAGTCAGATCGCCCTTCTTGGCGGCATCGCCGTTGGCAGCTGGCGCGGCTGGTGCAGCTGCAGCATCGGTGGTCTGGAGTTCCTCATCGGAGTAGTCGATAAGATCTTCTTCAGTGGCCATGGTGTGAGGATGTGGTGATTTGAGTCAGACTCGTCTAACGAGAGAGGAGGATGTTTGATTTAATAAGGAGAGAGTTATCTCCCAATGATAAACTAGGCAAAAAATAAGCAGCTAGGTGTCCAAACCAGCTACTTGAGCGTTATGAAGATGAAGAGGCCTTGGGTCCGAGGGAACACTTCGAAGGTGGTTGATGTGACGGTCTGGGTGAGAAGAGAGCTGAAGTTTCGTTTTCGAAGTTGAAAGCGCGAAAGTTGAAAAATGAGTGTTACCTGTTTTGGACATAGCGGATGAATATAAATCCGATAGCATAAAAACCTGCTGCTTACCTCATCAAACTTCCTTTTAATTCTTTGTTTTCTGTGAATTTGAAAGAGAAAAAGATCCTCTATTCAATAATACAAAGGCGACAAATGACAGAAAAGATGGCAAAGAAGACCCAGAAGGCTCAGAAGGGCTCAGGGAGCCGAGTGCAAACCCACCTTCACGCAAGAATTGCATATTTATACAAAGCCACAAACTATTTACAGTCCGCTACCTCCACCAAGCGTAACGAAGACGACAGTCAGAGCCAAAGAACAAATGATACCAGCTCCATATCTAAACAAAACGCTTCAAAGGAGTCTCAACCCAGACCCAGCGACAAAAAGAAACTGTTTTCATCTATTGCTCGTCAATATGGGGCCCAGCTGCGTTCTGTGTCCTTGAAATCGCAACTCCGGCTTAACTGTGACATCAAGAGATCCATATGCAAGAGATGTGATTCATTGCTGAGGCTGGGGCTGACGTGTTCGGAGACAATAGAGAATAAAAGCCGAGGGAAGAAGAAACCATGGGCTGACACACAGGTCATTATATGCGGATTTTGTGGGACTCGGAAACGGTTTCCCCAGGGCAGCAAGAAGAATATCAAACTCGTTGATCGACAGAAAGTTTAGCTACCTGTGGAACGGATACTATAACCGCCAGAACTCCCTGAGTGAAAGAATCGGATCTCTAATCTTCTCGCCGTATCGATGGCAGGAAATATCCTAAATTGAAGCTTATACTGGGATTTCTTTTTTCTATCTGCCAATACTAAAAGTAAACGCCTAACTGGCAATGCTCTTCAAGCTACAGGAGCAACCGTTCAGAGTTTACGCTGATACACACCGCTGGAAGGTACAAACGCCAGCCTGCACCGGCAGCAATGCCATCTCTCAGAATACACATTACCTAGACTAGTATCATTCACTAAACTAGCTCTAGCCTTATTGTAAGACGTCAAAGCGTCCAAATCGTTGGCGTTGAAAGCTACCATGTATGATAAAGATACGAAGAATAACTAGTGATTCTACATCATTATCATTTCCATAAGATCCAAGTGAATCAGAAGTATTTGATCGATTCTCGGGTAGAGAGCAAAGGAGGTTGGTGGTGAGGAAAGGTTGCTTGATTTTGATGGGGTTAGGTAATATTTTATTTGTCCCCTCAGTTATATCATTTATTCAACTTTGCTGTCAAAGTTCTCGCCCTCAACTAGGTCTGGGATATCGTCATCATCCTCATCATCCTTCTTGCCCTCTTCCTTCTTCTGCATGCTCTGGTAGCTCTCAGCGAGTTTGCGGAGGGAGGCAAGAGAGTCAGGGCCAAGCTGGTTAAGAATGCCGGGGACCAATTCAGTGAGTTCCTTCTCCTCACCATTGCCGTAAATAGCAAAAGTGTTGCTGGGAACGGAAGCTTGGACTATTGGGTTTCGATATTGTTAGAGGCTCTGTAGCAATAAAACGTATGTAGTTAGTTATTTACCTTTGGGGGCAGCGAAGTGGATAACATTGCCGTCTTCCTTGAACATGTTGACCTCCTCGATCGCCTGGATGGGCTGGACGTTCATCTTCTTCAACGCAGTTTGGAGTTTCTTGTCATCAGTGCCGGAGGACTTGTGGACCTTCTTCATCTTACGGCGGGGAGTTCCCTTTCCACTATACATTATCGCATGTATCGTCAGTCATACGCCCCATTGAATAACACGCACGGTTATCTATATCCATCGAGGAAGGCCAAAGATATATATACCCCGCTCCTCCAACATTTTAAGCCTAGAGACGAGGTTCGGTAGTGGGTTTGAAGAGTCCGATAACAGGACAAAAATAAAAGTAGACGTACCCTAGAAGCAATTGACAGACGGTTAGCAAATTGATATTCCTATTTATCATGTAGAAGCATGAATAAAAAGAGGCAAGCAAGAGACAAGGCTTGCTAGGCCCAAGCACGGGCCATGGAGCTCCAATGTGATATTGACAAGCATAGAAATCGCACAAAACAGCGGGCAAGAAAGAATAATCATACCAATTCGCACACTCTGCTGCATCTTCTGTAACTTTGCGAGATCCATGATGAAAATCGAGTTCTTCCTTCCCTTTTATTTCCTCTTTTTTTTTTTCTCTTGTTCAATTTCTAAGCTTAGAAATTCCACCGAGGTATACGGATCCGGGAAACGTGTGAGCGAGAAGAACAAAAGCGTTCTGAGAGAGCGATGAACAGATGGAAGGGAGAAGGGTCTATAATAGAGAAGAGGAAAAGGTCGCAAGAAGACGAAGAACGTCCAGAGTGATATCAATTAGCTTCATGCACACATCCAATCAAGGGTTATTTGTGGGGGAGACGGAAAAATCGGGGCGTTCGTTCTGCTTGCTCTTTGCAGAAGCTGAGGCGCTTCCCAGAGTGTTTTTCATGCTAGCAAAGGAGGGCTTCATCGCGAGTAACTACTTACAGTATGGCAGGTAGATATTTGGTCCTTGAGGGCGTCTGGTCGAAAGGTCACTGCAAGTCAAGCTCGCTTTTTCGATGTTTGACCGATGATGCCAAGCCCTGAAATCGGTTGGTGGGTTAATCCGGGCGTTAGCCCTAACTTTCCAAACAGGGAAATCACTTCTTCTTTTACATTATACAGGATGGATAGGTTTATATACAGATGAAAAGATATGTACATTTCGATTTAGTTTTGGCGGGCCTGTTCCTCTGACCACTCCCACAGCCGCCGTGCCGTATCCTCGTCATGAACGAGCTGGTTCCCCAAGGAACGGACTCCAACGGGAGAATAGTATTCTCCGTTGCGTAGTAGGCTCCTCGTACATCCAGCGGCCCACAGATGATTCAATGCTCCATTCTTCCTGCTGGAAGCGAATAGTATAAGAAAAGGGAGGCTGTATCTAAGCACAGGAGTCGCCGCCTTGCCCTGTTCGTACAAGCCTGTTAGAATAACGCCAGGATGCACCGAGACACTCATGATTTCCGGGTACCGTCTTGCCAATTCGGAAGCAAGGAGGATGTTAGCAGCCTTTGAGATCCCGTATCTGGTCCACCGGTTACATCTCAATATTTCGCCGTTTGAAGAAGTCATGAGCGAGAGTAGGGTCGATGGCGATGACGGAGCCATCTGCCAAGCAGCAGACGAGATGGACAGTACACGCACATCGGAACCAGGTTTAGACGCAGTCCTCCTGAGCGTTGGTATCAAGAGCGAAGTCAGGAGGAAGTGGCCCATGTAGTTTGTACCAAATTGGACCTCATATCCATCCACAGTCGTATAAGAGTCCATGCCCATGACTCCAGCATTGAGTATAAGGGTATCCAGACGGTCACATTCACTAGTGAATAACCTGACTGCTTCCCGGATAGATTTAAACGACGACAGGTCCAGAGGTAGATATCGAATATCTGCCTCGTACGTTAGCTGAAATTGAATGAAATTGATAGCTTCCCAGGCCTTTCTTTCATTACGGGCGGCCAGATATATCCTTGCGGGTTGATGCTTCACTAGCTCCAGGACTGTTTCCATCCCAAGTCCCGTGTTTCCTATCAATGATACTGTAAGCAAATATGAAATTGATAAAAGTGACAGAAATACAGAAACTAACTGACCTCCTGTAATCAAGATGACCTTTCCAGACTGGTCTATGATATTACGATCTGGCCGAAAAGCGGATCCGTAAATCTGTTTTGCAAACTGGAGAATACCCAGAACAGCCAATCGAGATGTCTCCAATGGATGGGCCAGGACGACTCTGGTAAGAGTCAGCAGGGCAACAAGCTCTTGAAGTGCTCGAACTATGGTATTTCCTGGCTGCTGACATCCTTTGCTCGTCTCATGTTCATGGGCAGCCGGGCTATGAGCAGATGGGATTCCGGCCTTGCGTCTGTGTGGGATCTCTGACATGTTCTTCTTTTTTTGTAAGATGTTATATTCAACGGTAAGAATGGTAATAATATATCCAATAGACTTCTATAAAGATATGATTAACATAGATAGGTATTATCATGGTCATCGAAAGGCAAAATGCCAACTCCTGGGTGTCAATCAATCCACACACACTTCCTGAATAGTTTCAAAGGTTGGAGATGTTAGCGTCAACTCTCACGGAAAGATGACTAAACTCACTTCTATAACTAACTTCTTCTCTTATCACTGCTATCAAAGTTACGGTGCCTCCAGCGAACGATAACTATTACAATTAGCATTCATGTAACACGATTATCCTCAGGAGGGCGTACGGAATAGATAGGCTCAATATAGCGCGCTCAGTCTCGCCACCAGTGGCCATCATGCAATAACTGGACTACGCTACGAGCTAAATTATGAAAAGATGAAAACATAAGATAATAGCCATATCATTTAATTGGTATATATGTATATATATATGCATGATTCATCCAAATTGCTTTTTGCTTTTGCTCAGCAACCGTTTCACCCGAAAATGTCGCTTCTTCGACCTTCCTCGACCCCCCTGCGAACAATTCCCCCACCGTCTTGTTCTATCGAACGCATGTCGATATCTCGACTTCCGCGACCCTTCCCTGACCTGGACATATAGGATATAAATATGTATATCGCAAGTCCTGTCTAGTTTTGGGCAGATAGTGCGGTGGAAAGGGATGCTTCGTTTGAGACGAGTTTTATACTTCGTCTTTAGCTTCCCACGGGATAAGATTGTGAAATAATTTGATTCTACCCTGCCAGAGGGGATGATCAAAAAGTATTATGTGATGATTTTCACAACCCGCAGATCTACTTTATCTTTTCTTTCCCCCCTCCCCCTTTTTAGTCACCGTTCATCCGACGTGGGGGCCTCTCTGGGTGGCACGGCCACTGTGGCAACCTCGCTCATGGCGCTTCATGTTGCTGCGCACGCTAAAAGCCTTGCCACAGCCCGGACGGGGACAGCGGAACGGCTTCTCCCCTGTATGGCTGTGAGAGTGGATGCGGAGGCTGGAAGGCCGGGAGAAGGCCTTGTTGCAGGTGCGGCAAATGTACCTGTCGTGGTTGAGTGGGTAGGTGGTGGTGTTAGATGGAGGGAAGTAGTGGTGGTGCTGCCATGTGGTGGTGCTGGCCATGTCACCTATGTTGACCATCTGGTGATGATGGTGCTGGGTGGGCTGCTGTGGCTGTGGCTGAGCAACCGGAGCTGGCTTGAAAGTAGGCACGCTGGCCGGATAGAACTCTGGCGAAGAGACCTTTTGCTCTGGTGGAGAGGCGAAGCGGGCCACGCTCGAGTTTGCTGGAGATGGGTAGCGGGCCTCCGAGAATGAAGAACGATTCGAGTACGCGACTCTGGACGTCGGGCGCTCGACGGGAGCATCCGAGGCTGGGCTGGTGAGTGTGGAAGAACCAGCTAAACCGGGAACCTGGGTCGAAACAGCGCTGGATGCAGATGGTGAACGTCGAGACTGCTCAAAGCTGGACTCGGGTCGCTGTGGAGGAGTTGGAGGTAGTATCGTTCTATACTTCTTCTCCGACCTTTCCTCCTCCCAATCGTCAAATCTTGGTCGTTCTGTTTTACAATGTCAGCGAACCGTAGAACTATATATACAAAAAAAGATGGGACACTGCTTACTGGCTGACTGAGGAGGGGAGATGCTGTCGATGCCCTGGAAGAGGGTTGAGATGGGTGGAAGCGAATATCTGATAACTGGCTCCGCCTCTGGAGAGGGAGGCAGCTCGAGGACGGTGGTATATGGAGAAGGTGTTGCCTTGATGTTGGCTGCCCTCCAAGACCGCCGTGACTGCAAGGAGTATGAAGAGCATCGGGGGGATGGAGGCTCATAGTTGGTGACCAACTGTGCGAGATTCATGATTGCTGGTGTAGGGTATATAGATGATATGCTTGTGGTATGTATAGATGTATGTAGGTATATGTGTCGGGTGGCAGCAACTGGAGAACTTGAGAGAAGCTGCTCAGGGGGGTGAAGGAGGATGATATATAAAAGAGCAGGGAAAAAACAGCGGGCTAGAAGGAATAGAAGTAGTCTTTCAACCAGGCGGCTTTAAAAAAACGTGTTCGGGGCGAAAAGGCATGGTGGGCAAGGGTGGGTGTTTAAACCAAGACTTTAAGGCTTAAAGGTTCCAGTACAAGGGATCAAGGTCGAGCTGACCGAGAAAAAGGAACGTCTCCCTCTCTGCCTCTGTATCTGCCCTTTCTTCCTCCATGGGGTCAGGGATAAACTCGATAACACGCCGGCTGAAACCTTGTCTTCGCCCCGTATTGCAATTACTGGCTCGCCGGGGGGTGTTTTTTTCTTCTTCATAAAAAAGAAAAGAATTTAAAAAAATAAAGCCAACGTTTATTCTTAGATTTTCTTTTGCAAATGAAAAAAAAAACCCTTTCAAGGGATCCATCCGCGGTACTAGTGCATTACGACGCAGGTTGATCAACCGGACATGCACACTTCCTTATGGCCGGGGCTCCCTCGAAAAGAAAAGAAAAGAAAAAAAAGGAAGGTTGAGGGATGAGGGAGAGAGAGGGAGAGAGAGAGCTCGAACTAGCGATTTCAATCACAGCCAGCCGATCTTCGACGGACACCATCTTTCCATACCAAAAAGGTCCATCAAGGGAGGAGACCAGCCTGGAAAATATCTCCGCAGTGCCATAGAAGTATATATATGGTAGTATCGGGTACCCATATATATCTGTGGTCGTGTACTCCATTATGTATGTAAATCGAGGATGGAGTAAAGGGATCCATCAGCTACCGTTGAAGCCCATTGTCACCTTCTCAGCGGAGAGGGCGATCTACACGAGTACGGCCCTCAGACTCTACCTGACCGGTTCAAACGGATGTGTCGATACCTGTGTGCTCTGTCCCTTTTTTCTTGCCGAGAAGGCCTTCAATATCCATCATATTCTCTTTTGGCACGGCAGTGTACATCCAAGGCACATTTCGCACAAACCGAGATCAGGAAAGATGATAATCTAAAGGAGATCAACGGTATGAAGCAAAAAATAAGAAAAAAAAAGTGGAAAACAAAAAGCAAACGAACAAGTGGTTGACGCTTCGACTTGTTGTCTTGGGTTTAGTCTGGAAGACGCCGCATAATTCACCACTCACACAGGAGCCTGTCTTGATATCTCTCACTCTCTTTTTTATTATTTGGGTCTCTCGAAGATGGCGGGCGGGAAATATGATCCGTGCCATTCGTTTTAGTTTCCTTTTTGTCCGTTTGTTCGCACTTGTACCCGTTTCTTCTGCATGGATAACCAAACATTGCTGATGGAGGATCCCAGGTGTGCGTATATAACTAACCTAGTGGACTGGCGTTTAAACGAGCAAAAGAGGGCGACACAAACACCCACACTTTCGTCACATCACATCACATCACGGTCATAGGACAGGGGGGAGGCAAAGCAGAGAGAGAGAGAGCGAACGCAGAGTGATAAACGATCGCTTGACCCCAAAGCGAGAACTAAGGCAAGCGAGGCAGTCTGCGGTTTTGAGTTTGTCGCAAGCGAAAAGACACAACAGGAGCCACGTTAAACAAGTTGTGGTTGCCAACCTTCGGTCTCTCTCTCGCTCTCTTTCTCTCCAGTCCCCGAACAGGATGCTGCAGGCGGGTTGCCCTCGTGGGAGAATCCTGCTCTAGTCCTGTCCCGGTTTAAGGCACACTCGCATCCTTTTTTTAAAAAAATAAAGGGAAAACAAGAAAAGAAAAGAGAGTTAAAAGAAAGAGAAAAAAAAAGAAAAGATCCAACGGGCTACCAGATTTGGCCGAAAGCCAAATACGAGAGGAAGGAAACGTATTACTACAGGCGCAGAGCTCGCTCACTAAAAAAGGAAATAGAGAGAGGAGTCCATCCACTCACGTCGACATATATACGGATCATTCGTCTTTCCCGTATGGGGACAGACGCCTTTCGAAAAAAAAAAAAAAAAGAGCACAGATCGTCTGATGAAAGGGAAGGAAAGAAATATTGGCCTTTGAAAAAGGTAGAAGGAGGGTATATGTATTTCCACTCGATACTTTACCCGTTCCATGGAGAGTTCGATAAAAGGTCGGGGATATGTCTGACCAACCTGCTTGTGAGTGGCCGGGTGGTAGCGAACCACGACATGCACACCGTTGCCTCGCCGCAGCCATGCCTTGTTTCGTTCTTCACATAAGGGAGGCCTGAGGGGGTTGGTGGGTTGATCTTCTGGATGATGCAGATCCACGCGATGGCCACACATCGGACGGCACGCACGAGGGAAAAAGAAGAAAAGAAAAGAGAGGAAAAAGTGCCAGAGAAGAAGGCTTTCGGCTCTTTTTTCTTTGTTTCTTTTTTTTTTCATTTCTCCCCTTCTTCCTTCTTTTCTTTTTGGTTGTTTCTCGGGATGACAGCGTCTTGACTTCTGAGCTACCCCGTGAGGCGTCCGTTTTCTCGGACGGAATATTTTTGCCGCTCACTCGCCTATATTCTAATTATATCCTGCGAGAAGGGCGAGTGGGGAGGACATACATGTAGAGCATTCGCCTTTCTAGTTCAAGAAATTGGCTATTGAACAGAGTTAACCAGACAGGGCCAATAGATGCGCAGCTCTCTACATTAATAAAATCGGTAATATAAGAGGGATAGGATGGGGGGCGGAGGGGGGAGGGGACTGGGGGAAACATTCTCTCGGGCGTAAGATCGTTCGAGATCGGATCACAGCCATCTTTTACCTAGGATGCTGTTCGAATCGAGATGAGATGGGTATGAAACATCTCCCTTGTTTGCATCTGGCCGTGGCTGTCTGGGCGGGTTTTGTCAAACCAACCTTCTTCACTGATGTATACACTCCCACGAAGGGCGCCACACTTCAGGATCAGCGGCCAGCACGTTTAAAAGGCTCAATCGATGTCGCACAAGGCCTGTCCCGTCGTCCTGCTCTGCGATGGAGTAAAACTTGAAGGTTGAGGGATTGAAGGCGGGTTTGTTCGAGGACGCCCGGACAGCGGATCACCTGATCGACATGCGGTCCAACCATTGAGGATGTAGAATATATATATATATATGCAAATACGGAGTTATGGAGCTAAACCCTTTGGATTATATGATGACTTGCTATGGTATGGCGCCCTAAGAGCTAGCTAAATACGAGGCCAGACTGGATATTCATGGGAGCACCAGCCTCAGGCCGTCATACTCTGTGCAATCTCTAATATATACAGACACCCCAGGAAAAAAAAAACAGGGCTGTACGTAATTAATTAAACATCTCCGCAAACAGCACGTGAGACCAGCCACACCCCCCTGAGAGGGAAAAAAACGGTGTGCTCATCTGCAAGATAAAAGAAGAGAGATCTAAGAGTATACTCGGTAAGCTTTAAAGGCTATTGACCGGGAATTTAATAAATCTTACTGACCGGTGTCAAGACCAGTATAGGTAAGATAAGTCATATATGTATATGTACATAGTATTATATACTGGATTATATGTGATGGAGTCGGTCGATGGCAAAGACAAAAAAAGAGCATGGTCAGTGCCCCCCTGTGATCGACTCGAGGGGACCAGCCGACGTTTCATGGCGCTTTGCCTCCACGTGAAAAGTGGGAAGATCGCCGCGCATTACGTATATATGTATGTATATAAGTAAGAGGTTGCTTTTTTATGTATCAGATGAAAAAAAAAAAAAAAGATGGCTATGGCATGGCATTGGCATGGCCCAAATCTCGCAAGGCAGCGTCAGTTTCTTTTCTCTACACACCTTCTGACTGCAGCATATACTCCGACGCATCGGGTCTTGGGTTCCTTGGTTGGCATTGCGCTTGGTCCAGCGGTTCGGCGCTTCGAGGCGCTGCTCCTCTTTTTTTTTGGGGACAGCCACCCCCCGATCTGGCAGGTCGAAGCAGGGGGCGGTACTTCCGGCACAGTATTACCATCGCCGGGCGCGGAAGTACCTCGGCGTGCGGCGCGGCCAGATCGGGTCTGACATCCAAGTGGGCTTGGTATCGGCTTGGCATGAAAGCTTGTATTACGGGGATCCACCGTTAGCTGGCCAATGAGTAGCGAGAAGCGGTTTCCTGATACCGTAATTGGTGGAGCAGTGCCGCATGTGTGAACAAGGACTTCTTGGCCAATCAAAGGTTGGTTAATTCTCCTTTTCCACCTTCGCCGACGCTTTGATCGGCGGGGAAAAGTCGGGATCACGCTGATCGCCCTTGTAAGAAAACTGTGTGTTTCATCTTTGTTGATCTCCCATCCATCATGAGATAGCTCACATGTACAGATGGGAAGTGTATATACATATAGCAAGTAGAGATAAGTATATGTATGCACACGTTGGCTGAAGCCACGAGAAAAGGTAGAAGCAGAAACAGGTCAACGGAAGCGCAAGGCACGGCTGCTTGAGCCAGGCTTACCTTCATTGCTTCTTCTGGTAAGCTATACCGCTTCCCCCCTATTTAGGCGCACTCCATGAGAGCACATGATGATGACAGCTCCTTGAACTCTTTACAGAGTAAAATAAAAGTACCAGGGACAATCCTCCGTGCTGGGGAGTAAGTAATACGATATTCCAAATATTAAATAAATACAATGCGTTGATGCTATTAATACCGACTCATCCAACTCCACGCCCATGTTCTCAACGGTGAAGGATGGGGACTAACTAAACAAGTGTCTTCCCTCTCTGTCTGTCCATCACGATGGGCTAGGTGGTGTTGGGTTAGGGTGAGGATCAGTGGGTATGGAGGGGAAGTTGGAGCGTATTTATATAGGTAATGTACGATGTAAGGAACCAGACCCAAAGAAGGCAGACTCGTCTCATCTCGCCCGATGTGGTCATCCTAGGTAACATTACCCTTCTTCTGTTTGGGTGTGAGAGCAACCCCCTGGTATGCCTCAGTACGGATTTCAAATACAGCCCAGACGAAACGAGAAGGAAAAAGCAAAGGAGTTATTTTCCTCGATACGGCTAGAAGGGACAAAGGTTTCTAAAAATGTCAGACTTTCTCTCTGCCAACACGATAAATACACAGGGGTAGCACATTTATCTCTGTATGTATGGACACACCCGTATATACAGAATACGCCCTTTTTTTCTCCCAGCCGAAAAAGGAAAGAGAAAAAACAAAACAACAACTGGCGGAGACCCATCCTGATTGCCGGGAAAAGTAAAATAGTCAAACTGCGAGAACTTGCGGTAATTCGTAACGTGACGATCAAGTTAGGGTGGACAGAAAAAAAAAAGAAAGATCGTTTGTGCCGCCGGGGAAGCCGGCGGTGCTTGCCCCGATCGACGTGATCCCTGGAGTGAAAAAGAAAGGGCCTGAGGCAGCCCCGGGAGAAGCGTATATTTCTTACATGATGCTTACTGGAAGAACTCGACCTTTCCATCCTTGACCCTGACCCGTTGTATCGAGTGTTATCCTTACATATGTAGACACCATTCTGTCAACAACTTGGCGGAGGGCCAACCCGGACGAACATCTGGTTGAAACGCGCGCACCTTGGTGGCTGTTGCATCGAACTGCTGCTACCCTCGACCGGGGGGGCTGGCCCATCGCACATCCACCTGTATACCACGTTAGCAGGGCCCAGTCCCATGTTCTCGCCAGATCTGCCTAGGAGGTTGATGTAACTTATTCTCCCAGGGCAATCTCATCCTTCGGAGTACGGAGTATGTGCTCCGGATGTTATGTCTTGTCTATCAAATCATGTACAAGATACAGCTGCTGGGAACGAGCAAGTCCATCTGTCCGTGTCATTTCCACGTGCTGGAACTGCTTTCCCTCTCCACACGGCAGGCCCGCTTGGCTGTACATGTACAATGTACATCCTCCGGACATATCAGTATCCATCAGCCAAGTGCGGTGGACTCCGTTTGCATATGTAAAACCAAGACCCTATTTCTCTGTTCTTGTCTATATATTTGACACGCCTTTGTCTGGTCGTTGCAGAATAGAGTTGTTTTTGATCCGCATCAAACGGGCGAAACACGGATGGAAGTACTGGAAATTGCTCTTCGGCGATGGCGTGATAGATATGTCATTAGCAGGGAGATGAACATTGTATGATGCTCATATATAGCTGTATAATTATTATATATTCTTTTGAATGAGGCTGTTGGCGGATCGTCGGACAATAGGTGTTCACGCCTCAGCAGCGCATCCACCATCCTCTTTTTTGCCCTGGATTCCCCTTCCTTCAGGGTCCACTGGAGTTCCCAGCGAACGTCCTTAACTGTATCTCTTGTCCTCTCTAACTCTCTTAGGCAGGTTCTGCTATGTATCACCGTCCTAGCCGTCCTCAAGCTGGCTTGGTCGAGGGTCTGTGCTGGGTAGGCTGGCAAAAGAGAGAGAACAGAGAAAGAGAGGAAAAGAGAGAATAAGACGGATGGACGGAGATTCAACTTTTAAAGAGGTCTGGCTCTTCTTGTTCTCTCCACCTTGTCCTGCTGTTCCCCTTGGGTCGAGAAGAGGGAAATTGATTCTTGTCTCCTTGACCTTCCATGAGAAGACAAGCTCGAATGAGGGGGGAAGCTATAGAAGCTGATAGTTTTGACTGATCATCTGGCTCGTCGTATATAGATTTCTCGTTAAGCGACCTTCCTCTATTAATAACCCACTGCTATAGCCTCATCCTTCGCATGGCCTTTTGACTAGCTCCCTCGCTTCCACCTTTTGCCTCTCCTTTTGCCATGTTCGGCTCCATGTTTGAACATGGCAAAATGAGAAGGTTTCCTTTTTATCTCTTCCTCTTTCTTGTCTCTTCTTCTTTTCGAAGTTGAGTTTGCAGAAGGTACCGCCAGTCAGGTAAAGCTCGCGGACGGGGAGGGAGGAAAGGCCAGAAAGTCTCTTTTTTGCTTTTCTTCTTCTTTATAACTAAAATATCTCTTTTTAGGGTGTTTTTCCACGTGGAAAAGGGCGTGGGCAGGCCAATCATCCGCTTGCTGTGACAATTTCTCGTATTTTATAGTCTCCGTTTGTCTTGTTATATTATTCTTTTTGCTTTTTTTTATATATATGTTTTGCAAATACGAGTGGCGTATCATATACATGTACTGTTACTTTGTGTACGGACCATGTTTAGTATTTTTCTTTTTTTTTAAGATGAGAGAGCACAAGCAGCAGACGAAGAAGCAGAAGAAGCAAAAGAAGAGTCCATCCATTGCTGAAAGAGAGCACTGTTAACGCCGGGCCCAGCAGATCGACGGGAGGGCGACGTAAGTGACCCAACGCTTGACTTCTACGAAGGTACATAAGGAGCCTGGGCATATATGTTGTCTGCGTATCAAAGCGTTGCATGGCCGATTCTGGTTGATGCTGGTCACGGAGCTGCCGTGGTCACATCCAGGAACGTCGCAATTGTATGTAATATAGATTGGCCAGATAGAGAGTTGCCTACTTACGATGTATACGTACAAGTATCGTAGGCATCACACGTGGATTTATTGCCCTAGTCGGTATGCCTCCCTTGTCTCTGGGAAGAGGAAAGGAAGAAGAAAAAACACACGTCTACATGCATCACATCTCTGCATTAGCTCTTGTGTGTGATTTGATTCTGTCGACTTTTTCATTTCATCCCCTGCCTTTCACGTGGATTTTTCCCCCATGGGCCGCATGTCGAGATGTTTAGTACAGAGTATGTCCAAGCCCTTCTTCCCATTCAAACGATGCTGTCTCATAGGCTGCCAGCTGCATGCATATTAAACAAACTTGCTGGTCCTCATGGATATCATTCCTTCCAAGGATAAGTCATCAATATACCTTGTGCCAAGGGGATGTGCCGGCTGATTTACCCAACTCCAAAGCCCTAGCCCTCCTCCCTTTTAACTACTAAGTACATCGCTATTATATTATTGTAATAATAAAACATACCGAGGTTTGTCTTCACTATATACAAGCCTTTCTGGAGGATCGATACCTGGTTGATCAGGCTTGGATGTTTGTCCCTCGCTTCTTTTACAAGTACATATATACATATAACCTGCGTCAGTCCAGACATATACACATATACATTTACGGATAGACTGACACCCCCATGCAGTTGCATGCCATTCACCATCCTGGCGCAGTTTATGTAAGGACATACTATGCAGTTACACCACGCCACACCATGCCATGCCATGCCCCGTACATACTCACATCCTCTCCGTATCCGAAGAGCATGCTCTCGTGCGGCCCCTTCTCCTCCCCCCCTTTTTTTTGGTTTTCAAATACCGAAGAAGTCAATTTTCAAGGCTATTAACTGTAGAGAGACAGGCTCGAACTCCTAACTCTGGCCCCTCATGTTGCCTTTTTCGGGATTGCGGGAGGGGAGAGTTGGTGCTCCCGATAGTTTTGCAGTTTCCAACCTTGATACGTACATACCTAGATCTTGGTCCCATTCGGAGTTGCATGAAGTCCGGATGGAGCAACCTGCTGGAGACGTTGATGGATTCCACAAGACTCCAGTTTTTCCTGTTGTATATATGCGTGCCAGGGTAGATCCTGTGTTTCGATCTTTGTTCCCTTGAACCTGTTTGTGAGGATACTTCTAAGAGGATCGATATAACACCGTACTCCGTATATCCGTCTGGTCTCTCGTCTTTCTCTTCACTTTTGTCCGGCGCAGAAGTCCCCCATACGAAAAATATACGAGGGTTCAGTTTCGACCAGGTACGCTGAATTTTCGGTGTTGAGATGTGACGAACTCCTGGTAGGCTGATATGCACATACATACATACATAGTAGTATGTACGTATATATCGCTTCTTCTCTTCAGCCTCCTGTCACAATTAGCCATTTCAATTTAAATACGAATAGGAATCTCAAAATAACACATGAACAGGACTACCTCGGCCAATAAGGTAATCCGGCATGATTTCCTTTTCAGCCTAACAGCTCGTTCATCCTCTCATTATCCTAGTCTTTACTAGAGCTGTTTTATTTTATGGTTTTCCCTGGGGTAATCACCATGGAAGATGCCTGTTATAGGATCGCCCCCGGGGGCAGCCTCCCAATACTGCTTCTCTTCCCATTGGTTTTCACACCAAACTCGAGATCTATACTTAGCTGATATCATTGCTGGAAATGGCCATTGGTGAGATAGGGCCGGTGCTGAAGAGCCGTCATTCCGCAAAACCTTCCTCAGAGCTATATTTATATATAACTCTTATATAATAACCATCCAGTAGCCTTCTGGAGGGCTGCTGTTTTGAATCTGACCACGGCATAGAAAAAAAAAAGTGATTGAATCCCGGCATTACCCTCTCTCATTACTCGGACTTTCCTTTCCCTTCATCATTGAATGGTCTCCTGGAGAGAAAGACATTCTCCTCACATGCCGTGTACGGATGCACTCCGTCCCCGGCCCTGTTTCTCATGTTTCCCCCTTTCTCAATTCCTCTTCCGTCTCCGTTCGGTGCTTCATCGACGGTCCTTCTTAATTTCCTTCTCGCTCTACTCCGAATCTCCAACACCTGGAGTAGGCGAATATACACGGGCCGGCCCAACTAGTTCCCACCTGTAACCATAATATCGGTGAAGATCAAGGTATATTCTCGGCACCCACTTCCAGCGTATATATGTACATCAGTAAGAATGCCGTCAGTCTTCAGTCAGCACGGAGCCACCGATGATAGACCATCGGTATCCCCATCTCCCTTTGGAATGTCGTCAATGCCCGGTTTTGCTTCTTTTGGGAGAATTATGTGTGTTTAGCATTTCTACTTTTTTTTTTTTCAACACATGGACCTCCATCAGTAGCATGAGCCAGCCAACCCTTCTTCTTTTCCATGTAACTAGTCATTATCCAATAGATTGCTAGAACTAGATAACTCTTCATGCTTCGGATGCAGATCGATATCACTTTTGCATGCAGACACATGAGGCTGCTTCCGACATTGCATAAGATTTCACAGCTTGTTGGTGTCCTGATTTGCTGGGTTTGCTGCTCACCTCCTTCCCGTCGCTTGGCTTGTCCCCATGTGGATGATATCGATACTGATACTGTGACTTGTCTGACGTCAAACCCTTGCCATGAGGACAGCCATCCTCGAAACACCAACGTGGTGCATTCGGACTTGCCTTTGTTTTTCGGTCTCTCACTTTGTTTTCTTCAGATACATTGTCTGTATTGCGGGGCTTTGGTAAGGGCGTTTCATTTATTTCCCCTTCAGTCAATATCTCGTCGTCGATCCATCAGCCCAGCGTGGACCGAGCAGGGAAGGGATCCTTTCTTATTTCTTCCTCTGGAACCGATTTTCCTACCTTTATTAATTCTTAAAATAGCCCTTGCCCCGATCACGATAACTGTGGATTCTCCCAGATCCAACATCCCAAGCCCCGGCTGATTCTGTTACGCCAATGTTTATTTCTTCTGTAACACCTGACGTTCGTATACTCCGTATAATTTTTTTTTCTCCTTCATCGCTTTCCAGAGGAGGCTATTGAACCATTTCCACCCTCAATGATATCTTCTTTTTCCTTAGCGATTGGGTAGGTATATTGCTTTAGAACTAAGTCTGGAGTAGGCACGGAGAAAAAGGATGATTTGTTTCCGCGATCGCATAAATACCACCAGTCCTGTTGCTGATTCTTATTTCATCCATATTCGAGGGTGTTGTATGGGATGGAGATTGCTTCCGACATCAATGGCGTTTTTGTCGTCAATTGGCTAAGTCGCCGGCCACCTACTGTATAGACTTAAGCTCCCTTCCCGGGGTGCTAATAACCATGTCCTTATTTCGCGATGACGCGATCATGAAATCTCCCTGACAGAATGATGATCTTCACATGCAGTCATCTTCAGCCATGCACTCAAATCCCATTTAATCTCACCCCATGCTCATCCCATATATTCCTGCCCGTCCCCCAGCTTACTTGCAGGCGTCACCCCTCATTCTCACCCAACGCCAAGTGCATCTCAGGCTGCCATCATCCCTACTCCGCATGAGAAATGCCATCACCCCCGTTTTCAGCACGTGGGCAGGGGACCATGATGCGCTGCCACAAGGCTTATATTGGTCCTCTCAAACAAGGGACTTGGTCTCATTAAACCGTTGCTGGAGCCCGGTTTCTTCAACTAAGGCAAGCATGGGAGTTCTTGGGGGCCTACTGTGTAAGCTAGCCAGGAGGTATATGCATCGTGTGATGATCCAAAGCCCTGCGTTGCCCAAGGCTGAATAGGTAACGCCTTTACAGGGCGCATAATGTGTAATTCTTTGCGGTCTTTTGATCGGTTGAAGTTATCTTTACCTCTTTTCGGATTGTCACGTGGACAACTCTTGGACTTTCTACTTTATAGATAGGTGAAATGTACAACTATGGTCGCAAGCCGAAAATTAATCGACCTTTTATAGTAATCAGGAAACCAGAGATTCATCTCGTATAATAAGATTGAGACTGTATTAGAGCTGTTGGTATTTTGGAGATAAAAGTAGATCTAGGAGAAAGGGCGAATAATAACCAACTTGAGGTATAACGAAACTTATTACTTTTCTATTTTCTGGACCTGTATAGATTACATAGTATGCGTTAAGTCGGCGGAGGCCTTTATAGAAATGTATATATCAAAGTAACTCACCGCTTTTGAACTAATACTTAACATATCTAATCCTCAGCATCTCCTGCTATATCAATAAAGGTGCTTTTATATATTATACCCTTCGAAAGTCATTTAACGCCCACCTCATCAGTCAGAGCTTATTGGTGCTCTATCAACACACCTTTTCTGAAATGATGCTGGGAGAATGTTCTTCCCACAACATCTAAGGAACATGAGCATCAAGGAATAAACATACATATAGTCTTGTCTATCTAGAGTCATTTTTCGAGAATGTTAGATACCCTGTACCTAATGGCGCTTGCCTTAACTCGACGGACTAATTGCTAGTACTTTACTAACTATATAGAACTTCCTAGGCTATTGCAATCGACAACCCACTTCTTTGGACAAATACATACCTACGACAAAAGCCTGCAACTCTATCCGTTTCTGAAGCTTGCCTGTCAGATGCCCCGCCTCGGGTCGTGCCTTATATAGGAGGGACAAATTTCAAATAAGAGCCCACGCGTGTGATTGAATGGTTTAATATACGGAACCTACGTATGCAGGGCATTCCGGTCGTACGTTAGTTGAAAGAGTCCTATCTATCTGACGATGGGGTATCTAATCAAACTCGAGATCTGACTAAATAAACACTAACGACTGGTAGATACTCCTGGATGGTAGAAATGTTCACGTCTGCAGGTTTGTAGTTAGCCGCTTTTGATAGCGGTTTAACTGGCAACATATTGCCTTCTTGGAGTATAGGAAACAGGTAGAGCGTAATAAACGCCGGATTCGAATTCATCTGACTAAAATAGAAATCACAGTACAACATCAGCTGCACCTGGGGGTATTGCTCAATTTTCCCTTGCGTCAGCGGCTACCGCAGCTCTTGCGTCAGCCTGGCGCAGCAGAAAGAATCTATACTCCTGTTGTGCACCGTCCTTTTCCAACTGTTTCTGAATGATACTCAATGAGGAATTATCACTCACAGCATAGATTCTCGACATCATTCTTGCCTCAGCTTGTTTTCGTGCGGCTGTTTGTTGAAGTGCGGGGAATTTATTTTCTTCCGTAATCAACCGTGTTTCCTCAGCTGCCCGTCGATTGTTCTCATCATGCATTTCGCGGGAGGTTTTTATGGTTCCATCATTGAAGAGGTGTGCTACAATAGGACCTTCGGGAGCGCCATTGAACTGAAGCGTGATCGAGTTACGGACTTCTTGGCGATCAGTGTGGGGTGGATGTGGGCGTGTGCCTCTGTAGCAATTTAGTTATGAATCGAATGGATGGGGTAAACTCTTGTATCTGCCTTACCGGATCAGTTTAATCTCATGGAAGGGGAATTTGACCTACAGGGGTATCAGTCATGAACTAAGATACGGGAACACTACCCACTAACATAGGGGTTCATTCCAGCAGCGGTTTGGTAGATGAGGTTTCTAAATTGGAGAGGAACCCCAATCAACAACTCTGCTGTGGCAGCTGGGATCCTGCTCGTAATCATATCGGGGGGTTTTTTTCTAAGGAAGAACCAGAAAGTTGAATAATATTGAGGAAGAAGGTTACTGGCATTCTGAAAGGCATAACCCCTTCTAATAGCTAGTTCTGATGGCTCATAGGCGCCAATGCTGTGAACGCTACTCTATGCACTATGCAATAGAGTCGTACGCTGCTCTCAAAATGCATCCTGCACCAATGAATAAGTGTTAACTTGTGCTTTGAGGCAGTCTTGTTTCAGGAGAGACGAAAGGCGTCATTTTCATTGGTTTCAACAGGAAGCGCAGCCTCAACCACTACAAGGATATATATATTCTCATTCTGAACCAGTCGGTTCAGGTCCCAAGGTATGTTGGTCGCGAAGGGCTGAACCCTCTTTAGATCCCGGCGATCAAGCGACATGGTATCTCATCATTTAACAACCAGGCAATTCAGCTCTTCTGTTGGTTAACATCGTTGCTTATATGAAAAGCGCTCTCGAGGCTTCCGAAAAAGGTGAATAGGAAGTTTCTACTCCACGGGCTTGGCGGCGGCTACGCCCTAAACATAAAATGGCTTGACACAGAACACAACACAGAGCGCGAAGGAGGAGACATTATGTTTAGGGGAGATCTCTATACATCATTTACGAAATGCGTGCCCTCACCGAATCATTACGGCGATTTACACGGCTACGTCTCCAGCAAGGTTCTCGAACATTTTGTCGACCAAACCACGTAATGGCCGTTAGAGAAGCAATTGAAGAACAGAGCTTGCCACGTTACCACGAAAGACATTACTACCCCGTCAAAATTGGGGAGGTGTTCAATGGCCAGTACCGAATTATTGCAAAGCTTGGATATGGCGCATATTCTACTGTCTGGCTAGCCTGGGATCAGAGGTTTGCAAGTTCTCTCTATTTCTAAGGATACTAGTATTCACCCACTTTATAGGGCAAAGCAGTACACTTCACTCAAAGTGTGTATCAGCCAAGATGACGAATCTTCCCCGATTCTCAATGAGATCTATATGCTGCAGCGTTTGAAGAGATTCGCTGACACGGACCAACGCGACCTCCCCGGAGTGGGCTTTACGCGTCTTGCTGATGATATCTTTGAAATCGACGGGACTTCCACTTACGGTCGACACTACTGCATTGCCTCAAAACCCCAAGGCCAGAGTATTCGCACATTACAGGAGACATTTCCAAATGCCATCCTACCCAAGCTCCTTGTAAAATCCATCATACACCGCTTGTGGTTTTCTGTCAACTGGTTTCATTCAACCTGCGGTGTTATACATACTGGTAGGTTCAAGCGATATCTTGGAGCCTCCTTTTTGTATCTGGCCGCTGATTATATACTTCCAATAGACATTTCACCCCAGAACGTTCTGATGCAACTTGAGGATGATAGCAGTCTCGAGGACATCGAGGATCAAGAGTCGCGGAAACCCAGTGTCCCTATAATCACTATTGAAGGAGTGGTTCCCTTGTATAGGTCTCGAAAAACCAAATTGGAGCTTTCAGGTCTCCCAGTCCTTGTTGATTTTGGGCAAATGAGACTTGCAGAAGGGCAAACAAACCAGGACTGGTGGATGTCCGATTTATACAGAGCTCCAGAGGTAATCTTGGGCCTACCTTGGGAATATCCCGTTGATGTGTGGTCCATTGGTGTCATGGTAAGTTCTAGTAGATATGAACTTTGCACATTTCATAATAGTATGCCTAACTCAAGTCCAAAACCATTAGACACTTGAGCTCATGGAAGGGAAAAATTTATTTGACCCCATTGATAGGGTTAACAATCAGTATGTTCTTCCACTGGCACTAGCTCAATATATTGGATACCTGGGCCCTCCACCGCTGGAAATGATTCGCAAAAGCCCACTTTTTTCTACATATTTTGATGAACAGGGTGAGTCTGCCTTTATATTATAAATTCCAGGAAAGTTGAGCTTACCCATGTCCCGATAGGCAACTGGGTGTCTGAGCCTCCTATCCCCAAAGCCTCTTTCGAGGACTTCGTCACCACAATCCCACCGGGAGAGGAGAAGGACCAGTTTCTCAGGTTCATACGTAAGATACTTGTTTGGGACCCGAAAGTGAGGGCCAACTCATATGAGCTTATCCAAGATGAATGGATGATGAGGCATCCCTCAGAAGAAGATATGGTACTTTTAAGGAACCAGATGAGTTAGAAGAATATGTAGTCAGCTAAATAAATAAGATGGAGGTTTATATAGCTAGGATTTATAAAAGAAAGGTTAGATACAGTCAAAATAGGCTAGACGAGAGAAGAAATCGGTGAATTGGTGATACCGAGATGACGAAGTAGCTAACTAAAGCAATGACTAAGCAGGCTAGCTAACACTACATTTGACGGGCTCTGTTCTCTAACTATATTGCATGATAAAACTATATATGGCACTGTGGCTCATTCCAAATCTCAGTATATGGAATAACTTGGTTGTATAGGGGATGTTGTCACCAAAAAATAACCCGGGTTGCTCAAATCATATTGTTGCAAACCATCATGGCTTGTGCCATTTGCGATATGGTGGTAAATCCGTAAAAAGAGGGACTTATAATGGGAGGCGTTTTTCTTGCCTACATAGTCCTTTGGTTATCTTATTTTATCCATTTACAGGACGGTTGAAGCGATGAAACGGCGATGGGGCTCATTCTACCTGCATTTTCTACATCTGAGGAAGGAAAGATGGCCTTTCATCTTTCATCTCGTCATGTACGTTTCTCATCATATTGATGCTAACACATTGTGTGACAATCTAATAGAGAGATCAGAAAGCTACCTATAAATTCCATTCTGGACGATTATCATTGAAAAACCTGGATCTGACACCTGGTCGATTCCAGTGAAATCCCTCCTTCAAGACGCTGCACCCACCATACCCCTTCCTTCGAGAAACCCCATTCTCTCTTTTTTTTTCGCAGGTTTTCGGGTATACCCTCTGTAACGGGGATGTTTTTATTATACATGCCGTGGAATTCTATTATCCTACTTACTTTGCTCCTTTTCTCCTCCCAACAGGCTGTTTCGCAGGTCGTTGGCAACAGTGGGCAGCAGAAGCAGTGGATGCAGCTCAGAAATGAAGACCTTTCTGACGATAGGCTGCCGTCTCTTTACACGGGAGATTTTGGAGATTGTATGGCCAACTCCATGGTCAAACTCACACAGTTTAACGCAGCGTACTATCAGGATAATCTGACTGTGGTCTTCCACCTGGACGGCCATACATCTCTCCTTAATGAGTCCCTGATGGGTACGATTGTTCTCCTCCTAATTGACAGCTAGAACTACATTGCTTTTAGATTCTAATCTCTTTAGTGTACATTGCTTTCTTCGCCTACGGGAAGCGGAGATTTGATTTGGTGTTTGATCCCTGCAATGCAAATATACACAGGTGAGCTTCCCTTACCTCTGAGATGGCTGTGTGCTTATCATGGTGGAATATATAGTCTCTGTCCTATGAATTCCTCCCGTCGGATTGTAGACGGTGGCTTTATTCCGGTTGCTCCTGCGGATGTCTCAAATATTTCACCGTTAGCTTTCCGAATACCTGATTTCGAGGGACGAGCCGTCATACGACTTTTTTCTAATTCCACACAATCACAGATAGCTTGTTATGTCTCAACAATGACTAATGGCATTACATTATCGCATCCACAGGTTGTGGGATCCATCCTAGCCTTGTTAATTTCAGCTACCTTCGTTTTATCCCTCGCAACCATCATCTATGGCGAGGATATAGCGAACATGCAAGCCCGCTATTCCCACTCCTCGTCATTACTTGTCACTTTTACCGTTCTTCATCATGTCTATTTTACCGGTGCCGTGTCTGCAAACTGGCCTCGCGTATTGGTGGCCTTCTGGTCCAACTTTGCACCCTTTGCGGGGATGATTTATTCCAGATCAATTCAAAGCTCAATAAATAGAATGGTTGGAGAGGATAAAGGAGATCTTCGTGTCCTCGGATCTAGGCCTGTTGGTACTGTGTCACCCAACTTGGGTGGTTACAATATCACAGATATATACGGCTCGTTCGCATCTGGCAGGCGTCCTGAAGTTCTTGATACCGGGAAATGGGCAGACGCAGTTGAACAGAACTATCGTATTTCCGCACCCTCAGTCTCTTCACAACCTGAAACATTCCAATGGCGTGGTCAGCTTGTTGAAAATGGGTTTCCAATACCGGGGAATTATTCTGGCTTTGCAGGGACTCTCGCGATGCAGAAAATACCAGCTGTGAATGCTTTTACTACGGGGCTTTTTTGGTTTATAGTGCTAGTTGCTATCCTCATCTCTGTTATTCCTGCGGTAAAATTAACGATTGAGTTACTTATCCGCTGCAATGCCATCAAGGGGAGGCAAGTGGAAAATCTAGCGTATCTCCGGATACACTGGCTAGAATACATCTCGGGAATGATACTACGATCCTTATTTATCGGGTTTGGAATGCTCATGTTCCTTGCTCTATTTCAGTTCGGTTTCGGAGGTGCACTCCCGTCCAAAGCGCTGGCAGCTATTACATTCCTCATACTCCTAATCGGGTCTGTCTCTATTACAGGATATGTTATATCGTATCGCAATTCCCATTTTACGGTTATTCCGGAGAGAAGTAACCTGGTTTTTGAAAGAAAAAACCTATTAAAAATTATCCCTTGGTTTGTCCTGGTAAGAAAGGGTGGAGTTGCATCGAAAGAAACACCAACTGCTTTGCCAATATATCCTTGGTGGAAAACTTGTATCCATGACCCGGGTTCGGGCGAGGCTAGGTTCTTTTTGAGATTCGGTTGGCTAGTCGCTCGCTTTAAGGATGATAGATGGCACTTTTGCGTAATATGGCTCATACATGAGTTTCTTCGTGCGTGCTTCTTGGGGGGAGCTATTGCAAACCCGATATCCCAAACCATTGGACTGTTAATCCTCGAGATTATATTCATGGTTTGCGCCATAGCCATGAGACCCTTTGAAGCTAAACGGCTAAGCGTTGTCTTATACGCGCTATCATTCAGCAATATATCATCAGTGTTATTGTCCATCCCTTTACTGACTCAACACAATCTCAATAGACTAGCCACCTTCGCTATTGGGATGGTCATAGTCTTCATCCAAAGCCTTCTTGTTGCTCTCCTGGTCCTATCGATGCTAACCGGCATCGTAACCAGTTATATATCCCTTACTAGGCGTCAAGGGATCCCAGTTAACCAACATCCTTCGCATCAGATACGAATGGGGTTCTTGGAGCATGTTGATAGAGGAGTCAACTCTCGCTCGGGTCCTCATCTTTGCGCTCCTAGTTCGATATCACCACCGTCCAGGGAGACAGGGTTTATAGTTCACTCTGTCCGGAGATGCCCGAAAATTATAGATGAGAGTCCAACGCCTTATTACCGGAATCCATCCACGCCAACGTCCTCACGGCATCCACTTCACCCTTTATCTGCACCTTCATTCCCTACTTTGGACCCGTTTATGCCTTCCACTACCACAGGTTCTGCTATCCCGAGTTCTCAAAATACACATTCCACCAATCCATTCAATACCACCGCTACACACTGCGTTTCTTCGGGTCTTCAAAGAATGGAGTCACTTGGACGTTGTGGTGCCTGCTTTAAACCACTTAATGGTGACCTCTACAAGATGGCCTCCTTAGAAACAGTGCTTTCTCGGTCGACAACTGGGCAGGAAATGAGTCAAGACGATAGTTTGTGTCTCACTGACACGTTTGAAACTGCAAGATCTGATTTTGACCCTCTCACGGAGTTTGTAACACCGGAAGACATAGATACGCAGGATACATCTTACTCCAAGTTCTAGATACCCAATTTTATCAAAGCTTTCATTATTATTAACTAGCTCCTTATAGTAAATATAAGGTAGCTGTCTTCTTTTTTGTTCTGACGTTTCTTCGCATGTTTGGGTGGCTTGGTTTGCTGATATATAAATTTGGTTGACGTCAATCGGCGGTTTATCGGCTGTTCTTCACCTTATGCAACGGAGTGTAGTATAGCAGGCTCTCCGGTAGAGTAATTTAAGTGTCTATATTTATCCTATTTACGAGTAACAAAGCCCATGGATGCTCGAAAAGTCCTGAAATTGACTAAAACGCAGGTATTCTATGGCAGTAAATGTTGGTAGTGTGAGAGAAATAAAACTGCGGCCCCCTGGACTGGCATGTAATAAGTATCAAATCCTCTTCCTAAATGCAAACCAGATCAATATATCCAATATATAAATTCATTTTATGTATATATATATATATATGCTACAGAAAGACCTTCAAAACAAGAGCATATATATATGCGGCCAAGATAGATGTTTAACCATCCAAGCCTAACTTCTCCAATAGTTGGTCCAGTTTGTTTAATAGATGCTCATAATCAATAGCGTCCCTAGAGAATTCATCTCCTGCTTCCTGGCCATCTAAAGTCCGAATTACACCATTGGGATTGACCTGTTCATTCTCCCTGTTGGTTTGGTTCTTCGGGGCCTCCAACTTGGCGGGTTTGTTTAGTTCCTTTTGTTTTCTGAGTGAGTTTACGACACTAGGTTTCTTGTCAAAAGTAGGCGGTGACGAAGAGATGGGCGATATGATATTTCCATTAATATTCGTTTCTGGGGAAAGGGAGCTGGTCACAGAGGTTGAAGGTGTTTCGGCCTTTTCCGCGGTATCGATTTCGTTAACATTATCCTCAGAGCTCAGTATATCTATCCCTGAGTCCTCGAAGCGTAACCTGAATCGTTCAGAAAGATAGTAGCGAATGTCATCCACCAACTCAATAGAATCTGTCTCTTGTCGCTTTTGGATGCGCTCCGCGGACTCGACTATTACCTGTGCGAACTCAGGTCTGTCGATATGCGCTTCTAGCCTGTAAGCTAGGTATCGGGCAGCAAATTCCTCTAGGCGCTGTACACGCATCAACCAGCCTGCACGGAGTATTTCGTAAATATCAATTAGTTCTTCCTCTGCAAGTTCTCTCCCCTCTTCTACTGATACCGGCTTGGGCCTTAGGGACGCCATGTCTCCGCTTCCCAGTGTGCTGATGAGGACGGCTGCCTTCGTCTTTAACCTTTCGATTAGGAGCAAATCTGCAGCAAACAAAACATCAACCGCAATATCGAGAGGGAAGTCCGCTTTTTCGGTATATAAGAATGTGAGAACTATCTCTAATACCTCAGGTGTACAATCAATGGGCACGATATGTAGATAACCCGTAACCTGAGCTTCACGGAAGGTGGAGGAAAACATTGCGAGGAAAAATTCTGATCGTAAGAGCATAGCTCGGTGGGCAGGGAAAAGGACTGATTTCCTTTTGGATTTTTTCGCGGGAGTACTCAGAGATAGCTGTGAGAAGCCGCCAATGGGTATGCCACCACCGTCTTCAGGGCTTGATTCCTGCTTACCCATTGGTTCCTGCGGCTCCTCATCTTCTATGTCATCTTCATCAGCTTGAAGAAGTACATCGGCAAATATACTGTTACCCCGCGACCATTTTACCTCATTTGCTTTATCTGTGTCAACCGTCACTTTGTGTTTGATAATATTTTGTTGAAACCAAGCTTCCATCTGATTTCGTCCCTTGCTGACTTCGTCTGCTCGCCTTTGCCTGGCCAGCCTCCTATCACCGCTGTCCAGAATAGTATCGACTAGGCTGCGAAGTTCTAGATGTTTGGCGATCTTGTCTATCCCTTCAAACACTTCTGCCTCAGAATAGCCACCTGCGCCTGGCCCAGATCTCAAATCCCGGGGAGCATCACCCAAGTATAGATATCTTATCCCAGCACTAAACGCTGGAGGAGGGATTGTGTTTGGCAATCTCCATGAAGTGGCCTCTGGAGCTGTATAGAGTTTCTTGTGAAAATAAGGCGAACGTGCGGACAGAATAAACTTGTGCAGGTGGAAAGTCTCATCTCCAGCGGTGACTTCGATGTCCGACGTTTGAGGGTTTTCTCTGCTTAGCAGAGACATTATATGAGATGCAAAGGGTTGGAGAGGGTCCGTTGACTTTGAATAGTCATATTCAAGGAGTAAATTCCGTATCTTCGAGTTCAGCGCGTTATAGAGGCATCTACCGTTAAAGAGACAAAAAATAATCAGTAAAACGCAGCTTCTCTTTCTTTCTTGCTTCTAGAAGGTGAAAGTAGGCTCGAGTGGAATAAGGATTAAGAGGGGAATAGGCACACCTTTCACCTTGAAAAGTGTCTCTTTCACATAAAGCACCTGAATCAAGGAGAAGTTGTACAACTTCATAGTGACCACAAAGACTAGCCTTTTTTCCCACGCAAGAAACAAGGGTAATTGTCACTCTTTCAGTTCTTATTATAAAAGCAGCCACAGCTAGGTAAAGTGAAGGAATTTATTCCATTCTCCAACCTCAACTGAATGCATTGACAGGGAGAATAAATTGCCGCTGTCGAGAAGTCCCGACAGATAAGAGTAGTGGGAATGCTTTAACTCACCAGTATTAGAGGAGTGCAGTCAAATAAATCCCTGCCGTTGATGTTCACTCCCTCAGTTATCTTCTCCTGGCACACCTTAAGATCGCCTCTTCGACACGCCTCGCATAACTCCCTAAAAGGTTGACTAAGGTCCAACGGATTGTCCTCCTTGAGTTGTCCAGCACCGATCAGCTTCCGCTCATTGAATAAGCTCGTTTCCAACTGGTCCTTCCGCAATATCTGTGATTCGGACATATTTAACACACACCGCTCAAAAGAAAGATAACCGTTCGTCTGCTCGCTGTTTTTGAGTCTCTATGAGCATCCCGCCAAAGATAACTGCGTAATAATCCTCAATAACAAGAACAAAAAAGAAAAGTCGACGTTAAGGAAGTGGCAGAAAGCTTATCGATAACGGGCGGCTCTAAGGTATCTCCGATCGGCCAATCATAGCCAAGGCCTACTCACACCGCCTTACCTGCATAACGCTAGTCCTCTTTAGCTACTAGCGCATCTCACCCGTGGCCGAAAAGTGACTAAGCGGGTGACTAAGCAAGAGTTGAACTTCTGGTTGCTGCCGCAACGAAATCACGAGATCAAGACCAAAACATTTGAAAAGCTGCTTGGACCAAAGAAGATTTACTTCTTTTCTTTCATTGCACACACACTGTTTGTTGCTTGCAGCCCATCCTTCCCCCCCGAGGCTCCAAACGCCGTTACTAACATAAACAGGTTGTTCTTTCGTTCATCTTTACTCTGTCTATGTGTTGAGTCCTTCTGCTACCATATCTATATCTAAAGTCCGACCATGGCAATCGCTTTGGCAGAAGCAGACAAATATGAGCTCCTTGAGAGAATAGGTAATAGACGGCCCTGGCACCTACCTGTGCAGATATATAGCTAATACGTCGTCAATAGGAAGCGGATCTTTTGGTGTGATCCGGAAGGTTAGAAGAAAGGCAGATGGATTTGTATGTCACTCTCTTCTAGGCTGAACGGAGTTTGCGCTTTAATATACTAACAGCGGCTATAGATCCTCTGCCGTAAAGAAATTAACTATGTCAAAATGTCTCACAAGGAGCGCGAGCAGCTCACCACTGAATTCAATGTCCTGAGTTCACTTCGACACCCCAACATTGTTGCATACTACCATCGCGAACACCTCAAGGCGACCCAGGATCTCTACTTATACATGGAATACTGTGGCGGAGGAGACCTTGCTCGTGTGATCAAGACCCATAAACTAGCTGGTACATTCGCAGAGGAGGAATATGTCTGGCGTGTGTTCTCCCAATTGGCAACTGCTCTGTACCGTTGCCATTACGGTGTCGACCCCCCTGAAGCTGGATCTAACGTGCTGGGTCCATCACCTAAATCTTCGGGGCTGAAGGGGAAACAGGCTCAGGTTATGATTCTTCATCGAGACCTCAAACCAGAGAACAGTAGGTTAACCCTGCAGTTGCATATTTGTTATCTGAATTATAATCACTAACACGTATTATAGTATTCTTGGGAGATGATAAATCCGTCAAGCTGGGCGACTTTGGCTTATCAAAACAGATGGGATCCCATGACTTCGCCTCGACCTATGTGGGCACACCATTTTACATGTCTCCTGAGATCTCAGCAGGGGAGAGATACACTCTGCACTCTGACATCTGGTCAGTTGGTTGCATTATGTATGAGCTCTGCAAAAAGGAACCACCGTTTAATGCCCGCACACATGTCCAATTAGTCCAGAAGATTCGTGAAGGGAAATTTGCACCTTTGCCAGACGTCTATTCTAGCGAGCTGAGAAGCGTCATTGCCAGCTGCCTGAGGGTTAACCCTGACCATCGCCCGGATACTGCCGCTTTACTCAAGTTGCCTGTGATACGTCTCATGAGAAAGGAGCAGGAGGTTGTTGAGATTAGCAAATCCCTAACGAGCAAGGAAGAGGCTGCTGCTCACAAGCTCAAAGACCTGGAGCAACGCTACGCAAAACTTGAGAAGGAGAAAGTGGCAATGAGAACAGAGATTGAAAACACAGTCCGCCGAGAATGGGAAGTCAAAGCACGGTTGGAGATCGATCGTCAAGTACAAATGGAGCTTGATAAGCTCCGTAGAACTTTTGAGCTCGAGGTGGAGCAACGTGTTGCTTCAGAGATGCAGAAGTACAAGGAGGAGATGGCGCACAAACATAACATGGATGTCTCCCAGCTTGAGTCAGCCCACCATTCTTCCCTGGGGTCAAGTGATGATACAGACTTCCCCTCATCTACGGACTTGAGCGAGCTGTCTCTTGACCCCCCTACTCCTGAACAAAAGAAAGCCGGGAAAAAAGGAGATCGTACTCCGTTCAGCCGTTCGAAAACTACAGTCGAATCGCCCATGGATGTCCAGATGGCAGAGCCATCACCAATTTCACTTGCATCTCTCTCATTATCCCCGCGCCGGACCGCAGGGACATCAGCGAAGAATATTTTCGCAGATGGTGGACGTACAAAGCCCAAGTGGGATACCCTTGCTATGTACTCCGATGACGAGGATGATATCCCAGACCTTCCGTCTCCAACTCGAACTAGAGTCCAGGTAGACCCAAGCAAGGCACCGCATAGGCCTCTTCTACGTCAAAATACTACGGCCATGATGCAGAAGCTTAGCACCCAACCTAATCTTTTCCCAGTGAGCAAAGCAGCAGCTAGACCAGCTCAAACCACCAGCTCTGCCGCACCTCAGCCTAATGATGCTCGTAATCCTTCGGTGGATAGAAGCAAATCTCCACAGCGTCGTCTGTCGAAGATCCCGTCATACAACAACCTGGCCCTTGAAGGTTCACCTTCACGAAAGACAGCTATGATGCCCCCTCAGGCAAAGGCAGGCACCGGTCCTGGAGGGGATGAGATGTTCAAGGCTATAATGCAACGAAACATGGGCGGCAGGTCACTTGTTGAGTTAGCCCAAGCCCGTGCGGGTGGTCGCTCCCTCGATGAGCTAAAGCGCCCGGGAGATATCAGAGTCCCTGCTACTGGTGCATCCGCTCCTGCTGCACCCTCGAGCCTGACTGTTACCCAGCATGACCCTCCTGCAACATGGGATCCAGAGAAAGACGAGATGCCCAGCCCCTTTTTGGTTAGAAACAAGAAGGTCATCCGTAACTTTCGATGAATCTCTGGAAAGAAGAGACGAAAAAGAAGAAATAACATGAAATAAATGATTGCATGTTCCTTTCATGTCGAACATAGATACATTACAGGAGGACCGGACAGGCCGGTTTGATTATGGGAACAAGGCAAGGCGAAAATACCCTTTCTCTCTTTCGGTTGGATGTGGATGTCATTGGATGCTCGGTATTAACTGGAGGTTCCCTCCTCTCTCTTTACTTATTTCATTTTTGATATCATTGTCTGCCATATTTGGTACTGTGCCATTCCTTACCTACTACATTTTCTTTTGTTTCTTGCCTTTGTTGTTGATATCCTACACTTCGGTCTGGGTTGGAGTGCATCTGCATGGCGTTTTTGGTCTATAGGGTCGAATTACTATCAGTGTCCTATTTCTTATGTCCTCCTTTTTATGTTGAATACCAATCACTGAGAATAGACTTGATTTTGTTTGTTGCCTGTTTGATGTCCTGTGATTTCTAGCCGAGGTTCATCCGCACATGCGCTAGGCCTCTTATTCGACAGAAGCGACTTCAAGTATAAACAACAAGATACAGACTTGCTTCCTACATCCAACAGTAAACACGAAGAGTGAATGAACTTGATAAAATTAAGGCATCATGGTAAATGACGTCCCAATGGGCTTGAACTAACGTTCACTAACTACTGCTGCTTCACCCCAAGGCTTCCACACCAGCGACTCTCGGCCTCACACAGCCAAGCATAATCAAGTACCTGTATGCCTCTGCCGTCCTCCTCCATGCGGCAGACACGTACATCTTCTACACCGGCTCCACGATCCTTTTCCCAAACCGTGTACCGTTCCTTGAAAGCGCAATGGCGCGATTCTTCTGTCGAAACAGCGGCAACCTCGTGCTTCCGTTTGCTCTGAATGCCTGGCTCCTACGAGACTATCATATCCGTAAAACCCATGTTGGACGTGTCGTGGGGTCGTGCTTTTTGTTATACCATGTAGCCACTCTGGGGCTCATTAGTTGGAGTGCCTTCTTCTCTGGCGGTGCCGAGTACGAGTTGGCCAACGTCTGGGGCATTTTAGGATTGCACGCCGGCTGGGGTGGTGTTGCAGCGTGGGGATTGCTTTGTGCGTAAGCGTCGTCTGGAGGACAGTCGTTAATCGATGATCTTGTCCGGTACTATACCTGGGCGGACGGTGTTAGTCTTGGTTGAATGCTAGAGGATAACCAAAGTGTTGTCGAGACTTACCCATTATCGTTGGACAGATGTGTGTCAGGATTCAGCTTCAGTCTTAGACACTGTAATGACTTAAAGATATCCCCTCTCACGTTATAAGAGAATCGTTCAATTACCCTCGTCTTCAACTTCCTCGATCTGCACAGACTTGAGCTCGCGGTTGAACCGTTCTTCCTCTTCTTCAAGAGAGGTTGCAGCTGCCTTTGCGCTTGTAGTATTATCAGTCGTCTGGCCGGCATTGTGACCACTCCCACCGACAACGTAGCCGGCCTTCTCCAGCCTATCCATCTCTTCGGGTTCAACAAGCTGGCCCTCACCCTTGACGGCAGCCTGTTTAACCCTCACTGTTGTCGGCACAAACCTGTTGATAGCTTCTTTTTGCAGATTCCTGAGGATGGGTGCTGATTCGTAGACAGCCTTCGCTTCTGGCAACGGAGGTTTAGGAGGTAGTTGATGTACTCTTTGCTCGCCGCCTAGCTCTTCACCTTTACCAACAGCATCATTTGGCCCTCCTCGCCGTCCCTGGTGATGCTGACGTGGGATCGGAGGAGGCGTGTCCCTGGGCATAGGTATTCGTCGAACGCTCTCGTCTGTTTCACTACCACTGCTCTCATGCTGTCTCCAGTAGCGTCCTCCATGTTGTCCATCCCTTCTTCTCTTCCCTAACACATTGGGACCTTGATCTCCATCTCTGTCTCTCTCTCGGCGCGGTCCGCCATTCCCACGTCCAAAGACCGGTGCCTTGTCTCCAAGAGCTTCCCTCGCCTTATTGACAGCTCGTAAATCCCTTTCCAGGGCTTCGAGGATCTCCTTTTGCTGCGGCTTGAGAGGTTTCCCTGCCTCTTCAGCAGATTTAAGGTCGTCTATCTGTCTCTGGATGCGATGAGGATTTCGCCGTGCTAGCTTTTCATTGCGCCTGTTCTGTGCCTCAGCCTTGCCCTTTTTGAGCGCCTTTTGCTTCTCAAGTCGCCGTTGGGCTTGTGCAGGATTGACTGTACGCTCTTTATCTTTAGCCATGATGTATCGTGTTCAATAAACGGTGGTGTTGGGTTGGATGTAGCTGTTGAAAGACTTTATCTTTTTTAGTGGATCAACTTTTTCAGCTTCAACTTCTAACTACTTGTGTACAACGAACTTCCAACATACAACAATGCTATCAGCCAAACGAAGCATTCAACACAGCAGACCGAGTGGATGAGCTGCTCTGCTATGTACAGACATGGCTAGAACCAACATTTATACCCCTGCCTTGCTATGTTGGAAAGGTGAAGCGACGCTATATATGGAGCCAACAAACACCGTGATGGGCTGTATCCCTGGGCATACAGATGGTGTATATATATATATCCATTCTCCTTGGTTCCCTGCTATTTGAATCAATGCACTTGACAGATCAAATTAACCATGGCTTCTCAAACGCCCCGAGCCAGCACCGAGAGCCTACTCTTAGACTCTTTACTGTGAGTTGAGGGGAGCTACTATAAGAGAACACCTCAAGCTGACGCTAGTGACAGGGACAATAACAAGACAATTCATAGTGCTGAATACAATAATAACAACTTGAATGATATTACCAAACATGCTGGTTACCGTCTCCCTCGATTTTACACCCGGGCGTTGATGGCAATCTTTGTTCCGGGTCTGGTGACGGTTTACTACTTTTCAATCCGCAATATTATCATCAAAAGAGAGAACGATGTTATTAAATCCGGTTTCCCCGGCGAAGTCTGGTTATACTACTCCTGGTTTGTAGTTGGTGTGTTCGGTCTCAACTTATCAAGATATGCTCTTCTTGGAATCGAGGCTGCGATGCTCCAGGACAATTTCTGGCAAGTCAACAACGCCATGGGCCTCTTAATGCACTGCGGGGCTAGCTGGAGTGGGCCTATTGGCTGGATAACGGCCCTCAGGGGAGCCTGGATAGAGGAATATAGAAGGGCACACCACCTATGGTACACGCTGGCCACGCTCAGTTTGCTGGCATCTATCGCCTTGCCTCTATCTGGCTTGGGGTTTAAGCTCTCAGAGGGCTATATCAGCTTGCCAGAACCTCCAAGGGTTGCAGGCCGTACTTTCGATACCTTCCAAAAGAGAGCTATCATCGAGGCGCGCATACGAGCAGGTAATTCCTGGAAAGAGGGATCACCCCCTCTTATCCCAGGGTTTGGCATTGGGTATACGTCTCCTGGCCGTGTTGACCGCAGTACACATTCCTCCTTTACGGCGACGCCGAATTCCATTCCGATTGACGGAGTGATTCCCGATGTCTTTCTTACCCCTCAGGCTGAGACGCCGATTAACGGGAGAGTCTGGGGTATGCGGGTTGATTGTAACTGCTCAATTGTGAAATCGGCGTCTGAACTCACTATTCTTAGCCAAAAGCCGTCCTCCAGATTCAGCGACCGTGATTATCCGTGGACGTCTGTGGTGGACAAACACCCTTTCCGCAGTCTAATAACCCCTATGAATGATACCATATATGTATCCAACACCACCAAAATTGAAATAGACGGCGCGTGGTGGGAAAGCAATCTATTTGGATATTCAGAGGTGGGATTAACCACAAATGTAAGAGAGGACAATATCTACGCCTCTACGACCAACGGTGGTGCGCCCAGGGTTAAAGTCCTAGAATACGTCGTCTGGCAAGTCCATATGTTCTCCCTCGCACCGAAATTGAAGTTCAACTACACGATAGACGTCCCCATAGCTGGCCTTGGTCATCCAGTGAGTTTTGAATCGAACGGGACTATGTCGTTGAATAACACTTTCCTTTCTGCCTTAGATCACTATGGCCATCCGGGCCAATATGGTAAGGAGGCCCCATTCCCTAGTCTAATTGAACCACCTCCAAAAGGCATACAGCCTATAGCATTGCCGGTTGGCGTTCGATGTGTTCGAACCTCTGCATTTGGCTACGCAGACGTTTCTGCGCAGGGGACATACCATTCCTTCACCGAAAGTATCGTTCCACGCTCTCCTCTCGGGAACTTTGGTTCTATTTTATTTGGTGAACTCAGCGACTGGTTCCTCTTGGGACAGTACCTCGATCATTTTAGATCCACCCATTCTCCGTTTCCTGTCTCTAAGAGCGTGAACTCGTACTTCACCAATTACATCCAGGCAAGCACACTTCTTCAATCGATCTCACAAGCCCACGCCGTTGACGCCCTACAACTGATGTATGACGGCGCTTCATACTCTAATAGCAAGACATACTACCTTGCCAATGCAACATCTTCACGGAAGGACAAGGTCATCGTCGAGGGCATGGTCCCTCTGACACTGCCTGCAGTGTTATTGGTCATCTGGGCCACGGGCAGCGCGATACTGGGTCTTCTTTACGGATTTCGACGGCGGTGGTCAGAAGTGTTGGACGGGTATAGCATCTTCTCGTTCGGGGTGGACTGTGCGGAAGCGATGCGTGACCGGCACCAATACTCCGGCACGGGGGGAGGGCTCAACCGGTGTGATGCCCTACGCTCGATACCCGGCCTTGTGGGCGATTCTCGTCCGCGAGACGAGGTCGGTCATATCAGCCTGGTGGAGAGAGGGAACCTGGCAGACAGGGAGAAGCCGTATGTTTAAGGACTGCCGCTATGAGGCTAGAGAGAGAAAGAGAGATCAGCCTATACCGTACCTCCTATTCGTTGCAGGCCGCCGATGCAGGAAACCTGCAGCCTCACAGACGGACGTCAAGGGATGCACATTTTTAAACACCCAAGCGGTAGGCCCTCCAGGGTTGGGATTGGACCGGTTAAATAACGTCGTCGTACCTATCCTATGCTGCCTGCCATTGGACCTGCGTTTCACTGGAAGGATACGCTTGAACGTCTGGGGTAGAAGGGCGAAAGAAAAGCAACGGGAATCAGGCGTCTACCTTTATTTCATGCGCAGAAGACGGGCCTGCCTCACCTTGGGCAGATATGAAGCTGATATATCTGCCCCTTAGACATCATCACTGCCATTATCACCATTATCATCATAGTATATAGATAAACTGCTGAAAAGATGAAAGTTTTCCTTCCAGCATCCCATAACCGATAGATATAGATACGATACATAGATAGCATCCCCATCCTGCTGCCTGCGTTGCAGCCTGTGGTCACATCCTCGGCCGCTTCTTCCCTTTGGCCCCTTTAGAAAAAATAAAAAATAAAGATCAGAAAGAAGAGAGTGTCAGCTTGTTTCTTTTCTTCTTCCTTTTTTTTTTCCTTTCTTTTTTCTCCTGTCCTCGAGGATCGCCCAGTGGAAGAAGCAGTGCCCGCTCCTCTTGGGGGTTTCTTTTTTTTCCCTTCCTGTCACTTTCTCACGATCAATATTAATAGTTGAATATTAGTTTGTTCTGACCTGTACTATTTATTTCTCTTTGCCTGCTTCGTTCGCTGTTCGAGGGAGAGATCTTTGCCTTGTCCTTCTCCGTTCACTGTTCACCGTCGACTCTTGACACTCGACAACAAGATACTCGACACTCGCAAAGAAGACACAAGCCAAAAAAAAAAAAAGAGAGAGAGAGAGAGCATACGGATAGGTGAAGAGGCGACCGGCCTGGTCTCTCTTTCGTCTGGAGTCGAACGGTCCTGTCCCGGGCGGCCGCAACACCTTGCAATCCTTTTCGCCCTTCCCATCCACCATGAACGGCGTCCTCTCCCACATATCAGTCTCGATCCAGCTCCCAGACGGCGTCTCTATGTTTTGAAAGGAAAAAAGAAGGAAAGAAAAAAAAAGGAGAGCATGTCTCTGATATACCAGGCTCATCCCCAATGTCCGTATCAACGTCTATTCCCGATGCCCGTCTTGGCCTCACGTCGTCTGAGTGGCAGATGGTTGTGCACCAGCAGCAGATCGCATTACAAGGGAGCCATAATGGCAGCATCGCAAGGGGGAGGGGGATGGCGAGGAATAGCAACGCCAGCTCGAGGGCTGCCAGCGCCGCCAGCACGCAGGGGAGGCTGCTCCTGGATCCAGACAGCCTCCAGGCCCTCTACTATCAGCTCGACCACCTCATGAGGGACATCCAACGGAGAATTGACTACGTATGCTGTTGCATATTATTTTATATCTATATATCTCGTGGTATATGTCTTGCTGACTTCTCTAGTTGAACGAGCAATCTGAGATCTCGATACAGAACACCTACGACCAGGCAGGCAATGTCGTTGCAGACGCCGACAAGGAAATCGCACGAGTCAGACAGATAATCCTCTCCATCGACGAGCTAGAAACCGAATTCGATAAGATCCGGCGCATCAGAGACATAGTGAAATCGTTTCGCTCCCGGGTTGAAAGCCTCGATAGTCGGCTTGACCATGCTCAGCGAAGGAGACGCTGATATAACACCAACATACCACGCCCTCATATCTCGGCCTTCTTCCTTTTCTCTTTTTATTTTTTTCTCCTGATTTCTTGATATGTGACCTGACGAGAAAGACGCAGTTACGAACCCAGCGCGCGATCCCCGATTTACAGTTGCGCGCCTTTTTCTAATTTGTTTCTTATCTTCTGTACGATGACTATGACGGAACGGTTAACCGGTTTATATTCGACTTTTCTTCACTTTCACCATCTTCCCTTTCCCTTCCCCCTTCTTTTGGCTATTTGCTTTTTATTTTTAATTCTTCACTCCAGACCGGATTCGCATTCCCACCCTGACGTCGAATACGCATCGCATTCTTATTCCGACTGCTGGATGGTCCTCCATACTCCCATTTCCCTTCCGAGCTGCCGGACCTTCAGCGCTAATACCTCGCTTCACGTCGATACGACCATATCTTTCCTTTTTTTATTCTTTCTTTTTCTTTCCTGCCTTGCACCGCTTCCCCAGACCTTCGTTTCTCTGCCATCTTGTGGTTATTGTTTCCCCTCTCCCCCCCTTTCTTTCTCCCTCTAGCATCTATACCGATATCCTGATCCTCGCGGATCCAACCAAATCCCGGCAATCGAAGGTGTTTTGACACTGGATGGACTGACAGAACATAAACTCCATCGTACCACATCGCATATTCTGATCTGTGGTTTTCTTCTCAGCCTTGTAGATAGCTCATTTTCCCTGCATGTTTTGAGCCCCTTTCTATTACTTTCGATTTCTGTGTTCTGCGCACTCGCTATTACTTGGTTTATGACTTCTCTCGATACCAGTAATGATTTTTATATCCTTGTTTATTTACTTTTTTTTATTTGGAGATATTATTCCTTTTCTTCTTCGGTTACTCCGCTTTGCTTCATGTTGTCCACCCGCTTTCTGTTTTAAAGATTGGTTACATGCCTCACGGCAGCACATATGCCTTTTCTCTTCCGTCCTTTCACCTAACTAATCACGCTGTCTCCTCCGGCCTGTTCAGTTGCTCTCCATGATCTCTCCCGTCAGTTAGGGCTGCGGATTGGTTTCTACAGTTGCGCCGAAATACTCCCCCGTGACATAGGCAATAGCTAACGATAGGAAAGTAGTTGAATACTAGCGATTACTTACAGTCTACAAGACGACTTAGATGGTAGATATCATTGTGTATGAGTGGTTTACATCTATAGTCGATCGTGAGCAAGTTTCCATGGTGGAGATGATGGTTTTTTGATAAATGTGAACACTTAAACGTAGATGCTAGAAATCGCTGGCCTTGCCTTCATGGCACATCCCTTTGAAACAGTCTTGACCGCGAGATAGTTAAAAGGCTCCTTCTCATATGTTTGGAGGTACACGCCGCATATCCTAAGATACACAAAATAAAATCTTACAGCCGCAGTCCATTTGTCCTTTCAGTATTCAGCAGCTTTAGAGATGAGGTGATATAAATCGCAGCTGCTTTGCCGCATATCTTGAGATTAGTACAGCAGCACTGAGACGAAAGCAAATCACAACCTAGCACGAATAATAATATCAAGTTAGCCGAAGACGTGATCGTGCCGAAAATACCGAGAAGATGAGGAAGGACATCGCTATATTTTTCCAGAGCTTGCCCAAGGAGGGAGACAAACAAGATGACACAGAATGGGCCAAAACTACAGACGCAGAATGTGCAGAAGAGGAGGGTACCCAGGGGTCAGATGACGAGACGGACAGCCCAGAAGCTGTGAGAGAGAGAGAGGAGTCTCCAGAAGGACGAGATGAGCCTGTATCTAACCCCTCAGCAGTAGATCAAGATTGGGTAATGAGTGATGCGGATGATACGATAGTTCAGCCCGATTTCGAGCCTGATATTGTACGGGTGGACGCTGACAACGATGTCATTATGACTGACTCAGAAGATGTAGATGGACATCTCGAGAGCCCTGAGAGTCCGGGCTCAGACAAATTGCACTCTCACTGCCCCGAGGACATCGACATCGACATTACCATGAGTTGAACGATCGAGCCGGTGTCTCCGAGGTAGTATCCAACATCCTCTAGGCTTTACCAGTCCATTCCCTGGTTTCTAAGAGGTTCTCGTAGGTATATTCTTTCGGGAGAGGAGGAACCTCGATGCATACCTTGGGTTTAAGCTGCTGGCTAGGATACGATCAGTGGATCGCCATGGAGAGGGATATTTGGTTGTCTTGATAACGCAGAAGGAAGGGTCATTATTCGGACTATTGCGGCTTGATTTTTCTTAATTAGAAAAAAGAATAAACCTGTTCCTTTTTGCAATTCGGTGTAGTTGGCTTGAGCCAACACTGTATCACCTATTGGCTTATATAGCTTCTTAGGCTTGAGAACACCGTTAAATGGGAGGCCGGGTGGCAGGTATCGTTGTCCAGGCTGCTCCAACCGTGGCAGGACATAGGGCTGGTGTCAAACTTGGTCTCGTTTAGAATATCTCAACAATATAATTATATCATCCTTGCCAAAGATGAAGATGAAGTCGAAGTCGGTAGGGTCGGGTAAAGTGATGTCACGTGATAGCTTCCTATTGGAATTAAATATCAGAAAAATAAAAAAAAAAAAAAAAAAATGATCTTTAAACAGCTTCGACCCAGCAACGCGACAGCTTTACTTCCATCACCGGGCGGGCAACTCAACAGACGGAGATCTCTGGGTGATCGCATAGCTTTTGTCTCCTTGGTTGGTTAGAGAACAGCTATGGAATACCATTCTGTGCCTCTCGAAGAGCGCGCGAAAGACGAGAAGGGAAACACCTTGCCATGGGGCTATGTTTACAAGGAGTAAGCTGTTGTTTTATCCCTCCAACCTCGTCATCGCCATTCCATGATATGAACCGGAAGATGAAGATATATTACCTTAGTTAGCTATATTGCTATTTGGAGATCATCTATGTTTTCGGGCTACCTTATTGCTTTTAAGAAATCGACTAACGGTAAAACACCAGTGAATCCCGCAACCCTCGAAGACCACCTGAAGAAACAGGCCCATTTGGTAAAAGGAGGAATACACGATATGGCTCTACAAGATCCGTGACACGAACTGGGACTCCTGCTAAGCGTGAGAATCCAAACGTTGCGGAATTTGGCAGGTTATTCAGCCTTCAGCAGGAGGAAGAAGCGCAACAAAAATTACTTGCATCCAACAACGCAACATCGAACGATACAACGGCTAGAATACAGCCGGAGGCAGTTGCAACTGAATGTATACTCTATGGCTATAGGGATAAGGGCTCTGAATGGAAGGTTATTGATAAATTTGAGCGCATCTCACAGGGCTATATCTGTGAAGACTATTCCCGCACCGACCCTGATATCTGTCCCAAGTATCCTCAATTGCTGAGCGGAGGCGACGTTGTGATCCGCCCGAGGCTTTCAGCTGATGCCAACAGGAAATCGAAAAGATATGCTGGGGGAGCTCACTGGATCAAGGTGACATTTGACTCTCTCCCGGCTGCCGATAGAGCGTGCCACTACTCTCCGCAAGAAATTGACGGCTGCCTTATACACTGCGAAATATACCGCGGACACGGACCCCAGGAGGATGTTCCGATCCTCAAAGCAGCAGTAGAACAGCACTCACGTTTAAACTCAATATATCCGACCCTCACCCCGTCCATACCCGCCTCTTTACTCCAATCAAACGAATATGACCGCTCGACTCTACCCCGCTCGTTTACATACCAACCACAGGCTGGCAACCAGAACCCTGGCTATGAGGCCCCTGCGTCTGTACAGTCTACGGCAACCGCCAGCTCCGCCACAGTAACCGGGCAGAAGACAGATACAGACGCCCTCCGCAACCGTTTTGCTCGGCCACAACCGGAGCCCGAACCGGAGGCGAAGCAGGCTCCCTCTGAATTCATGACCCATATACCCTCTGTCCGACGGGCCGTTGTACGTCCAGCGTCCGAGGCCCTCCCTCCCCAGCCATCTGTGACAGAAAGGGTAATTCGATCTATACCAATCTTAAGTTGGTTCACCGGAGATATCGTCGGCGACGGGCCTGCCCTACGAGAAGACGGATCCTTTGACGACCAAAAGTCGAACCTCTACTGGCGATTCTGGCACATGGTGGACAAGATACTGGGCACCGATCTGTGTGGCCTAAAGGAAGAAATATAATTCTACTCTCGTTCCACCGACTCAAATCTCCACCCTCGCACCTGAACCTACCTCCCTTGTTACGACATATCCCGCAGAACCTTTGTATCTTATGAGGTAATCTTCATTTCGACACGATGCCCTACCTGTGTTATTACATCCTTCCCGTTTTTCTTTCCCTCGCCCATATGACCTCTTATGTACGTTTTCTTTTCATTTCACAACCGACACACTCGCTACCCCTGGAGTTTGCTGTGCTTATGCATGTACCCTTGACTCCGTGTAATATGTACTGGGTACGAGTCTGGGTAGCTGTGGCACAAGAAGCAACATGGGCTCAAAGTGAGGCAGGGGGTTTCCTTGGAGCCACTAGATCGATACCACTGTCCCTTGTCCCTCTCGTATAGGCGAGATAGGGTGTGAGCCGGAGATATTAGACCTACGATTAGATTTTACGTGTTAATTTATATGATTGATACCATGTAGCTATACATCTACAGCCAGCCGGAGGGAGTAATAGCTTTATGATACATGACGGCTGTCTCAATCTCAATGGAAAACAACTTCCACGTTGCATTCCAGGTCGGGGATCGGGCCGACCGTTGATGTCGGGGGTGTATATATGGAACGTCCAGGGGTTTGCATGCACATCTTGACATGCATCGTCCTATCGAGCCCGTTGTTCCCATCGTGTAGGGGTTTCGATCAAGCCCTCGCCTTCGCCCTTGCTAACATAATAACTGTAGATGGATAGAAATAGTCTCAACCCTGGAATTACACAGCCATCGACTGTCGGGAATGAGACGCTGCTTTTCTATCCGGCCTCTGGACCTGGGGCTATCGTACAGAGCGATGCAGGGCGCGCATTTCAGTTGCACCGCTTGTGCGAGTGACTGTCGGGCGCGCGCGCGGAAACTTCCTGATTTTGCGAGCCTTTGTTGATATATATAGTTGTACATTTTATGGATTTATTGAATATATATACCGACGAAGGTTCCCGGCGAGACGTGGCGTTGTGTTGCGTGTCAACTACAAGGCCGTGCGCTTCTCGAGATACCACGACTCCAGGACTACAGACAGCAGCAAGATGAACAACATCGCGCATCCAGAGCCAGGCTACTGCCACCGTGATTCCAATGTGATGCCCTGTACTGCTCCTCCTCTTCCTCGATACACGCCAGAATCCGACGCTGAGGGTGGCAGATATGAACTTGTTATCTCTGGGGTATGTGTTTGATATCACCCCTTAAGATATCATTTTTACATATCGATAATCGTGGATATGTATATAAAATTCGCCTTTGACTGACTTTGAATATAGGCTGGTCCAGCTGGATTACTGCTCAAGCTGCTCCTCTCGCGTTATGGGTTTGACAAGTCGGTTCTATGCATCGAGTCAAAAGAAGCCATTTTGAGTGCTGGCCAGGCAGACGGTATACAGCCCCGGACAATGGAGGTGCTCAAGAGCCTGGGTTTGATGCATGAGATCTTGGTAGACGGTTGTCAAGTGTGGGAGGTCGCGTTCTGGAATCCCATACGACTCACAGGGGCGGGCGCTGGCGGCGCGCTCGACAACGCTGAACCGGGCATTGAAAGGACTGCTATCGTGGACGATGTAGCCATCGCAGCTCGATACCCTCATGAAGCCACGACGCACCAGGGGAAGATAGAACGCATACTGGAAGATGACCTTCTCCGGTATACCAAGGAAGGCGTTCGACGGTCTACAACCTTGCTTAATGTCCGTATCGATGAAAAAGAAGATCCGGATTTCCCTATTGTCGCTGAGATTGAATCCCCAGTGAGCGGAAGACAGACTATCCGGTCAAAGTATCTTGTTGGTGCAGATGGTGCACACTCAACTGTCCGTCGCTGCATGGGACTGAAGCTTGAGGGAGAGACCACAGACCATATATGGGGTGTCATTGACCTCATTGTCAACACCGACTTTCCAGATGTCCGAAGGCGAACTGCTGTTCATTCCGATGTCGGCTCTATTATGATCATCCCTCGTGAGCGGTCCATGACGGGGGAGTTCATTACCCGCCTCTACGTGCAGGTCCCAGGTGGTGTTAAGGCCGATGAGGCTGATATTGCGGGTACCGCTACTACTGGTGTCAGACAAGGCTGTGACGACCCAAGAGCTCAACGCGGTCAAGTCAGCCCGGATAGCATCTTGAAGCAGGCCCAGGAAGTTATCAAGCCATACTACATCACACAGAAGGAAGGCACAAAAATTGAGTGGTGGACTGCCTATCAGATCGGACAGCGAGTCAGCAATGAATTTGCTGTGAAGGACTCAAAGGGGAAACATAGGGTATTTATCGTTGGAGATGGTAAGTCACTCATTCCTTTTGAATAGAGAGTAGAGAGAGAGAGAGCGCATTATAAGCTGACGATGCTTATCCAGCCTGCCATACTCATAGTCCAAAGGTAAGCAGGGCATACATAGACTTCGCCGTGTTGGTATAACCATGTTCACTAATATTTTTCCTAGGCTGGTCAAGGCATGAACATCTCGATGATGGACTCTTTCAACCTGGCCTGGAAGCTCGCCTACTCCATCAGAGGGCTCACTCCTGCGTCACACGCCTGCTCCAGCTCTCCAGACAACATTCTCGACACCTACCAGACGGAACGTCATACTATCGCACAACAACTGATCGAATTCGACAAGTCATTTTCGTCTATGTTTTCCGGAAAAATCGGTGCTTCAGATGCAGAGGGCTCCGGGCTGACACACGAACAGTTCCTGGAGGTTTTTAGAACCGGCAACGGGTTCACTAGTGGGTGTGGGATCGAGTATCCGGAGAGCATGATAGTTGATAAGACCGTGGACGAAACGGTTGTGAACGGGACAGACTATCTGGCTGGTATACTGAGGCCAGGTAGACGTTTGTTGAATGTAAAGCTGAAGAGACATGCAGACGGCTGCCATTGGGATTTACATGATGGTTTGTCTCTTTACCCTCCCTCCTCTTATGTCTACTCTTCGTCATGATGCTTATATTGTGGAAAACAGATTTCCCGTCCACAGGAGCATTCCGGATACTATGCCTTACCTCAATGGATCTCCTGGACCCAAATGGAAAATCAAGCCAGGCTCTAACCGGTCTCTGTGAACTGGTCAAAACCACATCTCGTACCTATTCGTCCAGTAATATCCTGCAGCTTCTCGCCATCTATCCGCGTGCGTTGGTGGGCTTAACGCCCTCTTCACCACCCAAAGCGGCACTGCCTACTTCCTCGTTTGTCTGGAGTGATGTGCCTGGCTGCCTGCGTGAGGTGGCGGAAATGAGAGTTTATTGCTCTGCAGTTGCGAGCGAGGATGCGTATCAAATTTACGGAGTAAATGAAGATTCTGGTGCAGTTGCGGTTATTAGGCCGGACGGATATGTCGGCGTCGTGTCGTCGTTGGACGAGGAAGGTGTGAATACAGTGACGAGGTATCTGGGGGGCTGTATTTGGTTGGAAGGGAAGTAGGTATTACAGAGTATGTGTTAGTTTTAAGAAAATGGTTTTCATTTATCTATTCATGGCATCATTAAGATAAAGTAGTATAAGAAGAAAGGAAAAAAGAGTTAGAACCCGAACTCTTCAACATGCAGATAGATCCCCTGGGCCCCTGTGCCCTTGTGCACCGCTCTTTCGTCAGACAAGGAGACAACATTGCGCCTTACATCTGTACTTAGGCCTCTTGGCCCGCATACGACAACAGCACTCTCACCCTCTGCCCGCTCGAGCATTGAGAGGATGATATTGTCGATATTCGGTCTACCTGACGTGAGACACGCGGGAGAGTCAAGAGACATTCGCTTCTCTGAGGATGCTAAAGGTGTGTTCGGCTGAGTTGAGTCTGAAGCATGACATGACGGGCCGGCAGCAGTCAGATGTGGATCTGAAGTGAGGTGGATGCTGATTTCAAGTGTTGGCTGGACCTTTGATATAGCCGCCCCACAATTTTCTACGACCTGCATGAGAGATTCCAGCTCTGTCTGAAACCATGAGAGATGGGAGCGAGAGCGTATGGCCCAGATGAACCGGACATGTTTGGTGATGGGAACAGAGCCAGCGAGGCTTTCTGCTTTCCACCCTTCGACAATGTCACGTAGTAGAGGGACAGTGAAAGTTGCGCCCATGCTGCCTGCGAAGAAGACAACACTGTCGAATTGACGGAGCGGTCTAATGATGCCGTATGGTCCATCCAGGGCGACTAGACGAGTCGAGTCTGTGCGGATGGCATTGGCATGCTTTACTGCGTGGTTATGAATGGTCCTGGTCCCGCCTGCTTCGGCACGGATGAGGAATTCGATCTTGTTGTCTGACGGGAGAGAGGCGATGGTGAAGGGGTGACTCTGGAAAGGGAGAAGGGTCGGAATGGAAAGGAAGACATGTTGGCCGGGCTGCCACGAGATGGCTGGGCTACGGATGGTGACCCTGGTGACGTCTCCAGCCAAAGGGGTGAAGGTTGCATAGTTTGCCCAGAGAGTTGAAGTTGATCTGGTCCAGACGGCAACGTTTGTCCAGGCCATCATCACACACCTGGCCACTCGATCAAACACGACGAGCGCGATGGAGACCCAAACCCACATCTTGACCTCGTCCTCAGCATGCAGCCAGGCGGCGGCGATGAAGCCAGCAAAGGTGACTACATGCGAGAGGAAGAAGAGCTCGTAGCTCCACCGTCTCACTGGCGAGAGGGAGGCGAAGAGAATGAAGGTGAGTATCGACCAGGCGGCTATCCCTCTCTGCGTCAGGGGGTCCGTCCTGATCTTGGTTGCAATGTAGTTAAACCGACCCCAGCTTCGGAACCAGAATCCCATATGTATCGTGGCTGACATCCAGAGCGTCCTGGCCGTCCATCTGTGTAGCCAGTTGAGTCGTTCGTGGCTGGAGCCTGCCAGGAAGCCGATAATGTTCCTCTTGCCGGCCAGCAGCAAGATAAGCGGCAGTTGGGCGACGGTCATGAAACCCGTACGGTACCCGACCGTCTCCCACGACCACTGGTCCATCGTGTTGAGCTTGTAGAAGCAAAAGACCATGACGGCGATGAAGTTGGCCAGGGCGATGCTGACTCTACCTAGCGGCGATGGCTGTAACTCCCATCTGCCAATCTTCAGCGACCTAATACATGCGGACGAGTATTCTCTCGTCAGGGCCGTCAGCGTCGCATATATGTTGAAGAAGAGCGACTTGGGCTTGGCAGGCGTCCTCGATGTATCCGTGAACCTGTTCCCGTTAGTTGATCGACTTTCGACTCTTCCCATACAATCATCGCCGCGCGTATACACACACCTCTGAACGGCAACTATCTTGTTGAGGATGTTGCAAGCCGTTGCGATGCCGATGGCCGTGCCAACAACGGCCCAGTACATCCGCTGCATCTCAAAGTACGAGGGCACGCCATCCCCCGTGGGCGTTGCGCCTCCGCCATGGTTGTGAGCCATTCTGTTGCATCAGCTATAGTAGATGACAAGAAACAGAGGAAGCAGGAAGTAGAAATATAGAAAATATAAGAAGTGGGAGTGGATATGAGCAGATTACATAAGAGTTGGTTCCGCCGTCACGGTTAAGGTTAATAAGCTTATGTCTAATAATCTGCTCATTCCGCGCTTCTTTTTCCGCCGCCGCTCTATTTTCTCTACTTTTCCAGCTTTCTCTGGGGCTCCTGGCCTCTCAAAAACTTCTTCTCGATGATATAGGAAATATCATCAAACACAGACGGAGACAAGATGGCTCACTCGCATGGCTCGTCGGATCCGAACATGGCGGTGGCCATGGTCTTTCAGAACATCCACGCGACGCCGCTGTTCACGCTCAACTGGACACCTCGGAGCAGCGGCGCATACGCTGGGACATGCATCTTCCTCATCGTTCTCGGAGTCGTGGCCAGAGTGTTGCTCACGGCCAAAGCAATCATGGACCGGCGCTTCCTCGCTGCCGCCAGGGCACGACGATACGTTGTTGTAGCGGGCAGGACATCATCATCGACATCAGCAGAGCCAGAGTCCGAGCGAAGCAGCGAAGACGCAGAGGAGAAGAAGACGGGTAGGCTGATAAGCGCCCACGGTGTCGAGGAGAATGTACGGGTAGTCAATGCGACGGGGGGACCTCCGGTGATGCCGTGGAGATTCAGTGTCGACCTTCCCAGGGCGGCTATGTTGACACTAAACGCCGGCGTCGGTTACTTGCTGTATGTCTTCTCTCCCCTCCTTCTTTTTCTTTCTCTCTTCTTCTTATGTATATATACTAACGAAGAGCAGCATGTTGGCTGTGATGACAATGAACGTTGGCTACTTTCTCTGTATCCTAGTTGGCATCTTCGTGGGCGACCTTGCCGTAGGGAGATATGCGCACCGTTTTGACGAGCATTAACCTGGCCTCTCCTCTCTACTATTTCATGTTTATGACCATCTGCATCTTGTAAATATCAGCTTTCATCAACTTCATAATTAATATCTTCATTTTTGCTTATTCCCACGTGATGAGCGGGATTGAGCATATTACTTACTTAACCTAACCAATGAAGATGCCGGCTTCCCTGCCCTGAAAAGGCTGTGGGGAGGTACTTTGCCGCCCCCCGTAAAATAGATGTGAGCGGAGGTATCTTGCCATACATAGTAACTGGATAGCGGCTCGGGTATCGGACGAAGAGGAAGCAAAAGAAGGAAGGACCAGCAGAAGATAAGGAGCAGCAACAATAAGCAGCAGAAGAGGCGAGTATAAAGAGGCAAACTCCTTCTTCGTCTTCTGCATCACATACAACAAACACACACGATTTGTTGCTGTTGAATATCAGTTGATAATCATTGGTATCACCATGAAGCTGCTCACAGTTCTTCCCGCCCTCCTTCCGCTCGTTGCTGCTCACTTTAACGTCGAGGCGCCTCCAACCCGCGGCGGCACCGAAGACACCCAGCCATCGTTCCCATGCGGTGGCCCAACGCAGCCATCCAATACCAGGACGAAGATTCCTCTAAATGACCCCAAAGTCGCCATCGCCATGGAGATGGGCCACGACCAGGCGGCCGTCCAGGTCTTGCTCGGGCTGGGATCTAACCCAGGATCCAACTTCAACATCACTGTCATCCCGACCTTCAGACAGGTTGGACTGGGCTCCTTTTGCTTGCCGGACGTGATGTTGTCAGAGGACGTTGTTGGCTTCAAGCCAACAGAGGGCATGGACGCCACCATCCAGGTTCTGAGCAACGGTGACCCCAACGGCGGCCTCTTTCACGTACGTGTATTTCCCTTGTATATTTGGTTGCTTCGTCATGCTAACATGATAACTGCGCAGTGTATCGACATCACCTTCACCGGGTCCGCACATTACTCCAAGCCAGATTCGTGCAAGAACGGAACCGGCATCGAGGCCATACCCTTCAGCGGCGAAGCTGCTCGACGAAACGCCAATGAATCCACGCCCAACGGCCAACCACAGGGAGGTTCAGGAGGTGGTTCTGGTGGTGGTGAAAGTCCCAAACCAACTGGCAACTCTGCGCCTATTCAGACTGCTGCTGCTTGGGGTGTCCTTGGTGCAGCCATCGCTGGAGGCGTTGCTCTCTTGTAAAACCAGATGATACCCCCATCGTTATTAACAAGTTATGGAATATGCCTAATGAACGGTATGGATGTATATATGATGGAACGCGCTGTGAATATACACTTCTTGCTTTCCTTCTCTTCAATCCTCCAGAAGCCCTGTAGGCACGTGATTAATAATAGTTAACATTGATTGGTAATTTATTAGTAATATAGATAAGATCTTGCTTATCAAAGACAAAACTTTCGTTTTCTTCTCCGCTTGAAGACATCCTCAGGGATTGAACAAGCTCAACTATCAACCCATCAACACTGTCATCATGGCCTCTAAAGCACCTTACATTGTCCCTGCCATAAAGAGGCACACTGCCACTGTCATCATGGCTCATGGGCTGGGTGACACGTAAGTTACTCGTCCTTCAAGCATCTTGGTCTTAACATTCTAACTGTACAACAACTATAGCGGAGCAGGCTGGTATGATAGGATGCGCCCTCTTCTCTAGAATACACGTTAATGTAACTTCAAAAAAGGATGATGGTGGCCCAAAATTGGCGTCGACGCGGCTTATACGATGAAGTTTCCTTCATCTTTCCCAATGCGCCCTCCATACCCATCACAGTGGTATATCTACCCCTAGTCTCTCCTCCATCCTATTCTCTTACTGACTGTTTATTCAACCATCTAGAATTTTGGCATGTCCATGCCAGGATGGTATGATATCAAGAGCCTCTCTTCCTCTGTATGACATGCCGTAACAAGCCCGCTAGCCCGCCAGCACGGCTATACTGACAGCTCATCAGCTAAGCATGGAAGAATTCTTCGCCCAACGTGACGAAGCCGGCATTCTCAAGTCCCGCGAATACTTCAACACCCTGATCAAAGAAGAGATTGATAAAGGAATTAAACCTTCTCGTATCATATTTGGTGGGTTCTCCCAGGGCGGAGCCATGGCGTTGGTCACTGGCCTAGCTAGCCCCGTGAAGCTAGGCGGCATCTTTGGGCTGTCGTGCTACCTGCCTTTGTCGCCTGAACAGCTTAAAAAACACATACCGGATGAATGGCCGAACCAGAAGACACCTGTCTTCATGGGCCACGGAGATGTCGATCAGGTAGTAAAGTTTCAGTACGGTCAGAAAACCGTAGATATTTTGGAGGATATTGGGGTCGAAGTGGAATTTAAGAAATACCCGTACGTCAGATTCTTGGTGATTTTATATGTGTCAATATGACTATACTAACCGATTTCTTTCAACAGTGGACTAGGCCACTCCGGTGATCCTGATGAGATTGAGGATCTTGAGAAATTCCTCGACCGCCTGATACCGGATGAGGGGAGCTCTACCTCCTCAGAGCTATGACTCAATGTAGGGATGCCTGAATTTCACTATCAATGGCTATTCACGTCGGCTGTTGGACTCCCTCTCCTCGTCTTCTTCTCTCTATGGCTAGGGAGATTTGCAAGCCGCCTCTCGCCCTCTCTATCACGCTAGCATCTCAGAGTTCATAATGCTCCTCCTATAGTGTATTATAATTTCATAGCCTTTAGAACCCGAAACCTTGATATACAATAAAATATCGACTGATGCATCAATGATTAGCTTAATCGTTACATATTTAACTAAGTTTACATTCATAGCGAAAACTGTAGGAGTGGAAAAACGTCCTTCGTACTCATATGATCAACATTCAAAGCTGGGGTTAATCCTTTTCATGTCTCTTCTGAGAGCAGTTTCAGTATCGCTGACTCGCTCGTGGCAACCACTATAGCAAGACTTCTAGTTAGCTTCCATTTCTATGTAAACATTCAAATCCAACGACATACCTGCTTTCCCATTATTCCAGTCCACCACCTACATCGCCAACCACTTCATCAGCTACTAACCAATACACATACTCCATGGCTCGCCGTACTCACCACAGGTCGTATAAAACTATCAGCATTCTCCTTCAATTTTTTAATCGCATCAGGCCGATCAGTCGCTCCAGACACCAGATCACCCGGTTTTCCTACCCCGATACCCCCGCTAGCAAGAGGTGAGGAAGTCATATAGTCCATAATAAGCGACAGCTGGTCCGCCGTGGGTGGTTCTTCAGTGACGTTTAGTTCAAAATCTGAACCCCGTAGTGGTGCGCCTGAAGAAGAGGTGGTAGATCTTTCTTTTATTGCCGTTGAAGCTTTTTGGAGGACATTCAGGGCTTTGGTTGAGGATGCGAGGGATGGCTTGTGGAAGAGCGTGATGATGTCGAGGGTTTTATGCTGATATGCTTTGTTAGTAGACCTGTTCGTTATTTTGGGTGAGAAAGGACTCACGAAGCGGAACATGGTGGAAATGTGGCGATTATATGTTACTTGACAATGTGTCTGGTAGGCCGTTGTGAAGAATGGTGTTTTGATGGATGTCGGAAGAAGCTCTCGTGTGTTTAACACTTAATATGCGGCTCTACGTCATCCCGCCCAGGCGCGCCAAACATAGCTTTGTTTATGTACTATGCAGGCCGTCTATGAGTCTTTTAATGTGTTTACGAGGGTGTAGTTAAGCCATACATCGAATACCTTCATAATCTTTAATCTTTCATAAGGCTAAAAAAGAAACACCGACCTTAAAAAAAATAGGAAAGGAGAGATGATGACAACTGTTTATGCGAGAGATAAAAATGCACGGGAAGAAAACAATCACAATAAACATGACAAGTAGGAAAACCAGAATGTAGGGCTTGTAACATATCTGTAGTAGGTATTTGGCATTGAGCGAAGGTCGTGAAACTGAAATAGAAATGAGAGTGGTATGCTTGCATGCCATGTGAAACAGCTACAGGTATTACAATAAGCTTATGCCGAAGTGCAGAATGGCAAGGGATTGACGATAAGGTGAATGGATAAAGTAAATGGAGCCAGCTCTGAGAGGTATTGAAGAGGAATATGGGAGGCAAAGGGCGTGACGACGAGGTTTGGAGCAACTGATGCCGCTCTAGAACATGGTCCCAAAGGATCCGTCGGTTGGGATACCCTTCCGAGGACTACTGCGTCCGTCGTTATCGATGACCGGTTTTCGATGTCTGTCCAAATCCATTATTAGTACTTGTAAAAAGACACCTGATATAAGATCCCGTACCTGAAAGTAAACCCGACGAAGACGCTCTTATTCATTTTCTCGTCACGCTCAGCCATATCTTCAAGTGCCTTTTGTTTGTCGTGCACCTCCTTGTATTTCGCCATGTCAGCCTCGTTTCCAAAATCATCAAAATATCCAGCGTCCGTTTCGGAATCAAGGTCGGGAACAAACGGAGCCTTCTGTTCCTCCCTCAGCGTGCTGAAATTCACTTCCGCGAAATAGTCATGGTTGTGTATTTCAGTGACATTCTTGAACCGATTCTCCTTAGCGGCAACAAGGCGGGTAATAAAATCCCAAGTGCGTCTTGAGAGGAAATAGTTCGGATCTTCATATTGCGGTTTACGCAGCACATCCTTCCAATTCTTGAGATTCTGCCACGTCTCATCCACAGTTGCTCCGGCGAAGGGCGGATAGCCCGTCAGAGCTTCAAAGAGCATGCATCCCAGACTCCAGTAATCGACCGTAAAATCATATTCCTCACCGCTCAGCACTTCTGGGGCCATATAATCAGGTGATCCTACGATTGATTTTGCATAGTTTACGTCGAGCTTTCGAAGAGATCGGTAGCCTTCACGCCTTTCCGCAGCAGATCTTTGGTCCATTGGCCGGCCAAAAGGAACAGCGGTCTTTCCAACTTCCTCTAGCTTCAACCGCATAGATTCGATCTTAGTAGGATTGAGCATTCCAGCTGCCAACCCAAAGTCTGTTAACTTCACGTGTCCGGTAGAGTCAATGAGGAAGTTCTCAGGTTTCAGGTCCCGATGAATGTAGCCGAGGACATGAAGGGCATCGACACAAGCTACCATTTCAGCGATATAAAATCGAGCGTGTCTGTTGTGGAGGACTCCGGTGTTGTTAAGTAGAGTGCGGAAATCACCACCAGGCACATATTCCATTGCAAGGTATATCTGAGTATCATCCTGGAAAGCATAAAGGAGCTTCACCAGCCATTCACTCTTTGCAGTTGTCAGGATGTCGCGTTCCGTCAAGATATGTCGAATCTCGTCCATCTTGAATAGAAGCTTCTTGCTCATGACTTTCAACGCGCACACTTCCCGGGTATCTTTCTTCTGCGCAAGATATACCTGTCCATAGCCGCCCTGGCCGACCTGTGTAAGGATCTGGAAGTCGCCGTGTCGCAGACGAGTTCTCCGTTTCCGAAGGTTGGCCCTCTCTCGGCCTAGGTATTTATGGCGTGCGACTTCATACTCTGCTTCATCGGTGGCGGGGGGCGGTGGGTAGGCAGCAGCAAATTGAGCACTGCGAATTTGTCGGTTTTGAACGTAACTGAGCAGGTTGAAGTAGTGATCAAGAAAATCTTTTTTACTGTATTAGTATGTATTCAGTAATCAGAGATAGAGGGAGATGGGGCAAACTGACAGAGCTGCGTGACATTGGCAAGACGCTTCACTTTCGGTTGCTGCAGTTTTTCTAACTCCTCTGCAGTGAGGCCTCGGAGTTGAGCTTGTGGCTTACGAGCGCTAGCGTCCATCCGATCGCCTGTCTGATACAGCTCTCGACGCGACATGGCAGCATGGCTCAAGTTGTTCGGTTCCTTTCCAGCTCGCAGCCCCGGGATTGGGGCATTTTCCTTATTCGAAAGTCTGGTAGGGCTCCCCGGTCTCGCAGTATTTTCTGTCGGGACGACACCCTCATTGTACGCAGTCAGATCGTCAACCTGGCCCCTGCCTGGCGAGAGTGGCGATTTGCCAAAACCTGACCTGGATGGCGAAGACGGAGTAAGCCTCATAGCATTGTCGAATACATTGATAAGCCCTGTAGCGCCTGGTGGTACTTTGTTTTTGCTGGGGCTGCCTTGCGGGGTGTTGACGGGACTTGTGAAGCCAGCTCGGGGGGGAGTCTGCGGCCGTTCGAAGGGCTCGTTGCCGGACCGAGTATTGAGCATCGGTGGAAGATGGGGAGTCTGTTTCCCAAGGGAATATGCTGGTATATTATTCGCATCCATCGCAAAAGCTGGGAGAACAGAAGGAGGGAGCGCCGTTGTCGTTTGAATGTTGATTGTTATCGCATATATATGTGCCCCGCAGAGTCGTCTTGCTCTGTTTCTCTTTCTCCCACCGCGATCGCTTGCGTTTGTGGCGGACAGGAAACTGTTGCACGAAGCTAAGATCGATGACTAGCTAGTCTCCTTGCTGGCTGTGTTAGCGACAGCGATCTATCTGGCTAGGGTCAAGTTAGGTTGGCTTTCTCAGATCTGATGCTGCAGGCCGCAAGCCAGGGAAAAAAAAGCTGGAGTTGTTGCCAGGGCAACTTGCTTAGTCAGCTAGCATGGACGAGATGCAGCAGAGAAGCAGCATTTGATATAGTCAAGGTGGAGTGAAGAATGCAGTGTTAGGGAGATCATATACTGAACATGGACATCTTTCATTGGCAGTACCGGGATCTCTATGGCTAGAACATGAACTAATAGTAACGAACTATGAGCTACACTCCGTCATACTGTTGGCTTAGCTGAAGTCTTAGTCCATCAACAGCTTTATTCCATCTACCGAGTCCTTGTCGAATTGCTGGGAGATTTTTAGTTCTGGTGCTCGTACTGATGCCACATGAGGCAGGCCCTATGTCATAGTTACATGTTAGATCAGCTTTTTGTTTCTTTTGCTCCCGAAGAATATATTCTCACGGCATAGGTTCGAGCATGAACAGATACTCCAGCCCTAATCAGGGCCTGAAGGTAGCATGCTCCGTCATCTCGGAGTATGTCCACTCCGCAGATCTGTATAAATGTCGGCGCCAGGCCAGCGAACTCCCCCCATAGCGGGTAGGCAAGAGGGTTGCATTTCTCAGAGTCTGGTACTGTATAGTGATCTAAGAATCACCGGGGGATTATTAACTCTACGTACCTTTTGATGATCTGTGTGGGTGCTGTAGACTTACCATGGGTCACCTTCATTCCTTCCCGGTTCAAGCCAGCAGCTTCATACTGCTCTGCCCATGATACATGCATATCTCGAAATTGCGGTGGGACAAAAGTCTTGTCCGCCCCGTACACCGTCACCGGTGAGCGGAGGCAAGTACCCTTGAGTCGCCACCCGCGGTCTTTGTAGGAGCTGTCCTTCTGATAGTCACGGGCCAGCTGGGATATGACAGCTGCCAATTGGCCTCCTGCAGACGTCCCTGCTACAACGATGTCAACAGACGACCCATCATGCCGAGGGAGAAAAACTTTGAGGTTTTCGGCCACGAATATAAATCCATCCCAAGCGTCATTGGCAGGCACTGGAAAGGGGTGCTCTGGGGCTAATCGGTACCCGATGCTAAACACCACAGTTTCTGCATCGATAGAGACTCTCCTGCAGAACACTGTATTATAGAGTTATTTCGACTTGGGATAAGCCTTTTTTTTCTTTTGTATATAGATATGAAGCATAAGATTGGCGTCTTACTGTCTTCTGTGTCCAGATCCCAGTTTGCAAGCCCCCCTCCATGGTAGAAGATGACGATAGCTTTCGGTGATGGTATGCCCGAATCGTATATCCTGACTGGGATTCTAGTCGAATCTCTGGCTGTTATGAAAGAGCCTGAGACAGTGGTATCCTTGGCGAATCTGGGCTCGATATCAACAAGGTAGTCGGTGTTCTTCCGGAGCATGTAACCTGCCATGTAGGCCCTCTTCTCTTGTATGGTAGCGACGGGAGCGGCCGGTGGAGACGATGACGCTTCGAAGGCAAGCCATTCTTCATGTAGTTGGCTCATCTTGAACTTTCTTCGCCCTCTCATGGTATCTTTTGCTCGTGGAGATGTCGATATTTATATTGCTGCTAAGGCGTCTAGAATACCCACTCCTAGGCAGCAACATAACCCTCCGAAGCGCATCAGGGGTCGATTAATCTCACAGAGCCGTCGCCCCGGCCGTCTCCTATCACACAGCTAAGCTATGCTGGCCGCCGTCTGGTTGGCTGCCATCAGTTAACCTCCTGGTGATCAAGAAAATTGCTCTCTCCGTTGTAACCCCATCCAAAAAAAGGCCGCAACCACGTCAACTCTTTTTTTGCTGTCACTGCTTGCTCTGCCCATCCACCTCGTTAGCCACCATAACCACGCCGAGCTGAATCCGAACAAAATCCTCAAGCTCGAACTTCGCCAAAAAAAAAAAAGAAGCTCGATGGCAAAAAGGACAAAGAAAAGGTTGGTATTATTGTAACAGGGCTGTATTGATACGGCTCTCCGCACCGTGACTTTGCCCACTTTTTGCCCTCGTGGCTGGTGTAAGATTGACGTCACGTCTTGTACTGCGGAGAATTATCGGCCACTTGTGGGGACGACTTTTGGTTCATCGCTAAAGAAACGCGAAAGATTTAAAAAAGAAGAACGAAAAAGAAGAACGAAAAAAAAAAAAAAAAAAGACGGTCTAGCAACTTCGACGTTGTTCTCTCCGACAAGATAAATAGCTTCAAGTCCTGCCTTTGGTCTGTCGCAGAACCCGCTGTCATTCGTCGAGTCAGACGCATTAGCCGGGGCCGTCTTGAGTGGAGAGATACTATGTAGATATCTTGCTCCAGCCCGCCGCATGACCCCTATGGACACATCGCCAACCGAAACTGCTCCATCTTGCATCGAGGACGAGACTACGCTCGCATACATGTCACCCAGCTTTACCGTTGTCTCTGAAGCTTTCAGCGGCAGCCAGTCTGCTTCCAACGGCCCAGCGCCACAGAAACCGAAACAGTCGAAGAGCCGGAACGGTACGCCCTCTCCCTCCCTCCCTCTCTTTAAAGCTACGAGTTAAGGACCGCCTATGTTATTAGCGATAAGTGCAAGGTCTTTGTTCTTGAGATGTGTTGCCGTTATGCCGTGCTGACGCTGCCCGCATAGGATGTGTGACCTGCAAGTCGAAGAGACTGAAGTGTGACGAGACAAAACCTACTTGTCTTCAGTGTCGGAAGAGGAACGTCCCCTGTGGCGGGTACAAGAAAGATTTCAAATGGAGGTCCTTCGAAGAGTCGAGTTTCACCGGCAAACCGAAGCCAAAGGTCAAGAAACATGACACGGAAGGGCCCGGGAGTCTCCGCCAGCGATCATTGGCCACTAAAGGTTGCAGCGGCCATTTTGTGAACGTCAATCCCGACAATATTCCCTATAAACTGCCCCGGCCGACGAGTGTATTGCCTCCGTCGAGGCATCGCGATTCAAAGTTCGAAGCTCAGGTGGTGCCGTTTTTAGGGAACTTGGAGACCCGTGGGAATGGCTCTCGTCGGGGGCGTGCAGGTGGCAGCTCAACGGGCTCATCGAACGGAGGCGCTCTCTCTGAGTCTCCGGGGATCAGTACCCCCGACTTTACATCCGAGTCGCAGAGCATCAAGTCGAACTCCCATTCGCCACCGGTTCGCTGTGAAGATAACGATTTTGATGAAGAGATAGCTCGTCAAGACGTCAGTGAGGCCACCGACCGCAAACGGAAACCGTTGCCTCCGACGCCCCAAATTCTGAGCATGCCTCTCCCTGCACAGGTCTATTTCCACGCGGACAGCGCTGAAATGCTCCTTCTCAGATTTGACCGACGCACCTGCGGTATACTCTCTGTCAAAGACGGCAGGACTGAGAACCCATGGCGGACTGCGGTGGCTCCCCTGGTCCGGGAGTCGCCTGCTCTATATCACGCAGTATGTGCCCTGGCCGCTTTCCATTCTACCAAGGAAAATACTACATACAGGTATCTCGGGATGGACCACATGCGCCAGAGTATCCGGACGTTGGCCGTGAATATAGAATCCATGGAAACAGACGCCGCCATAGCCACAACACTAGCCCTTGCGTTTGCAGACACCTGGGATAGACACGTCTCAACCGGAGTGGAACATCTTCGTGGAGCCAAAGCCTTGTTCAACAGGGCCGTGGCCAGACAAAGGCATACACCCCTTTCGCAGCAGGATCAAGCGCGGCTGATGTTCTTATACAACAGCTGGATGTACATTGCCGTCATCGCCCAGCTAACCTCTCCTGAAGACACCGGTTTTGACGAGATCCCGTTTCCCCCTACCTTCACTCCGCGCATTCATGAAGTCGATCCTTTGATGGGCTGCGCGACTACATTGTTCCCGTTAATTGGTCGTGTTGCCGTCCTGGCCCAAAAGGTTCGCAAAACTACCTCAAACTCAGTTGCCACAATATCCCAGGCGATGGAGCTCAAAACTCTCATTGAACAATGGACTCCCCCCACGTATTTTGAGCCGCCAGAGGATCCAACTTCCGGTCTCCAGCACTGCCTTCAAACGGCTCAAGCCTACCGCTTGGCCACGTTGCTTCATCTGCATCAGGCGGTCCCCGAAATCGCGTCAGAACCTGCAAGTGAACTAGCTAAGCGGATCCTAATCCTGCTTGCCACCGTTCCGATGACCTCACGAACAATAGTCATTCAGATATTTCCTCTTCTAGTGGCCAGCTGCGAAATCGTCGATGAAGAGGATAGAAGCTGGGTAAGAGATCGCTGGGCAGCGATGCAACAACGAATGGCGATTGGCAATGTCGACCGATGTTTCGAGGTTGTCTGTGAAGTCTGGCGACGTCGAGACGCACATAACGTAGCTATGCTAGGCCGCCAACCCGATCAATATCCTCTAACTTTCGACCCACCAGGAGTGGGGACCTGCGGTCTACACGACAGTGTGATGGAGCCACTCATTTTTGGAGAAACTTTGGTTCAGGGCGAGCAAGATTCCTGTGATATCCTAACGGACGAGGTAATCAACAATATCACACCCATGCCGCTTATCGAACCGTTTCAGAATATTACTACTCCATCACCTCCGACAATACCCTCGCCCTTCGGATCCCCAAGCTTAGGCGTCAATAATGTCGATTATTCAAAAACAGTTCGAGGGAAATCGCATTGGCTAAGCGTGATGAGAGACTGGGGATGGGAAGGTTTGTATTACCTGCTTTTATGCCTTGTTCTAGTGAATCCCTATTTAATGCTAACCGGCCCGCGTTTGAATAGTACTGCTCGGTTGAAATTAAACCCTTTCCTTCCGTCTTAAAAAAACAAAAAGAAAGAGGTATCCCACAACGGGATGTTTCGAGCGTTTCACACTTTGCCGGATACCCTTTACTACACTTCGGGTTTCCATATGTCACCATTTAACAGCTGATAACCTCACTATATCTTGTATATTTCACGGACCAAGTATACCCCTTTTTATATTATCCTTTATTATGGTGTTATTCAGTATATCCTTAGGTATTCTTTCATCTGTTCTAGCAATAGTTGTCTTGGATAAGGGTTATACAGGGAGGATATATATTGGGTTGGTTATTGTACTTATCACAGGAAATATAGATAATATCTGATTGATTATTCTGTTCTTATGATACCTGCTTTGGGGGCCAGTTATGTTGAGGATAAGCTGAGCGAACATTCCCTTGATTTAATGGTATGGTTTAAAAGACTCTTGACTATCTCATCAATAGAAGACCTCAGTAAATGTAGAAGCATTCATCGCAGCTGCGGAATTCCATGTGGGGGTCGGCGGGATGTGCGTTTAATCAAGGACCGAAGCGCCCATCGCGCCTACAGCCCCTCTTTTCTAATATGGCTAGCAATGTCGAGAACGTCAGCTCCAGAAACAACCAACTCTTTCAACACACATACTTCATCATAATTATAATTGTTCGAACGCTCACTGGCTCGCCTTTATGATGATTTACCCCTCATAAAGATAATCGTTAGCACGGATGTAACAAAGCAAATGCCACCTAACAAATCGTGAGTAACACTGTAGCTAACTATGAAGCTTGGTGAGAGACTTACACAGAGTTGAATTCATACGATCATACCCCAAGTTATCTGCCAGAGAACCTGACAAAAGCGGCCCTATGAACTGGCCTACATTGAAACACCCATTGGAAAGCGATTGGCCTCGCGAGTGCCCTCCCTTGGGACCAAATATTCCAGGAACCTCTGTTTCAAGTCTTTCAATCACGGCTATAATGTGCCATCCCGGTTAGCATCGCTGCATAATGCTGAAAAATAATTCGGGTAAAAAAATGCTCTGCTGCCTACCAGTTATCTCCGCTGCTCCAACACTAGTTGGGAGATTTTGGACGCATCCTATGCAGATAATGATGATCACATATACAACCTTAGTCATGTCCTTGGAATCAGACCATGGGAACTGCTTTTGGTCCACTGCACCAAGAAGCCAAAGTAGAGGGCCCAGCAGAATAAAGCCCAGCCCGGTAAGGAGTTTGTCACCCCCTCTTCTCCGGATCCATCCGCACAGTGGGTCAAGGATAATGGCCGGTGCTTGTAGCCCGACAAACATCACACCAGCAGGAAAACTACCCCATCCAAAAGCATCTCGCACATGAGTGGGGAGTGTGGTGTTGAAACTAGCCATCAGGGAGGAACGAGTCATATAAGACACAAACCCGATGATAATCATCGGCTGGCTGAGAATCATCCAGTAGAATGAAAACATGGACGCACAGCCTTCCTTCAAATCGCTGACCCCCTTTGCGAAACCGTACGGTTTGGCAGAGGTGCTGGGGAGGAGAGCACTATATTCACTTACTCCCCCGGACGGTACGTTGGCATTTCTGCTCTCCTCATCGCCAACTTTGGCGCGTTTATCTTTGATCTTTGGGTGCTCAATCATTAAAAGCCGCAGCAATATATCCAGCGAAAGAACCACGAACACTATCATCCAAGTTCTCCAGTATCCAAAGAATTCGAGCATAAAACCCGAGACTGCTGGACCGGAGAAGGCGCCGACACTGATAAAAGTGGTAACAAGCGTCGATATCATACCCATGTTCTTAGGCTTAATTATATCGTTGAGCGTTGCGTGCCCAACGACCTGTGATACAGTGCTGCCAATGGCTTGCAAGATCCGACCTAGGAAGACATTCACGACTAGCAGTGGCTGTCAGTTTGTCGTCGAGTCTATATACCAAGGGTTGTTGTATTCTCATACGGTTTGTGGATGTTGCAAGAATAGCTGTCCCCATGAATGTGATTCCCAGCCCAATCGCTAGAATGATTTTGGGGTATTTAAGTCGATCCGTCAATTGCCCGACGACAGGACCTGATGCCACTGCCGCTGCGCCATATGTGGTGAGAATAAGATAAGTCAACTGTTGGGTATGTGAAGGGTCGACATTATTGCGTTTCTCTAGGATGTACGGGAGAATCGGTACCACGAAACCGTGAGTGAAAGTTTCTATTAAAAAGACCTATATTACTACTATGTGAAGCCATTTTGAGGTACTTAACCGATGTCAAGGGCTAAGACTTACCTGCAAACAGTGCTGTGATGATGCACGTAACAGTGAAAGTTGAGGAAGAACGCCAGCTATAGCCCCATGGCTTCTTGTTTTTCTTGAAAATGCCCATATTAGCTGGCAAACATAGACGAAATAATGATATGCCTCTATTGTGTGCTATTGGGGTACTCCGCATTCCTTTTCACTTGACTTGAAGCGAGTACTGTGTGTGAGGGTTTTACACCTAGGCTACTTTCTTCCTCTGTACTATTGGAAGAGTGTTTATAGACTAACCGGGTATTACAGCGGCCCCAAGCACAAATAGTTAGAGGCTTGGTACGGTGTATAATCTCTTATTGTGGTAATGGCTATGTTCTGTACGGGCTGCCTAGTAGATTAGCGGGTAACATTGAAGCTGCCTTATCCTATGAAGAACAGGAGTGGCTGAAAAGCAATACCTGTATATGGATACGGGCAAACCTCTGTATGGAGTACACTAGGTTGTCAAATTTACGGAGAGTTATTGCCCATACACCTCTTAAGAAACCACGGCATATTGAGTTGGTGCCACATATTTTGTTTTACAAGGTTAGCCCGCACCATTTCATTAGATAATTGTTTAGTACATGTCTTCTAAACCTGCGAGGTAGCCCTTAACAGAATAACACCCCTAGTTATATCACATTTTCCCCTGCCTTGCTACTTGACGATAGACCCGTACCATATGGCATATATGAAACAGACCAAATAAATTATCATCTCAACTGTATGGAAGCATGGATCCATTTTTAGACTCCAAGCTAGCGGTTGCTGGATCCACATATACGGGTCTGCCAAGCCGGAAGCGGATAGGGTTAACTGCGTAGCGCGTACCTTAAAAAAAAGTCTTCAAGATCGGTGAACGTGGATGACCACTATTCTCATCAGCTTAAACTTATAATAATTAATTTATGCGGAGTAGGAGGGTATATATATACTAAAAATAACTTGTTACGATTTGGAATTACCGCTGGGCAATACAGAAGACCGCACGGAGCAAAAATTATAGTTTATCTGAATAACTGGGCGTCTCTTAGCGTTACATGACAACAGTTGACCTGCAAGTCGCTTGCTCTCAAATCTGACTTTACACCAAATCACACGGCTGGGCGGTGCTGATCATTGTTCATTAGTATAAATACGATTTACAAGTGAAATACTGGGTCAGGGTTTGGCAATGTGAGCAAGTACCCCAACGAATACTTCTCCAAAATTTGAGGCTTAGGCCATAGCGAGAGCTACGATGGACAAGGTCACACACCGAAAACCAATGGAGACCAACACCTCGCTCTAATTATATTATGGGGATTCAATAGCTCAAATGTTCAAATATCACTGTTGGTACAGAATAGCTGGACAAGCTGTATGCGCTGTGAAGGACAGGGCCAATGTCGAGATTAGACAGTGGTATGGGGAGCCCGATGGGAAAGCGTACTGTATGCGGCTTAAAGCCCTCTACATGGTATAGAAGGTTTCCAAATAGCCCCTACAAGCCGTTTATACATGCGGAACATGTTTAAACTCGCGATACTTTGTAAACAGGGCCAGATAGCATTGTACCAAAGTTTTGGTATGGCTAGCACATACGTTTGTGCGGTAAACGGCGTCTACTGTCTTGGAAGTCGTTTTTCGGGAGAAGATTCTTCGGGTATTATTTTGAGCGCATTGGAAGTGGTGTTGTGTGCTTGAAATAAACTAACGCGTACTACGCAGTTGATCGCAGGCTGCAGAATAAACTGCATCGTAATCTTTAGAAACGTTCATCCTTATAAAGCAGGGTAAACGAAGAAGAATCTTCGTTGAGGCCAGAAAGAGTCACATGACTTAAAACACTGAATATCACATGACGCGTCTGTTGACCGTCGCTTATCCGGCGCGTCTAACGCGTCTATCCTTAAATACTTTTGAAGGTAAAAAAAAAAAAGGCAACAGAAAGAAGACTTCCGTCTTTCGGTTGGCGATCAGTATTGAAAAGGGGCTTTTGTAAAGCAGCATTCGGGGATAGAGGCTTATCGGGCGAACGAAGTCCTCGCTTTATTGCTCGCACACTGGAAGCCCGGGGGGGAGCTATATGTATGGGCAGGGTCAGAAGAACGCGCTATTCAAGACAAGGCCAAGAGAAGAAACAATTCCCAAGCTGTTTTGTACGCTGGCGATAAGCGGAACGAGAGGACGGATTATCCTGACGGAGCGAGCTTATCGGCGCCAACCTTAAGATTCAAAGACTTTCTTCTCGTCTGGTGTTTTCCGCGTGTCTATCGCGACACGAGAAAAGCAAGGGGAGGAACCACGATAAAATTACTTTGTCGCCTTCGACAGGAACGCTTCATCTTCTCTCACGCTCTCTCTCTCTCTCCCCTTTCTTTTCTACTCTTCTACATCGACATAGCTCGTACACCCGGCGTGACGCCATGAGCGACTCGCGTCAGACGGCCCATGTAGGCGATGCACCAGTTTCCACCGTCGCGACGGAGGCGGATTCTGGCAGCTACTCCTTTCTCGTCCATTCCAACGAGACATTGACGCAGGACCTCCCGCCCAAGGTCGATAGCAAAGTATACATCCGTCAGCGCCGTCGACGAACGAGGTATGTGTTCCTAGATCCATCGAGTGTCGGCAGAGACAAGAAGGTTACCAACTATGTGTACTGCAGTCCGGAAGACCATGCTATCCTTGAAGCGGAATACCGACTGAATCCAAAGCCGGATAAGGCCACCAGAGCAAGCATTGTTAGCAGGGTCTCGCTGGGAGATAAGGAAGTTCAGGTATGGGTGGCCCTCAATTATCGACTCTTTTACCAAGCCCTCCTATTAACAGTCCCCGCACCGTAGATATGGTTCCAGAACCGAAGACAGAATGACAGGCGGAAATCCAAGCCGATACACCCTAATGAACTATCTCCAGACACGCGAGAACCCGAAAGCTCCCAAAAAGCTGTAGATGGCAGTCCGCCGAACACGCAGGATCAAAATTCGAATTCCTCTGCCCCTCACAAACACTACAATCACACTCTGGACACACCATCCCAGTCTCTTCCCAACAGCCAGTGCGAACACGCTACCATCTCTTCCCAGCTTGAGAGCTCGCAAACTTCTACGTCTTCTACAAAGTCACAAACAGACAGGTGTAGCTTTTGTTCTCCCAGCAGCGAGCCGATAGTACCCCCCCAGCTTTCCTCCGGCAAGAGGAAGCGTGCCGATTCAGGCGTAAGTGGGTTGGGAATTGGCGGGCTTGAGCATGGGAGAAGGTCGCTCGGGTCCACACATTCACCATCTCTTCGTCTTTCTCTTTCTTTTGACGGTGAAGCGGTGGTTCGTGGCGAGGATGAAAAAACCCCATCACCTCCCAAGATCCGCGATTCCTTGAGAATTGCATTTTCAGCAGATGGTGAAGCCGTCGTCCGGACAGCCGGGGAGCCGTCGCCCTCTCCACCACGGCGCCATACATCAACCCCCGTTTCTCTTCAGTCCCGACTTAGAAGCCTACGACGCACAAGCAGTGCTGTCTCACTCGGAACGCCTGGGTTTAAATCGCCAGACCCCGCTAATATATTTGGCAGATCACGAGATTCACGTAGATGGGAGTTATATTGTGATACAGACGCGCGTAGCGCTCTCTCCTCGCCTCATATAGGGGCAGGACCTGCGCTTGATAGGCCCGGAGGCGCCAAACCCTCTCACAGGAGAACTTCGAATGCAAACACACGCATTCTATCACCTTGTGCCAACCTTCCAAACACACTACTACCAGATGGACCGCCTCAGAAGCGAAAGAAGCTATCCCGCGCCGTGTCTTCGCTTGGCCGGCTAGAAACTGACCCGTTAGATACGTCTAGTACCACCAAGCTTAGCAGTTCCCAGCGAAACCGAGGCCAGAGATCAAAACCCAAGACAGACTTCCACAGTGGTGACTCTGATAAGGAGAACTGGCTCCCCGGAACACAGACCGCAGGTCCCCGACGGCGTCGACCACAATCCACAGCCCAAGCCCAGAACAGAGTCCTTCAAACATCAGGTGATGCTCGACGTGAGGGAAATCGAATCATAGGACGAGGGTCCATGTCTCCTCGAAAGGGCCAGGGCAGGCACAAGGATGATGAATACGGTGAGAAGCCATCCGTCCCTGGTTCAGGCTCTAACCAGGTGGAGGACTTAGACTGCATCCAAGGCTTGCTCTCTTTAAGCCAGGGTGCTTGGAAATGAAGCCATGTAGAGCTACTTTTATGACCGTGTGTGTATGTCTGTGTAATAACGGCTTTTTTTTTTCGCTTTTTTTTTTTCTTGGAGGGAATTTGTCTTACATAGGGTTATACCTTTTCTTTTGGGCACATTATCAACTGGATACTTTTACTATTCTTCTTTCTGTCTGTTGGTGGCTCGACTTTTGCATGCGATGAGCGAACCTGTGACCTATTTCGAAAGCTATAGGGCGTGACTCTGCACCCTTGCAGTGCATCATCTGCAGCTCCATTCCGTTCATTTGATGCATGAAAACCTCTCACCTTCTGGAAACATTCTTAGTAGAATTGGATGCGTGGCATAGGGTTGGCCGAGGTAATATCGGCCAAGTGCTCTGCCTCTCCGTCCGAGAGTGCCCGTTGTCCCCAGGAGATGCTGCCAACCGGCGATGTCATGCATTTATGGAGGATCAGCCAAGCTATGGTGACCTCGTTTTTGAGCAGATTTATCCGAAAGCACTGGAGAAACACTAGGAAGCATTACCATCAACCGTCGGGCAAGTTCTACACTTGTTGGTGGAAATAAAGCTTAGTTAACTTTGAGTCAAAAGCCCATCAAAGGCACCACCTATCAGCGGCCTGCTACCCCAAACGTCAATAAATGAATTCACTTCAAGGTCATCCCAGCCATGCAATGCACTTATCATCTGGGTGTCAAGTGAGCTTCCAGATCAAGGCAATAACATGCTTGAAGTGGAGGATATGTAAGAGGAGGACATCTATGGCGGTCTTGAATGGGCATCTCTTTGACGGACCAGAGCCCATGGAGCAAACACTACATCCCCGGCCCTATGATTGGCAACCATAGATGTTTGATGCAAATTAAAGAAAAACAGTCTTATGATCGGGGCACAGGAGGCGTATATATATATATATAACTTCTACCAGTTTCCCAAGGTTGCTTAACATGCGGAAGGTTTCTTACCGCTTCCACATCACATCCTCCAACCTAAACTTACCCTTACCGCTGCCACCAGTTCAGGGACAATTTACGTGACTCTAATATTAACCGTGAGGATGTCATCGTTAGCAGCCCCTTATCGAATTGGTGTTGATGTTGGCGGCACCAATACGGACTGTGTCATATTAGATGTTCGAGCAACGAACGAACCAAATCGCGGGGTGGTTGCTCTGCATAAGACTCCAACCACAAGTCCAAATGTTACCGATGGCATTGAAACCGCTGTCCTCAATATCCTTGAGCAGTCAAAGGTTCCAAAAGATCAGATCGCCTGCCTAACAATTGGAACTACGCACTTTATCAACGCCATAGTGGAACACGATGCCCGCCGCCTATCAAAAGTGGCCATCATTCGCCTTTCCAAGAGCTTCACAAGAGAGGTCCCTCCATTCTCTGATTTTCCACCAGCACTCAAATCGATTATGAATGGCTATTACACGTATGTTGATGGTGGTCTTACCATCGATGGGGCACCGGAAGCACCTATAAACGAAGCCCAGGTGGTTCAGGAATGCGATAAGATCAGAGAGATGGGATTAGATGCAGTTGTCATCTCTGGTGTATTTTCGCCAATCGACAAACACTTCTACCAAGAAAATACAGTCCGAAAGATCGTTCAGAGGGAACTACCTGGCGTGGATATCGTTTGTTCATCGGAGGTATCCCAGATTGGATTCCTAGAACGAGAGAATGCATCTATTCTAAACGCTTCTATCCTGAAATTTGCGCGACGCACCATCCGAGGCTTTAAATCAACAATGGGACGCTTGAACTTGGGCTGTTCTTTATATCTCACGCAGAATGATGGAACTCTGATTGATGCACCGTCCGCTGCTAGGCTCCCAATCCGCACATTTTCCTCTGGGCCAACAAATTCCATGAGAGGAGCTGCATACCTAGGACTCAGCGGGCATGATGACGCTGACGGGGAGCGCACTGCAATGATTGTGGTTGATATTGGTGGCACAAGCTCAGACGTTGGAGTTTTACTTCCATCTGGATTCCCTCGTCAGGCTTCCGCATACGTTGAAGTAGCAGGAGTGAAACTCAATTTCGGCATGCCTCATGTCGAGTCCATCGGCCTCGGAGGTGGTTCCATTGTTCGCCCTAACGGTGTCAAAACTACCATCGGGCCTGACTCTGTGGGTCATTACCTTAGCACAAAGGCAACGGTGTTCGGGGGCGACACTCTCACAGCAACAGATATAGCTGTAGCTTCTGGGGCGAACATTGGAGACCCCAAATTGGTCAAGGACCTTGACAAGGAAGTGGTATCGGCTGCGCAGGCAAAGATAAAATCCTTATTGGAGGGAGTGATTGACCAGATGAAGACTTCTCCCGCACCTTTACCCGTTTTATTAGTTGGGGGCGGCTCAGTGTTAGCCCCAGCAGAGTTAGACGGTGTGTCGAAAGTCATCTTCCCTCCATTCCATTCTGTTGCGAACGCAGTTGGTGCTGCTATGTCAAAAGTTGGGGGCACCGTCGACTCGATTGAGAGTACTGCAGAAAGGTCCGTTGCAGAGGTAATTGAAGAAGCCAAATGCACAGCAATAGAAAAAGCGGTTGCTTCTGGTGCGATTAGAGAAACAGTGTTACTAGCAGAGGTTGATGCCATACCTGTCCAGTATGTCGCTAACCAAGTGCGGGTTATTGCGCGAGCTGTTGGTGAACTCTCTCCTAAAGGTGTCCCTACCATCGACAATCTGCAAAATAACGATGATGATAGCGAAGGCGATGATAAGGCATACAACGAAGCCCCTAAGCAGAATATCAAATTTAATGGATTCAGCACCGACACTGTTGACGTTGCTACTTACCGGCCGAAGGTGGTGAAAAACCTTGAAACGGGGGTCCAGGAATGGATTGTGTCTGAAACTGATGTTGCCTGGCTTGCCGATGGGTGCTATGTTCTGGGATGTGCTGGTGGAGGCTCGCCGTTTAGTGAACATATCCGGATTCGCGATCAGATACGGCAAGGGCACACTATCCGTATTATTGATCCATATTCTGTGAAGAAAGATGCACTAATATACTGTAAGCTTATTCCTCACTGCGGCTATCCTACTATCCACCATAGATATATCTTCTTGGAAAAAAGTTTGTTGCTAACAGCCGTAAAAAGGGGGAGGTCATATGGGTTCTCCAGCAGTCTCTACGGAACGACTAGCAAACAATGAGACAGAGCAATCCCTTCGTGCTCTCATGGAGTATCTTAATCATGACAGCTTCGATGCTGTAATGGGAGTGGAAATTGGCGGCTGTAACGGTATTCTATCACTTTCTCTTGGTTCATCAAAAAACAATGACCGGCCCGTTGTTGATGCCGACTGGATGGGTATGTATTACTTTACTCTTAAATCAGGGCCTCCCAAGATGCGTCCTGTCGTGATATACTGATATCTTCCTACGTAGGTCGAGCCTACCCAACCTTTTGGCAAACCACCATCTGTGTCTACCAGCCCGGCGAACTGGTACCTTGTTCTATCCTTTCTGGTAGCGGGAGCAACCTTATCATGAGCAAGTCCGCAAGTGATGAGCTTGTTGATCGAGCACTACGAGCTTCCTGTGCTGAAATGGGTTCCAGTGTAGGCATGGTGGCCCGTCCGACGACAGGAGACAAGATGTTGAAATACGGTATACTCAATACTATGTCCCTTGCATGGCGTATCGGACGATGCATCGCTCGTGCAAATGTCAACAACACCCTCAGTACTGTAGCTGAACAGATAATTGATGAAGTTGGTGGCCCCGAGTCTGCCAAAATTCTCTTCCGGGGAAAAATTGTTGCAGTTGAAAGGCGGCTGTTCAAGGGTCATTCATACGGTGAAATCACGATTCAGCAAATCCTGAAGAATGAAATAGAATCAGACATTGCAGAGCAACTCTCAGAGGACGCCAGGCGGTCATCAGCACCCGTAGCCACAGGTGGTGTGCTAAAAATCCCATTCAAGAATGAAAACATCTACGCCAAACATATCTCTGATGAAGGCGAGGAGAAATATGTGGCCATGGTGCCTGATCTAATCTGTGTTCTAGACACGCAGTCTGGAAAGGCACTTGGAATCCCGGAGTTTAGATACGGGGTTATGGTGACTGTCCTGGGGATTGCATGTTCACCGCGATGGTCAGACACAGAGCGAGCCCTGGAAGTTGGTGGGCCGGGAGCATTCGGATATAAAAATATCAAGTACGTGCCCCTAGGGAAGTACGTGAAGCCGAAGAGCGTGGTGACGGAATACGCGGATGAGTGAAGCCACTCATCACATTATACCGTCTGCCAGTAAATTACAGAGCAGTATAATTGGACACTTTTGCTTCAAAAGTGACCTTCGTGGCTTTTCTGCGTTTCGTTGCAGCAATGACGTAGTTTAGGCTTTATGACTTCATCCGGCTAAAAACAGGAATATGCAAGAGAAGAAAACGATAATTAGAGAGATATAACTATATAATGTTTGAGGAGAGGGTGCAGCTTAGAGAGAAAAAGGGCTTTGCATAGTTAGCAGAACGGGTGAATTGTTCGTTGATTCTACGCTGGTGTTGACAACATTGAATATGGCGCTCTCATCGCATGTAAGTTTGGTCCAACTATATAGAGAACGACAAACCAAAGCTATCAAGAACATCCCACGGTCTGATTTCCATGATACTAAATTGTGATGGTGAGGCCAATAGGTTGATCCTGATGCGATCATCAAGCAATTCCGTGAAGATTCCGAAACAGATCAGGACCAGGAGTCCATCTTCACTTCGAACGCAGTGTCATCCGTAGCACCATACTCGACTAGATATTCAAGCAGGGAGGAGATTCCCAAGTTCAAAATCCCAAAATTCGGAGCTCGTGCGGATGCAGTGCACCACATGTTGAGCAATGAACTCGATCTGGACGGCATCCCAAATTTGAACATGGCAAGGTAGTTATAAGAACTCGTACTACAAGCTCGTGTGAAAGAAAACAGCTGCTAATGGCGAACTGATAACTATGTAGTTTTGTCGGTACTTATATGGACCGAGAAGCAAACAAACTTCTGGTAGAGAATATCAGCAAGAACCTTGCTGATGCTGACGAGTATCCTGCATTGATGGCTATACATGCGAGATGCATATCCATAATATCCCATCTCTGGAACCCAAAGCCGGGAGAAGAAGCAATTGGATCCGCTACAACCGGGTCATCTGAAGCTATTCTGCTTGGAGGCCTGGCCATGAAAAAGAGATGGCAGCAGATGCGCAAGGATGCAGGGAAAGACATTTCTAATCCGAATATCATCATGGGTTCGAATGCCCAAGTAGCACTTCTTAAATTTGCCAGGTATTTTGACGTCGAACCCCGAGTGCTGGATGTCTCTGAGACGAGCCAGTTTCGTCTAGATCCAGAATTGGTAAAGAAAAGCGTGGATGAGAATACCATCGGAATATTTGTCATCATGGGAAGCACCTACACGGGGCACTATGAGCCTGTTGAGGAGATTTCAAATATCCTAGATGACATACAATCCGAAACCGGATTCGACATCCCTATCCATGTTGATGCTGCCAGTGGTGGGTTTGTCGCTCCATTTACCGATGCAGGGGCTGGAGGACCAAAATGGTGCGTACTACCTGTAGGCTATAGTTTGCTTGCTGGGGGGTGGAATGACCGTACTAATATGATATCAAGGAATTTCGAGCTGCCCCGAGTCAAGTCAATCAATGCATCCGGACATAAGTATGGCCTCGTGTATGCTGGATTGGGGTGGATTATCTGGCGAGATCGCTCCTATTTGCCAAAAGAACTCATCTTTGAGCTTGACTATCTCGGCAGCAGAGAGGAGACTTATACATTGAACTTCTCCCGGCCAGGGGCACAAGTTATTGGCCAGTATTATAATTTTATCCGCCTTGGATTCAATGGATATCGAGAGATCATGGAAAACTGCTTATCGAATGCTAGGTTGCTTAGCAAAACTTTGGAGCGAACGGGGTGGTTTGTATGCTTGAGCGATATCCACCGCAAAAAGGGAGAATTCTACCACCAGCATCTGAACAAAATCACGCCTTTCAAAGAAGGTGAAACGTCAGCCGATTATAACGCAGGCTTGCCAGTGGTAACATTCCGATTCTCTGACGCATTCAAGAAGAACTACCCACATGTGAAGCAAGAGAGTATAAGCCTCTTGTTAAGGTCAAAACAGTATATTGTTCCTAGTAAGTAAACTTGATATATCGTCCTTACCGACGTGACGGTACCATTCTTAGCCAGAGAGATGTAAGCTAACTTGTTAAATTGGTAGACTATCCGCTCCCTCCTAAGGAACAGGAGACGGAAATCATGAGGGTTGTTGTTCGGGAGAGTATGGCCGCAGACCTGATCGACAAGCTCGTGGCGGATATTATAGCAATCACCGAGAGGCTTATGAAGTCCGACCCAGTAGACCTATCTGCACTCCAGACAGGCCCGACTAGCCTCGAACGCCGTCGTGTAAAGAAAAAAAATCACCCTCACAAGGTCTCGAAACGATCGAATGGGAAGAATGGGAAATCCGCCGGCCACCCGATGAAAAGTGGAATCCACCGTTCGGTTTGCTAGGATGTATTTGATATACAGGCAGGATAATTTTCACGGAATGTTTTCGGGATATCAAAGTAGCGTGGTACAAATTGATCCTTTCCTGACAACATACGATTCTTGTGATTTAATGTCTAGCTCGTCGGACGGTTTAATGGTGATTATCAACCGTAATGTTTATTTGGTCGGTGACGCTGGACTTGTGTTTGCAGTATAATTAACTAATCAGAGTAACTAATCTCGGTCCCTTGTTAAGAAATCCATTTAAAGGTACCCAGTAAGGCGCAAATTAAGCCCACAGTAGGCGAAGATGAAGATGAATTGGTAGGCAATAACTCCCATGGCTGAAGCTGACCATAGGGAAATCTCTTCAGTGTTGCCAAAATAGTACAGGGGCGAAAGAGAACTGCACAGCTGTGGATAATGCAGCCGAAGGCGAGCAGCCGTCAACACAACACACAAATAATCATATCTACACTTAGAAAAAAAGCCAATGAGATTGTTGAACCGCAGAGTTGTTGGTGGTGAAGTTGGTGGCGGCTTTTCCATGCACATCCTGGAATATAAAAAAAGCTTGATTTGCTCAGGGGTTAAACCTCAGCCATACATCACCCTCTTCAACCGCAAACATGAAACGCCGCGAGTCGCTCTCCTTACATGAAATGTACATGTACCCCAGAGTGAGGAGAATATAAACGAATAGGATCGTGATACCTCATATTCATCCTTTACTTCCCTACAATGCGGCCGTCTGGGTTCACGATTCACGTTTGCCACCACAGAGGGTGAAGACAAATAACTGGACCGGCCCATCATAACGAGCCTACATAGTACTCCGTACTAGGGATCCAAATGAGCGTGGCCACTTGTGGATAGTGATTCGCCGTTGGGCTCCATTTTATTCAGGGGCAAGTCGCTAAATAACACGGATATCTCATTATCTCCAACTTTGACATCAAGACAAGCATTATTGAAAGCTTAGCCTTCGGTCCCTGCGGCCAACGAGAGGCCTTGAAGGCACAGTCAAGCCCCTGGCAGAAGTCGTTTATTAGGGAGATAATGGATTTCATATTTCACTGAACGCAGGAGACCTATCCTAGCGTGACTGCGGGCTCGACGGATTGTTCACAAAGGGTGAACGCTGTCACTAATTGACCAACCAGTCAAGTTCCAGGAGACCTGTCCCGCATATATTTATACCAGGAGGGTTTCTTCTTTCTCTAGGAATTATTCTCTCCTTCTCTACCAACAACTTCGTCGTCTCCTTTGGGTACGGTTTCATACAAACTAGTCCAGACATACACACATTCATCATGCGTTTCCTATCCACCGCTATACTCCTTCTTGCAACATCCTTCGTCTCTGCGAGCGAAGATCCCCTAGATGGGTGCTACGATGCGCCAACTCCAACCCCCCAGTATGGGCTCCCCACTCCCAAGCCAACCGGAGGCTCTACCTCAACTATATCCAAAGATTCCATGATCGAAGCCTTGAAGAATATCGCTCCCGGCTCTGCTACGGAACCATGCGTTTCTGCACCAAAGGCAGAAGGGCAATGTCGAAGCGCTTCTCAAGCCGCAGAGCCCCTCATCCACTCTTTTGAGAAATACAAGATCACCTCCAAGCCTGAGATGGCTGCTATTCTGAGCCTTATCGCCTTGGAGTCGGGAGAGTTCAAGTATCAGAAGAATGTATTCCCCGGCAGACCGGGACAAGGCAGTAAGTGATATTATCTATCTCCTCTCGATAGTTAACTAGGAGCCTAACCTCTGGTACCTCTTAGCTCGGAACATGCAAATGCCCCAATTTAATGCCCTCTATGCCAAGTCAATATCGGAGTTGCGTGGGAAGATCGGCCCAAAGTTGATGAATGTCGATGCGGTTTTGGATCTCCTGCTTTCCAACGACGACTATGACTTTGGCTCCGCAGCATGGTTCCTGACGAGCCAATGTACACCCGCTGTTAGGACGGCGTTGCAGTCTGGGTCAGAGGAGGGCTGGTCTAAGTACCTGACCGAGTGCATTGGGACAAGCGTCACAGATGAGCGAAAGAAATACTGGACAAAGGCAATGGAGAGTGTTAAGAAGTTGTAGACCCAAGGTGCTTTGTACGGCTGGATACCATTTAGTTGATCTATGTGTACTTATCCAGTTATGATTTATGATTTATGACCAGCCCCCTTAGCCTGGACTAATCGGGTGGCCAATATGTTACAAAGCCAAAGAAGTTATCACCAATCGGAGCAAAGAGTGTACTATCAAATTGATAAATCCCATTTCTTATTTGTCTCGGTTATGTAAACTCCATGTCATGCTTCTAGCAGACTCTTTTTATCACTTGGGAAAGGAATATGAGACAACGGGGAAGGACATTAAAACAAGAATCAAGTAACAACACCATAAAACAACCCACAACAAGCCGAACACGCAAAACTCCATAACTTCCCACCATGCATCAATCATTGAGCAACAACGATAAGTAGATAGAGACTGAAAGGAGAATAAAAGAAACCCTGCATCGGGGAAAAGCAGAACAATGGGTTAAAAGGGCAGATCGAAAGATTCTGTACAGGAATGAGATCAACATGAGGTCCAAAATTTGCTTCGAAAGAGGAATGAGATGGACAACTTCGTCAGCGAAACAGCATTAAACGTCATTAAGAGTACGGCTTAGCCTGGCCTCATTGGTCTGATTGTGAGAAATTAGATGTTCTTCACCCTGGCAATATTGCCGGCGCTTCCAACTCTTCCACTTGACTTGCGGACACCACGAGTCTCGGTCCGGTTGTCTGCAGTTCTCCTTGGATTGGACCGCTGTTTGCTTACTCCTAAAACCCCGCTACCACTCTTGGGGTTGGCTGGGGTCTTGGGTTTTGGCGAACCTGAGTCGCCAACCCAGTTCTCGGCGTCTTCATGGATATCTATCTCGGGAGTTAAGGTTGCGGAATGGCTGAGTGATCGCTGGGCACTAGAAACGGGAGTACGTGGAGAAGTAACACGGTTGACTAGGGCTTGTAATTCTTCATCACTGTCGACACGGTTGCTTGATTGGCCCTTTGAAACGCCCCGTCTTGGAGAGCTGGCGGCGCCTGCTAGACTTGCAGATGGGGTACGGGCGTATGGGTAATGCCTCGAGTCCTTGCGATGCGACTTTCTTGGCTGACCTGGTGTTGGGGCCGGAAGGTTCTCATCCGCGTAGCTGTTGACGCTCTCGTTGGTGTCAATTTCACCAAGTGCAGCTCTCTTGGATTGGTTTCCATGTGGTGGTGTTGCAGTCTGGCTGCCGTTCAGCCTTTTCGAAGATACACGTCCGGGGGTGGTTGGAGTGGGTAGGGAAAGCTTCTCCTTGAGTTGATCTTCAAACCACCACTCGCGGAAACTGCCTTGGTTCAGATGAAGCCAATGCTGCTGTGGCCCAACGACCATACCTGGGCGCATGAAGCGCATGAATGCGATAATCTCGTTCGCAGTGAATCCGTATCGGTAAATGAGATACGCCCCTATTAAACAGCCAGTCCGCCCCAGACCAGCTTTGCAGTGAATAGCAATTCCCTTCTCTTTGATTGTGATCATCTCATGTGCCATCTTGATAAACCGCTTCACTAATGGAAGTGGTGGGCACGTTCCATCTTCAAATATCATGTCAATATGATTAATGTTGAGTGCGGTAAAGTACGAGGGGCTGTAGAGCTCAGAGTTAAGTCGTACAACCAGGCCAACGTTTCTTGTAGAAAAATGCGTAAGGACATTCTTAAAAGGGACCGGCAAGTCACTGTCCTGAACCTGATTGATGGTGGAAGGCAAGGCAGCAAATTCAGCCGTGTTCTGAGGAATGACGGCAGTTGGAGAATGCTGGGGCGACGCAAAAGCAAGGAAGTTCGGGGTGATCCAGTTAAAATCACCCATATCTACTCGTTCATACTTTTCATATCTATGCCATGTTAGTACGCTGTATCAAAGAGGAGAGGGGTGGAAAAATAGTAGCTTACTCTTCCAAGCTAAAATCTTTCAGTCCACAGAGCCCTTCCTCTTTGGCTTTCCACACACCATACACGACATCCTGAATGGTGAGAACAAAGTCTGCCTGACTGTAGCCAGCATCTCTGAATGGCATATAAGGAGGGTCAGCCTGCGCAATGGGAGCCAAAGCGAGGTGAGGAGGCCAGGATTGAATCAAAACCATGTAGCAGGCTACAACACATGCAACGTTTGCCCGGCTTCTGGGGTCTGGTTTGGTCCACAGAACAACCGGTCGATCGGTGTTCTCGGGGTCTCCCAAAATCTCATGGAAATGCACCGCAAACCGGTAGAGGTGTCCAATGTGCAGAGGACCAAAGTCTGCATGGAAGGCATTGTACAAGAGTAATCCATCTATGTTGAAATAAACCGGAGACTTGGCCGTCTGGTGCTTCCGGGAGGGGGTGTTTGCACCCGCACGCCTTTTACTAGGCGACTTGGGCGGTGCCGCGAGAAACGGAAATGGAGTGTTCTCAGACGGAGGGCTATGGTAAGAAGCCAGATAAAGACGATCTACCAGGGAGAGTGAGTCGGAAAGATCTATAAGCAGGAGTCACAGGCGCAATATTACCTTGTATGTACTCGATCGGTGCACCGTACAAGCCAGAGGGCGCTGAAGCTGGCATGCTGAGCGAGACTAATCTGTCCGTTCTTAATTGGGGTCAAGCGATGCGATGCAATGATATAATGCGGGAATGATAGTCTCTGTTTCTGGCAACAGCGATGACAGGGTTTGTTCCGCGAGATCGCCGCAAGATCAAAGCAGCATTATCAAGTTGTGACGAAGAAGTTGGTATAGATGAAGTAAGGATGTCAACAAAATGATAAGCTGGTGATGATATTGTTGTAGGGAGAGAGGGAGAGAGGGAGAAGAGAGAGAGAGCGAATGGAGAGATAATAAATCTGTGACGGGTCAAGGTTGTTGTTTATGTTGTGATTATTTATTATGATGTTGATGTTGATGTTTTTTTTTCTTCTTTGCTTTCCCCAAAAGGGCCAGCGAGGGCGCATGGACCACCGCTACTTGTTATGTTATCACGTGTCCTAATCGGGTTAGCCACACGTGGTTGGCCCGGCAACCACGTGAAGCTGGTGGCCCTGATTGGTCAGGATATCAATAGTGGGACCAACTACTGTTTCAGGGTTAGCGCGCCGGCGGGCGCTAAGACCAAAAACAAACAAGGAAGAACCAAGGGCAACCAAACTTTCCATGGCGACGACGGGGGGAGAAGACGAAGAGGACGAGCCACACGACGGGAAGCCAGAGAGAGACGACAGGGAGAGACGCTGTGTGCCTGGCTGTGCAAGGCCCTGTGCCACCGGGGAAGAAGGATGAACCGTTGGTACGAGGGGGATACAGACATCGGCCTCGTGTTTATCCATGTCGTCACGCAGAGTACCTCTTGCAGCCGCATTACTCGAACTATTTACTGGAGATGCACAGTATGGTGTATAAAAGGTGTTCATACAAATGAGAAAGCAGGGTTGTGACGTATAGTGACGGAGGGATGCTGGTGAAATATAATCTCTGTTGCGGTATCCTTGAAACTACTCCACAAAGGCAAGCCTATCTCGGTGGCGAAAGACACATCTGGATTCGAGCTCTTATCAACAGCCCCCTGGTTGCATGTTGACAAACAACAAATTGCAGTGCTTTTACATACATACCAAATAACGCGCAAATGTGTACGTTTTTAGGAGCCTGCTGTTAATACTGACAATACAACCGAGGGTTGCGAGCTAGTTAATGACACACACCAAGGGCTACCCCGCCACAATAGCTCAAAAAATCAAGCCTCCAAGAGTGCACATATCTTTCAGCGCAACTACATACCATATACCTTAACATACCGATATGGCCATGGCGCAGCCTATCCAGCCAGTTGACCCGGATTTCCCTTACTCTCTGTATGTTGATTGACGTCGTGCTCATTCGGCGTATCGGGCGCATGTTCCAACCCGCTCACAGACGTATTATACTGACCGTGCTGGTAGAACCATCTCCGTGCCTCTTCCCTCACATCGCCTGGCCTCCTCTGCCCTTCGAACGCTACAGGTAGACCGCGAGCTATCGCCGCTGGTCAAGCGCACATTCCGTCTCACAAGCCCGGATTCATCCAGCTCCCTCGCCTCGCAAACTGAAATGCAAGTAAGCCCAACGCTGCGGGAAGGTAGACGCGAACAGACTGCAAGCGATGCTGTTACAGAGACGAATGATGAAAACTTAACGGTTCTGGAGACCGAATATAGAGCAACTACCAACAGAATGCTACGGGTGGCAGTTAATGCGTTTATGGACTCGCTAGGCGTGGTAGTCGGGGTGATGGAGGAGTTAGATGTCGACGTCATAAGCGCTGAGCTAGGGAAACCATAGAATATATGTAGAGCCACAAAAAGAGAAACCCTAGTTATCACTTTTGCATAGACGGCGTTTTATGCATGTGCTGTTTTAGTTGTGACATATCTGTTCCGCTCCGGATAATCTACACAGTACCATGACAGTACTTATACACTCCGACTACTGCCCATTACCCAACTACGGAGTACTTTCTTGCCCTTTATGCCTACCCAAGTAGCACAGCGCGCGAAGCCGTGACCCTTTCCAAATGGAGACCGGGAGACGGCATAATATAGTTCCGTGGCCAAAAAACATTACCTAATTCAGTCTGACAGCGCCAGCCAATGAGAGCGGGGCTACGGAAACCTCGCTTAGTCGCCGCCCCACTTGTCTGTGGTATAAATATCTCTTGCCGCCCGCCTTCTTTTGATCTTTTTTCTCTTTTCTTCTCCAGCTCTCTTTGCCATTATGGCTTAGATCAAGTGTAGTATCTGTTCTTTTCAGTTTAATCTCTGAAAGTATTCTAAGGAATACAACATTGATTATTCTTATTTTTGTACCGCGTGATTAGACCTCTGTGCTTGCGCATGTCTTTTCGCACCGTGTCATCGGTCTTACACTACCACCGATCGACGCGAACCCCCTTCTTTTTTTTCATTGATATCTTCGGCTTGCTGGAGTGTTAAAGAAGAATAGAAGTATGAACATGGAAGTAAATAAACTGAAGTACTCGTATATTAAGTATTTGTGTATGGTAAGATATATGTAAAACAAAGATATACCTCCAACGCTTTGTCTCGAGTATGTTCTGAAAACATCCAAACACCCCAACCACCCGCCATCAACCCCAGATAGTCAGTTCATGATGATTGACACGGCGATATTCGAGACCTTGCAGTCGAAAATCGACGAAGAGACCAAGATCCGCGATGTATGCTCCAAAGTCCCTTTTATTCGCCGCGTAACTGACCAGATGGTCTGACCAGGAAATTCAAGAAATCGTCCAGGAGCTCTCTAAACGAGGTACTTTTGCTTTATTGTCAGCGTGTTCAGACCCTATAGGGACTAATAAACTATCACATGGACAGGCAGAGCTGTTCAGGCACTTCTATCGCGGGCTCACTCCACGCCTCCGTCTCGAAGTATATCTATGTTGCTGTCATATATAAATTGCTCCGGTTAACACAATTATTATAGTAACCCCCATCCTCGACGATGCAACAAGAGAGATCTCAGCGCAGCGAGAGGATATCGTCAAGCTGGTGACCGTTGCTTCAAAGCATCCGTTCTACAAATACAATCACCTCTGGACTAGAGAGCTGCAGAACTTGGTGCGCTTATCTCCTCTGCTTTAGGGACCATTACTGATACCCCAGAACAGGTCTTCTCAATCGAATTTTGCAGTTGGCTTGGTGGCATGAAGGGGATTGCTGGTGAAAATTCAAGCTTCATGACCATCGAAGACGTGGGGAAATTCCTTGCTAGTGTGTGACCTTGCCTCCTGTTCTTCTTACCCAGAGGATCTAATGCCGCTTGGGATATAGTTCCTGTTAATTTGAAGGACCAAGACGCCTTTCACCTTACCATCGAGGAGTACCTGCATGCTCTCATTTCGCTCGTTGAGGAACTGGTAAACTCCCGTCTAGCTCCTGTCCCCCTCACTTAGTTTGCCTTGCTTACTGAAATCTAGTCGCGTCTTGCCGTCAACTCGGTCACACTTGGCGACTATACCAGGCCTCTACAGATCCATACTTTTATCTCCGACCTTCATGCAGGCTTCCAGCTCCTTAATCTCAAAAATGACTCTCTGAGAAAGCGAAGCGATGGAATCAAGTATAACGTGTGTTTTGGCCTTCCATAAATGCCCCAAAGCTACCGATCTTACTGGTTACTAACTATTTTATGGATGTAGGTCAAGAAAGTTGAGGACGTGGTGTATGATTTGTCTCTCCGTAACTTGATTCCTAAAAAGGGGTCTGAATAGGTGCATCAACTGGAGAAGTATTGTTGAGTCTTTAGTTCCATGTTACTTAACCACATGGCATAGCGAAATAAGAAGCTCTTTCTAGGCTATCCAATATACAAACCGTAGCATCCATTCCTGCACTCTGCTTTCTTCCTCGTAAGATAACTTTATATCACGTGAACATACAAGCCCTAGCCCTCTTTCTGCCCACGCCAAGAATTCCCTCTCGAACTTACATATTCATGAAAAATTAACGACAAAAATATATCACACCACCTCGTCGATACAGCAATTCCGCAGGATATTTACCTCTTTGCGGTCTATCTCACCCATATAAATCCTCTCTCGTCACAATGGCTCCCGCTTCTGTACGTTCACCTGTTGAGAATCGCTTTGCTGTTCCCCCTTGAAACCACTCCCGATATTCTCTCTCCGCTTCCAAAGGAGGCAGAATTAATGGATTTCAAGAAAACGACAAGATACCACCATGGGAGCAGTAGGCTAACTCATTCTCACCCGCCTTGGGTGGTTCATACACGATTCATAGGCCCGTTCTGCTAAAGGCAAGCAGCAAAAGGTTACCAAGAAGGTATGTTTGCGCTTTTCATTTCCGCGCCTGAAGGTCGTGCACTAACGTGGCTTGATATAGTACATCATCAATGCTTCTCAACCTGCCAACGATAAGATCTTCGATGTCTCCGCTTTCGAGAAGTTCTTGCACGACAAGATCAAGGTCGAGGGTCGTGTAGGCAACCTTGGCGAATCCGTCCAAATCTCCCAAATTGGCGATGGCAAGATCGAGGTTATCACTCACATTCCTTTCTCTGGCCGATATCTCAAGTACTTGTATGTTGTCCTCTTTACCATAACACCACATTAACATCCCAGCCGTGTACTCATCCGACCTTTCCTCTCAATTTAGGACGAAGAAGTTCCTCAAGAAGCAACAGCTACGTGACTGGCTCCGCGTTGTCTCCGCCTCCAAGGGTGTCTACGAACTCCGATTCTACAACATCGTCCAGGATGAGGCCGAGGAGGATGACGAGTAAACAGAACGACGACATGAGCCGATTTCTTTTTTTTTTTTCAATAGAAAAAAACTTTAGGCTGTGTACGTTCTGCATGTGGAAGTATCATCTGAGTTCCGATGACGGATTTTAGGGAAGCGGATTGCTCGCGAGGATGGGGATCTTCGACCTAGCCAATCTATGATATCTGGCGCCATACTTACGAGCCTTATGAGTCATGAAGCTTGCATGTTGCGCATCTCTATAATTCAATATAATCGGCTCTTTGATCGTAACCCTTCTTGCCTCAGCAAATTCTTCTTGTATTTTATGATGGTAGGCCCTTTTGGGGAAAAGTAAATGCAAGTATGAACTAGCCCAGGAATTTCATTATGGAGATTAAACTAGGGTATGCTGTTAAAAGACGTTGTCTACAACAAATGAGCACTATTGAAGAGTTCAAAGATGCTATTAGTTGCCATCATCGGCCTTCCTCTTAATACCGATGCCAGTCTTCGTCACTCGGTGTACTTCGTCCACCTCACCACCTGCCGGACTTACTAGCTTTCCATCTTGAATTGTCCAACCAGATCGTTTCAAAACCTTCCATTTCTCGCCTACTTTGTACCTCACCAGGTCACCAGTTGCCTTTGCATCCTCTATGGAGTCGTGACCCTCGCTACCCCCGCCAGCTTGAATATCTCGCCCCAGGAACTTCTTCGTGAGAGCCCGAAGGCCGTTCCGCATAGGGAGGCCTGCTGGGTGTGGATATAACAACACGGTATCAACGATAGTAGGATGGATTATACGGCAAACATTAAGATCATTCTCCAAGGCGTGACCAAGCAGAGGTGTCTCTGGTTGTAGATGTTGGAAAAGCAAGTCCCTTGCCGCGGCAGGCGAGTCAACTATTTCAAGGTTCTGACTAGAATTATCCTTAACCTTGTTTGTAGCAACTGAAGCCTGCGTTTTCTTATAAGGAGTAGCATTCGCAAACTGTTCGGGCCGAACGCCAGAATACCGAGTATTAAGATCCAAAACTTCTCCTATCGGTCTCACCAAAACATCAATGAGTAAATTCCCTTCTGGCCAGCTTATAGCTGTCAAGCGAATCATCTCAAGGCCTAAAGTGGTATATCCCATTTCGCAGTCGAAACAGACTGGTGGTAGCGTTTGTTCTTTCGTCTGTCGCGGTGTCTTTTTAAATTGCATTGTGGCAGCCAACCGCTTCATATCAGTGACCTTGAATACGTGGGAATCTACCTTCGTACATCCAGTAGATGTTCCAACGGGTTCTTTACAGCAAGGGTAGTAAAACTCCTTCTGCCCCACAATATGGTCTGTTTTCTGCTTAGGCGGCCTAATGGGCCTTGCGTAATGATAGACACAAGGGCCCGACGATGTAAGGATGCCATCGGACCTTCTCCCTGGAAAGACTTGAAACCTCGAGTTGCACCGATCACACTTCTCCCAGCCCTGTGAGGCCTCTACCCCCCGTTTTGCGCAGGCAATATCGTCTGTTGACGGGGGAGATATAACGTACTCAAGCTCCTTCAGAGCATCAGGGGAAGCATATAGAGTTGAGAGGACAGTCCTCTCTTCTTCAACCGTCAAGTCGGTTAATATAGGCTGTGATGGTGTGGTAGGCGGTTTTATCGCTTCTGATAAGCCTTCAGGTCGAATGAAGGCTAAAACAGCTTCCTCCCATTCTTGCGGTTTCATCTTAGTCAATTTCACTATGCGTAACTTGATGACATTTGAATAGACAGCAGGCGACTCCTTTGCGATTTTTTCTTCTTCATCCAGGGCCATCGAAATCAATTCATCGGCAGAGAGAGCCATGCACTTCTTAGACGGATCGACGGAATTCTTTAGTTCATTGTTGAGGCGCACCATTGCGCTATGCAATTTAATTAGGATAGACATGCGAATAGCATGTGTTGCTGGAGGCTTAAACACGTGTCTCGGATTGAGTGTCTCCTTCTTTATTTGTCTTTTTGATAAATAGCCAGGGGATTCCGGAGGGATACGATCCTGAGTTTTTTCCAAAACATATGCAGCAGGCGGACTGGCAGTGGTCCGGCTAATTGGAGGTGGAGAAACACATTTTCTCAAGGAGTCAAGGTTACAAGCCTTATTTCGAGATGGGGAAAACTCATATGTAACTGTGGTGGAATCACACTTGGCGGTAGTATCAGGTTTTGGGATAGAATGGCTGGTCAGCTCCGTATCAGCCCCTCCATTGTCGTGCAAACGCTGCCTTTTACGATGTGGTTCGTCTATATATTGTTTCGAAACGGCCTCAGAATGTGGATTTATTGCCTTCTTGGAGTTGGCGACGGGCGTGGGATTAGCTATGTTATTGACTTCTTTGTGAGCAAAGATGCAATTAATCACATTGCAGTGACCATTTTGAGGACAGAGCACTGCGTTGAAAAGCCCTAGCGAACTGAACATTGTCTCTCTCTTTATCGTTAGGACAAGCGTGCGAAGTCTCAGTTTTTGGACTCAAGTTCTAAATATATATATCCTAGACACATATAGAGTAAGGGTATCGATAGTGAGGTAGCGTAAAGAATTGTAACGACGAGGTTGCTTTCCGATGAAAGCTATGGCTAGTGAAGACAATTATCAGTCTGCTAAAACCACCCTGCATGGTAAAGACGAAGATAAGAGAGCCAATATCTAGCTCATCTCTCTTATTCTTCACAACGATGAGCTGCTACTTTGCTCAAGTTGTCAGTGTAACGGGTAGGCAAGCTCCTGATGCCTTATATTCTTTTCACGATAACACCGTTAATTATTCAAAATCCCTCTCAGTGGTTCAGGAGGGCTAAATGAGGCGAGTCCGGCATGTTAATGCTATGTTATCGAATGTAAGTGATGGTAAGTTGATTGATAAGAATGTGTTGTTTTACGAAATGCCATGTTGAAAACGTTTTGAGGTTTGATCTGGAGATGCAAACGATACAAATAATGTAAACAATGCAAACATCAGCCTCGCTTTTAAGTCCTTATCTCCGGCGAGGCTCCAACATATTTGACACCCAAGAATATAAAATATAGATTACAGTCAGGCTTTCTTGTTTTATTTCGCACATAAGGGTCATTATACTAGCTATAGAGGGCAGCGGCCAACGAACAAATAATCCAATGGCAGATCACCTTTGTGTACTGATTCACGGGTAAGTGATATATATGACAGTCAATAAGGGCAATAGCTTACACTGAATATCAGTCTATGGGGCAACCCAGCGCACCTTGATTATATTGTGTCCTCTCTTCGAGAAAAGTACGACGAACCGTCATTACAAATATTGTGTCCAAAGAGCAACGCAGGAACTCTCACATATGACGGCATTGAGCTTGGCGGAGAGCGGGTAGCACATGAGGTGGAAGAAGCAATTAAGAGCTCTGCCGAGCAGGGACACAAGATTCGCAGGTTGAGTGTGGTAGGTTATTCATTGGGTGGGTTGATTGCTCGATATGCTATCGGCCTACTCTATGCCAAGGGGTATTTTACAGACATTGAGCCCGTCAACTTTACGACCTTTGCTTCACCACATGTCGGTGTGAGAAGCCCTAGGAGAACAAGCCATTTCTGGAATGTCCTCGGTGCCAGATGCGTTTCGACCTCAGGCCGACAGCTTTTTATGATTGATTCATTTCGTGACACTGGAAAACCACTCCTTAGTATTCTTGCTACCCCCGGAAGCATATTTATGCTGGCACTTGCGAAATTCAGGCATCGGACCCTATATGCCAACGCTGTTAACGACCTAAGTGCGGTTTATTACACAACCGCAATATCTAAGACAGATCCCTTCACACAGGTAGATGATCTCTCGATAAGCTTTGTCGATGGCTATGCACCGATAGTCATTGACCCCGATCGACCAATACTTCTCAGAGCAAAATCCCAGTCCCTTCTTGGTCGATTAATTTCCTATGCCTATTCTACGATATCAGTACTCTCGTTTCGATTATTTATATTCATCATTGTCGGTTTTGTTTCTGTGATATTCTTAGCAAACGCAGTTTACCAGACCATCCTGAGTGAGAAACGCATCCGCCTGCATGAACAAGGTAGATCCGGGGTAGTTTACAATGCCTACAGGGTCCCACTACTTATGAGGGGATTCCGGAACGCTGCTGAGGATATGTACGAAACCGTGAATGCTGCACAAAAACCGGAGTATATCTCAGGATCAACCCCACACCCTAATGAGAGACCCCCAACACTTACACAATCACATCCCGCCGCTGCTGTATACCCTCTAACGGAGCCTGTTCGAATCACGGATAATGTCGCCACTCATGAGCCCAGGAAAGCTACATTTCCTACTCTTGCTCTAACTGCTGCTCAATTTCAAATTATTGATAATCTTGACTCGGTTGGGTTCCGCAAATACCCGGTATATATCCATGAAGTTCGGCATAGTCATGCAGCTATCATTGTCAGGTCACCTAGGGAATCATTCAAAGAAGGGAAGATCGTTGTGAGGCACTGGCTGGAAGAAGAATTCCGTATCTGATGCCGGTATGCATATGGCTTCATGCATTTCTCGATCCCAAACTTTACCCATGCACGATGGGCTCCGTCTCCCAACAGCAAAGCCGCTATGGTTAATTTCCCCATACAAATATATCTACCAAATTTTATGGTTTCCGTGACAGAGGGGCAGGAGTAACTCACACACCATACAAGGATCCCTGAAATTCTGACACCACCAGCCACTTTGAACCCAGCACAAAAACACTGTACACTGTCTGCAATACCCTGGCACCTGCGCACGGATTTCCAGCACGGTTAGGAAACCCGTCGGATTCACCACACTTGCAGATGAGAAATCTCTGCTTTTTTTCCCGTATATGCAACTCATAGATTTGACCAACAACTTGTTGGGTCTACTTTACGTCTCTAACCTGACTACCAAACATCCAGGCGCTAAGGATTTAATGTTACATTTGTTATATAGATACATGTAGTTACTTGCACCGTCTAGAAGGTATCCTTTAAGAAAACTACGTAGTTGCATTATGAACATATATCTAATCGAATGGCTACCCGGCGCACAACCCCAAGCATCTCCGAGGAAGCGCCATCCTGGGACATTAAGCTGCCAAGCCCGTCTTAGTCAGACATCCCTGACGGAGGTCCACTTAAGCTCATGGTCCAACCACTCAGACCCTTGTGTTTGCCGTCCTTGGCAAGACTAAGGTTTATTGACGTCATAGAGGAGCCTCACATTCAAAACATCCATCGCTGCGTAACATCCAAGTCGAACTTTTGCGCTCGGGTCGGGTGTGAGAACGAATCGGATATTCCTTTCCAACAGAGCAGCAGGTGAGGATGGAAATTAATTTACAGAATACGGAGTGTCTGGAAAATTGGCTTGATTAGAATCCAGGGGCGTTCCAATAGGTAGTTAATCTGTTATCTCGAGGTTGCCAAATTCCTACGTTTGTTCAAAGAATTAAACTATAGGGACGTCCCGTCTGTCATATGTATTTCGCCGACATAGTAGTTGCCATATAGGGGAGTCAAGTTATATTTATAGCGATAAATAACTACTCTGTGGCCCTCTACATAGCTTCCAAACCCCCAACAGGAACTTTCAGAATGTGCAAGTCATTAATGCTGCAGTCAAAGGGTATCACCTCGTTTTCTCTGTTCGACGATCCCTGAGGGAAAAAATGCCTTCGTGCATAAATTATCCAACTGCATATCAACACTCCACCATCAGGTGGGTCATGGTCTGTTGATGTTCCTTCCAGGGGAATGATAACACAGATAAGACAGCATTAAAGATATGTACCTATATACCAAGCGGTGTGTATGTATCCCCGAAAATGACTAGAGGTGGTTCAAAACGCTGTTTTGGTGCTGTTAATCCCATCTTTGTATATCAAATTTGGACACACTATGGTTATCTTCTCCGTAGTGGTGGGTGTGATAGGGGTATGTAGGGGAAATATGCGAAGGGACGTCATTATTATATGCGGGTCCACACCCACACAAGAGGAAACCGTGGAGGCAGATTTCCCACAGTAGCGGTCACTAATAACAGTGTATTCTTTTGCCGCTTGGAGACTTCACACAGCTGAAACGCTTAGCAAAGCGCGGTAATGTGGAATGTGATTGACTAGACGCCTTCCATCTTTGTACAGTTGTCGTCTTACCATTCCATATGATATTAAGGGGCTGAAATATAAATCCCAACACTATCTCGGTCTACTCCCGTTACTTCCCCCTGTTTTTCAAGAATACGATGGTCTTCCTGGTGGAGATTTTCCAGGAACCGCTCTGATAATTGGCCAGTTGCCTGCAGGGATATCTTTCAAGACGCCATCTCATTGTCCATGTCGCTCTCAACCGCCTATGTGGATCCTCACCTTTGCCATTACTTACTCTGTGTTTCCTCTCCCTAGCATATAAAAATAAAATGTATGCTTAGTATTCGTCCGTTTAAGGTTGCAGTGTGTAACCCCCGATGTGGGCCGAGAGAAGGATCGGGGAGATCGGAGGCGGTTTTGCCCATCTAAACACCCAATACATGAGTATATCAATGCCTGCGGCAATAGTAAAGGGCGAGGATCATCGAACGGAGATGATGGAAAGGGAGGAATAAGCGGAAGAAAATTTTGATAGTTGGGCAAATTCCATGGTTCATCTCTCGAATGAACAATGGCAAGAGAGGAAGTTCGGTAACTTCTCAAACTGCTGTTCCGCCATTTGTGTATCGTCTTAAGTAGGTGGAGAACCTGGCTTGTCTGGGTTCTTAGTAATTTTGGCCGGGCTGACGGGTTGCATCATACTCTTCCGCTGCTTCCTAAGGAAGACGTATGTAACTTGTAGAACACTTGGAAAGGACGTGATATATAACAAGCTTATCCGCTCCTTATTCAATAGCTCCATTGTTCTTGCCTCCAACGTAACTACTTTCCTCACATCTTCAAAGACAATTTCTTAGTAATATAAAACGACCTCAATCAATAAAAGGGGACAACCAACTACCACATCGCCATCCTACAAAGGAATTCTGTCATTTGCGCGCAAATTATTCTTGAAGCTGGATAGCTATTATTCTTATCATCATTATTCTTATAAGACGAGATAGTGACTCTTTACCATCAACAAAATCCAACAAACTGCGGTCATGGCAAGTACGGAATCATACTCTCCGAGCACACCCAGAGTCCGCCGTCTATCCAATGTGTCCGCGACTAGGGAGGATATGGTGAACGGGCCTAATGTGGTTGTGCCACCAAAACACTTGATGGCGAGCACGGCTGCTTATGAAGCCGCTAAGGCCATGGGAGTTGCTAAATACCACCTGGAAGAAGAAAATTCGTCGGCCGAGATTACTCCAAGAGCTGTATCGCCAGTCACTGGAGTCCCAGTTGTAGCAACCGATAGGTATGCTTTTGCTTTCGATATTGATGGCGTACTTATTCGCGGTGGGAAGCCTATTCCAGCAGCGGTGGAAGCTTTAAAAGTTTTGAACGGAGACAATGAGTATGGGATCAAAGTGTACGTATCTGCTTCCTGGATGCAAGGTCACTCTCTTTGCTGACCTGCCACTATGAGTTTAGGCCGTATATCTTCGTTACAAACGGCGGAGGCAAGACTGAGGAAGAGCGATGTCTTGATCTTAGCCGGCAGCTTGAATATGATGTTTCACCCGGTCAATTCATCTGTGGACACACACCCATGAGAGAGATGGCAGAGAAGTATAAGACTGTCTTGGTTGTAGGTGGTGAAGGCGAAAAATGCCGTATCGTAGCTGAAGGCTATGGTTTCCGCGACGTTGTGACGCCTGGTGATATCATCAAGACAAACAAGGATACCACCCCATTCCGAAAGCTGACAGAGGAGGAATATAAGAATTCTCGGGTCCGTGACTTCGACAATTTAGTCATCGAAGCTATCTTTGTGTTTGCGGACAGCAGGGATTGGGCCGGTGACCAACAAATTATTCTTGACCTGTGCATGTCCAAGGGCGGCAAGATAGGCACACGCTCAGAGACATTCGAGGAGGGCCCGCCAGTTTATTTCTCCCATAATGATATTGTCTGGTCGACATCTCACGAGCATACACGTATCGGTATGGGAGCCCTTCGAGCTTCTGTCGAAGCTCTCTTCAAAGCTGTCACCAGAAAGGAGTTGAAGACGATTGCGTTCGGCAAACCCCAGCTTGGTACGTTCCAATTTGCCACAAGGCTTCTACAACAATGGCGAAAGGAAACCCATGGCATCAACTCCCCGCCGCAGACAGTGTACTTTGTTGGAGATACCCCCGAATCGGATATCCGTGGCACAAACGAGTACAACGAGTCTGACGTGAGCGAGACCCTCTGGTATTCGATACTGGTTGAAACAGGAGTCTTCGAACAAGGGACTACTCCACGATATGCACCCAAGAAGATAGTCCATAACGTCCTCGATGCCGTGAACTTCGGTATGAAGAGAGAGTTTGAAAGAGCTCTAGAGGAGACGGAACCTAAAAAGCCGGAGGCTAAGTAGAGCCACACCAAGCTACCTAGCTCCCGGGCGTAAAGGGGCTCGAGTGCCTTCAACTGGTCTATGATATCCACATCAGTTCACTGCCTTTTTTTTTTTTTCGTTGGAAAAGATTTTGACCACCCTTTTTCGCACCTTCAGTTTACCCCCTTTTTTTGGTCTAATTCGAAGGCGTCGGAACGCCACTCTATTGGATCTTCATGCATTGCATTTTTTTCTTTTCCCCCACCCATTCTATGTCATGTTAGGAGTTTGGATGCAGATATTTCGTTTTAACAGCTCACTTTCATCGCCCCTGGCTTGGGCTATAAAATCAGAACCACTTTCTTCTCTAAAAATATTCCAGATTGATGCTTGATATTATAGACATGCTTTGAAGTGTTAACAGTCACGAAATATATATTCCACAGATATTGTTTCTATTTCATATGCAATGAAGGTGGATGGGAGACTTCGCTTGGTAGCTCTTGATGTAGGACACATCACGTGATTACCTTTCTCATTAGTGGCCAAAGCTTTTTTTTTTTTTTTTTGGATTTATTCACCATAGTGATGGCGTTTATCAAGTCAAATAGCAGAGTTGAAGCTATGCGGCTTATCCGAAACTACTTCATTGTAGTTAAATAGAACACCTCTGTACCAAAAACGTCGTGATATCCAGGAGACAGATATAACTTTTAAGGCCTTTGCTTGTTAGCTCTATTAGTTTTGCATTCCAACATGAGCATGAGCTGGTCAAATAATGTCAATTTTTGATATCCTGGGAAGCGTAAGAGCTGTATGTACTGATCAAATCAACTTCATTATGGCTGCTAGAGTTTATTGACGAATTGGAATATCTATAGGTTAGCTTGATAAATACCTCTAAGTGTCTAGAAGCTATCTGCTTATCGGCTGAGCTATGCTGTCGTTTTATACGAGATTGGAAAGGCGGAATGATCCTACTATGAACTCCTCGATAAGGCTGCTAGGAGATTTCGTATACCCTAAATGGAAAACTATCAATTATTGATAAAGTTGGAAAAGATGGGTGGAAGCACAGGTGCTAACCATTCACTGCGTGTCAGTTTATGACATAAATGAACCATACCATTGTTACAATTGTATGACTCCTAAATGAAGCGCGCATACCCTTATACCTTAACTGGCTGGAGAAAATAGATGCTGTCCTGGCCTTTGCCAACCGCATAAATAAGCTTGATGCTAGGGGCCAAGACTGCTCTTAAGGTAATGGAGCAACATATAGCGAAGATATTTTCCAATTTAATATCCTTACCCTGATAGTTCTAATATGCACCTAACTTATCCATCTAGTGGATAAATTCACCTTCCAGAGGACGGACTGTGATATAGATGAACTTTTCCTGTCCCGCTTAATGCTCATTATCCCCACAGCTATGCTTATATTTCTTTTATATACCATATGCCACAGCATGTCCTTCCACTCATGCGTCGACGCTTATGGTAACACTCCCCTGCATTAAGAGCAGGTTTGTTTATTTATATAAACATGTCCTCCCTTCTTTTTTTTTCTTTCTCTTTCCCATCCTCGATCTCTCGACTTGACTTCAAGCAAACAGAATAGCACATCCGACAGGCATTCCCAATCGTCCAGCCGTGAAGGAAACTCGTCAAAATGCCAGTTATCTGGAACGATGCGGCTAGGGCCAAGGTAAACCACCCAGGAGAGAGGGAGTACCACCTATCCAGTTGCTAATGTGCACCTCGCAGCTCTTGATGGCCATCGTGAAGACAAGCGGAGGGAAGATTGACTATAAGGGCATCGTCGAGTTTATGGGCCCCGGTAAGCAATGTCTATCTATCATTCTGCGTTGACCAGGGCACTAAAATCTTGCTGCAGAGTATAATGCGAAGTGCATTCAGAACCAAATCCAATTCATCAAGAACAAGGCCAATGGAGACAAGGCTCCCGGCTCTACTCCTTCCACGCCAACAAAGGGTGAAAAGAAGGGCAACTCCGCTGCTGGCTCCGTCAAAACTCCAACTAAATCTCCAGCATCTGCCAAACGCGGGCACGAGCAAGCTGTCGGTCCCGAGTCTGAAACTACCATTAACACCCCAAGCCCCGCCAACAACCGTCGCACCAAGAAGTTGAAGACTGAATGCAAGAAAGAGATTAAGAAGGAGATCAAGTCTGAAGAGAACCCTCTCTAAAGCAATGCAACACCCTTTTTACTGTATCTTGAGAGGTTTAGTTGGTGTCGGGTGTTTTGTTTTGTTGAGCTGTGTGTGGTGACCCAGACTTGCATTTTATCAGCTACCAGGCGAGAACTAGCTTAAAATACAAGATGTCTACTTGATCATGAACACATGAGAATAATATCAAATCTGTATCTGGCGAAGGAGAAGGAGAGTTATGTAATAATGATAAAAGCGGCGTCAGAATGTCTGCATCTGGAAATGCCTCGGCATCTCGAAGAAGAAAAAGGCCAAGCTTGCAAGGAAGCTAGAACGACGAAGATGACGAACTCGTTATTAATTACATGATGGTATGTTTACTGGATCTTTCTCCCTCTTGCTCCGCTCTTGGTCCGTCGCTATATAAACTTGCACCCTCTCTTCCTTTAAGTGGCATAGCACTCGTGCCTAATAGCTCCCATTAACTTACTAGTATTGTCTTCGAAGAGTTACAGCTAGGAGGATAGCATCTTCGTCGCGCACACTCATCTTCTCTGCAAAGATGTCGTCAGCTACATCCTTTTACGACTTTGAGCCGGTTGACAGTATGCAATAATCATCTCCCCTTTGTTGCGCTATTATTACTATAATCATTAACAACTGCGCGACTTTTTTTACAAAAAACAGAGAAAGGACAGCCCTTCCCTCTCACCTCGCTCCAGGGCAAAGTCGTCCTGGTCGTCAACACGGCATCAAAATGCGGTTTCACCCCGCAGTTCGCCGGTCTCGAGGAGCTCTACAAGTCAATCAGCTCCTCGCACCCGGATAAGTTCACCATACTAGGCTTCCCGTGCAACCAGTTCGGTTCTCAGGACCCCGGAAGCAACGATGAGATTCAGACATTCTGCCAGGCCAACTACGGCGTCACATTCCCGGTTCTCGGCAAGATAGATGTCAACGGTGACAACACTGCGCCAGTATACAACTGGCTGAAGAAGGAGATGCCTGGCATCATGGGTCTGAAGAGAATTAAATGGAACTTTGAGAAGTTCTTGGTCGACGCCAATGGAAAGGTCGTTGGGCGATGGGCGAGCACCACGAAACCCGAGTCTCTCAAGAGCACCATCCTGGCTGAGATTGAGAAAGCTGGAAAGGCCTCTCAGCTGTAGCTGGCTTGAAAGTGGCATAGCACGTCGATGATTTCCTTTCTTTCTACACATAATAATACGCCTTACGACCCTTGTCCTCCCATCTACTCAAACTATTTCGGTTTAGTCCGTATAATTGTTATCTCATCTCATACGATATGAATTAGTCTTGGGAAATATAATTAAACAAATACCCTCACCGTCATCCTTACTCCTAGCTGTGTACCTTGCTCGTTTGATCCACAAACCGCCCCCACCAAAAAAACACGCAGATACGGTGGATCACCAGCAGAAACCTCCCCACGTCTGACAAAGTAATATTTCTTCCCCGATAGTCCTCTTATCATGCCACCTTCGTATAACAACAGCCTGGAGATATAACGGATGCATCGACATCCAAGCAAATAACCTTCAAGGGAAAAAAATATGTAATAACCAGGAACTGCGCACGTAAAAATAGAAACCTCTTGGCAACGGCAAACGCGGCTGAGTCGATCAGCCTGGACATTGCCACTAAACGGATCACAGTGCTCAATACAGACACCCTTGTTTTATATTCGGTCGAGTACTCAATCCTATATATGTAATATGATTAACTAATTCACAGTAAAGCGGATGGGGCCAAAGGGTCCAACAGATGGAACCCATGTAGATAAAAAAAAAGAAAAGAAAAATTGCGAAAACGATTGACACAATGCGCTCATATATTGTATATCCTGCAGCAAAGCTCTCAATGCCGTGTCATTAGATAACGTGTATTTTGATCAAGGACGCTGGGTCTGGTGCAGTAATAACAGATTGATCAGGCCGAAAGAAAAGGAGGAACATGGTATAGTTCTATAAAGAATGAAGAGAAAGTGAGCCAAAAACAAGAAAAAAAGTCGCGCCACCCGATGCCTAGATAATAAAGGAGAAAAAAGAGGATATAAAAGTAGAAAGAAAAAGTAAAAAGTGCAAAGAAAATCAGAAATAAAGCGAATTATGTTGGAAGTTGAGGGGGTATTAGTTGATATTAAGGTACATATCGGCGCCACGCTTTGATGGTGTCACCCTATGGCCCCTTGAGGATGAAGTGGGTTCTGCGGTATTATGCTGCATGGGTTGGATGTGGTTGATGGAGCGGGGTGAAGTTGAGTCGATCGAATCGTTGTCATCATCATGGATCTGATCGTGCTCAATCTGAATAGGCCGTTGTAGTTTTGCGGGAAGAGTGAATTCATTGCCCATCTTCCCGGCGACCTTCTCGCCACGGCGTTTGACGAGGAGGCTGCTTGGTTTGTTGGTTGAATTGGTAGAGTTCTGGTGTCTCAGTCGGGGGCTGTGTTCTCCGCTACTTCGAGGGGACGAGCAGCATGAAGATATAGAGCCGCCGAGCATAGATTTGGGGAGGGTCGGGGAGTGGTCTGGGAGTGCCTCTGCAAGGTAGTTGGCCAGAATGGAGCTGCGGGTGGTCAAGGGTGGAGGAACTAGCTTTGAGTAGGTGCGAATGGAAACTTCGCTCGCGCCATCGCTTTCGGTGTAGTGCGATAGGTGTCCTGAGCGGTAGGCCGGCTGAGGGATATCGGGGGATCCCGCTGAACTTGGAGGGCCAGTGCTCGGGACCTCTCGTACCGGACTAAGCTGTCTTGGAATATGGCTTTGGTACGAGTTGATGCTTCTGGACGTTAGTGGTTCCGGCGTGTATGAAGGAGCCAGGTGGTTTGTTATAGGCTTGGAAGAAGGTTGGTCCCTAGGGCTTGAGTAGTTACGCCCGAGAGCCGAGTGCACTTTCGACGGTACCGCAAGGAATCTGGAGTCAGAGGAGGAAATCTGACTCAGGTTCGGGCTATGTGTGGGGTATCCGAGCCCACTGTTGAAACTGTGTGGGCTTTGGGCAGCCCTCTGGTTTGCCTGAACCAACGCCGGACTGTAGTTAAGTGAGGACGCACTGCGTAGTGGATCGACCAGCGACTGTGATACATCTCTATGGAAGGAACTCTTTGATGAAAGGCCACGGCTGCTAGAGTTGTCTCCAAACGGACTCTGCACACGATCTTTCGGTGCACCCCGCGAATCGGAACTGCTGGCCGTGTAAGGATTATCGGGTAAGAGGTCTGATTCGGTTCTCTGGGAGGCCACGCTCTGTCCCCTGGAGCTTATATACTCGTTTTCCAGATCCCGTGTGTTGCGATGAAGGTAGGCCACCGAGCATGGCATCATGTCAATAGGCAGTAGGGTTCGGTGTCGAGACGATGTGCTTTTTGGCTTTGAAGAGGCTTTAGAAAGGCTCAAGGCAGGCGTTGTTTCCGAGCCAGTCATGGAGCGGTCTATTTTAAGATAGGGTCCTCTCTGCCCCTTTTCCCATTGCTGTCCTTGCTTTGCCCTTCGTCTGCGTCTGTTTAGAAAGAAGAAGAAGACAACAAAGGCTATGAGGGAGGCGAAGGCGATGCCACCGCCGACGTAGAGTCCGACTAGTTGATTCGAACGACCTCCTCCGCTCGGCTCGGGAGAAGCCGTTGCTGTGCCTGTCTCTGCCGACGAATAGACGTAGGTGAAATCAATGGTGTCAGTCGGTATTCCAACGCCCGGTATGCCACTTCTTGTGACTGAGGCCATTGACGTGATCTGTGCAGATGTCATCGTGCTGGCTGGTGCCATCATCGACATGCTGGGCAAGGTAGCCGATGCCGGCGGACCCGGAGCTGGAGGAGTTTGAGAAGGAGGAACTGGATCCGTTGCAGTCGTGGATGCCATCGGTGGTTGTTGAGGAGCCATGGTCGGTTTCGGGCCAGCAGTAGACGATATTCCAATGACCGGATGGGTATTTGGAAGAGCCCCCTCAACTCCGGAGCATATACTGTAGACACGGTGCTGTCTTCGTCAGAGTCAGGACAGT